TTATTCTAGTTTAGCTAGTCTGTTAATGTTGTTGGTTGTTGTGTGATAGAAGGTGGTCGGTGTGATGGGGAGTTGTGTGCGAGTTTGCAGTGAAGAATCCAGACCTGGTGGAGTACGATAGCAATAACGTTTCGATGTAGCTCGTTATTGTTTGTCATCTTGAGGATGTACAACTCCCAGTCGAGGGTTTCCCCTGTATATTTGTGTATGATTCGATTTTAAATAAAAACAACAGATTCACCAAATCTTCCATCAAAGGCTCCATAGCATAGTTGGTTATTGTACTTCCCTAGTAAAGGAAGAGATAGGAAGGGGTCACGAGTTCGAATCTCGTTGGAGCCTTTAGAAAATTATTGGTTCGCATGCGGTTTAATATAAAATTTGAAAAAAAAAAAAGATGACTGAGATTACATTCAACTTCGTAATGAGATACAACACGTGTATATGTTCAATAGATTCCGATGGTCACAGTATCAACCATCTCCCAATGTATCTGCCAAAACCACTCCAAAACTCGCAAACTCTAACAATCCAAATCCTAAACTCAGTATCAATAACAACGAAATGTCCACCTCGACAATTCTATTCCCCTTAAACAACAAAAAGATCACTGTAATCCCACCAATTCAATTATCACAACCGTCACTGACATCGTCTGCTTCCGTTTCACTACCTCATTCACAACCCAACTCTGGCAAGGTCACCAAAACTTACTAACTCGTTCAACTCACTGCCAAACACTGTCAAAAGCTTAAACACCAGTGGATCATGCAACCTCAGACTCTCAACCAACAGCACACGCGACTTGTCATCTCCTCCACTCAGTCCAAACGAACACAACATCAGCGGCAAAGAGTTCCATATCGGTTTGAGATCGCCATCGTCGGGAGACGAAAAAGAAAAGAAGCGTCGTACCCGTTTAAAGAAAGAACAATAGTTCTTCGAAAAAGACAACTATCCCAATAAAAGAGGAAAAGGAGAAGCTTGCTCCATGTTCGGAATGAACTACACTGCTGTCACCACATGGTTCTCCAACAAGCGCCAAGAGAAGCGTAGAAAGGTAGCCCACGGAGCCGGTGGAAGACGCGTTGTAGTCGAAGCTCTAGATCGTAACGATAACTCAATGATAAAGTCAGAGTCTGATATTCTTCATATCGACAATGACGAAGAAGATGAAGAACAACAACATAATCATCATCAACATCAACAACAACAACAATCATCGAGATACGGTAGTAATACCCCAACTTCCTCATCGTCATATACATCTTCAGATTCAACCAAAGTTTGTTTTAACAGCCTGCCTCAAATACCATGCAGATCCATCACTCAATGTACCGATTGGTAGTTCAACCAAGTATCTATAATACAAAATTAGATTCTAATGGATTGTCTACTACCTACTCTGAATCCAATTTATGATAATCTACAGAGAAAATCATTGATGTACCAAGTGCGACAATAGTCTACAACTTCAAAATAGAGGTACACTCTTTGATCCGATAGAATAAAATTATTTTTGCAATATTGATGCTCTGACCCGTGTTTCAATTCATCTTTAATTGTCAAGCAGTTAGATAAGCATCCATTATTTATTGAACCCTCTAAAATATTATTTTATGATTCATTTTGAGTACTCTTTAAATTGTTAGTTTCTTCTTCTTTTTATTCTTTCTCTTTTTTATGAATCAATATATTTTCAAAAAAGTATAAATATTAATCATTATCTCTTTGATTGAACCTATTTTAGAAATATATTATATATATAATTAACTATTTTTAATATTAAAAGTGATAGATTAACAATCTTGGAGTTAAAAGTATTTTACAATAAACAAATTGTAAAATTATACAATTATTGGAAAAAATAAATAAAATGATGAATCATTAATTATCTCTACTATTCCATTTATTAATTATATTTAGAAATGAAAAATGCTGATCTAACTGATATATAATCATGGTACAGCGCTGTTAGATAGTTCTTGGCGAAAGGGTTTGAATGAATTAAATATTTTTGTTTTTGGAACTGACCAGCCAAGACATTCTGTCTGAACTGATGAGATATTTTATTTAATAATACTAGATGAGAATTATAAAGTGAAAAAGTGAATCGGAGGGTGTATTGTGGTGCGTTGGTATGGTCATCGTTTTTAAAGTCGTTGGTCGAATGCTTAAAGAGATTAAAATGGTCCATTTTGATAGAGTCTAAGTACCAATACAGTTAAAGCACTTGAAACTACTGGTTGTTGTCGGTTTGGAGAAGAGGTGCCAAGGAGAAATAGTGCTCGATGAATATGGAGTTCGATATACGACAGTTCAGATTATGCATTTACCCTTTTGGATTCCAAAGATGGCACAGATCCAAGTTTAATTGAGGTTTTCTTTTCTAAATCAACATCTAATTCTTTATAATCAACCATGGTTGCTCTAAATCATATCGATATGATTGTTTGGTTGACCATTATCAAATTTAAATGAATAGAATTTATAGGTTTCCTCTCTCTGCTTGGTACCATAAGAACCCAAGTATTGTTGGTCAACAGGTACAATCTTTGAAATAAACTTTTTTTCTTGCATTTGTTCAAGGAAATAAGATACTCCCTATATTCGTATCAATTTAAAATATAATTTAATATAAAAAGGTCGTAATTTAATCAAAGAAAATTACTTACATCTCTGTCATCCGATAGAATCTCATAAAAAATACCGTCATTCTTTAGATATTTTTGAATCACTTTGATAAGATTATCAACACTTAATAAACTATATGTCAATTCACTACCGAATATTATATCATATTTATCTTCTTCAGTCACAGTTATCTAATCATAAACAAAAGAGTTAATAAGTTTTGTTTTTTAATTCATACAATCAACATTAACTTACACTATCAATTTCATCCCAATTCAAATATTTCACATCGACCTTCTCCTTTAAATCTATCATTCTGTTGTTGACTCTTATCTCTTCATCGTCATCCATATCGACAGTATCTTTTTTACTGTTTAAATCTACATTGTATTTAAGATTCTCTAATAACTATTGGAAATATAATATAGTAGTGAAGATAGATTGGTTATAAGTTGAAATTCTAGAATTGCAGTTTACCATTAAAATAGACTTACAGGTGGAAGATAATCTGTCAGTGTAATCGATTGACAATAGTGTGCAGTCAAGATACCAGTCAATCCAACACCACTTCCCAATTCTAGACACTTTTGATCAGTGAAAGAATCCTGATGTTTGAAGATCCAACGTGACATGATGATAGCAGCGTCCCAGATAGCGCAACCGATACCACCCTGAATGATAGACATCTCCCTGATAAATAGCTCTTTTCATACTCTTTCTCACGCTTATCGTACTTTCCAAAACCAACAGTCTTTCTCTTGAACTTGTCTGCACCTAATGCATACTCTTTCCAATTAATATTGAGTTGTCCATTCTTTTCTCTACCATTCAACATTTTGTCGTTCGTTTTTATTCTTTGATAAAATGATTCGTTTTTTTTTTTAGTTATTGTAGAAAAAGAAAAAAAAAAATGTATTTTAAAAAGTCAATTGACATATTGATTTAATTATCTTTAAAAAAAAACATTAAATTTCATTTGTTGTGGTTGAAAAAAATTAATAACATAAACTAAATATAAATAAAAACTACAGATGGAAATTTTTTTCCATCAAAGGCTCCATAGCATAGTTGGTTATTGTACTTCCCTAGTAAAGGAAGAGATAGGAAGGGGTCACGAGTTCGAATCTCGTTGGAGCCTTTATAAAATCACTGGTTCGCATGCGGTTTTATCAAAATTAAAATTTCAGTAGAGAATTTTAATCTAATCTTTCTTTCCAAATTCTTGAGGTGGACTGCCTGTTCAATTAATGGTAATCAGAAGTAATTCAATATTTATCTTTAATGTTTATTTACATGATGATTATATTAAGTGTCCAATAAATGTAAAAAAGTTGAAAATTCAGTTGGTAAATTGATAATATTCTCCATTGGATAAAACAATTGTTTGATTGTTTCCTTTGGATCATAATCTGAGGGTTTCGAAAAGAGTAGTGAATCTGTATAAGACGCTGGGAATATTTCATATCTTGATTCTGTAAAAAGAGTTGGTGGTGTATATTCATAGTGTTGAGCTTTTATGAATTCCATTCGATGTAATAAATCGGTTACCTCTTTTATAAATGATGGGTTATAATATCTTAATTCATATGATAATGATTCCTAATAAAAAATTAATTAGTAAACGATAATAGATAATTAATTATTAATAACATACCAATGTAATACCTGGACCTTCCATTATTAAAACGATAATCTCAAAAATGATTTGATTAAATACTTTGATGTCGATTTGTCCATCGATACTGACCCATGGTCGTAACATTATCTTGTGTTCCAATGGTATGTCGTTGTTTCCCAATGGTAACATCATGTTTCCAATGAATTGAGTGGCAACAAAGATCTTCTCATAGAAACCATACAGGACTTGTATTCTCTTGAGTTGGATCAGATTCTTGAGGATATTTGGAGCCTCTCTATACACACGGTCAAGCACTTCCTCGTCTGCTTCCTCCAGATCGTTGAATGCAAGCTTGTCAATGATCTTCTTCAAAGTAATACCATTCTCTGCACTCGACTCTACCAAATTGTAGATCTTGTCAATCAAAATAAAATGTTGTGATATGGAATCTACATGCTCTTGATCTTGGTTATATACATTCTTATAGTATTCCTCCTTGATCCAATCAGTTGAAAGACTAGATTGTACTTGATTAACTGATTCATCAATAGCTATTATTGATGATGATGTTGTATTTGTTGTAGTGGTCGTTGAAGTTGTAGGAGATTCTTCAGATTGATCATAGTCATTATCTTCTTCTTCTTCAATAAACTGTTTCTTCAACTTTCTATAGACTGGATCCGAGTCAGTATCGACTTGTTCATCTTCAATATCATAATCCTCTGAATACAATCTCTTCAAGTAGGAGTGATCGATAACCTTTGGAACATCAAATGAAACACCGATATATTTGGTAACGATTGGATCAATATTCGATGCTATCTTGGGTAGCCTTACGGTGGGCTTTGATTTCTTTTTGTCCTTTGGTTCCGATGTTTCCAACTCCAAATCACACTTCATGCCAATCATTGGTTTGAATTTGTCTTGATGCATCAAATTGATAGCCTGAGCAACAGTACCACCAGAGGTCAGTGGTTCGAAATGGAATAGATCACTATCGTCGAACCGATCAACCGGTATACGCTTGGCTACAGTCAGCAACTGTTGACTCTCATTAAAGAATAAAGTACCATCAATACAACCATTCTTACTTATTAATAGACTATTGAAAAAGATTAAAATTAAATATTAGTTTGTTATGTTTTTAATAATAAAAAGTTATTTAAATGTGATAGTTACTTTCTAGCTAATCCGAATCTTCTTGATTTGAAATTCTTTGCCAAGAATTTAATTACTTTATCCTTTGTCATTTGATCTACAACTCTAAAGCAATTAATCTTTCCATCTTCAGGAATAAGTTGTTTACCATATTCAAGATTAAATACATCTTCTGGAATATAGATTTGATACTATATATTGGTAAATAAATAATTGAATTAGAAAATAAATGATTTTATTTGATTGCTATAATCAATCAAATATACATACCAATATCTTTTCTCTTAAAATGATATCTTCAGTTTTATCAAATCTAGAGAAATAAAAGCTATCTTTGGTTGATAACACTGGTTCGAATAGATTAGTTACAATATCAATTGTTGCTGGTAAATCACTATTAATAAAATAGTTTGTTAGTTTTCTTAATTTTTTTTTACATTAATAATTAATTACTTACAATTGATTTAATCTATTTAATTTATATTGTAAATGAGATTGTAGTTGTATTCTAAATGAAGAGTATAGTTTGATTAATCTGGTTACTCTACGATGACAGAGTAACGATGGTTTCTCAACGATTTGAGCTACCTTTTCCCAGAGTTTATTGTTCGAGGTTGGCACACCAGAAGGAGTAACTAACTTTTGATTGTATGAAGGCAGTTCCTCGAGGTACTTTGAGAATACATTCAGAGTAGTATTCAACAGCTTGATATCTTCGTCATGTGACCAACGTTGTGCACGATACGGAGTTGCTTTGACCATCTCTTGATCCTTCTTCTTCTTGTCTTTCGCAAGAATATTGGTCACCTTTTGCTTTGCTTCCAATCTTCGAAGTATCCTATTCTTTTTTGAATCCTTTCGTTTCTTCAAGAAGGTTTTATACAATGATTCGACCTTGGCAAGTCTTAGATTCTGTGACACTGAGATTTCAATCAATTCAGTTCTAAAATAATATTATTATCAAAAAAGGTAAAGGAAAGTTGTTAGTTTGATTCAATTCAAAAATAAATAGATTGATAGTTACTTTGTCATTGGAGGATCTCTTCTGAATACACTGTAGACATGTGATCTTGTTTCTCTGGAAACACCTGTAGCTACACCCCAGAATGCAGTGTTCTGAATCGATGGCAACTTCTCGCTCAACTCGGGATGAATCTTATCAGAAAGACCAATACACTGTAGATCTTTCCAATATTCATTTAAACTATCGCTATCTGTTATTGAATAGGTCTTTTCATCCAATGTTACATCTCTCAAATATATATATTGAATTAAATTCTAGGAAGAAAAAAGTAATTATTTAAAACAAAAGAATTTAGTAAAAAATCATAAATGATAAATGATAACAATAAATAGTAGAACCACTTACAGATTCATATTTGATATTAAGTAAACCTAATGTCTTCATAATCTTTGCCAAGGTATTCAATCGAGCTACATAACTCTTTCCAAAGAGATTGGCACGTATCTCCTTTGGAATATCTATAATGGGGGTACCTGCCATTACATACTCCTCAAGATTCTCAATCTCATGATATTGAGGTATAATCTTTAAATAATCATCTACTTTCATCCTATATTAATCAATCAATTAAATAAGTAAGTATTATTTTAAAATTTAACAACATCATTAAAACTACTACTAACCTTTTCAAGAAAGAATTGAGATATAATGTAAATTGTTCTGGTATTTCTACCATCTCTACTTCAACCAATTGTTTATCTTTATCATTGATATTCTTATTGTTATTGTTATTGTTATTGTTATTGTTATTGTTATTGTTATTGTTATTGTTGTTATCATCTTCATTATTATTATTATTATTATCTTGATTATTTACAATATCTTCCATCTTTACATCTATATTATCTTTAGATTGTGTTTGCTTTTGTTTCTCACTGATGACGTATTCCAATATGAGTCGGTGAAGAAATTTAATACGAAGGTAGAGTGCTGGTATCATACCATACTTCAAACCGATCTTCTTGTTGAAATGTATTGACGGCTTTTGCATGTCTAATATCTCTTTACCTTCCTTTGAGTTTAGACTCATTGTCATAGAGGAGTGACTGTCTCTGATGTTACGAATGATATCCTTGATAATATTATCGGTTGCTTCGTACTTTGCATCGAATATAAACGTTGCATTCTTATTAATAACACCAGTCAACAATGGAATACTATAAAATATATTATATTTGGTAAGTAAAGTAATATATTTATAATAAAATAATCAAATATAGATAAACATACTATATTTTGAATGTCTTTACTTTTCCTTCTACCTCTAATTCATTTACGATATGCATTAAAATCTTTGTATCAACATTGTCTTTTTGATCTTTAGCTGTGATTATTAAAAGTTTGAGTTCAAATTAATATTGAACACATTCATACACTCTTGTTAATAAATATACTTACTCATATAATCTAATAATGTTGTAAATAATAAACCAGTAACCTCATTTATCTTTTCCATCACAACTTTCTCTCTTTGGAGATATAATGTTGATTTAGGTTTAACTTTATGTTTAACAATGAGTGGCTATAAATTACATTTAGTTTTAATATATATATATATATATTTGTTAATATTAACTTAATTTATAATCTTAATTAAGATAAGTAGAAATAATTATTTACCATTGAAAACTCTTGTACAACAGGAGATGGTGTTGATACTTGTATTTCCATCTTCTTATTCTTTGTTTCTTTAGTACTACTATCTTTGATATTCTTATTATTCTTCTTATTCTTATTTTTACAATTCTTGTTGTTGTTATTTTCATCATCTTCTACTTTATCTACATTATCATCATCATCGTTATTATTTCCACCACCATTATCATCCATATCAATATCTCTAGGTGATTCTACTGCTTCTGTAACATCCTTACTAACAGGATATTCTAATAGTTCGATGTTTTGCCCAATGTGTGCTGGATCTGCTTTCAATTTGTATACCATCTGTCTACCCTGTACGATAGGAATGATCTTCAATCGATAGAAACCGATTAACTCTCTTACACCTGCAGTGATATGTTTGTTCGAGTACACCTTGATATGTGAAGTCAATTCTGGTATGGTCATACCTTCTTCACCACTGGATGCAATCATCTCATACATCTGAGATAACACTGTCTTTTCATCAACCAAAGGATTATTTAGGTAACTAAAACCAACTCCATTATTACTATTATTACTATTATTAATATTATCAGCTTCTTCACCTTCATTCTCTTCATCGTTTGGTTGATCTATTTCCTCACTCTTATTGGCATTCTCCCAATTGAATGGTTTAACCAATCTGACAATCTGCATCTTCTTTCGGTTGGAGGTCTTCTTCTTCTTTGATTTAGATGCTGATTTTCCTTTACTACTAGTAGTTGGTTCATCATCTTCATCATCGTCATCTTCATCCTCCTCCTCCTCTTGTTTAACAGATGATGATGTTGTTGTTGTTGTTATCTTTTTGTTCAAATAACCTTCTCTACATTCAATATAACCTTCATTCTGTAAAATCATCTTATTCTTCTTGATTGTAGTAGGTGTAGATATCTTATTCCTTGTAAGTAACTAAAAATATATAGATATTAAACTATTATTAATACATTAAATTAATATATTTGTTTTATTATTATTGATAACTTACACTTATTAATTCGATTATATACATTTCTTTGTTTGGACTATTGGCGAGTGCTTCACAAATCTTGAATTGAATATAACCCATTGGTAACCAAGGTGCATCGGGTGGTTCTCTTTTGTCCTAAATTATTATAATAATATAAATGTTAACAAAACAATAACAATAATAATAGAATATAAGCTATATATTCACATACAAAGAATTTAGTTAAATATAGTTTCTTTGTTGTTGTAGCAGGTTGACCTGGTGAAGATTGTCTATAAACAGCTGTCTTTTTACTATGAATGTTTATTTTTAGATTAGAATATTAGTTAGTTAGTTTATATATTCTTTGTTGTTGTTGTTGTTGTTGTTGTGTTGTTTTAGTTAACATACATTAAACCTTTAACCATTAGATGTTGAATAGGATGAAAGATGTTTCTTGCATCGATTCTCAAAGTATCGGAGAGATCCATTTGTAGACAACCTTGGTATCTGGTGAGTGCAATCATCGATATGATCTTTGATTGTAGGACGTTCAGTGTTATTCCATTGGTATCGACACCGTATGCCTTTGAACGAAGATCATTGTTGGCACAATAGATAATTTGGTCTTCGACCAATTCCAGATCTTGACTCTCTCTCTTTGCAATGTATTCCGCAGAGACCGCAGTTTCCTGGTCTTTCTTAAGCTTCTTTAGCCATGCATTCGATGTCAACTTGGATGGTGCCAACAATGGGTTTACTCTAGGTATCAAAACAGTCTCTGGATCAACTTCACCTTCATCTTCATCCTCACCTTTTACAGCAAGTTGATTATCTTCGTTATCCTCTTCTTTTGGTACAAGAACAATTGACATTGATTCTTCTCTTTTTTCGGCTTCCTCCTCGGCTTCCTCCTCCTCATTTTCTTTCTCTGTTTCCTTTTCTTTATCCTTCTCTTTCTCTTTCTCTTTTTCTTTATCTTTTGATTTACTCTTTCCTTTATCTTTAGCTTTATCTTTAGCTTTATCTTTATTGTCATCACCATCTTTTACAGATTGTATTATGTTGATAGATGTGTTTTGTAATAAAGCTTTATGTATATATGATTTTATAAATCTATTTAAAGTTAATTTATTATTTACATTATTGTCATTATTATTATTATTGTCACTATTATTGTTGTCATTGTTGCTATTGCTATTGTTATTGTTGTTGTTTATTATATTTGACTTTTCCAATAGTGACCATAGTTGTTTTGGTGATAAACCTTGTTCACCACTCAACGATATTTCTTCTATTGCTCTAATAATAATATCATCTATATACATAATGATCTGATTTAATATATCTATCAATCTATTCTATTCGTGTTTTTTAATCAAATAAGTATGTTTAATTTTCAAAAATATTTTTAACCGTTATAAAAAAAACAAACTTCACCAAAGTTTTTCAAATTTAAATTTAAAATTAAAGTTTATAATATTTTTTGTATTATTATTTATTTTGGTGCTGTCATTGTTAACAAGGCAATATTGGAATTATAACTTTTACCTGGTACAACTGTATTCATATGATATAATGATTGTTTATGAGTTAATAAAAGAGTGCTAGTTTGAGAAGTGTTTTGTTTTTCTTTATAATGTTAAAATTCATACCTTTGTTATTTTCAATCTTGTAACCATCGTTTAATAGAACAGAACCTTCATTATCCATCATATCTACGGTTTGGAAGTGTTTATTACCATTGATGAAAGAGGCACTGAAATCTTTGAATACCATGTAGCTGGGTGGTGGTTGACGACCGATCATACAGATTGGATTGTCACCGCTGTTATCGATCATGATCATCCACGATTCACTCGAACCTCCGACTGCAGTAAAAGTAAATACACATTTTGATTTACCCTAAGTGTTTAGTGGATGTTAATTATAAACTATTATTTTATATTGTTGTTTCTTTAAAAAAAACAAATTGCAATTTACTTACATCTATTAATTCAACGGAATCACTTGTATTTGGTTTAACTATGAATTCTTTTTGTGTACATGATACAACCGACACTGAAATTAACAGTATTACTAAAAATATATTAATTCTATTCATTTTAATTAATATTACTAGAAGGTTATTTTTATTTTTATTTTTATTTTTATTTTTATTTTTATTTTTATTTTTATTTTTGTTGATCATCATGATGGTCACAAAAATTTTTTAATATAATAATGCCTTGTCATCTTTGTTTAATGCATTGTAATGACAACAATATGTTGAAAAATATAGTCATATAGCACTACACTTTTTTTTGTAACTAATCATTATGATTATGATTTCTATTCACTTTAAAAGTTGTTAATTTATTAAGAAAGTAAAGAGATTGAAAAAGAATAGATTTAATTAAATAAATAAATAAAAAAGATATTTACGCAAAATGAACGTGAAACCATTTAATTAATTTGAACAAAGATCGTTCTGGAATCATATGATTCCTTTATGGTTCTTGTTGACATATGAGTATTTGCACAAGCCAAAAAAAAACTAACACACACGTAATTTCCTGGAAATTATTGACATTCATAAAACTTAACTTGTCTATTTAAACAGATAAAATTACGATATCCATTTTAAAAATAGAAATCATAAAATATAAAATCATTTATAAATAACAATAATAAATAAACATAATTAAAAATGACTTCAACAGTTAATATTAAATCAACGGATAAAGTATGGTATATCACTGGTTCATCGAAAGGTATGGGTTTGATTTTCGTTCAACGATTGTTGGCCTATGGATTCAAGGTTGTTGGAACATCGAGAGATAAACAACAATTGATTGATGCCGTCGGTTCTGTTGGTAATGCCAATAATTTCTTGGCCATCAAAGTTGAATTGACCAATGAGGAGAGTATCAAAGCTTCGTTCGAGGAGGCACTTTCAAAGTTTGGAAGAATCGATGTCGTTGTCAATAATGCCGGTTTCGGATTACCAGGTGCCGTCGAAGAGAATTCCGATGAAGAAGTCCGTAAGACCTTTGATATCAACGTATTCGCTGTATTCAATGTACTCAGAAATGTAACACCAATCCTCAGAAACCAGGGTTATGGACATGTTTTCAATATTTCCTCGACTATCAGTCTAGTTGGCTTCGAAGGTTTCGCATTGTATTGTGCTACCAAGTTTGCTATTGATGGTCTCACTGAAGCATATGCAATGGAGGTCAAACCATTTGGAATCAAAGCAATGACAATCAATCCAGCATACTTCAAGACTGATTTCCTAACTGCCGACTCCTTCCAGACCTCAGCCAAAAAGATTCCAGCCTATGAAGGACTTCATAAAGTTGAGGAGGCAATGAGAACTCATATGAATGGCACTCAAAGAGGTGATCCAGTTAAGTTGTTAGATGTAATTCTTAGAGCTTTCCAAGAGACCGACGATTCAACCGACCATCTCTTTGTTGGTGCCGATGCATATCCAATGATCAGAACAAAACTTGATAAATATAAAAAAGACCTTGATAAATGGGAACAATTCGCAACTAAAACCGATCGTGATGATTTTGTAGATCCATCATCCATTGTTGTTCAAACTTCAAATTAAACAATAAAAAAATAAGAATAATAATATTTTTATTAACAACCTTTATTTATATTGTTTTTAAAATTATAATTATAATTGGTTGATTTACAGTAAGATTATTTATTGTTGTTGTTTTGGCTCAACATAATCATCACGATCTGTTTTTGTGGCATATTGTTCCCATTTATCTAGATCTTGGTTGTATTTCTGTAACTTGCTTTTTACATATGGGTATGCATCTGCACCAACAAAGATATGGCTGGTAGTATCATCGTTCTCTTCGACCGCTCTAATGATAATGTCCAAAAGTTTAACTGGGTCACCTCTTTGATTTCCACTGACTTGAGAAGTATGTGTATCAATCAATCCATGTACAGCTGAATAAGCATCGATTCTATTCTGTACACTTTGATATGAACCAGCCTAAATCACAACAATAATAAAAGCAAGTTAATTATTTAATGTTGATGTTCTTGTTCATTGCAAAAAATAAAGAAATTTAATTAAAAAAACTTACAGTAAGGAATTCAGATTTGAAATAGCCTGGATTGATTGTCATTGCTTTGATTCCAAATGGTTTGACCTCCATGGCATATGCTTCAGTGAGACCGTCGACTGCGAATTTCGTAGCGTTGTACGCAGAGTGACCAGAGAAACCTACGATAGAAGCAACCGAGGAGATATTAAAGACGAATCCACCACCTTGTTTTCTGAGGATCGGTGTTACATTACGAAGCACGTTGAATACACCGAATACGTTGATATCAAAGTTCTTGCGTACGTCGGCATCGGTATTCTCTTCGAGTGCTCCGTTGGTTGAATAACCGGCATTATTGACAACGACATCGATTCTTCCAAACTTTGAAAGTGTCTGTTCGAGCGATGCTCTAACACTCTCCTCATTGGCCAACTCAACTTTGATGGCCAAGAAATTATCGGCATTACCAACAGAACCGACGGCATCAATCAATTGTTGTTTATCTCTTGATGTTCCAACAACCTTGAATCCATAGGCCAACAATCGTTGAACGAATAACAAACCCATACCTTTCGATGCACCAGTGATATACCATACTTTATCTGTTGATTTAATATTAACTGTTGAAGTCATTTTTATTTATTATTAATTAAAAATATCTTTCTTTTAATTATTTTTTAAAAGTTTATCTTTAAAAATTAAAAAAAATGAAGAGCAAACTAATTTGAAAATACAAAAGTGTGTTTTTACCAAAAAAAAAAAAATTAAAAAATTAATATATTTTCATAATTTGCAAATTCCTATTTTTAGAAAAATATCTTTTAATTTTTTAATCTAGATTTTTTTCTATTTAAATTAGAAAATATTTACCAATTTAATCAATTTATTTTATTATAAATATTTTCAAACTTTTCTGAGCAATCACCATTTTTTTTACCGTTACAAATTTCATATTTTTGTTTTTTTTTTATTTTTTAAATCTCCTAAATTTTTTTAAAATTTTTAAATACTAAATAAATTGGTTAATTGATTATGTTAGAATGAATGACGATGACGAATATATAATTTCAAATAATGAAGAGGTACAAGCCAACTCTTCTGCAGGTGCATCATCATCTACAACAACAACAGCCACAACAACTTCAACAGACACACCAAGTAAATCCAACAGCACTAAAAAGCCAAAAGATTTCTTGGATGATCTGAAAATAAGATCAGACGAATACTTGAAACCTGAAGAAAAGAAAAAAAGATTGGAATTAGGTCAAAGATTACATCTTGTAAGTTTGTTAAAACAATGAAATTAAATCTAGATAGATAAAATAAACTAACAATAGAATAGTATACCAGAAAAGGATTATTAGATGGTGTTATAAAATCGATACAGGACGGTGCTTATGTCGATTATATTGCATGTGGATACTCTGCACTTGGATATGCTGCGTTCTATGGTCATTTCGATATCGGTCGTTGGTTGGTTCAGATTGCTGAGGCAACCGTAGATTTGGAGGTGCAGGGAAACACAGCGTTGTCGATCGCTGTCACTCAACGACGACATGATATGGTTGCTTTGCTTTTGCATTTGGGTGCCGATCCGTTGCATCGCGTATCCAAGCCGGCGGCAGTTGGAAACGTTGTTCCCGCTAGTCGACCGGGAAGTGGTAGCAGTGCCACTGGCAGTGGTACTTCCGTCAACAAGACGGTCTTTCATCTGGCGGTGACCAGCGATGACTTGGTAATTGTCGCAACCATGCTGGAGACAGGAAAGATCGACTTGACTGCACTCGATGCCGATGGCAATGGATGGTTGCACGAGGCAGTGTTGTCTAGTGGACGAAAAGTGGTTGAGTTACTCGTCAATGCCAAAGTACCTATCGACATACTCAACAAGCAAGGAAAGACTGCATTACACCGTGCTGTCATAGCAAAGAATCATCAAGTGGTTGACTATCTTGCCGATTTTGAAGATATTAAAAATATACAAGATTCAAGTAAGTAAATATAGATGATTCTATAACAATTGTCAAACTTTTAATTAATTTGATATTAATTTGTTGTTGTTGTTTGTTCTATAGATGGATTTTCAGCATTACATTATGCAGTGTTTAGTGGTGATTTAGAAATGGTTAGACTGTTGTTGGCAAAGAAGGTGGATGCTTCATTGATTGAACATGTAACATTGTTTACTGCAAAATCAATGGCAAGAGCTAAAGGATTTATGGATATATTTGCATTCTTGGAAGAGAATAGTCCAAGTGGTGGAGATGCCGATGGTAATGGTGATGCTGGTGGTGCAGATGGAGAAGCGCCAGGTGGTCAAGATGTACATAATGAGGAAATGAAAATAGTCATGCATTCTCAGAGGAAAAGGATTATAATGTCTGCAGAGGAAAAACAATTGGCAAAGGAAAACAGAGCGATAAAACAAAGAGAGAAGAGAAAGAAGAAATATTCAACTGAATTCATTAAACATAAAGAGGAACTGACTGATGACGATATGGATTCCGCTGTTGAATCATCTGCTGGCGAATCAGAATCAGAGAAAGTAAAAGGAAAAGGAAAAGGAAAATCAAAGAGTAGTAGTAGTAAATCAAAGTCAAAGAAAAAGACAAAATCAAAAGAAAAGAAAGAAGGAGAAGAAGATAAAGAAGGAGAAAAAGAAGAAATAGATGATTCAGATAGTTATAGTTATAGTGATAGTGATAGTAGTTATGGATCGGATTCGATCGATTCTGATGACTGGGATTCAGATGTAGAGGTTATTGGTGATCCTTCGACTATTACTCCAAGAAAGAATCCAGAGAGAACAACAAGATCAATTGAAACACCCAACTTTAGAAATATACTACCAGAACTGACCGAAAAAGACAAATCAAAGGCTAGCTTGGCAGGAGGTGAAGATGTGCCAATGGATGTGGAGGACGACCTATCATCTTCATCGTCAGAGTTTGAATCATCAGGTGACGATTATCATCCAAAGAAGAAGAAACAAAAGAAAATACCAATCACCAATCTAACAAAAAAACCATTGTCAACACCTAAATCCAAAGTCAATTCACAATCAACGTCAGACAATAATAATGATGATGATAATAATAATAATAATAATAATAATAATGAAACATCAGAATCTACTCCAGTAACACCTTCTACAGAGAAAAGAAAGAGAGGTAGACCTCCAAAGGCTACAGCCAAGAAACCATCTGCTAAAAATATGCAACCTATTATTCCAATGTCATTCTATTCACTCGAGAATATCACTGTCAGTATTGAAGAGATAGTAGATAACTCCACCATTAATACCACTGATAGCAACTCTACTGCTTTACAAATAACAAACACCACACAATCTAGAGATACAATTATATCAGATAATAATAACAATAGTGACAATAATAACAATATAATTAGTGATAATAATGATAAAGATAATAATATTAATAATAATAAAATTAGTGACAATAATAATAATATAATTAGTGATAATAATGATAATAATAATGAATCAATTACAACAACAACACCATCATCAACAACAACATTAACAACAACGACTTCTATCATTGCTAATGAACCTAATATATCTTTGCTCCAACCCACAGAGATTAATGTTAGTTCAGGAGATTCACTTTCAACAACACCCATTATAAATAATAATAATAATAATAATAATAATAATAATAATAATAATAATAATAATAATAATAATAATAATAATAATAATATTAATAATGAAATTGATGACTATGGTAATACTAAAGCATCAGATGATCATGAAGCATTTTCTATAGCAAAAGAACTCACTACAGAATCTATGTTGGAAGAATTCACATCATTAACATCATCAACAACAAGAACTACTACCACAACAACAACCGACAACACTGACAATCCTCCAAAATAATGATAATAATAATATAATTGTTAAAAAAAATGAATAAAAAAAGGGGGAATGTTTGATTGATTGTTCATATGATAAAATAACAGTTACCCCATCTTGTATACAATGAATTTTTTAATCACAGACAGAAATATGAAAATTCATGTTGATTATAATGAAAATAATATAAAAAAAAACAGATATTCTAAACAAAATTGAGCTCTCTCTTTATATTTTTTAAATTGATTAAAAAAATAAAATAAAATGAAACTATATTTTTTAGTTTTAGTTTTGTTGATGGCAACCTGTTCGTTGGCAGAAATAAACGAACAAGAAATTATTGACAAAATTCTTGCAATTAGAAATACTAATCTCTATGGAACTCCTCAGAGTAAGTATTTTATTTAAAACGAAATTATTAATTTCAAACTCAAAAGAAATTTATTTCTATTTTCTTATCAAAAATTAGAATATACTCCACCATTCGGATATGGAGCTCCAGGTTATGGAGCTCCAGGATTTCAACCATGGAGTGGAACCGGTTTTGAACAAGGTGGAATCCCATTGTTAGCAGGATTGTTCTCTGGAAATTCATTCCCCTACCCATTTAATTGGTTAGGTGGAGGTGGTGCTTACATTGGTGGATACTCTGGAGCTGTACCACCTTGGTACCCTGATCACACTCCAAATGGAAAATATATTGGTGGTGGTAACTGGGACGGATATCTTGCTGGATATTTCCCAATTGGTAAATTACAAACTACCCCTGCTTTTTATAATAACAAACAAGAATCAGCATAATAAAAAGATTTAATGTATTTTGAATTTTAATCAGATTTAATACAAAATAAATTTTTCCATCAATTCAAAAATTATATTTTGTAATATTCAAAAAACTTGCAAGGATTTGTATTTTTTGTAATATTTTTTAATTAATTTATTGAATACCACTATATATATGAAGATGAAGTTGAATATCAAAAAATTATAATTCACACTAACTGAGTTAATACAAATTTTGAAACCCAAACCCCAAAAAAACAAATAATCACATGAAAATAATAACATTTAAATACAATGAGATAATCAATTGATGTTTTAGTTTGTTTTATTTTTCCTATTTAATCTAAATTCTAAAAAACTAAAAAACAAATGAAGTTAATTTATCTTTTTTTGGTTGTGTTGGTATCGATTGCCTTTGTCAGAGCCGACGATATTCACGATATCAGTCCAGAGGAGAAAGATTTTGCTCTAAAATTATTAACATGTAAAAGAGCATTGGAGAGTATTAAAATTGATCCTTCAGAAAACAATGTTAGAGATCAAATTTCTAAAATTCAACGTAAATATATTAAATAATGTAAAAAATAAAAAAATAGTAGAAACTAATTTTAATTTTTTTAGAATATTATCCAGGTTTCACATCTTATGGAGGTGGTGGCTTGTTAGGTGGAGGTGGTTTATTGGGCGGTTTATTCGGAAATGGAGGTTTATTAGGTGGTCTTTTGGGTGGTCTTTTCAGTGGTGGAGGTAATGATTTCCCATATCAATACCCTGTTACTATAGGAAATCCAAACTGGGGGTGGCCATCTTCTATTCCAACCTCATTCCCAACAACATATAATCAATATCCAGGATATATTGCTGGTGCTTATTGGCCTGTAAAGAATGTACAACAAAATCAACAACCACAAATTATTGATCAACAACCAGTGCAAAATGTTGAGCAACAACCAGTGCAAAAAGTTGAGCAATCTCCTGCTGTACAACCAACAAACTAAATCAATTAATAAAAAAAATCAAATTTTAATTTGATGAATTTATAACAAAAAGGTAAAAAAAAACAAAAATGGGTGTGAAATCATTGTCTTATGATTTATCATATGAACAATATCATAATGAGGGTGAAATAAAGTGGTGATGATACTATTTGACTATAATACTCATAGTGTTTAAATAATTTTTCATTGTATTAACACTAAAGAAAAATGATCACCATTCAAAAAACAGGTATAAGGTCAATAATATTTAAATTAAAAAAATAAAATAAAAATATATTAATTTGATTTTATGATAGTGTATTTTTTTACATAACTTGAATATGAATGGAATCACTTTCATTTGTATCCAATTCCAAAATGAAGTTTTTTGCTATTTTACTTATTTCCTTAGTAGTCATTGCTGCTGTTAAGGCCGATACTGTCGAGAATATCACTCCAGAAGAAAGACAACTTGCAGAACAATTGTTCCAACTCAGACAAAAAGTTGCTCGTAAGTTTTTATTCATTTAGTGATAAAAATCAATCAATTAATGCTAATAATTTCTTTAATTCTTTTTCTTTTTTTTTGTTTTTTTAGAACAAGCCAATCTATTAGGAGGAGGTGGATACCCAGGTGGATACCCAGGAGGATACCCAGGAGGATACCCAGGAGGATACTATAACAATGGTCTTCTTGGTGGAGTAGGTGACTTCCTCGATGGTATCTTGAATGGTGTACTTGGTTTGGTTGGTCTCACCAGTAGCAACAGATACCCATACCCATATCCAACTGGTTATCCAACTGGTTATCCAACCACTTACTACCCATACCCAACCGCTTATCCAACTGGTTATCCAACCGCCTATCCAACTGGTTATCCAACTGGTTATCCAACCACTTACTACCCATACCCAACTGGATATCCAACTGGTGGTTCTACTTTTGGATCCATTGCCTCCGCTAAGATTGAAACTCCAGAATCCCCATAGAAAATCAATAAAAAAAAAACAAAAAAACAAAAATTAAAAATAAATAATACCTCTAATCTTTACAAGACAATTGTTTTACAGTAATTAACCAAACAAAAAAAAAAAAAAAAATACAAAATTTTTTTTAAAAAAAACATTATTAATTTAATATAAACAAACTTTATTGTTTTTCGAAAGATATTCTTATACATTTTATATATACACTAAACAAATGGATCTAGATCAGGTTGAATATGAAGAGTTTATCAATTCTCTAGAAGATTATGTACCAACTGTATGTAAAATCTAAATTCGTAAATCATTAGATTATTTAGTCAACGAATGATATGTTTAAACTAACTTTATGTTGATCATCATAGATACCAGATGAAGTTATCACATACTATTTAAATAAGACAGGTTTTGAATGTTCCGATCACAGAATGTAAGAATGATCATTCATTTTGATAATATCATAGTTTTTACGTATCGATAAACTAACAAATCGATTATTACACAATACATTATTATGTAGTAAGAGAATGATATCACTGGCAACGCAAAAGTTTATATCAGATGTAGCAAATGATAGTTTACAGTTTTGTAAGATTAGACAACAGGCACCGACCAGAGAGAAAGTAAAGAAAGAGAAACAGTTGGTGTTGACAATGGACGATCTATCACAGAGTTTAAGAGATTACGGAATAAACATTAGAAAACCAGATTACTTTGCAGAGAATATACCACCACAACAATTACAACAACAGACTCCGCTGACTGCTGGTGGTGGTGGTGGTGGTGGTTCAAACTCTGCAGCATCGAAAGAATCAAAAGAAAAAGAATCAAAGGAATCTTCAACGACTACAACCACTACCAACAACAGTGCATCATCATCTGACAAATCATCATCATCATCATCATCGACAACACCATCTAAAGAAGGTAAAGAATCTTCATCTAACAAAGAAACACCTACTAAAGAGGGTGGTGGCTCCACCTCTAAATCCAATGGAACAGGACCATCTTCAACAACATCATCCTCTAGTAAATCGAAACCAAAAACAAAATCAACACCAAACAAAGAATAATAATAATATCGATAGAATGTAACTACACAATATATTAGTTATTCAATTATCAATTAAAACAATCAATTTAAAACTAAATAGTTATCTATTTTTTTTGTATAAATAAATAAAAAGGAAATGAATTCAAGTGGTGTTTATTTACATGTAACTATAGTTATTATTATTATTAATTATTACTGTCATCTCGATTTGATGTATTTGGTGATGATTTGACTATTGTATCATTATTATTATGTTTTCGATTGTTATTATGTTGTTTAAGTGTTAATCTATTACTATTGTTATTATTACTATTATTATTACTATTATTATTATTATTATTATTATTATTTAAATGATGATCTATTGTTGTTTCCATTTTATTAAAATCCTGTATACCCTGTAGTATAAGTGATTCATAGTCACTGTGTTGTTTCTTTGACCGCTTCAACTCCTTCTTTAGATCGACTATCTTTTTCGCCTCCATTTGTTGATACCGCTTCTTCCAACTATGTAGCTGTGTATTTAGATTAAATGTTTCTGTTGTCAACAACTCATAAGACATTGACTCGTTATTTAAATCACTTTGATTTTGTTTTCTATTAAATTATAATAATAAAATATTAACGTTAATATACAAATAAATAGTTAATGCTATAAACATACTCTTCAGCTTCTGCCGTTTGTAAACTATATATCTGTTGATTCAATCTCTCAAGTGTTTCTTTTAATTTGTTATTCTCTTCCTGTATCGATTTCTTTTCCAATTCAACCTGTTCGCAATACTTGTTAAATCTATCTTTTTCTTCGTTCATTTCGTATTGGAATTGATTTCTTAACTAATAAGTATTATTGTAATATTAAAATGATGATTATTAAGGTGAGTAACTTTAGTCTTTATATATATATATTAATCTATCTAATTATTATATTATTATTATTAGATAATACATACATTTTCAATATTACAATTATGTTTTTGATTAAGTGATTCTATTTCGTTGTGATGCTTAACCTCTTTGGCAAGTGATTCCGTTTGAGAATCCTCATAGGCCTTTGTGAATTTCTGTACCATCTCCTCAGAGACTATCAATTTCTTTTTCAGAGTTGCAATCTCTTTGTCGTTGGCGATCCGACATTGTTTCAACTGTGAAATCTGCAGATTGCATTCCTCCAACATCTGATCAGAGATTGCTTTGCTCTGTGCGAATGCGTTGTTCTTTAGTGACATGGTGATATACTCCTTCTTGGTGGTGCCAAGATCGTCTTCCAACTGCTGATTACTCTTGAGTGCAACCTGTATCTTCTTCTCCAATTCCTTTACCTTTGAAGAGGATATCGTGTACTTCTCTTTGAGAATCGAAATGACTTCATGAAGGTCGTCCAAATGCGTCAGTGTTGGATCGTAGTAGAACTCCTCAGTTGCCCAACCGATCTCTTCGTATCTGTTCTTTGCGCCATATGTGAATCGCTTTGGTTTGCCATTGCCATGTCGATGATTACCACTATCGTTCCAATCTTCTTCCATATAAAAAGTAGGTTCGTCTTCTTCACTGCAAACACCGCTGTCGTCATCTCTGTTTTTCTTCTTACTTGAAGACGACGACGACGACTTATTCTTCTTTGAATTACTATAAAATGCGCTAGCGAATGGACTGTCGGCATCATCATTACTTCCGCTATTAAGTGACATCAAAGTCATAAATAGATCATTATGACTTGGTTGCTTATTGAAAAGTGGTGGACGCTTAAAATGTTGTTGTGCTTGCTGATGATGTTGTGAATTACTATTATGATTACTATTGGAATTACGTTGTTGCTGTTGTTGTTGTTGATGTTGGTTATGGTTATGATTGAAACCGTTATAATCTTGTGGTGAATTTGCAACTGAACAACTCGAGAGTAAATCTGTGGCGGGTGGTGAATAGCTTTTTGGACTAAATGCTTGATCATCATTGAAAATCGGTACAACTCCATTTTCACTATTGAAACTGTTGTTTAAGTTTGATTTTGGTAATTGCCTGTTGCTGTTGTTGTTACTGTTGCTGTTTGTTGATCCTAGAGAACTGGATCTCACTCTTGTTCCTTGACCTAGTCGTCGTGGTGAAATTGGGTTTGGCTTTACGAAGGAAGCCGCTATGGAAGAGGCGGGCGTGGCGACAATATCGCTAAACTCAAGGTAGCGCGGTGGCGAAGCGGAAACGGGTGACGCGGAATCAGAGCCACGCGGTGAATTCGGTGGTGAAAGTAAGTCGGGTGGTGTGGAAATCGGTGATGATGAGCCAGAGAGAGATGCCATTGGCGAGGGTGGTGGCGACGGCGGTGTAGAGTCGCCGTGTCCATTCATATTCGGCTGGGTGGGATAAAGAGAGCGAGTCATCTTTAGGAATGATTCCCGAAACTCCTCGAAATCAATCTCGGTATTACCATAGAGATCCAACTGCTTCTGCATGATCGATATAAAGTCATCGCTGACATCGGTACCGGTGAATGATTTGATAGCATGTTTCAGGTCATTGCTGTCAAACATTTGACACATCATGTTTGACCAAAGATGTTGTCAACTTGTTTAAAAAATAACCTCTTTTTTCTTATTCTATAATTACAATACTTCAATTTAATAACAACTATCACTATCTATAATAACTATTGTATTACTAATCGTTTTACGACCAAAATAACAACTATTTTCTAAATAAAACATTAAACTTGGTGAAATCGATATAAAAATTATATATATAAACAAACACTATAAAAAAAATAATAAATAAATAAATAAAATATGTATAAAGTTATTGTAATACAATGTATAATATGTTAATATATTTCTAAATTTATAATTTCTTTCTTTTCTGTTATGTATGTTAAAAAATTAACAAATGATATATAGAGAGAAATGAATGAGGATTGTGTTGTGTTGTGTTTTTTTTTTTTGATAAGTCAGAACAATTATGTCTATGTGTTTTGTGTTGTGTTTTGTTTGTTTTATAACTGGTCGATTCTGTTTTTTTTGTTTTCAAAACTAATGTGTGAATAAATAAAGTTGATTGTTTGTCTCAATTTGAAGTTATTAGCAATTATATATCTGTGTATTTATTTTATCTAAACTATCTTGTGAAGTATGTATTATTTTTGTAGAATATGATAATAATTAAATAAATAAAAAATAAATTAAGTATATTAAAAAAAAATACCTAAATCCTTATAATCTCGCGATAGTATCTTGAAAACTAACTGTTATTTTTTATTTTTTTCAATTTTTTTTATTTTTTTTTGTTTTTTTGGATAGAAACAATTATGATAATGTTTAAATCTAATGTTTCCCAATTGTTTGAAATTTCTTTTGCATTAGCGTATATTATAAATAGCATAATACTATGCATAGGAATTGTTTAAAAAGTTAAAAAAAAAGTTTATTGATGAATTTTATTAATACTATTATTTACAATTTATTTATATTTATTTTTTTATTGTTGTTTTAATTTTTGTTGATTTAATAAATGATTGATTGCAATTGGTCTATAGAATTCTAATGTTGGTGTTTGTAAACCGACTACTTTAGCAGCGTCATCCCAACGACGTAGTTGAACTTTCAGCGCGAAATGATCGGATGCCTCGAACTGCTTGACTTGCTCTGCTGTGAATGGACCACCTTGGAACTTTAGCGATGCCTTTGATGCATCACTCAAGCTGTTATAATAGTCGGGATTGGAACCGGTCAGGTATCGCTTGACATTGACGTGTGCCTCCACCAGTTGTGCTACTTTATCAGAGAATCCTTTGGCTCGGAGGAACTGACCTCCGATGATCTCGTGACCGTGTGCACCCACCGACACTGTTTCACCGGTGACTTCGTCGGTCATCAACATCTGCTGAGACATATCCGATGCCACTACAAACTGACCGATATCGTGCAGCAGCGCAGCTAGAACGGTCTCATCGTCACAACCATTGGCAGAAGCAGAGGCAGCTGCTTGCAATGCATGTTCCAATTGTGAGATTGCCTCTCCAATGTATTCTTCTTCCATTCCACTCTCCAACATCTTCCAAATTTCATCTACAATACACTTTGCATTTGTTAAACTATCATTGTTTTCCTCACAATGTATATCATCACAACAATTTGGATCCATTTCTTTATTAATTGTTTATTTATGATTAATTAAGAACCTAAACTAAATTAAATAATTTATCTCTTTTTATTTTTATTTATGATTAATGAAATTTTAAAACAAAGTACTTTGTGTGTATTAACTAATCGATGAACAATCTAATTGATATTTGAATGATATTAACAATAGTGATGTTTTGTTGACAACATGAAAAGTAAATACTGACTGAAATAGAAAAATAAGTAAAGTTATGACGAATTCAGTGAGTGTTGATAAAACAATTTAGCATATTTCAATAGCTTATGAAAACCAAATATAAAAGAACCCAAAAAAAAAAAGAAAATCTCGGATGTGCTCTGACCAAATATTGTTGCAAATATTATTATCTCGGAGTTTTTATCGGGAACTTTTGACCCTAAAATTCATCGGATTGCAACGAAATATAAAGTAAACAATCAAACCACACCCCCCATCACTTTAACAAATCACACTGGGCTCTGATACCACACACCCAAAGATACAAGATATTTTAAAATGAAATTTTTTGAAATTTATTTTATTTAATTTTAATTTTTATTTGCTTGCAAACAACATCGCAGATATTATTTTTCAATTTAAAAAAGTTAATGGTGAACAATAATTTTGGTGCCTATAAATTTGGGTTTAATGAAATTACCGAATCAGTTGTGTGTGAGTGATTAATGACACCACTGACCACTTTTGGAATTTCATCCCAATGTTTAATAAAGAATCATTCATAATCAAATTATATAAATATTGAGATTCTCCTCCTCTTAAACATTAATTTAAAACTACTAAACTATATACATATAAACATTAATAAACAAATAAATATGGAACCACAAACTTTTTTATATACAATTTCAGAGGAACAAAGAAAATCATTCAATGAGAGTGGATTCCTTGTATTGAAAGACTTGTTGACCGAGGAAGAGAAGGTCAATATGGTTGCATGGGTAAAGGAAATCAGTGAATTACCACCAACCAAAGGAAAGTGGATGCAATACTATGAAGATAACCTCGTCACCAAAGAGAAGCAACTATGTCGTACAGAGAACTTCACACCATTCCACGATGGTATTCGTTCGATCATCAAGGGTGAGAAGCTTATGGGAACATTGGCTCAGTTAATCGGACAACCAGTATTGTTGTTCAAGGAGAAGATCAACTACAAACAAGCAGGTGGTGGTGGATTCCCAGCTCACCAAGACGCCCCAGCCTATGTCCAACTCGGTCAAGCACACCATATCACCGCCATGTTGGCAGCCAACGACTCTACAGTTGCCAATGGATGTCTCTTTGTCGTTCCAGGTTCACACAATCCAGCCGTTATCCTCCCACAAAAAGAATCGGATGGTTCCATCACCGACGAGTGGTGTGACCAACACCAATGGACTCCAGTCGAATGCCAAGTCGGAGATGTCTTAATTTTCGGCTCCTACATTGCTCACAGATCAGGCTCCAATAATACCAACTCCTCCAGAAACGCCGTATACCTTACCTACAACGCTGAATGTGACGGTGACAAGCGTGATCTCTACTACGATGAGAAGCGTCGTCTTTTCCCACCCGCTTCTGACAGAGAAGAAGGAAAGGACTACTCGATAGGAGCTAAGACCTACAATCTGGCGACTCCAATATCTAATGTACAATAAAATTTATTTTTAATATTCAATCTAGCAACTCCAATGTACAATAAATTTTTATTTTATTTACCTATACTCAAAGAACTTTATAATTTAATAATTTTAAAAATATAATCTATATCAGTATAACAACAATATAAAAAATTACACTTTATTAATACAATCTTTCGTTCACCATTAAAATTTGAAAAATTTTTAATTCTCATATCAAACAAAACAATGGTAGTAATTGCATTATATACACATACCAGATTTGTATCCAATATCGAAAAAATAATTGATTTAGTATAAAATAAAAATGTTAAATACAAAAAAAACAAAAATATTCTTCTACACGTTGGCTTGCTTGAATGTTCAAAAGAAAAAGATGCTATTACCCAGGTTAAAGTTATATACTACTCTATCCTTTATTTATTGATTGGAATAAATAAACCGTGAATATTGATATTGATTAATAAATGTCGCTTATAACAAAATAAAAACAAAATGCGTATATGTAGCAAATGAAAAAACGTGGAGAGATGACACATTAAACCAAGAGAAATTCATTTTAAATAATAATGTTGTCATTGATTATGACATTTAATAAATCATGATACATTATGTAGTTCATATCCAATCTATCCAATTCCAGTAATTCTTAAAAAATTAGCAAATTGTGACCTATAAACCACTTAAAAAAAGAATATATTCTTATGGTTAATAATATTTAAATCACAACTACTAGAATCATATTCTTTTTGATTCTAAGAGCTAAAACATTTTGAAACGTTGTTGTTTTTTTACCATCTTTTTTTTTTAAAAAAAAAACACGTTTTTTTTGATATTTTTTTGCGCCAAAGCTTATTTTAGTGATTTCGTATTTTTTGAAAAACAAGGTGATGCTAATGAGAACGATGCCAATTTTCCTAAAGCAACAATTTCTTTTTGTTTTTTGATAGTCAACCATAAAGAATGTTCATCAAAAATCATGAATGAATTACAAAATATTTCATAAATTAGATGGCTGTCCATCTATTTTGATACTCCTAACTACCTATTTCCAAGAAATCTGCATCATAATGAACTCAATGCAATAGAACAAGAACTGTACGAAAAAAGAGGAGATGTGTTGCTTCATTAAATGAGAAAACCAGGTTTTTCTATTGGGTTCACAAGGTGAATGACTCATTTTTTATGTTGATTTAGAATTTAATCTTCGAATACTCCTTGTGGAGTGATCAAATTTGATAGTAATTAAGAAATAACTAAATGAATAAGTAATGAATTAAACAATAAATGACAATATAACTTGAGGAAATGAATAAGAAGCATCAACAATGCAATGTAACCCCACAATTATGCCCCGTAAACCACTCGTTTCAAGAACACTTCATTAAAGTCTAAACCACGATTTTTTTGATGACTGTCAGACAACCTATTTTAAATTTAGCAGATCTAATTTTTTCAGTCTCTCAATATGATTTGCGCCCTCTGATTTTCACCAAATTAAAATTTGATTCGAAGTTTATTTCGTAAAATAGAATTTTTAATTAATTTAATTTATTTAGAGAATTTCCTTTTACCAAAATTCTATAAATACTCAAAAGTGAGATCATTAATATTCATATTGATTAATTCTTATACATTTTCATAATTAAGTATAAGTTGATCAAAATTTAAAATTCGATTAACATATCTCTTATTTATATTTATTTAATATATTTTTTATTCTTTTCTTAGTTTTTTTTTTTTTTGTAAATAAATAAATTTGTTTATCCTCTTTTTTTTTTTCCTATATTCTTTTTTATTAGTATAAAGAATGTCGGAAACTCATTTAAGCGTTAGTAATAACGAATCTCCATCTGTCGAGGATGGAAATAGACAATTCGAAGAGGTTGCCAAGGACTTGGAGAGCCAAGCAAAAGCTATTAGTCAGTCTCAGCGTTTCCAAGATATACATACTGATCCAGGTGACGTCGATATTGAATTGGGAGAAAGAGTCCGAGAGAATGAAGATGATTTCAAACTGCGAAAATATTTTGAAAATTCAATGCGTACTCAACTGGAGATTGGTGGAAAACCTAAAAAGATGGGTGTCTCCATTAAGAACTTGACTGTAGTAGGTCAGGGTGCCGATCATTCTATTATTGCCGACAATTTTACACCTTTTAAATTTTTATTATCTTGTTTAAATCCTTTAAATTAGTAAGTATAATTATTAATAATATTTACATTTAATTTTAACATTTTGTGTTTTTTTTTCTTTTCTTCGTTTCATTTTTTCTTTTTTTTTAAACTAAAATAGTTTTAAAAAGAGAGAACTCAATACATTTAATATTTTAAATGATATTAATGGATATATTGAGGATGGTAAGATGTTGTTGGTTTTGGGTCGTCCTGGATCTGGTTGTTCCACCTTGTTGCGTGTTGTATCCAATCAAATTGAATCTTATATCGATGTAACTGGTGAAGTTAAGTATGGAAACATTCCATCCGATGAATTTGGTAGATATCGTGGTGAGGCAATCTATACACCAGAGGAAGATATCCATTATCCAACACTCACTGTTTTCGAAACTCTCGACTTTACCTTAAAGTTAAAGACTCCACATCAACGTTTGCCAGAGGAAACCAAAGCTAATTTCCGTACCAAGATCTTTGATCTCTTGGTTTCTATGTATGGTCTTGTTAATCAAAGAAATACTGTAAGTAAAAATATAAAATATATAATAGTATAATCAAATAAACTAATTTTATTTCTTTTTTTTTTTTTGACAAGATTGTTGGAAATGAATTTGTTAGAGGTTTATCTGGTGGTGAACGTAAAAGAATGACTATCACTGAAGCAATGGTGTCTGGATCATCTATTACATGTTGGGATTCATCTACTCGTGGTTTGGATGCTGCATCAGCTTTGGACTATGCTAAATCATTGAGAATCATGTCCGATACTCTTCACAAGACTACCATTGCTTCTTTCTATCAGGCATCTGACTCCATCTACGGTTTGTTTGACAAGGTATTGGTTTTGGATAAGGGTCGTTGTATCTACTTCGGTCCAATCCATCTTGCCAAGAAATATTTCTTGGATCTTGGATTCGATTGTGAACCAAGAAAATCTGTTGCCGACTTTTTGACTGGTATCTCCAATCCTCAGGAGCGTTTGGTACGTCCAGGTTTTGAAGGTCGTGTCCCAGAGACATCTGGTGATCTCGAAAGTGCATGGAAGAGATCTGCCTTGTTCAGAGAGCAAATGGAGGCACAGCAACTCTATGAAGCAACTGTCGAGAAGGAACAACCATCGGTAGAGTTCATCGAACAAATTCGTAATGAGCGAAGTAAGACTTCTTCGAAGCGCTCACCATACACCTCCAGCTTCATTACACAATCGATTGCTCTTACCAAACGTCAATTCCAATTGAGTTATGGTGATAAGTTTACCATTGTTTCATTGTTCTCCACTGTTTTTATCCAATCTTTTATTTTGGGTGGTGTCTATTTCCAGCTTGACAAGACAACCAACGGTTTATTCACAAGAGGTGGTGCTATTTTCTCGTCGATTATCTTTATGTGTATCTTGACAAGTGGTAATCTTCATAATACTTTCAATGGTAGACGTATCCTACAGAAACATAAGTCCTATGCACTGTATCGTCCTTCTGCTTTCTTGATATCTCAAGTTTTGGTTGACATTCCATTTGCATTCGCACAGTCATTCCTTCATGCAATCATCGCCTATTTCATGTACGGACTGGATTATAATGCTGGAAAGTTCTTTATATTTGCATTCACATTGGTTGGTGTAACTCTGGCCTCTGGTTCGTTGTATCGTGCATTCGGTAATTTCACTCCAACTTTGTTTGCTGGTCAGAATGTGATGAATTTCGTTTTCATCTTCATGGTGAATTATTTCGGCTATACTATTCCGTATGTTGCCATCTCATTATATCCTCTTTATTATATATTTCTTTTATTCCGTTGAAAATGGAATTTATCATTTTTGAAATGCACAAGTTAAATAATTTATACTATATACTAATTACCTTCCCTTACTCTAACTTAATAACCTTTTTTAGATATGATAAGATGCACCCTTGGTTCCAATGGTTCTTCTGGGTCAATCCACTAGGATATGCTTTCAAAGCATTGATGACCAACGAATTCAAAGATCAGTCATTCTCATGTGCTCAATCTGCAATTCCATATGGAGATGGTTACACTGACAGTCTCCATCGTATTTGTCCTGTCGTTGGTTCGGTCGAAGGTGAAATAAGTGTAGCTGGTGAATCTTACTTGAAGCACACCTTTAGCTTTAAAGTAAGTGAACGTGCTATTGACGTTATTGCCATCTATCTTCTCTGGTTATTCTATATTGCACTCAATATCTTTGCTATTGAATTCTTTGATTGGACATCAGGTGGTTACACTCACAAAGTCTACAAGAAGGGTAAAGCACCAAAGTTGAACGATGTTGAGGAAGAACGTAATCAAAACAAGATTGTCGAACAAGCTACTTCCAACATGAAAGAGAATCTCAAGATTGCTGGTGGTATCTTTACTTGGGAGAATATCAACTACTCTGTACCAGTTCCTGGTATCGGTCAAAAGCTGTTACTCGATGATGTACTTGGTTGGATTAAGCCTGGTCAAATGACTGCATTAATGGGTTCTTCTGGTGCCGGTAAGACAACTTTACTCGACGTCTTGGCAAAGCGTAAAACAATCGGTATCGTTCAAGGAGAGTCTGCACTCAACGGTAAACCTTTGAAGATCGATTTCGAACGTATCACTGGTTATGTAGAACAAATGGATGTACATAATCCAGGTCTTACTGTGCGTGAAGCTCTTCGATTCTCTGCTAAACTCCGTCAGGAACCAGAGATTCCACTCGCTGAGAAATTCGAATATGTCGAGCGTGTCTTGGAGATGATGGAAATGAAACATCTAGGTGATGCACTCGTTGGTAGTTTGGAGACTGGTATCGGTATCTCTGTAGAGGAGCGTAAGCGTTTAACCATTGGATTGGAGTTGGTAGCGAAACCCCATATTCTTTTCCTCGACGAACCAACCTCTGGTCTCGACGCCCAATCTTCCTACAACATTGTTAAATTCATTCGTAAACTTGCCGATGCTGGAATGCCTTTGGTTTGCACCATTCATCAACCATCGCCAGTTCTCTTTGAGCACTTTGACCGTTTGCTCCTCTTGGCAAAAGGTGGAAAGACTGTCTATTTCGGTGATATCGGTGAAAACTCTCAGACTTTGATCAACTACTTTGTTAGAAACGGTGGAAGAGAGTCTGATCCATCAGAGAATCCAGCTGAGTATATTCTCGATGTAATCGGTGCCGGTGTCCATGGAAAGACCGACTACGACTGGAGTGCCATCTGGAAGAGTTCACCAGAGTACAGCCAAATCAAAGCTGAACTCGCACTTCTCAAAACCGACGAAGAGTTGGTGAAATACATTAATTCATCCAATGTTAAAAATGAAGTTCCAAGAGAGTTTGCTACCAGTTTCCTCACTCAATTCATTGAAGTCTACAAACGTTTCAATCTGATGTGGTGGAGAGATCCACAATACACCATTGGTTCATTCGCGCAATCGATTATCTCAGGTTTGATTGTGGGTTTCACATTCTTCAAGTTGGAAGATTCGTCATCCGATATGAATCAAAGAATATTCTTCTTGTGGGAAGGTATGGTTCTAGGTGTGCTCCTCATCTACTTGGTATTACCGCAATTCTTTATCCAAAAGAGTTTCTTTAAGCGTGACTATGCTAGTAAATACTATTCATGGCACAGTTTCTCATTGGCAATCGTTGCCGTTGAAATGCCGTATGTCATCATCTCAACCACTCTGTTCTTCTTCTGTACCTACTGGACTGCCGGTCTCCAATTTGATGCAATCTCTGGATTCTACTACTGGTTAATTCACGCCATGTTTGGACTCTACATTGTATCATTCAGTCAGGCTCTGGGTGCAGCGTGTTTTGACATTGCCATCTCAATTGCAAGTCTTCCCATTCTCCTTTTCTATATCTTCTTGTTCTGTGGTGTTCAAGTTCCCTATGCTTTGTTGCCACCGTTCTTCCGCTTTATGTACTATTTGAATCCTGCAAAATATCTATTGGAAGGTATTGTAACTACCATTCTCAAGCCAGTCGAAGTCATCTGTAAATCAGACGATCTCATTAGATTCACATCGCCAAGCGGACAAACCTGTGAGCAATACACCGAACGATTCACTCAAAATTCACCAGGTTACGTAGTATCACTCAATGCCAATCAAACCGAATGTGGATATTGTGTCTATAAAAATGGTGAAGAATACTATCAGTCATTGGATTGGAAGTATGAAAATAGATGGAGAAACTTTGGAATCTTGGTTGCCTACTGGGCATCGTCTATCCTCTTTATTCTTGGTTTCGTTTATTTGACCAAGAAAGCTAGAAGATAAATTCAAACGAATCTTCAATTGAATAAAAATTCGAACACTTTTTTGTTTCTATTCTGTTTTTAAACTTTAATTTCTTTAAAAATTAAAAAAAATAATTTAAGATCTTATTTTAAAAATATCTTGTGTTTGTGGGGTGATTACAATTTTACCGAAACTAAATGCAAATAATTTTGCCCATTTTTTATCTTATTTTTAATCTCAAAAAAAGATTTGAAACGTGTTTTTTGATCATCATAAATAAATCGAGCTCACATATAAAAGATATTATTTTAGAAAAAAATATCATGTTTCGAATACAAATTTTTATCTATTTATTTTGTAAGTAAAAAAAAAATGCACATTCAAACGAATGAATGATAATAATAATAATTGCGCGGTTTTAAAAAAATTATAAATGTTAAAGTGAAATTTTTTTTAAATGCTAACATATTTTTTATTTATTTTTTGATTTTTAGTATTTAGTTTTTGTTTAGGTTATAATCCTGATTTTTATTATGAAATACAAGCACCCGAAACATTTGTTTCGAAATATTATAATTATAAAAGTCCAACACAATGTTTTCTAACAACATTATTAGTGGTACCTGCTAGTACACAGATATCACCATCGGTTGGTTCATATGGATATTCTTCTTACAATGGAGATGGCAGTAGGGTGATTGGTAATATTAATTTCGCTCTGCCACCTGGTGACACTACTCTAAGTTATACAGCCTTATTTAATAGCTCGAGTCAAACCTATCAAGTCGGTACTTTTAATTGTCAATGTAAGTATATTAAAAAAAAAAAAAAAAAAAAAACAAACTATAATTAAAAAAAAAACAAATAAATTAAAACTTAACTTCATTGATATTTATATATTATATAGATACTCTACCAACAGTATTAAGACAATCACTTTCATATGTTTATGGAGGTAGTCAAACGATTTATCAGATATTCGTCAAGTTGAGTGTTCCCAAAGATGCAATAATTCAATTTTTCAACTATAGTTGTATGTTTCAAAGTTATCGATGTCTAATCTCCCCTCATTCCACTTTACCAGGAAATAATTGGTTTACTGTGATCATTTACTTGAATAATGATGATATTTCAAAAGCAGATAATCTCGATATCAACATTATAACATCGGGCAACCCAACCCCAATTTTAATGAAATTTAATCTTCCTTTCTATAACAGTAAGTTATCTCCTTTTCATTTTGTAAAAATAATTAACAATTAAAAATAATATATTATTTTATAGATACAAGAACAACTCAAATTCAATCGATATCAAAAGGTGAAACAATCACACGTTTCACACGTTACAATACCATTTTGAGAATAGACAATTTAAATTCTCTAATCTACAAAACTCCTATTGTATTTTCTCCAGTTCTAGGAAATCAATCCAGTGCATATTACAATGCATATTGGATTGGTAACTCCGTAGCAACTCCAGTAACCTATTACATTTATATTCAGGATATAGCAATCAATCGTATCGATATGTTTACAACAACTTTTGTTCCAAGTATGCTCTCGGGTGCAGCAATAACGAACCAAAAGGATAATGATTTAATTCTTTATATACTAAATGTCCAGTTCTCTACCAATTTGCTTCCTATTAATCCTGTTGTATCCTTTAATTATGACAGGCAGGTAGAGTTTCCGTTTGGATTCACAAGTGCTTCCTATCCAGATCCATCATTAAAATACCTCTTTAATATGGATACAATGACCATATATAATATAATTGTCTCTGGTACATACCTTGATGTGAGTTATACGATTCAATATGGTGACAATAGTACATATCTTTCAACCAGATACCAAGGTTGGGGTACATTATGTATGTATATTTCTAAAAGTAAAAATGATTCCAATGTTGAATTCCACTAATTTAATTCTTTATAATAGATCCAAGTTATACTTATCCTTATAATTATATAACTTCATATCGAATCGAACCACTAAATAGTAGAAAGTTCATCGTAACACTGGATTTTACATCTTCCAATGATGCTGGTCTAAAGACAATAAATATCTATAATCAGCGAATAGATAATTCAAATTTGATTAAAGGAAATCTCAATGTTGGAACAGTTGAAGCTTTAATAGATATACCTACTTTCCGTATGGAAAAGGGATATAGTCAATCTTCATATGGTCAAATGTTGACAACCTTGGCTTTCGATACCGAATTTATAAATGTGCAGGCTGATTCCATTCCTGCTGTCCCTTCATTCCTCAGTAAGATTCAATATTTAAAAATTATATAACAATATGTTTTTATTTATTTTTTATAATTTTTAGAAATAGTTACCGTAGAAGAGTTGACATATTGGAGATTTGAACCAAACAATATTGACGTTTCGAATGGACCTGGATATACTACACTGGTTTATAATTATTCAAATTCTCAACCAACCGATACTCCATCTATTCTTATCTCGCTGAGACCTTATTTACCTGTTATCCAAGAATACGATGACAACAATTTATTCTTTGGATATTACAATGAAACTACCAAGCTATTCAACATCCCAATCGTCCTAAGAGAGAAACTTTTCACAAGATCACTCTATTATAATTTGACATCAGCACCAAATCCAATTGCATCAACAATGATCCATATGAAGTTTGGAAATGATGCTCTTTTAAATGTCACCTCAAAATGTTTGTATATTTATTTTATATTTATGCATTTGTCTTATTAACATTTTAAAAATTTAAAAACATTAGATGCTGATGAAATGGGACCTGTAATTAATAATATCATTCAATATCCAAATGGTGTGGTGAATATTGATAGTTCGGAAACAATGAATATTGGATGGAGTTTTACAATCACTGACGAACCAAGTGGATTTTACATTGGATATGCTTTAGTTTACTCAGACTTGGATCCAATTCCGTATAATATCAGTTTCAACTCTTCCAATGCCATTAAAGGAAATGAATTCAAAGGAGAATATTCCATCACGATCCCAATCAATGGAAATTGTCGAACATCAACCTATCGAATCCATTTCATGCTTTATGATAAGCTTGGAAATCTTGCCAACTCTGTCCCAGTAGAATCGAAAGTAAACTACATCAATCCACTCTACAAATTCTACGGAAATGCATCAACCGAATCATTACTCTATATTTTAGTAAATTGTTCCATGATAGTAGATCTCGATCCACCAAAATTAATATCTTTATCTGTCATTACCACAGCTATTGATGTTTCTTCAAGCGATAGAAGATTCTCTGCCAAATTCACAGTTAAAGATAGTTTTTCTGGAATTTCAAAGGATCCAAAGGATTATCCTTATGTTTATTTCATGGACTATTATGCCGATGTCAGAAAGATACAATCACAATTGATTGCATTCTCCGAAGATGGATTGTCTGCTACTTTCAAAGTTGAAGGTGAGTTACCCTATGGATTTGGTATGAAAGGAATACTGCTTCTATCTATCTATGGTATAGTTGATAATCATAGAAATCTTGGTGGAGTTTCTTCAACTCAGTTGAAAGACCAATTGCTTACATACTATATCCGTACTGTATTTTCATTTACACCATACTTGGAGTCGTCCGATCGAATAACCGGAAATGGTGGAAATATATATGTCTATGGTAAAAATATGGGACTGCAAAACGACACGGTTGTTTGTTTTGTAAACTATGGTGTTGGATACGTTCCAACTAAATTTATTTATCGATCATCAAGTGTTTTCCAAATTAATTTGCAAAACGTTACATCAAAATCTATTACTATCCACATCAACTTGAATCAACAAAAAGATTCAAATCAACTAGTAGTTAATGTTGGTGAGGCACCAGTGGAACCAAATATACCAGTTCTCAGTTGCCCAGGTACACCACAGTGTTCGAATAATGGAGTCTGTCAGACTTCAACAGGAGAGTGCAAATGTAATTCACTTTGGAGTGGTCCAGATTGTAATTCCAGAATCACAATGGTTCCACCACCAATCACACAACCCGATCAACCATCAGCCACCAATGTCATTGATACCAAAGATATTTTCAGCAATATTTCAATTCATTCATTGAGAGAATTGTCAGAAACCGGTCAAGTCATCAAGACATATTTACTTCAGAATTGGACACGAACCAATTCATCAGATGACACCAGATTATCTTATCGATATACAAATGAGATTCCATTGGTTACCAATGTATCGGTTAACATTGAATACTTTACAAAAGAAACAGAAATCACATTTGCAAACAAAGAATTGATCATGCTTCCATCAACCATTAAATATACAATCAATCTTTCAACATTCAACTTTACAAGCAAACTCAATACATTACAATTGGTTATGTCAGCAACCATTGGAACAAGTTCATCATCATGTTCATTGAAATCATTCAACAATGACACCAAAAACATTCAATGGATAAAGTTGAATATCGATCAACAATCACTTTATGGAAAGTTCCTTGATGTTGCAGAGATCGATGGATTCACAACTGTCATTTCAAACACATTATTGGATTCCGAATTCGAAACGAAAGACACATCATCACAACTCCAAACTTATATTGGAATCAATATTCCCAACTACGAGTACACAACCATTATAGATCCAGACTTTTCGATGCTCATTGATTCAGATCCACTTCAATCATCACAATGTAACGAACACTCTGACAATGGTGGATTAAACAAAGCAATAATCATTGGAATTGTTGTTGGTTGTGTTGCGTTTTGTATCATAGTTGTTGCACTCATTGTCATCATTCCAAAAGTAAAATATTCAAACATCGCAATTAAAATGAAGAGTTTTGCCAATAAATAAAATGATAGAGACTGTGGGGCAATAGAGATTAATATAATAAAAAGAAATTAAAATATCAAACCTTGTTTGATTTTTATAAAAATCAGATAAATAGATAGAATTTTTATAGTTGATTAAGAATATAAGTATGGTTTATTCATTAAAAAAAAAAAAAAATTTCGATGGTGAGTTCAGATCTGCATCGGAGAAAGCCACAAAAAAAATAGATTTTTTTTTATTTTTATTTTTCATTTTTTTTATTTTTTTTTAGATTTTTGGAATCGAAATATCTAGATCAAATTTTTCGAAAACTGTTTTGATCATTCTTTTAAAAGATAGGAACACCACATTTTTAAAATATTTTAGAATATTCATCTATGCATAATTTATTTATTTTATTTCTAACATTTTGTTGTAAGTTTTAAAAATTAAAAAAAAATATATAGTATAAAGTTAAATATTTATTTTTTTTTGTTTCATCATAGTTATTCAGTTGAACCTTTATAAAGGTTCGACAATTCAAGATACTTCATTCTATAATAATATAAACAATACTCTTATTCCAAAATATAATTCCTTAAGAAATGTTGATAATTGCTCTACAAGTGTAGCTATAGTCGTTCCAAAAGATTCCTTTTTCAATTCTAGTTCCCTTTTGTCACAATCTAGACCAACCTATATTTTTAACGAAACATCAACTATCTTTTATCTATATATAAATGTTGAAGTTAGCCAAACATACATAACTTTAACACAGAAAATAGCCGGCAATTTTATTCAAGATATTAATATTGGACCCCTACAATGTTTGCGTAAGTAAATAAATCTTGATTGAACTACTTTAAATAACTAAAACATTTATACATATCATCAATAGCATACGTTCAACGTGAAATAATTTCGCAATCACAGATTTATCCAACAACAGCAACACTTCAATTTCAACAATTTATCAAATTAAATGTTCAAAACGACACTGTAGTTCTTGATTCAAGTTATCGATGTTCTGTTGTCTACTCTGAATTGACATCATGTGTAATTCAAGTATTTGACTGGATGCCTACTGGTTGGTTAAGTATAACCTATCGATTTGAAAATCAATATACGCTTCTAGGAAATTATTCAATTAACATAACTTCAAGCAACGGTGAAGTGATCAGTCAACCTAGAATTCAATTACAATTACCATTTACATCTAGTTTGTATTATATTTTTATTGTTTATTTTTCGTAACATTAACACTTTTTAACTCTAGATATCAGAACTACCGATATTCAATATGTTTCAATCGGAATAACAGAATCAAAGACACAAATCTTTAGTTTGATTGCTCAGATAGCCAATTTGAATTCGATTGTATGCAACAGAGGATCTGTACAAGTAATTTTGACCCCTGTGAAAGGAAGCCCTGCCAATGGTCTTTATAATATCTTCACTAAACCCGAAAGTGTACAATATGGAGACTATTATCTAAACATCCAAGATTCAAGTTTTAGTTCGAAATTTTTATTCTCTTGGAAAACACTTTCAACATCAGGAAGCAATATGACATCTTTGACCTCCAAAGATATTGCAAATGATATCTACCGTTTTACTTTCTCACTCATCCTCAGTAACATTTCCATGAGTCCTTTTCAGATAGACTATTTTTATGTAACAAATCCTCTACAATTCAATTCATATTCATTTCCGTTTGGATATAGATCTTTAAATAACCAGTATTCATTCACTTTGGAATCAATGGTCGATAAATATTATACCAGAGCATTGAGTAGTAATATTACATCTCTGAATTTATATACTACCTATAACACATTTAGATCTTTCAATAAATTTGATTTCGAACGTTGGGACAATAATACTAATAATACTGGTAAGTAATTGTTTAAAAAAAAAGAAAATATTTTAACTCACATTTTTTTTTTATTTTAGGTTTGATAACTTTTTATACACATATTTCAGACATCACAATGATTCCTTTGGTTAATAATAAGTTTGTTTTACGATTATCATATCAATCAAAGATTGTACCAATAAGGAAAATTTATATCTACAACCAGATGATTGATATTTCAAATATGATATACGGAGACTTTTATAATGGCACTGTCGAAACTATCATTGACTACAAATATTCATCCAAAAATCCTTCGTTGTATTCATTTGGATCTGATATCATATCTCTACCTGTAAATTATAATTTAATTAATTTAAATATGAAAAATATTCCTTCTACTCCTTCATTCTTAAGTAAGTAAAGTTTCTATTTACCATATTTATTCATATTATTAATATCGAATATGTATATTATTTAGCTCGAATAACAATAGATGATTTGGAAAGATGGAGTTTTGAACCAAACAATATTGATGTTTCGAACGGACCAGGTAAAACCGTATTAGTATTTAACTATACCAATGCCAATCCATCGGATACACCATCTATCTATATATCATATTATTCATATTATCAAGATACTATCAATCAAGATAATATTTTTACAGGATATTTCAACGAAACTACCAAGCTATTCAACATCCCAATCGTCCTAAGAGAGAAACTTTTCACAAGATCACTATCTTATAATTTGACATCAGCACCAAATCCAATTCCATCGTCAATGATCAATATGAAGTTTGGAAATGATGCTCTTTTAAATGTCACCTCAAAATGTTAGTATTATTTATTTTATATTTATACATTTGTTTAGTTTTATTAACATTTTAAAATTTTAAAAACATTAGATGCTGATGAAATGGGACCTGTAATTAATAATATCATTCAATATCCAAAAGGTTTGATAAATATTGGTGATTCAGAAACAATGAATATTGGATGGAATTTCACAATCACCGATGAGCCAAGTGGATTTTACAATGGATATGCGCTAATTTATTCAGACTTGGATCCAATTCCATATAATATCAGTTTCAGTGTTTTCAATGCCATTAAGGGAAATGAATTCAATGGAGAATATTCTATCACGGTCCCAATCAATGGAAATTGTCGAACATCAACCTATCGAATCCATTTTGTTCTTTTTGATTATCTTGGGAATCTTGCCACTTCAGTTGCCAACGATATTAATGATGTATCAACTCCTCAAGCAATAAACCCATTCTATAAACTATATGGAAATCCAACAACAGAATCATTACTCAGTATCCAAGTTATTTGTTCGATGACACAAGATATTTACCCACCAAAATTAATAGAGTTTAATATTAACTCTCCTCTGATCATCGATGTTGGATCTAATGATAGAAGATTCTCAGCCAATTTCACAGTCACCGATGATTACTCTGGTATTTCTACACTTTTCAAGAATAACCCAAATCTATATTTCATGGATTATTTCGGAAAGGTTTTTAGTATGAAATCAAATTTTGATTCTATCACACCAGATGGATTATTGGCAACCTACACCGTGGATGGACAGCTTCCTTTTGGATTTGGAATTAAAGGTACAATATTACTCTCTATATATGGTATTGTCGACAACCATTTCAATTTTGGTGGAATTTCTACTTCAGAGTTGGAGCGACGATCTCAACCATATTTACTTAAAACAGAATTCAGTTTGGATACGCCAGTTTTGGAATCAAGTGATAGGCTATATACAAATGGTGGAAATCTTTATATCTATGGAAAAAGAATGGGTTTGGATAATGATAGTGTAACATGTCAAATCGATTATAATGATGGAAAAGGATACCAATCTATCTTTATTATTTTCAGATCTTCATCTATACTCCAAATTAAGACAACCGAAATTCTCTCTTCCTATATTAAAGTTAAAATCGTTGTCAATACAACATCATCCAATGAATTGATAATATATAAATATGTTGCACCCAATCCAAAAAGACCAACTCTGCCAGCACTTAACTGTCCAGGTACACCACAGTGTTCAAATAATGGAGTCTGTCAGACTTCAACAGGAGAGTGCAAATGTAATTCACTTTGGAGTGGTCCAGATTGTAATTCCAGAATCACAATGGGTCCACCACCAATCACACAACCCCGATCAACCATCAGCCACCAATGTCATTGATACCAAAGATATTTTCAGTAATATTTCAATTCATTCATTGAGAGAATTGTCAGAAACCGGTCAAGTCATCAAGACATATTTACTTCAGAATTGGACACGAACTCAATTCATCAGATGACACCAGATTATCTTATCGATATACAAATGAGATTCCATTGGTTACCAATGTATCGGTTAACATTGAATACTTTACAAAAGAAACAGAAATCACATTTGCAAACAAAGAATTGATCATGCTTCCATCAACCATTAAATATACAATCAATCTTTCAACATTCAACTTTACAAGTAAACTCAATACATTACAATTGGTTATGTCAGCAACCATTGGAACAAGTTCATCATCATGTTCATTGAAATCATTCAACAATGATACCAAAAACATTCAATGGATAAAGTTGAATATCGATCAACAATCACTTTATGGAAAGTTCCTTGATGTTGCAGAGATCGATGGATTCACAACTATCATTTCAAACACATTATTGGATTCCGAATTCGAGACGAAAGACACATCATCACAACTCCAAACTTATATTGGAATCAACATTCCCAATTTCGATAATATTGCTACGCTTAGATCCAGACTTTTCGATGCTCATTGATTCAGATCCACTTCAATCATCACAATGTAACGAACACACTGACAATGGTGGATTAAGCAAAGCAATAATCATTGGAATTGTTGTTGGTTGTGTTGCGTTTTGTATCATAGTTGTTGCACTCATTGTCATCATTCCAAAAGTAAAATATTCAAACATCGCAATTAAAATGAAGAGTTTCGTAAATAAAAATTAAGAAATAATATGATTAAATTGTGTATTTATAAATTTTGAGATTTATTTTAAAAGTTTACGCTAAAGGCACCAAATTGAAATCCTACGATCTATAGAATAATAGCATCGACCTTTAGCCTAATTGTTGTTTCGATTATATATGTCTTTTATTGATACTTCAGAGTAGAGGAAAAAAATAGTCTTTGTTAATGTTCTAGTTGGTGCTGATCTGAATAGTAATCCTTTGTCATACAATTTTCAACAATTCAATCGTATATAGTCTGAAACCTTATTCATAAAAAAAATATTAAAATTATACCTTTTATTACCTATTAGATATTTTACATACTTATAAACAATATCTTGCAAGTCTTTGTTTATCTTCTTCTCTCGAAAATAAATCTGTATAGAAACTCTAGAGAAACTAATTATAATAATAGATAAACAAAGAGAAATAAAATTAAATTATAAAAAAAAAAAAAGTCTTTCTTAATAAATAAATTGATTCTTATTTTAAGTGATTTATTTCATAGATACATCCGTCAAATATTTAAAATTTGAGAAAAATGAACTTCATTCCCAATTTTTCATTCATAAAATTGTAATTCACTATTTGTTTTTAATCTAAGATTTTTGATTAAACATGTTAAATATCCATAGAATTACAAACAGATATTTAACTAGCTATTATCAAACTGTTAGATGTCAATCATTTTATACTTCAACATCAATCAATCATTCAGATACTATCAATAACAACCACAACAACAACAGTAATCACAACAAAATAAATGATAACTATAGTAGCAGTCATAACAACAGCAGTCATCAATTGAATAATAAATTAATAACAACACCTATATTCTATGTTAATGGTACACCACACATAGGTCATCTCTATACATCGGTATTGGGTGATGCCATAGCTAGATGGAACAGATTCTGCAATGATAAAGTACTCTACATGACCGGTACCGATGAACACGGTCAAAAAGTACAAGATGCTGCAAAGAAAGCTCAAAAAGATAATATTGTTTATTGTGATGAAATATCTGGTGTTGTAGGTAATCATTTAATATAATGATATCATTTGAATTATCATTATTAATCAATCAAATAAACAAAGTTTAGGAAATCATTTGATCAATTCGGTATATCATATGACGATTATATTAGAACGACAGAACAACGACACAAGAATGTAGTTCATGATATGTGGAATAAATTAGATGGAAATGGTCTGATATATAAAGGTAGCTATGAAGGTTGGTATTGTGTATCGGATGAAGCGTTTTTGACCAATGATCAAGTACAAGATGGAATGTCACCGGTTACACCACAGAACCCTGTATCAAAGCCATGCAAACTCAGTATAGAATCGGGTAATCCTTGTGAATGGGTCAGTGAAAGTAACTATATGTTCAAATTGACAGACTTTTTGAAACCGATAGACAATTGGCTATCGAAAAATCCTTTATATCCAGAGAGTTGGAATCTACAGGCACGCTCTTACCTTCCACACTTGAAAGATCTTTCGGTTTCACGTCCATCTTCAAGATTACCTTGGGGAATAAGAGTACCCAACGACGAATCACAGTCGATCTATGTATGGCTAGACGCTCTCACTAACTATCTGACGGTTGCAGGTGGTTTCAAAGCTCGTTCTGCTGACGGTACCGACATTGCTTGGAATCACACCGATGTTACACACGTCATCGGTAAAGATATCTTAAAGTTTCATTCGATCTACTGGCCAGCATTCCTTCTCGGTACAGGTCTGAAGCTGCCACACAGCATAGTTACACATGCACATTGGACAGTGGAGCGAGTCAAGATGTCAAAGAGTAGAGGTAATGTGATCAGCCCGTTCGACATCGCCGAGAAATACGGTATCGAAGGTGTTCGTTATTTCCTGCTGAAAGGTGGTGGACTGGAGAACGACGGTGATTGGTCGGATCTCGAAGTGAGATCGCGTATCACTGCAGACCTCGCGGATACTTTCGGTAACTTGGTGACACGTTGTACAGCCAAAGCACTACATCCGAGCAGAGCATGGCCAACTTGCTTGTCACAGACATTCGCTGCCACAGCACAGGAACCAAACTCTTTGAGAATCATCGAACAAATGCAGCAGCTCGTAAGTCTTGTGAATCAACATTACAAATGCGGTGATATCAAGTCTGGTATCTATGAGGTCATTAACTTTACCTATGCAACCAACAACTTTGTGGAGCAAACAAAACCATGGACACTCGTACCAAAACCAGGCAAACAAGCAGGTGACCTAATGCGACTCAACGATATAATGTATATACTATTGGAATGTATTAGAACGATTGCACTACTTCTCAGCCCAGTCATACCAGAATCTTCAAAGAAAACACTTGATCATATAGGTGTAGATGAAACTCATCGTAATATCAATCATATTCAATTTGGATATGACTATCCACAGACTTTAGTTCCAATGAACCCATTGATTCTTTTCAAAAAAGAATAAAAAAGTGTTTTTTTTTTGCTGAGTTCTATTAATTTTTTAGGATCTAATTATCAAAACTACTATAACTTTTGAGAATTTAACTACTTGTTTAAAATGGTTACAATAATCTCATATTTGTTAAATAACCTACAACCTATAAGCAATATTCAATAAAAATCTAGATAAAAGCTTGATAATGTTTATAAATAAATATTAAAGATTTGAATGAATAGTTGCACTTTTTATTATAATATATTGTTTATTTTAACTCTATTTCTTTAATAAATATTGGTTTGAAATAGCTTTAAATGTAATGATACTATTGTTTTCGACGGTAGTTGATTTGAAAACGATACCCTCTCTCAATACCTTTGGTTTCGATCCTTTGAGTTGAGAGAATCCATTGGCCATCTCCAAGATATCCTTTAGAGTCTTGCCCTCCAATTTGTATGTTCCGAGATATGGAACACCATAGTCAGACCATGGTAATCCCAATTTCTCCATGATATCAACTCTTTCGGCGTGAGTTGCATAACGATTTTGATCGATCATCCAAATATCAAAGCATCGCCAACACAACTCTAAAATACCATAAATATTTCCTTGTACTTTTGGTCCGATGAACTCGCCCTGGAGTGCAATGTTCAAATTCAACTTATCCAAACGATCGTACAACTTCATCTTGTCGACAAGAACATCTTTGATTTCCGACTGCTTCTGGCAGTTCTCAAAGTTCAGCTCAAAGTTACGAGAACATGTACCGTTGACACCCTTGTAGTGATATACTGTTACTGAAGAACCCTCTAACTTCTCGGTAACCTCAAACTCGACATGAGCATAGGTTGTTGGATAGAGTGGAAGGTTCTGTATTCTTGGCTGGTCTGACTTTTTAATGAATGATGGGAATGTCTTCAAACTACGATTAGTGGCCGAGAAGATGCTTCCGCCACCTCCACCAACAACACGCTCCACATATTTTTTTGATACCAATCAACTCTGTCATATTGGATTTAATTTCCAAAGAATAATCGAAATCACCATTTTGCAATACCGGATCCGACAATCTCCTGATTGACTTTAATCCAGATTCCACCTGACCATCGACACAATAAACTGGTGTCAACTTTTTATTTGGATGATTTAATAATTCTTTAATTGGAATACAATATCCTAGATTTAAAGATTATTAGAATTTGATTTCATTTCATTCATTTGATTTGATTTCACTTGATTTGATTGCTCTATGAAGTACTTACCTTGTGAAATTTGACCACGTAATTTGATAGTTTTAATTCTAAAGTTACATTTATCTAATTTATCATTGATGAAATATGGCCATGGTGGTAAGATTGAGTCAATCTCTACATAAACTACTAAATCACCTACGGCATAAAGACCTTTCTTGACGATGACTTTCCATCCGAGGACAGTTGCGATTTCTATGACATCAGCACCGGCAATTGGCTCTAATGATACAATCTTTTCTACATAAGCCAAAACACGGTCCGATGCATCTTGAGCATCTTCTTCTTCTACATCATCAACATTGACATTAGATTCTGTTGGTATATCATTTATTTCTTTTGTTGTTGTTGTTGTTGTTGGTTTATCATTATTTTCAATTGAAATCGAACCAATCTTCTCTACAATACTATCATTATTACTAATCATTTTTGTTTATATATATTTATATGTTTAATTAATTTTCTAAATAATACAATTATGTAAATGAACAGTTTTTTTATTTAAATTAAAAAATAGTTGTAAAATCTGAGAAAAAAAAAGATTTTTAAAAATGGTGTCAAAACCAAGAAAATTTTAATAAATGGTGTTTGTCGGTTCATGATCATATTTTTAGTCTAATTTTTAAAAACCAGATTTGATAATTTTTTTTAATATATTTCTTTTATTAATAATATGACAATCGATTTTGACAAATTGTTGGAAAAATGCATTAAATGTTTCAAATTAAAAAAAATAACAATTATTAATCGCACCATTTTTGATAATTCATTTCATTCTTTTCAAAATCGATTTCATAATGTTTCCAATATTCTGAAACCAAAGTCTTGTTTTCAATGTTGTATCGATCGATATCTTGATATTTCGCTTGTGAAAGATCGAGTTCTGTGTTGTTGAGTCCTAAAATATATTTGGCACGATCGACGCTGTTTTGCATATCGACCCAGTACTTATTGTTGTCCTCCCAGAACTTTGGTTGTCCTTGTCTTGTGTAGTAGTGATAGCAAATATTGATTGTCGGTGCAAAGAATCGATAGCCATTGACATACATACGAACGGTATGTAGAATCTCTTCACCCTCAAACATATTTGGGAGATGTGGGTCGTATGGAACGGTCTCGAGGAATTCACCGGTTCCGAAAAAGAATCCGGCGGCGACGAATGGCGACTCTGCGGGAATCTTGGTTGCCCGCAGTGTGTAGGCGTTGAATGTTATCAGTCCACGACCGTTAAACACCGCCTTACACAGCTTGGGAACTTGCGATTGATCGTCGTGTGGAAGTCCTGGCGTATCGGCTTCGTAGGGTGGTGGATAGTGTGAGAGGATGGCGCGCGGAATTCCATTCTTTCCGGCTGGCGCCAAGTCTCTTAGCGACCAGTGATTCGAGAGGATATAGGTATCCCAGTGTTTAATGAATCGCAAATGACTGTCGATCTGCATGTAGTAGGTCTCGTTCCTATAGAGTAGCGACGCTTCGTAACGCGCTTTGGTGGGACCTGCCGAATCTTTGATTTCCATTGCTACACGCCGGATGTTTGTCTTGACGAGTTCTGGCGGCAGATTCAAGCCGCGATAGCAATGAGAGTTTGGCCAGTCTGGATATTTTGGTGTGGTTTCTTGATCGAGTAGTTCCGAACCTTGATCGACCAGACCAACAAATACATTCTCTGGATGCTGTGCATTCTCGAATAGATAGTTGAGTGTGTCCGAGCAGAACTTGTCTCTGTATGCCGCCATCGATACGAAAATAGTTGGTCGAATATTATGTTTCTTTGATGTCGACTGGATGAGCTCCTCTCGCTGATCCGATGTCATTTCACTTATCGTCACATTGTTTGTGAATAAATCTGTATAAAAATATGAAACATGTCCAATCGCACCAACAATCAAAACTATTAAACAAGCTATAATATTCAAATAGTATTAATATCAATATTGATATTCATTGTTGAACTAATAATGATCAATTCGATGATGATCATATATTATAAAGTAAAAGAGTATTACCTATCACCAAAGGTTTAAATTGCATTCTTTATACCTATCTATATACTATATTAATATATATATATATATATATAAAGTAAACTAGACCTTATATATATATATATCTTTAAAAACTAAAATAAAATAAAATAAAAAAGAGATGTATGTTGTATTTACAAATGAAATATGAAGTGATAGGTGAAGAAGTTCACAAATTTAATATGAAATCAAATCTATCTATTACTAACTAATCTGTATATTATCTATATTATTTATTATCTATACAAAACTTTGATTTGTAGTATGACATTTATTGATGATTTCAAATAGAAAAATATAAATAAATGAAAAAAGAGTAAAAATAGAAAGAATAGAATTGAATCGTAAGTAAAATAAATATGTGATTTTATGAAGATTGATAGTGTGTGTTGTGGAAAAATTAAATATTATTATTAATTTATGATGTGTTTATCGAATATGATATGATGTTGAATAATCGAAAGGAAAATAAAAAAAGATAATAAAAATAAATTAAAAAAAATAAAATAACTTGAATTTATTAATAAATAATAACTGAACTGTTTAACTGGTTTATTAATTTTACCAAAAAAAAAAAAACAGACAAATTTTATTAGACACGAAGTCAAATTAATTCAGTTCATTCATTTAATTTTTAGGTCAGTTTTAAAAGAATTATTATAACCCAAATATATACCTATCTTTTTTTTTTTTTATAAATATAATAATAAATTTAATTTTATAATAATATTTTTTTTTGATTTTTAAAATCTTATTCATTTTTATTCAAAAGAATAAGTTTTGTTTTGTTGATTGTTTTCACTCGGATTCACTTGATTCACTACCGCTACTACTCTGATTGTTATTGTTATTACTATTATCGTTTTGTTTGCTTTTGGGTGTGGCATTTGTTAAATCGGTACGACCAGTTGTAGTTTTTGTTGTTGTTGTTGTTGATGTTGTTACAGCAGGTACATTACCACCACTTTTGTTGATCAAATTGTGAATATTGATGGAGTTGGAAGTGTGACCGGTGAATGGTGTTCCGGTAGTGTTGTTGGTGGATGCCGATTGCATTTGAATTTGGTTGAGTGCACTCTCTTTCTCCTTTCTTTTGGCTTTGGCATAGTAGAGTCCACAGGCATTACACAAAGACTTACAACCATCTGGGCCTTTTCTCCACTCTGGTGACTCGGTTACACCGCATCTGAAAAAAAATAAATAAATAAATAAGATTAAAATTAAAAAACATGGTACAACAACAATTATTTTAATATTATTAACAATTGTTCATACCTTTGACACTGCATATCCTCTTCATTCTCTTTATATTTTACATTCATCTTTCTCTTTCTTCTAGGCCTCAGATCAATATATCTATAAAAATAAAGAAAAAAATGTTAATAATTTTATTAATAAATAGTTTTGATTCTGTATTTATTTATTTATTTACTTACTCTTTTTTCTCGTTGGTTTTCACTGGAAATGGTAATTTGTTCTTCTTTTCTTTGTAGATCTTTTTGATAACTAAATTGACTCTCTCGTGAAGCTCAGTCATTTTATCGTTCTTCTCTTTGGTGGCACCGCGAAGTTTGTCTATTTCCTCACAGAGTGGCAAAAGATTGGTGATCATACCATGGAAACCTTTGCTCAGCTTCTTTCTAATCAGTTCAAGATTGGCATCGTCAGATGCTATACTAATTAAAGATTGTGCCATTGTTTCATCATGATTTGAATTTGTGGTTGTTGTTGTTGTGGTGGTTGATGTTACATTTGAAAATGTTGATGATGGTGTTGGTAATATATCATTTGTTGATGATAATGATATTAAATTAGGTGTTGATAAATTACTGTATGTATGTGTATTAATATTGTGTATATTGTTATTATTATTCAAGTTATTATTCAAGTTATTATTGTGATTGACGATGTTTGGATTATGATTATGAGAAAATTGATTTAAAATTAAAGTACCCAAGTTTAAAGGTGGTGATGATGGTGTTGAATACAATTGTGGTGAAAGTGAGTATGATGATGAAGAATTGTTGAGTGAGAGAGCATCATTGCTACCATCTAGTATAACACTATTGTTACTACTATATAGTAGGTGTTGCTGGGGTGGTGAATTTGTATTTACATTGTAGTTACAAGTTGGTGAAGTTGTTGGAGATGTAGATGATGTAAATGTTTGATAGTTATTACTATTAGATGATGAACTCGGAAAATTAATTGGATGATAAAATGGTTGTGGAGGAAACTGTTGTTGTTGATGGTGATGATGTTGTTGTTGATGATATTGATAATTTTGATCAAGAGGTGGTGTTGTTGATAGATTTGGAAATTGATTATTATTAGTATTATGTGATTGAATATTTGGATGACTATTATTATTACTATGATGTAGTGGTTGATTATCTAAATATTCTGGTGGTGATAATGGTGGAAATTGTTGTTGTTGCTGTTGTATAAATTGTTGATTTAATTGAATATTCTTTTGATTGTTGCTAATATTTAAATTGGTATTTTCTTTAATATATTGTTCAACAGGATATGTTGACTGATTTGAAAACGGTAACATTTGATTATGAATATGAAGCTGAAAATGTGAATGTACAATTTCCATAACTATCAGGAAATATTTGGAAATTAATTTAGTTTAAATTTTAAAATTAAACAAGTGAAATATATAAATATAATTTATAAGATATATAAATAGATAGTTATAAATGATTTTTTTGTTTCTTTAAAAATGAAAGGTTAGATTTTAGATATTTATGTGTAGAATAAAAAAAAGAAAAAGAATTAATTTTTTGAGGGAAAAAAATAAAAAGAAAAAGAATAAAAAAGAAAAGATGGATTATTATTATTCAGATCCAAACCGGTTTGAAGTAGATGTGTTATGGAGTTGCCTTACTTGATAAAGAAGCTATTCTTGAGTTAACTTGATTTTGCCCTCCCCTATAATTTGAATTCTAAATTTAAAACTAATGAAAGTGTCAAAATTACTGCGCAAAAAAATATCTTGAAAATTCAATATGTTGTTGTTTTTTGGTTTTTTTGGTCGATTTTTTTTTTTTAGTGGTTTGGTTTTTCCTTTTTGTTGGTGCGGATTGGGGGTTACAACATTATTAATGTATGTTGGTTCTAAAACTAAAATAAAACAATCACGACAATTTGACTATTAATATTCTATTTAGAAATAATGATTTACTGAGTCTTTCCAACAATTGTTGATGTTTTTATGATTCTATGAATATGATTTACTGATTGTTTGTATTTATTGTTTTACTTTGAGGTTGAAATCTCAAACTAAAAATAAAATATAAAGATGAACAATTTTTAAAACATTCAATAATTTATTGTTTAACGAAATATAAAAAATATATTTACTATTGTTTTTATTATTTTGTTGTAGACAGTAATTTTAAAAAAATAAAAACAATTGTAATTTATATTAAAATGATAATTATAAATAAAAATAAATAGAATTATAATAAAAATTTGAAATTTAAAAGATTTATGATGTTATTTGTTTGGGGTGGAATCAAAAGAATATAAATTGGTTTTTGATGAAAAGTGGTAAAATCATATGTATGTGAATTGAGTAATTTGATGTTCATACTTTTTTTATTAATAATATTTGTTATTTTTATTGGTAAATGGTTACAGGTCAGATATTAAAGGAATTTAATGATCTCCATAAATAAATTTCTATCTATCTTTTTATAATTATCTTTTTTTATTGTAAACTATTCTAAATTAACTTATTATTTATAATTTATAATCTCTATTTTTAAAGAAGGTAGAAAAATATAAATGTATAAATAAATAATTGTTTAATTGGTTGGTAAAAACTCAATTGTTGACTATTTATATTATTTATATCTATATGGTCTGGTGTTTTGTGGTTGTTTAAAACGGTGAAAGCTCGCAGCGGTACTCTCGATTTTCAAAACATCTCATTAATCAATATTGTTGTGGGTTCTATCAAACCATATGAACTTGCCAACATCAGTGTTCTATTTTCGAAGAAATCAGTGTCCTCTCTGACATTGATTACCCTCGCTGATTAACTTGAATCATAGATTAATGCCCCCACACTGCGAATTGACATCCAACAAACAATGATGAAAAATGCGATTCATCAAGCAAAAAGAACAATGAATTCATTGATGAATGATCTTCTACAACAGCATTCTCAGGCAACAGTCCATCATCACGAAGGAAACTGATGAACAAGACAAAAAAAAAAACAAAAAAAAAATATTTGATCATAAAATAAGTCAAAAACTCACCCACTACCCCAATAGTTCACCATCGCAATAATTATTCTCTGGTTAACGAAAAATTAAAAAATTTTAAAAATCTATCAAAAAAAAAAAAGAAATTTGAAAAATAAAAATTACTAGCCCACAACTTAAAAGCACACACATATAACCACTCTTTTTGATCGTTTGGGTAATTACACATCAATTAAGTTTATATTAAATAAACCACCCACATCTCTGTTGTAACTTCCTTTTTAGGAATATATTGATTCGCCATTCCTTTGGTTTTTGGTTCATGTTGTTTTTTAATTTATTTTAATTTATTTTTTAAAAATAGAATTTCGACAAACTTTGAGGTCACCTTCATTCCAATTCTTGACATTAATTTTAGATTCTTAACATTAATATATATATTTATTTCATTGTTGTGATGATGTAGCATTTCCATACAGTTTGAAACATCTCTAAATATTCTAACTCCAGATGCTTGTTTCGGAATGTTAATCCTGTGAGGACTTACCGCAGTGATATCTCTCGATGTTGGTCGATTTTGAATAGCTCAAGAAAGATCGGGTGGAATTTTTCGATCAGAATATTGTCAACAGAACGCGATCCAATTATTGTTACATTAATTTTAGGTAAACTTGTTCAACAACATGAGTTCTGAACAGGTAGATAAGTAGATTTGAAATGATTGGAAGTAAAGTTTTAATCTTTAAGGATTTAGGAATCATTCTATGAGTGGATAACTCAATGCCTACAACAAAGATTCAATGCCATTCCGAAGCAAGCTAATTCCTAGATCCTTTTTATTTTGTATTCTTTGCAGTACATTCAGATAATTCTAACAGGTATTATATTACTAGATTAGTAGTTTATGGTGAAGATACCTATTTTCTGGGAAAACAATCGAGATTTATATGTGTAGGGTCAAAGCAATCAAAATTCGAACCTTGATTATTACAAATTAGTCGAATACAACCCAGTACAGTCTGAAACAATACCTCTATCATAGCATAATCAACTTTAGAATATCCAATTTAAATTCTATTCAAGATATTTCAATTAAAATAGTATAATTATTTATCATTTTACTTTTAAAAAGTTATTTCAATAAACTTTTATTTTAAATAATTACTTCATATATAATATAATAAATTTACTTGTTATATTAATCTATTCAAAGAACAAATTTATTCTTTTTTTAATTTTATTCTTTAAATGTCATTCGGTGAAAATGAAATTTTCAAACAAGTCTTTCTTCTCATTGGGATTAACCACAACCAACCACCAAGAGTCATATGATTTTTTTTTTTTTTTTGTTATATTAAATTTGCAAATTTCATAATTTTTTCGTTTTGTTTTACTAAAAAGTTTTATTTGATTATTTCATTTATTTGTTTATTTGTTAGTTATTTCTTTTTCATTTTATTCTTTATTAATATTTTAGTGTATAGTTTATTTGGTTAGAAATATTTAAATTTAGGTAAGTAACAAAAATATAAATCGAATTTCATTGTTGTGAAAGATGATGATGTTGTTGGTTGACATCAATCTTCTCAGACTTGACTCAAAGATGTTCAAGATCATTTCTATCTTTATCTTTGTAAACTATTTTTTTAGTTTTTTTTTTTTACTATTTTTTTTTTGTTTTTTTTGATGATTTCCATCTTTTTATTTTGTTTTGTTGATATCCATCTGTCTATCTATTTATCTATGTATCTTATTGGTTGAGTAATGTATATGAGTGAGTGTTTTACTTGTATGCAAAGCAAAACACAAAGCAAAGTTTAACACATAGTACATACACACAATTTAGAACACAATGTGCTCATACAAATAAACTAAACACACACACACACACACTAAAAACACCAAACATAATAACAACAACCTCAAAATGTATGTAACAGATGAAAGTATTAATTCATCAATTTAAATTATGTATTGCAACAACAAACAAACAAACCAGTAAACAAATAGAAAATAGGCGAGAAGTGCAGTGTAGGAAGAACTAGTGCAACCAAGCAATAATAATAATAACTTTGCAAAATAACAATAATTGATTTTAATTTATCTGACTAATTTATGTAAATAAACCAAATATAATTATTTTTAATATATTGTACACATCATATATATAATTATTTATTATTATTATTATTATTATAATAGTTTGTTTTGAACAAAGCACTTCCAATTCCACTCTTATTTGATATACAACTACTCAAAGACACTATTTAATTGAAATAATAATATTAATTTATATTATTTTTATAGTTTATTTATATTTATATATATTTATAGAGAGATTTTCATATTTTGGAATCTTGTTTTTATAGATATTACAGATATTTTGGTTAGTGTTGTTTGGATTTCTAGAATCATAAAAGTTATTGTTATTTTATACTTTTTAAAATAATGATTGAATCAGTTGAAGATAATAAAATAAATGGTCATAGTAATAATAATATTAAAATAGTTGTTGAACAAGAACAACAACAACAAGAAGTACCAAAGCTAATAGTAGAAACACCGAATCACAACAATGTAAAATTACATCCAAATGAATCTTTGAACATCGCAAATTTGGAGACTCAACAAGAAAAGTTACAAAATATTGAAAATCACAAAAATGATAATGCTATTAGTGAACAGAGTAATAATAATGAAATTATAGATTCAAACAATGATGATCTAAATACTTCAGCAAAGAATATAGAGTAATAATCACAATCAACAAACTTATCACTCATTCATTAAATATACTTACATTGCTTTCTATCATTTTACCATCAACAATTATAATCTATTTTAGTACAACTAAATCATTTACTCTAGGTGGTAATAGCAAAGCATATAGAGATGGTAATCTAATTGAACATTTCATAGTGGTTGGTTTATCTGCTGATTCACCTATTGGTCCAAACGATAAGGTTTCACACGATGCCAAAATATTATATTCATATCCACCTGAAAGAGTGTATGTTATTAGATGTTTGTTTTAGTTATTTTGTTTTAACAATCGTTGTTGTTTTCGATTTATAGTTGTGATGAACAGGTAATTGGATTTTGTTTTCCAGATGGTATTAAACTGTTGCAGGTATCTAGGAGAAGTTCATTGACAGAGATTCATGCAGTGTTGTTCAAGTCGTTATCACAGTTGGAGGGATCCGATACGAGTTTTATGTTTTTGATTACGGGTGGTGAGCATCTTTTATATGTCGCTTGTGTTCTCAATACGGAGCCAATCGACCAGCTGCCTTGTTTCTTTAATCACGACGGCATTCCACCGGTATCTAGCAAATCTTCATCGCCACCACTCGACCCAAGAAAACAATACGCACAATCCAACAACATCTGTATATTCGCACCACGTTGCTACTGTGTCATCTCTCGATTCCCTTTCTTTAAAGCACACTTTGACTTTATCTATTCGATTCTCGGAAAGGAGCGACTCAATCGTATCAATTCGATTCTCGAGAAGCCACCGGTTGCCATCAACCACAACAAGTCGCTGACAATGTCGTCGGCCAACGACCTAAATCGACTGGCAGCATCGCATAGCAATGCCAATGGTAATGGCCTGGCTATGAACGGTGGTGGTGGTGGCGGTGGTGGTGGTCCGCTCACCAAGAGTTTGATGCGCAAGCCGCTGCCTCCACTGCCAGCACATGTCTCACAAACAAACACACTCAACCTCTCTGGTAACTCACCGTACATGGTGTCGCCAAGCGATTCTCCACTCTTTGGATCGGAGACGACTTCTCTTATATCGAAGCATTCCAGTAGTAATAATTTGTCGGCCAGCAGCAGCTATAACAACAACAGCAACAACTTACATATCAACGGCGACAATAGTAAGTTGTCAAAGTCCGTAGGACATAGCAGATCTCATTCCACACCCATTTCAAATTTAGCAAACATTCAAAAGATTCGTCAACAGCAACTGCAGCAACAGCATCAACATCAACTACCGACATCGGCCAATGGCTTCTATCAACCCTCGTCATCGCAGTCGCCTGGAACCATCACAGATGAAGCGCTCTCTGCCATTCAGGAATCACTCAGCATATCGAATGATGACTACGATGATCTCGATCAGATGACCGACTTTACATCCTCGTCTAATAGCGTAGACTTTTCAGCGGATTCATCACCGACCACTGCCAACCTGCAGTTTGACGACTTGACCAATTCAAGCTCAACACCAACAGCAACCACCCTCAACGTTCAGAAGCTGGCAAATGGCGAGCTCAACAGCACAAACACTCCTATCATCACCAAAGTAGACGCAATTAAACAGAAAGTAAACTTTATCGATAGCACACTCGATGGCGGTAACATACAGTTTGGCAACAGAGTAAGAACCACACTGAACACTGCCACCACTGACTTTACCATCTCGGCAGACTCACCAATCTCTGTTAGCCCGGTGCCACCCACTGCAATATCCAATCATTCACCAACTGACCGACAAGACAAATTGCAGCAATCAACAACAGCCGCTGGCGGCGAAGACGGTGACAACACATCTAATAATGTATCGCCAAAGATCAAACCACTTCCAAAAGTACCGACACAACAGCCAGTCAGTGTCACACCAATCTCACCCACAATGATATCCGAGCCAATTTCGCCAATCCTCACACCCACAATCACCAACATCAACAGCAACACAAAACCATTGGCTTTGGAGGAGATTGAAATCATCAAGTACTACTGTGGCTTGAGAGTACCTCGCGAAGATAAGAAACTCGAGGTACATCCACCAGGCGAGCAAAACACACTCACATACGAAGCTGGCGATGACAACTATCAAATTGAAAATTGGTGTCTAGGTGGACTAATGAGAACACTCTCCTTAAAGACAATCATGATGACACTCACCTGTATACTTTTAGAGAAATTCATTATTGTCACTTCAAGAAATATAGGTTTAATTTCAAATACGATGTATGTTAATATTATTATTATTATACAACAACTTGGCAATAGATTAATAACCAATATTGTTTATTTAGATTTTCATTTATACCACTTTTGAAACCATATGTTTATCAAGGCGCATTTATACCAATTTTACCACAATCTACATTAGATGTTCTTCACTGTCCAAGTATGTATAAAAATATTGGAGTATAATTAATAATTAGATAAGTTTTATTAACGTTATGATTTTTGATTGAATATTCTAGTACCATATGTAATTGGAATAACTAAAGTACCTACAGATATGCCAGAGATCATCGATAACTGTTATATATTGGATGTTGATGAGAATCGATTAATAATAGGAAAGAAATGTCAAAACCTACCACGCTTACCACTTGAAGAGCGATTGGAATTCTCACTTAGACAGTTCCACAATCAACTTTGGAAAGACACTGGTAGAAAATACTCTCTAGACTATCCATTCAAAATAATTCAAAACGATTTCAAATATATTCACAAGTTTTCGAATGAATTAACTGTAACTATCAACATCATCATCATCAATTTCATCAAATCTTATTCTAAAATACTAATTTCGATTCATCTACAGCTTTATCACCGATTTATTATTGATAGTATCGCTTTTTATATCGATTGGAATCCAAACTTTGATTTTGGTAACAAAGAAATGAAAGAAAAGCTATTAAAGATAATTTCACCAACTCATTATCAATTTATAGACCAATTTTTAGTAAGTCATAAACTAAATAGTTATTTTGTGAAACAACAAAAGTGTATAACTAACATTAATTATTATTATTCAAGAATTCTCAACTTTTCACATCACATACAGAATTATTATTTGGAATTAAAAATAGTATATGTAATTCAAAAGATATAATTTTAAATCCATATAAATCCAATAAATTATAAAATTATCATAATTTTTTTGGAAAATAAATAATTTTTAATTATTAAAGCTAATAATTCTATAGAATTATTTATATTTGCATTCAAAGATTAATTTAGGTTACCAATGATTATTTGTGTGTGTGTGTGTGACAGGCGATGATTTTGTGTTGATGCAAATTTAAATTCATTGGAATACTAAATTTTTGAAAGTGGTAACCTTTTTATGGAACTATTAATTTTTTTTTGGTAGTTTGTAATTAGAAATAAGAACTTTCAAGTAGGTTGTAATCAAAAAGAATAGAATCTATGGTGCACCAACATTATATAGGTATAGATTTTTTCAAATCTTAAAAAGTAATTAAATTATTTATATGTAGGTTTGTTTAAATTTTTCTTTTTTTTTTTTTTTCAATCCTCCATAAACCCGACTATTTATTCCTATCTGATTTCTTTAGCTATTCAATACTAAATAAATTCATTTTTAGTTTCACTGAAAGTACCAACAAAACCAACTTCAAAAACACCCACCTCTAACTTTCTATTGAATATGTTATTTCTATCAAACAAATAAATAATAGAAAAACAAAAAAAAAAAAAAAAAAATTTATTGAGTTGGTTTGGTTTGCAAAGGTAAAAAACTAGCCAACCTGATTCTAACAGGTAAAATGCCAACAGGAGTGGTGTTCATTCTGCAGAATCAGTTCAACAAGTAGGTTGCTGAGTTTAGATTATTATAAATCAAACAAACAATATTGACACATCAACACAAACATTTATAATAGCTTTCCTTCTACTCACTCCACCTGCAAAGTAGAAAAAAATATACTTATACTTATTATCTTTTTTTTAATTTAATTAAATTTTATTTCTTCTAATTTAATTTTTTTAATTCTTTATCTTTTTTGTTTTTTTTTTTTTTTTTGGTTGTCTGTCGATTGTATTCTTATTATTAGACCAGTGAATCCATTTTCATCAATTCGATACTATATTAGCTATTAGATTATCTTTTGAAAAACAACAACAAAAATCAACAACTACTACAACAAATAGTAAGTAATAATTGCTATTCTTATATTTTATTCATTGTTTCAAAACAATTAGTGTTTTTGTCATGTCATTGGTATTAACAATCTATTATATAAATATTAAATTATCCTTTTTAATTTTAATTGTTTAATTAATTAATAGTATATCAAATTTTCATTAAAGAATGAGTCTATCACCACATAGTACTCATACAACAACAAATTCCAATTCAATTCCTTTTATGGCTGTTTTTGACCAAAATTTAAATGTTGTTAGTCATTTGAACAATAATAATAATAATATGAATAATGGACAACTCCATTTGTCATCATCGTCTACATCCAGTTCTTCTTCTTCACCCTCATTAGATGATAGTCAGAGTCTGAACCAACACCAGCACAATATTTTGACAAATAATAATATAATTGATAATTCAACAACCACTATAAATAATAATAATCATTTGAATAGAACATTACAAAACCAATCGGCTTTAAAGAGTAAAACATCATGTGAAGAATTGAATAAATTCCATAGACCATGTCAACGAAGAGGGAGATGTCCCTTCCATCAAAATGCCAAAGGAGAATCGAAAAACAACCATTCTGTTCCTTTATCATCGAGTGACACCACTATTCCAATAACAAAAACCAACAAATCAAAAACTCAACAACATCCACCAACCAGTCCAATCAAATCGACAAGACCCAATGTAAATAATACATATCATCCATATCAGAATTTTGTAAATCACCATCACCCCAACTCTACACTTAGCAGTAGTCTCTGTGAAATCCCAACCAATATGCCTATGAACTACAGTAGCGACAATGAGGTAAATATCAAAAACCACAAATACTTTCTTAAAGCGAATGAAGTTGCTTATGTAAGTTCAAATGCATTCTTTTTCTAAAATTTAAACAGATTTATCTAACATTTTATTTTATTGTTTTGTTTTTTTTTCAAGATATATTATAAAAAGAGGATTTCTGAAGGAAAAAACAAGTGTCACGGAATGGAAAATAATGGATTCCCAGATCTCCATGCCTCAACAACAACAATGGAGAATTATCAACCACAATCTACATTATCATTTCAACAACATCAACAACAATATTTAATACCTCCGCAGTTTGTGAATCAATATTATCCATTCTTTCACCATCAACAGCAACAACAACAGCAGCAACTTCAACAACAACAACAAAATATACTTGCCACTCATCCATTCTATCAACATCAACAAACAACTACTGTCAATAATACCAATATTATAGCAAATCATCATCATCAATTTCTTCAAGGTTCCCAGTCGGTGTCCAATGGTGATTTACATTTTCATATGCCTCCATACCTGAACAATATGAGTAATGGAAATAGTAGTAACACCAGTACCAACAACAACAACATCAACAACCACACCAACAACAACAACAACTCTCAAAGTGATCACCCTAATGAACACTCATTCAACTCTCCCAACAGTGATCATCAATACAACAATGATAACAACAACAACAATAATAGCCAAAATAATAATAGCAACAACAACAATCTTGAAGGATTAGAAACATCAAACGAAGATATTAATGATTTATTAAATAATAATAGTCAATAAAATACATAACGTCATACATTCTTGTTATCATCAATAATACCTTTTTAAATAAATTCATTTCTTTACTATTATATCTAAATATTTATTATTATCAATTTTATTATTATAATTAATTATTAACTATTATTATTATTATTATTACTATTATTATTATTATTATTGAATTGGTTGTTCCTATTATGTACTACCAAAATAAAAAGACATTACCTGAACTGTGAAATTAATATTTAGGATTACCGCCGGTACAAATAATGTGAACAATGCCAGAATAGGGTATAGGAATACTTTTGTATTTTTTAAAAATGGTAATGCTATTTATATATATATATAAATCAATGTGATTCGTTAATATTAATCTTTTATCATTTACACATTATTTATATCTATCATATCTAATATAAACATACCATTGTATCCAAGAAAAGTTATATAATAATAGTATACAAATGCCAAAAAAAACATTGAATTGGAGAAAATGGTTGCTACTAACTTTGTAGACATAAATACTGGTAACAAGAAGAACTGTAGCAACATTGAACATTTTTAATATGTTAATTTAAGAATATAATGATGATCATAGATTATTACTACTTACATGAATAACATATAAAATGATGAATAAAGGAAAGAATGAATTACAATGAATATCGAAAGCATATAGCCATTCAACTTTTTGATCGACACTATGATGATGTGCAGACTCTCGGAGGAAATGATTGGATATCCACCAACCTGCAGTGGCAACTACCAAACCAACTGTAATAAAGTCAAAAAATACTGCCCAAAACATAGTTCTACACAAGAGTAGATTTAAATTTTGTATTAGATTTCAATGTTATCAACTATTAATCTTTGTTAAACAACAACAACAACAACTTACTTTATAATATGTAATATAGATAGATAGTGAAATGCAATTGCATAGGACATCGACGCTATAGACATAAAGAATACTAATATAACAACGAATGCAGGATCATCACGTGCCCATTGATTCTTTGTCTCTGTTTATATATATATATATATATATAGATTGTTATAAAAATGAATATTTATACAATGTTGATTATTATAATAATAGTATGGTGTCTACCTACGTTTATGCCAAGAAGTATTTCTATATACACGAGCGGGATTGAAACATAGATAAAACATAATCCAAAATGTATATTCTATATCCATTTGAGGATAGTGAAATATCCTCCTAAAATACTCTGGTACTATACGTTTATATCGTACGGAATCGCCATGCAGCGATGTAGAGGTACGTGTTACTCCTCCCAACATATTTCTATTACTCTATAAAACCAAATCAAACTAATATTGTTGTTTTTTTATTTACTATATTGTTTACTTTCAACTTTATTTATCTATATCTATAATATCTCTGTAAATAGTTCGTTTTTTTATTTATAAATATTCTAAAAATTGAAGAAGAATGATAATTTAAATTAAAAAGATAATAATGATAGGGTTTGCAATTCACGCAAAAAAAAAAAAAAACAAAAAAAAAATTTGAGGTGCCACATCAACTGTTTTTTTCTTTAAAGAACTTTGTAAGTCAAACTTTACTTAGAGTGTTCTATAGTATTTAATATAGAAAAGCAATGTCTGAAGATACAGCAACAACAACAACTACTTCTTCTTCTTCTAACACTTCTACTACTACTACTAATACAAATGTTTATCAAAATGGAATGAATGGTACACATCATAGTAGTAGTAGTAATACAAATACTAATAATAGCAATAATATATCAACAAACAATCATGTAAATAATAATAATAATAGCAATAATAACAATAATAATAGCAATGTAAATAGTAATAATAATAATAATAATAACTTAAATCCATTTGAATTATTAATGAAATTAAATGGTAATCTTGAAGTGTTTATACAATCTCTAATATCGAGTAATGAAGCAAAAGAAAAAACATACTCTGAAGGTAAATAATAAAAAATCATTTATAATTAAACTAAAATGATATTTATTAATTATATTGATTGATTTATAGTTATTGAGGTCAATATCGAAAATCTACTTGGATCTATAGGTGATTTAGATGGCTATCTTAAATCAATACAATCGAAATATAATCAAAAGAAAGATTTAGATGTTAAACAGGTAAATTACTACTATTATTATTATTATTACTATTATTAATATTAAGTGTAATGTTTATGAAAAACTGACTTTTTTTTTTTTTTTTTAATTAAAAATGATAATGATTATTAGGAGATATTTAGAGTAAAGAAAGAGATTGAATCAAAAGACATGCTAATAGAGAAATATAAGAACAAAGTGAAGGAATGGAAGTCACATTTCGAACCTATCTACAGAGAACAATATGAAACACTGAATTCATCGGGTCAGGTATTCAGTTCATCCAGTGATATTCCATTCTCACCGATGCAAACACCAATACCAAACACACCATCGATTCTATCATCACTCTCACAAAGAACACCACCCGCTTTCAATTTACCAGGTTCCTCTTTCCTATAATCATAAGCTTAGCATACCACATTTACAAGCAAATCAAGTATACAATATTAATTATATATATATATATATATATATATATATATATATATATATATATAATATAGCTATACAATAATTCAACCTATGAAATCAATCAAACAATCAAACTAAACATAATATTTAATAATAATAATAATAAGTATTGATTGATATAATCATATAATAAGATAAATAAGAATTGTCAAAATTTTAATTAGGCATAATTGTCTTCACTCAAACTTGCTCGCCCCACCATATTAATTTAAAAATAATAAATAAAGAGTGAAATTAATCACATGAATAGAATAGTCTACTTCGCAAATGAAAATAAAGATAATAATAAACTATTTCAAAAACAAAAAAGAATCTTATAAAAGTTTAACTTAATTACTGTTGATATTGTCTTGATCTAACTAACCACCATTCCGGGTAAGACTGTTTGCTGATCTACTGATAACAAAGATAAAAGTGAATTTGACCAGCAAAGTTGAATTAACTTAAGACTTTTAAAACGATTGATATTAAAATAAAATTAAAGGAAAATAAAAACAATTTCCCACACTTTTTTTTTTTTTTTTTTTTTTTTTTGTTCTCAAAATTTTGGAAAAAACGATGTGGTAAAAAATAAAAATAATATGAAATGTTGTTTCTATCAACGAAATCAGACAAACCACCAACCAATACAATCAATAAATCAATTCTCACACACAATTTTTTATTTATTATCCAAACAAAAGAATCATATCAATTATTTTCCTTTCGTTTTACATCATACAAAAGAGCACAAACAGAGTATTTGATTTCAATCAAAAAAAAAAAAAAAAAATAAACAAAATTAAAAAGGCGGTCTATTCATTAAAATAATAAAATATTGAATTAATTAAAAATCAATCATCTGACAACAAACAACAGCAACAATTATAATACTATTAGTATTAATAAAAATAACAATAAATTAATCAATCAACTATATATTATTTCAAATTGTCAAATAATATTTTTACATTGTGAGATAAAGCACAAAGCACAAATAATAGAGAAATAGATAAATAAACAAGAAGTGTGTTTTGTTTTGTTTTTGTTTTTGTTTGCTCGAGATAGATAGTTAGTTAGTGTGTTTTTTATTTAATATTTATATTTATTTTTTGACATATTGTTAGTTTCTTATTATTATATTTTAAATAATTACTTTAGAATATTCAATTATAATAAAAAAATATTATTTTGAATGAAGAACAAAATAAATTTATATTGTAATATTTAAAAAAAAAAAAACAAATAATTATTTAGTGTATATTTTCATATAATTTTTGTAGTTTATAAAGATTTTAGTTTTTTTTTAGTTTTTTTCATTTAAACGAGTTAGTTATCTTTGATATTTTTGTTTTACATTGTATAAATATATATATCAATCAATCAATCAATCATATTTTATATCAGAGTTATCATTATAATATCAAAATCAAACATAAGTAATCAAGATTATCAGAAATAGAATTAGAAAATAGAAAAATAGAGATCAAAAAAAGAGAGAGAGAGAGAGAGAGAAGACTATAGTTTATATTTTGTAATTTGGTAAAATGTGGTCGTATCGTGGCGCCAAGTTCATATTCAAAAAGATATTTGGACAATATTTTCAATATGAACTTGAAAAAGACCAATTCGATATCGGCTTCAAGAATGGAACTATCAACCTTTCCAATCTAGAGCTGAACGTGCGTCGTATCAATGCTGATCTCACCAACTCGCCACTGGCACTCGCATCTGGATTCCTTGGAAACATCCACACCAAAGTACCATACACATCACTCTGGGATAAACCAAGCGAGTTCATCGTATCTGACTTGGAATTATCATTAGTATCATATGATAGTAAGTAATAATAATAATAGCAACGAAAACAATCATTACAGACTATGAGATATTCATACCAATATTAATACTATACTTAACTAAACTTAACTTAACACTACAAAGATTATGAGAATATAGTTATTGATAAATTGAATGATTTAGAATATCAACAAGCAGCAGCTAGTAATACTGGTGGTGATTATCAACAACAGCAACACTCTGAGAATGTCGAGCATCAATACTATTCCGATGAGGATGAAGAAGTCGATAGGATGATACAGACTAGAAATGAGAGTATGGGTGGTTTGGAGTTGTTGGCAGAGATGATAAAGAAGTTGGTGGATAAAGTGTCGGCCAGGATCAACAATTGTTCGATCTCCATAACACATTTCGATCGTAAGCGAAACAAATCGATTACTATGATGTTGCTGATAGAGTCACTGGAGTATACAGATGATAAACAAGCTGCTACTGCTGCTACCGAACAACAACAACAACAGCAGCAGCAACAACCAACTTCACCACGTCAAACACAACAGCAACAGCAAGAAGATAAAAACTCATACTTTTACAAGATGATTAAATTAGCGAATTTCTCGATTAAAGTTGCCGAGACCGATGGAAATCTATTGCTTTCCGATCAATTTTACACCAGTTCCATATTGAACTGCATTCAATCCTCTTTATTTCAAACCATTTTCACCAATAGAAAAGATAGTAAAGATCTAGATTCAACCAACGACATCATCAATCTAAAGATAAAAAGAACCGAAAAGAATATAAATCTACCTCTTTTTTCAGTGGAGTGTAACTTTCGTGATTGGACCATATTATTATCACCAATACAACTGTTATTATTAAAGAACTTTTTAAAGATATTCAATAGCAACAACAACAATAGTAGTAGTATCAGTAATAATAATAATAGTAGTAGTAGTAGTAGTAGTAGTATAGATAAAAGTAATATAGATTCAAGCTTAGCAACTTCAAATATACCAATAATAACAACTAATACTACAACAACAGCTACAACATCACTGAGGTCTGGTTCACCAATGAAATCACCACCAACACCAATCAATAATAATAATAATAATAGAAATAATAATAATAGTGGTAGTGGTAACTCACCATTAGATCAACAATCAACAACAATTAATCAAAACAACAACAACAACAATAACAATAGCAATCGATTTTCAATTCAATTCAAGTGGTCGAGACTACGGCTATTCCTCTTCCACAATGAACACTGTAATATAAATGCATTTCTTCAACAACACTTTCAACACCAACCATATAAAATCAACTTCTTCCTACTTCATGTACAAGACTTTATACTTCAATACAGCCAATCTGCATTGTCAAAGCAAATCAATCTTAACATCACGAAATTCAACCTCTTCCAACATGTCATACAATCACCACAGGAATCTAAATTTGAAACAAACGATATCAATATGATAAATCCAAAGTATGTTGTTAAAATCACACTCAAATAATTATAATAATCTTTATTAACTAACGAACAACTTATATATATATATTTTATTTAAAATCAATCAAGTTTATATTCAATCATTCAATTTAATGATAATAGTAGTATAGCTCAAGAGAAATCGAGTCCTTACGATATTTCAGTTAGAATTCAATTTATATATCAGGCTGGCAAGCAATCATTCGATAGAGATATCAGTTTGCAGATGAAGGATCTAAGTGTTTACTTTTATCCATATCTGCTGGTGAGTGGACAGTCGTTGATGGATGAGATGAACGAGCAATTCAAGCGAGTGAATGGTCCAGGTGCTTTAGGTGATCTGGAGTTGAAAGAGAAGAAGAAATCAGATAATTCCAGTCCGATCATCAGATCATCTCAGAGCTACGAGAATATTCTTACAGAGTTGAAGAACACTCGATTTACAATCGATGGAAATGAACGATCATCACAATACAACTACTCCAACAGCAACAACAGCAACAACAATAACAACTATAATGAAGATGATGAATCAGACTCTTTAGAATCTACATCCACTCAACTACATATCAACTCTTCACTCATCAAAGTTATCATTAAATTCCCATCATCTTTAGAATTAGATAAGAACAATTCATTTGAAATGTAAGTAGTGAATAATAACACAAATTTGATAAACAGAATATTTAAAGTTAATAACTTTATTGCTGTTTATATAGTCAAAAACTTAGATCAGAAATTGTATCGATTTCAGCGAACAATGTAAAGATTGTTGCCAATCTGATCAAGGATATAAAGGATGTTAAATGGTTTATCGATTTCGATGATATTCATGCTAATCTGATAAATGAGATGAACGATACGATTAGATTCCTAGAGATATCTACGAAGGATCAGAATACGCATCATGGTGTCATTCCATTGGAGATTACCATTCGTGGTAGTGTCTCTGCCTATTCGAACTATGATGTCGATTTAAATTCACCACCTATCAGATCGCCTCTTACCGTTGGATCAAGTAATATCAATAGTAGCAGCAACAGGTTGAACTTGAACTTGAACTATCAGTCATTAGCATCGGAACCAATGATATCTACACCATCGTCTTCACCATCACATAGATCACAACAATCATTATCATCATCATCATCACCGTCATCGTCATCATCGTCACCATCATCACGCGCCAGTTCACAGTCATCATCTCCATCATCAACGTTCTCCACAGACAGACCTTTCAATCCATTCAACAACGTTAAAGAACGGCACAAAGGACCATTCTCTAGTTTCGTTTCTACCTCCGAAGGTATTTTCGATGATGATTGGCTTGGTGAAGCTGAACAAGATGAAATGAGTTCATTTAGACATTCATCAATTGAATCATCTGTAAGTAACATTAATATTACAGATCAACGCTACTATAAAACTAACACTGTTACTTTATCTTTCTAGAAATATGTATTCAATGTAGTTTTACCAATATTGAAATTTGAAATTAAAAAAGATGAACTCAATTTATTGGTTAATTTGTTTACATCTTTGACAGAGTTTGTTGATAATCATAATACAAAGAAGAATCAACAACAACAACAACAATTAGATGTCAATAACCAACCACAATTTGCAGAACAACTACCACCACCTTTATCACATTCAAATACTAAATCACTAAAGAATGTCAGTCTTTTATCAGTTTTGCTCATAGTCAACAAAGGACATTGTATATTGACGGAAAACGAATGTAGTGGGACACCTTTATCATCTTCATCATCCTCGATCAACAGTAACAGTAGTAGCAATACCAACAATAGCAATAGTAGTTCCGTTGGCTCTTCATCTTTATCGTCATCATCTGCAACCACCACCGCCGCTACCACCATACAGAATACCTATTTCAAATATTGGATTGAATTTGAACGATTTGAGATGTTCAATGTTAGTCAGTACTTTGGTCGTGATATCACCTTTATCAATTGTTCATTCTCGCAGTTGGAGTTGAAGGAAGCGGATCTTTCACTGCCGTCGCCATCGAACCAACCGAGATCCATCATCTCAAAGACATTGTCATCGTCGAACAAGTTGATTCCAAGTCAATCACTGAGTGCAGTGATATCGATCAACAACGATGACTCTGACTTTTTGGACGGTGCAATCGATGGCAAGGTGATATCACTTCAATTCAAAGGAATAACAATCGAGCATAAGATTAACAATTCTTGGTTTACAAGACTGCCTGATTTCTTTACATTCCCAACAGACCAACATCAACATCAACAACAACAACATCCACCGACAGTATCATCAAATTCACCAAAGATCAAACAACAAACGAAATCAGCAACAGCAGCAACTTCAGAGAATCATGTAAAGACATTCTTAAACTTTATCGATAGTTCTGTTTATTTCATTCCATCTTCGAACCTTTCGTCTGCTGCCATCTTTTTCTTTGCTGATACCAAGATCAAGTTGACCGACTCGAAAAAGATTAGTTGTAACGGTCAGAATAGCAATATTTTTGTGATTGACGATGTTCTCAATCTAAGAGAGTCATCTCCAACGACATCGTCACACTCATCTGTTTACAACTACTGGAAGTATCTTGGATTCGAACCATCGGTATACTTGGATTATTTTGAATTTGAAATATTAAGAGATCAACATAATTATCCAAAGTTTTCAGTATGTAGAATACAATATACCGAAAATATATTATTATTATTATCCAATTATATTCTTTATTAACCAACTATTATAATAGTTAAAGTTCAATCATAATAATTTACAGATTAGTGCATGTGCAGATTCATTCTTTGTGGTGAATGAAATCATTAGTAATCTACTTGGTTTGGATATTCCATATGCAGAGGTTGCAGATTTGATTATCACTCAGGGAATTGCACCGGATTTGAAAGAGAATATCGATATATTGATAAATGAAGATACTTTTAAATCGAACCAAGTCAATGGCTTGGGTGGAATCGTTGGTTCCTATGGAAGTCTTTCGAATTTAGATACGTCTTCGTTCAACAATGCAACTATTTCATCGTCACCGATTGTCAGTGCATCGCCACAAGTAGTATTGAATAGCGGTGGTGCTTCATTCTCAAATACACCCAGTTTGGATTTCGAGGATTTCGAAGATGATCCCGCTAGTTTTGCCGATCTCTCTGACGACGAAGGTACTTTCTACGAATACCATTCGCCGCCTGCCGACGTAACATCCAACACCTCCAACAAATTGAGTGATAGTACCACTTCACTTGAGGATCAGACTGCAGAGTTGACAAGTCTTGCCGACACTTCTTCACAGACATCGTTGGGTGGTGCCGGAATTGGTGGTGGTGGCAACAGCGGAAGTGGTGGAATCGCACCGATTCTTGGAAGTGTAATGATCGAAGATTATGACCACGAGAAGCTGGAGAGTTTCCAATCGAATAACCAGCATACTCTGGTCAATGAATATGTTTCAATGGACGATCAACTATATTATATGGATTTAGAACAATTCTCAGATCCTTTGGATAGCAATGATGTTCAGAAAACTAGTAATTATATTGGTGGTGGTGGTGGAATGAATACTCACGGTAGTCATAGTAGACAGCCATCTTCATCATCGATATCGATGACAACAACAACAACATCAACATCACGTGATGGACCGACCATTCATTGGTTGGATCCAAGATATACGAATATCGATATCATTGAAAACTATATATCTACGCCCGGAGAAGATCCAGAGGATACAAACCTACCATCAAATTATCCCAAATCACAGGAACGATTCTTGTTCAGCAAGATGAACATATCACTAAAGATCTATAAAGGTTCCGACTGGGACAAGTCCAACGGTAACAAATCAACTAGAGATCCCAACTCTTATGTCGAATTCATTTTCTCTGGATTCAATCTTCGTATTGATAAATTCGATGAAAATGAAAAGGTTGCAAAATTATTAACATTCAACCTTTGTGATTTTACTGTAAGTGAAATAGGTTTATTATTAAGTATAGACTTTTTAAATATATTGAACTAATGTGATAATTTATTTTATCAATTTAGATTATTGATCATATACCTAGTTCACTTTGGAATAAGTTCCTTTGTTCCGATACGAATGTCACTAGATATCAACAGTCACCAATGTTCAAGATCCACTTGGAAACGGTGCGACCCGATCTCAATAGACCGTTGTTACAGGAGAACAAGTTGAAAGTGTTGATACTCCCGTTGTGCTTCAATATCGATCAAGACACTGTGATGTTTATGATTAGCTACTTCTCATATAAACCGACGCCAAGCAAACAGAAGGAGCCATCGTCAAACGACCAATCACCGACCAAGAAGAAGAAAAAGTCGCCACACGCCGTTAGCCGAACCATTCCCGAAGACAAGGCGAAAACAACCGACAAGGAATCACAGGAGATCACCTATTTCCAGAGTTGCGAAATTCATCCGATTCGCTTAAAAGTCGATTACAAACCAAAGAAACTCGATTACCATAGTCTTACAAGTGGAAACTATGCAGAGTTGCTCAATCTTTTGCCACTGGAGGGTGCCATTTTCAATTTGAATCGATTGAAGCTAACGGGTGTAGGTGGTTGGGGTGCACTGTTTAACCAGATCGGAAAGCAGTGGGTTCCTCACATCATTAACACTCAGCTACTGGGATACATATCGGGAGTTCGTGGAATCAACTCTCTGGTGCACGTCGGTGAGAGTCTGGCCAATCTAGTTGTGCTTCCACTGGAGCAATATAAGAAAGATGGAAAAGTATTCAAAGGAATCAAAAAGGGTACTTCTACATTCTTGAAAAATCTCACACTGGAAACACTGTCTGTCGGTGCCAAAATGGCGGTTGGAACGCAAGGATTGCTTGAAACAGCCGATCAAGCACTCTCTGCGAAATATCAAAGTGGTGGAAACAGCGGTGGTAGTGGTAATGTTGCTGGCAACTATAGTGGTGGGGGCAGCGGTTCTGGTAACTATCAGAACTATAACAACTCTCAGCAACAACAAAACTACAACAACTCATCGTCTTCGTCATCGTCGTCACTGTTCAATCTGCAGAGTAAATTCTCTGATCAACCTATTGATACTAAAGAGGGTATACAACACGCCTATGAATCAGTGTCTAGAGAGATCAAATCGGCTGCGCACACGATCATAGCGATACCGATGAAGGAATACCACCAAAAAGGAACCAAAGGCTATATGAAGTCGATGGTAAAAGCAGTTCCCATAGCAATCATTCGTCCGATGATCGGTCTGACAGAAGGTGTATCGAAAACACTACTTGGCGTTAGAAATCAAATCGATCCACAAAAGAAAGCTGAAATGGATAACAAATATAAGAAAGTTGTTTTCCATTAAAAAAAAACATTATTTTATTTTACATTCTCGTTGAACTCTATATAATATCTATATATTGATATATATTCATTTCCATTCCATTTAATTTTAAATAAATATTTTTGGTAAATCTCTTTTTTTTTTTTATCATCAATTCATTAACAGTCTAACTCTCTCTTTCTTTGCCTCACAACTTGTAAACTATCCAATCAATTTATTCATGAATAAACAAAACAAAAAATATCTTTTTATTAAAGAAGAAAGAAATGAGGATTAATAATCTTTGCAAAAATATCTGAAATTGGGATAACTGATAAACAAAAAAAAAAAAATAACCTTAAAAAGAAAAAAATACATATTAAAAAAAAAAATAAAATAGTCGATCGTAATTAATTAATGCGATCAAAACTAGATTTTTTGCTATGAAAAATGAGGCCTCCACCATAAGATACCCTGTGATCATTTTTATTTGAAAAAAATCTGTTTTTTTTTTTTTTGTTTTATTTTTTTTAATCTTTTTTTTAAAACAATCATTTTTTTTATTTTACTTTACTTTTTTTTTTTTAATACAAACATTACATTTCTCTCTTTTTTTATTATTTTTTAACTTTTATTTTTATTTTAGTATCATATTGGTTCTATTTTAGTATCAGTATAGTTCAATCGGAATCATCCATCATCAATCAAACAACAGCAGCACCATCATACTTTACCTCCAATGACACAAAATAAAGGTATCTATAGGAACTGACCCAAAAATCTAGATTAATTTTTTTAATTTTTTTATTTTTCATTTTTTCATGATATTTCTACAAACAATTCCTCATATCAAATATCGGTTTTGATTGGTAATTCCGCCGTGTGTTTGTTTTTTTAATGAAAATATATTTATTTATAGCTAGCATTTATATTGGAATATAAAAAGAGTTTGTGGGGTTATCGAAATAACACACTGTTTAATTATCAATCAAAGTCAGCAATTTCAATCAATAAATATACTCTAACTATATTCACACAAGATATATAACAAATCATACACATACATATCATCAACAACAACAACAACAAGAACAAAGCTTATTGCGTCCTTTTATTAATCAAAGTTTGTTGTGGTGCTTTTTTGGTTGTGTGTGGATCAAAGAATTTATATTAAAAAAAAAAATCAAAATATCAAATCGGATTTGTAAAAAAAAATCAGCAAACAATAATTTGAATTGTTATTGCCAATACCCTTACAACCCACACACACAAATCAAACAACTATCAAACAATCAACTTTAAATTTGTATATGTGTGTTTGTTTTGTTTGTAATGATATTTATGACTTTTAAATTTATAAATTTGTGTCGAGCCTAAACATCGATTTTCCATCATCACTTAAAAATAATAACATCACATTTTTGTTTATATATATAAGAAAGAAATAAAGAAATAATTATAAAACTAATCTAATTATTAAATATTAATATTAAATGTCAATTAGAAGTAAACCAAAACCAGTAATGGAAACAAGAGTAAGTAAAGAAAAAACAAACAAAATAAATAGTTTGTCTATGAGAAAAAACAAATTGATTAACAAAAAATGCCTTTTGAATTAATTTTTTTTTAAGGAAATAAAATGGGCAATGTCATTGCTCAAAGAAAGGAGGAATATAGTATTTCATGATTTAGAAGCTTGGCGGAACGGTGTTTTGTTGATCACCACACTGGAAATCATCACCAACAAAACCATCGTTAAATACTATCCAACACCAAAGAGCAGAATTCAAATGATTGAGAATGTCAATATTGCAATGACATTCATGGCACTACACAGTATCATAACAAAGTTTTCACCTCAAGGTAATCTTTCACGTGACCACACAAAATTAACATTAAAAACCAAAAGCTAATATTATTATTTTTTATAAATTTAAATTATAGATTTTGTTGATGGAAACGATAAAGTTATTCAAAGTACTATTTATAGATTGTATTTGATTTCGAATGGAAAGAGTGTACATGCATCGACACATTCGATCTACAATTCCAATTCCAACTCCACACCCACTTCACCACAGACTTTGACATCGAATCAACTATCGAACGCATATAGCAATGTACCAACATCACCAAATTCATCTTCCTTAATTTTATCTTTTAATCAATCAACATCTTCATCTTCATCTTCATCTTCACAACCTTTAGTTTCATCTTCAACTAAAATATCAACTTCAACATCCACCTCAAATTCGTCATTAAATGCCGAAGTACAAACAACACAACCACAACCACTGCCACCACCACAACCACAACCACAGTTACAAAATCCACCAAAACCATCAAGACCAACCACAGCACCACCCAGTCTTAAAGTTTTGATGGAATCACTTTCAAACAATGCATCTACCAACAACTTGTATGCAACATCGAAATCCAATCTTGACGTCACATCTCAACAACAACAATCACATATTAACAATGATTTTATTGAAGCTACTCAACAAGCTCTAGAATCATTAGAATCTTTAATTGCTCAATCAAAACAACAACAACAACAACAAGAGGAAGAAGTAGTACAATACCAACAAGAGCAACAACAAGTTGAGGAAGAATATCAATATGTTGAGCAACAAGAATATCCAGATAATAATGTAAATGTAGAACAAAACCAAACTGAAGTAGAACAAATAGATCAATCTCTAGAGCAACCGATTCAATATCAACACACTGAACACTATGCAGCTGAAGAGGAAGTTCAAGAGTATATACAAGAGCAAGCAGAGGAATATATTGAAGAGGTAACAACTGGTGAGCAACTAGTCGAAACCACTGTGGAGGAAGGTGGTCTACTTAATAGCTCGGTAGAGGAAGGTAATGCTGATAGTAGTAGTAGCGATCACGATAACAATGTAAATATAGAAATACAAAACGAACAACAACAATCATCATCATCATTCAAGAAACCAGAGTTACCTTCAAAAGATTCAGATCTTTCAAAGTCAAATGGTGAACTACCACTCGATCCAGAGGCACGTTGGAAACGTCGTCTTCTCAATGGTCGTCCAGTGTCTGGCAGTGGATTCAATATCGGTCGTGCCAGAAATAGCTTTATCGATCCAACGACCACCACTTCCGCTCAGAACATGTTGTCATCTCAATCGCAACAAGCAGTGAGCGGTGCCAGCTCTGCACCGACAACACCGACCAAAGTCATATCGAGACAAGATTCAAACTCGAGTGTCGATTCACAAGCTTCGAACTCCTCCGGTATCAACGCATCATGGTCAATGGCAAAGATCGAAATAAACGAAGCCGACAAACCACGAAAGAAACCACTACTCATCATCAACAAGCTCAACCCAGCGGATCTCGAACGTTTCAACAACCCAGAGTTACTCCCAACTATCATCAAGTGTCAATCTTTTATTAGAAGATATCAATCAATGAAAATATTAAAGAAAAGAAGTAAGCTAGTTATAATCATTATATATATATGTTTATTTGTTATTAACTCTTTACTATTAAACATACATATATATATAGTTAAAGATAATATACATAGAAATAGATGTTTTAAAGAGATATTATCTTCAGAAGAGAATTATGTAACTGCAATAGAGATGATCGTAAAAGTATTCTATCAACAGATCGTGTTCAATACCAAGGTATCACCAACACCATATTTGACACAGGATGCTATCAATACGATCTTCTCTACGGTCAATGAGATCTACTCGTTCAATACAGAGTTGCTGGCGCGTTTGAGAGAGCGTGCCAAAGACTGGTCTTCACACCAAAAGATCGGTGATATCTTTGTTGTGATGGCACCCTATCTAAAGTTGTACAAGACCTACTGTCTCAACTACGACAACGCTATCGAGTGTCTACAGAAAGCAAAGAAGAACGACAAGTTTCATTTGTTTATAAAGGCATGTCTCGATCATCCCGAGAACCCAATGAAACAAAGTCTAGAGAGTCTGTTGATTACCGTTGTTCAGAGAATTCCTCGGTATATCCTACTGATACAAGACATGTCTTCACACACCTGGAAGGATCACGTCGATTACGATTCTCTAAAGACGGCACTCAAACACGTGCAAACCGTTGCCAGCGATGTAAACATTGCCATCAAGATGGCCGAGTCACAATCAAAGGTACTGGCAATACAACGATCCCTCATCGGCTGGGATGAAGCATACGATCTCGTCAATCCCTCCCGTCATTTCATCAAACAAGGTATCATCTACCAGTGTCATCTCGATACCAGATTCGCCAAGAACCTCCTAGAGATGTTCTATTTCGCATTCAACGACTCCATCCTAATCGCCGAAAAGAAAGATTCAACAAAGTATCAATTTAAATATTTCTTTGAACTTTCAAAAACAAGAGTTAAAGATGTAGATGATAGTCAAGGTAACTATACTATTTTATTAACATAGCAATTAAAACTATATATATTATAGTTAACTAATAACAAATATTATTATTATTATTTATTATACACCACTAGTATTACAAAATGCAATTCATTTAATATCAGGTGAAACAACAGCAATGGTTTCATTCCATACACCTCAGCTAAAGAAGAACATGATAGAATACATTGAAAAAGGAAAACAAGGTCATAGATCACAATCAGATATATCACAATCATCTTTTTCTTCATTCTCTGTAAGTATTTATAGTTACTACTACTACAACAACAACAGTACTGTTATTTTATTTAAATGAAGATAGCATGCTAACTAACTAACAAACAAACAAACAATTTTATATTATTATTAAACCAATCGTAGGATTTACAACAAAAAACTGTTCTATACAATTATAATGTTCAAATTAAAAAGACAGAGAGCAAGAAGATTCAAGGAAAGAAACCTTTCACCGTTTACATTATCGATATCGTCAACGAATCTACTGGCGATCTATTTTCAATTTCAAAGAGATACAGTGATTTCGACTCGCTTCACAAGAAGCTGAAGCGAAAGTATCCCGATGCCGACATCAGAGACCTCCCAAAGAAACACTTGATCAACTCACTCGGTACCAACACCGTTGAATCGAGACGTGTCATGCTCGAAGTATTCCTCCAGGATCTCTTCCAGAAGGAGACCATCAAGAACAGCAGTTATCTTTTAAACTTTATCAGTAAAGAGTCAAATAACAACAACGGCAAAGAACTGAAAAAGAACCCATCGGAACTGAACCTCGACGGTGCCGACCTCATTACAAGACAAAAGAGTAAAGAAGATCTACAACACATGACAAAGAGCAATTCCAACTCCAAATTCAACGATTTTATTGATTATGAAAGTGCTGATGAAGAAGATCAACAACAGCAACAACAACAACAAAGTTGACATTGAACATCATTAACATTATATTATATATATATAATTTATTAAATTTTAAAAATAAATAATTTTAAAATGAAATTTATCCAATCTAAAAAAAAATCAAATAAAATTTGTAACATTTGTTCAAAAACTTTAAAAAATAATATCTTTTATAATCATGATCTTATCCGTAGATATTTTAGATAAAATTTTAAAATGTTTGCAACAAAAACATAAAAAATTTAAAATTTTATTATTTTTTGCGGTACTCGATGTTTTTGTGCAAAAATACAACCAATTAATGATGTACCAGGTTTTTTTATTTTTCTCGGTTTGATGAATCATCCCCTATCTATCCTTTCTTAGAGGGTAGATTTGCTCAGCATTTTCTAAAATTCACAAGTGATTTTTAAATAATAAAGAATTTTTGATGGTTAACTAATTGAATTGAATTATAAAATAAACAATTTTTTTTGTTTAAATGTGTTTTTTTGTTTACTTTAAAGAAAGATTCGCACAACAAAGTAGTAGTAACAAAAAACTTTAATTTTTGACAACTTCAACTTTTATATATTTATATATCAATATTAGTAAATTAACACACAATTTCAAAAGTTTTTTTATTTTTACTCTACCTTTTATTCACATCAGATTTCTATCTCATTGTATCTGAAATTTCCAACATTTATTTAAAGTGTTGGACTATTTATTATTTTATTAAATTCTATTGCATTTAGTTTCATACTATTTTTGTAAACAAAAAAGTATATCGACAACTAAATATTTTAATATTTATGCTTTTATATTTCCACATGATTATATATTTTATTCATTATAAAGTCAAATAATAATAATAATTGTAATAAATAAGATAATTAATAAATAAATAAATAAATATAAACAAAATGGAAGAGTTAATAAATACTTGGAATGTAGAAATTCTTACAGCTTTGATGTTTACATTGACTCTATATGTTTCCAATGTAATTACACCTTTATTTTACAAAGATTTTCATAAATTAGAGAAAAAAGATAAAATAGAATGGAATTCTAGGTAATTATTTTATTTGATTAATGTTTTCTCACTCATAAATAACAATATTAATTTCATTTAAAAATAAATAATATATTTTATAGAATTGGATCAAATATTAATGCTATAGTTTGCACATATGGTGCATTAAAATGTTTATTTTTCGAGAATTTAGCATGGACTGAAAATCCATATTATGATATCTCACCATCGAGTTCTTTCTATATGAGATTTATTCTCGGTTACTTTTTTTACGACACTATTATTCTATTGATCAATCATAGTCAGATTGATAGCGCAACACTCATGCATCATTTAATGGGTTTATTATTATATTATTTAGGAATTGTGAGTTAAAACAATATTAAATATCAAAGAAATTTCAATTTATTAATTAATATTTTTTTTTAGTCAAGGAAATATTGCCATTTTGTATTGGTATCATATATGTTAACAGAGGTTTCAACACCATTTGTAAATTTCAGATGGTTCCTATATAGAACAAACAAGAGCAAAGATTTCATTTATATTATCAATGGCTTGTTGATGGCTCTTGGATTCCTGTTGGCCCGTGTCCTTTATGCCCCAACAACCATTGGTTATGCATTGATTACCAAGTATCCATTGTCCTTGAACCTTCCTGGATATATTTGGTGGGGAACCTACTTGGGTTGTGTGGCCATTAATAGTCTAAATATGTATTGGGCATACCTTATATTTAGAGGTCTCTATAGAGCTATGAAGAAACCACCAACAACAACAACAACAACAATATCATCAGAAACAACATTACAACAACCACCTCAAGAAAAATCATATCAATCATGTTCATCATCATCCTCAGCAGTGCACGCACATGCTGCCTCAACCAACTACAACGACAACAATACCAACCTTATTAACAATATCCATACCTATAATTCTTTTGCCAATAACTCTACATCTAATTTACATCAATTCGATTCAGATAATCATCTTAAAAACGATGATTCGATTTTAATTAATAACCAGATAATTAAAAAGATCAAAACAAATTAATTGAAATCACAACCAACAGAAATTAATTCACAAATTTTAAATGAAAATTTAAAAAAAAAACTTTTTGAAATGGGTTTTTGACTAATCTAGATAACAAGGTAATTCAATTCAAATAAATTAATCTTCATTTAAATTCAAAACTTTAGTTTTTTTTTTTTTTTTGAAACAAAGTGACACTCATTGATACAAATAAACTCGTTATCATTTTTACTTAATTATCAAGCAATCAACCAAACCAATATTAATTCGTTGTATTTATTCGAATATATCTATCATCCATCCAACACACACACTCGTTTTTATAACACACAGACACCTAGCAGAATAGTTAAAAATAGTTTACAGTAATTACTGTCTATTGTTACTTTTCATTTCAATTATTTTACAATTGTGTGTTTATTATTGTTTGTTGTCACAAAATATATTTGTAGATTTAAAAAAATTAAAACTAAAAACAAAAAAAAAAAAAAATACAAAATCTTTTGTAATAAATAAATATTTACAAATAGCTATAGTTTATAATATATATATTTTAAAATAAATAATTTAATAGAAAATAATAAATTAAAAGATGGTGTTTGCATATTTATATAATTTAATTATTCAATATTTCTTTGGAGGTGGTGCAGAAGCTGCTACTGCCAGTCGTAAAGCAACCACCACCAATAAAAATGAAAATTACAATAGTGGTAGAGCTAGGAATGACAGTATAACAGAAGACAACAGAAAGAGTTATTATTTCAAAGAGAATGTTACCAAAGGCGATGAAACTGCAATTCAATTAGAAATATCATTACTCAGTAACATGGATGAACTAATGGAGAATCCACTACTCGTTCACTACACCTCAGAAGACGCCGGAACTAGCTCCGAGGACCAAGAACCAAAGATGACTGGAATGGTTGTATACTCACTGGATGACCTACCCATAGGAAAACTATTCATCTCTCAAGCCGGTGAAAATATAATTAGAATCGATCAAAATACTGTTAAATATTCAAATGGTAAACTTTGAAAATATCTATTTTTTTATTTGAATTGGATATTATTTTGGGTTTACCAATGGTTTTTTTTTTAATTAATTTTGGATGTTAGCAATTTTATTAACATTATTATTCTCTTTAATGTAAAATATTAAAGATAAATTGTTTAAGGTTCAACCAAAGCAATCAGCTTCACACCAAGAGAGTGATAATGTAAATAGTCAAAAAGATCAAGAAGCTGAAAGAAAGCAATTGGCTGAGCAATCCGAACAAAAGAGATTATCTGAAGAAGCTGAACAAAAGAGATTGGCTGAGGAGAAACGTGTTGCTGAAGAGAAGAGACTTGCTGAAGAGAAACGTGTTGCTGAAGAGAAGAGAATCTCACAAGAAGTAGAGCAAAAGAGATTGGTAGAAGAGAAACGTGTTGCTGAAGAGAAGAGAGTAGCAGAGGAGAAACGTGTTGCAGAGGAGAAGCGTGTTGCTGAAGAAAAGAGAGTAGCAGAGGAGAAACGTGTTGCTGAAGAGAAACGTGTTGCTGAAGAAAAGAGAGTAGCAGAGGAGAAGAGAATAGCAGAGGAGAAACGTGTTGCTGAAGAAAAGAGAGTCGCAGAGGAGAAGAGAGTAGCAGAAGAGAAGAGAATAGCAGAGGAGAAACGTGTTGCAGAGGAGAAAAGACTTGCACAAGAAACAGAGCAAAAGAGATTAGCAGAAGAGAAACGTTTAGCCGAAGAGAAGAGACTTGCTGAAGAAGCTGAACAAAAGAGATTGGCTGAGGAGAAAAGATTAGCCGAGGAGAAGAGACTTGCCGAAGAAGCAGAGCAAAAGAGACAAGCCGAAGAAAAGCGTATTGCCGAGGAACAACGTTTGGCCGAGCAAAAGAGACTTGCTGAAGAAGCCGAACAAAAGAGATTGGCTGAGGAGAAGCGTGTTGCTGAAGTACAAAGAATGGCAGAAGAGAAGAGACGCGCTGAAGAGGCAGAGCAGAAGAGATTGGCTGAAGAGAAACGTATTGCCGAAGAGCACCGTTTGGCCGAGGAGAAACGTGTTGCTGAAGAGAAGAGACTTGCTGAAGAAGCTGAGCAAAAGAGATTGGCTGAGGAGCAAAGATTAGCCGAGGAGAAGAGACTTGCTGAAGAGGCAGAGCAAAAGAGACAAGCCGAAGAAAAGCGTATTGCCGAGGAACAACGTTTGGCCGAGCAAAAGAGACTTGCTGAAGAGGCAGAGCAAAAGAGATTGGCTGAGGAGAAGCGCTTGGCAGACGAAGAGGCCGAGAAGAAACGTATCGCCAAAGAGGAAGAAGAGAAGAAGAAATCGGCTGCAGACGAAGAAAAGAAAAAGCAACCAGACAAAAGAGAAAGAGACGAAGAAGCTAGCTATGAAAGACATTCTCCAGACTCAAAGAAACTTGTTCATGTAAGTTATATCAATTGATTACTTTTTTTGATAAATATAATATTTATATTGTTATATTTTTTAGTTAACACTTGAAAGACCAACCAAGAAAGGTAGAAAGAAGCCAGTCAAGAGAATCTCTCAACATCCTGCCATCAAGGAAGTCATTTCCTATTCACATGCCGAAGAACAACCATCATCATCTGAATCCAATGACACTGAACAAAAAGAACACACCGTGTCACCAATCAAAGTAAATCCTATGGGTGGTAATCCTTCTGTAAATAAATACGGTGGAATTGCAATGATGCCGGCCGGATTTGATTTAGGTGCTGTTAAACTCAAGAAATCAGCAAGTTCTCCTGCCAAAGACAACAACAACAATAGCAACAAAGAACCACAAGAGAAGGAAGCACAACAAATTGATTTCCGTCAGGTATTGAAAAAGAAACCAGCTCCTCAATAGATTATCTTACTTCTTTTATAAACACCTTCTTATATATAAATATTTGTATTCAATTCTTGTATAATTAAAATCATAAACCTTTAAATAATAATAATAATAATAATATAAATGTATATCGCGTATAATAATATAAATAAAATCAATTTACATATATTGTTTTATAATTAAAATATGATCTTTTCTTCTTTTCTCTTTCAATTATATTTATTTATCTTTTCTTTTCTCTTGTACATTAAAAGGTATTATTTTCGATTATGTATCTTTGCTATTTCTTCTTTTCCTTTCGTTTCCTTTCGTTTCTTTTCTTTCTTTTTCGCTTTGTTTCTTTTTTCTTTATTCTCTTATTGAATTGGTTTAATCTATTTATTTATTAATATAATTAAATTAGTACTATTTAAAATTATAACGATAATTATCGAGATAATCTTAACATACCTTAAAGTGTAGACCAATCAATGAAAATACAAGACACTTTAGATCTTGTACTAAATAAAAAAATACTTTCAAACCCTCTGGATCTTTACTTTTCTCTACTTCTAACAATGATCCTATTTTGGTTGTCTAATTAATTAAAAAAAGGTATATTAATATTTATATAAGTTTAATCATTGCTCTTGTTGGTTTAACAATATTTACTGTAAATGAGATATGTTCGTTGTTGTATACTATTTCTATTTCTTGTTTTCCTACAATATCTGGTTCAGGCCAATCTTTGTCGTCTTCCCTGTTATCCGACACAGTAATAGAAATTGAATCAATTTGTTTTAAACATTAGTTATTGCTATCTTATCTTTGTAAATGTATATCATATAACATACATCATTACACCCGAATCTGTAATCATTTTCTTTAATACATCAATTACTGTTTCGCTTACACTAACTATTAAAGAATATCACAATTAAATGAACATTAGTAAAATTGCGCAATAATAAACAATACTATTGTTATATAATGCTTTACCTTCTTTTCTAATGATTGTTTCACTCTTATATTTAGAGTTATTTGCATATCTTAGTTTATTTCCTCCTCTAAATTCAAACTCTATAAACTCGTGTCCAAACTTTCCTTTGTGTCCGATACTAAGTAGATCATTCGTCGTTTCGGTTAGTGAAAATCAATCAATGGTTACTTGTATTAATTAACATACTAATATCTTAAATAGAATTCATCTTTCTTCTTTGAAGCGTCTGTGATTTCAACATCGGTTGTTGTTGATTGAGCGACTGTTGTATCTGTATCTGTATTCATGATTAATGAAAAAATGAAATATATTATATTTAAAATCCACCAGGTATATATTTAAAAATATCAAATTTAACTTTAAAGTTTTATTGTCAAAAAATATTATTGTCTACAAATATTGCCAATTGCTCAAAGCAATATATTGTTTCATTCAATAATTATGACTTTTCTTTAGGAAAAAATAAAATTCAAAAACTAACATTTATGTAATGAACTTCATTAAAGGCTCCATAGTTGAATGGTACAATACTACCTTTGGGTGGTAGTGGTCTGGGTTCGATTCCCGGTGGAGCCCCAAAATATTTAATAATTCAAGAACCCGCATGCGGTAAGAATTTGATTTAAAAATACTGGCTCAAACCCGGGGCTGTTGTGCATTCTTTGTGGGTTTTAATGTTCTGTGTTATCTTTCTTTTGAAAGAGAGAGTTAATTTGTTGTAGGTTATCAATAAGGGAGATATGATAGAGTTAACTTCAACAGGTTCAACATGTTATAAAACTGTGTAGTACTGTTTAATAAATATGAAGTTGATCAGACACTGTAATAATTAATAAATACACAGTCTGATCAACTGCATATTTATTAAACTTTTTTTAAATCTTTTTTTTATTAGAGACTGTACAATCAAGTGATCGAGATGGAAAACCTAGTCATCGAATATGAACGCCTTAAGAATGAATATCAAATCTTGAATATGAAATATGAATCATCAGAAGGTATCATCAGAGCACTCAATACAACTGTTGAAACTCAATCAAGTTTCATCGACAACTTGAAGGGTCAATCTAAAACGTCAGTCAACAATTCATCAACACCCAACACCTCGTATAAATTCCCTTACGAGTGATAGTTTATCAAATCACAATGACGATGAAAACAACAACAATCGTCAGTCTCCACCCACAGAATCAACTACCATGAGATTGTCAGAACTACAAACGACAATTAACTCAACTAGCACCTCGCTGAAGTACAACGAAGTCGAATTGAAGCTGCTTAGACTATCCATTAGTGACATCAATAAGAGATCCATCAAAACTACAAGATATACCTTAACCTTCAGTGATCGATAATATATTCAACTCAAATAAATTAACGACTATTCTAAGTTAGTGTAAGAACTTTTTATTGTTTATTAATATAAATTAATCGTACCTATTCTAAGTTAGTGTAAGAACTTTGAATAGTAAATCTATCGTTCGTTTTTTGAATAGTCGTTGAGTTTTTAAAAATGAAAAAATAATTTGATTTTTGATATTATCGTTACAACTGTATAGTTGATGTCAACTCTAGTAGGCTATTTCTCCCGGCCTGTGTGAGAATGGATATATAATATAAAACACGAACTAGCAGGTTAATACCAATACCTGCAATTTGTTGACTGATCATGAGTCAACAAATCTTTTTTTGAAAAAAAAAAAAAAAATCTATTAAGTCTGTTATCTTTTAGTTAGATACCCTTCTACTTCTCAAAATTCTTTCCATGTCTTTACCATCTCTGAGGATACTAAGGTGCCAACTTCGGTCAAAGATGATGACTCCAATTAAACTGCCAAATCACTCCAGTATAATCAATCCTTTTAAAGCTTTTCTAGATGCACCTGTATGTTATTTTCACTATCGCTAACTCTATTATCAAGGGTCATCATCGATTGATCTACCATGTCGTGTTAATTTAAATCTTATTGTTAATCTAAATCCATCTATCCACCACTGTGACTAACTTACTCTTTTCTCTTTTGCATGAATAAGAAACAATTCAATCTAAATTGTTCTTTTTCTTCCTTTAACCTGTCATATTATTTTTCTTCATTTGAAAATATCATATAGTACTTGTATTATGATCAAATTATTCGCATCTTTTAAACAACTTTGGGTTGTTCAATAATCTTAAAAAGTTAAGTTCATATGTTTGAGCATTGCACAATCATTATTGAATAAGATAGATAGAATTTAACATATAATATTCAATTGAATTGTTTTTTTAACTCTTAGATACTTCCAATTTTTAGGATTTTTTGAGGAGATGGTTGAATTGTTTTTTCAAAAAAAAAAAAAAAAATAAGGAAAACTATTAAATTTATCAATCAAAATTTGATTATTAACAGACAAGAAAATTAAAAATAAAATAGATAGATAATAATAGCTGAAGAAATCCTTCAGTCAATATTGCCAACCGATATAGGTAGAAGAAGAGTAGATAAAATAGTTAGGAATTGATTAGTAATTAAATATTTTATTTACACTCTTTGTGAAAGAGAGATGGATAATTTCGATGGCGAATATTGGAAATTGAATACTGACAGGAGAGTTAGAAAGGCAACCACTTTCTATGGTGTTGTAAACTATGCACAAATCGAACAAACTAAAAAACAAAAAAAGAAATTACAAAAAGAGCAACAACAACAACAACCTAATAGCAATGTTGTTCATTCTATACCAACAAGCACAACAACAACAACAACAGCAACAACATCATCTTCTTCATCTTCTCCATCGTCATTACCAACTAATTTATTAAATATAAACTCTACTTCTTCAGAAGAGTTGGTTGATAATAATAAACTAAATAATAATAATAATAATAAATTTGCAATAGAATCACTTTTAAATCCAATAGATACAATTACCAATAATAATAATAGTAGTAATGGTAATGAAAATGGAATACCCGATGATCTTAGACCATTCGTATCACCTTTTAGTATTAGGTTACAGCTTAATACACCGACAAGAACAGAGATAAAGAGAACTCTCGCGTTGAATACCGAATTCAATAATACCAACAATGAATCTCCTATAATCAATTATATTAATAACAATAGTAACAATAACAGCAATAACAATAGCAATAATAGCAATAACAATAGCAATGACAATAATAGTAACACTCCAACATATCGATATCAAGCAGAGATAGAGACAGATGTTGAAGAAAGCGATCTCAACAACAGTAATCTAGATGACTCACTGCTATCCAGACAAGATTCACTATTAGACAAATTCAACTCGATATCACTAGCATCACCACACAATACTCCATTGAAATCTAAACAAGACCCAAATGTTCTATTAGATACGACAACAACTACAACAACATTATTATCATTATTATCATCATCATTATCATCATCATCGAATAATAATGACATTGATAATGCTATAAATGATAATATTGATATTTTATCAATGGATATGGATACAAATATGACAAACATAAATGATAATGTAACAATAGATAATAATATTAATAATAATAATAGTTATCAAGTTAATAATGATAATAATAATAATAATAAGAAAGAGATTAAAAAGAAGAGAAGTCAATTGGCATCGGCATTAGATGGTTCCTATTGGCAGTTGTCTTCTCCTACCAGAGTAAAGAGGAATTTCAATCATGATCTAGAGACATCTTTCAAACCAGCTGTAATCGATAGCAACAACAACTCAGTTACTGATAACAATGCATCCATTACGACAACGACCACCTCTACAATTACTACCACAACAACAACTACAACAACCACAACCACAACAACAGAAACACCACTTAAAGTTCAAGCAACAAAGAAACCAAAGTTTGTTAATAATACACCTAAAAAGCTTATCATTTCACCAAAAAGAAGTAGAGGTCGACCAAAGTTGAAATTGACATCTACAACTACAACATCTTCATTAACTAAAAATAATAATAATAATAATAATAATAATAATAATAGTAATAAAAATAAGAGTATCAATAATAGAAGTAGTAATAGAAATAAGAAAAATAATAATATATTAACAACAAACAGTAAAATTTCAAGTAATGGAAGTAGTAGAACTAGTAATAGTGGTATACCAAATAGTGAGAAATTACAAATTAAATTTACATTATCACCATGTAAGAGTAGAAAGAGTAGTGCATTCCAAGTGGTTGTTTATACCCCTATAAAGTCAATACCACTACCGTTGTTAAGTAACAGTGAGATATTACAAAAACGATTATTATTACAGCAACAGCAGCAACAAGAGCAAGAACAACAACAACAACAACCAATACCGTTTACATTTGGTCATGGCAGATGTGGAACTAAAGCATATGCCGGTGTCAATAACACAATCAAGTTGTATGTAGGCGGTAAAGCTTGTCTCGACAACAAAGAGTGGCTAGAGAAAGAGAGGATCACTTCCATTCTCAATGTAACCAAGGAAGTTGCACATCCCAAGCATCTGGTCGACTCTAACTTTATGCGTATCAACGTCGCCGATTCCATGGATCAGCGTATCATCCTCCATTTCAATCTGGCGATAGACTTTATCGATAGAAACCTCAATACCAATAACAATGAGAATAGTAGTCAAAATAGTAATAATATCAATAATAATAATAATAACAGTAGCAGTAACAACAGTGATCAGAATGATGACGGTAGATATGGAGTGCTCATTCATTGTAAAGAAGGTCGTAGTAGGTCTACTACCATCGCCATTGCCTATGGTCTCAGTAAGTTGAATTTGAATTTACGTGAGGCATACGAAGAGGTAGCAAAGAACATTCCAAACATCAACATCAACCAAGGATTCCTTCAACAACTCATGGATTACGAATTACAACTAAAGGGTAGTAATTCAATCAACTTTTTCGCTAAACGTTCATGTCGTAGTTAACTCTGTTAATCAACCAATCGCAGTCTCTTATTATTAAACAAAAAAAAAAATCAATAAAGTAAAAAAATTTTGGTTTTTTAATAAACAAAAAAAAAATTGTGTTGCATGTATTAAAAAGTAAACAGATAATAATATTAAGATGAATAAATATATTTATTTAAAATCAAATAATATTCAATCTTGTATATTTAAATAATAAAAGAAATGAACTAATATTAAGGCCAGAGATACAATACTTTAATTTGTTTTACACTTCATTTAAATTTTTACATATAATTTTTGTCTTTTTCACTTTTTTTGCAAATTTTACATACTAATTTTTTAAAATAAAAAAGTGAAACAACCTCATTTAAATATCTCAATTTTTTTTTATAAGCACAAATCTAAATTATTTCCATTTTTACAACTTTTTAAAATGATATCATGATCGTCTAAATAATAAAAATAATGTGTGTCTAAAATAAAAAATACACAGATAATTATAAAGATGAATAAAAATATATATTTAAAAGTATTTAATAATATTTATTTAAATCAAGTAATATTCAATCATGTATATTCAAATAATAAAAGAGATGGTGAAAGGAGATTCAGGTGGAATGATCTAATATTGAGACCAGACATACTGGTTAGTTATGGATACATTGATCAATTGAAACAGTACTTTAATTTGTATTCAGATGTGTATCTAAGAAAACAAATTAATACTGCCAACTTTTGTATGACCAATGCTATAAAAATGGGAAGATTAGACATTTTAAGATACTTGGTGGAATCGTTTACCTTTAAACCAATGAAATCATTCTCAAATTCACCAGATTTATTGTATATTGCTGCTTCTCGAGCGAAATTAGATATCATGTATTATCTTGTCGAACATTGTCAACCAATCAAATGGGCATATCAATACGCTAGACATGCAGCATCACTCTCTGGAGATATCAAAGTATTGGAATACGCTTGTAAACTATTCAATGAAAATAAAAATAGTTTTACCTATAGTTCAACTTACAATCCATTCAATGGTGCTGCATCTAAAGGTGACTTGCAGATGATCAAATGGTTGGAAATCAATTGTATTGATGACTTGAGTAATTCGAGAATGTGTGAATATGCAGTCAGAAATGGTCATATAAATGTAGTTCAATATCTTTTGAATCACGAAAATATTGAAATAAGTCAAGGCGATAGAGGTAGATCTGCAGGTTCATTGTTTGATATCGCTGCTACGGCCAATCAATTTGAAATGGTACAGTTTCTTTATAACAATAATATAAGAGAGGCTGACTATTTTTCAGTGGATTCCATTATCTATAAAGGGAGTTTGGAAAAGATAATATGGTTTCACGAACATGGCTATCGAAATATAACAGAAAGAGCGATGGATTATGCAGCCATGAGCGGAAGTTTTGATATCTTGGAGTGGTTGTTCAAAAATAATGGTGGCGCAGGTTTAACTACTGATGCAATGGATGACGCTGCAGCGTATAATCGCTTCGATGTCTTGAAATGGCTCCATCGAAATACAACCCAAGGAATGACAACCGATGGATTCGATCAAGCAGTTGTCAATGGTCATAAGGGTATCGCCAAATGGCTGAACCTCAATAGAACAGAAGGATGTACAGCTGATGCATATAAATACGCTGTCGAGTTGAATGATTTAGAATTCCTAATATGGCTGCACAACAGTAAGAGTACCACCGAAAGATACACAATCGATGCTATTTCAAAAGGAGTTGAAATAGGTAATTTGGAGATTGTTAAATGGTTGATAGAGAACTACAGTAATGACGAATCATATGATTCAACAATTCTAATCAATGAGGCAATTGATAGCAATCATTTTCATTTGGTAGAATGGCTCTATGATGATCGTGTATCTGCGAAATTCGATCATATGTCTCTTAACAAAGCAATCGAAACTGGAAATCGTGATATGATAAAATGGATAAACGATAGAAGAGCTATTGGTCAACTTGAAGTATTTCAAATCAAAAGCATAGAGAGTGCAATTCACAAAAACGATTATCATTTCATTCAGTGGTTATTTGACAACCTAACAACAATGACCTATAGTTTCATCAAGGAATTTGAAACATTCCTTAACAAAACATTTAACCCAGGTAATCGTGATGAAATGTTAACAATCATTAAAAATTATCTTTCTAAAAATAAAAAAAATAATAAATAAATAAAAATAAATAAATAAATAATTCAAAACAACTGGAATTTTTTTGGTTTATTCCAACGTTGCAAACAAAAATAATTTGAAAATGAACAAACAGTTATTCTCTTTTGTTTTTAATAATAGTGTATTCAATAGATTGATATTCAATCATGTATATAGTTTAGATAGTGATAGAAAAAAGTATAGGTGGAATGATCTCATTGTTAAACCAGAGGTTTTGGCTGGTCATGGCTATGTTGACCTCCTAATAGAATATTTCAGCAAAGTTGATGTATCTGCCTTTGCTAGACTACAGACCTTTGATATTCATGATATCATGCTAAATGCAATCAAAAACGGTGTAAATACTCTTGCGATTATCAAATACTTTGTAAATGCACTTGGTAACGATTTTAATCGGTTCAGTCAAAAAGACTACAATCTAATGTTGGACTGTGCAGAGCATGGTAGATTGGAGATAATACAGTATCTCGAAACACTACCGCGCATAAAGTGGAACTTTATCGATGCGATGTGCGTTGCACCGCTCTCGAATGACATGAACATTCTGCAGTATGTCTCCTCGAAAATAGACCAAAAAGAATACACCAACTATAAACATTCACCTTTTCTCAATGTTTTTGATAACGCTGCTTATATTGGTCGTGTCGATATGATTGAATGGCTGGCAGTGAACCGTTCTGAACAGAGAGTTCCAAATCAAATGTACATGTTTGCCGTCATCGGCAACCACATACCGGTTCTGGAGTACTTGAAGCGTGAGAATAAAGATTCATACAATTATACGAATGAAAAAATAATGGATATCGCAGCGAAACACAACAGTTTCGAAGCTCTCCAGTGGCTTCATAGAAATGGTATTGGCGAGTGTTCTAGTCGTGCAATGGATTGGAGTGCTGCAAAAGGTCATCTAAGGATCATACAGTGGCTTCACGCCAATCGCACAGAAGGCTGTAAAGATGCTGCTAACATAGCAGCAAAAGCCGGTTTCTTAGATGTCATTCAATATTTGCATCATAACAACATGAAGGGATTCGATACGAAGACAATGAATAACAGTGCAGCTAATAATCATCTTTCAATAGTTAAGTTCTTACATCATAATCGTAGTGAAGGTTGTACTACCGACGCACTTGATCAAGCTGCTGGTTACGGTTTCACGGACGTGGTAAAGTTCCTCCATTTCAATCGTAGTGAAGGTTGTACAAAGGATGCTACTATAATTGCAGCTGGTAATGGATTCTTGGGTATCGTTGAGTTTCTATTGGTGAATAGACCTGGTGAGGCTCGTATATTTAAAATAGTAGAAAGAGCAATCGAAAAGAACCGTTTGGAAGTAGTTAAATGGATAATAGAAAATAGAAGTGAATGTACTGCACAACAAGCATTAGAGTTTGTAATTGAACCAAATGGTCATATTTATGAATATTTACAAAGTGTTATAAATAATACTACAAAAAACAACCAAATAACCAAAAAAGAAGGAGAAGAAAAAGAAAAAGTTGACGGTGATGATGGTGAAGAACAAATACTGAAAAAATAATAACGTTCTTTCTCAATTCAAATAACCATATATGTTATAAATAAACATTCATTTTTTTGACTTATGATAAATTAACGTTAGTTAGTAAAATTTAACTAATCTTGTAATAAATAATAATTATTAAAATCAGTCGAATGATAACTTGTTTAATTAATATCTATTGAGAATAGTGTGAAGTGGTTTTTTCAAATATATCTAAAAATTGTTAAAGTTATTGGACTGGTAATATAAAATCGAATAAAATATTCGAATTTTTTAATTATATTATTTGATTTAAGATTGTAAATTTACTATTTATATGTTTTGAAGAAATAGAATAATTCAAAACAAATTTAAAAAAATGGTTTCAGGTAACTTTAGTTTTGTTTAAAAAAAAAGGATAAAAATATTAATATTTCCTTTTTTTTAATAGATTGTAGATGTGCTCTATGCTTGACAACTTTGGTAGTTGAAACTCAAAGATATCTATGCTCAGAGTGTCATAACATATCATTATGTTTAAAATGTTATGATTCTCCTAAATCACATACTGTTCACACTGATAAATCACCATTACCTCATCAATGTTCTCTTGAAACAAGTATGTAGAGAAAAAATAAAAAAAAAACAAAACTAATTTTTTAATATTTTATTAAGAATCACAAGCAGAATATATCGAATCAAATAAAGCTGAATCAATTTATGAAGGCTTTATGAATGCTTTCAAAAATTTTGCAAAAAGAAGATGTATTGGTGAATGTATTGAATTGGAAGATGGATCAGCTACCTATAAATGGGTAACCTATCAAGAATTATTTGATAGAGCTCAGAGATTTGGAAATGTAATTCAAAAATTAATTCCTTATGTAAGTAAAATTATCATTTAATTTAAATTATTTTGTAATAACAAAAAAATTGTTACAAACAAAGAGATCAAAAGTTGGAATTTTTTTAACCAATGTACCGGAATGGTATACAGTAGATTTTGGATGCCTTTTTTATGGATACTCTGTAATTGGTATTAATCAACATTTGAGTATGTTATTCTTTTTCTTTGGTTTTTTTTTGTTTTTTTTTTATTAATTCTTTGTAAAAAAAAAAGATGATGAACAATTATTATCCCTACTTAAAAATGGTGAACCGTCATTAATAGTTGTTTCAGATAAAACAATTATGAATTTAGTTAAAGTTATCAATCAATATAACAAACTTTCATTAATAATTTATTTAGGAAATGATTTATCACCTGAAATTAAGAATCAAATTCCATCATCAATCGATATTAAATTATTTTCTGAAATTATGAATACAGATATAAAAATATCACCACATACACCTCAAAGAGACGGAATTCATTCCATAAGTAAATATTTATCTATAATTATTATAAAAAACTGTTAATTTACTTTTAAAACTATAGCTTATTCTTCTGGTTCAACAGGTATACCAAAAGGAATTATCGGTTCTAATACTGAGACCTATATCTTGGGATATCCTTTAGATTTTGTACCAATCCAACTAAGTTATCTATCATTGGGTATTGTATAATCAAAAATTTATAAAAAATATTACTTTTAACATATTTATAAAAAAATATTTAAAGCACATACACAAAGGTTAACAGATTTTACAACACTTTGGAATGGTGGAAGATTTGGAATTTATAGAGATACCAAACAAAACTCTTATTTAAAAGATAATTCTTTAATTAGACCAAGTAAGTTAATTAATATTAAACTTTTTATTTTATAATTTTATTAATTTATTTATAATGTAGCATTTATATGGGGTCCAACAAGGTATAATATTAAAAAAACTATTTTAAAACTTTTTTATTTTGCTAATATACTTAAATAATAATTAAAATAATAGTTTTTGGAATCAATTACATACTAAATATCTAAAAAATGTTAAAATGATTAAAGAATCGGATCATTCTAAATCCGATGAACAATGTGAGTTGCAGGCAATTGCAGAAACTAGAAATTTGTTGGGTGATAGAATAAAGATTATTCTTACAACAGGATCAATTATTTCACCAGAGGCATTTGCTTTAATGAAAAAATGTTGGGGTGAAAAAGTATTGGATATCTATGGTAGTGCAGAAATTAACAAAGTTGCAATAAACGGTCAAATTACCCCTGATGTTGAATATAAATTGTCTCCAATAGATGGTTATGACAGTCATAATGGACATCCAGTTGGACTTTTAAAAGTTAGATCAACAAGACTCTTCAAAGGATATTATAAAAATCCAGAGGCAAATGCGAAAGCATTTGATAAGGATGGTTGGTATTCAACTGGTGATATTGTTGAAGAGTATGGGCAAGGAAAGATAAGAATTATTGATAGAGAAAAGAATTCTTTTAAGATTAGCTATGGAAAATTAGTTTGGTATGTAATTATTGTAAAAACAACAAAAAGATTAACTTTTAAAACTCTAACATGTAACACTTTTGATTAATATATATATAGTCTTGATAATATTGATAGTTACTACTACAACTCGCCAATGATTAGAAATATTTTTGTTCATGGTGATAGATTCCATCCTTTTTTTAGTTGCAATTGTCGTTCCAACAGATTATATATTGAACAAATTTAAAATTGGTAAACAAGACAATATTGATGAGAATTTTGAACTTGTTAAGGAAATTGAAAAGGAAATTAAATTAATTGCAAACCAAAAAAATGTATGAAATAGATATTATATTATTCTAAAATTAATAAGTATTAACTACTAATATATATATATAAAAATAATAGATTGCATTTTGGGAGATACCAAAACTTATTAAATTGGATCGTACTATTTGGACAATGGGAAATAATTTGATCTCTGGAACTGGTAAATATAATAGATTAAAACTTCTTGAATATTACAAACCTTCAGTTGATCAATTATTAAAACAGTTAACAACTTTAACTGATAATGATTCTTTTATTTAAATACAAACAAATAAAAGTGTTGTGGTGATTCGGAATAAAAAAGAGAGATAAAAAAAAAGATAAAAAAAGTCCAAAAAAAAAAAAAATAATATAAAAATAAATAAAAATTAAAGTTTCTTTCCCAACTCTATTAAAGCTTCAATTTCTTGGAAATTTGACTTTTTTAGCACAACTAATTAAATAAGATATGTTCGCTAAAACTTAAATCTATCTTATTTATTCAAAACTAATTACGATAAATAAATGAAAGCTAAAGGAATTTTAAATAATAAAAAAATAAATAAAAAAACAAAGATGATTGATGATGATAGTGATGATGATAACGATGAAACTTGTACAACTACAACAACCACAACCACAACTATAACAAAAGTAAAAGAAAAAGTAAAAGATGATAAAACAATTACAACAAAACCAAAAGTAAAAAAAGATGATAATAAATCAACTGTCTATTATGGAGAGTTAAAATGTATGAGTCAAAAGAAACAATGTGATAATAAAGCGTATTTTGAAGTAAAGTTAAGGGATGCCGCTAATTTATATTTATGTGGTGTTCATTCAAAGGCATACAAGTCACTGGCAAGCTCGCTGCCAAAACGAACCAAAGAGTCGATGGAGAAACACCAAGAGGAACTGATGACACTCGAGAATGAAAAGGTTGAAACGGCACGGCTTGCAAACCATGCCAAATCCGTAGCAGGCAATGTTGTTCTCTCGCAGCTAAAGATGATGAAAGCACCTGAGCAGTTGGATGGCTACCGCAAGGTGTTTCCAAACAACAAGCATGGCGGTCGTAAAGATGGTCTGGGCATGCCGTCGCTCTCGCCAATGCGACTCGGTCCAATCGTACACAACCAGCCGAATGCACCGGTATCGTTGAATCTTGAGAACTTCCATCAGGGTAGCAAGTGCTTCAAGGTCGAATTGGAGTCGGACGGATCGGTCGGTAAGAAGTACCGCGCCAGTCGCGACAAGATGTACAACGACCCGGAACCACATCGACACAAATACCAGCGTGGCGATCGACCAGAGTTCTTTGTTTGGTATACGAAATCCGGTGAAGAGAAACGACTTGGTCCGTTGGAATGCCGACAGTTCTACTGCAACTTCTATGAACGACTCGCTAGTGTGACCGACGACTTTAAACAACTAAAGACTCTGCGAGAGAGTGGCACCAATCTACAGATCATTGGATACGACGCAAGACGTGTCGATCCAACAGAGCAAGCTATAATGGCTGCCTACAAAGACACTCGATTTCCATTCGGTCATGAACTTGTCATCTTTGCAATGCTATTAATTAGTGACCCATTGAAATATCCTTGGAGAATAATGAAAACAGTTGAGTTTTAAAAAGTATATTATTATAATATTATATAATAATAAATAATTTTTTTTTATAATTTCTCTGTCTTTCAAATAAAGTTTCATATCAACTGTTTAATAGTAATTTTATCAAAGAGTGTTACTCTATCTTGAAGTTGTAGGTCATTGTGCACGAAAAACTTTTTTCACTCTAATATATAATAGATAATATGTTAAAAAATGAGAATATCTTTATCTTTTTTATAATTTAAAACATAAATTTAATGTAAATAGAACTTTAAGTTGTTTATCTAATCATTAGAGATAAAATAAATTTTTTCAAAATTTAAAAATTGGTGAATCTGAGCGGGAATGACAGTTTTGATCGATTCGTGTGGTTGTTATGATTGATGATTACTTTGAACATTTATAGTTATTATTAATCATTCTATGACTTTTTAATAAGATTTAATACGAAATCAAAATTTATAAATAGTTAAAATGAGTGATAATAATACACTATTGTCAACGAGTTTATTGGGTACAACAACTTCGACTTCACCCACCACCACTACCACGACAACAACTACAAATCAATCTACTGCTACAACAGAACAATCATCATCATCATCACCAGCATCATCATCTACAAACAATACAGATAGTTTATCAATTAAAGATTTAGGTAGTTCAACAACAGCATCATCATCATCGTCTTTAGATAATATCACCACCAGTAAAGAGAAACAATTAGTTTCAGATAATCTTACTGTATTAAACTATTATATTGATAATGATTTAATTGATGATCCAAAATGGATTGTAAGTATACATATATCAATCAGTAATAATTTTCAATAGAATAGTTTGTTTACTTTAATATCTATCTATTATTTTAGGAAGAAGAATTATCAAATATAGATAACAAGATAACACAATTGTTTGATTATTATGTTCCACCATCGAGTGCATCAAAAGAACAGATTCAAACTGGAAAGATTAAGATTAAAGGTGTTACCTATCAATTATCATTACAGTTACAACAATTTATTATTGATTTAAGTAATATATTGGTATGTTTTTATATAATAACTATTGATAACTTTGATTACTTATTAAATATTAATAAATTTAATTAGAATTTAGATCAAATAACAACATTTATTATTATACAATCATATTCTACAAATGTTAAAGAACTTAAATATGATTCATTAGAATTCTCAAATGTAAGTTTAATCAATATCTTATTTGTTGTTTATATAAATAGGAAACATATAATATTAACATCAACATATATAATTTGTTATGATTATTATTATTATTATTTAGTTATTAGAATATTATTATAGAGAAAGATTCTTATTGTTATCATTGGTATCATCATTGATAAAGAAAGCATATGGTGTTGAATCGATATTAAGAGATGTACCGATGAAGTATGTCAAGGAGAATCAAGAGGCATGGCAACAGAAACTTTTGAAATCACTGTTGGTACTATCTAGTTTCTCTATTCCTGATCACCTAAAGGATCAACCACAACTCTATACCATATACACAGAGTACGTAATCAACGAGCAACTCTTGGTAGTAGAAACACTCTTCCTTCTCTATTATTATAAACCAAAGATTTCATTCCCAAAAGATTTTAAAGATCTATTTAATAGATATCAAGTATGTAATCTTCTTTATATATTACTTCTAATAAGTATATACTAACAATATTGTGTTCTTTAACCTATAGGAAATAAGAATAGGTAGATATTCAGATTATCTATTACAATGTAACAACGATGTTATTAGATCTACACTTCAGAATATCGAATATATATTGGTGTTGGTTGGAATGTTATCCATTGGTGAAGTACCATTATTAGAATCACCAGATAAACCTAAACAATTATCAGAGTAACTATTAATTTAAACTTATATCTTAATTATCGTATCATTATAACTAATATTTTAATATTATTATATTATTAGGAATCAAAAGACAGATATATTAAATCTTATTAAAGTATTTGAAAGATGTTCAATGACACCATCATTATCAATCATTATCTATTCGGTATTATTAAATTCAATGATTCTATCACCTGCATTTGTTGAATCCGATGTCATCTCAAAGTGTCTTGAATATAATCCATTCCAATATCTAAAGTTAATGATGTCTTCAAATTATATAACTGGTAGTGTAAGTAATTTAAAATGACTATTGTTATTAAATGCGAATTCACATTAACAATAATAATAATAATATTAATATCCTTTTTATTCTTTAAAGGCATCATCAACAGGATATATTGATATTATTCAATTGTTTATCAATAGATTTACAATGGTATATGATTTAATATCTACTGAACCGAATGCAGTCAATATTGTTTTCGATGTATTTACAAGTTCATTACGTTATAATCCTTTGACCGAACAAGAGTTGGTCAAGCATGACATCTTTAAATATGTATTGTCACCAACAATCATTATCAATCAATTCGAAAAGACATTAAAGTTATTAACAGATGCAATCTATGATGAATCTTCATCTATTTCAATGTAATTATTAACTAAAACTTACAATAACCTAAATAACTATATAACTAACTTGATCAAATTTAAAGGTTTAAAGTTATAATTCAAACAAATATAAGAGAATTACAAAAGTTAATAAGTAATAGGGATTTAGATCAATTATTAAATCAATCGTTTGAAGCAATCGAGAAAGAAGGTCAGGTGATTACAGCGATTGCCAAACAATATCTACAGTTGAATCAACAGGCAATCTATAAGGGTGCATACAAGTATTTCTTGTTGTTGGATAACGGTGTGCAGTCGTGTGCAGTCTACTCGATTGGTGACCGTATCTTGGATACCATTGTAGCGTTCACCAAGGATCACCCGTCATCAATGCCATTGTACAATGCATTCCTCCAGGCACTTCGTCTACTTGGTTCTCTCTGTCAGTACACACATTTGGCACGTCTCTACTACTGGAATGTATTCAACGGCAACAGAATATCGGATGCCCTCATCGATTTGCTATTCTCGATTGCCGAAGACCGCTCTCATCTCCGTGATATCTCGAGTGCCGTTCTACAGCTATTCTCGATCTTTATGAAAGACAGACCACGCGAAACACTAAACTTCCTCTGCGAGAAGGGTTGTTGGACGAGAGGTGGTTCCGTCGACATGATACGTACTCAGTATCGTCGTGGTAGTTTCTTGCAACTCTACGAACATGAAAAGAACTTCAAATCATCATTTGAACTTACACAGAGAATCATTGAATTATTTATAATTATATTAATTATTTTATTATTAATAATAATAATAGTAATAATAATAATAATAATAATAGTAATTCAGCAGATTTAACATCAATAGATTCAATGGTAATGTTTATGTTACAAGTATTATCAGATTATTGGTTGTTACAAGTGGATGATCTTTCGAATGCAAGAGGTATTTGTAGATCGATATTCGATTGCTTCAAGGTTATCGTGGTAAAGACACATTGTGCTTCACCGAATGAACAGATTGTTGCGCTGTCTGATAAGATTGTACGTGCTTTTACACAACAAGGTGCAGTACAAGCAACTTTGTTTGCTGCCATCGAACAACAACATCAATTCTTGGTGTCCGATCAGATGAATAGCCAAGCCGATCTATTGTCAAGAGAAGCTCTATGTTTGTTGGAAGTGTTGCTACAACATCCTTTGGTACCGGAACAAGTAGATTCATTGGTCAACTCTATACTCTATACCGGCGGTCAGGTTAGAAGTGGAGGAGAAGGTGGTTGGGGAGGACAGGAACAACAAACACTCTGCCTACTATCTGTATTGTTTGACAAGGTGACATCACCCAACAAACTAGCATACTTTGTCATCAATGTGATACGTTCATTCGTTCTGATGATTCGATCAAACAATCGAGAATTCTACATCTCCTCTTATGTAACCGATTTACAAGTTAGTAATATCGTTGACATTCTCCAACAGAGAATAAACAACCCTATTCTTACATCTCATTTGATAGACTTGGTTGGATTACTAAAGGATCTATCGGTATCACAATTCCAATTGACCAATCGATTACTACCAGAGGATTCATCTAGTAAGTTTATTATTACTTTACTAAAGAATCAACAGCAACAACAACAACAATCGAATAGTGTTATCAATGATTTATTTGGTTTACTTTCAAATATTCATTGTAACTCAATTTACTATGGTAGATTCTTGCATGAACTACATGAATGTCAAGGATTCTGGGATGAATTGATCAAACAGTCGAAACATAGTAAACAAACATTATCTTCACTCTACAAGATACTCTCTATTCAAACACTTTCAATGACTACCTCCAACTATGTATTCCCAAATAAAGAGACAAGCTTTGTCAATGCCGTTCAGAAGCATTTCCGTGGATCGATAGAGCATCTCGCCAAGAAGAATATGGTATTGCCTGACTTGGCCAAACGAACTCAACTACAAACAGCCATCTTGGAGTTGTGCGCAAGACACCCTGCTTTTAAGGATGTAGGTTCATTCATTCAGTCGAGATCTCGTGATTCCGGTATTCAGAAATATGACCGTGAATACAATGAACGTTTATTCTCTGGTGGTAGTGGTGAGCAGAATCAAGAGGTATTGGATATCTTGGATGCCTGGAATGATCTGGTCGAACATCAAGTGGAAGAGTTGGAAGTAACCCGTTCACTTTCGAAATTCATTGTTGTATCTTTGCTAAAGAAGAGTGAACTAATCATAAAGTCAACCGAGGAACGTGAAAGAGAGAAGGAACTATCGAATCTAGCTTTGATGTTGATAAAAACAGCATTGACCGATAGAGTTGAATTGGATGGTGGTCAAGTCAATCCGTTAAAGGATGAGGAATGTGAATGGTTACAAATCATATTGGTGACACTCACAGTTATAACATCGAATATTCTCACCAATAGCGATTTGAAACTATCCAACAAAATCACTCATTCGCTCGTTTCACATTTAACTCTTCTTCTTCAACACTACATCAAATATCTCAACAACACAAAGCTATTGACTATCTTTACATTGATAACCAACTCATTGCTTTCGGTCTTGAAGATTGCATCACAAACCAATATCCAAATGTATAATCAATTGTTGACACCGCTGTCTTTACTGATACTATCGAGAACAACCTACTCTGCCAATCAACAAGTATCACAAGAGCAACTACAAACCAACAGTCTATCAAATATTGCAATGTATACAATGAATACATTGATATCGGTGGTTCAAGACGATTGTATTCTTCCTTCGAGTCTACCTCATGAAATGATTGAAAGACTACTCGGTTCATTGCAATTCAGTCTTAATATTGGTTCCGAAGATCAGTCCAATAGCTCACCGGATATCGACAATGCCAATGCCATACTCGATCTATTCATTGCTTTCACCAGACAACCTTTACTATGTGAACAACTCGTTGTCAAGAATATCATCAATCTACTATCATCCATCGATTTAAAGTATTTAAGATTAGCAATCGATCCATATATCTCACCAACTCCAAAGACAAGTAACAACAACAATACTATCTATGTAAAGAATAGATGGTATTTACTTTGGACTAAATGTCTGACTTTGGTTATTTCCATTGCCGATACTTTGAAAAAGAGTGATAAACTACCAGAACAACTCATTGACTTTGTCATTTCTCATAAGGAACGATTCTTTTACTATGCCGATCCAATGTGTTTCCTCAACTCGCCATCACAACAACACCTAACATGCCAGTGGTTCGACCAAATCCTAAAGTTAACCGATATCATCTATGCACTCTCCAAGCATACCAGAAAATATCATCTCTCCTATCGTGTATTTGGTGAGTTACAATCACTCTGCTATCGATTGGCACTCATTCTCACTGCACAACTAGATGAACATCAATTCATAGAGAATTACTTTAATGCAATGACTCTAAAAGAGAAAAAGAAGAATCAACCAACCAAAGTTAAACAACAACCTGCTGAAGGTTCAGCTGCTGCCGCTTCTTCAAGTTCATTGTCAATCTCAAGTTTAAATCCACCAGCACCACCAAAGACAACCACTGTTGAAGTTGGACCATCTCGTATGTCCTCGAAAATTCATTCGATCTATTACCTCATTCTTAGAAATGTATTATATTCCCTGGTGAATCTTCAATACTACATTCGAGAGTGCCCACAGTTCATACCTGTCATTCCTCACTATATGGATCGCTCTACATTTGGAACTTTTCTTTTCGTCAACCAATTGATATGTATGAAAGCCAACGAAACTCAAAACAAACAACCAGCAAAACGAGAAATTCTCCAACAAATAGGTGAACTTAATTGTTTGCTCTTGTTGTTACTCTCTGAATCTTATAATTTTAGAGATGAAGCCCTGGTTTCAAGTATCAGTTATGTAAGAAACCAATTCGATGAAGAATATAATCAACAACAACAACAACAACAGCAACAGCAACAGCAGCAATCAAAAGGTCCATCATCACCAAAGTTGAGAGCTTCTGTATCAAACTCACCACCAAGTTTAACAAACAACATTGATGTTAACAAACCACCAAAATTCTTTTCGACTTTATTAACAAAATTAAATTAAATTTAATTAAAAAAAAAGATATTTTTTTGCAACCTCTTGGGAGATGGGGAATTTTGTTAAATGCGAAAAAAAATTATTTTTTTTTTCCTATTTTGTTTTTTGATTTGCACATTTTTTTTTTGGTATCAAAAAAAACTCTTTTTATGTTCCACAAAATTTAAAAGGAACACCCAGTAAATTCTTTTTTTAATTTTAACTACTACTTATATAAAAGATCTCTGTTTTTATTTATTTATTTTAAATAATTTAAAAGACATGTCTAAAACTGCAAAGCAAAACTCTGTTTTGTTTATAGTCTGTTTTATTATTTTTTGTATTTTTGCAGCCATTGGTTTAGGTGTTTGCTTTGGATCTTTGGTACCAAGTGTAAGATGAAAATAAATATAAAAAAATAAAAAAAATTGATATATTTATTTATTTATTTATTTTTTATTTAATTATTTAGATTGATAAAGCAAAAGGATATTCATCAGGTGAATGTACAGTAACTAAATCAGTGATTATTGCTGATTGCTATTCAGATGAATGTGCTACCTATAATGATCAAATTTGGTGGTATCCATATTGGGGACCATCCTATTTCTTTGTCTATGTAGGTGGTGGAACTGATGGTTCATATAATAATGGTGATGAAGATGGTGATGGTGAAGACGACGGTGAAGACGATGGTGAAGACGACGGTGAAGATGGAGATGACGATGATACTGGAGATAGTGGATTCGACGGTGACAGCGGTGGTGGTGATGATTCTGGTATTGGTGGAGGTGACAGCGGTCTCCTCCTCAAGTCTGCCTATCAATCAACAACCGGTGGTCAATCGTTGGGACAAGAGATTAGAACCGTTTCATCCTATTTGCGTAGAAATAAAGCTTCGAAATCAGCACAATTAGAACAAAGTGCAAAGAGAAGAGCAGAGAAAATGTTGACAGAGTTGAGCAGCAACGGTACAAGCTCTGAGAGTTCCACTGATAATTCATACAACAGCAGTGAAGGTGCCCAATGTGGATACAACTATTGCGCTCAGGGTGTAAACTATGTAACTCTTTCCATGAGCGGAGGTGCCGTCATCAATACATCGGTTCGTGGTCTTTGGTCATCGGACGAAGGTTGGGTCTCATCGTATTTGAACAACTTTTTGGTTGGAAGCACCTACACTTGCTACTACCAAACCGAGCAACCAGCAAACGTTATGTGGTTCCCACCACCCAAATACAACAATACCTCTTTGGTTTTGACTTGTGTAATTCTCAGTCTTGCATTGTTTTCATTGATTGCCACAATTATCTACGCCGTAAGATGGTATATCGCTAAACGTCAATCCAGTCACCACCACCACGAACACAAACCAATTGCTCACCACAACAACCACAACAACAAAAAAGCAAAGCACTCAAAGAAATCGAAATCCGACGAACCAGAACCATACAACTATCGTGTAGTCTATCAACCATTGCCATCGGAAACCTATCAAGCTCCACAAGCAAACTACTACCAATATTCCTATGGTGTTCCATACAACCCATCAAATGGAGTTGCACCACAACCAGTTGCACCTTCCATCAACAATTAGAAAAAAAAAAAAAAAATCCCCAATTCCAAATAATATTATTGTTTTTTTCAAATACAAAACGACTTTTTTTTTTAATTAAAATGTATAGTATTACAATTTTATCATAATAAATAAATAGTTTCTTTTTTTATTTATTATTATTAATTATATTTTGGATTTTGAAGGAATTTCAGATTCATTCTTTACTCTATGGAGAATGAAAAGCTTATCGGATTCTCTTAGCATTGTTGAAGATGATGGGTTGGTATGAACATATTTATTACCATCGGATTTCATTCTTAGTAATCCCATGCATATGACATTACAGCTGAGTAGTATTTCGAATAAATATCCAAATCGATGTCCAATAAATTCATTGGGAACATCAACTTGAAAGATCTTTGTTTTCTGAACACTATCTGACTTTCCTACCAAAATCTGAATAAGAGCAAGTAAATGTGGGTTGAAAAAGCATTGACATAGCAAACTATCGAATACTGTACTTAGGAATACACTTCCACATGCAAATGAAGGTGCAAGATAATATGGATCATTTTGATTCCAGTTTTGATTATTTGGTAGTAAATGAAGATTTAATGGGTCAGCTAAAAAAAAAAAATAATAAAATTAATAAATAAATAATTAAATTAAATAAATAATATTAAATTTGATACGTACAAAGTTCAAAAATTGGGAAAATATTATTATTTTTAAGTATTTCCTTTGCACCGATAACAGCAAGTAAAGTATCCTTGTCATTTAAAAATGGTTCTGGACTATGAGATTCCAATGAAAGAATCAAAAGTTTTGAACACTTGGTGATTCCAGCACGCTTGAGATCTTTGAGAAGAGAAGGTGTTCCCTCAACAATATAGATCTCTGGGTATTTGTTGATAGATTCCCATTCTTCAATTGGGAACTTTGGTGTTAAGATTACAATTGGATCGTATCTTCTTAGATATGGTTCACGTAAAGGACGAATGAACGATTCGATATACAAGATATGACCTGCAACAATAATATGATTGTTAATCGATGCTGTATCCTCTACTGTTTGTACAAGGTAGTCTTCCAAGTAATGAGAAGTCCAAAAACGTTTGGGAACCTTTGAGCTACTATTAAATAATTTGGGAGGCATTGGTATTGAAATGGTTGTTGATAAATTGTTTGAATGAAGTTCAGACAAGGGTGGTGAATCACCAAGATTTGATAAATCCGAAGGTGTTGATCCATTTCTTGATGATAAAGTAGGTGGTGATGTAGGAGATGATCCACTTGCACCATCATGATTATTGTTACTATCTTGATTATTATTATTATTATTATTATTATTATTATTATTATTATTATTATTATTATTATTATTATTATTATTATTTTTATTATTAAATAAATCAGCTATATTACCAGGTGCAGGTTCAGGTCTATGTATTGTTTCTAAAACTGATAAATCATGTTTCATCTCTTTCTTTTTCTCAATGATTAATCTATGTAATGATTTTTTGTTGTGTGGTGATGTAAGTTCTTTCTTTTCTGTCAAGATTAATTTACATTTATATTTATGTGTATCTGGATCATATCTCCATGCAACTTTTGCTTCCATCTGTTTTTTATTGATATTGTTTAGTTTTAGTTTGCAAAGAATTTATAAATAAATTACTTACTATTTTATCATTATTAGGTTGATTATCACTTATAAAACTAGATGGTGCAAATTTAATTCTCTTGGCAGATTGTTTATTCTTTGCAAGTAGAATGGCACCATCGTTTTCATTAATGATATAATCCTTGTTTGGATTCACTTTGATTCTTTGTTTTTTATTGATTAGTGATTCAATACCAAAAACAATCATACCAAACTTTTCATAAATAATCTAAAGATTATAAAAATAAAATAAGTAAGTAAATGAATCTTTTTTTTTTTTAGAACAAGATTACTATACATTTGCAACATATTTAAAAGATAATCCAACAAAAACAGTGGAGAATTTTTGTGTGAAAATTTCATAACTGTTACCAGAACCATATTCATCGATATCATCATATCTCTGAAGATCTGATCTCAATAAATTCATTACCAATGTACTGAACCCAGGAGATAAACATGATTGTGCAATTAAATTCTAAATTATAAATTAATAAAATGATTATTTATATATTACTATTTTAACTATTTACCATTTTCATTTCTTGAATTGAAATTACTTGTGTTGCACCAGCAGATATCATCTTTGGTACAAGTCTTTGATTCATTACTTGAGCAAAAATTGGAACACGTGGTAAGAATGCTCTGATCGACATGACTCTAAGTATATTCTCCTTATCATCTTCAATATCAAGAGTCGATTGTTTTGAAAATATAAAAATACTACTAGCTTTTTCTAAATTTGATCTTTTAAAATCTAAATCTTTCTATAATTTATAAATTATTTATAAAATTTTAATTAATAATTTGACCAATTGTTTTCTATATAGTTTATACTTACACCAGGTGAACCTTTAATATAAACAACATGTTTCTTTGTTTTATTACTTTCAATCATAGGTTTAAAAAATTCGGGTGGATCTACTGCACTAAATATTAACAATGGCATTAACTTTATTCTTGACTATAATAACAAATATTTAGTTAGTTTAAAACAAAGATGATATCATAATAATTGTATTACTTACATTATAAAAATATTCTCTCATGAATACGTTTAGAGATTTCTCATAGAGGTTACCAACTACAGCTACAAATTTCTTTTTGTTGGTTCTGTATTCACCATCCCATTGTTTGGTAGCAGCCATCAGTGTGAGCAATTGAGATGATTTCAATGGTAAATAAATCAAAGCAGTTAAAATGATTACACAAGTCAATGCTCGACCAAGTGATGTTTGTGGTGAAATATCACCATATCCCACTGTTGACAATGTTACAACAGCATAGTAAATGGCATTATGGAATAGAATACCCTCCACCGATGTAATCATCGATGCAAATAATACAATAAAAATTAAAAGAGATAATAACAATTGACTTGTTTTTTGAAATACAGCTGTAATTTTATATAAAAAAAAAAAAAAAGAATAAAGAATAAAGAGGGGAGGGAGAAAAAAAAAAAAGAAATAAAAGAATAATAGAAAGAGAAATATAGAAAAAAGAGAAAATAGAGAATACAAAAAAAATAATAATAAATTATAAAAAAGAATTTTTAAATCAAAATAAAGAAAATATGGTTAAATAAAATGGTTTGAATTATGATGAATGGTTTGATAGAATTGTTGTTGATTAGTTGATTTCTATAATATATCTTATACATACTGCTTGCACCATGTATCTTAAAGATTCTAGGTGCTTTCAAGATTCTAAGAACACGAAGAAATCCAAGTGGAATTACATTGACCAATTCATTTGGTAACAAAGTTACAAAGATTGGTAACAAAGTAACAATATCCAATATTGTATTTCCTTTTTTAAAAAACTTGTTTCTAATATATCAAAAAATGGTTAGTAAGAATTAAAAACATATAATTATGATTACTTCTTACTTATTCTTTGTGAATATAAAACATCTAACGAAATCAATTACGAAAAATATAGATAATCCAAGCATAATGGTATTTAATCTATGCCATGCGTCACTATCGGTTTTTATGTAACTCATTGCAATGAAAATACCAACCGATGCAACACTCAGTAGAATGTTACAGTGTTCCATAATGAAATCTAGTTTTGAATACCAATATTTGTAGAGTAGTAGACGCTTCTTTCGTTTCTGTTCTTCCTCTTCCTCCATATGAAAGTAATCGGAATTGAATGCATCCATTTCAATTTCACTCTCTTTGCCATCTTCGTCGGAAACAGAGTTGGTAGTGAGTGTATCGCTGCTGTCATCTGCAAGGTCGTCATCATCGTCGTTCAATCGACGAACGATACTCCTATCGTAACCATCGGAATGGTGAGATAGCGGGTCTTCATTGTCACTCCATGGATCTGATGCTGCCACTCCTGCAGCACCGCCACCACTACCAGGCATAATTGAATTATCATTTATCTGTACTAAATGTTGTAACTGTTGATTGGATGTGAATTGTTGTTGTGATTGTTGTAGTGGTAGTTGTTGAAATCTTAGTTGTTGCATCGACTGCATTGATTGAGCATTCTGAATATTAGGACTCGTCGGTAAACTATGTAAACTAGGTAAACTAGTATGACTAGTATACATTATATTATCACCAACAACAGGTGCTATATTTTTGTGGTTATCTATAATTGATTCATCCATAATGTTTTGTTTTTGTTATTTTTTGATTGGTCTTTTAGTTTGTTATTTATTGTTATTTATTATTATTATTATTGTTGTTGTGAAAAAACAAAACAAAAACAAACTAAAACAAAGTAATGTAATGTAATGTTACAACAAAACAAATACCAATCAATTATAATCTCTAAAAAATTGAATAAATATAAACTAATTATATATAAAAATCTATTATCTCATTGAAAACAAGTATAATTATAATCTTTTTAATATTATTATTACTGTTACTTTTAACTGTTTTTATTTAAATTTTTGCAGAATTATTTTAGTTGTTTTGTTGTGCTGTTTCACACTCAGAATCAAAACCACATAAATTTAAATGTTTATTTTTTTTAATGAAAAACGATTAATGTTTAATTGGTATAACAAGTGGTTGAAGGTGGGTGTCAAAAAAAGTTTTTTTTAAAAAAAAACAAAAAAAATTTTTCAATAAAATGGTACAGATCTTGGATCCCAATCCCAAGGACAATCTCACACTTTTTTTCAATCAAAAGAGACACATTTTTTTGAACAGACACTGGTTTTTATAAAAAGATTTTCATATTTTAATATAATAGTGTTAATCTTTTTTTTTATTTCTTTGATTTTGTTTTTGGTGATGGTCCTGTTAAAGTTAAACTTTTTGGTTGTTTACAAATTAAACTGTGTTGAAGTAACTTGTTGTCAGCGTTTTGACATTCTTTACTACAGTAGTATGATGATTTGCATTGGGAACAACGAAGCATCTTTGAGGTGTGTTTAAAGCAGTAGCTGCAATATGAGAATTTAATGGGTTCGTGTCGGAGCAATCGATTCATGGTGTCGTTCTGAAGGATTCTCTTACCGTTGGTTGTATCGATAGTCTTGCCATTGATGACGGTGAGACGCATTCCAACGGAGAAGAGCTCGTCCACTGCATCCTGTGAGTCTAGTCCGCCGCCATTCATAATCAACTCGATGAAACCACCGTAGAAATCGATTACTATAGCATGAATGTTACCGGTGTCTGTATACTTGATGGGACGTTCCACAAGTACCACACGGGTCGCTTGTCGGTTGTACATATCGGTGAACAACTTTGAGATGTCAAACTGGTCGGCATCACTCACACCAGGTGGGTATACTCCACTCTCTAGATGAGCACCGCTCTCCCTACGAAAAGTTGTTACATACAACTGTCTCTCTTTACTCGACAATATATTCTTTAGATTATTCAAATCTCCGGCATTCTCTATAGCTACACCAGGTAGATGTTTGAATCTGAATTGTGGTTCTCTTGGTTGTTGTCGTAGTTGTTGTTCACCATTAGCAATTGCAAGTTGTAATTGTTGTTCTGCATCCACTTCATTCTCTGTTGTTGCTGATGCTGTTGATTTTCTAGATCTTCTTGTTTTCGTTGTTGATTTATCTTTATTATTTTCCTTATTCAATTTGAATTGTGTGGTGATTATCTTTTTGTTTTTCTTGGCTAGTTTGCTGGTGGGGTCGAGTTTCAAACATGCATTGATCGACTTTTTAGCATCTTGATGCTTACCGTCATTGCTCTGAACGATTGACAGCAACAGCGAACAGTACTTCCAGCCCGGTTTGATACTTCTCATTCTACTTAGATCCAAGAGGATATCTTCTCTCTCGGTTTGCGATGTTGACTTGTCAGCTGCTCTCTGCAACTCTTTGGAGTAGGCACGATAAAAGTAAAACTTGGCAAGCGAATCAACTGACAGTCCGTAGAGCGCAATACCTTCGCCAGCAGTTTTGGCAGCTTCCGTGTATTTCTCCTCTTCAATCAACTCTTTGATTAACTTTCGCATCTCGACTGCTTCCTTCTCTGTGGAGATGGCACTCTGACTGCACTTGTTGTTTCTAATGGCATCGGTTGCCTGTGTCGCTACACCAAACGATGCCAGTAACGCTAGTAACTCTTCGATTTCACCATCAACCTTGTCGGTATCGGTTGTAGACACACTGCCCAGAACATAGTCGGTATAGAGTTGCACCGCAAGTTTCGACAGTTTCATCTGCTGACTGAACAACGGCATCGCTTGGTATTTCTGTTGAAGTAGATGAGTGATGACCATCAAAACCATGTGTACCAATGGAATCTCCCAAGTCGATCGATCGCCACTCTGAAACGATGACAAATACTTTTCGGGAATGTAATCGACCTTGACCGATCGCAATATCTCTGTTTCAACTTGTTCCGGTGAATCTACCCATTCCTTACCAGAGAGTAAATAGAAATTCTGACCAATAAAACTTGTCATACAATCTATTGCCAATGATAAACCAGAAAAGATAACACCTTTAATATTATCTGTACTTTTATTATTATTATTAGTTGTAGTTGTTGTAGTTGTTTCTTCTTCTTCTTCTTCCTCTTCTTCTTCAATATTTTCCTCTTCTTCTTCTTCTTCTTCATCTCTATCCATTTTTACATCTTCTTCACTGTCAGTAACATCTTCATTGTTATCACTTGTATCACTTTCATGATCTTCAATCTTTTTAGATGGTGTTCTCTTTTTTGGACTCTTTTTTGAACCCTTTTTAGTTGTTTTTCTTCTACCACCCATTTATTAGTTTGTAATATTATTAATGAACAGATGTGAATATAGTTGTTGAATAAAATGTCGTCTCAGTTTTTTTTTTTTTTTAAAAATTAAACACATATTGGCGGGAAACCCTTTTTTTTTTTTTTTTTTAACAAATCTCAAAATTTTTTTCAAGTAATAGAGATTAATAATTATAAAAATAAAATAAAATAACAAACGTATACAATGATAAAACGTCTATACTTATCAAGTATGAATCACAAAGAAACAGAAACTACTAATTCTAAACATTGGAAAGTTAGACTTTCAATTTGGTGTTTAAAACTTTCATTAATAGATAAGTCAATTTATCAACTAATTTTTCTTTGTCATTTTTATTCTATGGAAAAGTTTTAAAGTTTGAGAAAAAAATTAGAAAATTAATCATTATTTTTTTAACAAAAACAAAAGATTCAAACAACTTTTTCCAACAAGATGTAGAGCAAAATCATGATTTTTATTATATTTGCATTACCATTCTTTGATTATCTATAATTCTTTGAACATAAAAATGCAAATATAACCTTTATTAGATTTATATAAATAGTTTATTTTTTTCCCATGGTTTACAAATTCAAATTCAAAATCAATTTCATTTTTGTTAAACCGAAACAAATATACAAAACAAATGGGACAATCACAATCAAATAATAATATTAATAATATTAATAATAATATATCTATAATAAATAATAATCAAACAAAATTTCCTGATTTTATTTTAAGAAAAATCTTTGAGATTTTATCAGAATCTGTGTGTAGATATCATAATGACCGTTGGAATCCTTTGACTCTCTCTTTGGTATCACACTATTGGCTTGTGGAAATCATCTCTAAATCACAACCTAGAATCACTACATTGAGTAATGAAGTAGAGTTTCTTGTTGGATTACCACAATCCTATTATCGATCCTATGCCAAACTTTATGACAATGTTCAAACCACCGATATTCCAGTATTCAATATGAAACTCACCAAATTGACAATCATCTCTTTAGATCATGAGAAAAAGATAAAAAAGAGTAGAAAGAAGATGTCAAAAGACTATTATGATCGTTGGTTAAACCGTCGTGATTGGATAACACAATATAATGACGCATTGCTATCGTTGTGGTCATTCGATTCACTCACTGTCATTGGTTTATTTGAAGGACAACAATTGGATCAACTATTAATTGCCAATCGTCTGAGAAAATTAAGAGTCTATCACGATACCGCCAATGAATTTCATTTGGAATCATTTCCTAATCTAACGAAATATACTATTCGTCATGACAAGGAGGAATGGTCATTAGAAGAATCGGCAACAGATATATTCTTTATGCCAAATCATAATCAATCTCTTACCTCATTGGTTATCAACATTCCATTCAACAGGAATCATCCTCTCGATCAAGATGCTCAACCAATGCCCAATGTAACATCACTAGAGTTAAACAATCAAAATGGCTTTGGTCCATGGTCAAATAGAGTACAAGAGAGAATACCATTGAATATCGCTCACTACTTTCCAAATTTAACTACTCTAAGTCTCGATAATATCTATCATCTAATGGTCTACTCTTCAAAGGATGAAATGAATACGTTACCACTACCAGTGTTAATTGGTAAGCTAAAACAGCTCCGTCATCTTTCGATTAACAATAAGAGACCATCTGGTTTATCGAAAATTGATAAAACTCTTGGTGTTTATCCACGTTACTACTCAGAGTTTGAAACAGGTGAAACCGCTCAACTATTTGCTAGAGATTTGTTAGAGATTGGTGGTCAGCTACATACTTTAAAGCTAAAGGGTGAAGTAACTCTCTTTTCCCCACTTCTATCACAGTCATTGAGTTCTCTAACCAACTTGAAAAGACTATCAACTTCACACGTCCTCACAATGGATGATGTCAATCTCTTGACACTCTTGAATAGTTCTCTCAAAAGAGTTTCAGCCAACTTTTACAAACACAAGAACAATGCATTGTTGCACATTATCAAGAACAACAAGAACATTGTGGTTATAAAAGATTATTCATTCGATGGTTATCCAACAGCAGAGCTATTCAATGCTTTGAGTGATGGTGATACAAAGTTAGAGAAACTACAATTGGTTTGTGACAATGATATGGTTCCTAAAACAAAGTGTTCTAACCTTTCTGTACACATATCAATGGTTAACAGAAACAAACACAAACAACCAAGACATCAAAACAAAGAACAATATCAACACTACAGAAAGTTAATGTATTTCGGAAACCAAGAAGATGTCCATGATAATGAAGATCAAAGTGAATCAATTGAATAAAAAAAAAAAAGAATCTTTTTTAATTATAAATTTGTTTTATAAACAAGATTGTGCCATGATTGATTATCTGACTTTTTAAATTGCAATATTATATTATCTTGAGCAAGGTTGAGATTTTTGATTGTATTTCCTAGGAGTGTAGGGTGTATTAGAATAGTTTGGTTGTTTTTTAATTTTCATACATACTAAGTCTACTTTCAATAAAGTCAAGAACCAGGTCTCATTTTTAGCTATAAAGAAAAAAAAAGTATAATCATTTCCATCTCCACACAGTGCAATCAAGATGGTGTACTTTGGAGGATGTATTGAAGCTTCAAAGTCACATCTCTGTTGGAGGTCAAAGGTATGCTCATACCTCGAATCATGAAATTGTGCTGGAAAATGTTTAAACGATTCTTCTTTGTTCATTGTTTAGAACGCTGCTATTTGAATCGCACTTTAATTTCAACATGATATGATTCTTTGTCACTATCTGTAGGTAGAAAAAAAAAAAAAAGATATATATTACACGATAGACTATCTAAAGCTTTTATCGACTCTGATGATATTGATGATCATTAGGTTCCAATATTGTTTGAAACACATAAAAAAATTTTTTAAAAACTTATTCAAATTGAAACTGATGATATTGTTAATCATGATAGATAATAGTTGATAATAAAGTTGATTACTAATAAGTTTTTAATAGAATTTTTAATTTCTTAATAGGATTAAAAATCCAATTAATTTATTTTTTTTTGTTTTTAATTTTCAAAATCTATCTGTATAATATTTTACGATATACAAGAAGGGTATTACCAAGGACAGTTGATGACAGCTTCTTAGATCACATACAAATATAGTGTTTTCGGTGAATTTGAATATACACTACGTGATTGTGATTACCACAACAGAACACCTCTATTTTAATAAAATTAATATCTATTGATAATCTTCAATATATATGGTAAATAATAATTGAAAAAAGATGTAAGAATAGGCTATTATTAATGTATTAATGTTTATTTAAGGTATTGCCCCGCATGTTATTATAATAAGTTGATATATCTTCATTTCCACTTACTATGCCATCTTTGACTATGGTAACCGTCAAGTCGGATTTGCTACAGCTGTTACTGCCTAAAGTTTAAGAGGGGAATTTGCTGAAATAATATAATTTTAAATAAAAATTAATTCATTTTAATATTATTTGTTGTTGTTTAGCTTTTATTTATCTCTTTGAGATTATTATCTCTTTTTTTCAAAGTCACTCAAATTTCTAAAAATATAAAAAAATATAATTATATAAAAAAACTTTTCTTTTATCATTTATTTAATTTCTAATTCAAAAATATGGTTTATGAATATTTATAAATATTAACTCTGCTTCAAGTGAATTGTTATCAACATCAATTAGAAGATTCTAGAATTTGATTTTTGAATATCACAACAAATTTAAGTATGATTTGGTTGATAAGACCGAGTGAAAACAGTTTAAAAATGCTGTTAATATTGATGTAAATATATTAAGAAAATTGTTTTTATTTCTTCATCTAAATGACAAATGTTTATTCTATAAAAAACTAAAAAAAAGAGTAATTTTTGCAAAAATAAATTTGATTTTTGAGAAGCAATGTATTGATTTTTATTTTAAATAACAAATTTAGCTCTGAATGTATTGATCTAAATAAAGGAATGGGTTTTCAAAAAAGTAGTCACTTATTTTAAAATCTATCAATTTGTTTATTAATATTATATTGATAATTTTTTTCAAAACAAACTCATTCACTTTTTAAATTTCAACAAATAATTAATAAATTTATTAATTATTTAGCATTTATCACGTTTAATAATGAGTAGCAACAAAAAACAAAAACCTCTGCTACTACAGACAACTATCCAACAATAGTCACAGAAAAAATAAAATCCAAAATAGTAGTTAAAAAATGTTTGGAGTGTTCAGATTGTAGCGAAGAAGAAGAAGCGCTTGGAGAGAGTGTTCCGATGGAAACCGAGAGCTACCAAAGTCTAGGTATGATAAATAATTAATTTTATTTTCTTTTTTAATTAATTTTTTTTTTCCTTTTATTAGATATGGTTTTAAAAAACTTACAGGTACAAAAGTTACACTTTTAACTGGACCATCTAAATATAGTTGGATTCAAGAGACAGGATTAATGCAAGTAGAAATTTATTCGAGAGATTATTTCAATGAATAATCATATTTTATCTTCTTATCATTGAAATAATCTCTCGAATAAATTTCTTGAAGTGCAATCACAACTGTTAATGATGCAAAGACATATGATTCTTTGATGAAAGGCATGTTTCGAAATTGGACTCTCTAACAAAAGAATGTAAAAATAAGATTGTTAAATCAAATTTTTTGTTCTTTTTCTAATTTTTAAATAAATTCTATTTGTTTTTTTTTATCTATAAAAATATTAATTTTTTAAAGTTTTTATTATTATTATGAATTAAGAGTTGAATTTTGAATGTGTCTTTGTAATGTGAGATTCTGTTTGTGTGGTGGGTGAGTTTTTTGTTTGGGTGGGGCGAGACAACACCATTTTAGTAAATCTGATTAATCAAACAGTGCAAGCTAAATCAATCAGATCAAAATATTTAATAAAGAAATAGTTTTAAGAAATCAAAGTAGATAAAAGTTTAAAGATATTACTCAATTAATTAGTTTTCAAGGTTTAAATAGCTTTGAACTTTAGTATTGTGGGATGAAAAACACAAAAATATATGTTTGTGTGATCTAATTCTATTATTTTTAAATAATTTTTTTTTTAATAAAAGAAAACCTATATAAAAATTATTTAAGAAAAAAAATAATAAACAATTCAATCTGATCATACATTTGATAGTTTCCAAAAAATTGTTTGATAAAAATAAAAATATGAGTTTATAACAACAAAATAAGATATTTTTAAATAATTTTTTTTTTAAATGAAAGAAAACCTTTAATAAGAGTGAGGTCAGATAGAAAAAAAATTGATAGTAACGAAATTTAATCAAACTAAACAATGTTACAAAAAAATTGTTTTGGTAAAAAATGAAAAACCTAGTTTAGGGTTTTTTCACCACTAAATCACAGGGTAATGTCTTATGAAGAATTTAGAAAATGATAATTTAAAAGTTAAATTAGTATTTTGTTATTTTAATTGGAGCATCGGCATCTAATATCTTTAAAGGTGATACAGTCTCTGGTAATGATATAGGTGAATCATTTTCTGATGAGCTAGATTGGGGATGAACCCATAATATCTGGTTACCTCTGGGAGTAGCTGGCGACAGTGATAGAGTTCGTACAGTAAATGCTTAGACATGACCGTCTGGTGCTGGTCGAACCAGAGTACCGACTTTTAAAACTATGGGTATTCATTTGACATGATAGCGAAACTGTCAATACCATTGCTTTCTAGATCTTCATATATCGCTGAATATGGGTGCTTAGAGAAGCTAGTCTGAGTCGAGACATATGTTTTTCGAACAAAAAGCTTGATAAGAAAGCATTTAAGGTGTCTAGATGTATTGTTCTTCTTATTCATCTTTAATAGAAAGGTGTATGGCAAAAAAAATAGACAAAAAATATGAAACCCAATTCCGATATAAATTTGTTTATTAAACAAAGTTTGAATCTATCGATAAAAAATTGGACAAATAACTTTACAACATACTATCTATTGAAAGAAATAACCTACAAATGTAAACAAGAAAATCTCTGATAGCAGTAGAGTAAAGAACTAAATAAACATATTGAACTGATGTTGTTATAGTTGAATAAAGTAAAGAATAAATGATAATATCTATTCTCTAATGTAAATTGATCCTAACCATTGATACTGATACTAAAAAACTAATATAAATTCATACATGTGTAGTTATTATTTTTTTAGTTTTTTTTGTTTTAAATCACCACAAACCAAAGCATGTAGGTATTGGAAAAAAGTATGGATATATGAAGAGATGTTAGTAAGATAAGAGATGCGAGTGTAGTAGATGTTAGTTAGTGGAAAAGATATGGTATCGACAAAGGTGGATGGTGAAGAGACCGCAACACCAACAGTTGGAAATGGTGGCAACTTCACAAATAATGGATTTGAAGAGAATTGAGGTATTCTTCAATAATAATTATGAAGGTTAGCGAATTTGAAATTCACATAAATTTTTCACAAAAATTGATGAAAAATGTAAAAATTTGCAATTTTTTGTGTGAAAAATTTTTTTTTATATTTTTAGAAATTTGAGTGACTTTGAAAAAAAGAGATAATAATCTCAAAGAGATAAATAAAAGCTAAACAACAACAAATAATATTAAAATGAATTAATTTTTATTTTAAATTATATTATTTCAGCAAATTCCCCTCTTAAACTTTAGGCAGTAACAGCTGTAGCAAATCCGACTTGACGGTTACCATAGTCAAAGATGGCATAGTAAGTGGAAATGAAGACATCACCGAGGATCCATAATGGACCAATTGGAGCTGGGATATCGATACCCATGAAACCAGAGAGACATTCAGTTTGACCCATAGAGGTAACTTGGAGGACGTAGTCGGTTGGGGTCAAAAGGAATTGACGACCGGCAACAGTGATTTCAATGTTTGGCAAAGTCGAGATGACAGAGCATGAAGTGAAGATACCTTCACCGTTCATTACGACAGCACCGAGCTTGGTGTTCAAAGCGTTGATTTGAGCGGATGGACCAGCAATCAAGGAGGTACCAGAGTCACAGATGGCGTGACATCCGTCAGCACCACAGTATCCGAGAGAGTTACCGTTCAAAGCGAAATCGTCCATCTTGAACTCCCAGTAGGTCTCGTTGGTGAGTGGGACGTAGGTGATTGGACCAGTGTAACGGGTGGTATCGATGGAACCAAAGGTGAGTTCACCACCGTTGGCACCTGGAACCTTGGATAACCAGAAAGCAAAGACTGGTTGTTGGACCAAACCTTGAGCCATCATGTTGTAGAAAACTGGTGGGATAGAGTTGACAGAGATCGATTGGAAGGCAAGACCGAGGATACCATCGAATTTGGCCAAATCGAAAGCAATACCTGGTTCGGCGGTGGCTTCAGCAAACAATTGGTTTTGGACAGTCAAGGAACCGACTTGGACGGTATCTTGGGAGACGAAACCAGACATGGCACCAGAACCATATTGGATAGAGAAAGAGGTACCGTTGGCAACGTATGACGATGACTTGGATGAATCGTATTTGCTGTGCAAGTCACAGGCAACAACAGTGACTGGGCACTTCTTGGATGGGATCCACAAGTTGGATGAACCAGTATCGAAAACTACCTTGAAGGATTGGGCTGGGGTACCGATGGTAATGGCACCATAGTATTGGGCATCTTCATAATCAGAGATTGGAATAGTGGTTCCTGAAGCACCGAGGAGACGACCAGCAAACTTCTTTTGGATGTTTTGTGGGATTCTTCTAATGGCTTGTCTTGAAGCCTTGTTGAAGGAGAGTGGGACACTGTATGAATTGTTAAAAATATTATTATTAATTAAATTATTGAATAAATAAATATCATTTATTATTATAAAAATTATTTTATTTGATTTATAAATTATTTTTGTAGTTGATATTTATTTAATTAATTAATTTAAAACGCTACTTACGTGAAAGCCTGTGAGACCACGATGAAAGCAAAGAATACAGCAAGTGCAGAGATAATTCTCATTTTTTAATAAATATATATATAAGTGACTGAATTAAAAGTAACCAACTTTGGTCTATATATATGTTTTGAAAGTGTGTTGTTAGGAGAGTCAAAATTTTAAAAAAAAAAATATACTAAAAAAAATACAAAACTGAAAATTCTTTTTCTTTTTTTTGGTTACGATAATTATTGTTGAATATCGTACATACTATTATATAAAGGCGGTGAAAATTTTGATCGGATTGTGATTCTCCACCCAAACCCACCAAAAATTTGAAAAAAAAAAAAAAAAATACCCCAATTGTGATGAAAAAAATCAATTGTTGGATAAAATCAGAAAAAATTGAAATGTCATTTGAAAATAGCACACCTCAAAGTGTTTATGGTGAGTGGAATGAAAAAAAATATAAAAAATGAAAATATCCAAAAATGAAATCAATGTTGTTTTTTCACTTTTTTCTTATCATTGTCTCATTGGGTTTAGACATTGAAGAAGAAGCTTTTGACTTTTTTTGAATCATACAATTCCTTTTTTTTTTTTCTACAAAACCCAAATATTAATTAATTATGAGGAACGTTTTTTTGTTTTTTGTTTTAAAATATCTTTTTTGATCAACCACAACCTTGAATAGATTTATAGGACTAATCAAAGAGTGTTCCACTTGGCCCTAACTAGATTCCTCTATTGTAGGTTTGTCATCATCATCATTGAATTGTAAGGCTACTGGAACCAAAAGCAGAAATCATGCAAATCGGCATTATAAATGAAATTTCCAATGACTCGAAAAATTTGCAACTCACAAACTAGTGTGTAACCGTCGATTCCTTCGAAACTCCTACTACTATTTTAATATGCGATAAGAAATCTGATTACCAAACTCCAAACCTTGGAACTCTAAAAAACAACAATGATTTAGGATTTAGGAAGGAACTAGACCTAAAATTAAATGAAAAAAACAGTCGACACACAAAAGAAAAGTGATTCTAGTAAATCGATCTAGCTACACTTTCTGGATATTTTCAATTTACTGAACAAAAGGTGGCTGGGAAAACGAGAAAATCTTAATGATTCCAAAGCTAATCATAGTGAGGCAATGATACCCACCCACTTTAGGGATTTCATTGTTTCAAAAAAAAAAAAAAAAAAAAAAAAAAAAGAAAAAGAAAAAGAAAAAAAGTAATTTTTAGTTATTTATAACTTTTTCTATTCTTTTTTCTGAAATGAATATTCAAATTATTTTCATTTTTATTTCTCAAAAAAATAAATAAATCAAACAACTTTATAGAATAATAATTATTATAGTTCTGTAAATTGTTTTAATATGATATAATAAAAGTATAAAGTTTAAATTTGTTTTTTTTTTTTTAAATTTTTATAAAGATTTATTTATTTATTTATTTTGTTGTTGTTGTTGTAGTAGTAGTTGAACTTGATGATTCTTCAGTTGCTGCTGTTGGCTCTTCAACATTTACACTCTTGTAAAGTAAAATATATGACATATGCCAATCACCAGTACCACCATAGAGCTTCTTGATATCTTCGTCAGTGTGTAGTGTAACTATATTATCGTTGAATTGATACCATTGATTGTCAGCCTTCTTTACCCATGCAACGTAATGACCAGAGTCAGCATAACGACCTTGATGAGTAAGTACTGCACTCAACTCATATTTACCGGTATCGTTTGGTTTGATATCGAGCGATACATCACTGGTAGCGCTGGTTGATTTGTTGTCTGGTTTCTTTTCGGGTGGTTTGCTGACGTCGGACATCTCTTGATCGTCGAGTGGCTTTCTCTTGCGTTCCAACGACTGGTTGAATTGATCCTCGATGATCTTACGCTTGACGGCCAGCTTCTCTTTGAGTTCCGGTGTGCACATGTCTTGAACATCGAGCATGAAAGGGAATTGAACGGGTCTGATAATCTTGGCTTTGACACCGACAGTGGCGGAATCACGTGACTCTTTGACATCTTTCTTCCAGTGGAATCTAACGAATTGTACGAAAAGATAGGGTGGAAGTTTGGAGATGGCAGTCTTCTTGAGGTAGACGGCTTCACGATTCAAAGTCGGTGACTTTTTGGTGATCTCCTCTTCCAAACCACGTTTGAGTCCTTCGTGCAAGTACGATGTTTCAATATTGATATTACAGGCCAACTTTAAGAGTGTCTCTATCTTGTTGGTAGGATCTTCCGATGGATTGTCCTTACAGGTCATAGTATCGATCGTCTCAATACCAAACAACTTGTTGATGATCGACTTTTCATGGTCATGATCATTTGGATTGAGTGTCTGTCCTGGTGCTGCCAACTCATATGAGAAAGCAGTCAACAATTGTGACATTGCTTCCTCTGCATCTTGTTGTAAGAAATGTCCACCTTTTTCTTCAGCAAATTGTGGAAACATTCTTCTAAATGTCTAAAAATAAATAAAAAAAATGGTTAATTAGTTAATTAGTTTAATGAATTAAAAAGTAATATATATATTATTATTATTATTTTACCACTACTTACTGATAAGAATAAAATGGTTGACATTGGTAGATTTGATTTGGTGAGTTCATTGAATAAAACTTGAGATGCTTTTACAAGACTGGCATACATTGATGGGTTGCTTGGTTGTTTGTAGGTTTGAATGGATTTGACAAGTTCTGGTACGGCTTTGAGTGTTTGTAGTGTCGAGTTGAGATAACATGTATTTCCAAGATTGGCAAGACCGGTTGGCATGTCATTCATAATTGTATTCTGAGTTTCCTCTGGTAGATCTTCAATAAATTTTACAGGTTCCTTTGGTTTCTCCAATTCAGCTGCCGATCCCATCATCATTACATTCTTTCCTTCAACTAAATCAACATCTTTCCATTGTGTTTCATCCTTTAAAATACCTCCTTTAAATCCCATAACTAAAAATTGATAAATAAATTTAAATTAAAATGTTAATATAAATATTTAATAGTACTTGTTTAAATCGATTTGATTTAACTATTCAATTTCATACTCTTTTGTCTATCAACAGGTACTTGAGTTAAAGAGTAAATCTGACTCTTTAATACACTGACTGGCTGTGATGGATCTACATCAACCTCATACTTTTCTTTTCCCCACTTTATATTAATCTTTACCATTATTATTTAAATTATAATTACAAAAAAAACTTTATATATATATATGTTATATCTATATTAAATAAAATGAATGATCAAAAATAAAAATTAAATTAAGAAATTTGTTTTTTTGAACATCAAAGTTTACAAAAAAATTGATCAATTTTTTTATTTAATTAAAAATTTTAAATTTAAACTTTTTTTTTTATTCGTTTAAAATAATAAGAATTTTTAATATATTTCTAAAACTATTTTTTTATTTGTTTTCGTTATGCTTCACTACTTCCATCATTACAATAGGATTTGCAAAAAGTAAAGAATGAATAACAATAATCGTAATCATTACTAACTTCAGCGCAAAAATCGAAATTTTCATAACAATGATCCTCACATTTACCAGCAATGCATACATTAATGAATATATATATTAGAATAATAATAATTTGATTAATTGATAGATTATTGTTCATTTTCTATATATATATATTTATTTATATATTTTAATTAATAAATAATTTGATTATCAATTCAATTTCTATTTTATTTACCTTTTTAAAATACTAAAACTGTTTTTATGATTATTACAGAATGACAATAATTATTCACCGACCTATATTTACGATACAACTGGTTTCATTGTAAACCATACACAAAAAAAAATGTATAGCATTTTTATTACATATGATAAAGATGTGTGATCAATCAAAATAGCTATTGCTAAAAATGTGTGGTGTGGCTACCAACCACAAACATTTTCGATTATAATTTATATTATTGTAAAGCTTGCATATGTAATGAGTGTTGCTATTAATTACAATCTAAATAAAATAAAGTTACAATCTAATATTTAATATTTATAAAGGAAAAACTATTGTACATTGTCTTGTGTCTTTTTTATTTAATTTACTAGTAAAAAATAATAATCTAATCATCTTTAATTATGTGATTTCTTTTTCTAATCATCGTTACAACAACAACAACACCATTCACATTTACAACATTCTTCCATACACTCACCGCAACAAGAAGAACAGCAACCATCTTCCGAAGAGCTTTGGGACTTATAGCCACCTGGTGGTGTTATAACAGGTGGAGGAATGGCAACTGGTTCTGGCAAAGGAATCTCCACATTGATTTCAATAGATTTCTTATGAGACGCACAATACTTTTCACCATTCTCTGCTGTTATACTACAACCTGCTGCTTGACAAATCGATGGTTGTTGTGCATATACTACAGGTGTTTGTTGAGGTGGTGGGTATGCAAGTGGTTGTTGAACATAGAATGACTGTTGTTGTGGTGGTGGATAACCTTGTTGTGGTGGGTAGCCTTGCTGTGGTGGATAACCTTGCTGTGGTGGGTAACCTTGTTGTGGTGGATATGGTTGACCTGGATAGGGTTGCTGAGGTGGTGGATAACCTTGTTGTGGTGGGTAGCCTTGTTGAGGAGGGTAACCTTGTTGTGGTGGATAACCTTGTTGAGGAGGGTAACCTTGTTGTGGTGGATAGCCTTGTTGAGGTGGTGGATAACCTTGTTGAGGTGGATAACCTTGTTGTGGTGGATAACCTTGTTGTTGTTGTTGTGGTGGTGGATTTCCTTCTTGTTGAGGGGCTGCATTCACTGGCTGCTGCTGTTCTGGTTGTGGTTGTTGATTTGAATCAGACATGTTGTATAATTATTTATATTTATATATAGACTAGATGTCTTGTAACCCCCGACTTTCTACACCTCTTTACAAAGTTAGTAGTAAAGATAAATAAAAAAGTTAACTTTTTATTTAAACAAAGAAAGAAATGTTTAAAAAATCAAGTTACTTAAACCAAAATCTTTAGGTTGATTCGACATTGTTTCGCACTTTGAAACCAAAGATAAGTTCACCAAAGAATACAGGTCATCACAAATTTGTGATGGATGAAATGATCACAAAACTTAAGATAATCGGTTTTTATGTAAGCCAAAATTTTGTAAAAAACAAAATTTTGTAATATCAGATATTTTGTTGTAAAACTAAAACATTAAAATCCTCAAAAAATTTGTAGATTTTTCATAGGGCGTGTCTCTCTGCTCTGTAAATTTAATAAGATCGATGTTGTCATCTGATTCTCCAATATCAAGGTGCAAAATCACCCGTTATCGATACAAGATAAAAGTGAATTAAATCATTAGAATAAAAAAAACAATAAAAAAAAAAATAGTTTTTTTATTCTAGTTTTTTTATTTTTACAACATTAGATCAAGATTTATCAAATCATCTAAAGTCAACTCTATTCAAAAATAATTAAATTCATAAAGTTTTAATTTCTTAGATTTTTTTAATATAAATAAACTTTTAAACAATGATAGAAGCATCATGACTTGAAACTGAAAGATCTCAACTATGTATCAAGATTTTGGATTCCAAAGGTGCTTTGAAAGCCTTGAGAAGTACGAGCCATGATAACCAATGAGACTGAGCGTCAAAAGAGAATCAAGGCAATCTCTGATTTCTATTCTGCCGCATCAAAATAATATCATAAAATGTATCAAATAAATTTATTTTTATCTTAACCCCCTTATTTGAAGTAAAAAATTGATTAATTTGATTTACCAATTTGTTTTTTTTTTTTTTTTTGAAAATAATTACACAATGGTAAGTAAATGCCAAAACCAATAATAATATGGTCAAGTTTTATTTTAATAATAATAATACAAATAATAATGCAAAGGATTAATCTTTTTAATTGTCAACATAAATATAAACATGTTGATGTCGTTGTAAACTTCCTTAGTAGTTGTTATCAAGCTGACTTTAGAGGATCTCTAAACTTTATATCTTCATCATTAGTTAATAGTAAGTTTAGTATGTTATTTATTATTTTGTTATTGTTTCTAACTATTAGAGTTGTTATTTTTTTAGGTCCAAGCCAATGTGAACAGATATTTAATAATTCTTATAATGTTGGAACTTTTATAAAGTTAAAAGAGATAACAGTGTTGAATAACAACGGTCATGTTTATTGTATAGTACAACATTCCAACGATGACTATCAATGGATATTCTATGTAGATATGAATGCTCTAAAGATAGCCGGATGGGATCAACGTAACAATGGCAACTATAGAAATCCATCGGAGAACAATCAACAGATTAAAGAGATATTAAGAAATAGAGATGTAGCACCTCAACTTGGTTCGGTACAGCAACACAATGCTTCGGCAACATTCATTCAATCACAGAGGAATAGAATCGTTCGATTCGAATGGGATACACCGGTTTCAAAGTCTGATGTTTCATCCAATGGTTTGGTGGAGCTACTGATGCCTTGTAACAGACCGTACCAGAAACACATTAAATTCCAAGTGCTCAGTCCATCTTTTCAATTTGTAGATCACTATGAATCGAATGGAAATACCTATGTTCGTGTTAGACCTACCTCCAACTTTCACTTTAATACACATGTATCTTACAGTCTAGATATCGAATTCGATTCTACACCTATTCAAACAGAAGTCTATACTGGCCAATGGAGTCTGACACACGACGATCCAAAACAATATCTTGGTATTACCTATCATACATCTGCTCGTCTCGATCCAACGCATCCACATATCCGTCAGTTGCTGACCAGTATCACTTCGACCTTACCACCGACAGCAAGATCCGATCCAGCAGAGATTGCTAAAGCCATTGCATATTGGGTTGGAAATGTTCCCTATCAGATGATTGAACCGGGTATGAGTTGGCCTACTCTAGAACAATACATCCAAAGTGGTTACAAGTATATGGAGTGTGGAGGACATGCTATCTTTTTTGTTTGTTTGGCACGCGCTGCTGGCATACCAGCAAGAAGATTGTTCCACCCTTGGATCGTTACTTCTCACGACAAGTTCCAAAGATTCGATTCACATTGTATTGCAGAGTTTTATCACCCCAAGTTTGGATGGGTACCAGTTGATGCAACAACAAAATTCAATCACACCAACAATCAACAGTGGTTCCGTGTTCCAAAGCCAGTACCATCTTCTTGGCCAAACAGCATAGTAATGACCGCAGAGAGTATGGATGGTTATGAATTGAAAGCACTCAATTCCAAAAAGAATCAAACATTACAAAAATGTAAAGTAACTTTAATAAATTAATTTATTGTTTGTATATATTTCTATCTATATCTTATAATCTATAGATTTCAAATTGTTCAACGAAATGTGATTGTGATGATCCACCAGTTGCAGCAGTGAATCCAACATGTGCTAAATTATCTTCCAATCCAATGAATTTCGATAGATTGAGTTTATCGTTGGTTGATACCAATGCAGAATCTACAAGTACTTCAAGTCGTGAAGCTGATTCGCTGTATCTGATGATTACATCATGGGTTTTACCATTGTTCATCGATGCAACATTTATATAGGCTAATGAATATTTAGGTGAACTTGAGTTTGGTCGAGTACCTATCGATTGAATCGATACATGACTACCTGATGGTTCGCCATCATTTCGGTAGGTATCGAATTCAATTGCCAAAGAGTTGCGAATTCCATCATAACCCATATTTCCACCAGTTTTTTTCTTATCATAGTGATTCTCACCGAGTGGAGAGTCATGGATAACAAAAGCCATACCATCGGCACCACCTTTGTCCATCCTGAATTTAAATCTACAAAAGAATCCAGATCCAATGTTCAATGGTTTTCGACTCCAACAAACACCAACTTGGTTACGTAGGGGACCGGTCAGTATCAAAATACCTGCCAACAATTGAGCACTTCCATGAGTTATCATATGATCAGAGTGTAGATATATCAATGGCAGATAACTCTTGATATTCCTTCTAAGAATCATGTTTCTAACCAAACATTTCTTGATTAATTGGTTTCGTGAAGATGGTGTACATTGGTCTTGATCCTGTTCAAAGGATGTCAACTCTTCTTGTACTTTGGAATCTTGATCTGTCGGTTCCACTTGATTGAACAAAGATAGTTCAACATTGCCCAGGGATCCACATTGGCTAGACCATTTGGTAACAATACCAAAATAACTAAATAAATGGCTTGCTTGGGCGCAGGTCAGAGTAAAATCTAAAGGCAACTGAGTTATCAAGTTGTCATTTAGGTTTAGATTTAAAGTTAAACTTTCGGGATTGTATACTATGACCATCGTATTGCCAACAGGTTGGGATTTAAGTTTTGTGTTGAAAAGAATTACATTTCTTTTGAGTTTATAGTCTTTGACAAACACTTCAAACGACTTGTCATCTACCTTTAATAGTTCTACTGCTAGAGTATGAGCAACATTAACAAATCCATATTGGTATCGATTGTTGCTTGTTAACTCTGACATGACACTTTGCATTACGAATGTAATATATTTGTTTTTGGAAAAATCCAAAGAAAAGCTAAATTTGAATCCTTGGTTGATGATGGTTTCAGTTCGAATATAATCTCTAAACCATATTGATTTCACAATTCTTTCAACTTTTGAACATTTTTTAATATCACTACCACATCCAACTAGAAAAGAATTGTCTTGTCCAAGTGTCTGATTAAAGTATTGTTGAATAAGAACATTTTTTTGATTAAACTCTTTAGAGTAATCTAAAAATTTGATCTCTCCTTCTTCAAATATTGATTCTACAACTCTTCTATTTATAATGCTTGTATAATTTCCATTGGTTTCATATTTATTCTCATTCTTAGAAAAGTCCTCTATGAATACATATTTTTGATTATTATTATTATTATTATTATTATTATTATTATTATTATTATTATTATTATTATTATTATTATTGTTGTTGTTGTTGTTGGTAGTAGTGGTAGTTGTTTTCTTTTTAAATAGATTCTTAAACATTTTATATCTATAATGTTATATTATTAAAGTCAGTTTTGTTTTAAAAACATATATTAAAATTGTTTTAAAAAAACAAAACTGACATCAAATGAGGGAATCAAACATGTTGCTTTTCCCTGGTAAATTTTATCATAAAAAAAAAAGTTTTGGTATGGCTCCCAGGCTGTTAATTGAAAAAATATTAAAACTTTATTCTCGTTTAATAAAGGAAAATTACTAAAGATCCAGAATAAAATCTTAATAAATTTTTTATTTTCCAGACTCAATTCCAAAAAGAATCAAACAAGATTGAAAAGTAACTTTAATAAATTAATTTATTATTTGTATATATAAATATTTTATAATCTATAGATTTCAAATTGTTCAACGAAATGTGATTGTGATGATCCACCAGTTGCAGCAGTGAATCCAACATGTGCTAAATTATTTCCAATCCAATGAATTTCGATAGATTGACGTTATCGTTGGTTGATACCAATGCAGAATCTACAAGTACTTCAAGTCGTGAAGATGATTCGCTATATCTGATGATTACATCATGGGCTTTACCTTTGTTCATCGATGCAACATTTTTATAGTCCAATGAATATCTTTCTGTTAGCATAGGATCAGAGTGTAGATATATCAATGGCAGATAACTCTTGATAGTCCTTCTAAGAATCATGTTTCTAACCAAACATTTCTTGATTAATTGGTTTCGTGAAGAAGGTGTACTGTGGTCTTGATCTTTTTCAAAGGTTGTCAACTCTTCTTGTACCTCGGAAACTTGATCTTTCGGTTCCACTTGATTGAACAAAGATAGTTCAATATCATCAAAAGTCGTTTTAGTAGAACATTTGGTAACAAGACCAAAATAACTAAATAAATGGCTTTCTTGGGATTTGGCCAGAGTAAAATCTAAAGGAAATTGAGTAATCAAGTTGTCATTTAGGTTTAGATTTAAAGTTTGGAAAATCCAAAGGAAAAATAATTTTGAATCCTTGTTTAATGAAGGTTTCAGTTTGAATATAATCTTTAAACCATATTAATTTCAAAACGCTTTCAACCTTGGAACATATTTCAATTTCTTTACCACCGCCAACAATAAATGAATTGTGCTCACCAAGTCTCTGATTAAAGTATTGTGGAGTATAATCTTTTTTTAACCACTAAAAACTCTTTCCTCAAAGATTGATTCTACAACTCTTCTATTTATAATACTTGTATAATTTCCTTTGATTTCATACTAATTCTTATTATTATTATTATTCTTTGAAATGTCCTCAATTACCTAGTAGTTTTGATTATTATTATTATTATTTTTTGTAGAAGTGGTTTTATCTTTTTAATTTAGATTATAAATCTTAATGCATTCAAAGAATATTATAAAGGATGATTCTGTTTAAAATAATCTTTTGTAAAATTTAAAAGAGAATGTGTGGTGACCAGTTCCGATAAAACAAATTAACTATTTTCCCTGGTTTATTAAATTACAAGTTATATATTTCAATATATTTTAATCTCTCTGGATAGGCATAATATAAAGATTGTTTATATATGTCGGGTGCTCTATCTTGTAGATTGTTGTGAATGAATTTAAGGATTGATATGTTACCATTCTTAATTGCTTTTGCTATGGCTTCTCCAGAACAACCTTCTGTTCTATTGTTATGGAGAAACTCGAGTATAGAAAGATGATTGAGTCTACTAGCTTCATCCATAGCATCTTTGGTAGAATCACCACCATTTTCATGCAGATATTGAACAATATCCAGTGTTGCTCCATAGGTTGCTGCAAAATCAATAATACAGTCAGCAAACTTTAGATCTGGTAGATTGTTCTTTAACCAAATAACCCTTGATAGCGTTTTGTTATTTTTAATTGCATACAGGTATGCATCCGATGTGAATTCTTCTTTCTTATTCGATAGTAACCAACTGAGAATTTGATCACTCTTATTGCCAGCAAAGCGATCCACTAAATGACTTGGGAGAGGAATGTTTGTTTGGTTGATAAGATACTCGAACATCTCATAACTGATAGTGATTGCAGTATCTTTAAACATTTCGGTAGATGCAGCTTCCGTTCGATTCTCATTGAGAAATCTAACCATCTCCATATCGTTGTTTTGAATCGCATAGATCATAGCGCGCTTTGAACATCCTTCACTTCTATTCTCATGCAAGAATCTAACAATATCATGATTTTGATACATTACAGCCACGTCCATTGCAGCAGTAGAACAGCCACTTAATGTATGTTCATGCAAGTATCTGACAACCGGTAAGTTTCCCGCGAGACTGGTAGCTCTGTCCAGAATATCTTGAGAGCCATCGAAAAGGTTTACTTTAGATCGCAGTTTCTTTAGTGTCTCGAGATTACCATTCTTGGCGGTTGATATTAATGCTCTTTCATTACAACCTTCTTGTCGGTGATCGAGAAGATAGTTTACAATATCAAAGTGTGAATAGTTAGCAGCCATGTTGATTGCATCTTCAGAACAACCTTCACTTCGATTTTCATTGAGAAACTGGACCACCTCGAACTTGCCATCTCTTGAAGCAAAGTCAATTGCCAAACCAGTACATCCTTCGCTACGATTGTTATGAAGAAATACAAGAGTATCCAAATCTTTAACACAATCGATTGCATTGGTCGTACATCCTTCACTTCTATTAAAGTGGAGATACTTTACGATATGGAGATGGCCATTGATCGCAGCACTGTCCATAGCATCTCTAGTGCATCCTTCACTTCTATTCTCATTCAAAAACTTGACAATATCTAGTCGGCCAGTAGAAGAAGCAAAATTCATTGTTTCCGGGGTGAATAGGTTATCAATATTTTGATCGTGAAGGAACTGAACTATTGAGAGATGCCCATGTTTGATTGCCTTTGTCAGAACTATCTTTAGATCTATCTTTCTTTCAATGATTGGTGGTCTTAACAATGGAAGCAAGAACTGCAGTAGATGTAGATTTCCAAGTGCGGCAACAGTTTCAAGAGATCGAATGTAGAGCGATATGAAATCCAACTGATAATCGACCACTTTGTAATTTGCTTCTCCACCATTCAACAGATGTGTCAATATCCCTTTGTATCTCTCTATATAGTTATATTTGAGAAGTTGAGTAGGGAAACAACCTAGATCTTTCCATGTATATCTATTAAGATTTCGATCAAGTGTATCATTAATCTCTTTAATATCTCTAAATATTAAATTTCTTATAACAGATGAGCTTAATATACGACCAATATACACTTTATTCATAATTAATAAATAAATAAATACTCTAGATTGATAATAAAATATTGATGAATAGGTGATTTATATGATTCGAGAGATTACATATTCAGATTACAATGATATCATTAGAAACTATTAAAAAAACAATAATTTATCAATTGCTTGTATATAAGGGAATTTCAGTTTAGTTTCAACAAAAATTCCAAAGGAATTTCATTAAATTGTTCTGAAAAATAAAATATTGTTTTTTTGGGTGTGAATTATTAAAAATAATTTATTATTATTAACAATTACATTAAATATTCTATTGGTTTAATAGAATCCTTTTAAATATTGGTATGATGTGGAGCAATCAAACTTGAAATCGATACTACCTATTGTCAGGAGCATGCAGACGGTAAATCGAACCATGACTCTGTGAAACCTTTTTCAAAGTTGTAGAAATTGAAAACTGTAAAACCTGGATTTTGGGTCAGAATTACTTATTGTAGATGAAACAATGGAGAAGCTGATTAGATTTTTGAGGTAGATTTGATTGGTAATGGATGCAGGTCCATCAGCTTTGAATATTTGAACTCGGAATTGTCCAATCTTGGTGTTACCAAGAAAATTCCAAAGGTAATATATAACAAACCTCGTTCTCCATAGGTATGCCTCATTGGTTTACCAAACTCCCAAATAGATCCAAAAAAAAGGTTTTTTACCTTACAATAATATAGATGCTGAATGATATTTGTGATTTTTTATTCTCAAACATCTAAGAAAATTAATTAAATTCATTATTAAAAAGTTGACAAATGAATTCTGGAAAGGTGAGTCCTTTAGAACCAAAATATTAGTATATTTTGATCAAATTTTATATATTCTATAATCTACCAGATTGCTTCTTTGTACTTAGAGGGGATTGTTTGAGTTAGTGAAAATATTTTTTGATTTTATTTCTTAATTTAAGGAATTAAGTGATATATATGTTCGTAGTCTAGAATTATCATGTTCAATAGTTTGATTAATAATTATAAAAGATGAATCCACTTCAAAAAACTACCACAAATATACATTCTGGAAAGTGGTAAACCAATAAAAAGAAATCAATTAAAAATAATAAAAATTTATTTTATATTATCAGTTGTTGTGGTGTTTTATAATTTATACAATTCAAACTGTTCAATGATATGGCTTTGATAGGCATCGCCAGTTGATGCTGTAAATCCAACGAATGCTTGTTTATCATTGTGCAATCCAAGATATTGACCTAAATCCTTTAGTACCGTAGTCAATCTGTAGTTGTTGATTACAATATCGAGTGATCCAGATGCACCATTATAACAAATAATGACATCGTGTTGTCGACCGTTATTCATCCGCTGGTCTACCCTGATATTAGCCAAACTATATTGATGTCTCGATGAATTTGGCAGAGTACCTCTTGATTGAATCGAGACATGACTGTCGTTTGGCTCGTCGTTGTTACGATAGGTATCGAATTCGATTGCCAGCGAGTTGGGCAGGTCATTGTAGCCGAGATAGCCACCCATCTGTTTGTAATCGATAGCATTACATCCAGCGGGAGCATTTTGTATGACGAAAGCCAATCCGTCACCACCATTCAGCTCCATTCTCATCTTGAATCGGCAGAAGAAACCAGATCCAATATTCAATCGGGTTCTACTCCAGCAAATACCGATCTGCGATCTCAAAGGAGGAGTCAGTTGGAGGGAGTTCCGTTGCCAATTTGCATTGCCAAGAGTGACCATCTGACTTGGATGCAAATAGATCAGCGGTAGAAAGCTCTTTATATATCTTCTGAGAACTATATCACCGACCAAACATCGTTTGATCAACTGATCTCTTGAGACAGTATCTTGGTAATTTCCAACGACAAAACCAGCATTTTCCATCTCTGAAGGATAACCTTGAAGTTGACACGCATTCCCAAGTTCTAAATTTACATTATTCAAACAGAATTTCTTTGTTGGTAAAGAGTTGATTGAAAATCCAAAATAATTAAATAGAGTATTTTGGTTGTTACTGGTTGTCGCTGTTGTTGGAATTGAAAGTAATTGATTGATAACCGTTTGTTTATCAAGTTGAATTGTTAGATTTTTAATGAATGGATTATATACAATATTGACACTATGTGATTCAATTAAGTTGCTGCTATTATTATTATTATTATTATGTTGTGGTAATAACAATTCAATTGTTCTATCAATGTGAACAATCTCTTTTGATTGTTGCTGATATGATTTAATTGTAATGTTAAAACAATTACTATTGATATCACGATTAAATGTAATGTAAAGTGTAAAAATAATATTAGTGAACCCTAATTTAATATCTTTAGGTACATGTGATGTAATATGCATAATGAATGTGAAACAATTGGTATTATCTTCTGGATCACCTTTGTTAACTATATCAAAGTAAACATTGAATCCTTGATTTTCAATACACTCTGTTCTTAATGGATCTTTAAACCATATCGATTTGTTAATTATATTGGTAGTAGGTGGTTGTTGTTGTGATATTTTATTATTATTATTATTATTAATATTATTATTATTACTATTGTTATTATTGATTTCAAGATTACAATCGTCGAAAAACATTGTTAGAGTTTTCGAAGTATCATCTACACCCCATACTACTTCTCTACCGATAGTCAATGAGTTTGATGAATTCATTACTCTACTATCGACTATAGGTATATATTTAGTAAACTCTTTTTTGTAATCTATAAACCGAATTTGGTGATTATTATTAAAAATAGATTGTATAACACCATAATCTATTGTACTGGTGTATTCATTGGTATAGTTTGCATTATTAGCATTTTCATCAATATAATTATTTTCATTTTCATAACTATTATTATTAAAAATGTGAGCTCTTCTATGTATTGCACTTCTCATTTATAATTGGTTGAAAAAATAATAATTAAACATATGAAAAAAATTAAACAAACAACTTCCTCCTGAGATTATAAATTAAAAATAAAAGTGTCAACACACAAATGAAAAATTTAATAATTAATTAGTTTTAATTCGATTAATATGAAGATCAGTCAATAAAATTATTTAATTGACATTCTAAAAAAAAACATAGAATTATTTGTATATCTTTAAAAAGATATTAAAATTGTTCAAATCTTTAATTGTCAAATAAGACTATTCAAAAGAACAACTATCCAATCATTTTCATTTCCAATGCTGTAATATAGATCTCTTTATTATCAATGATAATGTCGGTTTTTAAAAATAAAAAACTCTGGTTATCATTAATTAGCATTATTGTCGTAATACTTCAATATATTTGTTTTTTTATTAATATAAAATTAATTAATTAATTAGTTAATAACCTTATTTCCTTTAAATTGAACATCGGGCCATTGTAGATCCATCATTTCCAGACGAACTAAAATCTTTTCCATGGATGGACGTTTTTCAGGATTCTCTGCCCAACAATCGCTAATCAGGGTAATGAAATCTTTCGGTCCTTTTGGTACGGGAGGTCGCAATCCTTCACGTCCAACTGCAAAAATAACTTGGAATGGCGGCATTCCATGATAGGGATCTGCACGAGTAGCACACTCCCACATAACGATTCCAAATGAATAGACATCGGCCTTTTCTGTGTATCTCTGATTTCTGAGAACTTCTGGTGCTGTCCAACATGGTGTTCCACATGCTGTCATTGTCGCTGTCTGTTCGATCGTTGACAATCCAAAATCTGCCACCTTCACCTTCCAGTTATCGTCGACCAACAAATTGTGTGATTTGAGATCACGATGAAGAATCACTGGATTCGAATTGTGCAAATAAATAATACCCCTAACTGCGTCCAAACACATATTTCTAATCAATGCCCAAGATAACGATATCTTTGGATCATGTAAAATACTATATAGTGATCCTCTTGGCATATATTCTGTACAAATACAAATATTTGGTGGAATTGTACATGATCCTAAAAACTGAATAACATTTGGATGTCTAAGATTTCTATAAAATATTAAAATAATAATAAATAACATTAATAAAAATGTAATGTATTATGATGCGGATCTATTAATTACCTCATTAATTCTATTTCTCTGTGGAATTCTTTCAAAACATGATCTGTAATATTATGTGCTGGCAATTTCTTGATTGCAACGACAGCACCTCTCCAATGACCTTTGAATACTTCTCCAAAGTTTCCTTTACCTATTCTTTCACCTAAACTAACTTCTCCTATATCTATATTCTTTCCATCTAAATATTTATAAACAAATGTAAATCAAACATTATTAATATCTAGTTAACTTAATTGTTTATATAAAATATTTCTATTCTTACCTCTTATTCTTTTATAACCCATTCTACCAATTTTTTTCTTTATAAATACAAAACCAACTATAAATATAAGAGTTCCACCGGTAATTGAAGAGGCGATAATAATCCACTGGGTGGGGGTGAGACGGTTGTTTTTCGGCAACACCGACATTGTGTAGTAGAGATAAATTCTAATTTTGTACAAACAGATTCCATTGTCCTCTACATCGATTTGGAATAAGTTATCACCGCTGTTGTTATATAAATTGGGATGTGTGACATTGATCGCAGGTATAGTGATGTTTGTGATGCAATTGGCACACGAGCAACCCAAAATATTGGTTTGCAACTTGGTGTCGTTTCCAATCTGTTCGGTCTGGATATAGAGTTGAACGACCGCATCCTCCGAGTCGGCATCGCAATTAAACGTTCCAAACAGCGAGAATCCAATCATCTGAAGGATCGCTCCGTTTGGCATCGGGTCTTTAAAACTATTGTATCCATCGTTCCATTCACCACGTACCGATGTTCCTGGACTACATGCATATGAAGAGACATTCACACCAATAGTACATGTATCACAAACAGGGTAAATAACTCCACCACTCTATCAGATAGTTTTAAGTATAATAAATAATAAATTTTGTTGATAAAAAAATTAGTTATTTTTACTTTTTCAAATAAAAAAACTTGAAAATTGATTGATCAATCAATCTTATTCATACCCAAAATAAATCTATAAAAGTTACATTAAAACCTTGTATTACTACCACATTGGGATCATCTGCTGAATTATAATTATCGTCACTATAACTATTGCCACTATTATTATTGTTGTCTATACTATAACTTTGACTGTGCCATTGTGATGACAGTGCCGTTGAATATGAAATCTCAAATTGAATAAAGAAATTAATTATCAATATCAATAATAATCTACATGATTGATTAGATTTGATAAACATTCTTTCTTTTTAATCTTTTTTTTATATATTTTTATTATTGCTTTATCTTTTTTTTATTTATTATTATTATTTTATTTCTGTGGCTTGCAACACTACTACACTACTCTCGGGGGATCAACAACTCTTATTATTCAGTCTTTAATAATTGTCATATTCTAATTTACAACGCGATTGATATTACTTTATGATATATATATATATAGATAGATAATAGAATGTGGTAATGGAATTACAGATTTGACTGAATAACAGGATTGATTGGTTGATAGAATGGATGTGGTTTCCTCACTTTTTTTTTGGTGAGTCGCGAAAGTTAAAAAAACTTTGACTCCAGCAGCAAAGAATAAAAAAATAATTAATTTGTTTTTTTTAAAAGAAAAATATCAACGATATTGTAGGGCTTCAAAATCATTTCATTTTTTTTGGTGAAGGTTGGAGTTTTTTTTGATTTTTTTTTGGGCATCGCTTGGCTTTACAAACTCTTTGTCTGAAACAAATGAAAAATAATACAAAGAATTTTCTATCTGATATTTTTTGAAAAAAGAAGTATAATTCTCGTCGAGATCATCTTTTTGGTATTCGAACATTGGTTCCATTATAATTTTAATGAGTTACCATTGGGCATCAAGATTGTTGCAAGTAAATCAACACCACAGAAAAAATAAAATAAAATTTGAATTAATTAGTTAAAGAAAATTAATGTTGATCATCGTTATGAAAACACTAATATTCAATTTATTGATTAGATTGATTTTTCTACTTTTTTTTGTTTTGTTATTTATAATTATTGATTAATTAAAATAAATAAATAGTTGTGAATATTTGCTATAAATATTCACAGTATTGATTTTGAGTTGTGTTGTTTGGATTTTATCGATCTGAATGAGATGAGATGAGTGAATGGAAAGGGAAATCGAATGAAAAAATCCTTTTCTTTTTGGTTTATGTCGACTGGTGTAAAAAAAGGAATACTTCATTATATATAAATAAAAATGTATTATTATTTCTTGTTTGATTATTATTATTAATTATTATTATTATTATTATTATTATTATTACTCGATATGATATTATCTTGGAACAGCTAAATCTGGCCAACCAGTTACTTCCAAGGCTTCCAATTTATTTAGTACAGTCTCCATGGATGGTCTTGAATCGGCATTCTCTGCCCAACAATCGGTCATGAGGGCAACAAAGTCTGGTGGACAGTTTCGAGGGATGGGAGGTCGCAATCCTTCACGTCCAACTGCAAATATAACTTGGAATGGCGGCATGCCAGAATATGGATCGGAACGAGTAGCACACTCCCACATAACGATTCCAAATGAATAGACATCGGCCTTCTCTGTGTATCTCTGATTTCTGAGAACTTCTGGTGCTGTCCAACATGGTGTTCCACATGCTGTCATTGTCGCTGTCTGTTCGATCGTTGACAATCCAAAATCTGCTACTTTAACCTTGAAGTTTTCGTCGACCAACAAATTGTGTGATTTGAGATCACGATGAAGAATCACTGGATTCGAATTGTGCAAATAAATAATACCTTTGGCAGCATCCATACACATCTTTTTCAACAGACTCCATTGAATCACAACGGATGGATCATGCAATATTCCATAGAGTGATCCCTTTGGCATATATTCTGTACAAATACAAATATTTGGTGGAATTGTACATGATCCTAAAAATTGAATAACATTTGGATGTCTAAGATTTCTATAAAATATAAATGAATAAACATTAGTATATATTATTATTATTATTATTTCAAATTGATATTAAATATTTACTTCATTAAATCTATTTCTCTATGGAATTCTTTCATAACTGTTTCAGTGATGTTATGTGCTGGAAGTTTCTTAATTGCAACGACAGCACCTCTCCAATGACCTTTGAATACCTCTCCAAAGTTTCCTTTACCTATTCTTTCACCTAGTTTAATCTCACCTATATCTATGTTCTTTCCTTCTTTCAGCTCGACATAACCAACTCTTGCAATTTTTTGTCTTACATAGACAAACAGTAAAATGAATACCAACGCACCACCTGTCACCGATGATGCAATAATTGCCCACTGTTTCGTTGTCAGTCCACCCTTGGGTGTATTTTTACCTCCACCTGTTGTCGATGGTCCAGATGAAGTGGTAGCTGTGGTAGTGAGACCGCCAGTTGTCGAGGTGGATGCTGTTGAGGTTGTGGCGGTGGCGCTGCTAGTTGCCGTAGTGATTGGTGCTGGCAGCGAGTAGTAGAGAAAAGTACGTACGTTGAACAAACAGATTCCGTTCTTCATGACGTTGATCGACAACATGTTGATACCACTGTAATTGTAGAGTGGAACGATCACCGGATACGAAGGAATCGTCACATTCGTATAGCAATTGGCGCACATACAAGTGGATTCAGCGCTCACTGTAAATATATTTCCAATCTCTTCGCCCTGCAGCAGAATCAGCAGCTGTGTCTTCACGCTACTGTCACTGGCACAATTGAAGGTGCCCAACAACTCAAAGCCAACCGCCTTCAGAGTGGATCCGACAGGCAGAGGATCCTGAAAAGTTTGTTTACCATCGTTCCAATCTCCACGAGTCTGTCCATTTTCATCTGGAGAACATGCAAACGATGTTGCATTCACTGTACAATTAAATGGACAATTAATATATTTACCACCATACTAAAAAAAGTAATATTATAAAAAAATTAATTAATCACATGATCAAAAAAAAAACATGTACGTTTTTTGATTATCAGCTGACTGAAATTGATGATAGATCAATCAAACATATCAGTTGATCATTCTTTAAAATTTAGATATCTACCCAAAATACATCTACATAGGTCATGTTGTAATCTTTTGTATCCTCCAGAGTATTTGGTTCTATATAATATTTATTTATTGCGATGTCTCTTTCCAAATCTCTCTTTCCACCTGATCGCTCTAAACTCTCTCTATACTCTTCTATATTGATTTTTGATTTACTAAAACTATTACTACTGCTGCTAATGCTGCTACTGCTACTACTATATTCATATGACTGTACATAACTATTGTTTAGAACTAACAAAATTAAAACCAGTAGATGCGCTAGTTTTGGTGGGTATAAAACCACCCTATATATATTCATTTTTTATTTTCTATAAAAAAAACAACTTTGCACTTATTATTCCCTAATTCTCTATCTATTAAGATTACTATTATTATTTAACAAACTATTATTATTAATATGATAAACTACTATTTTATTATTATTATTATTTATTATTATTACAAAAAGAGTAAAGAAGAATTTAGATATCTTTTCATCAAATTATTAATTCGAATAATTCGTTAATTCTCTGGTGAATATATATATAGGTAGTTATAAAAGAAAAAGTAAAGAGATAGTTGATTGATGAATGGATTCCGAAACCACAAAACACCACACCAATAACAATGTTTTAAAAAATAAAATCTAAATTAAAATTAATCTTATTTTTTGAGTTTTTTTTTTTTTGATATGTCAAGGGAGTCCTTTGCTACCAAAATTTATCTAAAATATCTTGTAAAAAAAAAAACTTTAAATAAAAAAACTTTTTATAAAATAAATAAATAGAATGAAATGAGATTATAAATATATATCTAAAACAATAAATACATTTGAACAAATATTTTTAAAAATAAAACAAAAAAGCAAACACATATAAATAACACAACAACAACAATGATAGAGGATTAATAGTAATTACTATTAAAGATATTTTAGTACACTAAAATCACTCTCTTAAAAATGTAGAAAAAAAAAAAAGAAAGAAACGATGTGTTGCACCAAAAAACATAAAAAAAAATCAACTACAAATTTGTAACTGGTTTGTGACTGCTACTGGTGGTTATACACCCAAAACTGGTTCTTAAAAAAAAAAAATTCATACCTCAATCAAATTTTGTGTTGAAAAATGTGTGATTTTTGTTTTTTTTTTTTCGAAACACTTTTTTCTTCATTTTTCGGTTAAACATCAATGAACCATCAACAACGCATTTAACAGATTCCTATGTGGGCAGATAGGAGTTGGTGCATGAACTTTTTTTTAGATCTCATTTAGAAACATGGAGCTCCATGTTTCTTTTCACTAACTTCACTCTATTTTAGAATGCCGATGTCTTTGATCCATTCCATTTCATGATCTGGATGCAAAACAACAACAGTAAACAATTCAAATTCAAATTTAATGCAACTCATCGTTCACTTTAGAGTTCTGATCAGAATATTCTCTTTCTATTGATAACTTTTGTTTTAAAAAAAAAAAAAATCAAAAAAGCAAAGTAAATTTTACTATTTTTTATTTAATTTTATTTATTTTCGTAAAGTTAAGTTCTTTGATATTAATATGTTTTTAAGTAACACTTTGAAATCAAACACATTAAAAAGTAGTCATCAACCCTTATATAACTATATTCTATTAGAATTTAATAATATATTTAAATGTAGCAAATATAGTAGTAGCAGTAGAAATAATGACAACAATGATTATCGGTCAAAGAATATAGATAGAACAAGAGCACCTTTACCCAGATCAATTGCTTCAAATTTAAAAGAGTAAATTATATAATACAATGGTTTAAAAACTAATAAATATCTATACTTAAAATAAATTCACTATACTATTTATTTTTTTAGTAAATCGGAATGGTTAAAAAGACAATTGAGTGATCCATACGTAAAACAAGCACAGTTGAAGTCCTATGTTAGTAGAGCTGCCTTTAAACTTGAGGAGTTGGACGATAAGCTGAAAGTTCTAAAAGCTGGATCGGTCGTTGTAGATCTTGGAGCGACACCAGGTGGTTGGACACAAGTTGCTCAGAAGCGTGTGGGCAACAGCGGTATCGTATTCTCTGTAGACATCAACGAAGACGGTTTCGAATTGGCTCGTGCCAATTTTATAGGTGGTGATTTCAGATCACCAGAGACAAAATTAGCAATTAAAAATGCATTACTTAAAGAAAGATCTAAAAGATCGAAAAGATCAAAAAGCAGTAGTAGTAGTAGTAAAAGCGGAACAACAACAACAACAATAGCAACTGCAACAAATGATGTGGATAACAACAATATCGATGTAAATGGATTTGTAGATGTTGTACTTAGTGATATGGCACCTCCTTATTGTGGTATCAGTAATGTCGATCATGAAAGACTGATAGATCTCGCTGGACAAGCACTTGACTTTGCAGTGGAGACACTCAAGTCTGGCGGATACTTTATTGCAAAGGTATCTAGAGGTGGCAGTGAAAATGAACTACTTAAAAGAATACAGCAACATTTTACAACATATAAATCAATGAAACCAGATGCATCAAGACAAGAGTCATCTGAAATTTATTATATTGGTGTTAAATTTAAATCATCTAATAGTTCAAATAGTAATAACAACAACAACGGTAATAATAGTAATGGTAATGGTAATGAAAGTATATATGATTAAATTTCTTATATAAATTGCAATAAAATTAAATAAAAAAATATTTAATAAAATCTTTATTAATGTAATATATATATATGACTCATGATTATAATTTTAATCAAGTTTTCTTTTGGGAGTTGGTGATTTCTTGTTTGGTGATGCAGTGCTTGAGAGAATGAGTGACAGTATATGTGATGATTGTGCCATTTGAATGGGTGAGGAGTTTGCAGATGATGATGATGTCGTTGTGAATGATAGTGTATCGGAATTATTACTAATATTGTTGTTACTGTTGTTGTTGTTGTTGTTGGTGGTGGTGTCTAGTGAGTTGGAACTGGTGTTTAGATGATAATGACCATAGAGACTGGTGTATGGTGGTGAATCGATATCGCTTCCACTGCTTCCCTCCAATGTGGGTGTTGAGTTTGATGAGCCTGGTAGTGATGATGAAGATGCTCCTGCAGATGCTATTGTCGTCAAATTTGCATCTCTTTGCTGCTGTTGTAGTAGTAGTTGTTGTTTTTGTTGCTGCTTGTTCTTATAATACGGTAGACTCGATAGTATGTAGGCTAGAGGTGACTGTGACTCTGATTTCGGTAGTAAAAACTGTAGATATGAATGAACCAGCAGTCCAATGAATGTTGTACAATAAAGAAATTGAAATAGCTGATCTCTTAGATAGTTGGTATGTGTATATGATCCCATTAAATCAAATCTACTTATTTCTTTAATAATAAATGCATAATATAAATATTAGTATATTATCAATAAAGAGTATTATAAAAAAATGAATGAAATATTAGATCTTTACCTAATATTCTAACTACAACAGGGAATGATGAACTCATTAATAGAATGATCGCAGTATTCATAATTAGTTTTCTCATGGATGTAGCTTGTACTTTTGGCGGTATACTAGATAGTCTAAATAGTCCAACAAATGCAGATACCATCAAGTAGCGTTTTTTTTTTTTTTGAAAGAATAAAGAGAAAAAATATAAGTAAGAAATGAATGTATTGTAATACGTATGAGCTATTACCACTTACATAACAACAGCAGTCTCCAATAGAGATTCGAATGGACCTAGTTTAGAACTGTAAGCCAAAAAGTCGGTGGTCCAAGTCGATGTATTGTTAAATAGTTTCTTTACAGAGTGAATGAATACATTGAATACCACCCAACCAGTGAATGCGAAATTGATCAATGTGATAATGAACGATAGTAGTTTTCTTAGGAACGGTCGCTTTGTTCCCATACCAAATTTCTTTATAATTTGATTTAACTCTAACAACTTTACTTCTGTTCTTTTTCTTTCATTTTCATTTAATTTACCTAAATAAATATGTAACAACATTATTATTATTATTATGAATATTATTATATTGATATTATTATTGGTTGTTATTGTTATTGTTTAATTACCATTTTCTAAACTCTCTCTTAATGTCGAAACTTCTAATTGAACGGCTTCAATTTCATCTTTTGATTGTTGAATTCCAAAGTTGATTCCATTCGATGTCAATGTATTAAATCCTTTTGGTATACAAACTAGTAATATTAAATATTAAACAACAAGTATAAACTATAGTTAATAACCAAACATTTAAAGTCAAACAAAGATCTATATATATAATACATACATAAGACTAATAATGTACCCATTGTGGATATTAAAGAATATGAAAAAGGTAGATAATCTTTACTCTTAACTTTACCATTCAATTCATATAATAATCTATATACAATATAAACAAAAGCTATAATAACGATTAAAACATTAATATAAATAGTGACGGTGTCACAAGTTACTGAATATTGTCTCTATCAACAAACATACCAATAAATATAAGTGAAACTAATAAAAAAACTAATAGAGCGGCCTTAATCCTTGAAATGAATGATCTCTCCTTTAAACCTTCGGCTTCGTAATAAAAGTATGCAAATGGTAATATAATAAATAATGATATGTTTGATCCCCAAAATATTTTATTCCAAAATGCTATAGCATTGATAAGTGATTATAGATTATTAATAAATTGATTAGAAATGATTGATCGATCATTGATTGATTGATTGATTTGACGACACTTACAGAAAATTAGATCACGATGTAACCATTGGATATAATAGTTTGATGGAAATGTTGTGATGATTTCGTTACTGATGATTGTGATTGGTATTAGAAGCATCGCCGCCAGTGATACTGATAAACAAAATGTACATAATATTCTTGGTAAATATAATATTTTATCAACTATTTTTAAAAGTATATATATATCGGTGAAATAGATATTGATTAGTTTATTTGTATATATATTCATAATTCTATATATATTAAACAACCACATACCATCTTTCTTTCTAATATATTTTCTAACGATAAAATGTGATAATATGAATAGAGTCAATAGAAATGTAAATGAAACAATGCCATCTCTCATGAATGAGAATATAAATTCGACTTGATCATTGTTGTTGTTGTTATTGTTACTATTGTTGTTATCGGTAAGATTGGATAGCTGCTGTTTCGCATCATTCGACTTGTCGACCATAGTTGGCTATTCATATATTTAACTATAATATATACAACGTTTGATTTGTATATATTCCCTAAATATTATTATTATTATTATTATTATTACTTATTAAAACTTCTTTTTTTATTAATTATTTAAATTTTAAATAAGAGTAATTATTCGACTAACTAAACTAATAAATATTATTATTAGTCGTGTCATTAAAAACATTAATATAGGGGGATAATATCGACCAATTTTTTTTTTTTTTTTTTTTTTTACAAATTTTACCAAAAACACACCGCTACACATAATTATTGTTGTGTGTTTTTGGAGGTAAACAAAACTGTCGAAAAGAGATAAGGGGATTCAATAAAAAGATATTATATAGTAGAATCTCTCATTTTCTTATTATTTTTTATTACTTTTTTATTTCAAGTTTATTTATTTCATTATAAATTTTTTTTGTAGAATATGATATGTTAATCTATTTATAAATATTTATTAATGATCTTACTCAAAAATATTTTTGATCTTCATTTTACATTCAAAAATAATATAATACTTGTTCATTTCAAACAAAAAACTTGTGTTGTCTACAACCAATACCCACCCTGCATACCCATTCAAAATAAAATTCTGATAATCTATCAGTTATTCAATTTCAAACAAAATTGCAAAAACAAAAACCAAAAAAAAATCCAATATAAAAAAACTGGACCATGGCAAAAAATAAAAACATTCAAAAAACCAAAGGCAAAGCTACATTATTTATAAACGTTGTTGTCACAAGTTAGTTTGCCAAAGCTTAGGAATTATTGTATCATTTTATTATTTATTTATTTATTCAAAAAAAAAAAAAAAAAAAATCTTTTGAATAGTTTAGTTTGTTGTATTTTAAAAAGAAAAGTAAAGTAGCGTAAAGTAAAATCTAGATACAGCAAAGAAATCAATAACAACAGTAATAATATTTAATACGTTTCATTCGGTCACAGGTGTGTGAAATGTAATGCAGTGGTGGTGGTTGACTTTAATTAAAGAATGAAAAATAAATGATCGTATTTCTTACAAATAAATAAACTATAACCACAATTTGCAATAAAGTTTAAGTTGTAGTTGTTTTGGTTGGTTAAGTTTTTTTTTTTTTGATAAAAACTATGCCATATTACACTCAATTCACCTAGCCAATCAGTAAATTAACAAAAATTAATAAATAAAATCGAATAAAGAGAGAGATAACCACATCATAAAAAGATCACAATGCAAAAAAAAAAAAAACCACCATTATTATTTGCAAAAAAAAAAAGATATATTAACGAAACAATACCACAACTACAAACAAATAAAATACCAACACAACAATAAAAAAAAAGAAAGAATAACAAACAGGAAAGACAGAAATAAAGATTTTAATTTAGATTATATCACAATCAAAACATCACATTAATCATCAATAACAGTAACTATAAATACAATTGTATTGAAGGTAGTTAACTCAATACCTATTATATTTGCAGAAACAAAGAAAACCCAATTGTTATTGCAAACGATCCATTCCATCCATCCAACCACCAAAAACAATTTCTCATCAACGCAAAATTTTTCATTGATTATTATTTGCTGCATTAATTAATTTTACAATAAATTAATTTAGATTTATTTCTAACATTACTTTTATTAATTTACATTTATATAGAGTTATATAATTTATTAGCATATATAAGATGTCATCAGTAAAGGTATTGTATTTATTATTAGGAAAACAAATATAGAATGAAATGATTTAACACCGGGAATATATAATCATTATTATTATTTAGTCATTAACTTCAACATTCGAAACTGCCGAATCACCTACAGCAGTAAATAAGAAATCACATAGTTCACTTGGATTCACACCAAAGGTTGGTGGAGGTGAAGGATCGGTCGATACAGAACCCATCCCAAGAGACAGAAACAGTGCTAAATTGGATAATTTCCTAAAGAATGAGGTTCTACCACGTGGTGGAATGCCAGGTGCCGTTCATAAATCGGCAGTCAACAAACCACCACCCAACGAGTTGGACAACAAGGCCAAGGCCATACCAACCTACGGTGGTAACCCACATCCAGTCTACCAATTAATGTTCCAAGGAAAGCCACACGAGTCGGCATCAACCAAAAAGAAAATAGTAATACCACCATCTCATGCGTATTAAAAGGAATCAATCAAAACAACAACTACACACATATTCATATCTATACACTAATTCTTTATTTATAATAGCAAAACAAAACAAAACAAAACCATTAAATAGAATAGATATATCTAGTTGAAGAAAGAATGAAAGATAGTATTTGCGCTAAAATAACAGACATAACCCTGTAGAATAATAACAATAATAACAACTAATAATAATAAGCTATCATATTAAATTCAAACATTCCAATCTTCAAAATAAATATATATAATTCTACTTTTGTATAATTAAATTTCAGATGTTAAGTTTTTCACTTGGAGAAAATATTTTAATTAGTCGAAAAATGAAACTAGTTTCTTGGGAAAATCATTAGAAAAAAAAAATAAGGTGCACCTCTAATTTATTGTTAAGTTTTAAACACTGTTATTCCCATAATAAAGTGATAATATTTATTTGTATCAAGATTTATATTGATAGGATTGATTGACTTAATTGGGAATGGCCCGTCGTCTTAAAATTAATTTGTAGACTCCTGCTTAGAATCTTAAACAGAATTTGTTCTATATAATGAACTATTCAATTTAAACAAGTATAAGATGATGTAGTTACCTTTCCTTTTGTATTTTTTTTTTTGTCTTAAAATTTAATTTCCTCGTCATACTGATTGACTTAATCAGGAATGCCCTTCGTCTTAAAATTAATTTGTAGACTCCTGCTTCGAATCTAATTTATAAGCGATTCAATTGACAAAAATATTTCCTTTTTATTTATTAAAATTGTAACTATAATTTATTCATTTTTTTTAATTTTATTTTTTTGTTACTTTGATAAATGAAATTTTTATCTATTATATATAAAAAAAATATAAAAGGAAAAAAATTTAATCTTTTTTAAAAAAATTAAAATATAAAAGGGAAAATAAAAAAAATAAAAAAAATAAAAATCTTGATAAATTAGATCCAACAAATGAATAATCCTATTTACAATTTATATTTAGATATTAAAATAAAATATATATTCGCCTTTATATAAGTATATAAAAAAATAATGGAAAATAATCTTAAAAGCAATGAAAAAAAATTTAAGAATAAATTAACTGTTAATAATAATAAAAATATTGAATGTTATAGTCCTTATTTATATCCTAATAATTTAGTAACGACTGTTTGGGTAACAAACATTGATAAATCAAGTAAAGTTGATGAAGTTTTAAAATTATTTAGTTATTGTGGTAGAGTTAAAACTATTATTGTAAAAGTAAATAATTATATCACATTTTTTCATCCTTTATCTATTTCATCCTTTTTTTAATTAACCATTTTTTTCTTAAATATCATTTTTTTTTAGAATATCAATAAATATTGTAAAGATGCTCTGGTAATTTTCGAAAATAGTCAATCCGTTGACACTGCTTTGCTTTTGAATGGAGTCATAATTGGTACACTTCCTATAAAAGTAATTAAAGAGATACCAAAGGAATTGATTTTCAATGATGCCGATCTAAGTAAAGCTATACCAAATATCTACAGTTTGTCACCTGGATCTTTGACACCTTCATCGTCATCATCATCATTGTCAGCAATGATGTCACCACCAATATCTTCTCATGAACCACTCTCAGAGAATGATGATTCAGCACTATCATCATCTTATCAACAACATCTTAATCATTTAGTAAATAATCCATTAGATAAATATTACAATAATAATATTCATTTCGATGGTGGTTCAGAAGATGACAAAGTTCCTCAGGATAGTAGTGAAGATCTTACCGAAGACTACGAAGAAGAAGAAGACAATGAAAATTGTCAAAATGTGCCTGAGGCAGACAAAGAAGAAGAAGAAGAAGACGAACAAGAACCTGATAAAACAGTTTTGTTTCTAGAGGATATACTATCATCTGGTATTGCACTATCAAAAAATGCTTTAAATGAAGCAAAGAAAATTGATGGTAAGTAAAGTTAAATCTTTTTTTTTGTTTTTTAAATATTTTAAACAAAAACTAACAATAATAAAGAAAAATATAATATAAAAAATACATTATCTAAATTAGTAGGAGATATAGGTAAGAAAGCATCTGCACTTATTGGTAACCACAAAAACGAACATCAGTTTCTACAGAAAAGTTCAGAATCTTTTGATGATGATCTTGATTAACTTTTTATAACGAAATGATTTCTTTTTTGGTTGTACAAATTATCGGAGATTTTTGATGAATAAACTATTAATAAACCAAAGAGAATCAAAAAAAAAAAAAAAACAAGTTTTGTTTTTCAGAACTTTGAGCATCATTTTGATTGAATTTTTTTTATTTATTGTTTTTTCAGCAAAAATCAAGAAAAACTTTTAGTTTTTTATGAACATATTCTGTAGATAAAACATAGTTTAGGATGTCGCAACAAATATTATTGGGTAACGATTCGTTTTAGGTTGATTGGTGTCTAGATCACAACTTTTTTTGCATACTTTTTAATCAGCAATCAATCATCGTGTTTTATTAAAAATAAAATCAACAAAATGACAACCAGTAGAGATTTCTGCTTTAGAAAATGTGATGATCATCGTTGATTGATTACTTTTCTAGCCTATGAGCGAATATTAACAGTTTCTTTTTTAATTTAAAATTTTAAAAAAGGTAAATATATATAATAAAAGTAATATAGAGATATTTATTAAATTATTTTATTTTAGAGAATTTTATGATTATAATTAAATTCACAATTATATCATTGATATTGCTGTCATTGATCAGTTTGTCGAGTGGGACACTCACTTTTAAGTATCTTCCGGCAAAGATACCAAAGAATGCAGGTTTCAAATTCTATGAAATCGATGCGAGTTTCGATGTCACCGCTTACAACAGTCCTACTCAGCTCAAAGTACAGAGTCTTCAACCAACTGGTCAGAAGCGAATGACTTGTTTTTCACTTGGAAAATCTCAGAGTAATGCAATCTACAAGTTGCATGCCGAGTGCCAATTGACCTATGTTGGAGATTATATAATTGAATTGACAGGTGTTACCGATAAAGCAAAGTATACACTTGGTAACTATTAATATTAATTCAATGTTATTTCTGAAATGATTATTAATCTCTTATAATATTTTATAGATCTTTCAAATTTAATATTTCCAAATCAAATTATTCCAGGAACATCTGTAACTTTTTCAGCTGATATGGTTGATGGTGTTAATGTGTTTGCACTCACTGACAATGTCAATCCAGCAATGAATATTGTTCCAACTAGATTGAATGCTCAAACTATGGAAGTAGCAATCCCACCAGGTTTGACATCAGGTCTATATTCCTATTATTTCGTAGGTAATGCCGGAAAGCTATTACCAACACAAATATTTACTGTTGATGTATTTCGTAAGTATTATAATTAATAATAACAAACATTAATATATTTATTCGATGATGATGTAAATTAACTTGATTTCTTTATAAAAATAAAGAACCATTTGTAAATAGTGCAGAGGTAGTTGATTATGTACCATTTCCAACTATTAGAATCAGTGGAAATGGATTGGACAATAACAATGTACCACCTGTTATCACTATAAATGGTGATAACTGTTTAGTTTTTGGTGTAATAAGTACAACTTCGATTACTTGTAAAACCAATATTATAGTTCCAGGTGTCTATCCGATTGAAATTGATTTGACAACATATCCAGCACCATCGAATATTCATAATATTGATATAAACTATCGTAAGTTAAGAGTTTAACAAACCAAAACAAAATGAATATCATTAATTAACAATATCTCTCTTATATAGATGCATCAATTAATGCCAATAGAGTTTTTCCTTCTCTGTTGGGTGGTGAAATGATAGTCTATACTAGAGAGGTTGCAAATGGTCAGATTCCAAATTTCCATTTCGATTACAATCCCGCTGCACTTTTGGCTAGAACCGGTGGTTATGTCAATATCGATGGATTGCAATATGCAGAGATTAGGGTTAGCATTCCAGCTAATACACCCGGTCAGTTTAATATCATGATGAGTTGGGTGACCGGTGCAAATCCGCCAATTGCAATCCCAGATACAACTATCGCTATTACCTATCTCGCCACTCCACCTCAGCTACAAACAATCTCTCCACCTATGGCCAGATTTACACCTTCGTTTACCAATTTCAATACCAATCCAATCAGAACACAAATAACCATTGGTGGCACCAACTTTGTAGACAGCATTGCACCCACTGTCCAACTGACAGGAGTGAATCCCACCACCGGAAATCTCTTCACAATCGCCTGTGAAGATATACGTGTACAAACCAATATATTCTGTACTGTCAAGAGTCCCTTTGAAATAGAATATTCTGTTCAAGTTTCTTATAGTCCACAGCTAGTTTCCAATACTATTAATATTCGATTCTATGGTTTATCTTGTTTGGGTAGAACACAACAACTGCCATCGGTGCTACCGAATCCACCTGTCGATTGGTCATTCACCTTTAAGTTTCGTGAGACAGAAGACACTCCTGACTATGAAAAAGATAGTTACTTATACCTAGACAATCAGTATGACACTGCTGCCGTACAAAGATTACAGGGCTTGACCGATACCACTACTGAGTTGTCTCCTCTGGCTGCGACATTCGACCAAATTCAATATGGCTACTCCTACTATTTCTATAATGATCAAGTTGGAATGCGTAAACCCGATGGTCACAAAGTAAAAGATACAGAAGATCCACTAGCAAATTTCCATATCTATTCGAAAGGAACCAATTGGGGACATACCAAAGGTATGGTTATCTATGACCATGACACTGGTTCAGGACTTCACATTATCCATTCTCAGCCATATTGGCCAGCATTTACGTTCAACGGTGCAACGCTGCCCACTAAAAAAGTTCCTGGACCACCACCCTACGAGTACTACGGTATCGATACACCCAATTGGCTTGGTGACAAATCACTCAACCAACATTTCTTCTGCTATACATTCGGTCCCCACGATAATGCCAATCCAGACACCACCGGTATCAACTTTGTATCTAAATTCATCTCTCAAAACAATCCAATGTTATTCCAATCAGTCTATCACGGACTACCTAATATCTACAAACAACTTGATATTCTTTTAAATCCAGATCATCTTGCAATTAGAGCAATTGTAGATGTAAGTATAATTAACAATTTTAAAATAATAATAATATTTAATAACTATTTCTTTAAATTCTAGAATTGTAAAGCAGTCGTTACAGCAAAAGGTAATTTAAAAGATAATTGTTGGTGGAAATATAATTTCAGAACAAAAGGTGGAAATTTGTTGGATTTGTTTGCAAAAACATCGAATAAGTATGAAGAGCAAATGGTTCCTCAAGTATCTGCTAGTGCCACAGCACTAAGGATCAGAAATACCAATTCTCACTTCATGCTAGACGGTATCGATATCTATGAGAAAATGTTGGACGTCTTCAATGACTTGCCTCCACCTCGTGTCAGACCGTTCTTTGTTCAGACACTTGAGTTGGGTGTAGGAAAGCGAGCTTACCAAACACTCGATCGACAGAAACTACTCTCTAATGTCGAGTACACACTTCACAGTACCGATATCATGGAGAATCTACGATCGATACAACACCGTGCCGACAGAGACCACTCCAAGTTGATGTATAATATGCAAGCACAGCCATTCTCCACGCTTCGTTACGACAATATTTTCTGTGCCGGTGATAGCAATCGTCATAACGGACAGGGTATTCGTGGTGGTGGAGCAGCCTGCATTTTCAGTCCGGTGCTTGTAAACTATTTTTCAAATAGAGTTGCCCGTTATTCAAATGTTGTTCCAATCAACGTTGGTGCCAATCTCTTTGGAATCCAATCGATGGATCTTCCAGTTTGGATGATAAATTCAATCATTCAAGTGAGGATCAAACCAACCGATATTCTAATAGCTGTTCCATCGGGAAGTGTTTTCGAGGTGTTCCAAACTGTCACTTATGATAAGGGAGTTACTCACCATGCAATTCCAACCATACCAAGAACCTACGGTACAACAGACATCACAAGTCAATTCGAAACCGAGATGTTTATCTATCGTAGTGACATCAATGAAAAGGCAGAATGGACCGAAACATGGTCATTCTCAATCACTGCCAACAAACCAAATCCAATACATATTCAACAGTTGTATGCATTACAAACCGCACAATTTTCAGTGTTTGCATGTAATCGTATTGTATCTCCATGTGATATTGAAAGTTCATATAGAGTAGATACCGCATTTGACTTGGCAACAAACCCATTTCAATATCTCTATCATCCAGTCATCGAGTTTGTAACACACGCCAATTTCATGATACCATCTAACAACCCAATGCCATTTATCAATCATTTCATCGAATATCTCATAGCAAACTGCCTCAATTGGTTAGCCGTATCACCAACCTATGAAATTGTAGTAACAACACCAGGTACTGAAAGTAGAGTGGAGAATGGACAGTTACATATTCATAATATTCAGTGTCAAGAAGAAATAGCATTCGTTCTCACTTGGAAATCAATTCTTTTACTCATCCAACAAAGAGACAATACTGTTACAGTTGATAATAATATTATTAAAGGAATTTCATGGGCTATTTCTAAACATTTAATTAATGTAAGTTTGGTAAATTTACATATTTAATTAATCATTTTGCTAATTTAAAAATTATTATTATTATCTTTAAAAGTTAATGAGAGGTTCAATAAATTCAAATATTGATGTATGTTTTAGTTTGAATCCTGAAAGAAAAACACCAGTTGATCTTGAAGGTATGCCAAATAATATCGATCCACCTTCAGCCTATTGGTATGCTGCCACTGTTTGGGATTGGTTAGATACACAAGATGATCAAAAGTTGGGCCCTGTCAATGGTGTTTCCTCCGATACACACGAAGATAAAAACCAAGGTCGTGAAATTCCATGGCAAACAATCCTCGACCAAGCGATGCATGCTCAGACCATTGTCAATATCTACAAGAACCTTCCAATGGCCAACCAAGTCAAAGAGAATGCAGATATTATTCTTTACAATGGATTTGATCCTGCTTTAATAACTGCTAGTAGTCGTAATAGATTAATGTCATCAACAGCAAATCCACAGTCATATTATTATAATATGCTTGAGCAAACACTTGTCGAACCTGGATATTTCACAAGTTATCAACTCACTTCTCTTTCTCCAATTCAATTGGAAGAGCTGTATTCATCAATTTTCTCAAAATGGGAGACAAATCAAGCCATTCAAATATTATTGGAGAATCCATTAAATTCAATAGTTGCCAATCATTTGATTCAGAATCTAGATTTATTGTATAACGATATCTCCTTTGGTAGTATCAAACTTTGCTATCTCACAGGTGAAACTAAGAAACTGTGTGATCCAATGTCAATGGTTTCAATGATTCACTTAATTGAAACCATTACATCTTCGGGCGAACCATTGAATTCACTATCAAGCGATTCCAACTACGATTCAGATTTACAAGTTTATTTCATTGATGCAGTAGCACCAACTCTATCCAATCTTTACAGTGGTATGGTTATTGCGAATCTACGTGGTCAACTCTGTGATGTTTCATTTACAACCTTACCAAAGTCCAATGTCATTGAAATCATCGATTCCATTTGTTTAATTAGCGGTCCAATCATTCAAAGTGTATCCATTTCCAGTGGTCCAACCTCTGGAAACTATCCAATGGATATTCAAGGATACCATTTCACCAGTGGAATGATTGCAAGTGTTGGTAGTAATAATTGTATTCAATCAACATTCATTGATTCCACCAAGATCCAATGTATGGTTCCATCTGGATATGGAAATAATCAACCAATAACCCTTTACAATCCATCCAACGATCAATTTGATTCACAAACACTTTCATTCTCTTTTACCTATAATTGTAAGTTGTAAAATCAATATTATCATTTAGGATCAAATTATTTATTAATATTTTATTTATTTTCATTTTTAGTACCAGTTATTCATTCTGTTACACCATTCATTTTACCATCGAGTGGTACTATTCTAACTATTAACGGAGAAAACTTTGGAAATACAAAATCATTGATAAATCTTAAAGCTAAAGGTATTTCTGATAGTTTAACTATTTTATCTTTAAGTGATTTAATGATAACTTGTCAAATTCCAAGTGGTTCCGGTGCTGGTTTCTTCATTTCTCTGGCAATCAACAGATATAATGTTCCTTCACTGAATGGAAATGGATTGGGTTTAAATATGGTATCCTATCAAAATCCAATAATAAACTCATTCACCCCTGTCATTGGAAAAGTTTTCGATATCCTAAGAATCGAAGGTTCTTCATTCGGTCAGGATCTCTACAGATCTAAAGTGTTCATAGGTTTCAAAGAATGTCCGATTCTCTCGTTGTCCGAAAGCATCATCAACTGTCGTATTCCATATGGTATCTCCAATGAATTGATAACCGTCCAAATAGCAAGACATAAACCGATATTCTCAAACAAATACTTCCAGTACCAATCGTCGGCAATCACCTCACAGGCATCACAAATCTCCACTAGAGGTGGACTAATTCAATTCCATGGTGATTCATTTGGAAGTAGTCTCAACGATATTGCCTCCACCAAATTCGATTCACAGCCTGTCGATTGTGTTCCATTCAATTTGTTTATTGAATGTCAAATTCCAGAGGGTATCAAGAATAATCTTGAATTTGAAATAGCAACCAATATCTATGATAACACAACCATTGTCAATGTTTATTTGCCTCCGGTAATCGAATCGATGGCATTCTCTTTCCAGACCAATAATATTATCATTTTCGGAAAGAATTTCATTCCAAATCAAATCCCATATGATATCTCAACTTCGTATATCGAATTCCTAGATCAACAATCTCAACCAATCAGATTTAACCAGACATTTATCGATGAGAATCAGATTTCTGTCGGTCTAAATGTATTAGAATTACATTTAATATCAGTACAAGTAGTTGTTGAGGGAAGAGCATCGAATTTGATGAACCTTCAATTCGACTTTAACACATTCATTGAAATATACCAAGATAACAACATGGATGGTCTACAGCAACAAGATGAACCAACAGTATCAGGAACCGTATTGCTATCGGGCATTTCAAATCCATACGATATCACGCCAACTTCCGGTACCTTTACAATTCCAGCTGGTTCCTACTTGATGAGCATTCAAGTAACACCGGATCTTGTTCTCCCATTGAATAACTATAATATAGAAATATCAGCAACCGACGTCAATGTTATCAAAATCCCTGTTTGGTCAAAGAAGAACTGTGTTCAATCCTATCCATCCACCAACGGACAGACCATCGTCACTCTCCAACAAGGAACAACCAATCTTTGGGTATATGATATCTGTGTAAACACTCTAGATTGTAAATATCCAGTTACTTCACTCTCACCTCAGCCAAGTCAATGTGTTGCCACTTCACTCAGCAATATTGCAATTATTGAAATAGGTTCTCCAATAACACTTTTATTCTATTTCGACAATAATCTAAATGGTGTTAAAGACGCCAGCGAAGATGAGCCCACTCCAGGTACAATCACCATTCTATATAGCACCAAGAATGGCAGACAACTTAGCACAGTCGCTCAAACCAATCCAGTACAATTCCTTTCTTACAAAGGTGCAGTTACAGTGTCTCTAGTGTTCTCCAACCCAAACGTCTACTCAATATTAAACAAAAAGGTGTATTACATATCCGATCCACTATCAGATACCTATGGATTATATAGATGGAGCTACGATTCTATAAAACCAGTTATTCTCTATAATTCATATGGAGTAGAACTGTCGTTACCAATTGGAAAGTATAATTTATCGACTCTTTCCAATATGGGATTTGTAGGAACAAAGAATCATTATGGTAGTGGAATAATCAATTCACTAAATACATTTACCACTGATATCAGAGTCACATTCACCAAAACCGAACTCTCTACTCCAGTACTCCAATTAAGTGCACCAACTAGAACCAATATCAATCAAATGTCACTTGTTTTGATTGAAGTTTCTTATATTCCACTGTTTAGCGCATTCAATGGTGTCGAACCAAGTGGTCAACAGATACAATTCTTCTCACCATACATCTCGGCTGTTCCCAACTTTTTCTATGGTGGTCCTTCATATACCAACCCATTGAATTGTAACGCATCGCTAACAGATCAAACATTGGTAACCTGTACTGTTCCTGCAGGAAGTGGTTCTGTACCATTGTCAATGATGATGAACCAAATGAGACTTTTTGCTTTTAAGGAGTATAAAATGGTTTATTCTGTAATATTGGTAAGAGGTGTAGTTTTTGAAGATTTGAATGGAAACAACATTAGAGATTCCGGTGAAATTATACTTTCAAATGTTAAAGTTGTACTTGGACTTACAACCACCGCAACTACCAATGCAATGGGATCATATACATTTTCAGGTCTATATTCAGGATCGTTTGTCTTATCTGTTCCACCAAGCTCAACACATTATCTATTGAAACCAATCAGTGTTAATCTATCACCTTCAACACCAGGTTTAATTCAACATATTGGATTAACAAAAAAAGTAATTATTTTAAATCAAAACTACATATATTTAGTTTATCAATTAATTAATAATCTTTAATTGATATTTTAGATGGTAAAGGATGTTATGGAAATATTATATCTGGAGTAGAAATATTGTCGTTACAATATGGAAGTTATAAACTATCTGATTTCGGATGGTGTATGAGTTCTCTAAATTCATCGTGTACAATGCAGAAAATTACTAAATCATTCCCATCCAATTGTACTGTCGACTTTACCGATTCCAATACAATTAATATTCGATATCCACAGCTGATCCAACTCAATTTATATATCGATAAGAATTTAGATAATATAAATAACGATGCTTCTCTTATTGAACTAAAACAATCGGTCGTCACTATTACTATTTATCTAGATGACCAACAAACTTATTCAACAATTACCAAGACAGGATCAACAAGTTATACAATCGATATCACGCCAATGGTTACTTTTCAATTTTCATCGGTTGGAAATATCCGGCCTGTAATTAACAATCCAACGATGCTCTCTGCCACACAGCCACAATTCTATTGGCCATACTACCAATATTTGAATGGTGCACCCTCGCAGATATTCTATGATCAACCAACTTATTCTGGAGCGACACTTGAACTCCCAGTCGGTGTTTACAATAGCAACTACTTGGCCGGTCTGCCTATTTCGTGGAGCAACAGTGTGAAATCATTTACAACCGCACCAAATATGGTTGTTGTTCTATTAACTTCGGTCACAAGATTTGAAGCAAGAGACAATCAAGCCGTTGTAGTTGCAATCAATCCAACACAAATCGAAATTCTAGCTGATAATCTTTTGGTGGATAACCTAATTGTTCCAACAATCGGCGGCTCTTTCTTTATTAACAATTGGTCCAGTAAAACACCTCAGGCTTCTTCACCATGTGGAGGTTCATCGGCTTGTACATTGCTCCCAGATGGATCGAAATACCAATGTCCGGTCATTGCAGGCATCACAAAATGTTCAATCACAATCAAGTTTGATAATTTTGTAGTTTCTGAACCATACACATTGAGTCGTGCCGCTGCTTCAGCTACAGGATTTGTTCTTCAACCATCTCGACTACCAGCAAACGAACTTATCATCAACGGACAAAATTTCCCACCAGCAAATATTGCCTTAGGATACTCTAAAATTCTGGTCGATGGTAATCCATGTCAACTTGTATCTTTTATCAATGAAACTAGAGCATCTTGTTTAGCAGCTGCAATTACACCGCTCACCGATGATGGTGTTCTTACTTTTATTATTGGAAATCTTCCACCATCATATTATAATTTCCAATACAAGTGTATGTAAAATTGATTGATCAAAATCAATAATGTTATTAATATTATTTTATGTATTTAATTAGCTTCTAAATGTAATGGAGCAACAATTAAAGCAGGAACTCAAACTAAAAACTATGCCATCGGTGCTAATCTAACACCAGCCTTTGCCTACAATGAGATTAATTGTTCGTGGTTCTGCTACTGTACATCGACCTCCAATCCTGTAAATGCTATTTGGACAGTTGGAATCAATTCAATGGTATATAGCAAGACACAGACATTTACAAAAGATAAACTAAAATTCTCTGTTCAATGTAAATATCATGATAAAAACCAAAAATTAACTTTGTAGATTTATTTAATTAACAAATATATATTTTTAAATGATAGATGCTAAATGTAATGGTTTAACAATCTCTGACGATACAAATTCAGATGTTACTTTGATCAAAGGTGATTATACCTTTGCAGCAAATATAAAATTGAAATCCATTGTCAAACCACAGATTGGATGTAAAGTTTTAATGTCACTTGATGCCACAACAAATATCACAGTTGTTTCATCATTCGACCCAGCCAATTTCCCCAACTACCCAAGATGGTCCACCAATTACTTGAGCAAGGCAGTTATCGCAGACTATCCAGATCTTCGTGGAACTCCACTTTCCAGTGACGGACAATATGTTTCCTCTCCACCACTTTTAAATCTTTCTGTTGGTAATGTTAAATCTCTTTAAAAGAAATAAATAATTATTTCATAATAAACAAAATAAATTGAATCAACAAGCTAAAACAGATTTTAATTTTATTTAATTGACGATGGTTAATTGATTTAAGCTGAAACACCATAACGAGTGAAAATTGCGCTTATTAAAGCTGCAATAAAAGAAGTGATTGTTGAAACTATCATACATGCCCAACCTGCATATGGCTCGCAATCTCCTCCAACTCTAAGGTCCTTGAAACATCCCCAGTCACCACAACCAGTGGCAGCCCATGTCAAATAGGAGGCATTCTTTTCACAGTCTTTTTTAAAAGCCTTTGGCCAAGCAATGAGAACCAAAACTGAGAACAAAGCAAAGAGGAAAGAACCAATTGGAAGGAAACGAGCAACCTTGAACAATGAAACTCCAGATTTTACACGATCCATAATATTGATAAAGATGGTAACAGTGGTGAAAATCCAAGAGATACAGGCAAAAGCAAGACAGGTTTGGAGTACCTTTTGGATATTGGATCCTGAAATGGAATAGGTATCTGGACCAATATCATAGTGCGAATATTTAAAATAAGCCCATCCTCTGTTGGTCAACTCGTCATGCAATCTGTACCATGAAGCTATTTTTTTAGAAAAAAAAAAAAATAAAAGATTAAGATTTATTTTAATTGTTTTAAATTTAATAATAAAAAACAAAAATTTCAACACTTACTTCCAAATGTTGCAGTTGTCAATGCCCAAGTGAAAATTAAAAGAACTAAAACTATAATACCCCAGATATTCTTCATTTTGTATGTATTAATTAATATGTATCTGTACAAAAATAAATAAAAGAATGAATAAAAGTTAATCTCGCAAAATTGTTAACGATTTAAATAAAATAAAAAGTTTTTCGATCACATCCCTCATTTAAAAAATGTTGAAACTTTTGTGTTTTCCAAAAAAAAAATTGCTTTTAATGGAAAAAAAAAATCATTACCACATTTTTAAGTGTGTAATTTCAATTTATGCCTCCCCAAAAAATGAAAAAATTTTGCACAGCTTTTGTGAAAGATCTAAAAAACAACTGAGTTTCAAACCTTCACACTTTTTTTTTTAAACGAGATAAATAAAAACTTCCATAGATCAAATGAGTATGAATAATACATTTTTGAATAAATTTAAATTAATTTTCGATAAAAAAACAGAAACAAACAGATTTAAAAAAAAATAAAAAGATCGATCAGTTACAAGATGAATAATCAAACAAATATAATAGTAAATATATTACTTTATTTATTAAATAAATTTATTTATTATTTAGCTAAAGCTACACCGTACCGAATAAAGATAGAACTGAATAATGAAGCAAAAAACGATGTGATGGTAGCTATTATCATCATAACCCAACCTGTTGAAGCTCCACATTGGCCGCTTTCATTAAGGTTCTTAAAGCAACCATAGCCTTCGCATGACCCAATCCAGACGAATCCCTTGATACTACTGTCAGAACAGTCACTAGAGAGAGCTTTCGGAGTTGCTTGCATCACCAAGACTGAGAACAAAGCAAAGAGAAAAGCTACGATTGGAAGGAATCTACCGAATTTTAATTTTGAGAGGCCTGACTTAATACGGTCCACTATATTTATTATAATGGTAATAGTTGTGAAAATCCATGAAATTGCGGCAAAGGCAATACTAGTAGTGAAAACTTGTTTAATGTGAGTTCCGGAAATGGAAACATCAACTGTAAGTAATCGAAATAGATCCAACCATTATCACTTAAATCATCGTAAAATCTATACCATGAGGCTACAAACATGTTTCAATATATTAATTAATTTGATATTCATTAAAATCTCTATATAATCATACTTTTAAAAGAAACAGTAGTAAAAATCCAAGTGATAATTAATAAAACCAAAACTATGATACCCCAAATATTTTTCATTTTATATGTGTTATTATTTCTAGAAAATTATAGAATATAAATTTAATTGATGACAATGTATAGAAAAAAAAAACTGTTCAGGTGACGATGCGTCTCTTTATCCAAATTAATAAAAGTCTAAAATCCACCTATTTTTAAAATTGATCAATATAATAAATTTATCCACAAAAGAGGGATGAAAAAAAAATCCTGGAAAAAGTTTTATCAAAAAAAGGGGGCTGTTGCTAAGAAAATAGATATTATTTTTTTGTAAAAAAACAGTTTGTTTTTTACCAAAAAAGGAAAAGTTGATCAGCACCGTCACACTAAATCTTTAAATAAAAGGTTTTTTAACAACACAAAATTAAATAGGGAGGTTTATACTCTGAACGGGTTAAATTCAAAGTTTTGCAAAGTTGATGGAAATATTTGATAATTAACCAGTAAAATTAATTCAGAATTATTTTTGAATGGCTCAATCAGTAATTTTTTTGAGTGAGTGAGGGATAAGAAATATAGTTTTCTATGTTTATCAAATTATAATAAAAAAAAAAAAAAAAGATATTTTAAAATTCTAAAATTTTTTATTAATTTTAACTCTATTATATTTCTATGTAAAATTTCTCTAAAATTATTATGACCAAAGACTAAAAAATGATTTTCATCTATCTTTCGAAGAAGGTATTGTTGATCAGTTCCATATCCACCAGAGCATCTGATGGTGATGTCAACTATGTTGGGAGGAATACTATCGAAACTGATCTTGTCAAAGAACTCAAGTGAGACAACAATAGAACGGATATACTTTGGCAAAAGTTCAATTGGTGTACTGCTGGCTAAATTGAAATATGAGAGAATAGACCACTTTGGAACAAGTTCGCAATAACCAAAATCAATAGATTCCAATGTTGAGTCACCCTGATACGATATCTGTGAGATTGTCGATGTTTTCGCTGCATATTTGAATTTCAAATGCTTCAGAGATTTGGGAATCGGACATCTTAACGAACTGAATGACTCACTGCTCAACGATAGCGTTTCGATTTGGCTTGGAAGCGCAACAATCAAATCATTGACTGTCTTACAATTAGGTAATGTCAAATTTTTTAGATTCTTTGGTAGTTTAATGGGGATTACTTTAGTTGTTGTTGGATAACTTCCAATGTACAATGTCTCCAGGTTGTCAAGATTGGCAAATGTGTCTGGCTCTACATTTAGCGCTCCAATTTTTAGTGATTTGCATGACCAAGGAATAGAACCAGTCATTATCTTCTCTACATTACACAATTCAATGGATTCGACCCCCTCTGGAATGGATCCAGCAACCAGTGTTGGAGTATTGCCAATGTTCCCAAACAATACCAATATTCTAAGCATGGTGGTGTTCAATTGGTATTTAAGCATATGCTCCACGTAAACAATATTGCAACAAAGATAGGTGAGAGTTGGTGGTAAAAAATCGATTGGCATTGGCCGTGTTGATGATGCGTCAGTAGCAAGTTGTTGATAACTCATTAGGTCGTAACATGTAAACTCCCTGAGATTTGGTGGTAGTCGGGGAAGAAGTTGTAAAGGATAGATTAAATGAGAGATTTTCAAGACAGTAAGTGTCGTTGGGAATTGGAATTCTAGATCCTCTAAGCACAATATTACTGCGCAACCAAGAGTTAGGCTATCGAGATTCGGTGGGAAATACTTGAGTGGATAGGAAATGGTAAGCTCTCGAATGTTTACAAATGTATTGAAAATAGGATCGTTTAATGCATTGTTTAAGTGTAGCTTTGTTACATTGCTCTCATTTAACTGGCCCATCACTTTCATATTAAAGGACCATGAAATGACCTTATCAACTAATCTTGGAATAACATAGTTATCTAAATCAAAAGTATCTAAAAACAACAAACAAATGAATAATAAACTACTTATTAGTATGAAATAATCATATCAATATTACTAATATACTTACCATCAATAATAATATCATTTTTTTGAGGTTTAAAAATTGATTTAATTGACAAGTATAATGTATAATATGATTCTTCTCGGTACTGTTTGATTGCTTGTTTGAATTGATATTCATATGAATTTAAACTAAAGTATTTCAAAGTGTCATTATCTATCTCTTTAAACACAAGATACTTTCCACGATCATCAAACAATCTCTTGCAAGTCAAAGACACACAGATCCTATCTATATCATCTAGATACTTTAATATATTTGACAATAAATAATGTGATATATTTACAATAAACATCTTATAAAAAATATAAATAATTATATAATATATGTTGTAATAAACAAAAATTAGATTAGATCGAAAAATAGAACATTAATCATGAAATTTTAATAAAAATACTTGGTATAATAGATATTTGCAAACAATTTGTTTGTCTACTCTTTATTATTTTCTACTTTTGATTGATCTTCTTTTTCTTCTTCCTCTTGTACTTCATTTTCTTTGGTTTCTGTATTGTCAGCTGTTTCCTTAACAGCTGTCTTTTCGTCTTGTTTATCATCTTTCAAATTTGATGCGATCGTAAGTTTCTTTTTCTTTGGTTGGTTTGATACTGGTAAGCCTGCAATGTTTGCTAGATTATATTTTTTGTATCTCATAAAATCAGAGACAATTGAAATCGCACAGAATTGTTTGATAATCTCAACGATGATAGTGTACTCTGGGTTCTCTAGATCCACCTTGTGAATATCATTAACCATTTCCGCAATAGCCATAATCTCTTTATCTTTTTCTACAACTGTATTGTATCTAGATCTAAATTCAATCTTATACTAAATAGGTTAATGATAAGATATTAGTGTTAATAATACAACATTCATTGCGTGTTTCGATTTGATATCATATATATATAAATATTAACAAACCTTTTTAGATTCTTTTAATGAATTTAACTCCTTGTCGATTAATGTCTTGATATGCTCTTGTAAGTTTGTAAAGATACATGTCTTTTGAATAGGAATAATTCTTGTTATAAATCTAAATATAAAAAAAAAACAATAGTGTTTTAGTAAGTAAAGTTAAGCAAAAATAAAATAGTTTACTTTTAAAGCTATATATATTTACTTGGATTTAGTTGATTTCTCTGTTTCCATATCATTGAATAACTTTACTAATATATCCTTGACATTATATTTAGAGGTTGCTTCTTCATTGAATCCAACGAATGCAATACCTTCACAGCATAACTCTAGCTTTTCAAAAAGTTTAGATTTGCCTTTCTTGTTGTTCTTTCCTTCTTCTCTTGCCATCGCCAATTCCTTCTCAAAGTCATTCATAAAGTTGTTTGTCTTATTTTCATTCTCTGTTGATTTATTATTATTATTATCATTTGTTGATTTCTCTTCTAACTCAACAGTGTACTAAATAAACAAAGACAAGTTGTTTTAACAAGTTAATAAATAACGAAATAAATAATAATAATATGAGTATGATTAATGATTAGTTACTTGATTTAATAAATTAAATAAATCTTTTGTTGCTTGATTCTCACGACCTTGTCCGAATGTATATAAACAACCTTGTTGATTTAACTTGAGTGAAAGTTCATGTTTAGGTTTCTTTGACCAATATTGTGATTTATTCTTACTATCTTTTTTATCTTTCTTTCTTTTATGATTATTATTATTATTTGATTCCGACATCTTTATTATTTAAATAAATAAATTAGTAGTAATAAAAGTGTGTGTTTTAAATGAAAATGATTGATGATCAAATGATTATGAAAACGAAACCAATGAAAATCATGATCAAACATTTTCGTTTTAATTTAAGAAACATTTTTATTTATTTATGTTTTACTACTAGACATAAGATAAATAGATAGTAGATAGATAGATATAGATATAGATATATAGATAAATATGGATCCTAATAATATTGGTAATATATCTAGAGGTAGATCTAATGGTAATGGAGGGTTACCACAATCTATACTTAAATATATACCCGAACCTATTCAACCTATATTTGAAAATCCATTCTTTGCAGCTGGTTTCGGTTTGATTGGTGTAGGCTCTGCAATGGCATTAGTTAGAAAGGGTTTTCAAACTAGTATGGTACAGGCAAGACGTTACTTCTTTGTATCCGTTGAGATTCCATCAAAAGATAAGAGTTATCATTGGTTAATGGAATGGTTAGCAACTAAAAAAGTAATTATATATAGCTAGTTAGTTATTATTTAATTGTTGATATACTAATGTGTATTATGTTGATTAAATATTATTATTTAGACAAGAAATACAAGACATGTTAGTGTTGAAACAACATTTCATCAGAATGAAGGTGGTGATATCTCTTCGAGGATTAGCTTTGTACCTAGTGTAGGTACTCATGTCGTAATGTACAGAGGTAGAATCATAAAAGTAGATAGACATCGTGAGAAGAATGTTGTCGATATGTCGAGTGGCAATCTTTGGGAGTCGATTACGCTGACAACACTCGGATTCAAACGAGATATATTCCAACGTTTGTTGGAGGAAGCACGTGTGATGGCTGCTGGCAAAGAGGAAGGTAGAACCATCATCTATACGTCGGCAGGCACTGAATGGCGTCGCTTCGGTCACCCCAGAAAGCGAAGACCAATCGACTCGGTTATTCTGGATCGCGGTGTTGCAGCTCGTCTCGTTGACGATGTGCGACGATTCCTCTCGAACGCTAACTGGTACACAGAACGCGGTATTCCATACCGTCGTGGATATCTGCTGTACGGACCACCCGGAACTGGAAAGAGTAGTTTCATTACTGCGCTTGCCGGTGAGTTGCAACTCAGCATCTGTATACTCAACCTCGCCGGAAAGAACATCAGTGACAACACTCTCAACCAACTACTGGCATCGGCACCACAGAGATCTATCATATTACTTGAGGATATCGATGCAGCTATACATACTAATCCTAATGGATCTTCCGCTTCTTCAACTACTTCCACTTCTTCAGATTCAAAAGAACAAACCAAACAACAACAACAAATATCAAATCAATATCAATATCAACCTAGTCAGTTGACTTGGAGTGGATTACTCAATGCACTGGATGGTGTTGCTGCTAGTGAAGGTAGAATTCTCTTTATGACAACGAATCATCTAGAGAAATTGGATCGTGTATTGATTCGTCCGGGTAGAGTAGACACTATAGAACAAATAGGAATGGCTACCGGTTATCAAGTTGAAAAAATGTTCTTGAAATTCTTCCCAACCGAAATGACAATGGCCAATGAATTCCGTATGAAAGTTCCGTCAGACTCTGTCAGTCCTGCAGCGCTTCAAGGCTATTTCATGCAATACTCGCACGATCCAAAAGAAGCATTAAATAACTATCAACAATTAATAAAACAATAAATAACAATATTTTATATTATAATAATATTAATGATTATAATTGTTATTGTTTATGTTTTTTTTTTTTGAAAATAGTATTAATATTTATTTAGTATTATATTTCTACACTGATTTGGGATTGGTCTTTTTAATGGTTTTAGTGGTAGTTGTGGTGGAGGTGGTTGGTACTGGTGCTGCTTTGTTAGATTCAGTGGTGGTGGCTGTTGTTGTCTTTCTTTTGTTTGCTCTCTTGGCAGCTGCAGGTTGTTGTGGTTTGGCTGTGGTTGTTGTTGTTGTATTTAAAGTTTCTGTAACTTGTTGAACTTCTACTACTTTCTCTTTAATTTGTGATTGTCTCTTTGGTTTTCTTTTATTTGGTGTTGTTTGTTGTTGTTGTTGTTTTGGTTTTTGTTTTTCTTCAACTGGCTTAACTTGTTTCTCTACTTTCTTCTCTTCTACTTTCTCCTCTACATTTGGCATTAAAGGATGACCATATAAAACAATGAATCTCTTACAACCATTTTCCAATTGCTTTGCTGTTTTCTGCATATAATTAATTTTATGATCCATTTTCATTTTCTACAGAACATAATATAGATATTGATATTGACATTAGTAAAGGATGAAATCTATAGACTATAATAGTTATAGTTACCTCATAATCATCATTATATTTAAGTATTAAATCTCTGTAATAATGTTGATCCGAAAAAGTTTGACCTCTCTCTACTCTTGGTGCTTCTGGTTCAACTTTTAGATCGATTGGCTTCTCAACCATATTTAGCTTCTCCAATGCCTGTTGTCTTCTCTCTGAATCTCTAGTTGTATTTTGAAACTTCAAACCCATGAGAGCATAGTTCTCAAGAGTGGTCTTCTTTGGATCCCATCTCTCTTGTACCTCTTTATTACCATAATAGACATCCTGTACTTTTTTATGATTCTGTTTCTTATGTTTATTATTATTCTTCTTGAAAGGCATTTTCTAACTATTTAAATGTTTATAATTATAAAAATAAATAATCAATCAATTAATAAATAGTTTTTAAAAAAAAAAAAAAAAAACGAGTCGTCTCCAAAAAAATGATTTAAAAAAAAATATTAATATTAATTTATTTGGAATTTTTTTAATTTAGACGATTTGAGTGTTTGATCAGCTAGTAGCATTAGTGTTTGTTTAAACAAATAATATATATAATTATGATAGTTGAAGTTGATATTGAAAAGATAATATGCTCTTGGAGTAAATCTAATGAGGATATTGATAAAATAAGAGGATGTTTATCTATAATTGTCGACCAGAACAACAATAAAGATGATATGGTTAAAAATGAAAATATTGAAATAATACATCCACCAAACCTCCAAGAAAGTTGTACATTAACAATCATATTTGCATCGAAGATCATCATTAGCTCTGTAGAGATACACTCGAATAGTAGATTGATTGAAATGTATTATGGTGAAATGGACGATTACTTGGCAACAATGAAATCTATAAAATCAGATGACGAAAGAAATCTTTTAGTATCATCACAGAGATTTAAAAATAACAATTCAATTTCACAATTGAAAATAAAGGTAATCAAAATATTCTATAATAGTTAATGAATAAATCAATTAATATTAGAATGTTTAATCTTTTTTTTTTAGTTTTGTTCATTGTTACAAAAAGATTGTTGTGTTTTAAATAAAATTTCAATTCATTGCACCAAGGTCTCAAAGGAACAACATGATCAAGATCAAGAACAATTAGCTCAAAAAGTATGAATATACAACAACAATCACTCATATTAATTAATAGAATACTAATAGAATTTACAATAAACAGCAATCTTTAGACTCCATGATGGCCATTATGTCACTTTTATCCAAAAACAATTCACTAACATCTCAGCCATCAACAATACCTCAATTTCCTATTGGACAACCTCTACAAATACCTTTGATGAAGCCATCACCAACACCAAAAACAAATGAATCAGAACAAATTAACAATACAACAGAGATTAAATTACAAACAAATTTAAAAAATGATGAACAACCAAAACCGATTACAAAGGATGATTTAATATCAATAATGAGTCAAATGGAATCAAGGATTGTAAGTACCATATCATTATATCATTTGGAATTCAATTTATTAACATTGTTTTTTTATTATTCTATATAGAATGACAAATTTAATATTATTTTGAATAGATTAGATAAATTAGAGGAAAGACTAGATAAAAAAGAAGAATAAATTGTGTATATATTTAAACGAAATAATTTTATTTTATTGGCTAAATCTTAATGAAAGAATTGATCTAACGTCATTTACATATCTCAGTACTTCTAAAAATGGAAGCAAAGTTAACAAAGATTGATCAGATGGATTATCTCCCATCCAATTATCGATTGGCAAAGCATTCTCAATGTTATTTGAATAGGCAATGGGTGAGTTGTCTACTATGATAGTTGTTGCCAAATCTTGTTGAATTAACGATAAATCCTTTACATAGTTTCCTTCTTTTTCAAGACAAGACTTTAAATAGATAAATAAAAATTAATAAAAACTAATTTAATAGATTAAATAACTTAAAGTTAATAATAAATACCTCTCTAAAATATCTCTTTTTCATTAATCTATTTGGATCAAGTTTGTTTAAAAGTGGGTCAGCATACTCTTTCATGCTAGCGGTGAAAACAACGACGTTGTACCACTCGGCAACCTTTTCGATAAAGTAGTCTACGTGAGGTCTCTTAATTACGTAAAAGGTGCACTCTACATCCTCAACGACAACGTTGACTGTAAGGTGATGGTGGTTAACTGGTGCCAGTGTAGAATGGACAAGGGTCTCATCAAGGTCTAAAATTAAAGTCTTTTTACATGGTGGCAGTATTAAGTTGTGATTGAAAATGGAAAAGATGTCTGTTGGATTTGTTTGTGATTGTTGGAGTTGTAGTTGTGCTTGGTTTGCTTCATCGGTGCTTATATTGGTTTCGATTGGCTTTTTGGAAAAAATATTATTAAACTTTTTGGATGTATTGAAAATTGAAAAATGATTTGTGTTTTGTGTGGTAGCGACCGTAGTGTTGTCACCATTGGTGGATTGTTTTATATTTTCTTTGTTGTCGTCCTCTGTGGATTCATTTTGTTTATCTTTTTCGTTTGGTATACTATTATTAAAACTTAAAACCTGGATAAAATCAAAAAAATAAAAAAAAGAAATAACAATTAATTTTTAATGTTTTTTTTATCAAATTAATTATAATTATAATTTGTGAACTTACTGATGCTATCACTGAAAACATCCAGCTATAAACAAAACTCATTGATGATGGATCCACTGGTTTCTGTACTGATTTATCTACTTCGGGATCACCTGCTGTGACTGAGAATGGTGGGTACTCTTCCATTTCAATAGTGATTGGTTTGTATAATTTAGGTTTTTTAAGAAAAAAAAACAGGGTATTGTTTAAATGCAGAGGGCAAGTCGTGCAATGTTTATATATAAATCGATATTAAAATAAATAAATGAATAGAATTTAAACTTAATAAATCCTATAAATTAAAGATTAAATAAAAAATAAATTGATTTGTAAATTAAAATAATACTAGAAAGAATTCTAAAAAAAAAAATAACTGAAAATGTAGAAGCGGAAAATAAAGAGGTTATTTGCTCAATGATAGTTATAATTATTAAATTGTTTTTTTTTTTTTTTTTTTTTGTTTTAAAATCTATATATATTATAAAATATAAGTGGAAGGTTAGTAACTCTATTATTACTGTTACTTTTATCACTATTTAAATAACAATAGATTGTGAGATTGGGGAAAATATGAAGAGTAAGGATTTTTGGTGTTTTTTTTTTGTGGACAATGTTTGTTTTAGAATCCACACACAATTATGATTATTTATATTTAGTGAATAAAGAAAAAGAGATAAACGAAAGATTTATAGTTATTAAAAAAAAAAAAACCAACCTTAATAAATAAATTAATATTAATATTAAACAAATATATAAATATAAATATATCTTTTTTTGTTTTTATAATTATGTTAATAATAATAAATGTAAAATGATGTATTATTTAAATAGGTTTTCTTTTATTGTTGTTGTAATGGAACACACACTATTTTTATTAAATAATAATATTTAATTATTTATTTTTTTTTTATTTTTTAATTTGGCTTGTTTGTGGTGTTATAACAGAATAGTAACATATGTGTTTTTGTGTGTGTGTGTGGATGAAATATGTGTTTATTTATATGTGGTGTGGTGTGGTTATTTTTAAAAAAACAATTACAATCAGTAATTTAAATTTTCAATACAATAATATTAACAAAAAGACATAGAATTAGAAAAGAGTTTAATTTTATTAGATATCTTGAACATTAATAAAGACATTGAGTTGTACATATATATATATTTGGTGTTGTTGTTGAAATAACACTGACTTTGGAAATTAATGTGTTGTAGTGATGTGGGTTGTGGGTATATTATTATGTTATATACATGTATGTAGAAGTGTGTAATGCTAACTATTGTGGTAACTACTGTATTGGTGATAGATGGATGGGTGTATGATGATGATGGTTATCATTATTATTATTATTGTTGTGATGGAAAAGAGTGAGAAGCGAGTATTGAGAGAGTGAGAGAGAGAGAGAAGAGTTGATTAAATTGATGAGATGACCTGTCATACTGATAGCTAGTAGTAGGAGGTGATAACAGTTGGTCTGTACAACATTGTTGAAGATGACGATTCACAACTCAACCAAACATTACTGTTGTTGTTGTGGTTGTTGTTGTGGTTATTGTTGTGTGGTAGTAGTCATGGACAAATTTATTATTAAATGATATTTATCATTATTACTGACTCTATCACAACTACTGTTTTTTGTTTTTATTTTTGTATATGAGAGGAGACAAATAAAACTTTAGTTATATATTAGATATTCAACTCAATAAGCATCAAACAACCTCAACATTAATTGAAGATAAAGTATACAACATGTTGTTGACTATTTGATGGTTGAAAGAGCTGTTCGTTAATGATATATTTAAATCATATGATGATTTGACTGACGAGAAGAATGAAAATGAATAGGAGAGAAATTTTGAATCTAAACCTTTCAAAAGTAGTGAGCTTGGAAATAGAAAGTTGACTTGTCCACTAATACTGTTGGTTGTAGATATTTTTTAAACAATTGAGATATAAAATGTATAAATAGATTCATTAGATTGTTAAAATTGATAATAAATTTAAATTGATGTTGCTGTGTGTGTGAGTGTGTACTGATGATGTATCAAGGTATCGATCTACCAAGTGCAATCCGATAGAATATGAAAAAAGTGTATAAACTTAATCCAGCCGGCTGCTTGCATATTAATTTACTAATGCAGCATAGAATGAATGTATCTTTTCCAAAAACATAAAGAGAATCAAATTTGTATTGCAGATCCCAAATATTATTGATTTGATTGATGATTATAAAATAAATTTGATGACTTATGATTTTTAAAGTAATCCAATTAATTGTTTAAACAATTCACGCCAGAATTATAAAATTTTGAAATACAATTGGAAAATCGATATGATTGACTTTAACCAAAATAATTATTAAAAAGGATAGAGTGAGTGAGAAGTTGTAACTGTGGATAATAACATTTTTAATAATCTATAACTCTGGATAGATTCATCTGTTGTTATAACAACTATATATATTAAAGAATAAATGGTAATACCTGTTGTTATTTATTTTGTTATTGTAGTTGTTTTTGGTAGAAGGTTGACTGTGTATCAATAAAATATAAAGATACTATTTACGTCTTTTTAACAATGTTTGTATCAAGATCAATACAACAATAACAACTTTACTATATCTATCTAACTTTATATATATGCTTTTTTATTTTATTATATAATATATTATATTATGCTATCTATTTACTTAATAAATAAAAATGATAACTAAATACAATGATAAATCATATTAACCAAAGTTATACTACTAATAAAAGTATTTACAAATGTTACTGTTTGTATCAGGTGTTTGGTTTAATGTGTGTGGAGTTTGATTATTATATTTAGAATAAAAAGATGTAGTTGATAGTGATGGGGTGCTTAGATTTTTAAAGGTAGGATAATGATAATAACATAACAATTATCATTTAAACCCCTTTTTTTTATTACATACATAAAATTTAATTTATTTGATTGCACACAAAACTACTGTAATAAAATTTTTTTTGTTTAATTAAATTTTAAAGAATTTTTTCGCAACAATAAATGATCAATAAAAAAAAAAATAAATCAACTTTTTTTAAATTTTGCAAATTTTTCGCTCCAACCTACTCTCCTAAATTTGGAATTATTGTTTTTGAATAATCACGATCTTATCCATTAATTTTGAGGTGAATCAATTTGTTTTTAAGTTGTGGGTCATTGTTACTTCAAAAACCAAAAATAAATATTGGTTGTAATTTTGTTTTTAAGTTTCTTTTTTTTTTTTTTTTTTTGATTATATTTATATATTTGAGATTTTATTTTATATTTTTAAAAAGTAAATTCGAATTGATTAATATTCACTGATCAATCTTGTAGCTTTCTTCAAAATTTCGTCTAATGGTTTGGTTGGTGGATTTGGTTGTTCGTATTCAGCGTTCAACCATTCGAGTGTCTTGTGTTTGATTAACTCGAGATCCTCTTGCTCCTCGGTAAAGTTGATCTGGATGAATGAGTAGGCGAGACAGGTGGCCCAGATGTTTGGATGAGTGAGCGACAACGAGTCAGAATTCTCGGCGTTCTCCAAATTCGAGAGTGGCACACTGATGACACCGGCGAGTGGTTTGTTCAACTCCCAGTAACCGTCGGCCTTTTGCAACAAAATCAAGTGCTCCGAGAGTGTTGGCTCCGCCGATTGATCCGACGATACAACAACCTTGCTGGTCGACAAGTATGGGAAGTACTCTTGGAAGAACTCCTCTTGCAAGTACTGAGTGTTTCTGTTCTTTGGACGGAACAACTTGAGGATATCGAGGTTGTTGGTTTTTTCGTACAACTCTGCCAAACGGTCGGTATCCGCTTGATTCTCGATGGCCATAAAGGTTTCCTTGAGCATCGATTCAGCTTTTCCGTTGTCGACCAAATCAATGTAGGCTTCCTCCAAGTAGTTGAGTGGGAAAACTTCGGCTTCTATACAAACACCAACGACTTGTGCCAAAAATTTGGATGCGAATGGAAGATCGATTTCGATATCTTCGATACTATCTAAAACTTCCTTCAAACTATTTATATAGATATTTGTTATAATTGATTAGTATACCAGTTTGTTTTAGATAACTAAACAATAGTAATATAATAATACATACCCTTCCTTAAAGTTCTCTGGAGTGTACATTTGTGATAAGATAAGAGAGTGAATCAATTCTAAAACTGCATCCTTCTCTTTGTCTCTCTTTTCAAATGATTTATTAACAATAATACAAATAATCTAAATTTGGATTGGAAGAGTAGTTAGTATATTTATATTTATATTTAAGGTGTTATGAATGAATTGATATTTACCTTTCCATAGAGATTTGGATAGTTGAGTTCCTTCAAACATTCGATGGCTTCATCGACATCTCTTGATTCGACATATTCGTCCAAGGTCATGGAAATAGTATCCTCAAGCTTCTCGGTGGTGATTTCGTTGTTGGTATCTGGCTTGGCAGGAGTTGGTGTGGCAGTTGGCTCCAATTGAGACTTCTTTGGTGATCCTTGTGGGAAATCATCGTCATCCAAGACACTGAACATATTCTGTCTTTGGTTGTCCTTCTTGTTGGTACCAGAGGTCGAGTTTCTGAGTGGTGAAGTGACACCTCCCTTGATTGGAGTGGAATTGCTGCTCGAGTTGAGCTCGTTCTTCTTTGGTGTCTTCTTGTTGTTGTCCTTTGGTGACTTTCCAGCGATCTCCCAACCGTCGGACTTACCGTCGGACTTGCTTCCCTTTCCAAAGATACCACCCTTACGAGGAGTAGAATCACGGTCTCCACCACGACGATCATCACGATCACGTTCACGTTCACGATCACGACGCTCTCCACGACGATCTCTACCACGTTCACGATCACGGTCGTCACGATCTCCACCACGACCTCCATGTGCCTTGATGAAACGCTCTTCCTTGTCGTGGTCGTCCTTGTTGACCTTCAACATACCGGTGGTCTTTGGCTCCCAACGTTCGGATCTCAAATCCAAAAGACCGAGTACCAAGTAACGTGCTCTCGATGAGAACTTTTCGTTCTCGGAAATCGAGAGGAGAGTGCTGAAAGTGGTCATGATGGCTGGCTTGGTTGGATCGGCATCCAACTTCTTACCGATGGTAGTAATTAATTTTACAACACCTTCAACGATATCCTCAGAGGCTGATTCCTGAGCTTTACCCAACAAAAACTTTATACATTGAATAACAATAGATTCTGCCAAAACAGAGTGTTTATATAATTCACCAATGAATTTGATATCTATAAAGAAGAAGAAACAAAGAATAAATAGAATTAGTTTTTTTTTTTTGGTTAATATTAAAACTTGGTGAAAATAAATGAATGTCTATGTATTGTTAACTTACTTCCAAGTGTTCTTCTCTTGATAAAGAATTCTTGTTCTTCTTGATCCTCCTTGGAGAGTGCTTCAAACTTGGAACGATCTGGTTTCTCTTCGAATACAGATTGACAGTTGAGAATGACCTCACGCTTCAATGTGATGTTGTTTTCGAATTTGGGGAATTTGACATCGAGATGACCAGACATAATAGCGTAGACTGCACTGTACTTTTGATCGATGATGGCCTTCTCAAAGAGAATCTTGGCGACACCCTTCAATACCTCTTCGTTTGGAATGGTGATCTCTTCGATTGTCTTGATCAAAGTGGCATAGGTATCCATGGTGATACGATTGAGATTGAACTTGAACTTCTTGTAGATCTCAGAGTATTCACCGGCGGTATCCTTGGAGAAGATCTTCTTGACTGGCACAGCTGGTGGGTGAGCTGGTTGATTCTTAAAGTTGTCGTGATGACGATCCTTTCCACGACGGTTCTCCTTCTGACCAAAGATGGCACCTGGCTTTTGGTGTTGATTCAACAATGAGCTGTATGGCTTGAGCTTCTCTGGAATGAGTGTGTTTGAATCGATATAACGTTGTCCGAGAAGGAATTGAATGGAATATTGTTTCTTTCCGGATGGTGGTGAGACAGAGTTGGCAGCGGCAATGTTGGCTGGTGGCGCGGTCGAGGTGGTTGGGTTGGAAACCATACCGAATTGAGACAAACCGGCTTGGATAGCAGCAGCAATCTTTGAGGCTTGTGAATCGGCAGCTGGAGCAACAGCTTTAGCTGGTGGTTGGGCAGCAGTAGTTGATGGAGCTGGAGCTGGGGTGGTAGTTGAGGTAGTTGGGGCGACTGAAGCATTATCCTTTGATGGTGAAGCTGGAGCTGGTGTTGGGGTTGGTGTGGCAACAACTGGAGCTGGTGTGACAGCAGCTGGAGCTGGAGTTGGTGTAGCTTCAACTGGTGCTGGAGTTGGTGTGACAGCAGCTGGAGCTGGAGTAACAGCAGCTGGGGCAGGAGTTGGAGTAGCTTCAATTGGAGCTGGGGTGGTGACAGCTGGAGCAGGAGTTGGTGTAGAAGTGACTGGAGCTGGAGTGGTGGCAGCAACTGGAGTTGAGGTAGCAGCAGCAACTGGAGTAGTGGTAGTGGCTGGAGCTGGAGTTGGGGTAGCAGCAACTGGAGCTGGAGTGGTAGTTGGTGCGAGTTTAGCTGGAATGGTAAATGGAATTGATGGGTGACCTCCTTGCAAACTCTTTGGAACAAACTCTGGTGAGTTAAACTTGAGAGTTGATTTCGAGAGTGGAGTGGAAGGAGTGAACGATGGTGCTGATGGTGAGAGGTTGGAAGTGGATGGGGTGAAAGGTGGTGATGTTGAAGAGAGTTGTCTCAATGGTGAGATAGTTGATGCTTGTTGTTGTTGTTGTTGTGGTTGAGCGGTTGTGTGGTGTTGGTTCATGTTGGTTGGGATACCGCTGGCAGAACCACGAAGTGAAATCATGGCACTCTCTGACAAAACGTTGTGTGGCAATGGTGAATCCTTGTCGTCGGCAGCCAAGAAAGAAGTGTAGTTGGTAGCCAATCCATATTTGATACCGAGCTCAACAATACGCTTGGTGAGACGGTCAGACTCGGCTGGATCGGTGGTATCCAACAATTGATATTGCAAGTCGGAAATCAAAGTGTAGGCAGCCAAACAATGAATCATATCACCTTGCTTGACGTCGTCACCCTTGATTTGGATCTGGAAGGAAACGGGTCCGTTTGGTCCGTTGGCCAACAACTTGACGGTACCATTGAACTTTTCGTCCTTGCTCAAGATATTGAAAACGGTAAGACGATCTCCATCAAACAAAGTTCTCAAATCTCTTGGAGCTTGCATCTTGCTGGACATGGTTCCCCAGTCGATTCTAATGTTGGTATAAGCTGGTTGTAAAGCACGCTTCAACTGTCTCATTACCTTATTCTCAATGGTTTCATTCTCAATTGCCAACTCGGCAACACCACAACCTGCATTAGCGACAACATCAACCTATTAAAAGATCATTCATAATAATATGATTAGTAAGTTATTCGAAAACAGTAAGATTTCAATTATTTCTCGCAGGTTACATACCAATTGTCTGCTACCAAATTCACCCATACCAATTGGGAAAACAGAGGTGTTGTCAGCGTTTTGACGAACCAACTCTACGATTGGACCAACGTTGGAGACACCTCCGTCGGTGAGGATAAAGATCTTACGTGGACGCACGGCTGGAGCGTTGTAGATGTCTTGGAGTGGGGCAAGAAGGTTGGTCTCACCAGACTCTGACTTGAGATTCTTGATGTATTGGGTGGCAGCTTCCAAGTTTTCACCACCGTATTGCATGGACTTGGCAAACAACTTCTTAAAGGTGGAACCGAATGAAATGATATTGAAGAAGGTGGACTTTGGCAGTGAGTGACAGAACAAATGCAGACCCTTCTTTGCGTGATTTAAATTGTAACCGGCCATAGACTCGGAACAATCGACCAAGAAAATCAACTCCATCTCTTGGGTGCTGGTTGCCAATGGGTATACCTTTTGTGGAGTGTTACTTCCGCTGGTTGGAAGTGGTGAGGATGGCGCTTGTAGTAGTTGTTGTTGCTGTACGGCAGCTGCGAAACTTGTAGTTGCCAAATCGATAGTTGGTTGTGTGGTTGGTGTGGATGGTGATTGTTGTGTGGTGTTATTATTATTAGAGAGACGTGGGTAGAAAACTAACATTAAAGCATGTGAACCGTCTTGATTTCTCTCGATGAAACCGGCTGGTTCATGTGGATCTTTCAACTTGACCAAAATGGTCAAATCGTTCTGATTGGCGGCATCAATGGGACGGGTATCCTCGTACTCGACGGAGCCAAAATTCGAATCTTCACCATTCTTTCCGATCTTTGTAATAATTTGATCGGGATGTGACGGTGATTTAATCTCAACAATAGACGATGGCATTTCCAAATCCAACTTAATTGAAAGTCCCTGCTTTATACTACTATTGTTGTTGTTACTGCTGTTGTTTAAAATCGATTGTTGTTGTTGTTGTATTTGTTCGGTTGGTTTAATATTTATATTGTTGCTGCTGTTGTTTGCTTGTTCCTCTTCAGTCTGTGAAAGTGAAGTTGGGAATACCATATATAAGTATTCACCTTGCATCGACATCTCTGTTACGTAGGTGATGATGACTTCGAGCTCCTGATACTGAACGAGGTTGGTAAGACGACACATGAAGAAGTCCTCTTCGAGGTAGGGATCTTGGGTGTTGGCTTCCTTGGCAATGTTGGCGGCAGTGTGACTGTCGAGCTGCTTGAGTGCCTCGCCGAGGTTGGTTACTTCGGCAGAGATCTTCTTGCCGTCGAGACGAATCTCAAAACCAGTGAGCACACCGAGTGAAGTGTTCAAGTGCGCCTTGAAGGTTGCTTCATCGGACTGACCGACACCGAACGCCTTTCCGATGTTGCTATAGGTCTTCTTGAAAACGAGCTGTGCGGCCAAGTCGACGACACGCGCATTCACCGACATAAAAGATGGATGTATTTGATCTCCATTTTTCTTCCACAATGCAGAGTACATTATTTATGACGAAAGTGTGTGTATATGTAAAGTAAAGTGAGAGGAGTGACAGTTAAATATTAGTGTGAATAAACGATGATGTTGATGTTGATGAGTTGTTTTTGATTTTGATTTTGATTTGGCGAACAAAAAACGACGACAAAAAAATTAACAAAAAAAAAAATGAAAAAACAAAAAATTTGCAAAAAAAAATAGTAATGAAAATGAGAAAAAAGAAGATTAATATCTATAAAATATATATAAATATATAATGTGAAAAATTATATTATAATATTAAATATATAGATTATTTACTAGTTTAAACTTTGTTTATTAAGAATAAATAATAAAAAAAAACAAAAAAGTAAAATAAAGTTGAGGTGTTTTAGTTTGTTTTTTTAAGATTAAAAAGAGTTAGTTGTAAAAGATGTAATAATATATAGTTACAACAACAACAACTTGCTAATGTTTATAAACCTAAAAAAAAAAAAAAAACAATGTTTATTTTAAAATTTCTTATGTTTTTTGTTGAAAGCGAGTGCGAGGAAAAATAAAAAGAGATGACGGAAGTAGTAACAAATTATAAACTTGTTACTTTAGACAATGAGTATGAGAGTGTGTGTTGATAAGAGAGAATAATGAATTGAATTGAACGTAATTTGTTTTTTTTTTTAATTCAATTGAAATCTTAATACCAAAAAAACAAACAAAAATAAATAAAAAAAAAACAAATAAACTAGTTTGTTGTTAAAAGTTTAAAGTTTGTTTTGTTTTATTTTGATTTAAAAATAAAAAGTTTGAGTTTCTATTTAAGGTTTTGATAATAAGATTAGATTTGTTTGTTTGTTTAGATAATTACTAATTATTATAAATAATAATATAATTATAGAAAGAGAGAAAGATAGGAAAAAAAAAATAGAATAGAAAGATGATGTTTTGTTTAGTTTAGCCGACAAACACAACTACAACAATGTTATACTTTTTTTATTATTAAAAGATAAATGAAAATGAATATTGTAGGTGTTGGTGAACTATTAACTATAAAGGAAAAATATTAAAATAAAAAAAAGATTTATTTGATCAATGTTAAGTTGAGTTGTTAGCCAAACCTGAAGCCGAGTAATTCAAAGCGAAAACAAAAAAACTATTAAAAAATTAAATAAAATTAAAAAAATTGAACTTTTAAAAAAATGAAAAAAAAATGAAAAAAAAAAAATAGAAAAAATTGTTTTTTTTTTTGATTATTATTTTTATTTTATTTTTGCTGTGACTTTACATCAGTCACTCCTTCCCAAATCCAGTTGTTCTCCAAAGAAATCAACCTTTTACAATTTTGATTGATTCAAAAAAACAAACCATTCATTGGTTACACATAGAAATGTTCATATTACCTAAAATTATTTAAATAAGAGAACCAGTTTTGTTGGGTAGTGTTTATAAGATTTCGCAAACATATGAAATATTCAATAAAAAAGTTTCTATTGATTTGATAACTGGTTTTTTGTACTGCATAAAAAATAAAGAACTACGCATGAGTATTAATTTTGTTTAAAAATAAATAAATCAAAAGACTTTGATAGGAATGTTTTTTCCAAAACAAACGAAAACAAAAAAACAAAAAAAGTAATCAATTTTTGATCATTTAATTTATTTATACTAAAGTTACTTACTACATGTAAAACAACTATGAAAGTAACTATTAAAAGGTATGATCATTTAATTACCAATTCTTGTTATTAGTTTGATTAATTATTTTGTAGATGGCATACAGTATCATCTTGGCATTGGGATGTCAATGAGGAGAGTTGTGGTATTTGTAGAATGGCATTCGATGGTTGCTGTGTAGATTGCAAGTTCCCAGGTGATAACTGTCCTCCAGGTAAATAATAGCAAATCAAACAAAAAAAACGATTCAAGTTATCATCGATATCTTCATTACTAATTAAATCATTAAAATATATTTATAAATATAGTGTGGGGAGTATGTAATCATGCATTTCATATGCATTGTATTTTAAAATGGTTAAATTCAAACAGTCAACAACAATGTCCTATGTGTAGAGCAGAGTGGCAGTTTAAATATTAGAGGAATTCAATTCATATCAAATGTATATATAAAACAAACAAGAGTGCACACTAGATCTAAAAATGAATGATATAAATGCAGATGATATTTAGTTATACCACTGTTCATTCATTTCATTAAAAAGTGCAAAAGTAAAGATATAAATAGACAAAGTACGATTACTATTTAGTTCATAGTTATAAAAGTATGAGCGAATAAATGTATATTATATTGATGATTAAGTTCATTTAATAATATAAATAAATTGATTTTATTTATTATTTCTTTCCTTTTTTTGAAGTTTGTTTGCCGGCTGACGATGTTCCACGTTTTGATCGTTTGATGTTGGTTTGGTCGTCGGAATCTACATTGATAGCGTTACTGGGTGAGGGAACTGGTATTGGCGAAGGTACAGGGATGGGCGAGGGCACTGGTACTGGTGATTGTGATTGTGTGTTTTGTTGGTTTGTATACATATTTTGTTGTGTCATTGGTTGTTGATAGGTCGGAACTACATTCATGTTAAGATTGATCGGTTGTTGTGCAGTACCTGCCTGCATTGCAATCTGTTGCATCATATTGTTAGGTTGCATCGTTTGTTGATAAATAGGTTGTTGTTGTTGGTTAAATTGTTGTTGTTGTAAATTATTTGGTTGTTGCATCATATTATTATTTTGTTGTTGATTGAATTGTTGTTGTTGTTGTTGTAAATTATTTGGTTGTTGCATGTTATTTTGATATTGCATCATGTTATTTTGTTGTTGAGCTGGTTGTTGTTGTTGTTGCATCATATTGTTATTTTGTTGTTGAGGTTGTATCATATTGTTTTGTTGTTGTTGTTGCATATTATTTTGTTGTTGTATGTTGTTTACTTGTTGTTGAGGTTGCATCATGTTATTATTGACTTGTAGAGGTGATTGTTGTCCGGCACCCATTGGTCGTGGCTGCATATTGTTTATCATTTGTCCGGCAACCATTGGTCTTTGTTGAATATTGTTTATCATTTGAGGATTATTATTGAACATCTGTTGATTCTGTTGATATTGTTGGAACTGGGGTTGGAGGTTGTTTGGTTGTTGCATCATATTGTTTTGGTTGGGTTGTTGTGGAACCATATTGTTTGATTGCTGTTGTTGGTTGTTTTGCAGGTTCTGTTGTTGTTGAATGTTCTGAAGGTTTTGTTGTATGTTTTGAAGATTCTGAGGTTGATTTGGAATAAAGTTGGTTTGTCCTTGTTGAATGTTTGGATGCATTTGGTTTTGAAGTTGATTAAATTGTTGTTGTTGTTGTTGTGGGTTGTGGAACTGTCCCTGTTGCTGTAGATTTTGTTGTTGATTATATAGGTTTTGTTGTTGTTGTATGTTGTTTTGTTGTTGTTGTTGATTGAATTGTTGTGGTTGTTGAGTTTGTTGAGTTTGATTGTTTTGTTGTTGCATGTTGTTTGGTTGTTGTTGTTGTTGTAAACCAACCATATTTTGTTGTTGATTGACAAGCTGTTGTTGTGGTGGTTGAGATTGACCAACTATCTTTTGTTGTTGCTGTTGTAGTGTTTGTAACATTTGTTGATTTTGTTGTTGGATACTCATTGCTGTTGGTTGTTGTTGTTGTTGTGGTACTTGTTGCTGCTGCGAGTTTGGTTGCTGCAGTGGTGGTTTGTTGTTGTTGTGGATTGGCTGTGCAACACCAACACCACCTGGAGCACCAAACGACTGAGCTCTTTGGGGTGGTTGGTTCTGTTGAATGTTGTTTGGTTGTTGTGGACTCATCATGTTGTTTGGAGTGGTTTGTGTTGATTGAGGTGCTGTTTGATATTGATTGACCATCTGCTGCTGCTGCGGTGCCTGCTTGGCTACCATTGCCTGTTGTGGAACCATTCCATTGACGGCGATTGCCGGTTTGAACTGTGGATTCACATTCGGTAGACTGGTGCTTCTTGGTGCATTGGGAGAGGTGTTCATCATTCCAACGTTGTGGTTGGTTGTTGGCGTGTTGGGTAGCGGTGAGTTGGGTGTGTTTGGTGCCGAGTGGTTGAGAGCCTGAGGATTCTGCTGTTGGAGTGGTGGCGGTTGTGCATGTGGCTTCAACACAAACTCTGGTAGCAGGAATCCCTTGAGAATGTTATCGAGACACGATAAGAACATTGTTTTTCCGGGCAGTTCGACGATTGCCAAACTCTTTTCGTCGTGTAGCTTCTTTACGAATTTGATGTATTCATCATCCATGCCGGCAACGTTTTGCATACTCTGCTGACGACTAAATCCAAGTTGAATTGCATTCTTCATGTGATGCATCAACATTTCATTGTTGTGTTCAGTCATAATTCCGCTAATGACGAGTGTTTCAGGCCAACCGATGCAAGGGTTGATATTCTCAATGGTGTTGCGCAGCACAGTGGCGGCGACGTGTGCAAACGGCAGTGGTTTCGACATGTCGTTGAAGCCAAGCGAGCCAGACCATACGATATCAGGTTTCTTTTGTTGTTGTTGCTGTACAAAGTTATTGGGATTAGCATGTTGTTGACCGGGTGGCGAAGAGTTGATGTTGTTGGCAGAGCCTGCAACCGCAGAGGCATTGTTGATTGTGTTGGCAATGGGTGGAGTTGCTGGCGATGGTTGTGAGAATGCTTGTGATGACAATTGTCTTTGCATGTTATTGGGTGGTGGCGGTCTCTGTCCGTTTTGTAAAGCTTGTGTTGCTTGTTGTTGTTGTTGGTTTGGTTGGTTCTGCTGTTGTTGTTGAATTTGAGATGCTTGTGGTTGTTGTTGTCCATTAAGCATATTATATTGATTGGGATTCATTTGAGTCATTTGTTTGTTTATCAGTGGCGAAGGTGATTGAGAAGGTGGTTTGGCATGTGTCATTGGTGCCTGTTTGGCAACCATTTGTTGTTGTTGTTGTGGGTGAGGAGGTGATTGCAATCCTTGTGTATTAATATTGTTGTTAGGATTGTTGATAACATTATTATTCTGTACATTATTATTGTTTACAAAAGTATTATTATTTGTATTGTTGTTTGTGTTGTTGTTGTTGTTGTAGTTTACATAGGGTGATGATGGGTGAGTGACATTTGGTGAAAGATGGTTTTGTATCTGTGGTGGAATCTGATTGGGTTGTTGCGGTGAACTTTCTACATTAATGTTGGTAGGAGTATGAAGCTGATTGTTATTATTATTATTATTAGTGTTTGCAGGTGGTTGTGGAATTAAATGATTAGGACTGCCACCCATTTGTATATTTGGTGGTGGCGGTTGTGGAAGATAGTTTGGAAATTGTTGTTGTGGTTGTTGTTGGTGTTGATGAACTGGTGTTTGTTGGTTTGATTGTGGGGATTGTAAGGATGGAACAATTGAAGGCGTAGATTGAGTAATATCAATAACCTCTGCATTTGGAGGAACACCATTACCAACATTACTATTATTATTATTATTATTGGTATGGCTTGGCATGGCCGGTGTTGTTTGGTTACTTGATAGATGTTGTTGTTGTTGGTTATTGATATTGTTAAGATTGTTTTGTAAACTAGGTGTAGAGGGAGAGGTGATCGACGGAGAATTTACAACTGTATTGTTTGAAATACTTGGACTTAGATAGCCATTTAGTGGATTCGTTGTATTGAGACTCGGTGACATTAAACCATTTGGAAGTTTCTGTGCAGTGTTATTGTTATTGTTTGTTCCATTTACCAATGGAGTAATATTGTTACTATTGTTGTTGTTGTTGTTTGGTGTTTGTTGTAATACCTGTTGATTTGCTAGCTGTTGTGTTGGTTGTGGTTGTTGCGATGGCAGTGTTGTATTACTATTATTGTTAGTATTATTATTGGTATTATTATTGGCCAAAGTATTTAGATTGGTTGTTGGTCCATTTGAATGAATGGGAGGTGACAACAGCAGTTGTTGTTGTGCTTGATCAGCGACATTATTATTGTTGTGATTTGCCGGCAACTGATTTGTATGATTTATATTGAAATAGGGCAGTCCTCTTAGTCGAACAAAGTTTGGGTTAGATTCAATAGTCAAATCCTCGAATTCATAACCATTTCTCTCTGATATGTTCTTTGTGAATTGATTCTTTTGAGGACATATAAAAGACAACATTATCTTTTGCTAAAAAAAATAGAATAAAGTAATAATAATATTAATAAAATGGTCATTGACTGAGTTGTTATCATAGTATATTTGCAAACAAACTTACTTGTATACATTCATCAATGTGTCTATAACAATCTCCAAGATTACAAAGTTTACAAGGTGAAATTCTTGGCTGGCTGTTGGAGATTAAAATAAAACTCTTCTCATCAGCACTCTTTCTGGAGCTGATGCGAAGTGCCGAACACAGACCTTCTGCTACTGCATTGCCATTGGTGAATCCACCGCCAACAAACTTGGTATTGACCATGCAATTAAAGAGTTTGGTCAGGTTGTTTGTCAACTCTGATGGATTGACAATGTAGTCTGCATATGGCGGATAATCTCTAAAGAATATCAATCCATAGTCTATATTCATATCCTGCAGGACGATAGAAATGAAATTTGTAAATTGTCAGTAAGGTAGGTATGTCGATTCATTTATCATCAATTCATTCATTATTTTTGTTTAAACCATTTTTGCACTTATGATGGTGGGTGAGATTTGTCATGAAATAAATTTTATAATTTGTGGTTTGTAAAAAAAAAAAAAAACAAAACACATTTTTGTGCAAAACCACCACGACAATTGGAGTTGAAAGTGTGGTGTGGGGGTTTGGTTCTGGTGACAAAAATCAAAAATCTCGATTGTCATGATGTAGGTTGTTGTGTTGTTTGGTCGTTAAACAAATTTGTTGTTGCTGCCAACACACAAAAAAAAAAAAACAAACAACAAAATAATCTCTCCACATTAATCTCCTTTTTTTTTTTTTGTTTTTGGGAATTCTCGACCTCCTTCTCGCTTCAGCATAATTTTTGTTTAAAGGAGTGAAGCGAGAGTGTGTGGAGTATATTATCTTTTTTTTTTGTATAAGATATGATTATGTTGATGATGATGTATGGTTATGATTATGATTTACTTATTGACTTTTTGATTGAATGAATTGATTGATTAATTAAAAAAGTAACATACAGTCGATGATTCTAATGAGGCTTTTAAAGGATCCAGATAAGTTGATTTTAAAGTTGGGAAAAAGTGAGACATCATTGCAGTTGTGTCCATAATAAATATGACTTGTTTTGTTTTCTTGGTGTCTGCAGGTGACTGCAGTGCATTGTTTGCCGAGAGTGTCGCATTGTTGTTGTTGACATTATTGAAATACATCTCCTGTGAAAGACCATTACCGTTGTTTTGGTTGTTTTGGTTGTTACTATTTCCGTTGGCATGGTTATTGTTATTATTGTTTCCATTGATTCCTTCAATATTGATATCGAACCACTGTTGTTGTTGTGGTTGTGGTTGCTGCGGTAATGATGGTTGTTGTTGTTGTTGTTGTTGTTGCTGTTGATCCAATGAATGATTGATCTGCTCAACAACCATGTTTGTATTCGGAATGTTGGTATTGGTTGAATACGAACTCTGAGGTGGAATACCAGTGTGACTGGTATACTGTATTGGTAGTGTAGTCACTGTTGACATGTTTTGTGGTGATGGTGGTGGTTGTTGATGTGTTTGTTTGGTTTGTTGATTTAAAATACTATATACAATAGAGTACTCTTAATCTTGCAGTCACTGTTAATTCTCCCCTTTTTTAACAAAAGTGGTTCAATGATAAGCAAGATCTACTGGTAGTAGTGAATCCAATCTAATCTATCTATATAACTTTCGATCGATCAATATTCACTGACTTGTTTTTTTATTTTACTGTTAATTGATTGATTATTAAGTTGTTTGTAGAGTGTGTGAGAAAGAGAGAGATAGTTTAAGTTAGTTTATATATATTTATATTTTTAAATGATTTTTTAAGGTTGGTTGTTGGATTATGAAATAATAAGCATAGCAATAAATAACTATTAAACAAAACTAAACAAAACAAAACAAAACAAAATAACTAAACTAAATGAAGAATGAATAAACAGTGACAATCAATGTAAAATCGATTAAAATAAAATGTTATTGTCAATCTAAGTTATCTAATATGTATCTATTTTTGTCAAAATCGACATTAGATTGTATTATTCTCTGATGATATTGATGTAAATAAATAAAATATTCTTTTTGTAATTTTTTTTTATTGACTGTGTCTTTTTTTTTTTGTTTAGTTTATTTTTTTGTAATATAATATTTTTAATTTATATATATTTATATTTTGTTTTGGTGTTTGGTGTTTGATTACTATTATTATTATTGTTGTTTTGTTTTGTTTTGTTGTGTGTGGGTAGTGTTTTGTTTTTTTATTGTTTTGTTTTGTTTTTTTTTAGTTTATTTTTTTGTGTTGTTGTTTGTTTTTAGATTATTATTGTTATTGTTGTTATTATTTAATTATTCTTATTTTTTCAAATTTTACCAATTAAAAATAATATTATAAAATGAATGATGAGTATTATTTAATTCTGTTTTGTTTTTTAGTGTGATGACAGGTTTTATAGTAGTAGTACTGACTGAGAAATAAATATATTATATTTTTTTTAAAACAAATTGGGTGGTGGTTTTTTTTTTTTCTTAGTTTTTTTTTTTTTTTGTCTTTTTGAAAAAGGAAAATAAATTTATTGTTGGCACCAAGCAGGTCCATTCACTACTATTTATATACTATATGATAAATCAATCATCAAAGAGTGCTCTATTGCGAAAACTTTGGTGTCTCTATTTAATGAATAAGTTGGTGATTTTCCTTCATAAATTTCCGATGATTGTTGATTGTGTTTCGATTGATTACTGATTGTGATTGATTGATTGATTGAACGAACTAATGAAAATAAATGATTGTTGTGTAGCGTCAAATGATCTTAAATCTTAGTTTAAATTAAGATTTATATAAAATCAATAAACTTACATCTATTTTTTTTGTCTTTAGAATAGAGAAATAAATAATATATATAAAGAATAAAGTTATAAATTGATTTCTTATTTTTTGAGGAGGACAAAATATATATAAATATCAAAAATAAAAATAAAAAAAAAAAAAGAAAAATCAAAATAAAATTAATCATGATTTTTGCAGATGCAATCAAACAAACAATGGGTATCATTATTTTTTTAATTTTCGAAAACTCCTGGTTTTAGCATTTTTAAATGGAATATTTAAAACTTGATTCTATTTTCTTTTTTATTTTATTTATGAATTGCAATTATGATTATTATTTACATTTTAATGTTAAGACTTGATATAAAAATCAAAAAATAGAATAATTAATATGAAAATTGATTGATTTGGACCAAATGATGATATAGCTTTGTTAAAAAGGCACCACTTCACAAGTCCTGTCAAAACAGTCAATTGAAAATTTTCCATCTTTTTTCAAAATCGGTGGATTAGGATAACCTATGACACCGGGTGTTTTCAAGCCAGATCCAGTGTTTACTATAACTATTCTATCGGAATGTTTGATTACACCACTGTCAACTGCCTTTTTTACGCCTGCAACCGCAGCGGCACCCTCTACACCCAAAAATATACCTTCTCTCTTTGGAACATCTGTGTACATTTCCAGGATTTCATCTTCTTCCACCGTTATAAAATGACCATTTGTTTTCCTAATTATACTTATTATCTATTATCATCATTATTAAGGTTATTATATTATATTTTAAAGATAACAAAAATGTTACTCCTAGTAATAAAAATATTTACCATAAAATCACCAAAACTCTTTGGAACTCTCATACCGGTAGCAACGGTACTCGCACCTTCAAAAATAGTACAATGGGTTTCATCTTTATCATAGGCTTCTTTCAGTGGAGAGCATCCTTTTGCTTGTACTGAAATAAATTTCGGTAAATTACCTTCTATCCAACTGTTGTTTATAATTGTAAGCGTTCCTGTTAATATTGACAATGTAAAAAAACCATAATACCAATCAAATCTTTGAAACATACCCTAATTCCTTTAGTTCTAAAAAAGCTTTATAAATTGCAATCAAACCAACTCCACCACCAGTTGGATATATAATTACATCTGGAAATTTCCATTTTAATTGTTCTGCAAGTTCAAATCCCATAGCTAAGAAAATATATATTTAGAAAAAAATTGAAGTGGATTAGAAAAATGTTGTTTAGTTCTAACTAAGCATTGATAAACCTACTTTTTTTTCCTTCCAATCTATATGGTTCTTTTAAAGTTGATACTTCAAAGCATGTTTTATCTGTTTTTAAATATTCTCCAATTATTTTGCCACAATCATTTATTAATCCATCTACTAATACAACTTTTGCGCCAAAAGCAATTGATTCCTAAAGTAAAATAAACAAAAAATAATTAAAATGAGTTTCAACATTGTTAAATTAATTTCCAATGATATCTCAAAATACAATACCTCTACCGCAGACTTTGTTGCATCTGTTGGCATTGCAATGATTACATCAACTCCACCTCTGGCGCCATAGCATGCCCATGAACTTCCAGCATTTCCATTGGTTGGAAGTGCCACTCTTTTTACTCCGAGCTCTTTGGCTCGCGATAGAGCAACCGACGAACCTCTGCTCTTGAAGGTGCAAGTTGGCATCTGACTTTCATCCTTTATAAATATGGTATCGACACCGAGATACTTTTCCAGATTGTTGGCTCGTATCAAAGGTGTCATTCCTTCGCCCAGCGACACAACATTCTCTTGGCTACGCACCGGTAGCAGCTCGTGGTATCGCCAGAGTGAAGGTTCTCTTCCGTCCAACATAGACTTACTCCATACCTTTGAGAGTCGCTCAATGTCGTATTTAACCATCAAAGCCATTCCACATTCTCTACAAACATTTATAATTCTTAAGAATGAAATGAAATATAATTAATTAATTACCAACCAGGTGGAAAAATAAAAAATATAAAAATAAGTTTTTTTTTTTTTTCGCACAGTGAATGATGATTTGTTTGCAGCATGTTGTTTTTTTTTTCGTAAGATTGTCAGCAATCCATCAATATCAACACGCTAACTACTCATTTCTTTCTCTTTAAAATATTTTTATAAATACTTACTGATCACAATTGTATGTAGTAGAACAACTTGAACATTCTAAACAACTTATATATGAGAATATGTTTCCTTTCATTTGTTTTTTTTCTTGATTTTAAAAAAAAACTGATCTTAATTCTTATTTTTATATATTGATATGATATTTGATTGGATAATAATGAATTAATTTAAGCTATATATTTAATATAATATCATTTCTCTATTTTAACTATTTACTTTAGTTATAATTGGGACCAGTGATGAAATCTTGTCTTTTTTTGTTGCTTTTTTTTTAATACTCTTAGTTTTTTGGTCAAAGCAGAGCGTTACACAATTCAAAAACTTGTAAAATTTACTAAAAATAAATATCTTTGTTAGATTTTTTTAATAAAAAATAACCTTTGTCACAAATATAAACTTATTAATCAGTTTTAATATTAACTGATTCAGTTTTATTTGTTATAAAAAGTCAAATTTATTTAATGTTATAACTAACTTTAAAATAAACGTGTTATACACATAATTAATTTAACCTTTTAAAAAAATTAATAATTAATTAATTATAACACCAAAACAAACAAACGATTTTGTGTTTAACAACCAATTCACTAAGGATTTGTAAAATACGATCTCGAGTTATAACACAAACTGTTATTATTATTATTATAATATTTTTATTATTATGTGGTTGGTGTTTGTGTAGTTGTTGTTGTTGTTGTTGTTTGATTGGTCGTTGTTACTGCTGCTGATTTTCTATTCACTTGTAGGAACGAAGATATTTTTTGTATTGCAACTTTACCACGATTCGATTTCTTTTGTGCGACACGCTCCTCACGTTCTTTTCTCTCTTTTTGTTTCTTTTCGATCGCTGTCTTTATGAGTGTGAATATATCGAGTTGCTTTGGTATCTCTTTGAGGTTGATGTTCAGCTTCTTCAGGTAGGTCAAATCGGGCTTGAGGTTTGCAAAGTTGATATTTTTCAGTGCTTGTTTCAAGCCGAGCGGATCAAAGTCGCGAACACCGCTGCGGATTGCCTCACGATACGCCGCCAAGATGATCATGAATCGCTCGGATTCCTTATCGATTGCTTTCTGCGTCAGACCTTCACCGTCGACAAAGAAGAACTCACCGAAACACTTGACCATTCCGTCGATTAGATCGAGCTGTTGTGTCGTCAGTTCGAAATCGTTCTTCTTCTTGGTTGGGAAGATCATCTCGTCGAGCACACTGATGATGCCCGACCAGAGACGCTTCAGTAGCTGCTTGGTCAGCGGGTAGTAGAGATACTGCGAGAAAATCTGAAGTTTGTTGGCGATGTACTGTAGCAGTGGAGTCAACTGAATGGAAATCGGAATGTTTTGGTTGTTGATGTTGGTTAGTTGATCGATATTCTTTTCGATCTTTTGGAAAAAGTCGACGACTACGTTCTTGGCTTTGTCGGACGGGTCGATGTCGACGATGCGGTAGATCTCACCGACTATAACCGGTGCGAGACGGTCGTATATTCTGTCGACCAAAGTATTGACGTTGTTCTGAATGGCAACATAGGATTGCGATGACATTTCGTTGACGATCGACGCCGAAAGCTGGTAGGTGTCCATCATGCGCAGCAACACGGCGATGAGATCTTCGGTGTGTCCAAGACACGCTTGGATATTGTTGAATCGCAGTGAAACTTTCTGGACTGTCTTTATCAGCTCGGGCGAAAGTCGGTCCGTCAGCTTGAAGATGTCGTCGGCAGCGGCATCGAGCGCAGCCAAGCTTATATTCTTGATGACATTGGTGTAGTAGATGACAGTCTCTGAGATGACCATTGTGAAATTGCTGAATATCTCAAAGAGGATGTGCTGTCCATTTTCGTGTTGCTTCTGCAGATCCTCCCAACGCAGACTCTTTATCACATCGAGTGCGTGGTAACAGCCGAGTAGAACTTCACCGACCGACGCCGAGTGTAGAGTGTCATCGCTCACCGGTGTCCATGTCTCACTCTTACACAGCTTGTCTACCAACTCTCTTAGCTGGCCAGCAGAGTGAAGTGTCCACTGCAAAACACATTGCTTAAACAGTATGGCGATGGGCAACAACTCGCCACTGGGATGAACATCCATAAACTTAACGGTGAGTTGCTTCAACTTGAAGTACAGTTCCAAAAACTCTGACAGCTCCTGTGGATTATTCGCTCCTTTGGTTGTTAGCTCATTGATCTCCTTGGACAACTGACGATTGAACAACTCAATCGATATCAACAGGATGTTACATTCACTAGGGAAATCACGACTATAGTACTTCTTATCTACGTCGAGATTAAACAAAAGAATATCACAAACTCTGACTAGACAAGCTGCTTTTCCTCCAGTGTTTTGTGTCTGTGCTGCCGTCAGTGATTCGGCCATGCTCAACGCACATTGATAACGCTTCTGATAGAGATCTTTCAAGAGATCCGGTAGTGGCGGCAACTCGGACAGTTCCGACGATCTGAATAGATAGTAGACATCGATCAATGTCTTCATAGCACCGGGTGGATTGTTCTGTGGAAAAACAGACTGGAAGTTGAATATCCAATTCTTAAAGGTCGGTGCCAGTCGCTCGACTATGCCGTTGAGTATCTTCTCCTCTTCAAGCGTCAGTCCAATATCACCAAACTTGAAATCGATAATGTGTTTCAGCAAACCTCTAATCTCTGCAATGCATTCGAGTGCTGAATGCTCAATAACAATCTTTGTAAGATGTTCCAACAACAAGAGTTTACTTGTAGATTCGAGAATTCCATAGCGATCGGCATACTCTTTCAACAACATCGTTGATTGTGTTGAAAGAATCGACGATGATTTCGAACTATCGATATTGATAGTTAGTTTCTTCTTTTGAGAAGATTTAGTTGCGGTCGTTGCTGTCATTGCCGTACTGTAGTTTGCTTGTACCTCATAGTTGATCAATCTCTCCAATAGGATTCGGTAATAGTTTACATGGTTGGGAAGTGCCGTAGCGACATCTGGGAAAATGAGGTAGTGGAACTGAAGTCGGATGTCACCACTGATCTTTGAGCGAGAGGATCGCTTCTGAAGTTGATACCAATTGACTTCGCGCTTTGTGAACGCCATCAACTCCTTTGCGGTGAACTTGTACTTGCCAAGAAAGTGATCTTTCTCCTTGGTGTCCCACAAGCTAAATTCAATCTCAGAGTTCATATTCAACTTGGTGATGTGGAATGAGAAGTGCTCTTTGAATACGGGATTGACTCCACTCGATTTCTTTGTGCGCTTTTTCTCGCCAGCAAACTCCACTTCCACCACTGGATCCAGCTTGGTATTGCCTTCCTTTAGGATGAGATCGCGTGCCTGCACCACCTTTATCGCTATGACACCGAGAGTGTCTTTATCCTTGTGTCTGATGCCCCAGATCGATTTCAGATATTCTTCGCGCGGCTGTATCAGAGGTGCGACTCTCTGCAGCTGTTGCTCCTCGTGCTTCCGCCACGACTGGAAGTTCTTCTCGCTCTTGAACGCCGCGCGACTATAGAATGGATTGGCATCGATATTGATCTTTCTACACTTCATCTGGTGCAGCAAGAACTCCTTGCAAGACAGCGACTTTGCCTTGAGATAGGCGATCTTCTCTTGGTAGCTATCGAGCTTCATTGCCGCGCGAATAATCCTCGACTTTTCGAGATTCTCAACGGAATCCACAGCCATCGAGAGAATATAGTTAAACTTTTGTATGCTATCGTTGTAGAGCGAACTTTCAATGCCATTTGCACTGCTGCCGCTTCCGCCACTGCCACCGCCACTGCCGCCGCCGCCGCCACCACCAGCATGTTGTAGTCGCCTGGCATTCTCTGTCAGATGATTGGCAAACGACTTTTGAAGATAAGCCAAACTGTATTGTGATTGATCACGCAAACTATTGAGTGTTTCATCGATGAACTTCTCGAGCGACTGCGCTAGAATCTCAAACTGCTTAGAGTCCGACTCTGCTTCCTTTCGCGCCACACCCAAGTAGTAAGAAAACACCTCGTTGACACACGACAATATCGATTTGATAGTCGATGGATTCTCAGTGATCATCTGTACAAAGTAGTTGTTCATCGATTGCACTACCTCTCTCCTATAGGTACTAACCGATGTATTCAACGGATAGAACAAACAATAATGTATATTCTCAAACACCTGTATACTGTCTTCGATTCCAACCGCTGTTAATTGACCTGTTATCACTGGACTAGTAACTAGCTGTTGAACAGCATCTTGTTGATCGAATTTCAATGTCTAAACAAATCAAAACAAATCAAAATAAATCAAAACCAAACAATTAGATAAGATATGTTATTGTGATAATCTATTTCTACATACTAAATCTTTTGTATAGGATATCTTTTTATCGGAAGTAGTTGTCCACATTGAGAATAGACCTTCTTTCGATGCCTTAGCAGTAAAGTCTATCTCTACACGATTCTTTACGAGTGGTGTAACTATTAGGTTTATTGTGGGTACTGCCATTGGTGGTGATGACAAAGAATGACTCGATGGTGACAATGGTGACATAGGTGTTGTACTTGCACCGCCATTCGGTGAAACACCTCCATTTACACCCTTTGAGTTTGGTGATGATATCATCATTGTTGTAGATGATGACATACTTTATTTATTGTGTTAGATAAATAGATAAGATAGATAGATCAACTACTAAACACTAATCTACTAAAATCTAAATACTGATTCGAAAAATAAATAAATAAAAATAAATAATGATACAAATAAATTGAATTGAATTATAATGAATGATGTTTGTGTATTTTGAAGATAATAAATAACGAAATAAAAATAAAACAAAAAATGTTTGATTTGTTTTTCACCACCTTTTCACACTTTACAATCAAATTAAAAATTTGTTGGTGATTTTGGTGAATGATGTCTTGTCTGAAAAAACCAGAATTTTTTTTTGTTGTCATGATTTGTGAAAAAAATCCATCCACGGTTTTTAAAGTGGAAAAGGATGGATATTTGTTTTAAAAATTTAGAAAATAGGAGAAAATTGTGTTTGTTTGTTTGTTTGTTTGTTTGAAAAATTATTATATATATATTTTATTAAAAAAAAAAAGACTATTCTCTATTTTTTAGTTTTAGTTGGTGTTTTGGCTGCTGGTTTACTGGCGGTTTCTTTTGGCGAGACGATTGGTGATTCTGTGGATTTCTTTACTGGCGATCGTGATCTCGAGCTGGAAGATGATCTTGAGAATGAACGGGAACGTGATGCCGATCTGGAACGTGATTTCGATGATCTCGAACGGGAACGTGATCTCGACTCGGACGATGATCTGGAACGTGATCTCGAACGGTCTTCGTCGTCGCTGCTGTCGTCCTTGGACTTGTCGTCCTTCTTGGTCTTCTTGGGTGTGGTGATGCCTTTCTTGACACGGTCCTTGTGGTAGTTCATGTGCTTTCTGATCTGCTCCTTGGTACGTGTCTTTATGTGATCGAACAACTTGTGAATACGATCGATGTCGCTCTCTGGATACAACTTCAATCCTTCAGCGAGCAACTCCTCCTCCTTCTCTGTCCAGACACCCGAGTTGATACCGGCTGGCTTTGGTTTGAGTTGACGATTCTTCTTTGTTGGAGTGTCGGTAGTGCTACCGTTGGATTTGCTGGACTTGCCGTTGGCAGTCGAAGAGCTACTGCTGGAAGAAGTCTTTTGCTTCTTCTTGGTGTCTTTCTTCTCGTCGGCCGAGGATTCGTCGTCGGAACGATCTCTCTTCTTTGGGTCGACGAGCTTCAACTTTTTCGAAACGATAGACTTCATCTTATTGCAAGCAGAAATAATATCCTCCAACTCTGATTCCAAGGTTGTCAATTCCTCCTTTGAAATTGGAGTGTTTACTGTTGATGATGATGACTTTGATTTACCCATATTTTATATACCTTTTTAAAAATAAAACCAAATTTTAGAAAGAAATAATAGTTATTAGTTAATTGATAATTAAAATTTATCAGTCGTTCGCCAAACACAAATATAGCTAAACATGTCAAAAGAATCTGTCAACTTAAATATCTGACACCATCACACTTCACACACCGCTAAAAAATAAAAACATCAAAATCGCATTTTGGTCTAAAAAAAAAAACAAATTAAACAAAAAAATATAAACACTTGTTTCCTAAATTTCACAAATAAACTAAACTCTTTAAAGAAAACAAAAGAAATAGATAAGATAATAATAAAAAATGATTTAATCTCTTACCTTTTTTAAAATATAAAATAAAATAATGTTTTATAAAAATTTAAATAAAAAAATAAATAGATAGAATTAAATATTTATATGTATATATATACTATTATGTACAAATAATTAATCTAAATAGTAATAGTTTAATTATTGATTATCTGTGTAATTGGTTGTTGGTTGGTGTGAAAGAAGAATGAAAGTTTTGGGTGTGCGTCGCGAGAGAAAGTTGTTGTTGTTGAGAAGAATTTAGAGGAAGATTAGAAGGGAGCAACAACATCGCTTTTTTTTGAAGGTGGAAACATAAAAATTGTTTTTATGTTACCACAGCACCACACACTCTTTCCAAACAACAAACAACAAACATCACGCCGACAACAGCAGAAGCAAGTCACCAAGTCATGTTGAATTTCAAAAAGAATTGGAAAATAAAGGTAGTCTGTGGCGACATTTTAGCAAAAAAAAAAATTAGTTTTTTTTTGTTTCCACTTGCTGCCAGTGCTGCGTGATGTTTTGTCTGTTGCTGTTGTTTTTTTGCAAAATGTTGTTTTTAAATTTTTCAATGACACAAGACTGGTCACTGCGGGCGGGTTGGTGGGTTGTGTGGTCCAAAAACTAAAAGGCGGATTTTATCATCTAAAAAGAAAGAATTGAAAAATAAAAAACAAAATTCTTTAATTATTATTTGTTGTCAGTCCAATCCAATGCAATTTGTCATTTGTTGTTGTTCAGGAATCGATTATTTAAGATTGAATTGTTTATGTTTTTAATTGAAGAAATTTTTCTTTAATTAAAAGTACTATAAATGAAAGAAAAGAATTTACCATCACATTATCACTTAGCTAAGCTAATTAATAATGAGTGCAGAGTTAAATATATGCATATCGATTGATTGTCTTTAAAGAGTTTTTAGCTTTCTTCTTTTTGTTCTTTGTTACTTTGTTGATGATACAACTAAACTAGTTACCTATTTGACTATTCCTTCGTGCATGAAAATGCTCTATTTATTAATAGGTGTTTTGTTATTTTCATAAATATTGAGTATCACTATTATATAATCTATTCATCATCTTTTGAGAGTTTGAATCATTTCTTAATGCCAAACTTGAATGGTACCAAATTGTAAATAAAAATAGACATCAATTAAATGAATTTTTTGTTTGATAATCAATCTATCTTCATTGTATGAAAACAAAAAAAAAAAAAAAAACAAAATAAAAGATAATACTAATAATATTAATGATTTAATTAATAAAAAAAGATGTCAAATATTTGAATTAATCTTATATATATATGGTTGTATATTATATATGTATATAAATATTTATACATACATCGAAACAGGAAAACACTCTGTAACATGTTATAGAAGATAATGGGAAAGAACTCAAAACAATCAACCCAGACCATCATCGTCAATGAACAACAACAACAACAACAATAAAAATAAAAATAATAATAATAATAACAATAATAACAATTACAATAATAGTAATAAACAAAAAGAAAAGAGTAAAAGTTCAAAGAAAGAGAGAAATAAGAGGAAGAGAATTAGTAAGAGAGATAGACAGAGGAATAGTCAAAATAACAATACTACAACAACGACAACGACAACATCTCCAACTATAACACCACCGACAACCGGATTATATACAAGAGTTCCTATCAATTTAACAATGCAAAGAGATACTTTCACTTATGATGTCGATGAGGATGTTGTCGATTTGGATGTTCTAGAGTGTTGGTCTCCACCTACATCATCAGCTTCACCTATGTCATCGTTTCAATCGGATTCAAGGAAAAGAAAAGACAATGATCATTCATCTGCTTCCAATGATCCTACTAACAAGAGATCGAGAGTATCTATTGTAGTGGATGTTTGTGATTTAACATCGACATTGGATGACTATCAAGACAACGTTGCTGATCACTTTTTCTATGACAATAATGATGATGATGATGATGATGATGATAATGGTGATTATCATTCTGCTTCAAACACAACAACCACAACAACCAACAACACCAATACCAACAGCATCAATACAAACAATTCAAATACAGTTTCACAAATACCAGAAAGAACTAATACACCACCAAAACCAACTACAACGACAACAAAAGGAGTAGAATCAGTTTCATCATTTTCATCATCACCACCACCACCATCATCATCACCATCATTATCATCTTCTTCTCCGACAGTGACAGCTAAACCCAAAGCGATAGTAAAACCTACAGCATCGAAACCAGCGGCACCAACCATTGCTTCAGCCATTAACAAAACTAGTCCTCTTGTTCAACCTTCTACTTCTCCTGCTCCTCCCCCAATATCGTTGGTGACGACAAATACAACAACAGCAACAACAACAACAGTTTCAAAACAAGCTAGCAATACACCTCCACTTAATGGTATTTCAAAACCACCAAGTAAACCAAGCAATACTACTACTACTTCTACGACTAGTAATAGTAATAGTAGTACAAGTAATAATAGTGGTATAAAGAAAAAAGAACCACAACAAGAAGTAAGACTAAAGATTTCAAAAGAGAAATCAGATTTTGTAAAATCTTTGGAGAAGAAGGGGTCAACAACAACGCCAACAACAACGCCAACAACAACAGCAACAACAACACCGCCAGTAGTATCATCACCCACAATTGAATCAAAGACAACAACATCAACAGCAACACCACCATTGGTATCATCACCAACAATAACATCAAAGACACCAACAACGACAACAACCATAGCTACACCTACATCATCGCCAATAGCAACAACTACAGCAGCAGCTACATCCTCACCAATAGCTAAAACTACATCATCGCCAATAGCTACAACTACAACAACAACTACAGCAGCTACACCTATAACTACAGCTACAACTTCACCCTCACCAATAGCTAAAACTACATCATCGCCAATAGCTACAGCCACAGAAAGTTCCAACGCAAATAAAGCAGCACAGGTTTTGAATCAAACAAAAGAAACATCTCCAATTTTAACACCAACCTCACCGATTATTACTACACCACTGTCTAGCTATCATGCCGACAACAATTCATCAACTACATTTGCATCTGCACCTGCACCTGCATCTACAAATATAAATATAAATGCGTCATCAGAGAACGTTAAAACTACAATAGCCATATCATCGTCAGCACAAGCAACAGTACCGACATCAATAAATCAACAGGTAGCACAACAGCAACAGCAACAGCAACAACAACAGCAACAGCAGCAGCAACAACAACAACAACAACAGCAACAGCAACAGCAACAGCAACAGCAACAGCAACAGCAACAGCAACAGCAAACAAAAACCACTCTCAGTTCCAGGCGCAATACCAAAAGATTTACCTCAATACTCAACGCTGGTGATACCAACACCGAAATCGATACTCGATTCGGTAACTGATTTCTTTAAAATAACAACATCAAAGTCTACACCTACTCCTGCAGCAACAATAACATTCACTCCAAAGCCAGCAGCAACAACTGTAACAGCAGCAGCAGCAGCGGCATTAGCATATCAAAAGTCAGGACTGCCATTCAATACAACAACTACAACAACAACCACTGCCACTGCCACTACAATGAATACCGCACCTCCACAAACAAAGCAAGTGATATCAACACCACCACCACCACCGCCACCAGTACTACCAACACAAACAGTACAAACATCTGCACTGTACGATATGATTAGAAGTATGCACAATAAGACTACCACTAACACACCAAAACCTTTACAATCCAATCTTAGGTACGACCCAAACAAGAATTTGGTTGGTAGTGTATATAGTGGCATCTATGACACTGACACATACTACTCGAAACCAATAGCTTCAACTCCGACTGGTGTCCCATATTCAAATCATCAATTATATACCTATAATTTACTTAGAGCAAATACACCTATTCCAATAACAACAACAACAACAATAACACCAACTGTATCGAATCCACCAATACAACAGCAACAACAACAACCAACAACATGGCATAATATGACACCAATATATACCAATGCACATATACCTCAAGCCACCATTTACAATCAACCAAACATCCATCAAAGCCATATCAATCAGCTGCCGCTAACAATTAAACCACCACAACAGCCACAACAGCCACAGCAATTAAGATTACCAGCAACAGCACCATGCAAACTACCAGCTGTTCCAGAACAACAACAGATAAAGCCACAAATACAGCAATATCTAGACGCACAATCACAGTTGCAGTTGCAACATCAGCAGCAACAACTACAACAGCAACAGCAACAACATTTACTACAACAACAGCAGCAACAACTATTACAGCAGCAACAACAGCAACAACAACTATTACAGCAGCAGCAGCAGCAGCAACAACAGCAACAACAACAACAACAACAACAGCAACAACAGAACATGACATATGTTCATGAATCACAGAAAATACAGTTCCAAATTGTACCACCGTTCGCACAATCAAAATCACATGCTGTTTCTCCTCAATCACAAATACAACTTCAATCACCTGCACAGCAACCACAACAACAACAACAACAACAACAGCAACAACAGCAGCAGCAGCAGATCCAAATCACACCAGTAATCACACAATCAATATCACATGCCGTTTCACCTCAACAACAACAACAACAGCCACAGCAACCACAACAACAATCGCCACCACAACAATCACCACAACAATCGCCACAACAATCACCACAACTATTACCTCAAACACAACAGCAGCAACTATTGCAAGTTAATTCGGTACGACAACAACCTAAATCACCTCCATCTGATCCTCGACTTAAAAAATCAAGACAATCAGGACCTATAACGAATACAACAACATCATCACCAATCCAGACACCAAATTCAACAACAATGCCGAATACAACAACAAAAACAACAACAACACCACCTATACAGACACCAAATGCAACAACATCACCTATAGAAACACCAAAGATAATAACAACAACAATATCAGCACCTATAGAAACACCAGAGACAACAACAACAACAACAACAACAATATCATCACCTATAGAAACACCAAATCCATCAGCACCTATATTAACAAAAACATCTACACAAACACCAAAGACAACAGCACCATCACCTAAAGAAACGCCAAAGACAACAACAACAAGCTCAAGTACAAATTCTACAACACCAAAATCAAATGTATATGCGTCACTCATAGACTCAAAATTAACTTTAAACAAAACTACTCTAAACCCATCGATTTCAACTCAAACACCTACACCTACTGTGTCTACAAGTCCAACATTAAAGTCAACACCATCCAACAACCTTTCCAACACCACTACCACTACCACAACAAAAGCATCAGATTCACTTAACAAGGTAAAGCCAAAGTCAGCAACCAGCAACAGCACCACCAAAAAGAGAAAAGCAAAGGAACATGATGAATCAGATGAAGAAGAGGAGCCAAATTCATTTGGTAGACAAAAAGATAAAGATGGCAAATACATATCACCACCAGTGAGCAAGATCGTAAAAGGTTTGACCAGAGATCAGCTATACGACTTCTTCTCATTGGAGATACTTCAACAATTTTGTAAAAAGAATGATATACCATACTATGACCAAAGGAAATCAAAGTTGACCAAAACTATTGTTAGATTCTTAGAAACCGGAAAGAAATCATCTTCATCAACAACAACACCACCACCAACCTCTACAATCCACAAACAACCACCTGTAGTTGCAGCAAAACCCCATACATCTACAAAAACAGAGTCTGAGAAAGAGAAAGAAAAAGAGAAAGAGAAGGAGAAGGAGAAAGACAGGGAGAGGGAGAAAAGGACAAAGGCAATCATTGAGAAACTCTTCAAACCAACAACAAAAAAACAACAACACCAACACCAACACCACCACAAACAGAATCAAGAGGTACTCAGACAGATACACTACCAATAGTAACACCAATAGCAACACCAACAGCAACGGTAATATTACCTCCGCAACCAAAACAACCACAATTCGATCCGGAAAATCTTCAGAGTGAAATCGCCAATATGTACAAATTAATAGAAAAGATCGAAACCTTTAAGAATACTTTCGAGGTACAAGAGTCGAGCTGGCTTGGAGAGATACTAAAGATATTTCAACAGATCGGTAATCAATATCAAGTTGTCATGGAGAATGCCAATCAAAATCAAAAGAGATATGACTTTGCAATTGAAGAGCTCACATTCATTAAAAATCAACTATTACAACAACAACAACAACAACAACAACAACAACAGAAGACACCATCACAACCAACGACTACTACGACTACTAATAATAATAATAAAAATAACAATGTTGTTACAACAAACAATAAAAAATAGGAAAAAAAAAAACTAAATTTTTATTTTTATTTTTATTTTATTTTTGAAGTTTTGATTGGACCAAATCTCATGTCTCGATTTTTAGAATAATGACACTTCTGTTTTTGGTAAAATGATCGATATAATGATCTTGATTTTTTTTCAATGGGCATGAGAACAACAAAATTGTAAAAAAGTCTATTATAGGCATCTCATATCAACTATATTTACATATTTGACTATACATCAAACCATCGATTGATTACCCTGGTGCATGGTAGACCATGATTTGATAAAAGAAGTATCTAATTTATTTTAATTAAAATTTTTACAATTGATTTTTTTTAATTTTTTTGACACCACACCACCTAAATCGAACCTCAATTAAAAAAACATCAATTCATTATTTTGATTTTAATTTGTTTTCATTCATTCAATTCGAGAACTAAAATCAACTTACCTATTAACTCAATTTTGAATGATTGAAAAAATAAAATTAGTAATAATTAATAATAAAAGTTGTAATTATAATATTAGATAAAAAAACAGATAGATATTTAAATAGATATATTTTATATAGAGAGAGAGATAGATAGACATTAGAGAGATAGGATGAATTCAGTGGTTGTTGGCGTTGCCAGTACTACTGATGTAAGTAATAAACTATTAAAATCACAGTCAGCATCATCGGCTGACGATGAAGTCGACTCAAACTCGGCGTCTTCACCTTCATCTTCATTAACTTCGACATCGTCAACTTCTACAACATCCATTCTCATAAATGAAATCAATAGTAATCTAGTTCTAAGTGATGAGAATGGAATAGATGATCAAGATATTGATTTTGATGATAATAATAATAATAATAGTAGTTATAATGATAGTAGTAGTAATAATAATAATAATAATAATAATAATAATAAACATTTAACATTGATATCACTTCCAATTGAAATAATAGATAAGATTCTTCATCATTTGAATCAGTCGACACTCTCAATTCTATGTATGGTATCACACGAGTGGAATAAGATCATCAATGCACTCTGGCACACAATCGATCTTTCCAAATCACATCATCACTTTACGCATCTTAGTACAAAGATGAAAATGTCTATACAATCACTCAAGAGAAAGTCTGGAAATAAAAACAACAACAATCTACAAGATAATGAAGAGTTTCTGGAACAAACAACTAGCTCTTCATCATCGTTATCGTCATCGTCATCATCATCTTCAAATCAACATAAAAAGAAAATATCAAGTTTAGAATCGATAGTAAACAATCTGATATCAAACTATGGATTTTTAATTCCTGGACTTGGCGCTGACAAGTCACCACCGATCTTTCAGCGACACAATAGGAATCTGTTGAAAACAAAGGATGCTCAATTGAATATCTCCAATCAGTTTGATATGCGCACCCAACAGTTCTTTGTCGATATGAGTCAGCGGTATCAGCGCGTTGAAGTGCTCGATCTGAGCGGGTGCAGCGACATCCGCTTGGACTCGCTGACCCTACTGGTCGACCGCTTCAGTCCAACCCTGACCAAGCTGGTCACTCGCCGCTGCAAATCCGACAGCATAACAGACGAAGCGTTTGCTCGTGTCATCCAGATGGCGACGAAACTTCGGTGTCTGTGTGTTGGCGAGATGCCGCACGTCGGCGACCGGACTCTGCGCGCCGTCTGCGAATTCACACCACAAATGGAGTCGCTCGGACTCGGTCGTTGCTACAAGATGACCGATCAATCGATCGTAAGAATGTCGAATACACCGTCGATTCGCGCCAAACTACGAATCATCGGACTGAATCATCTCACTCATTTGTCGGACGCGGCAATCCGCCAGTTTGGAACGAGCTGTCAGAATCTAGTGATATTCAGTGCGAGACAACCTCCGTGATCTCAGCTCCGATACGATGGCATCGATTTTCATGGCTTGTCCACACTTGGGATCGATCGATGTCGGTGGTTGCGTGAACATCGACGACACCGCTCTCGAAGCGATCTCCATCAACTGTCTGGAGCTGTTCCAACTCAATGTCAGTCGCTGCAAAAATCTCAGCTCCCACTCAATCAACCAAGTGATATCTCGTTGCAAACGACTTCGCATTCTCTTTCTTTCGAGAACCTCTGTCGACGACGATTGTCTCTTGAACGCACTAGACAATTTAAATTTAGAAGTATTATATGCAATCAATTGTTGTAAGTATACTTTAACAAACCTTATCAAATTAATCATTCATTTCTAATAATACTCATTCATAATAATATTATTTAATTATTGCCGCAGCTAATTTATCAGAAAGAGTTGTTCAAACTCTATTTAAACTAGGCAATGAAAAACTCAGTAAAATGAATATCAATCTTGCGCTCTGTCCGAACATTTCACAATCTCTGATTTCCATTCTACAGCATCTAACAAAATCAAATACATCAACACTGGAGGATCAATAAATCAGATAGATAATAATCATTAGTATTTTTTTTTTATAATTGTCGGTTGAAACATCAACAAGCTTTGCCATTGTTTTTTTTTTTTTTGGTTCCAATTGTAATTGAATTCAGGGAGCGATCATCAAAATTTCATTCATTTTTTTTTTCATCTGAAACACAGGGTTTTTGAGAAAAAGTTCATAAAAAAAATTGAAACTTCACAGATTATTATGATGTTATTCTCAATTTTTAATAAATTTTTATTTTCTTTTAAATAATTGAACCATATAAAGACATTGAAATCAATGAGTTAAAATAAAATAATTATCATAGTAAATATTAAAAATTTAAACAAATAATTTAAATTAAATTTAATAACTAGCAATCGAATCAATCAGATTTAAAGACAAGAACCTTTTTCACACATTTCATTGAAAAAATAAATATCTTGTTTTTTTTATTTTTACAACATTAGATCAAGATTTGTCGAATCATCTAAAGTCAACTCAATTCAAAAATAATTAAATTCATAAAGTTTTAATTTATTACATTTTTTTTTATATAAATAAACTTTTTAAACAATGATAGAAGTATCAGAAGAAAACAACATCAACAACACTGAAGAGGGTATTTCAATCAATGGTGTCGATGATATTAAACATGTTTTACTTTCATCGAAACTAACATTGTCAAATGCCAACCAAATTTTTAAATCACCCTTAAAGGATGAATTTATTGTAACTTTTTATATTTTATTAACTACAACTGGTATGTTTACACCAAAAATCTATAAAAAAACAAACAATTTATAATTATTAACATTTCTTTATATTTAATTTATTATAGATCTACATTCAACAACAAAGGTATTGTTTTTAGTTGGATGCTTTGAGAACAAGTTTTATGATCTTGCAAAATCATTACTTGAAACCGAAAGATTTACATTTGTTGAGATCCTCAAATGTATCAAGATTTTGGATTCCAAACGTGCTTTGAAAGCCTTGAGAAAGAAGTACGATGCCATGATAACCAAGGAGGCTGAGCGTCAAAAGAGAATCAAGGCAATCTCTGATGAGTACTTGAAAAAGAAAGAGGAAGAAAAGAAGAAGGATGTTGTTGATCAAGATGATAATAATAATAATAACAACAGCAATGTAAATATAGTCGAAAAGAAAGAAGAGGAAAAAGAATCAGTAGAGAAGAAGGATACTGAGAAAGGAAAGAAGAAGGAGAAGAAGAACAACAACAATAATGAAAAGAATAATAAGAAGAAGGCTATCAATGAAAAGAAGAGAAACACTAAGACAGCAACAGTAGAGGCAACTGTCACCGAGGAATCAAAAGCTCTGTTGCCAGTTGAGGTACAGAAGAGTGTAGATAAAGTCAAACGTGAAGCAAAATTCAAAAAGTGCTATGAGAGATCAAAGTCCAATATGGAACGTAAGATAACAGAGTTGGAGCAGCTGTTCTGCACTGCTTCCCTATGTGGTAGTGTTTCACGTATCTTTAAGAACTGGTTCAAGACTATCACACCAAAGACTCTCGAGTACTTTGCTTTGGGTCAACCCAAGGAGACTTGGAAGGAGTTGGCCGATCTCCTCCACTTGTCGCCATCGGACTTCCAGATCCCATGGTTCCTTGAGTTCATGTTTGGAAAGGCTGCTCCCGAGGGATCGTCCGTTCACGACTTTGACGACGCCAAGTCACGTGCCGACGCTGGCGAACTGGTAAACTATGTTCCGCTGTTGGAGAAGCATCGTCCACCCTACAGCTTCTTGCGTAAGCGTTTGACAGAGGACGAGTTGAAACCTCTGAAAATGCAGATCGCACAATACGAAGATATCAACTTGGTTCTATGGTGGTTCCACGAGTTCAAGGATGTCAAGGGTATCAACCAATTGGTTGTGCAACGTGTCAACACCGGTGACTTGACACTTGCCTATGGAACCTTGATTGAAAAGACAATGTCACTGACTGAAGATAGCAATCCGGCAATGAAACCAATCTTTGATTCACTCTTGAAGGCAACTCTCACCAAGTTGACCAAGTTTGCCACAAGATTCTCGCTGCCTCCACCCATTGCCGTGTTTGGTGACCGTTCCGGTTCGATGGACATTGCCATTAGATTGGCAACCATCATTGGTTACTTGGTGTCGAATCTATCGGAGGGATCGAGATTGTCGTTCTTCAACACCGAGGACATGGAGGCACCGGTGCCACCATCTTCCATTGGTCAACTGTTCAAGTTGACATCACTTGTCACTGCCGAAGGTGGAACTGCACCAGCCATTTCATTGAAGCCATATCTCGATGAGAAGAAGCCATTAAAATATGTCGTAGTTGTAACCGACGAGGAAGAGAATCAATCGGTTGATCGCATGGAGTTTGCAGCCATGTTTGACAAGTATCGTCGTGAAGTCGCTCCCGATTGCAAACCAGTGTTTGTATCATTCCTTCGTTCCAATGCCAAAGGTTACATGGTCACACAACTCAAGAGAAACCATCAAATCGATCCAATCCAGATAGTATTGGATCGTTCAAAACCAGATGTAACCAAGATCGATCAAATGCTAACTGCACTCTCTTGTGAATCTCCATTATTCAAAAGTATGTTTAAGAATAATAATGTATAAGAAACAAAAATAACTAACTAACATTAACTTATTATTATTATTATTATTATTAGCTCAACATGAATTGTTAACAAAGGTATTCAATTTGTTTGATAACAAATTCTTCTCAAAGTATATCTCTGAGAATAAGAAGAACTTGTTTAGCTATTCATTCAATTCAGAGATTGTTTTGATGATTCTTAGAAATCTATTTGGTTTCTACTTGAAGAAGTTACCTGCTGACGATGCAAACTTGTCGTTCTTCAAGGCAAGAGTATTCAATGAGTCAAACTGTCTTCAAATGATCAATGAGAATTTGAAGCAGTTGCTCGTTGTTACAAAGCAATGTGAGTTGAACTCACTCGTTTCGTTTGTCGAAGAGGCAATCAAGACATTCAACTCACTCCAACGTCAACAATCGGTTGAGTTCCTCGACAAGCTGTTCAACTCACTCAATAAGGATGTTCTTTCAAGACCTGCTGACATTGCCGCTGCCAACAAAGTACTCTCAATGGATAGTGATTTGGTAAACAACAACAACAACAATAACAACAGCGATAGTTCTATTAAAGATAGTGAAGAGCTGTTAGAGTTCAAAGATAAGTTGGTATCTGGTGAACTGACAATTCCAGAGGCTGTACGTATGCTACAGAATAGCTATGTTAAGGACAAATTCATTCCGGTCTACTTGATGTTGCTCAACTCCATTGACTTGGTGTCAAAGGTTAAGATCAATGTACTTTGTGCTGCCTTTGAGTGTAAACTCTATACTTTTGCACAGTTAATTCTGTACAACAAGAAATATGGTTTCAAGGAGGTGTCAAAGGCAATCAAGGTATTGGATTCTGGTCGTATGGTTAGACAATTGCAGATGAAGTTGGAAAAGTGCAAGCTAAATCATGACCAGAGACTAGAGAGATTGAAGAAAGCATCCGAAGAGTACTTGGCAAAGAAGAAGGAAATTCAAAAGGATGAGAATAATAATAATAATGACGACAGTGAGAAGAAAGATGAGCAATCAACTACTACCACCACTAGCACCACCCCAGCCGAGAAGAAAGAAGTAAAGCCAAAGGGAGCAGCTAAAGGTAAAGGAAAAGGTAAAGGTAGAGGTAAAGGAAAGGGTAAGGGTAAGGGTGCCGATGGTGATAAAGAAGATGGTGAGAAGAAGAAGTTCAAGGAGAAGTTGAAGAGCGGTAAACTTACTCCGCTTGAGAAGAAACAAAGAGAGAAGATCTTTGAGGCAAACTACGAGAGTTCTATCAAGGCAATGGAGACAAAGATCGAGCAGGCAAAGAAACATGGATCCAACGGTAGTTTGTCTGGTAATATCATCAAGATGTTCAAGAAGTGGTTAAAGACATTCCCAGAGAAGGCTCTTGAGTACTTTGCTTTGGGTCAGCCAAAGGAGGTATGGCGTGAAATGGCTGATTTGCTCCATCTCTCTGCAAAGGACTTCCAAGCCGATTGGTTCCTTCCAAGTTGCTACAACAAGGAACACACCGGTGAATCGATCAATGCATTCGCTCCAACTGATTTGTCAGACGAGCAATTGAAGCAATTGATTGTAAAATACAAGCCATCGTACTCTTATATCCGTAAGCGTATCGATCCATCGACAATGTCGGACGAACTACGATTGATCATTGCCAACTACGAAGATCTCTCGATTGTTCTCTGGTGGTATCACGAGCTTGCCAGTTTCGACGTGGACAATGCCATTGCACGTCGTCTTGCCAACAACGAATTGGGAGCAATCTCACTTGGAACTCTGTTGGAGAGAGCCATCCATTTCCAACAACAAGGAATCCCATTGTTCAGAGATATTCTCCCGATTATTCGTAATGCATTCGCAGTGTTCTCCAAGAGAATTGCATTGCCACCACCCTTGATGACTCTGGGTGACGCCTCCAACTCCATGGACGTAGCCATTAAGATCTCCACTATTATCGCTTCTTTGGTAACATCGTTGACCGATAACGCATCTCTAAGATTCTTTAACCATGCACCGTTGTGGGCTCCACTCGATCCAACATCGTTGACCGATGTCTTCAATGTTGCCAACATCATTCAGGGATCTGGTTCCACCTCGCCAGCTGCTGGTCTCTATCCAATCTATGAGAACGGCCAGGTTCTCCGTTACTTGGTGATGGTAACGGACGAAGAAGAGAATTCCAACTATAAATCCTACAACTTCCTAAAGTTGTACCAGGAGTACATTGCCAAAGTTGCACCCAATTGTAAGTTGGTATTCGTATCGTTCTTGCGTCAGAACGAAGAGGGACAAATGACAACACAGCTCAAGGAGGCAGGAATCGTTCCACTTCAATTCTGTTTGGACAAGAATCGTCCCGATGTCACCAAGATCGACGATTTAATTACCACTCTCTCCTGCCACAGTGACAGCTTCTCACATCAGATGGATGCATTTGAGTATATGATAAAGTTGTTTGGTGAGAAGTATTTCTATGGATTCGTTAATAGCGATAAATTCTTTGTTGAATCGTACACCTACGAAACATTGGTACATATCCTCGATATTTTGGCAAAGTTTGTCGAGGGATCGCTCATCGACGACAACAAGAACCAGGAGTTGGTTGACAAGCTATTGGAGCTCACCAACAAGCGTGACATGATATCGATCATCACTGAAGTTGTCAATAAGATCAAGTATTCGAATGGTGTAGAGCAGTATGAGCAACTTCAAGAGTCGATCGGCCAAATCGAAAAGTTGCTGCCATCCTCCAACTCTGATATTGCTATCTTCCAACAATTCGAGTCGATTGTCAACCGTATGAAATCAAATGTCAATTTGTTCAAGACCACAACCGAGCTGAAGACAATCAAGGAGCAATCTGAGGTTGAAAACAATAACAACAGCAAGTCTGTTGAGTCGGCTGCTGGCAGTCAAGAGATTTTCAAAGTTGGTAATATCAAATTCGAAAGAGAATTTGGAACTTTGACAGAGTACGATGTCAATACATTGTTCTCCTACGTTGAGGATTTGGAGGTCCTCAAGAACTGTTCTTTGGTGTCAAAGTTGTGGAGAAAGTGCACTATGAATCCACAACACTGGACAAGATTCATGAATGTCAAGGATATTCGTAAGTTGGACTTGGTATTTGTCGTCGATGACACTGGTTCTATGGGATCTGAGATTGCCAAGGTGAAGCAAGAGATCCAGAATATCGTTGATGATATCGTTTCCATTGGTTCCATTGAGGTGCGTGTCGCCATGGTGTTCTACAACGACCACACTCCAAACTCTGACCACAGCAAATCAGTGTGTAAAGTCTTTAAGTTCACAAGCGATATTCCAGAGCTACGTAGAGGATTGGACTCTGTAGTTGTTCACGGTGGTGCAGACCATCCAGAGGCAATGGCAGATGGATTCTACGAGGTGACCAAGTTGGATTTCGCAAAGAGCTCGACCAAGGTGTGTATTGTGATTGGTGACGCTCCACCACATGGATTCTCAGGAAGTGGTGATTCATTCCCACAAGGTTGTCCGTGTGGTCACGACCTTATCGCGTCGGTCCGTCAGTTGGTGCAAGGCGGTGTCACTTTCTACACTGTGATGTGTCGTGGAGATTCTCAGACCTATGAGACATTGAATGCCATTGCCGATCTCTCTGAGGGAAGATTCGTCCTGCTCAACAACGCTTCGGAACTCACTGAGATCATCACCGGTAGTGCCAAGGCATCGATTCTACTGGACACCATTGCCGAGGAGGTATTGAAGGAGATTGAAATGTGGCAATTAAAGATGCCTCACATTGCCAAGGAAGAAGCAATCTATCGTGCCTCATACTCACTCAGATCACGTGGAATCAAAGTCCCAAAGCGTAAGAGTGCATCGTCCTCTCCTGCCAACACCTCTTACGATAAGAGTTCAATCTATCAGGCTATCATGAAATCCGATAATCATGCTGAATATCAAGTTAATTCAGCACAGCTCAAAGCCAATGGTTCAACAAACAAGAAAAAGGTATCCAAAGCCAGCAGTGCAACAGCAACAACTAAATCTGATGAGAATCAAGTAGAGTTGATTACTATCGATCATGTCAGAAAGATTGCCAAGAAGAATCATATCATTTAATTAATGGTGAACTCAATAAAAAATAAAAACGATTATTATTAATAATAACAATTTATTCATATTTAACGCTTTTCCAAATGAATGTGATTTGTTGATGTTGTAGACTATAGTTTTATTCTGAATCTTTATTTTTTGTTCAATTAATCTAGATCAAATGAAACACAACTCAAAAACACCTCCAGTCAAATTTCATCTTTAACTTTGTCTATTGGAAATGAGAACTTTATTGTCTTTACTGTTTCAAGTTGAACTTAACCAACGAATGACACACTTTTCATTCATCTAAAAATATCATTTATTTAGATTGGATTGATTTAATTCGCAATTGTATTCACGGGTGATATTGATTCTTTGCGTCAGTTGACACCTTGTAAATAAAATAATTACGAAAAGTAATAGACATATGGATCATAAATTCAATTGGATAATCAACAGTGTTGCAAGTAAGATTTAAATATAATTTTGAGATAAAAATAATTTTCCAATCACTAACTGAAAATCTGTTACTATTGACAATAGATTTATATATATGTATTATTATTTATGATTGTTATTATAATAACAATATAAATGTAAATTATATAAAAGTATTGTCTCATAATAACATATTTAAGGACAATATTTACTGTGTGTTAATTTAATTGTCAACAAAACAAAAAAAAACAATGAGTTTGAATAGGACATTATATATATATTGATACTACTAAAAATATTAAAAATTTAATTATATCAAGTGTTTGCGTTGTTATTTTATCAGATCTAGAAGATACTCTTTTAATTATATTATTTAAATTAAAAAAGTCGTGGTGTTGTGGTATAGATTTAGGTACATTTATGTTTTTTTATTAAATTAATCTCAAATCAAATCAATTTTACTATTAAGGTGGTTGGAAAAGATGGTTATAGAAGTGTTGAACTGCATCAGTGTTTGGAATCAATTTTTTTTGAAGGAGTGGGAAATTGATAGGTTATTTATAGATCTCACACATTTAAAACATTTAATTTCATAACAACAATAACATATCCATATATATAAATAAATAAACATTTGTTTCAATAGAATGATTAATATCTGATTGGATATATTGATCTTGAAACTTATGTGGTTTCAATAGAAATATATAGAAAGATTAGAGATGGTTTTCGATTTCATTGTAATTTCTAAATCAACAAAATAGTTGTTAAAACAATCAAAAAAAAAAAATTGAAATCAACATATAGGCCAAATTATTCAAGAGAAAACATTAAGCAATCTCAGTGTGTAATTACGATTCTTAACACCACACCTATGATATTATTGTAGTTTAAAATAGATGACTTGTGTAACAACAATATTCGGATACTGAATCAAAGATGCCCAGCTTTGTCTGAGATTGAATTCTACTATAAATTGAATTAGATAATTGATTCATTTTTGTGAAAAGTTTCTTTATATATATAAATACAACTAAAAAGTTACCTTTTTCATAAATTTAAAATATTATTATAGAAAAATATGGAAATCAATCAATTTCTTAACTATCACAATTGTGTCAATCAAAACAATTTGATATCAAATTATAATTTCAATTTCTATAGTCCTTCGCTGCTGGTCTGTCCAACATCACTAAACAACCAAGTTACTGTGAAAAGAAGAAGAGGACGTCCACCCAAAGAAGAAAAGAAACATAGAACCTGTGCAAGATGTGGAACTTCAGATACCTCCGAATGGAGAAAGCCCAACAACGAGTTCCTATGTAATGCTTGTGGAATTAAAATCTCCAAACAACTCACCAAAATGAGAAAAGGTGAAAAAAGAAGAATCCCAGTTTCATTAATAATGAATTTTAGAAATTATCCAATTGGTTCGACAATTTTATATTAACAAAATTAACAAAATAATAATAATAATAAAAATATATTTTCGAAAAAAAAAAAATTATTAAGATAATTATTCATTTCATATAAATAAATGTTTTATTTTTCTCAAAATTTCTTTTATATTTAACAATTTTATTTTTGTTAAATAATATTCCAATTGATTTCAACCTAGGTTTACTAAATTAAAAAAAAATAATCATAATAAACCTGTCGAAATAATACATTAAAAAAATTGTATAAATAAAATATATCAACCAGAAATAACATTTACATGTGGTTATTTATTAAAAAATCAATGATATCTCTTGAGACTGTTGAAAAATCACAAAAAATATATAATTACTAATTTACTATTCAACAAAAGAAAGACATAAAGACATAACAAAAAGTTAATTAACCTTGTGGAAGAATTAAAAAAGGGAGAGGATAGAGAAATATCATAACCTCACGAGATGAACTAAAAAGTAAAATAACTATTCAATCGTATGATTTGTTCATGATTATTATCATATTTCAATCACATAATAGAAATCGAAATATAATAATCAAATCTTTTTATTTACAAAAAAATAATATATACAAAAATAGACTCATTATGTTAAAAGCCATCCTCTTGTAGATACTATATTACCAGTATATATTACTACTTTCACAACAAACTCATCACATACTCACTTTTATGATCATTTATAAAAACACTCCCTTCACTGTACGGCTCTGTATAATAAACAATATTGAACGAAAAAAAAAAATTAAATAATAATAATCACTTAATATAAAGATAGATAGTTGCATCCAAGCACGCACACTCTCTCATATGTGTCGATAACAACCACCGACAACAACATTAATGGCAATTATCATTCAATTGTGAATACAACCCACACACCCACACAACACACACACACACATCAAATAAACACACAAAATACATACCATTTAAACAATATTATATAACTCATCATATATATATTATTTTTATTTTAATTTATTTTATTTTTATTTTTCATTTCATCTGCAATCAAATTTGATTCAGACATTTATTAATCACATCCATACACAAATAATAAATATTTTAATATTTAAGCAAAGCAATCATTTTTCGTTAAAATTATAATTTATTTATTTTGTTTTTGATTGCTAGTTTTAATAGTGATTGATCAACTGAGAAAGAAAAAAAAAAATCAATCAATCAATCAAGAAAAATAAACTCAATAGTTAATATATAATATATATAATAAATCTTTGTTTTACCTTTTTTTTTTTGAAATAAAAATTATAAATCTAAATGTTTTCAATTACTAATATATAATAGTATAGTAGAAATATAATAGAATACAATTTTAGTTGTATAATAAAATATAAATAAATAAATAATATGTATGTATATATCTGAACTCTCTCTATGTCTGTGTCTATGTCTATGTATATAGATATTTATTTATTTTAGGTTATATAAAAATTACCGATTAGATAGGCTTAGGAGAAAAATGAAAATTTGCAAATTTAATCGATCTCATTGGATGTTTGTGAAATTGACCTTTGTAATAAATTTATCATAAATCATTAGATAATAATACATATAACCACCAAACATAAAAACAAAACCAAACCACATCCATCGATTTTACCTTTATCAAAACAAATTTGGGGCATCAATCTTTCTTTGGTTTAAAAAAAAACAAAAAAAAACCAAATTGAAAGCCCTCATAATCATTCATCTATCTATCATCTAGAAAGCACACTCCCACCTAAAATGTCAATAAAGACCAAAAAATTATTAGATATGAAAATGAGAACCCACAATGATACCATCACTACTCGTTGTTGTTTGATATTTTTTTTTGCAACTTTTGTTGTTTTTTTGATGAATGATTTTAAAGTGTTTTTATTTTATTTTTGTTTTTTTTTTTTGGTTTTAATTCATTAAAAAAATATTTAAATAAAATAAAATTGTTTTGCTTTTTTAATTCCCTTGTTTATACAACCCATCAAATTTCTAACTAACTCATACTCACCAACTCTTGCTCCTACTACCACAACTACTATAAACACCAACAACAACAATAGCTATTACGAAATAGTCTTTTTTGTTACTCTTATTCTTGTTCTTATTTATCTATCAAATAATAATTAACTATCAAAATATAAAAAATAACTAATAATAACAGCTGTATCAATAAAAGATAGATAAAATAGATAAGAAAGTCAATAGAGATTAAGATTAAAAAGAGTTTAGTCGATATAGCATTGAATTTATAAAAGTTTGATCAAAATAAAAACTAAAAATAATAATAGAAGGTGGTTTGATCAAAAACGATCGATTTGAAATACAATACATATTCGATTCGAATAAAAGTTAGAGAGTTTAGTTTTTTTTTTCAGTTCAGTTTATAGTTGTTTAATCAATTAACAAATTTGCACCAACCTAGCAAATAACAACACTTCCCACAAACACACACCAACCATTACACATTCACCTACACAACTCAAACAAACAAACAATTTTTTTTGTTTTGTTTTTTTTATTTTATTTTTTTAAATATATAAATAAAATTTTATTTTATATATAAAAAGAAAAAACAATTACATAGAATAACAACAGCAACAACAACAATACTTTAATCATATATTAACTACACACTATATACATTTATATAGATTTAAATTTTATTGTGATTATATTGTTATAGCAAATTTGTTTAATTTTTATTTTTACAACTTTTTTTTATTTTTTGTTGATACATTAATTACATTACATTTATAATAATAATAAATTTACATATCATATCACCCCACACTATAATTGTTACTTTTCTTTTAAAATTTTTATTGTTTTTTTTTATTTAGATTATTAAATTATTAAGTTATTTATCTTTGTTTTTAATTTTATATATAGAATAGATAGATAGATAGATATAGATAGAATAGAATAGATTTTTTTGTAATAATAAATATAATAATAATAATAGTAATAATAATAGTAATAATAGAATAATGAGTAATATAGCAGCACTTGAACCATTCATTGGTAAAGAAGATCCAAATGATTTGTTTGAGTTGATCGAAGAGATTGCTGAGGGATCGTTTGGTACCGTTTACAAGGGCAAGCATTTGCCCTCTGGAAATATAATGGCTGTCAAGATCATTGGACTCGACGAAGACGAAACATTCGATGATCTGGTGGTCGAAATCGATATTCTCAATAGATGTAATCATCAAAACATTGTTAAATATTACGGTAGTTGGGTAAAAGGCGATGAACTATTTATTGCAATGGAATGCTGTGGTGGTGGTTCAATCACTGAAATATATCAAGGTAAATTATTAAAGCAAAAAAAAGAAAATCAAAAAGTATTAAAAATCAATCTAATATATATATATATCTATTATTATTATTATTATAGAATTAAATGTACCATTAAATGAACAACAAATTGCATATGTTTGTCGTGAAACTTTGAAAGGATTGGAATATTTACATACTCATGGTGTTATTCACAGAGATTTGAAGGGTGCTAACATTCTCTTGACCGAGGCAGGTGATGTCAAATTGGCAGATTTCGGTGTCAGTGGACTTTTAGATAAATCTAGTAAACGTCTTACTTTTATTGGTACTCCCTATTGGATGGCTCCAGAAGTCATTGAAAATAGAAGCAATCAAGTTCCATATGATACAAAGGTATATAGTTATATTTATTAGAATAGCAACAATAATCTATATAAAAATATTAATATTTGAATTATAATAATAATAATAAAACAGGCTGATATTTGGTCATTAGGTATTACATTAATAGAATTGGCAGAAGCAGAACCACCACTCTCTGAAATTCATCCAATGAAAGTATTATTCCAAATTCCATATCGTGATCCACCAAAATTAAAGAATCAAGAATCCTACTCAAAAGATTTCATTAATTTCATCAATCAATGTCTACACAAAGATCCAAATCAAAGAAAGACTGCATCTGAATTGTTAAAGGTATAGTAGTTCAAAAACAATTCTTATGATAACACTATTTTTAAAACAACAAGCTAACAGTGTTTATCATTTTTTTCTTCAATAGCATCCATTTGTTGCAAGATCATCAGAAAAAATTATTATGCACGAATTAATTCAAAGATATAGAAAATTGAGATTGGCAGAGATGGAAATGGCTGAGGAACCCGATGAAGAACTCGATGACGATTCCGACGATAAGGAGGATGCTGATAAGAAACACTTAAGTGTTCCATCCAATGGTCACGTTGCCAATCCATCACCTCCTTCTTCACCAGCAGCAAGCAGATCGATCAAACCAAACGCATCACTGAAATCCAAGCTGAGAGAGGATAGCAGCGGTGATCTCAAAGCAAAGATTGACAGTAGCGGTGAACATTCAGTCAAGAAGCCAGTTGGTGCTGTTGCCACCACTAACGGTGAGAGCAACACCAATGGTCATGTCACCGTCACCACTACAGCAACTACCACTGCCACTACGACCAACACCGCAGGACAGAAAGATAGTGGTCATGCAACTGCCGCTCCATCCACTAGCAATGGAAAGACTGCCGATGGACCAAACTCTCGTTCACCCGATATCAGAACCAATCGCAAGGCTGGCCGTCCTGTCACTATTCGTAAGACAATGGAGAAGCGTAACGAGGCAATGAAGAAGGTTGTCAATGGTAAATTGATGAAGGAACAACTCAAGTATATCAAGTCGCAACAACAAAACCAAAAGAAAGAAGAGGAAGCACAAAACAGACAGCAAGCCAAGGAGAAGGAAGACTTACTCAAGCAGAACCAACAACGTGCTATCCAACAACAGAAACAGAATGGCAGTCGCGATGAAAAGGTCCAGAAGCAACACAAATTGGAGCGTGAGAACTTGCAACGTCAGCAAAAGGTCGATCGTGAGCAGCTCTTGAAGAAGAATCAGTCCGATGGAAGAACACAGCGTTCAAAGACCTCGGATCAGCAGAAACAACAACAGAAGGAGTTCAAAGACCACCAGAAGCAACAACAGAAGCAAAAAGAATCAGAGTTGAAAGATCACAACAAGGGAATGGACAAATCCACTCCAAAGAAACTAACCAAACACATGGCAAATCAACAAAAGATCATTCAAGGACACGAAGTTTTCATTCAGGATTTGATCTTCCAACAGAAACAGGACTTCCAAAAGCTGTTGGATGACCACCAATTCTCGACTCACAACCAACAGATTGAGAACAAACAGCAACTCGATCAACTGGGATCATGGCACAACCAACAGAACCTGCAGCTTGCCTCTCAACACCAGAACCAACTCGATGGCTATCAAGAGTATCACTCGACGCTTCGTGAGAACATGTCGCTCGAACATTTGCAATCGCGCAACCACATGGAGCAACACCATTCTCTGGAGATCTCACAACTGAAAGATCGTCAGATTACAGAGACTGAACAACACAACAAGCAGATGAACAACGAACAGCGTAATCAGCTCAAGGAATTCCGACTTACTCAGACCAAGGAGTTGAAGGAATTCCTCACCAAATTGAAGCGCGAGCTCAAAGAGGAGAAGGGTAACAAGAAGCAACTGCAGATGCTGCACAAGGATCAACGTAAGCAATTCGAGTTGACTCTCCAAACATGTGACACTGAATTCCAAAAGAAACTGCAGAGACAACGACAAGAGGAAGATGAAGTTCTTGCTATTCACCAACAGGAAGCATTCAACCGTCTACAAGAGAAACAAGCCGCTGCACTGCGTGAATTGGACGAACAATTTGCACAACAGCGTAATAAATTTGAACAGGAGTATCAATTTGGCGAAGAGGAGATTTTGATTGACCAATACAAAGAGAAGCGACACTTGTTGAAACAACAACACAATGAACAAAAACAGATCTACCAAGAGCAAATCCAACAGCAATCTCGTTTACAACTCGAACAATTCAAGGAGTCGCCATCGCTGCTCCAAGAACACCACACCAAGCAGAAAGAGGTACTCGAAGAGCAAAACAAGGAGCGTCTCTCCCTGCAGCAAGAGGAGCACAGAATCCAACAAGACTCTCTAAAGAAACAGGAGCAAAAGAAGAAAGGTGGTGTAGTCACCGATCTTCCATCGACTCTGGCCGCCATGCAACAGGAGCAATCGAATCAACTCCAGATTCTCTCTCAACAACTTCAAAACGAAATCGCAGCTATGCACGAACGTCACCAGAAGGAAACAAGCGCACTTGCCACCGATCAACAGAAGCAACAGGAACAGCTCGTCGTCGACCAGCAGAAACTCCTTCACGATCTCACTGAAGAACAAAAGAAGCAGACACAAAAAGTCAAGTCTGAGTGTCCTTCTTTCAAAGACAACGGTCAACACAAAAAGAAGACTGGCGTCCCACTTTCAATTCCAGCCAAGTTTATCAGTGGCAACGGCAAAGACAGTGGCAGTACACCAAGCAACAACATCAAACACAGCAGATCATTTTCAACTTCATTACCATCATTCAAATTTGATACAAACAACGGCAACAGCAGTCTACTCTCCAATAGCGGTGGCCACGAGAAAACTCACAGCCACAACCTTAGTAGCAGTAACCTGGCTCACGAACAATAGTCATCCTGAGGAATAGTATCATATATTTTTTTTGGAACAACAGTATATATTATAGAGAAAAACAAACAATCAAACAAATTTTTAAAACAAAACAAAAAAAAAACAGTTGTAGTTTTTAATAAATATATAACTCAATGTAGTATTATTATCAAAAAGTTTCAAAAAAATAGTTTATTCATTCATATGATCATCCAAAAGTTGTGTGAACTTTTTTTTTTCTGTTTTATCTCTAAACAAACACCAAAAATTTAATTTTTATCATTAAAAACGAATTATTTTATTTTTTTATTATAATTATATTTATCATCACGGCAATGAAATTTGATCTCTGGATTCAAAATTGACCAATGAAATAAAGATACCTCCTCCATTTTCTAGAGATTAAAAATGGAGATCATTGGTGACACCTTTGTTTTCATTTATTTGAGCTGAAATATTTTTAGTTGGCGCCAAATCCTTTATTTCTTTTATTTTTTTAACAAGTTTTAAACACTTAGAGATATATTACCATTTAAGTACTTGAAAATAAAATACATTATGTGGTTGAACTGCGAGATGAATCAATCGAGATGATCATTGCATATGATTGTCCATTTTTCCTGAATTTTTTTATAAAAAAAAGATATCTATATCAGGAAAGAAATAAATAAACACCATATTGTTTGTATTTAGTACAAATACCCCTTTATTTAATTATTATTGTTAGCAAATATGGCGGTTTTAAATTGGATAATTTAATTATTGTGTTCCGATTTATGGATGACCAAAAAGATAAAAGATTGTTATTTTCCACCACTACCACATCTTCCTACAGTAACAACACATAATAATCAAACACAAAATTTATCATTCTAACTAAATTTTAACTTTAAGTAATAAAATATTTAAAATACTCGTTTTAAATGAATGTCTTGTGGTTATTTTTTGATAAAACATAATAATTTTTTAACACTTTTTATTTTTATTTTTATTTATAGTGGAGTTGAATCGATAAGGTGTGTTTGGATTTTGGCGCCAAATAAATAATTGACCAACTATAACAATAATAATGAGAATCATAAATGATGATCACTGATCATTTTCCAAAATAATACATTATCGAAAACTGTGGGATAACAGATACGGTTCGCACATATCATATCGTATTATAACCCTCAAAAAAATATTATTCTGTGGATTCTGAAAGAAGATCACACTACACACATATTTATTAATAATTTCTCTTTATCTAATATTAAAAAGAATGTTGATGATAAATGTATAATTATAAAAATTATCACCAAACTTTCATCGTACACGGTATTAACTTTGATTGGATAACTACACCTCAATCAATAACAACAAATGTTTACTAGGGTAACATCACATTAAAACCATCATTCTTATCCTACTGATTCAACACACCTCAAGAAATACCACGAGAACAACAATAACAATAACAGCAATAGCCACAATAACAATAATAACAATAATAACATTTAATTTTTATTTAATTTTAATAAAATTCCTCATCCAAAACACAATATTTTTCTACTATTTAATTCGATACTCGACAAATTATGATCAAATCAATTCAATCCCAACAAATTTTTTTATACTCTAAATTTAATAACTTATTACCATAATTGAATAGTAAGTCAAAATTTCCAATTAAATTAATAATAATAATTTTTTAACACTTTTTGATTTTATTTTAATATAGTATAATTATTTTCATTCAAATGGAACACGCAATCTCATCATTCTCCAATCTATCAATGAATTACTCTATGATTAAAAATACAAGAAATGTTCCACTGCCAAATTTCGATGAATACCAACAAGACTATCAAACACCAATATGCCCAGGTGCTCCAATTAAGAAATATGTTCCTATTGAAAGAAGAGGAACAGCAGTCCCTAGAATACTTTTTACTTAATATGCTACGATTTTATTATCAAATAATCCGTTTGACTAGTTTTAACAAGTTGGAAATTCCTCTTTACTTCGTTCTTGAGAAATACCAGACCAATATAAGTATCCAGCCCCGACTTCAATTTATCAAGTCTTCTCAAAGTGTAAACTCTGGATCGAATATCTCAGACAATAATATTATTTCTGAAACTTCAGGATTAGTATTGTTTCAAGTTATTAAATAATTTGAAAGAGTTAATCAAAAGATAAACTTTATAAAATATTGAGTACTTTTATATATAATATAATAAAAGAATCAATAAAATTTCAATTGTATATAAAATTTCGATTTTACAAATATTGTCTTTATTGATCCTATTAAACTAACAAAAATAATGTTTCTTTTTTTTTTAACTTTACTAAATATTTATTTGGATATACTATAAATTTTTAAAAGGATATTTCTTTTATTGGTAAAAATCCTTCCAACTACGTGCCACCACTTTATACTGTTGTTCATCAACACGCAACTACTGTTTGATCTAGATTCCAATCAGATTTAAATTTACGCGTTATTGCAGAGCAATCGACAGTGATTCCTTGGGAGATAGAATTAGCGATTGTGAAGTTAAGCTAGAACAGGTTAAACCAGTGGATGACTCTAATCAGTTCATCCAAGTTCCTGGGGAAGGCACCAGTATCATCAGCGAACATGAGCAACTTGATTCTTTCGAGCGGTAGATACTTCAATACAAATCTCTTTTGCTCAAGTTTGATTGGAGCAGAACAAGGTAGACCAACAATATGAGAATCGGCGATGATCGCTCTCACCAAACACTCAATCGTGAGAACAAAGAGAGTAGGAGAAAGGGGATCACCTTGCTTGGTGCCCCTATTGATGTTTTTTTTTTTTTTTTTTTTGCAAAAAAGATTTGTTGACTCATGATCAGTCAAAAATTGCAGGAATTGATATTAACCTGCTAGTTCGTGTTTTATATTATATATACATTCTCACACAGGCCGTGAGAAATAGACAATAAAATATTATTATTATTATTATTATTATTATTATTATAATTCTTTATAGTTATTATTATTTAATTAGTTTAGTAGTATTAGGATAGAATAGAAGCAAAAAAAGATTTGTTGACTCAATGAAAAGATCAATAGGAGGTCGTAGATTTGCTTTAGAGTGGGTGGTAGATCATTTTTTTTTTTTTTTTTTTTTTTAAAATTATCCTTGTACTACCATTACTGATAGTCAAGGTGTAGAGCTTGATATTACCCTACAGTTCGTGTTTTTATTTATTTATTGTTGGAGCAGTTCAGCCACAGGCCGGCTGAGGTGGCCATCATTTTGAGAAAGGGATGATGTTCCCATTGATTTGGTTTGGCAGACTGAGTATTTAAGCCACTTAGAATTCTAAGCGGGTACGTGTGTAAACCACTCGGTGTTCACCTATGATAAGCCTGCTAGTTACTGTCGGTGTCAACTTCATGGGGTCCAAGATAGTATTGAATACTAGATTAGTACGTGGCGCGCTCCTTTCAAGTCGGGAAAATTTTTTGTAAAAACCCGGGATCGATCCCACGACCCAAGTCCTCTAAGGCTTACTAATGGACCAACTTGGCCAAAGAGGCTTGGGCGGTAGATCAACAGTATTAAAAAAAAAAAAAAAAAAAAAAAAAAAAAAAAGTAAATTATGCGCGCAAATGGTGTGTTGCTTTTTTGCAAAAGTGTTTAGCATCTGGAAGTTTCGATCGACCGACCTGTGGGTTATGGGCCCACCGCTCTTCCTCTGAGCTAAGATGCTTTTTTGATGAAGTTCTTTTTTATTTAAGAAATTTTTAGTATCGGTCGTTAATATTTTTTTTAAAAATTTTACTTCGAAGTAATATTAAGAAAAATTATTCCTATCTTTTGACTACCCCAAAATAAATTTATTTCGTGTTCTTAAAAATGTAACGATTCTTTAGCCAAAAAAACAAGTATTCAAAAATTTGTTGAGTCACTTATTCAATGAGTCATCATCTTTTGCACAGATTAAGTGATTTTTTTAACTATAAATATAAACATGTTTTAGAACATTCATATTCTTATGATGAAAGTAACAACAACTTTATTACTTACTATCATTGTGGTCAATGCATTAGTTTTAGTGGATGGAGCTACGCCCGTACCGTTGAACAGCACAAACTTTGATGATTTTGTCAGCAGCAATTCAAACAAAGTCGTTCTAATCGAGTTCCACGACCGTTGGTATTTCAATTCGGGATTATTCCGCGGTTTCAATAATCTTATTGAATTGCTGGATGAAGATCTCATGGTATTTGGTCGTGTGTGCTGTGACTGTGATGGCAATGAAGAACTCTGCAACCGATATAAATCTTCCAATGACACCTACATGCCACTGTTTCAAACATTCAATGTCAATCAAAAAGATCAACCCGTACCTGTGACAATCAATATAATGGAATTTCTCACGACTTTCCTGAAAAATCAGTATTCGCAAATCAAAAATCAATGTTATGATTGTATTCTTTGATCAATAATAAAAACTAAATTTTTTTTTTGCTCAAAAAAAAAAAAATCTAAGAGTCAAAATAAGGTTATATTTGTTATAATTTGATTATGATAACAAAAAAAAACAAAAAAACCTACAAAAACCAACTTATTTTAAAAAAAAGAATCTACATCTCTGAATTTCCTATTTTATGTATATATTTTACCATTTAAATCATTTTCATTTATCTCTTAAAAAAAAAAAAATAGTAAAAAATAAGATTAATATAAACTTTGAAAAAAAAAAAAGGTAATATTAAAAAAAAACAGATCGTTTTTTTATTTTTGTTTTTTAATTTTTTTCCATCCAAATTTTCTAGTGTCATCAATAAAAACACACCTAATTAGTTTGATTGACAATCAAAAATTCATTGTACAAGTTTATATCTTATCTTTGCAATAATATATAAGATCTTATTATATATATTATATATTTATATATTTTGTAAAATTATTAACAAAACTAAAATTTAGATTTGTGTGTAAAATATTGTTATTTATTTACCGATTTATTTTGTAAAGTTAAATATATTTGTTATTTCCTTCCTTCTTACCTACCTACATCTATTACCATTTTTCTTTTCAAATAAAAATTAATGTTTATATAATATATAATAGATTTAGATAGATAATAGATTTAGATAGTAGATTTGTAAAAAAAAAAAAAATAATATAATAAAATAAAAAATAATAAAAAAAAATGTCGTTGAATTTAAAGACTATGATTTTATTGGTTGGTGCAGCGGGTGTAGCGGTGTTTGCCTTTCTGATGACCTATGAATTCGTAGAGCTGATCATCAATCTAATGTATACGTGCGTCTTAATGATAGTGGTTGCCTTCTTCTATCAGAATCAACATAATGCAAAGTCAATCGTTGGGTTCCTTTTAGATATTCAATTCGATGATAGTTCTGCTGCTGCTGCCACTGGTAACAAAGATAAATCAACTTCAACATCTTCAACAGACCAATCATCATCATCATCATCACCTAATCAACATTCATTCTCAAAGCTCAATGGAAATATTGGACAACATAGAGTTGGTGGTGTTATTTCCTCTGACTCTAGTGCCACTGAGATGTCATCGGTCGACGGTAATAACAACAAGAGAAAGTCCGATAAGGAGATTGTAGCGCAGTTGTATGAGCAGATCAAGGATCTGAATCTGCAGTTCTTTACGGAGCGTGTCAATAGCGACAAGGAGAAGTTGGCACTTCAGCAGCTTCTCAAGACTGTGGAGGCGGCCGCTACCGACGCCAACCAGGAGCGAACAAAATGGAAGGTTGCTGCCGAGCAACAGAAAGCAAAGAACACCGAGCTGATAAAGGAGCGTGATCACTTGGCGTCGCTAGAGTCTCGTCACCAATCAAAGTTGTACGACTACGAGCGCAAGGAAAAGAATTGGAACGACAGCGAGAAGATGTTGGTAAAGAAGATCTCAGAGTTCAAAGACACCATCTCACAGCAAAAGAAAGACAACGAAGAAAAGACAAAGCGTATCGGTAAGCTAGAGGATCAACTCGCCAAACTACAGAAGCAACTACAGATCAACGGTGTGCAACTCAAAGAGTTGCAAGTCATCCAGCCAAGTATGAATATCGGTGCTACCATTTCCACTTCTCAACCAGTGTTGTCGTCAACTCCATCTAAACCGATTGTCGTTGTAGAGCATAGCAAGCAACAATCATCATCATCATCATCATTGATGGTCGAACAACAACCAACTACACCAGCTACTAGCAGCGCTATTCCAATTATACAACCATCACCTGGAACCTCACCAAATGGTGGAATTCAATTGCCACCACCTTCCATTGTTACAACATCGACCATCACCACTATTTCAAATACAACCGCCGTTTCCATGAATTCCAATATTACACTGAGCTCGAGTAACAGCGCCAACAGTTTGTTGGCGGGAATTAGAGATTCCAGTGAGGATGAAGACTCGTCGTCATCGTCGGTATCCTCATCACCCTCAGGCGAAGCACCAAAGCAACTAAAGAATCTCTTTAAGAAGGTGAAGCATGGATCGACAAAGATCATAAACAAAGCGCAGAATCACCTCAACAAACAGTTCCACACTGACTTTTTCACACCACCCACCTCTTCGTCGCCCAACAAGGATAGAAGCGACGTCGAGCGTGACATCTTTGAAGGATTCAACACACCGCTCAAAGAGCCATCTACAGCCGCCGTACCCAAGGAGAAGAAGGTTATGTTTGATGCTAACGTCGAGAAGGAGATCTTTGGTAATGGTACCGATATTTTCAAATCGTTGCAACAGCCATCGGACAATGGTGCCGACCTTACAAAGAATATTCCCGATATATTTACATTCGACGAGGAGAGCGATAACAAATCGAATGAGGCAAACGAATTCTCTGATCTACTCACCCAAATTGGTGTTGGCAGTGGTGGATCATCGGATCTCAAATTCAATTTCAATGAAACATTGATCTCTGGCGGTGGTGGATCCAGCTTCATCAGTGGTAGTAGCAACCGAAGCAGTACAAGTAGTATTTCCAGTGAGGATTCACTGTTTTCCTGTATCAAAGAGTTCTCAATCAAAGAATCGGAGAACAAAGCTGGATTGCGTCGTGCCAAGAAGAAACCATTGACACCCAACGCAAATATGATGGAGGATGTATCGTTTGGTCAGTTCCCATTCAACAATAACAGTGAGATTGCTTTGTTTGGAGTTTTCGATGGTCATGCAGGTCGTGAAGCTGCCGATTTCGCAAACACTTTGTTCCCAGCGGAAATTCAAAGACTGATCAACAGCAAACCAGAATATCTTGAAAAAGCCGACATGACCGATCTCTTTATGACAGCATTCGCATCGGTCGACAATCAAATGCATGAGGAATGTCAATACGTAGGTTGTACTGCAACCGTTTCATTTATCTGGACATACGACGGATCACGTTATCTCCAAGTTGCAAATGTTGGTGATTCTTCTTCATTCTTATGGTAAGTAAAAATAATGATCATATCATGAATTAATATCGAAAAGAAATGATCATTAACAAGTCTATTCTTTCAATAATAACAGTCGAAATGGTGTGGCTGTTGAAATGACATTCGATCATAAAGCAAGTCATCCATTGGAGAAAAAGAGAATGATAGAATCAGGTATTACAGTTGGTGAACAACAAACCAGAATCAATGGTGTAGCCGTTAGTCGATCACTAGGAAATCATTTCATTAAGGATCAAAACATTGGAATGATAGCTATTCCTCATATTTCGAAACCAATACTCCTACAAGACAGCGATACCTTTTTAATCATGGCATCAGACGGACTTTGGGATGTAATTAGCGGTGAGAAAGCAATTGAAGTTGGTAAAGAGCTTATTGAATCCCGTGGTGCTCAATCTGTCTCATCAAACTTACTCCAATCTGCTCTCCAAATGAACGATTGTAAAGATAATGTGACAATTATTACTGTAAAAATTTATTAAAACAAACAAAATGATCAATTATCAAAACTTTTTTTTTTTTTTCAATTTATATCATTGTATTATTATTATTGGAAAGACAAATATATAAAAGTTTATCTTTCCATCATATTGTTTTTATAAATTTGACTTTTATTTTTTTTAATATTAACAATTTTTCTTTTGTTATATATATAAAAAAGATAATGTATTAAAAATACGATCACAAAATAAAAAAAGTAAATTTTAATAAGTTACATAAAAAGTAAAATGTATTTTATTAATTTATATTAAAAAATATTCTTTAATGATCTTCAATAAAAGATTTGCTACCTCACTAACTTCTGGATCAGAATACTGCTACTGGGACCCTTTGTGGTTAACGATGATAGTGATTTTGGTTACAACTGTTTATTAATTTGAATTGTAAATTGGGAACTTATGGAGAGAAATATTGATTTCAAGTATAATTGTTGTTGTGTTATTGATTAACCGTTATGAAGTGTTGGCAAAATATTTCACTACAACGAAATTCATGTTTCTAAATTTTGAAGTATTGAGAATAAAATATAAGTTTAAAAATATTGGAAATATAAACAATTACTTTATATCATACATATATCTATTGATCCATTTATAAATAATCAAAGGAGGAATTCTGATCCAGAAGTAAAGTAATAAAATAAAATTAAAAAACAAATAAAAATACAACCACTTTGTTTTGTTTTTTTCTTTTTGAAAAAAATGAAAAACAAAAACAATAATAATAACCAACAAACAAATAATAAAGTTCCACAGAATAAGAAGGCAACTGTTGAGGACTATAAAGCTAAAATACAAGTATTAGCACATAGATACAAAAGACGAGATGCAAAGTTAGGTGCCGTATGTGGAAAATATAACTGTGACCCAATTGATGCTACTATCAGAGGCCTCCGGAATATGGAAACAACCAACGCAGAAGTAAATGACATCAGCAGATTAACAGCTAAGGCACTCAATAATCTCATGTATACTGTTGGTGAAGTCATGCAAGAGCACAAAGAACTTAAATTCAAAGACGTTCGTGATTGGTATTACCCTCTTCTTGGTGAACAATAAACTATATTGTTAAATAAATATAATCGGGATTATTATTTTGTTATTCGATATTTGTATTTGTGTTTGACATATATAGATTTTATTTACTATTAAAATACACACTTGGTTGTAAATGATGTTTTTTGTTGAACACTTAAAGTATTCCTTAAACATCTTTCAAAATAAAGGCTCGATGTTTTAAAAAAATTATATTTAGTTTTTTATTAAATTCTTATCCACCCAATCAAATGGGTCAACCAAGATCGATTAGAAATTTTATGAATATATTCTTTTTAATTTAAATTATCTATATGTTATTTATTGTTGTGGAGGTACTGGGTTTGCAACAGGTTGTTGATTTTCTCTTTGAATTATTCTTTGTCTACGAATAACAAGATAACCGAAAATAATTAATAATAAAACAATAACATATGAATCTAATCGAGATTTTCTAATTTGTTCGGCTGCTTCTTCGTTCAAGTCGATATCTAAAAGTAGGTTTGCCTCTACATCGAGTGGATTGGTGGATGTTGTGTCACCGGTTACTGGTAGTTTAGTGTCGGCAACTGACGAGCTTAGCATTGGAGTCATTGGTTCGCCATTGATAAACGACAAGATATATCGATAGGCAAAGTGTGCTGCCAGGCCAGCCAGTGCCAAGTAGACGGGGATGTATGCCTTTGGCTTGATGTTCAGAGCGGTGTCGTAGTAACGCTTTGCCAAGTGGAAATCTTGTGGACGACCCTGTCCAAACTGATGCATATAGCCGAGGTTGAACGATGCCTGTGAGTTTTGAAGGTTTGCCGCTTGTTGATAAGCGTCGGCGGCCAGCTCCACCGATACTGGCGATCCTCTACCATAGTAGAAATAGTCACCCATCTTGAGGTGAGCATACGGATTCTTTTGCTCGGCAGAGTGCGAGTAGTATCGGAATGCATTGCGATCGATATCCGATTCATCGTCACCCTCCAATACACCGAAACCTTGATCGTACATCCAACCGGCGTTATTCTGTGCCAAATCGATTCCCATTTCCGCTGCCTTTTCAAAGAATATCAATGAACGCTCTTCGTCACCCTCAGAGTACAACTCTTGAGCCTGAGTGAGCACCAATGCCCACTGACCCTTTTCAGCTACCTTCTTAAAGTAGATTACGGAACTCTGACAGGTTGGTTGAGTGTGATGTGCCAAATTCAACTTTGCTAAATAATAAATAGCAGTTGGATTTCCAGTTTCCGATGCCATTAAAAAGTATTGGAATGCTTTATTTCTATCTTTTTCAACATGAATACCATCTGAATAGAAAATAGAAATGTTAACTAAATAAAATCATCCAATTATATTAATATAACAAAATATAACATACGTGTATACATTTTACCAAGATTAATATATGCATCGGTATCTTCTTTTTCAGCTGCTTCTAAAAATAATTTCAATGCATGTGCTTGGTTTTGTTCGACACCCCAACCATTAAGATACATTTCGGCGAGGTTGGACTTTGCACCCCAATGTCCTAGCTTTGATGCCTTGAGATAGTATCGGAATGCAGTGTGATTGTTTAGTGGTACACCGTAACCCTTGGCAAACATGAAACCAACACCTGCAATACCGGCTGGATACTCTTGATCGGCAGCTTGTTTGTAGTAATCGTAGGCAACACGGAAATCTTGTTCCACTCCGAGTCCACCTTGCAAATAGAGATTGGCCATCGTAACCAATGCGTTTGGATCACCGAGCGATGCGGAATACTTGAAAAAGTCAACGACCGATTCCTCCTCGTTGTGCGACTTGGTCACTTGATCCTCATCGATGAAACGCTCCGCTTCAACATGATAACCGAATCCACGTCGTTCATAGTCGTCGACGACGTAGCGTGCCACCTCTTCGTAGAGACGTGCGGCTTTCATGCAGTTACGCTGTGTTCCATATCCGTAGAAGTAGCGATAGCCAAGCGAGAGCTTTGCCACCATGTTACCGGCGGCCGAAGCAAAGCTATAGTAGAGGATGGCACGTGCATCGTCCAGAGGCACACCCTTTCCAGTGGCATAAAGGAATCCAAGTGCTTGTTGAGCGTCGCTGTTTCCGAGATCGGCAGCGGCCTGGTACCATTCGGCGGCTTTTGCAAAGTCGATGATTCCAGTCTCACCCAACTCCTCCATGGTGCCAAGAGTGTACATCGCTCGGTGGTTACCGAGAGCGGCAGCAGCATTCAGCGATGTTATCGACTTTTCCATATCAATCATAGCGCCAGTATATTGGAATGATTCCTTCTGTTGCTGTTGTTGCTGTATTGGTTCATTCTCCTCTTGTTTCTTTACCAGTACGTAACCACGGTGTAATTGTCCATTGATAAACTCTTCGTATCCCGGTAGTTTATCAAGAGATTGCAACGAGAGAACCGGCGAGGTAAGAGTGTGCGCCAACATATTCTTTTCCTCGAAAGCGTGGTTCAGAAGCGTCTGTGTTGGATCCTGCTCCAGGATTCGGTTGTTACCAATACGGAATTGTTGGACCATCTGCTGTTGTTGGGTGGTAAGTCCTCCTCCCGTTTGGAATTGCAAATCCGATTCCTCCAACTGCTGTTTCTTCATCAACTCGTTGAGAAGTGCCTTCTTTATTTCTCCGGCTGGATCGTCGGTTTTCGATAGCTCCTCGATTGGAATGGAGATAAAGAACGGTTGATCACCGTCAACCACCGTTACCTTTATGTCCTCACCGTTAGAGTCGGTATCTCCATCACTATCATCATCGTCATCATTATCATTATCGACCATACTTGTAAAAGAATTTACATATTGATGAATCTTTTGTTTTCTCTCTTGTTGTTGTTGCTCTGTCAGTTCTTTCTGATTGGCATTCATTTCATTATTTCCCGTTTGTTGAATATTCTTTATATATTCTTTTAATTCTTTATTTAAATCTTCATCTTCATTATTATCTTTAATATTATTGTTGTTCAACTTTTTCTTTTTTTCTAAATATTTTTGTTTTGGTTGTTGTTGTTTTTGTTGTTTTTGTTGTTGTACATTATTTTGTTGTTGTTGTTGTTGATTTAGTGCTTTTTGTTTTGAATGTTGTTGTAAAGGTGGTTGTTGTTGTTGTTGTTGTTGTTCCTGTTGTTGTTGCTGTTGATGCTCTGAATATACATATACTAACAATAAATTCAATATTAATAAAATAAATATATATTTATATATATTTTTATAAGATGATATAAATATCATCTTTTTATATTTTTTAACTATATATATAAATATTAATAAATATAAAAAAATGATTAATAATCTTCTTTTTTCTTTCAATTAATGAAACTTTACACAATCCTTAGATGACAACTTATTTTTTAAGTTCAAAATTTGCAAAAAAATAAATTTATTTTATTTTTAATTTGGTGAGTCAGAGAATGCATAAATTGTTGGTTATTGATGACAAGACATACAATGACAAAGCAAAAACTATTAAAAAAAAATAATTTAGGTTTCTTGATTAATATATAATAGTTTGATACAGATTTTATTTTAATATGTTAATTTTAGTTAAATTGGTTGATGTGTGTTGATTGATTGATTGATTTGGTTCGGTTCGGTTGGTTTAGTTTGTTGGTGTATGGTTGAAAGAATAGTTTTTTTAGTATCGGTATGACGTAGTAAGACCCGCAATGTCATAGAATCTACAAATGGGACTGAGTGCTCTTCCTTTTAAATCTCTAGAATGCCACTCTCGTAATAGTGGTGGTTCACACTCAGTCCCATTTGTAGATTCTATGACATTGCGGGTCTTACTTCGTCATACCGATAGCTAAAAAAAAATTCAGTTGACATCATCATGTTGCTTGTTATTGTGCACGGTTGGTTGGTCTTAGGCAGAGGTATAATACGTAGCTTGCTGTATGCCCGCTCGCGGTTGGCTTTGTAGTTGTCAACGGTTGGCTCGCTCGGTTGGCACCTGACATTTCGCGCGGTTGTGCGGCTCGTTGACATTTCGCTCGGTTTGGATGGGGGTCTTGGCAAGGCTGAAGGTAACTTGCTTTCAATTACGCTCACTCGGTTGTGGCAATGTAAACGAAGCAGATAAATTCAATGAGGGTTTTCTTTTGCTAAAAGCTTCACGCGGATTCCGTTCATCTTTAGTAACTAACTAAGATATATACTAGGAATGGTGATCTTTTTGTTGGTTTGTAATGCCCAATGGTTGTAATAATAATGACTGCAGGTTGTCGATCGACGTTGGACCGAACCGGAGTTGGTATGAGATAGTGGCAATAATTGTGGCTCTTCTCCAATTCAATATTCATTTGAATTGATGTCAGGAAATGAGGAGAAGCATGACAATATAGTATTGCATATCGATATATACCTATTACAGTACCAATGGCGCATTTGTGGGTTTGTTATGGGTAGTAAACTTCTTAGGGAATGAGAGCATTGTTGCACGAGAGGCAAAAGTCCGGTTCCTTAGATATTATTGTTACGGGCCATGAACAAAAGAGACCAAGAAGGATTGCGGCGAAACCTATTTAAAGCAAACAATGCTTTGTTTCGGGCACCCAATCGGTCATGTTGTTGTTGTTGTTTTGGGAATTCAGATTAGGTACTCTGACCAACTGAGATATCCCGGGATTTAAGCAGGATTTAAGTAATTCCTGTTAAAGTAGAGTTGTTTTTTTTTTTTTGAGGGATAATAAACCCAGAAAAAAAAGAGGTTTTGAATACGAATGTCTGTCGAATAGACATGGTATTCTAATTGGTTGGAACAAGAGAGTTGTCTTACTGTCTCTGTTCCATTGGTTGGTTGTTGTTTTGGTTTGGATGGTTATCAACACGGGCAATATGTTGATATTGTCGGTGTTGATATTGGTTTCCAGCAGCAGCGGCAGCATTAGCAGCATTTGCTAAAAGGTTAATACGATCTTTCTCTTGTTGGCGAAACTCGGAAAGAATATTGTTGTACCTATAGTGGAGGTCGTGGAAGGTAATAGTAGATTGGTCTTGGTGGTGTTGCTCAATGAAGCAAACGTAGACTATCAGTAGCAAGTTTAGCATCTCCAGCGTGCGCTTGGCAGTATCCGATTTCGAGTCACTGATATCGTTGACCATAGCCAGGAAAATACCACATTCATTTACAGGAGCAGGAATATAATGAGCATCCGGAGGATAATCATCATCTTCTTCTTGATCTTCTTCTGGTGGATGTTGCAAGAATTGGTCTCGGTGGGCATCGTAATACAATTGTAGACGATCGTCATCATCATCGTCCTGGACCAACTTCTTACTGATTTTCAACCAGTCGTAAAACAGTTCCAAAGTATCTTTTGAACATACTTTTAAGATTAATTTGTCAAATTCTTTCAATGGTATACCATATGCCTAAATAATTATTATAAATTGGTTAGCATATATATATATTTTTTATTTAGCAAAAATAAATTTTATCTATTTACTTTTTTCTTTATTTTTAATTCTAAAATTGATTTGCCAGTGGAGAGAAACGTTTCAAATCTATCATTCCGATTTAAATTGATACTAGTGAATATAGATTTATCGACAATTAAATTGTTTATGTTTTGTTCCAATAAACATATAACATCTTGATTGTCTCTCAAGAATAACAACTTCAGGTCGTCATTCATTCTTTTTGAAGAACCCAATCAAACTTGATCTTCAAAAATATATAAATAATAATAACTCTTATACAAAACTATTTTATTTTTTTTGTTTAAACTAAAGTAAAGCGGAACAATGGATGTGATCAAAAACAATCAATGTAAAAAAAAAAAAAAGATTATTTTTTGGTGGAAACATGGTTTTAAGTGAAAATTCATGTGAATGGGGGTGTTTCTTTAATATTTGAGACATTAATTTATTTTTTATTTATAAATAATGATAATCACAATACATATATTTTTTTATTTATTTTAATTTTTCGATAAATGAAATAATAACATTGATTGATTCATGCGATTCTTCAAATGATACCGATTGTTGTATTTCGATGAGTTGATCTTTTGATAATGGAATGTTGTCGAGTAGATACTCAAGAGTCTGATAGAAATTCTCTTGGATAAGACCATCTACAAGTTTTACGACATTCAATGTTTTAATATCCAGGTTGAGAGTCTCTCTGTTTTCAAAGAGTAATCGAACTGCTTCGATTTGACCATGTTCAATTGAAATTTTAAGAGCATCGATAGTGCATCCCTCCGAACGATTTTCAAATAACCACTCGACGACTGGGAACTGTCTATTACTTGCCGCAATATCCATTGTCGTTGTGTCAAAAACATAGTATCTCGACAACTTGTTGAACTCATGGAGATATTTGATCGATTCGAGTTCACCGACTCTTGCAAGAGTAGCGACAATATTTTGACTGCATCGTTCTGTTGTGTTTTCATGAAGCCATCTTAAACTGTCTAAATGTCCTTTGTAGGCGGCGGAATCAGGGACAAACGTTGAGAGTTCTTCAGTGCTATTGGCATACAACCATTGAAGTAATTCTAAATTGGCAGTTACTTCAACATCCCAGGTAATTGTGACATTCGTTCGGTTTGTAAGCATGAATTTCAGAACATTCAAGTGTCCATTCTGTATTGCATTGATGATTGCAATTTTTGAACAACCTTCTGTTCGATTGTGATGGAGCCACTCGAGAATTTCGACGTACCCTTTTCCAGCTGCAATATCCATCGCCATATGATCCCAAGGTGCGTTTGTATTCTCATGTATCCATTTGACTGTATCGAGTTGGCCAGAGAATACTGCCTGCACAGTGTGTTGTATATTCCAATTTGTCGGATTAGCAGTGGTATTCTCACACACCCATCGAAACATTTCAAAACTGTGACGTGCAGCACACACTGAAAGCTGAGGGAAATACCTTACATTGTATCGTAGCAACAGTTTAAATATCTCTATATGATTATTTTCAAGTGCCAACTCTACAAGATGACTATCTTCATCCAATGATTGTTGGTACTCTCCCAGTAGATATTCAACCGCTTCAAAATGACCATTTCCGATTGATTGCCTAAAACTTTCCATAATGGTGTCAGGTGGATCATATCCATTGCATTTTGATTTTAGGAATTGCAACATTTCAACATTGCCCACAGATGAAGAATTAATAAATGCTCTCTTCAAATAATGTAGTGGACATTGTTGTCTGGATGACTCCACTTGCTCGAAAAGATACTTGAGTAGTTGTAGATTCCCAGACAGTGGTGCATTAGCGATTGCTTCATTATACATCCAATCGAAACCTTTGAATTGTTTGAATATGTACTGAACGATATCGAATCGATCACCTATACATGCAAGGAATAGATTGGAATTCAACATGCCCTTTGGATTTCTAAAGTAATTGTAGACTTCCAAAAGATAAATAAACATCTCCAAACTACCACACTTTATTGCTTTTCTAAAAAGAGAGTTTTCCGATAGAGTGTCTCTTGGATTGCTCTTGTCATTGAAATATAACTTGAGTAAATCGAGATAATTGTAAGTTATCAAAATGATTGGTTGCTTTAATAGTTGATTCCATTTGTATGCTTTAATTGGCTGACCATCGTTAATGGTGACACCTATCGATCTAACTTTTTCAAATATCAATCTGTTTAAAATCGTATTGTTAAATACTTTGGAAAAAATTGTGTTGTTCATTATCTATTTTGTTTAATTTTTTTTTTGAAAAAAAAATCATCTTCATGAAAGATTTTAAAAATTAAAAAGGATAGCAATGATAAAAAATATTTCAAGTGTTTCCAAGAATGGTACAATTTTGAGTTTTTATTATAATCTTGATATATAATTTGATTTTATTTAATATCGTAATCTAGATAGATTGTTTTATTTAAAGTTATTAAAAAATAGATCTATTTTTTAAAATTGTTTGAACATTGTTCGTCATCTTGCCAAAATAAAAAATATTTTGGAGCTCTTTCAAAAGGTAACTGTCATCGTTAGAAATTCCAAATTATAAGACATTAACATTAAATTTGAGCTTTTCAATAACAGGTGGAAGTTAGTTTGCATAAAAAAATTAATAATTATTAACATTATTTTTTAATGTTGTAATGAAAGAAGGTAATACCACTGACGTATGTATGTTTATCGGCATAAGGATTGACCAGATACCCTATGCCATACAGATATATGTCTATCATCATCCGACTTTAACTCAAGTGGTAGAGTGTTTGACTGTAGTAAGAATCACAAGAGATATCAAAAGGTTGCTAGTTCGAGTCTGGCAAGTCGGATCTTTTAAAAATATAGTATCCGCATGCGGTAAGAATAAGGATCAGTCAACAAATTGTAACGACAATACCACTTTTTCAAAATTCAAATTATTTTTCATTTTTAAAATTCCTGGATTAGCTTACAACAAAAACAAAGAATGTGAACTGTGCTTCACATACTGCTCTGACCCATATTTCCATACATTCTTTAATTGTCGAGCAGTTATGCACAGATTCAACCTTAACACCATTCTTGACTCCTTACAGCTTTCAGGTGGTCAACGATTCGATTGGACTATGGAAGACGCGTATCAGTTGGTTAGAAGAAAGGACAACATCACTACTCTCGTTTCACTTGTCTTTCATCAAATCTGGAAATTCTATTGTAAATCCTATTTTGGCGGTACTCCTCTCCACGATAACAACCTACTATCTAATGAATCTATCATTAATGAATATATACAGCACTTATCAGTAATGAAATTAATTATAAATAACAGTATCAGTAACTTACAATCCAAACTTAAATAACCAATAACCAATCAAATGTCAGCCAACTATTATTTCCTCTTCTTCATTTCTTCATTTTCAAATTAACCAATTCAATCATCAGTATTCTCATCAGCTTAACAATCTATTAATATCAATAACTAAAATAATTATAATAACAATCAAAATAGCAATCAATTGCAGAATTATGAAAAAGTAAAAACTGTAAAAAAAAAAAAAAAAAAAAAAAAAAGAAAAATTCGATGGTTTACACCATCCCCAATATATTACTTAATAAATCATTTTTTACTTCTTAAAAAAAAAAAAAAAAAAAAATTTCATTTTTAAAAACTCAACGACTATTCAAAAAACGACTATTCAAAAAACGAACGATCAACTTTACTATTCAAGTTCTTACACTAACTCTGGATAGGTATGATCAATTTATATTTAATAAACATAAAACAAGTTCTTACACTAACTCTGAATAGACTTTGAATTATTTGAGTTGATAATTAATAAATAAATAGACTGATCATCTACCTATTTATTAAAAAATCTTTTTTTGCAAAAAAAAAAAAAAAAAATAATAATAATCCCTCTAAAATATCATTTGCATTTACATTCCTAATATATCCAGGTTGAAAGTGAGTTGACCAAAGAAAAATCGAAATAAATAAAATTTAATTAAATTTTTCATTTTTTTTGCTTTTTTTGGTATGTTAAAAACAATGATATTTTGTAGGGAATAATAATAATATTTTATTGGCAATTATATATAATATAAAACACGAACTAGCAGGTTAATATCAATACCTGCAATTTGTTGACTGATCATGAGTCAACAAATCTTTTGAAATCATTTTATTTGAAAAATGTGATTATAAAAAATGAAGTTCACATTTTTCAAATGAATTTTGACCCTCTAAAATATCATTCGCATTTACATTCCTAATATATCGAGGTTGAAAGTGAGTTGACCAATCGAAATAAATAAAATTTAATTAAATTTTTCATTTTTTTTTGCTTTTTTTTGGTATGTTAAAAACAATGATATTTTGTAGGGACTGATTTAAAGAGTATTACTATGAAATGATTATTTTGTTATTAATAATCTATATTTTTTATCAAATCCTACCTTAACAATCAGTAATTAAGGTTGTACAAAAAAATTACTATTAAGAAAAAAAAAAAATTAAAAAAAAAAAAAAATTAAGTAGCAAATTTAAAAATGATTTGTGTTGTTATGTTTTGAACTCAATCGAGTCTTTTATATATAAGAAATGCAATTATATCAAACACCAGTAGAAGAGGAGCAAAAGGGTGAATTAGAAAATATAGGGGATACAGATTTCCAAGATGAATCACTGATAAACTTCAATAGAATCTATATACTTTATTATGAATGTTTGGAGAAGAGAAATGATTGCTTAAGATCAAAATGTGTAAAGTTCTTTGTTGAATATCATCGATATAAATTTATACATTATTTCGATGTTCAAGGTTATATCAAGTTCATTCTCGATGTCTTCTTTGATCCTTCATTCGAAGTTTTCAACAACATGTTACATTTTGAATGTCGTTTTCATAAACCAACAATACAACATATTTACAAAAGAATAATCAATGATAAAAGAGTAATTATTAAAAACAAGAGTTATTATTCATACATTTTTTACTAACCTTGTTTCAAACATATCAAATCCACTCAAAGAAACTAAATAATATTGAACATCAACTAAAGAAAAGAATAGAGATCTATCAAAGAAATTGTTATTTAAGCCTAATAGTTCGAACGAAATATGAATTTAATGACTTTTACAACAAATTATTGTCAAAGAATATAGACAATCAGAATACAGTTCAGGAACAAATGTATCAAAAAGGTGAAATACAATTGGATAAGAATATCAACACAAACACTAGTAGTGCTATTGTCAACAATCAAGAATCAAGATGTATTCTACCAGATATATTACTTGAAAGAATCATCTCATTTTCATTGGATAACTTACCAACATTCGATATAAGTCAAGTTGATCTCGAGATTGTATTGAATATTGCATTAGTTTCAAAAAAGCTCTTCAAAATTGTATCAAAGTATATTTCAAATGGTTATTATTTGCGAGGTCCCATCAAGCTGCAGAGTGAATATTGTAATATCAATTCACCTTTGCATTTCGATTATGATTCGATTAAATACATCAAATATGGTGAGAGTAGCGATCGTATCAATCAATTATTCTCAAGAGTCAAAGAGTTTAGTTTTGTTTATGACGAATTCGATTGTTCAAGTAGCAAAGACCGTAAACGGTATTATATCATTAGAGAATCTGAAGGTTATTACGAAGAGGATATCTATAATAAGGCCATAAAGTGTCAAGAATACTTGACAAGTCTTCCAGCAATGCCAAATCTAAAGAGTATCACTGTCACCAGCTACTTTGGATATAGAACCAACTACAGTTCATTCCTATCATCGATATTGACAAACACCCCCAATGGCAATGGTCATGGGATTGAATCATTCAAAATTGCCATCGACAAAGATTGGACCCATGGTCAGGGCTACTCTCACTTGGACTTTTTGGAGCCACTGTTACGATTACATTCAAATACATTGAAATCAATAGAAATCAAGTATTTAAGATTTTGCCATGATGAAGATATGAAAGCGTTACTTCAGATATTAGCTCCAACTTTGGAACATCAAAATTTCTCATTCATTTTGTATGCCGACTTTCGAATGTTAAAAAGAGTTTGTCAAGTTGATCAAGATCGAAAAGTCTATCAATATTTATTGAATCAAAAAATCCAAAATAATATACCTTATGAAGATTATGATGATAATTCTGACTATGATCAAGATGAAGAAGACTACGATAATGAATAAAAATGAATATTTGTTTTTAATGTTCAAACTAAAAGAATAAACTTAAAAAAATCAGTAAACTAACTAAGTGAATATATACATTGATATCAATGAGTTTTTACAAAAAATATAAAAATATATTCATTTTGTTTTAGTTTTATTATGTATATAAACTAAATTATAAAAATATTTTAGGAATTGATTTTCTTTTTATCAGACTATTTCTTTTATATGTTACAACAAAACAGTCCATCCCGATGCAAATGAAAGTGTTTCTTGTTCTTGGTCTAGTTGGTGAAGGATTGAGCACAAGGCAGTCTGAATCGATGATTCATTGGAAGAAGTGGAAAGTGAAATAAGCTGTGGGGTAACTACGGTCTTGCAGATGTTGTACATATATAGTATACTTTCTTTGTAATTGGAAACGGCAATTTCCACTGGTGACTTGGTTTGTGTAATGATTCTGTACTCATAGTCAGAGTTGGACGAGAAAGTCTTGAGGATTGATGTGAGGACACCGTGTTGCACTTGGAAGATAGGATCCTGGGAAATGGTTGTCCATGTGAAGCTGTCATTGCAAGACATCGGTGGAGAACGCCAAATCATAGTGTCCTGTGGAGGAGAGTCTTCCGTTGGCTTTGGTAGCAGTGATGGGAACAACTTAAAATTGGTTCTTCTCTGTGGTGATAACATCATGGTTGGCGCATGGAATGAAGATGGACGTTGGAAATTCCAAGGTGGTGTCTTTGATGAGCCACTGCCAGCACTGGATGTAGTTGTTTTTGGTACCTCTAAATGTGTTGGTTGTTGTTGTTGTTGTGGTGATGGTTGTTGTGGCTGTGTCGATGGTTGTGATGATGGTTGTTGTTGTTGTGGATCTTTCTTGTTGTCCTGTTGGCTGGATGTTGTTTGTTGGCTCGGTTGGCTTGATGTGGCATTGTCTTTGGTCGACGACGACGATGTATTACTAGGATTCTCTTCTGTGAGTTTACTAATATCGGTTGGAATCTTTGATGTTGACTCTGTCTGTTGTTGAAGGTATTCCTTCATGATGAGGTCGAAACTTGCCTTTCCAGTTTGGAGGAACGGATGATTCAAGGCATCACCCAAAGACAATCTCTGCTTTGGTTCCAACTTTAACAGACTAGTTATAAAATCTATACAAACTTCATCTTTTACTCCAAATTCTTTCATTCTATTAAATTATTAAAAATATATATAAATAAATAAATAAATAAGCAATTAGTATTAATAATATTAATCATTATATTATCATAATATTGTGATGATTAAGAAGGTTATTGTTAATTTATAAAAAAATAAGGTACTAACTACCAATTCCTCGATATTAAAAAAAAAAATATCACATTAAAAAAATTCCTAAAATTTAAAAATTATCCTCGTAATATCATTTATATCCACATCATATCACACGTCGAATCACACACTCTATCCCAAACATTAGATCTATGTTTGGAAACAACAAACAATAAAAATTAATTATTAAAGATGTATGTTCTTTCACCTCCATTCCAAGTGGAACATGATAGAATGAGTGTGCAGTGGAGGCGATATTAAAAAAAAAAAAAAAGGTGTGGTGTTGAAAAAATGAGATTTTTGTGTGTGAGTTTTTTGAACCTTACTTTTTAGGAATTGTATCAAGACCGCTTTGAAACTCAGAACTATCGACCATCTTTGCAAGGTTTACCAGTGCAGCTAAAACAGTGGATTGATTGAGTAATGGGAATATTTCATTGATCAACTCTCTTCCTGTAAGAAGACGGAATGCAACTGCACCGATTGCCCAAATATCGACTAACAATGGGTTGTATCCCTCATTGTTGGTATCGCAAATGATCTTTCCTTTTCTTGGTTCTAAGTTTGGTGATAATATAATATGAATGATTTCTGGTGGCTAAAACAATATAATAATAATAAATAAAGATAGAGGTTTTTAAATTAATATAACTTTATGTTAGTAAAATTCAAGTGATATTTATAGAATGTATTTATTGTTACCATATATAAAGGTGAACCTGCAAGTGTAGAGTGCATATCATTGTCATTCTTTGTAATGGAGGCATAACCATAGTCGGTGATCTTGATGACTGGTAGATCGTCGGCATCGTAGGTGTAGTTATTGGAAGTACCATCCTTAAAGATGTTGAAGAAATCTTTCTTCTTTTGCTCAGCATCGTTCGATGCAGACTTTTTCTTGTTGCTGAGCAGCAGGATGTTTGCTGGTTTAATATCTCTGTGTGAGCACTTATGATTGTTCATAAATTGAATGGCACTGATAATCTGATAGACGATATGTGATACCAATGGAATCGGTAGACCTTCATCAAAAGTATACATAAAGTCTTCAAGAGTACCTCCATCAATATACTCCAACACGAAAATTGCTGTTGTTTTATGTCTCTACAATAATAATAATAATAATAATAACAAACAACAAACAATATTATTGTTAATATAAAATATCGGAATAGATAAATAGATCGATTGTAATATAAATCTCAAAGATAACTTACAAAACATTCAATTAGCTTAATGATATTAACATGTCTATCTGGTGAGTTTAAAGTAAGTAATGCATTGATTTCACCTTGAACTTGACTATGAATAGATGATTAGATGATAAGAAAGCATATGTTAGATTTGTTAATCAAAATGAATAATAGTTGTTATACATACTCCCACGATGCTCTATTTTGATTTATATCAACCAATTTGATAGCAACCACTTGATCTGGGGAATCTTTCTTTATAGCTTTGTAAACGACACCACTTACACCTCGACCCAACTCTTTGATATTAGAGTAGGTCTCAGGCCAATACAATATTCTTTCTCTATTTGACATATTGTCAATATTAATAAACTAAACTAAACTAATCTAGACTTTAAACTATTTATAATGTAAAACAAACAAAAATCTGAATTATTATTATGAAAACAAAAATAAAAATAATTAGGAAAAAAAAAAAAAAAAACAAATTTTAATAATTTGTCAAAATTAATCAATAATAATAATGAAGTACAAATATAATATGTTTTGATTGTTGATTGTTTGTTTTCTTTTTTTTTCTAATTTATTGAATATATAAATTGCTTAATCTAAACTAAACTATAAATCTATATTTGAAAAGTTAACTTTTTTTAATTTATACTTTGCTAGACCACATCATCAAAAAATAAAAATAAATTAAATTAATTAAAAAAATTTTTGTGTTTTTTAAAACTTCAAGTTTTTGCAGTGATCTTTGGTTATGAAGACGCGAATCACCACTTTTAACAATATTTTCTCAAAAATGTGTATAGTTGCTTAAGACGAGACACTAAATAGGATAAACTCGGATTTCTTGTTAAATCAATACTCTTAATCAATTAATCTATAACCCCCCAGTAATTAAGATCTATTTATTTATCAAAAAAAATCAAAAAAGTTTAATACGATTGAGTATACTCATTCATTATACTAGTATAGTTATTAATTAACTACCGTAATAAATATTAAATAATAAATAATTAATCTTTAAAAATATATATATTTTAAATATCAAACAAAAATTATTTTTATTTAAAGTTGTTGTTTGAAGGTTGAAAAATCAAATAAATATTACGATTTTTAATACTAAAAAAAATAAATAAATTAAAGAGTCGCACTATAGATAGTTGAAAGTGAAGTTGTATGTAAATTGCTATTGTATTGTGGGTTGGTTGCTTTTTTTTTTTTATTCTGATTCCATAATCATTGCCTCTTCAATATTTCCATTATGCTTGCTCAACATCTCCTTTGCTCTTTGCTCTGTTATTCTTAGGGCATCGACCAGTATCGATACTTTCTCTTGTGACATGACCAAGTTTTGTTGTTGTACTGGGAGTTGTTGAGTAGGAAGTGGTGGCATATATTGTTGTGGTTGTGGTTGTGTTTGTTGTTGAGTTTGTTGCAAGATAGAGATTGGTTCTTGATGGTGATATTGTTGAAGTGGTGACGATTGTTGTTGTTGGTGTTGTTGGTATTGTGGTGGTAATGGTTGGAATTGTATTTGTGGTGAGTTTGGAATTTGGTGTGGACGGATTGGGTAGAGCGTGTGTTGCAGTGGATCACCCATTGGTTTGTTGGCAATCGGATTGGTTTGGTTGGGTACGACACCTACTGTTGGTGGAATGTATGCTTGTTGTATTGGTGAATGTTGTTGTTGCTGTTGTGGTTGTTGGGGAATATAAGGTTGTTGTGGTGGCATGTTGTAGGAGCTTGGTGGAGCGGATGCTGGAACTTGGATGACAATCGGTTCCTCTTTCTTTTCGGCACGAGCAGAGAATGGGAATGGAATGTTATTGAATATCTTTGGTACACCAAATATTGGATTCGATTTTGTTTGTTTTGTTGTGGTTGAAGTGCTGGCAGTAGTAGGATTGTTTTGCTGTTCGTTTGCCAATGCAGTTGCCAGTGGTGACATATCTTTTGGTGAATTCGATAGTTCTTCGAAAGATTTCGCATCTAATGAACTATAGGTTGATGATGATGGTGATGACGATGGAGATGATGATACATTGCTTGTTTGTTGTTGTAGATGTTGTTGTTGATGTTGTGGAATCGAAGAAGAATTGGATGAGGAAGATGAAGAGGTCGAGGAAGAAGGAGATGAAGATAAATTAACAGAATTTCTTTGTGAATTCGAACCATTTGCGACAGGTACATTAATTAAAATTGGATGACTATTATTATTACTATTATTACTAGTATAGTTTGGTGAATTTAAAATTGCCATTGTATCTATTGATGTATGAAAATTACTATTACTTCCATGATTATTGTTATTACTTTGATTGTTACTATTATTGTTGTTATTTAAATTACTATTATTATTGTTGTTGTTGTTATTGTTATTGTTATTTGATCTTAAGGCAGTACTTGTAGTTTGTATCAGTGAAGTCATCAAAGCAGGATTGGTTGCCAGATTATTGATAACTTGTGGTATCATTTGTTGTACGAATTGATTAGATAACAACGATACAAATAATGAATCTAATCCATTACTATTAATAATATTATTATTATTATTGTTATTATTATTATTATTACTATTTGGTTTATTATTATTATTATTATTATTATTGCTATTGTTATTGTTATTAATGAATTGATTGAAATTGATCTTTGGTACAACAGATAATCTCAAGATAGATTGTTGTGTTTCCTGTAGGAAGATGAATGCTTCTTCCAACTCTTCGTCACTTGATATGGTGATGTTGTCACCGACTTCGTCGAGATAGGTAATAACGAACGATTCAACCAAACTGAATAGCTCCGTTAGCTTTTGAGAGAGTGAAGCAAATGCTGGTTGACCTTCAAATGAGAATCTTCTAACATCACCTTCAAAACATACTTTGAATGTATATGTCATTTTTCTATTACTATCTTTGATATTGTATTATAATGTATTGTATTGTATATATATTTAATATTAATTAATTAGAAATAATAATAATAAAACTATAGTAAATAGTAAATAGTAAATAAATAAAATTTTAATCTTATTAATAAATATTATAATAATTATTTTTTTAAAAATAATAATGTAATCTATTATCTAATTATTATTATTGATCTTATCGATTTTCAAATAAACCACCAATAATTATTGTGTTTTTTTTAATTCGGATATTTTATATGATGATAATAATAATAATAACGAAAACAAAATGTATGGTTGGTTAGGTTGGTGTTATGTTATGATATTTATTATTACACACTTCACTCCACTTCACTTTAAAAAAATAGAAAATAAATAATAGATAGATAATTATGAAGTTATAAATAATGGAATAATTTTTCAATAATTTTTCAAAAAATTTGAAGATAATAATTATTATTATTATTATTTTAAAAAAACAAAGATAGGATAAGATATTATTTAATTGATAGTTGATGTTTTATCTATTGTTATTTTTATCTAACTAACTATTTTTTTTTTGTTAATTTACAAAATTGATTGTGTATTAATTTGATTTAATTCACTGGTAGTTTTTTTTTTTTTTGATTTTAAAATTTTTTTTTTTTTTGTGTGACCTTTGCACGTTTGGGTGTGATTCTTGGGAACATCCAGAATTTCTCATGGAACAAAGAAATCAACGTTTATTTTTGTTTTTTTTCCAAATAATTTTCTATGCAAAACATCTTTGTGGTTTCTATTACATAATATAAATCTAATAATTGTTTTATTTTTTGTCTAAGATCTTATTTCTGATTAATGATTCCTCAGAAGTAAAGTAATTTTCATTCATCCAAACCTTTATTTGTACATTTTTGGTTGTTGCTTACAATGAAAACCTATAAGACGTGGCCATATGAGTTTTAATAGATGTTGCGCTCGGTAAACTATTTTAAAAATATATTTAAAGTTCTTTAAGTTTTAGGATTGGATTGGGAGAGTAGTTTAGATGGATTGAATTAATTGATTGGTCAAAAAATAAAAAAATTATATACAAATATTTATTAATTTATTACTTTTTCATGATTGTTTTGGGTTTAAACTATGATGATAATTATTATTACTACTACCACTGCTATTATAACTATTTGTAGTTGATAGATTCGTAATTGGTGAAATTTGATTATGTTTTACTTTATTATTGTTATTATTATTTGAAAAGTTTATATTTATACTATGAATATTATTATTATTATTTGAATTGTTATTAATATTATCATTATTTTGATTGCTATTTTGATTATTATTATTATTATATAAAGATAATGAAGAAAACCATTGAATCCAACTATTTTCGCTATCCTTCTTTAGGGATTTGAGCATTCTTAGAGCATCATACTTTACAGAGTCAATAAAGTAGTAGTCATTGATACGCTCGTCAATTGTGAATCCATTGCGATGATAGAATTCTAACGCCTCTTTATTCAGACACTTAACATGTAGAGAAGCCAATGTACAATTTACACTCTTTAAATCTTTACAAATAATCTAAAAATATTAAATAAATAAATGATATTAAAACTAAATAACTCTTTCTTGAGCTGGTTGGGTAGGGTATTTTCATTAAATACATACATTCAATAAATTACTACCAATTCCCAAACCTCGATATTTATCTTTAACACCAAGCGTTAGAATGTAACCTTCTACTTGATTGAAAAACATTGTACATATTCCAGTCTCTCTGGTTACTCTTGCAGTTGCAACACCCACAATCTCTTCTCTCTGCATTGTTGGATTACTTGTTTTATATTGATGTATTAATGATTTGTTTTTTCTATTATTATTATTATTATTATTATTATTATTTTTACTGTTACTACTATTATTGTTATTGTTGTTATTTATCTTTTCAGAGGTAAAAGAAGTAGCAACATTACTACTGCTACTACTGATACTGCTACCCTCAACAGATGATGTAGAAGATACAGATGTAGATGAAGATGTAGAAGAGTTTGATGATGTTGATGATGTAGATTCATTTCTATCGTCATCATCATCATCGTAGTTGTATTCATCGTTTTCATCTATAATGTTATGCACACTCATGCGTTGTTGATCTTTGATATTATTATAATCGTAGTCATTATCATTATCATTATCATGTACTATCACAGCCAAAACCGATAGGAAATGATTTTGAAGTAGTTTATTATAAAATGAATTCCTATATTTAACTGGAAACAATTCATTCTGTTTTTGATTTGAATTGAATCATAAAAGTATATTAGTATTACAATATTCATTAAAAACTAATATATTATATTAAATACTTGTAATAATCTTAAATTATAAACATCTCTCTTTTCAAATGGTCTATATATAATTGGTGGCGGTATTTGTTTCTTCTTCTTCTGATTACTATTAAGATGATCATTCATTTGTTGTTGTTGTTGTTGTTGTTGAGTTTGACTTTTATTTGTAAATACATCAAGAATAGTAGTATTAGAAGTTGTTGTAGTTGTTGTTGTTGTTATTAAATCTACATTATTATGCAAATCAACTATATTTATACTACTATTATTATCAATATTTTCATTAATGTTGTTATCATAATTCTTTTTTCTATTCATCAATCCCAAAAAAAAAAAAAAATATTTATAAAAATAATTTGTGTTCAATCATTATAATTGGAGAGGTGGTTAACTATTTTTTTTTATTAATTTTTTTAAACAAATAATAATGTATTTTATTGGTTCAAAGAAATTTGATTAGTAAATCTTTAACAAATTCCTTTTAAATTTCACCTCTAACACAAAACAATCTTGCACTCCTGAAAAATATCAAATATTTTCTGATGAAAAAATCAATTTTATATTTAGTTTATCTTTTTTTAGTCTTTTGTTTTTTTATGTTGTTATTAATATAAAAAGTGTTGTTCCAATACAACATTTAAAATTATATATCTAATTATCTATTTGGGTATATTGGATTTTATTTAATTAAAAACAAGATTTTCTCTGAAACTTTTTGAATTGATGGATGTGGCGATGTCTTTTGCAGTGGTTCAAGATGTTGTGATATATTTTGGGACTGTAAGTAGGGGATATGCTTTGGTTGCGACGACAACAGCAACAGAATCTTGATTGCTGTCATTTGAGGTGCAATCGAAACATAGTCCAACTGGAGATACTCAGAGAGCAATGGCACCACATTGTTCTCACTGACAATAAGACTTTGATTATCCTTGTTCGATCCAACCAGAATAGCAACAGCTTCGAGACCCAACATTCTCAGTGTCTCAAAACTAGAATCCAACAACGATATATACTTTTGTAGAATTCTTTCTCTATGTGTTCCATTATTAATTAAATCTTGAGTATATTCTATATTAAAAAAAATAAATAGATAGATAGGATAGACAGGATAGATAAAAGTAAGTAAATAATGTTTCATTTTAATAAACTAACTATTCATTCATCACTAAAAAAACTACTTACTTGATGATAATATTCTTGATAGTGATGATGCAACTCTTAGGTCGAAACCATCGTTGGTAGAGTTGACAAACATGTCTACAAGTATTTCGGCACCACCCATTTTAATTAGTTCATCTTGAGCTTCGTTTGATTCCAGTAGCATTGTCAGACACCAAACAATTTGAAGACGTATCAACTCGTTCTGATGCGCAATTTGACGAATCAATATTGGTATACCACCCTTTGAAACTATATCTTTAACATTGATATCCTTGTGTGACAATGTTTGTAACACTCTGATGGTTGCAAACTTTATGTTCTCCGATCTCTCTTGAATCAATTGTAAAACGGTATTGACACCCAATTGATTTCTAAATTGATTACTTAAATCCTCTGTTATTATTATTATCATCATCATCATCATTGTTAGTTATATTGTTAGATTACATTAAACAATTATGACTACTACTACTACTTACCATTTGACAATATACAATTTAATGAACGAAGAGTAATAAGTAAGATATCTTCAAATTTACAGGAGAGCAGTTCAAAAATGATGGGATAGATGTTCATTGTGAGAAGTGATGGGTAGTTTGATTCACTTTTGGCGAGTGTTTCGATTGCGTTCGCTGCCTTGGTGAGATTGGCAAGTGTTGGCGATGCTATTAGATCGCGACACAATGTCATGATCTTTTGAATCTTTTCCTTTCTATCGAGATCTTGCACGGTGACACTTGGCGATACATAGTGAGGTGAGTTTGGTGGTATCTCTGGTGAGATTCCCTCACCGTTGTTGTTATTGGGTGATAGTGATTGTTGAGATGGTTGTTGTTCACCCGCTGGTTTTTGATAGCGTTGCAGTGTGTGCAGTGGTTGACGCAATACCTTCAGGATGGTCTGGAACGACGGTCTGGCCGATGGATCAATGGAGAGACACAGACGAATCAGCTTGTCAATGGTGAACGGACAGTTTGCTGGCGATGGACGAACGTAGTGCGAATATCCATTGACAACATTACACTTGAGATCGGTTAGTTTGGTTTCACGCGAGAACATCTCCCACATCATAACACCGAAACTGAAGACATCCACCTTGGTATCGTATCCACCGGCACCGCCAGTCAACACATGGAACAACTCTGGTGCCAAGTAATGTGAATGTAAAATCTGATTATTAATTGGATTCATCAGTTTCTTCTTCAAAGTATCGTCTTTCAATCCAGCAAATCCATAATCCTTAATATACACTTTCAAATCTGAATTTAACTGGTTATTGAAGAGAATAAGATTAGTTGGTTAACACAATCATAACTTTCTAATGAATAATCTAACAACATACTAAAACATTCTTTGGATGTAAACTTCTATGAACTACATTGAATGAATGTAAAAATGAGAGAGCCGAAGCAATCTCCTCTGAAACTCTAATGATAAAAGGCAATTCATTTCTCTCATCGACACTCTTTAGTATCATATCTAAATTGTTACCTGTGATATATTCTGTAAAGGTATTGAATTTAGATGTCATTGAAGCTCCCATTAATGATAATACATTTGGATGTTTAATTGAACTAGTTAAAAAGAAGAAGAAGAAGAAGAAAGAAATGAAAAAGTGTTAATAACTAAAACATTGTTATAAGCTATATATATATTATATAAAGACATACATTAAAGTTTCAATTTCATTAAATAGAATTGGAGTTGATTGTGGTGTAATGAAATTCCATTGTTTACCAACGATACGTTTCTCTTTGTAGATTCCAGCACGTGCAGTCATACCGTGATTTCCATAGCCGATGATCTCCTTTGGGTTGAGTTCGTGTTTGATGTACCATGAACGTTCGGTGATCGATGCTGCAGGCACCGCTGTGTATTTCTCTTCGATCTCGCCGTCACAGAGAATACGCTGCACCAGATCTTCGTCGGCCGACTGCTGTTTCTGTAGATGATGTGCGTTGTTACGAATGTCATCCGGTGCCAGAGTGTAGTGTTGCTGCGAGAGGTAGTTGCTCTTTGGCTGCACCTCGTTGTCGTGAGTGGCAAACTTGAGTTTCTGATTCTGATCCTTGAAGATTGCAATCATGTCGTCGAGCAGCCGCTCGTTGGCCTTGCTGTTGTTGCTGCTGGCGGCACTATTGTTCTGGCTGAGTGTGTTGGCTGTGAGTGGCGATGCCGAGAGTGTTGCGATCGGTGTTGGCGGCTTCGGTGTTGCCATGGCAATGTCTACCGGCGCATTCAACTTGGTGGCCGGTCTTATGGTGCCTGTTCCACTGGTGACATTGTATGGAACCGATCCCTTTGAGATACTGGCCGTTCCCGAGCTAACAACAGGCTGTGCTTTCTCATCGATCATTCCAAACGAATTGATCATCTGATCGAGTGTATCGGCGACATCGATTGCCTCACGTGTAAGAGTAGATAGTTTCTCATTGCTATTTCTATTCTTTGTTTGTGATTGATTCAAAGGAGCACCTGTACTCTTGCTAACACTTGCAGTTCCACTGGTGACAACTGTCGATGCCACTGGTTTTGTTTCAACGGGTTTTGTATCAATTGGTTTAGCTGTTTCAACAACTGGTTTGTTGGTTGCAATTGGTTGTTGTTGTTGCTGTTGTTCGGATGCAGGACGTGTGTTTAATAGCTGAGTAGAAGGTGCACGCTTTGATTGTTGTGTATATTTCCAATAGAAAGATTCTAGATCCATCAGTGTTGATTCCAAATCAAAGGTCGATGTCAAACGCAACAATTTGATACGTGAGTCTTGCTCGTTTTGATCGGTTTGCTCTGCATTTGGCAGAGTTTCATCGCTTGCCGACATATCATTGAGCAATGTCTCCAAGTAGTCGAATTGGTCACCTGGTATCTTTGACATTCTCGACTTTCTATTGTTGATAGATGCAGCATCAGTATCTAACTCTTCCTCTATTGTTTCACTTGCAATGTTATTGTTATTATTATTATTATTATTGTTGTTGTTGTTATTGTTATTATTTGCCAAAGTCTCATTGATTGCATTTTGAACATTCAGAAATGAATTGGTTGGAGATGCAGATGGATGTCTATGCTTATGATCTATAATCATCTCCTCCAACAAATCATCCAAGTAATTCTCTAAATTGATATTTATATAATATTAATATGAAATTAATGTTTGTTTTTTTTGAATGAAAACTTAAGAGTAAGTATTGTATATTTATAGAAATATTAAAAAATTTGATGAATTATAATATTACCTGACATTTTTGTTTGCTTGTTTGTTATTTAATGATGTTGATGTTGATTTTGATTTTGATAGGTTTATCGAAAAGAAATAATGATAATAATAATAATTCCAAACTGATTTATAAATTTATGTTTTTTTATTGTTATAGATTAGATTGTATGTAAAATTATTATTATTATTATTGTTTTTGCTTTTTATTTTGTTGTTTTTTAATGTTTAAATTTATGAAGTTTGATAAAAGATAAGATATAGATGATTGATCTTGAAACGCTGGAATGTGGGTGTGTTTATTTGGTTATAATTTGCTTGTTGTTTTTCAATTCTCTTGTTTATGTGTTATGTAATAATAAATAAATAAATAAATAAATAGTAATACAACAATTGCTTTGCTTTTTTAAAAAAATATATATGTGGAATGTATGTGTGGGTGTGTTTATAAATAAAATACATCAAACTTATATGAAATCAAGGTTTGTTTTTGGGTTTTTTTATAAATTTTTATTTTTTTGAAAAAAACAATGGTTTTTTTATTTTATTTTTTTATTCACTTTGATGGTGGTTGGTTTGCTTGTTTGTTTTTTTCAGTCATATGACCACTAAAAATTACACCCCCGACATCTATCTGGATGGACCATTCGATTGATCAACAATAGTGTTGATTCTTCCCACATTTATAAATACCAATGGTCAAATAAAATACAAAAAAAGCAAAAACAAAATAATAAAAAATAAGTTTTTTTTGATATTTTTAATAGTTATAATTTTTATTTTCTTAAGAGTACATCTGTTTTCAAATTTTGTATCTCCAATATAAAGATATCTAAAGGTGTTTCACAATTATCCATTTTGATTGTTCTTGAGTATTGGAAACCGATTTTTGTGAGAAGAGAACTCGATCTTTGGTTGTCGTTGTTTACGTTGGCTCCAAATCGCTTGGTATCCAGTTTTTTGGCAATGTATTGAATGGAGGCAATCGAAGACTCCAATGCATAGCCTTGTCCACGTCCACTCTCCATAAAGGCATAGCCCAGATTGACATCGGCATCGTGCTCGTTTGGACGACGTGCGACGAAACCGGATGTTCCAATCGGTACGTCGGGTGCCTCTTTTCTACAGACTTTCAGCATTGAGAATCCATTGTCTCTAAACGATTTATTCAGAGACTCTATATATTTCGCAGCGTTCTCTGTGCAAGTAAGTGTTCTGAAACCAATGAATCTCAGACAAAGTGGATCGTTGAATAACTCTATGAGAAATGGTTCATCAACACCCACTTGCATCTCTTTATAAATCAATCTTTCACTTTCGTAAAGAATTGGTGATTCTAATGATAGTTCCATCTTTTATTTAATTTTAACAATAAATAAATATAATCTAGTTTATAACAAACTTGTAAAATAAAAATTATTCAACAAAAAATTTAAAAGATTGCAATGCATTTTTGAAAAAAATCATTCAGCAAAGCTCGCTAGAACCAAATATAAATGTTTTATATTATTACCAGGGAAATGCAAACCAAACAATTAATAATATCAAAAAAAAAAAAAAAAGAAAACATGTCATATCTAAATTATCTAAAAGTTTCCAATGAACTGAACTTCAAAAATAACAATAATAAAAAAAATGAATATATCCTAATAGTCGTAATTATTACCAAAGTTAATTAAAAAATTTTTTTTTTATTTTTAAGTGCAATTAATTAATTGTCTGTCAAAAAAAAACTGTGAATCGAAATTTTTCAATGTTCTTTTGATTCTATTAACCCCCTCTTTAAACTTGACAAAAAAGGTGGACGAATATTTTTTGTTAAAGAACTAATCATTATTATTGCGATATTGCCTTTAATGAATTAAAGAATCGATGTAACCCCCATCTATACCGACTTACCATATACTCAATATATTAAATCGAGAAAATGACACGAAACATAAGATATTTATACTTATTTTCGATTCCTATAAATAAGATGGATTGATCAATCAATTACCATATCATTCAAATTATTAAATCAAAACAAACAAAACTAAACAAATTATAGAATTATTATTATCTCTTTATTTATCTTTATTGTAAATATATATTATTAAAAATGTCAAGTGTAGAAATTAAGTCAACTGATAAAGTATGGTATATCACTGGTGCCTCGAAAGGAATGGGGTTGATCTTTGTCAAGAAACTCTTGGAATATGGTTTCAAAGTTGTTGGAACCTCAAGAGATAAACAACAACTGATTGATGCCGTTGGTTCTGTTGGAAATTCAGAAAATTTCTTGGCTGTCAAAGTAGAGTTGGCCAATGAAGCCAGTGTAAAGGCATCGTTTGAAGAGGTACTTTCCAAATTCGGACGTATCGATGTCGTTGTAAATAATGCTGGTTATGCTGTGGCTGGTGCCGTCGAAGAGAACTCTGATGAGGAAATCCGTAAGAACTTTGATATCAATGTATTCGGTGTGTTCAATGTACTTCGTTATGTTACACCAATCCTCAGAAACCAAGGAAGTGGACATGTTTTCAACATCTCTTCAGTTGCCTCAATGCTTGGATTCCCAGGTTTCGGTGTATACAACGCTACTAAGTTTGCTCTCGATGGATTGACCGAAGCATACGCCTTGGAAGTCAAACCATTTGGAATCAACGTCACTGGAATCAATCCAGGTTATTTCAAAACTGAATTCTTAACTGTAAGTAGTGAATAAGTTCATTATCTTTATTCTTCAGATTTTGTTTTAACTAATCTATATAATTATGATATATTAATAAATATAGTCTGGATCATATCAAAAAACAGAAAAGAGAATAGATAGTTATGCTCATGTACATGGTGTTGTTGATACTCATGCTAATGATATCAATGGTAATCAAAGAGGTGATTGCGCCAAACTATTAGATATTCTCATCAGAGCGTACGAAGAGAAAGATAACACAACCAATCACATCTTTGTTGGTCCAGATGGATATCCATTGATCAGAGCTAAACTCGATAAATATACTGCTGATCTAGATAAATGGGAAAAATATGCTACTAAGACCGATCGTGATGATTATGTTGAACCACCAGCCCAACAACAACATTAAATAAACAATATTAAATAAATATTAAATTCAAATCAAATCAATTTATTATTTTTAGCCAAACACCCAATAAAAACCAGTCAGTATTCGAATAAAAGGAATCATCTCCATAAAAGTTTAGGTGTTGTACCAATCAGTATCTTCAAAGAAACAATCGTCTGAGTGATTTGTGGAGTGTACATAAAAAAATCTAATCATGACCGATAAAACAAGTCTTGTTTGTTGATTCTAATCTAATCAAAAATAAACTTTAAATGATCTGTTTACAAATAATTAAATAAATAGTTTGATTTTATTTTTATAAGTTATCTATAATACTATTATTATAAAAGTAATATATATATTGACCAGTTGAGAACTCAAAAATAAGTAACTTTTATGAAAGGAAATTAAAAAAAAATAAGATAAATTAAAGATACTATTTTTGTTTTTTTTTTTGAAAAAGTATTGTCGTTTGTTATTGTTTAATTTACATTAGTTTAGTTATCAAAATTAATTAACAAAATGAATTGATTGATTTGATGGCTGTGTTGTTTATATATGTTGATACGTTGATGGCAATTTTTTAAAAAAATAAAAAAAGAAAAAAAAAAGATGCAGAATATTTAAGATAGATTTTCTACCAATTTTACATTGCTAAACTCTCTTCCAAAGCTCTGTACTCGTCTTCTTCTTTTGATGAAACTTCCACTTTGGTTTTAGATGCAACTTCAGGGACTGAAATAAATAATGATAATAGTTAGTTAGTTACTTGTTTTTTAAATATAATTGAGAATGATTAAATTTGAATTGTATATAGTTACATTTAATTTGTGGTTCTTTGGTTGGTGGAGAATTGACTTTAAGTAATTGAGCATCGAGATCTTCTTGTTCGAGTTCGGCCAACTCTCTCAATAGTTCGTCTTCGTCTTCGAGTTGGTTTCCGAGTGGTTGTGAGATGGCGTTGGAGATCTCTTGATGTACCTCCATCTGAGTTTGAATCTCTTCGAGGATGTCGTCGACCTTGTCCACAGTAAGATTGTTCTGTAGCGACTTCAAGTGTTGAGCACCGCTTCTCATCGAGTTCAAGATCTCTTCGTTCATCTTGGCATTCTCCAACGCGAAAATCTGTGTCGACAGTGTATCGAATGTACCTTGCAATTTATTAACTTCTGTTTGATATGTATTTCTCTGTTTCAAACATAACAAAGCCTCTATAATAATTGATCAACACCAACAACAACAATAATAAAACAAATGTTAATAAACTGACTAGACTAAACTAAAACTAAACTAACGATTGATATTATCATTTCATCATCATCGTCATCGATCAAGATCTCTTTAATCAACAACATACCTCTCTTTTTCTTTTTAGAAACCATTAATTTAGCTTCTTCTTCTTTTCTATCGGCTTTCTCTTGTAAAAACTTTTGTCTCTTCTCGAGCATCTCAATGGTTTGTCTCAACCTTGCGATAGTCTCTTGAGTCTGATTTGGGTTGACCTTTGGCTTACCGAATAACCTCATTTTCTACTGTTGGTCTTGTGTGTTTATATGATATATACTTTTATTTTACTATTACTTATTAATTATAAAAGTATTTATAATTATTAAGGTTTATGTTTATATAAATAAAAAAAAAAACAAAAATAATCTAAAAATCTAAAATTAAAGATAAATAAATTATTTAATTATAACAAACTATAAATTAGATTTATTTGATTGAACAACCTAATTAACTAATAATATAACAACAAAAAGAAAAGGTATTAAATTATAATAATAATAATAATAAAAATAAAACCAATTTTTTAAAAAAAAGTTGAAATTATTAAAAAAAAAACAATAAAAATAAATTAAAAAATAAAATTTGTTCTCCAGTTTTTGGGAGAAAAATTAATCTTTGGATTATGAGTTTTCAAAGTAGATGGTTGTGAGGAATGACAACAATAATCAATAATTAATTGTTTAATCACTTTTTCTTTTTATAATTATCTTATCTTATCTATTTTTAATTATATTTAAATGTTTTTTTTATTTCTTATTTGTTTTAATAATTTACTTTTTATATTTTTATTAATGTTTATTTTATTTTATTATTTTATTATTATTTGGATTTAATTATCTGTTATGGAATGAAGACATGTGATATGGCATATCTCTACCTGGTACGGATCTACCACATACTCCACAGGTGAATAGTTTGGTTTGACAGAGATCTTGATGATCATTGTATTGGATGTATTTGATGAGTTTGTTGCAATAGGTACATTTCATTGGACGGAACAGACAATCTGTGTTTTTGTGGTGTGTCAGCGCATCGAATGATGTTTTGGTGCCACAGGCATCGCATTCGACAGCGTGTGCATTGCTATCAGAGTTGTAGACTACCATTTGGTTGGTAGAATGTCTTGGTGACTGAATATTGTTGTAATCTCTTGGGACATCCTCTAGATATTGTTGTTGTTGTTGTTGTTGATTGTTGTTGTTGGCTTGTTGTTGATTTCTATTGTATCTTGACGATGCTACGATATCGTGAGCACGGTAGTCATAGCTGTCGGTCTGGTAGGTCGACGAGTGGAGTGGATGAGTCGTAGTATTCTTGTGGTACGATGCCGATGGCTGTGAAGACTCCATTGAGCTTGAACGAGAACGATTACGATGTGTGGAGGTGCTGTTCTGGCTTGAACGCAATCCTGAGCTTGCCGAGCTACGAAGAGGTGGAGGTGGCTCCGTCTTGCTTCTCTCTCTTGTCAAGCCGGCTGGTGGTGTTTGTGGACGACTATTCAGTTCATTTTGTAATTTAAGTGCTATCTCATGATCTTTGAGATACTGTCTCTTCTTGTCTTCAATATCCCTCCAAGCTCTATTTTGATCCTCATCGTAATCCAATTGATTTCCATTCTCAAATGACATTTCACTACTTGGGAATACTGGTTCTGGATTAACAGATTTCAAACCAAACAGTTCATCCAATGGTAATGGTTCTTGATGTGGTTGTTGCTGCTGTTGCATCATCATATTATTTTGTTGGAATGATTGTTGTGGTTTGAATTGTTGTTGCTGTTGATATTGTTGGGGTTGGAATGATTGTTGTTGTTGTTGATATGGAGGTTGGAATGGAGCTGGAAGTGCCAATGGTTGTTGTTGCTGTGGTTGTTGATATCCAGATGGCAACAGATCACCAAACAAAGATGATTGTTGTGGAGCAGGCAATGCTAACATACCTGTCTGTTGTTGCATTGGTTGTTGTTGTTGCTGCTGTAGTTGTGGTTGTTGACTATACATCATATTTTGTTGATTTCCACTCATTAGTTGTGGGTTGGAGTTCATCATACCCGATTGTTGTTGTTGAGTTAGTAAATTAGGTTGTTGGTTGAGTGATTGATCTACAAATGGATTGAATGTATTATTAACAATTGGAGGTTGCGCGCTGCCTGTAATCATGAGTGTTTGGGCAATTGGTTGTGGTTGTGATTGTGTAACTGAAGATTGCATTGGATTTGGTTTACTATAGTTCAAGTTGCTTAGGTTATTTGTCGATTGTGCATGAGTAGGAGGTGTTCTTGGTCTTGGTTGATCCAACTTTACCTTTTGATAGAATGAAGACTTCTCTTTGAGATAGGTGTGTTGATCGTATGGTTCCTTGGAGAATGGAGGGAACGTCTCTTTCTTCTCAGTAAAGTATTTATTCTCCTCACGGAATGGATTGAACGGCTTACCATTGCTATCAACCGAACTGGTGTTTCCAGTGTTTCTCGATGGCAACGGTGCATACTTTGAAGCATTTCCATTCTCATACATTGAGGCAATCGATGCTGTACTGTTGTTTAAATTATTATTACTATCGGACGACAAAGAAAGATTCTCAAATTCCTTGGAGATTGATTTACGTGAATCTAAATTTGATTTTCTTTCGTTGGGAGATGTAACTGTTTGAGCATGTTGTTGTTGTTGCTGTTGTGGTGAGGTGACATTCTCAATGTTGGCGGGTGAAGGTGGAACTTTGACAGAGTTGTTCTTGTTTACTGGTGACTTTAGCTTTGAAGGAGTAAGCTGTTCGAGTGCAGCCCACTTCTTTTCGACATACTTTAGCTTTATAAACTCACGAACCTTCTTCTCATCGGAGGGCAACGGTGTAGGAAACTCTTTCTCTGTCCATTTCGACAACCATATATCTTGTGCTTTCTTATTACCAATATTCTTTAACTTTTCAATCTCTTCGTCATTGAACTTATCTGAAGCTAAACTCTTTACTCTATGACCTAATTCTCGACTTTAAAAGTAAATTAAACAATAATGATTAAATTAGAATCTGTTTTTTCATAATTTTTTTTGTTTTTCTCTACATACTGTACTGCACCACAAACTGAACAAACGAAAGTACCTAAACTAGTATTCAAAAATCTAGGAAACTAAAAAAATTTGAAAACTCAATTAGAAATTAAACCTTATCTTGCTATTGAAATCTAAATTAGTTACATACACTATCTGTACAATCTGCACATTTATTATTTTCCTCCAATTCTCTCAAATCCCAGAGAATTGTCTCATTTTTTGATTTTTCCATCATTTTTTTAATAGGAAAATCTTTATATTCAATCTATTATATAATAAATAAATAAATAATAAATAAATAAATAAATAATGATCTAAATATAAATTAGTAAAAGTAGCCTATATTAAAAATTGTTTTTTTTATTATATACAAATTAATAAAAATATTAATATAACTAAATAAATGATCTTTTATTTTTTGGTGGTTTTTAATTATTTTAAATGAAAATTGAACAGCTGTTTATTTATTAGTCTGACTGTCAACAATATGAGTAATTATAAAATATAATTATAATTTTGTACTATCTTAATGTTATTGCAATTTTTATTTAACAAATTCTATGTTAACACAAAAATAAAAGGATTGGTGTTGTTTGACAAAAAGAAGTGGAATGTTGTTTGATAATTCATTTACTCACCACCAAAGTGACGTCAAAACTTTATATAAAAATGCAATTGTAAGATAGATAGGTAGGTAAATATATATATATCATATGTGTGGTTAACTAAAAAAAAAAAAAAAAAATATTAAAAATGAAAATTAAAAAAACAGAAAAATATATATTAATACTAAAAAAATGAAGTTAAAAGACATTTAAGGTAGACACTATATAGAGTGAGGTGTCAACCGTTTTGTTACCATTCCAATTTGGAAAAATTCTTATTACGTTTACATACTAATTGGAATTTATAATTTAATTTTTAAAAATACAAGTTGTATAGAGAGTTTTTAATTTTAAATAATAAAAACATTTATTATTATTATTTTGATAATTGTAGATCCTTTTTATAACTATTATTGGTATTAAATACAATACTTTACTTTATTTTATTTTTTATTTCCAACAAATTTTTGCTCTCTCTACAAATCTAAAATCAAATTTTTATAGATTAACTTAATGTTAATATTTGTTTTTTGTTAAGTAATAAATAATGTAGTTTTTTGTAAAATGAAATATAAAGAAAAGAGTAAACAATTGAATAGTTTACTTTTTTTAAACTAATTAAACTTAATATGACAAAAATAAACAAAACATGGGTTTTTCAAATAAATAAACGACACACACTTTTTTTTTTTTTTTCATAATAAAATTTAGTTCATTGAAATGGGGGAAAGTTATTTATTCAATTAAATCAGATTAAGCTTATGATTTTTGAGATTAATAATTATTTATTAATATTTTAAACATGCTATTAATTGGTAAGTTTAGATGGTTGGTGGTTGAGGTTATTACTGCACATGCAGTTAGTTCGTCATGATTTTGATTCTTTAGAGTGAACAAGTTATAGATAACTATTGATATGATAATCGTATCAATATTGTTGTTATTATTATTAATTTTCGTGAACCTCTAATAATCAAAGAGCTGTAGTGGTTAGTCTAGATTCCCTCTCTTTTTTAAATAATTATTATTATTGTGTTGTTGTTATTGCCTTTAACAAAAAAAATAGTAAAGGTGTATGGTTGGTTTGATATATTAAATTATAAAACAACAAAATTAAATAATAATAATAATAATAATAAAATTATAAATGATTACTTTCTATATGTTGTGTGTGTGCTTAAAAAGTAATGGAGAGGGAAGTAGGTGAAAGAAGGAAAGGAAAGTTGACAGTTTGTGATTTAGTTGATGAGTAGTTGAAGTTTGTCTTTGCTTTTGTTTTTTAAAGTCTGATGTAGACTGGACGCAACTCGGATTGTCTCTTCTTGGTGAGTCTGTCGAGGTTTTCTTTGACTGCTAGACTCATCTCACCACCCTCTGGGATGTTGTGTAGGACGGTCAAGATTTCCTTCTCGAGCTTGGTGATCTGACGGTATGGCCATTTACGGCCGGGTGCAGCTTCTTTCCAACGTTTGCTGAGTGTCGATGTTGGAATACCAAGCTTCTTGGCTGCATCACCTTGTGGTAAGCTCAGGAAATCGGTGATGTCAACGTAGTTTGAGCTCTTGGAAGGTCGGATTTGGTTGTCTTCGTTCGAGGGCAGTGCCAAAGCATTGGATGGACTTGATATCAGGTGGTCACCACTGTTGGTGCCTATGATACTCTGAGTTGGTTGAATGGCACCGCTGTTGCTGTCGGAGCTGTACAATGGTGAAGTCAAAGCAATCAGTGAATCACCTATAGTGTTTGTTGTTGTTAAAATATTGTTGGCATTTGGTAATAGTGATGAGTTGTTGGAAGTTGTTGTTGTTGTCGTAGTTGTGGTGGTTATTGGTGGGGTGGAAAGTGGTGATGTACCTGGTGGATTGGTCCTCAGGATAATATTGGAGGGTGTAACCTCACGGACTTGTTCATCACTGGAATCTTTGGCAGCGGTGGCGGCGGTAGATGTGATAGAATTAGTTGGTGAAGATGGTAAATTGTTGTTACTGTTGTTACTATTGTTGTTGGTAGTGTTGTTGGTGTTTTCGAAATATTGTTGGAGTAGAGCTGGTATTCTGTCTTTACTCAATCCAACTCTCTGAAGATATGGATGTGGATGATGTGAGTTTGAACTGCTGCTGCCTCCACCACCGTTTGGAGAAGAGGATGATGAGCTGTTGCCGTTGGCAGCATCACCACTGTTATTGTTGTTGTATGGTGTGAATTGATAGTTTTGAGGAATGTACAAAGCGGCTGGTAATTCATCTTTATTACCCATGTTTTTCTTGTTGGTGTTGCTCAATGCTGGAGCAGAGGAGTCGGTATCTGACGACGAATGGTCGGGAATATCTGGCAATAATGGAGAGGACCTGACCTCTGAATTGTTCAGGCTGTCCTGAGGAGTTGTGCTAGTCGAGTTTGACATGAAGAATTTTCCACTCAAATTTAACTGGTTCAACAAATAACTATAATAAGGATCCGGTGCACTGACTATTGACATAATAATAATAATGATAAAATTAGTTTATGTGTTTATTTGTTTTTTCCAAAATAATAATATTATATAATATGATGATTCTTGTTCTTTTTTTTGTTTTGGAAGAAAATGGAAAATTAAGATGTAAAATTTAAAAAGAGATGACTGATGTTTTAAATTTAAAAAAAACAAACAAATAATAAATAAAAAGATTATATCTTTTAATCAATAATAATAATAATAATAATAATAATAATAGTTATTTATTTATTTATTTTATAAAAATATGATCATACCATAACATCATCTTCATCTTCATCTTCACCTTCATCATCTATCATAAGAAATTAAAGAAGAATCATCACCAAGAAACATTGAAAAATATTGCAAATAGCTAATTTGGAATTTAATATGTACACATAGTTTATAATTATCTTATTTATTTTTTTTAAATAAAAAAAATTAAGATCTTAAAATTGCAAATTTTTTTTAGTTTAAAATTCCACAAAAATAACTGCTGTTAAATAAATATTGTTTATTTTTAGATCAAAAGAAGAGGGTTTTATGATTTACTGTAATTGATTTGGTTTGGTTGTTGAAGAATTCTTCTTCTTTTTTTTGTTAATTAATTAATTAAGATGATGATGATGTGATGCTTGTGTTAAGATGAAGTTACTACTATAACTGTTGGTAAAAGAGATGTTTTATTATTAGAGATCAATTGATCGAAATAAAAGAAATAACAATGATTTAATGAATAGAAAGAATTGAAAATCAATGGAAATTAAAGTGATATGTGATGACGCTGCCTACTTACTATAACTCTGATATCAATACAAACTATGTAAGTTCTGTGAGAAAACTAGCTGAAATAAAAATGAAATATACATTTTCAAAAATTTTTTATGATTTAAATAAAAAACGGGTAAAAAATTAAAAAATTAAAAAATTAATTGAAATTTTGAAGAAAATCCGTGAAAAATTCGTTTGGAATTCAAACACACCCCTCAAACTTCAAGTTAAGTTGTGTAAATTATTAGTATTATTAATACGTTACTAAATGAGGAATTGGAATGGAATGGAATGGAAGTAGTAAAATATATGTGTAAATTATTCATACACATATATAACATTTCCTTTTTTTTTTTTTTTAATTTATTAATAATAGATTATTTTGTATTGCATAATTTAATCTTTTTTGAAAATTGATCTGATAGCAAAGAATCTATTTTTCCTTTGTTGTTGTTGTTGTTGCTGTTGCTGTTGCTGTTGTGTTGATTGATGATGATGTTGTGGACTATTGTTAAAAGCATACATTTGATTGGCAATGCCAAGTTTGTTGTTCGGGTCGTAGTTACTCGAGAGTTGATGATGGTTGAAACCGACGTTGATGTTCTCGTTGTGTGGTAGGTTCGAAGTGTTGATACCAACACCACCACCGCCAGTAGCACTAGCATTAGCATTGTTACTGTTATTGTTTGGCAATCCAATTGGGTTGATATTCATTCCAGCCAATTGATTGGAATGTGCGTGTTGGAATGGATTTTGGAATGCTTGATTGCCAGCATTGCTTCCAAAGCGGAACTTTTGCTTCTTGGTGTACGGTAGAATGTTATTGACATGACAGTAGTACTTGATCAATCCAAACGTTGTCAAACCACCTGCCATCACACAGCCACACACCGTCAGGAACGAATAGGGATGATGTTCAAATCCATTGACAAGATTCATACCAAAGAATCCAGTGACCATCGAACCCATACCGGCAGACATTGTGACCAAACTCAACATCAAATTCATTCTCATCATCTTATTTCTTGCACTACAGTTTATCGTTCGAACATAACAAACATTAGTGAACAATTATCTCTTACCAACCAATATATTATAACATAACATAACATACGTATCAAGTTGAAAATTAACGAATTCTTCAGTTGATGATAATGTTTCTTTAAGTTGATTGATTTCATTTGATATCTGTTCCAACTGTCTCATATAATTCTCCAACAAAATCTCCAATTCTTCATGTTGATTTTTCTTTCTTGTTCCACTGTTATTATTGTTGTTGAAATATGATTAGTCAATCGATCATAATATAGCTAATAAAAAGACATAAACAAAACATACCCTGTAATATTTCTAAAAGAAAGATACATCAATGCCATATCCTCGTCAGACTCTAACAGTCTGCTTAGTGCATCCATAATCTCTTTCAATGTTACCTCAAACTGATTCAAACCTTTCTTGTGATACAGTAACAGTGTCTCTAAATTGTGTTCTGGATTCTCATTGAGTGATTCCAATTCTTTTGCTATTGATGTACATATTCTTTGGTGTTCTGCTGTTAATTTTTTACACTTTTTAAACAAATTGTTAATAATTATCAAAAATATAAATACAAATCCAATACATATATATATATACATACAATAAATACTAATATAGATTCGAGTACTTTGAATTCAAACGGTAGTGTCAGTGTCTCTGTGAAAAACAAATTCTGACTGACCAAATATTCTTTCATGATTGGCACCAATTCGTTTCGTATCAATGGATTCTGTGGATCAAAGAATATAATTTTATTGTGTTGTACTATTGCTCTTATAAACTAAAATAATAATATCATTGTTAGTTTGTTATATGTTAACATTTGGTCAATAGAAATGTGATATTACTTACACCGATCGATACGATGAAAACTTTGTCTCTTGCAAGAATTGCAGGCATCTGTGGTGGGAATGAACTGTCTATCGTTCGAAGATCACGTGCCTGCAGTTTCATTTCAATCGATAGGTTGTTCTTAAAGATGATTTGATCGATGAGCTGACCGCTTTGGTCTACTTCGAGCACCTTGAACGAACGAGTCTCCGAGAGGTATTGAGTGGGTGTGTCTCGACCGATGAACGACTCCTGATCGAATATCTTGGTTTTCATCTCTTTCGACATGGAGAGTGGCGATGCTCTACTGGTGCTTCGAACACGATGATCTCCAAACAACTTGTTTCTGATGTGCTGTTGGTGTAGCTGCTGTTGGTGTTGCTGCTGATGATCGACGATCGACGATGATTTGCCACCGCCCGGTACAACGTTATTGACAACACCACCACTGACACTACCTGTCGGTGTTGTACTATCAACATATATAGAAGAGCTTCTCCATGATGATGTACTATTACTGTTGTTAATATTGTTGTTGTTGTTGTTGTTTTTTGTAATATTCGATGATGTATTACTATCGTTATTATTGCTATTATTATTATTATTATTATTATTATTATTATTAGTACTACTATATCCCTTTATATTATAGCAACTGCTGTTAAGATTTTGATTCAATATTTGAAAGATTGGTAGATTTAGTCGAGGTTGAACTTGTTGTTGCTGTTGTTGTAGTGTTGATAACAACAATTTTGTTGTAGAAGATGATCTTAACATCTTTTACTAATTATATATCTTATATCACTATTGTATAATATAAAACAATATTTATAACTATAAATATATTTATATTAGCTAAGGTATATTATTATAACTCTTCTTGAAAATCGGTTACTTTGTTTTATTAAAAATTTTTTTTATTAAAGTTTTTTTTTTTTATTAAAAAGTTGTGTGTCATAATGTCATCATGTCATTAAAATTGAAAACAGCAACATGGTTGATGCATCTTGTCAGAAAATTGATCGGGTGCTATAAATATTCTAAATCAAATAATTCTAGTTAGAAAATAGTGATATACAGAAATACACAAACTAAAACAATATATTGGTAGAATGTTACTTTAATTCGCCAAGCATTTAAAAACTGATTCCATTCGAAGATTGTAGTAAAAATCAACACAACATAGAAAGATCTAGGATTCCCTAATCTAATTTGTTAAATAAATATTTTTTTTAAAATTATATTAATTTGAATCCAGCTATAAATGTTATTTTTATTTATCAAAAGAATTTAAAAAAAACAGTTAATTAGATCATAGGTATAAAATAAGATATCTTATTATTTTAATTTCAAAACAATAATATTTTGGGAATGAAGTAGAGTAGGTTTTAAGATTGTTTCAATTGTGAATGGAGTGCCTCCAACAATGCCTTCAAATTGTTTCTTAGTTCTTTCTTTTCCATCACATACTTGTAATAATACTAAATAAAATTGAAATATTAATATAAATAAAAAATAATCGCTTTAAAGATAGATAGAATATACTTACAAATATCTAACATTGAGACATATGCTTCATTTCCTTTTGGACCATCATCCATTACATACTCCATGATATGAACCTTACTAGTTGGTTTACATGACTTTGCAATGGTATTGAGAATCAATCTTGATTTCTCATCGGTCCAATCATGCAAAATAGACTTTAGAATGTAAAGGTCAGCAGTTGGTACACTCTCAAAGAAATTACCTGGATGCTCAGAGTATCTTGGATTCTTTGTGATTGCTCTATCCTGACCCTTTGAATTCTCAAATACATATGCTTGATCAAAATTGATAGCACTCTTTACAGATGGATATTGTCTTAGAATTTCTGCCAACAAACTAATTAAAAATTATGATAATATTAACTTTTCTATTCACTAAATTTATAACATAATACATAAATTATAAAATAATTACTTACATTCCTTGAGAACCTCCAAGATCACAAATAGTTTCATAGTTTGAATAGTTACCAAGTTCTGCCAATACTGGTGATGTTCTGGTAGTAATTGCAGTCATTCCAAGTGTAAATTCAGTCTCCTCCTTTGGATCCTTACCAAATGCATCCCAGAGATCGGTAGCACCCCATGCCTTTGGTGCCATAGAAACTCCGCTGACGATCGATTCAGATAATGTCTCAAAGGACCGATTGAATATGTTGGAATTCATCATAAGAGTTTCATCTCTGACCGATGGATCTGTTAGAGTCAAAGAGAGTTGAGTGTGTTGGAACACATTGCCTGGCAACTCTACAAAGAATCCATTCAAAGCCAAGAAATGCATGGTACGATACAGATAGTCTGGATTGATATGAAGCTCCGCTGCAATGTCATCCGATGACTTTTTACTCTCCAAAGTCGCTCCTATCTTCTCTGTCACTCTCAATCTGGCAATGGAATTCACACAAGTAGTGATATAAAAAGGAATATAGGCAAAGTCTTGAAATTTAACAATATTTTCATATACTGCTTTATACTTGTTTTCTGGTTCCATTCTTTCTTTTCTTCTTATTATTTATCTATATTCAAATTAATATTATTCAAATGATTTATAAAAAACAATGAATTTTCATTATTTATAATTAACAAATATTAAATATCTTTTAAGTTTCAATATTTCTTTGTTTTTTTGTTGTTCAAATTACAAAATCTCCAAAGCAAAGATTGATTTATTTGGAAGTAAAATGGGTTGTAATCCAATCAAAATTAAAGGTTATTTGAAATAAAGTGATTGATTGTTTTCATTTTTAATATTATCTCTCATTTAATGTAACCTTTATTTTATTTTTTTAACATTTGCAATTAAATAATTATGACTATTTTGAAACAACAAATAATATTATCTACTTCTATTATGTTCTATTATTCTGTTCGATTTAATTTATGCTTATGACAATGCAAATAGCTATATGACAAACAATTGCTGTTTATTCATGAAGATTAACAGTCCAGTCGTATGCTTATTAGATTGCGTGAAATAATCAAAAGTTAACAACACAATTACATCAACATCAAATGATCGGTGTAAGTACGATTCAAAGCATCATCATTGCTCTATCTTCTTTAAGAAAAGGGGTGAATTTTTTTTTGGTTTTGGTGACTTAAAATGACATAATTTATTGTTGTGCTGAAGTGTGTGTGATTCATTTTTATATTAATTAATTAAAAAAAAATAATAATTAGTCAGATATTTTTATAAAAAGAAAATTGATTCGTATGCAATAAAAACTATAAATAAATAATAATAAATAGAACAATAATAATATTTTTAGATAAAGTAAAAGAACTAATAATTCAAAAAAAAAAACATTAACAAATAAACATAATAAGCATATAAATAATTTTTTTAAAAATGGAAAATACATTTAATAGAAATGTTTTAAGAAATAGAAGTGAGTTTGCTGTTAACTTTACAAATAACTACTTCCCAGAGGTCATCAAAGAGGTTGAAGATGCTATCAAAGAGAACAAAGTCGTAGTAGTTGGAATGGCATACAATCCACATGTTAAAGAGATCAGAAACAATTTGACCAATGCAGGTATTCCATTCAAATATTTAGAGTATGGTAGTTATTTCTCAGGTTGGGACAAACGTTTGGCTCTGAAAATGTGGTCGGGCTTCCCTACATTCCCACAAGTTTTCCGTAACGGTACTCTCATTGGTGGTGCAGATACCGCAACTCAAGAGATAAAAGATGGAAAATTCAACGAATAAACTAAATATTTAGTTAAATTTAAATAATAATAATAATAATCAAACTGTATAAATAAAAATTTATAATATTTTATCCGTTAATCAAAAATTTGAATTTTTTTGAACTTAAATAAATATGTACACATGTTCATTAAGCACACAACAAACTTAGAAAACGTAAGCAATGATATTGTAGTTAACTGCAGACAAGAATTAATAAAGGGTTGAACAACTAATTAATTAATTAAATTGATTTGATTTGAATTCAATATTTATTTAATATTGTTTATTTAATGTTGTTGTTGGGTTGTTGTTGGTTCAACATAATCATCACGATCAGTCTTGGTTGCATATTGTTCCCATTTGTCGAGATCAGCAGTATATTTTTGGAGTTTAGCTCTAATCAATGGATATGTATCTGGACCAACAAAGATGTGATTGGTTGTGTTATCTTTCTCTTCGTACGCTCTGATGAGAATATCTAATAGTTTGGCGCAATCACCTCTTTGATTACCACTGATATCATTAGCATGAGTATCAACAATAGCGTGAACATGACCATAACTATCGATTTTCTTTTCAGCTTTTAGATATGATCCAGACTATTTTTATTTATAAACAATTCAAGATTAGTGAAAACAAAATCTAATGAATTAATTTAATGAACATATTCACTACTTACTGATAAGAATTCAGTTTTGAAATAACCTGGATTGATTCCAGTGACGTTGATTCCAAATGGTTTGACTTCCAAGGCGTATGCTTCGGTCAATCCATCGAGAGCAAACTTGGTTGAGCTGTATACTGAGAAACCTGGGTAGCCTATCAATGCGCCAACTGAAGAGATGTTGAAAACATGTCCACTTCCTTGGTTTCTGAGGATTGGTGTAACATAACGGAGTACATTGAACACACCGAATACATTGATATCAAAGTTCTTACGGACATCGTCATTAGAGCTCTCTTCGAGTGCACCAGCCACAGAGTAACCAGCATTATTTACAACAACATCGATACGTCCGAATTTGGAAAGTACTTCATCAAACGATGCCTTTACACTGGCTTCATTGGCCAACTCTACTTTGACAGCCAAGAAATTATTGGAATTACCAACAGCACCGACTGCATCAATCAGTTGTTGTTTATCTCTTGAAGTTCCAACAACTTTGAAACCATATTCCAAGAGTTTCTGGACAAAGATCAATCCCATTCCCTTCGAGGCACCAGTGATATACCATACTTTATCAGTTGAGGTAATATTAACTGTTGAAGTTGATTTAATTGACATTTTTAATAATAATAATAATAAAATTTATTTATTTACAATAAAGAGAGATAATAATTCTATAACTTGTTTAATTTAAGCTTTGGTTTAGATTTAATTTGAATGGTACGATAATTAATCAATTAATCCATCTTATTTATAGGATTCGAAAATAAATATAAATATCTTTTCATTTTTTATTAATTAAATTTAGTGGGGGTAGAAGAATCAAAAGAACATCATCACTATGTTTTGCTATTCAATTAATTATGCAAAAAAATTTTATTGCCAATTTAATCATAATTAATCATAATCATTGTTCACCATAATGACAATTATTTTTTTTCAGATTTATTTTTAATATTTTTTGAGGAACTATTGATCCTTTTCCAACCAGTTCTTCAAATACAATAATTTAAAAAAAAAAAATTTATATCTCAATATTGAAGAGAAAGATGGAATTCAATGAATAAATATTCGACCTAAATAATTAACTTAAATAAATCAAATAAATAATATTAAAAATATGTTAGTAAATTCAATAACAATTTCAAGTTTCACTGATAAAAGTTTAATTCAAGAATATAATATTCTAATTGCAAAACTGTTATTTTTAATAATATGTGAAATATTTGAATTTTTAAAAAAATGGCGGGTGAACGATCAAGTTTTTTTTTTTGTGAGTAAGCTAACACCTGATCGTTTCAAATAATCAATCATTCATAATTCAAATTATAAACTATATTAGTTAGTTATTATTATTATTTTTATATATTTTTGTATTTTTATAAATTAAATTAGTAAACAAAACAACAATGTCAAGTGAAAACCTACCACCAGATGTTATTAAAAGAATTCTAAAGGAATTGAAAGAACTCAATTCAAATCCGCTAGAGGGTATCACCTTATTACCCCTAGAAGAAGATATTTCAAATATTGATGCTTTAATTGTTGGTCCAAGTAAGTTTGTTGTTGTTGTTGTTTTTTTTAAAAACAAATAAAAAAATAAATGATAAATTTATTAATATTTAATGATTTAACTCTACAATCAATCAATTAACTAATCAATATTAGATGGTACACCATATGAAGGAGGACATTTCAAGGCCAGATTGATTTTAAGTTCTGAATTTCCAGGCGTGCCACCCAAAGCCAATTTCCTCACAAAGATATTCCATCCCAATGTCTCAAAGAAAGGTGAGATCTGTGTCAATACACTAAAGAAAGATTGGTCATCAGATCTTGGTATTAAACATATTTTATTGGTACGTATTAAAAATAAATAAATTCTAATTTAGTTTTATTAATGATCAATTATTATTTATTTATTTATTTATTTATTTTTAGACTATTAAATGTTTGTTGATTGTTCCAAATGCGGACTCAGCATTGAATGAAGATGCCTCTATTTTATTGTTGGAGAACTACGATGATTATTGTAAGCATGCCAAGATGTTCACATCGATTCATGCAAAGGCAACTGTTATTGCAGGTACAGAAAGCACTGGCAACACCTCTGGTGTCAGCTCCAGCAACGTTCTCACCAGCAACAGCACCAACATCGAAGCAAACAACAAGAGTGAGAAGGCATCGACTACTTCCTCATCCAGCGCATCTACCACATCGACAACCAGCAGCACAACCACCACTGCTGCCACCAAAAAGAAAGCAGAACTCGATACATCAAAGGCCAAAAAGAGTTTAAAAAGACTTTAAATAATCCTTTTTTAATTCATTTATAATAATAATACGCCAAACAACATTAATCAGTAAATCTTAATTATATATATGTAATTTATATATATAGTAATGATGATCGAACCAACTAATCAAAATCAATATAATTTAATAACAATTCAAATGGTTGTAGAGAGACACTACAACATTTAAATGTTATTGTTAAACTAAACTAATAAACAATAATAAAATTATTATATTATTACTTTATTAAAATTATTATTCTTTCGAACAATCTATGGTAAAGTCAATTATGTCGGTGACAATCGCATGAACCAACTTTTGTTTTCAAAAAATTTTGGTGTTGCAACACGCGTGATACACATGATCGGATTGATTATTAATAAATTATTCTGAAACCAAACACATTTGTAATAATAATAATCAATAATAATCAGAAATAGTAAAATATTATTATTTTAAGATTAGTTAACTTAATTAGAGAATAATAAGACATGTCAAATAAAACACAAAGATTAGGCTGGACAAAATACACTGGATATCCTATGTGGCCATGTAGGAATGCTAGCTTATCAGAGGCGAGTGAAGAAGTCAAGAAACAAAAGAAAGAAGGAAAGGATCTATTGGTTTACTTTTTCGGTAGTCACGATTAGTATGTAGTTGCGAGTTGTTGTTTAATAATATATTTAATCTTAATGTTAACAAAATCTTTCAAAGTGCATGGGTGTCAGATAATAACTTTGTAGACTTTAATGCAAACTTTGATCTCTACTCAAAGTCAAAGAGAAAAGACGTTCAAAATGGTATAAAAGAAGCATTCGAATGGAGAGATAATAGAGATAAGATTATGAAAGAGCAAGAAGATCAAGAAGGAGAAGAAGGAGAATCAGGTGATGATGACGATAACACTGAAAATGGTGATGAGGATTCAGAGGTAGAGAGTATGGATGAATCAAAAGATAATAATAAAAAGAAATCGACATCGTCATCAACATCAACATTAGATAAAGATAAAAATAGTAGCAACGGATCAACATCTGCTAGTTCCGCTGCACCTTCTTCACCTGCTACCAATGACACTAATACTTCTACTACCACCACCACCAACACCAACAACACTACATCATCTTCCTCACCAAAAGAAGATATGAGAACAACCATTATTACATTACCAAACTTTAAAAAGAAACAAACTACATCAACAACAACAACATCTTCTTCTTCTTCAGCAAAGAAAACAACCACCAATAATAGTAGTAAATATAGTGATGATGAAGATGAAGATGATTCAAAATCAAACAGCAGTAAATCATCGACAACAACAACAACAACAGCACCAATAACAAGAATAACAAGACCATTCACAGCAAGAAGTAAAGCAATGGCAGCCAATAGAGAAGCAAAGGAAATTGCAAACAAAGCAGCTTCTGCAAATTCGACTGCCTCTACAACTGTTAAAATTAAAGTTCCTATCACGCCCGCGACATCATCACCAGACTCATCAAACAAGAAAAAATCATCATCATCTAAAAACGATCATAGTGTAAGTAATCTTTAATTTTTACTCATTCAAACTTTATGTTAATATTAACAACAAATAATGTTAATATTAAATCACTATTACAGATTAGAAAAAAGAATTTTAGATTAAAAATCATGAGAAAATTGGCATTATGTACACCAACTGAAACATCCACCTCAAAATAATAATTATATATCAATAATCAATATTGAATATAATAACAAAACTTATCTATCTAGTTCAATTTTAATTTATTTCTAGATAAAATCTATAATATAATATAATATTTCAATAACACTAGCTTCGTCTCATTATCTCTTTCAAATTGATCAAACATTATAATGATTTATTTCTTTTAATCAGTCTTAACATTATCTGTTAAGTCCATACACTCTAAAAGATTGATTGCCAATTATCATTCTTTAAATTTTTTTAAAAATTAAAAAAAAAAAAAACTTTTAAAATTTTTTTTAAAAAAAAACGAACGACAATCATTGATTTAAATTGTAGATAATTGTTATTATTATTATTATTTTTTTAATTTACTATTATTAAAGTTTATATTTATAAAAATTAGTAAATAAATATGGGAAAGAAGAATAAAGGAAGTGTTGCTTCTGGTGGCGTCGGATTGGATGAAGTCAAGATGTTAGATGTAATTGAAGGTTCATCAGTGTTAACAACAACCGGCAACAACAAGAAGAGTAATAGAAAACCAAAACAAGCTGTAAAACCAAAGAAAGCTAATTGGTCAAAGGTTGACTTGGACGACAATCATCTCTCTACTTTCAGTCACAGTGGATTCTTGGGATTGGAGGTGTTGGGTGACGATGACTACATTACAAACGGTGCCAACAACAAGAGAACCAAAGACGATGAGCGTGACTACGACGACAAAGAGTTCAGAGCATACAAGAATATAAACATCTACGACGATGACGACAATCCAATGTCGGCAAGAGAGACTCTCTCCAAAGGAAAAGGCAAAGGCAAGAGAACATCCACTACACTGACCAGAGACGAGAAGAAAAAGAAACAAAGAATGGATGAAGCAATGTCAAAGGTTGAAGTACCAAAGATCCTGCAAAATCTCAATAACAAAGATAACAAAGATAATAAAGATAATAATAATAATAAACAAGCTAAAAAGACAACAACAACTACAACATCGGCTGCAACCACTCAACAATCGAAAACCAGCACAACTACAACTACCACTACAAATGCTACTACTACAACAGCAGCAGCAGCATCTAATAAACAACAAAAACAAAAGAAACAACAAAAAGAAGTAGTAGTAGCCGAGGATAAGATGGAAGTGGAAACAGAGAAAGCAGAGGTAGAGGAATCAAATGAGGCGGCTGCTGAGAGTGTAAAGGAAAAGAAGGCAAAGAAAGAGAAGAAGCCACAAACAAAGAAAGCAATTGCAAACATCCAAAAGAATGAAAAGTTTAAGAAAAGATCAGAACAATCACTTCAAAAGTTTTTAAAAGAAGATGGTAAGGATTAAAAAACAAAACAGACAATGTTGAAAATTTGAAAATAATTTATTAATAATCATTCATTATATTTAATCTATATATGTTTAGAACAAGAAAAAGTAGATATTTCAGCATGGAATCAATATGATTTAGATCCTTTGTTGGTAAAGGGTTTGAAAGCACTTGGATATGGTGAACCAACCGAAATTCAGAGTCAAGTTATTCCCGCTGCTTTGAAGAATGGATTGGATATCATTGGTGCCGCCGAGACTGGTTCCGGAAAGACATTGGCATTCGGTATTCCAATGTTACACAATATTCTTACATATCTTCGTTCCATTAATCATCCAGTTGAAAAACAAAACATTAATGTTGATGGAAAGATGAAGCCATTGGTTGAACAAGATGATGAAGAAGAGGAGGAGGAAGAAGAGGAGGAAGAAACAGCAACAAGGAAACAAGGACATCTTTATTCACTTATTATGTGTCCAACGAGAGAGTTGGCCATTCAGGTAGCCAATCATCTTAAATCGATATCCTATTTCACAACCATCAGTGTTGTTACTGTGGTCGGTGGTATGGCAGCACAAAAACAAATAAGATTGCTCGGTCGTCGACCAGAGATTGTTGTCGCCACACCAGGTCGTCTCTGGGAGCTGATTCAAGATGGAAATGAACATCTCCTAGATCTCACACACTTGATGTGTTTCGGTATTGACGAAGCCGATCGTATGGTAGAGAAAGGTCATTTCGCAGAGGTTGACAGTATTCTAAAGATGTTGCCAAAATACTCCTCAAAGTTACAACAACAACGTGAACAACAAGCAGCCGAGGAAGAAGAAGATAAAGAAGAGCAAGAGGAGGAAGAAGATAAAGAGGATGGAGAAGTTGAAGATGAAGAGGAGAAAGAAGAGCGTAGCAATGGATTCAGTTATCTTTCATCATTTAAAAGACAAACTTTTATTTTCTCTGCAACTCTTGTTGGAATTCCAAACATCAATGAACTCAATAACGATGGAAAGAAACCAATGGGTGGAAACAGAAAGTTCAAGAAGAAGGCTGCCTCTCCCCTACAGGAACTCATTGGAAAGGTTCAATTCCAGAGAAGATACCGTTTGATCGACTGCACCAAATCAAAGTTGACCGCCAGAAATCTTGAGGAAACCAAGATTGTTTGCTCGGTTGAAGAGCGTGACATGTTCCTCTACTACTTTGTCGATCGTTATCCAGGTAGAACACTGGTTTTCGTCAACTCGATCGACAGTGCCCGTCGTCTACTACCGATTCTCAACAATCTCAAAGTTCCAATCTTCACTCTGCACGCCCAGATGCAACAACGTCAGCGTCTAAAGAATTTGGATCGCTTCCGTAATATGGAGCATGTCGTTCTCTTGGCAACTGACGTCGCTGCACGTGGTCTAGATATCCAGAATGTGCAACACGTCATTCACTTCCAGGTTCCACGTTCGCTCGAATTGTATATCCATAGATCCGGTCGTACCGCTCGTTCGAAACGTGAAGGTTTCTCGCTTGTCATGGTCACCCCCAAGGAGAATGACTTGTACAACAAGTTGGCGCGTTCACTCGAGCATGAAATCCCAACTTTCCCAATCGACTTGAAGTATCTCGATGCCATTAAGACACGTGTGGAACTCGCCATTCAAATCGACAAGCTCACTCATCAGACAAAGAAGGAGAATGCCGAGAAGAACTGGTTTATGAACACCGCACGTGAGATGGATATTGCACTGGACGACGACTTCTATCCCGACTCTGACAACGAAGACGAACAAATGGAAAACATGAAACAGCAAAACAAACTCAACTCACTTCGTCACCGTCTAACAGAATTACTCCAACAAAACATCAGACCAAGAGGTCAATCCACTAGATACATCACCGCCGAAAGCATTGCTGAAATGGAATCCAAAGAAAATGCCACACCAAATTCAGATCTTAAGAATAAGTTGAATAAGAAAAAGAATAAGAAATAATAAATATTATTTTATTTTATTTTTTGAAATGAAATTAATTGATGGTTTAATAGAAATATTTATTTAAATGCCAAATGCAAAATTTAGAAGTATTTATAAATATTTATAGAGAAGTTCAGTTATTGTTGTTCTTTTGAAAGTTTCCAAGCTTGGTAGTATCTCTCAATATCATCACTTAAAGATGGTTGAGTTGGATTCCATCCGAGAATGGTTTGTGCTTTCTTGGATGAGAGTTTCAATGAGACGGCTAGAATCTGAGCCATTGGGTTGTCGTCTGGTGGGGAGACGTAGTTTACAGATTTGATTGGGATATTGGCAACTCTAGCTACATCTCTAATAAGTTCTTCGGTACGGATGTAGTGAGAGTTGGCAATGAAGACTTCACCTCTCAATGATTGACCTCTAAGAGCAATCAATAAATAGAGTTGAGCCAAATCGTAGGAGTGGACGAATGAACGGTATTGAGTAGCTTTTCCAAAGATTGTTACATCACCAGTGTGTTTGGTAGCAATGTCAAAGTAGACACCTGAAGCAGAACCCTTTCTACCAAAGACAAATGATGGTTGGACAACGATAGCGCCAATGGAAAGATATTGGTTTTCAATATCTACTCTACCACTAATGAGACCATTAACAACTACCTTCTTGGAATTTTCGAATACCAATTCCTGATCGTGTTCACCATAGACCATACCACCAGAAGTGTAAATTACAGTTAATTCTTTTCTTTTGGCAGAAATTTCCTTCAACTTGGCGAAAATGGAATCGGAAGTAGCTGGATTAGTGAAATCACCTACGGCTTCAATGACAACATCAACTTTTTCGGCAATTGGAGACCAGACATTTACATCACCTGCATTTCCAACAATTGGAATAACTTAATAAAAAATAAATAAATAAGAAATTAATATTTGATAATTATTATGTAAATAAATAAAAACCTACTTTCATTCTTTTGTAAAAATTTTGCTTTCTCTTGGTCTCTAGTTAATCCATAAACTTTGAATCCTTTATTTAAAAAGGCTGCAGCGATATCAAAGCCAATGGCACCAGTTGAACCCAATACTAATACAGAAGACATGGTTGTTATTATTAATTTAAAAATTATATTTATTTATTTATATGTTTTAGAGTTGTTAATTTTTTTTTTGAATTATAAAATTCATTTGAATCTCTATTTATAATTAAATTATTCATTCCAATACTTGTGGAAGAATTCTATAAATAAATTAAAAAATTGAAATTGGAATCCAATTATTCCAAAACCAAATTTTATAAAATTTTGTTTCCTTTTTTTGGAATGATCCAAGTGTTTCCAAAATTCCAAAACATTTGGAGTTTGATGACTCCAAAATTCAGTAGCGTCAAAGTCTGTTTGAATGATGCTGTGGAAAAAAAATTTATGTGAAATTTTTTTTTTTTTTATTAATATCAAATCTCAAACATTATTTTTGCAATCAATTTTTTTTATTCAATATTTGTTTATATTTAAACCCTCGCATTGCGAACATACTTCGTGGTGGTGAATGAAGAGTATGTGAATGAACAAACTCGCAGATACTCGCAATATCTTTTTTATTTTGTTTTTCTCTTTGTTTGAAATTGATATAACTAATAATGTAATTTCAATGTTTTTTTTTTTTGTAAACTTTTAATAAAAACAATAATTGAAAAGATAATTATCAAAATAATTATCTGAATTCATACAATTAACTTTATTGTTGCTATTTTATTTCTATGTAATATAAATTTATGTTGTATTTGGGCTTATTTCTCAATAATTGTTTCACTATCAGGACTCTTTAAATGCTAAGTCGTCACTGATATTCTTAGTTTAAATAAAAAATGATAATGATGAATGAATAATGTTATAATGATGAAGAAATAAAATCTTAACAAAATTAATATCAATTGTTTTTTTTTTTTGAATGGTGTGACGATGGCAACACACAACCCTGCACTAATCACAAGAAGATATTATTAATTCATTTTTATTGAATTATATGATTCTTTATGATGCTTTTCCTTTGCTTTGCTGGTGCAAAATTCCTAGCGAAAATTGAACTTACCCCCATCGATTAGTTTTTTTTTTAACTAAAAAAAATAAAGAAAATCGATTTGTTTTGGTGTGGTTTGATTTCTTTGATGGATTTTCAGTGGTTTGTGGTTCATACTAATTTTATTGTAAAGTTTTTGGCATGGTCAGTGTGATGGGGGATGAGAAAATACACTATGATTTCTTTTCTATTTTTTTTTTTTTTCATTATAAATAAATAAAATGAAAGATTGACCTGTTTTTTTCAAGAACAATAAAAAATAAAAAACAAAATAAACAAACAAAAGAGTAAAGTGAAGAGCATTTCTCATTATAATTTTTTTTTCTACCAATAATAAATAATATAAATACATACAATGGGAAAGAAATCACCAAAATCATCATCACCAAAGCTACAACAAGCAACTGAAGGCGAAGACTTCAACCCACTGGCGAATTTAGATGAAAAGAAATTAAAAATTTTTAATGATTTTAAAAAAAGATGTGAAGAATTAGAGTTGGATGAAAGAGAGGTAAATATACAGATCTTTCTTACTTTGAAAAATAACGTTATTGAAATGAAAATTATTCTAACAAAACAATATATATAGAAAATATGGTTGTCAGATATGTGTTGTCTAAGATACTTGAGAGCTCGTGAATATGATTTGGATCAAGCTTTTTCATTATTACAGAAGACTATTGCCTGGAGAAGAGAATATAAACCACATGAAATTACAGGTAGGCTATCAGTAATTACAATTCAATTGAAATTAATTTCAGCATAAATATTTATTAACAATTCATTATAAATTTAGCTGAACATTTAAGTTTTGAAAACTCAACTGGAAAACAATATGTCAATGGTAAAACAAAGGAGAATTTACCAGTTATTTATCAGCGTCCATCTAGAGAGAATACCAAGACATATGAGCGTCAGATTCAATTGATGGTCTACACTTTGGAGAGAGCCATCGAGCATATGGACGAGAAGCGTGGAGTCGAACAGGTTGCCCTCATGATCGATTTCAGTGGTTACTCAATGTTCAATATGCCACCAACCTCTGTCAGTAAGCAGTGTTTAGATATCCTGTTGAATCACTACCCAGAACGTCTGGGATTCGCCTTCATCATCGACCCCCCAATGATTTTTAACGTATTTTGGAGTTTTGTGTCCCCATTCATAAATAAGAACACCGCCAGCAAAATCGTATTTGTAAAGGGTGAGAAGCAACGTCGTAACTTACTACATACTCACTTTGAAGACAACGTTCTCGAAGCAGAATACGGTGGTAAAGGTGATTTCGTATTCCAACGTAATGTCCACTGGAAGAATGAGATCATCCACGACAGAAAGAAGAGAGGTTTACCAGAGCTAACCATCGATGAAATGGACACCATTCTAGCATTACAAGAATAAGTTATCAAAAAAGTACAACTACAAAGCTTTACACTTTTTTTTTTCAACTCAACAATCATCAAACAAACACCTTGTAAATTTTAACAACATCCAACTTTTAAATAATATAACATTATATTATATTATATTATATATAGATAGATTAATTCACACTCAACTACTTTAATAGTAATAACTTCAAGTAGAGATTATAATAAATAGATTAAAATAGATATCAGATATCTCATATAGTAATTAAAAGAAAGTAAATCAAATTAGCTCTTTATTCTTCAAATACCCATTGCAATACCTTCTTTACGAGGATCAGATGCACCCACCCAACATTTTTCTTTATCGTCATACATTATTCCTTGTAAACCTGTTGAAAGTTCAAGGTAATTAATGTTCTCATGACCGTATTGATTTTTCAAAATATCAATATTGGTTTTGTTGATTCTTCCAAGTTCGATCAAAATTTGTGCATTCTGGTTAATCGAACCAAAGTTAAGCATATTGAAAGAATCTTGAAGAGTGATACCCCAATTCATTGATGCAACTATTGATTTCGCAATTGTCAACGGAATGGTTGGTCCGCCTGCAGAACCAATAGACATTAATAGACTTCTTTTACCACGATTACTAGTATCTTCGTGTTTTTTAAAAACTAGAGTTGGAGACATAGAAGATCTAGGTCGTTTGTTGGGACTGACCTTGTTGGCAACGGAGCATTGGTCTTTGACATCATAGGGATCAAATGAAAAGTCTGTCAACTGGTTATTCAAGAGAAATCCTTCGACCATTAATGTCGATCCAAATCCATTTTCAATAGAGGTTGTCATTGATACAGAATTTCCTTCTTTATCAACAATTGAAATGTGAGAAGTACATGGAAATTCATGTGAATGACCCTCTTTGAAGCTATTTCCCAATAGTTGTTCTCTGGTGAATTTACCTGCCACTGCTTGTCCCAAGCTCTTCTCTGTTATCAACGCCGATCTTTCCTTTAGATATTTCTTTTCCAAAAATAGATCCCAATTCAAATCTAAATCGGCAAGGTATCTATTTCTATCGGCAAAAGCAAGTTTACTGGCTTCACTGAAAATATGTAGTGCTTTGGTAGTTGGCTGGTAATATTTACCGAAATTATCAATATTTTCAAGTGTTGGAGGAAGGTTTTCTATTCTATACTTGTTTGGTAAAGAATCTAAAATTCCCAATATCTGTAGCAATATAATACCACTCGGTCTAGTTGTACAAACAGTATTCTTTTGGTAATCATGACAAATGGGTGTTGTGGATTTAATTTGGTACTTTCTTAGATCTTCCATCTCTAGAAATCCAGGATTGGTAGGATGGTTCTTTACTTTTGCAACTATCTTACTGGCTATTTCTCCATTGTAAAAACCTGCATCACTACCCAACAGAGATATTCTCTGAAAAACTTTGGCAAGTTTTACATTCTTTAGAATTTGCCCCTCTTTCTTTGGTGTTAGATCTGAATTATAAAAGAACTTTCTCGATTCAGGATCCTTCAGTAAAAAAGGTTTATATTTCTCCATTGCCAGCATTGTTGCCAATCGATTGCCAATTGGAAAACCATCTATACACAATTTGATTGCCGGTTGAAATAATTGTTTCCATGGAAGCTTTCCAAATTGTGAATGTACATGTTCCATAAGCTTTAAAGTACCCGGTACACCAACGGAACTACCACCAACCAATGCCTCAATAAATGTTTTTGGTTGATTTGTAGTTTGATTGAAAAATAACTTTTCGGTCACCCCACTTGGAGCAGTCTCTCTTCCATCGAAAGAAAGTAACTTATCGTTCTTTTTATCGAAATATATAAGATAAGAGCCACCACCTATTCCAGATGATTGTGGTTCCACCAAATTAAGAACCAATTGTACAGCTATCATAGAATCGATTGCATTTCCTCCAATATTAATAATATCATAGCCTGCCTTTGTCGCCAGAGGATGTGCAGACACAACCATAAATTCCTTTGAAGTATATTTTTCTTTCTTGTACCATCCACTAGTTACTTCTGGAGTTGAATTACAATCTATTTTATTAATAAAAACTAATAATATATATAAAAAAATACACTTTTTATAAAATAACATTTTTATATGTTTATTCAAGTTTCAATTGAAACATTAAACCCTATTATATATCAATTTCTCAAATACAGGGAAATTAAAATAATTATTAAATTAAATTGAACAAATATTTGTGAGTTTAGATTAAAAAGTTAAAATGTAAAGTATAAGATTGAATTTAAATATAAATAAATAAATTCAGTTAAAATACAAAAACATAATCTATAAAATTATCCTACAACACTAGTTTGTAAAGTTTAGATATCTTTTTGAAACTGATAAGTTATACACACACATCATTATGTGTGTAGAACACACTGATTACACAGACGAGTGGGTTTGTACACATAAAATTATACAATTGAATCAAATTTATCAAAAAATAATATTTTGATTTTTATTTATATATTCAATTTATTAATAAATTATTATTATTATTGTTATTGGTAAAAAATATAAAGTATTTACCAATCTGGAGTTGAAGGAGGTGAGCTTGGTGTTTGAGTGGAGGAAGGTGATGAAAAAGGAATATCGGGATTCCCAACGGAATTTGGTGAAGTAGTATTTGAAAGCAGTGCATCTTCTTTTTTCTTTAAATTCTTCAAATAGGTATTTGAATGAGAACGAACTTGGTGGTGAGTTCTTGTTTTGACGTGCTGCGCAATCTCGTGATACGCTTTGTAACCAAATTGTTCTGATGCTTCCAAAAAAAGTGCATGCTCTTCGGCTGTCCAATGAATGGTTTTTTCCTTTGGTTTCTTCTTTTTCATTGCTTGGCCGGCTGCCGATTTCTTTGGAGTTTTCAATGGAGAGTCTGGAGAGGTGCTATTTCCACCATCTTTTTCTTTTTCTTTGTCTTTGTCTTTGTCTTTGGTCTTCTTTGATTTGCTTGCCTTTGGTGTGGCACCTGTCGATGTGGTGGTGGTTGGTTGTGGAGTGGTGGCAGGTGGTGGTGGTGGTTGAATGGGTTGCAATCCGGGTTGACCGACGGCTTGCTGTGTTGGCTGTAGCAGAGTCATGATTTGCTGTGGAGGCACAACTTGATGCTGAAGTTGTTGTTGGTAGATCTGCTGTTGTTGTTGTTGTTGTTGCTGTTGTTGGAGTTGCAACTGTTGGAGATAGTGAAGCTGTTGTGGAGAATTTAAAAAGATTTGAATTTGGTTGGCTTGTTCTTGTGTCTGTTGGTATTGAGTGGTCAGCATGCTTATGGCTGCTTGAGTTTGAGGTTGTTGCATCTGTTGGTGTATACTATGCATTTGATATAGTAATTGATTGTATTTCTCTCTCATCTGTTCATAATAATAAAGATTGTTTGCTTGTTGAGGGTTGGTGCCGTGTGGTTGAACTGTTTGTTGCACTGTTTGAAGTGGTGGTTGTTGTTGGTTGGTTATTTGCTGTTGTGTATATAGTTGTGTCGGTGAAGTAATCATTGTTTGTTGTGCTTGTTGAACTTGTTGATTCTGTTGAATTTGATGGTGTTGCTTTGGATCATTTATATTATGTGCTTGTGGAGTGGTTTGTTGAGAAGTGTGTTGTTGTGGAATGTGTTGTTGAAGATGTGGTTGAAAGTGAGCTTGTAAATGTGGTTGTTGTGCAAGCGATTGATTCTGAAGTTGCTGCTGTTGCAACTGTTGTTGTTGTAGCTGTTGCTGCTGCTGTTGTTGCTGTTGTAGCTGTTGCTGCTGTTGTTGTTGCTGTTGTTGAATTTGTTGCTGTTGCTGTTGGTATTGAATAACCTGTTGTTGGTGGATAATCAATTTATATTGATGTAACAAGTTATTGTACTGGGTGGAAATGTTGTTTGGAATGGCGAGATGATTGGCTTGATACTGCTGAATGAGAACAACATATTCTTTGATTTGATTCTCAACGTTCTGCAGTGGATTCAGTCCTGTTGCACTTGGAGATGTCATCGCGGTGACAGATTGATGCTGTGGAGTGTTTGAAGAGGAGGGTGTAGTAGATGAAGTTGAAGTTGTTGAAGTTGTTGTCGGTTGATTGTGAAGAGTGAGAGGGTGTTGTGAGGTGAGTAGTGTTCTCAGTTTGGCGGTGGTGACAAATCCACCTACCATATCTTCGCTAATGAGTAGTGACCAATTGGAGTCGATGATACGCAGTGTGTAGAAGCGAGGATTGGCACAGAGTTGGATGGACAGCTGGATACGCGTCGCCAGGAAATACTCTAACAGTTGATTGTTGAGAAGTGCTCGATTGCTAATGGAGAGAGAGGTGATAGACGCAGGAAGATTCGATAGATTGAGGAATTGGTTGAATTTCCAGCCGATTCGTAGTGTTGTCACCGACGCTGGAATGGTTCTCGGTAGGAGTTGAGTGTTGTAGTCATCGCCAAACTCGAGGTTAGTTACGGAGGGTGGTATTTTATCGGGAGGGATCTCTTGATTGAATCGATTTCCAAAGATGAGATGTTGAACCGACGACGGTATAAAGGTCGAGTCGATAATCGGTGTTGGCGAGTTGAATCGCAGGTGTCGCACTGACGACGGTATGACTCCGCAGCCGAGAGCCTGTTGGAAATGCTCGCCAAACTCCAAGTGCTCTACACCTATCGGTATGGCACCGAATTGGATCGGTTGATTAAAGAATGTTCCGAATTTCAGGTGCGTAACCGAGGGCGGAATCGAGTAGTATGCAATCTCCTGGTTGAAATGTGAGCCAAAAGTGAGGTGAGTCACTGCGTACGGAATGACACCCTGTGAGATCGTCTGATTAAAGTCGGAACCAAACTCGAGTTTGGTCACCGACACTGGAATGGCGCCAGGCGGAATGGGGAAGTTAAAGTCGTCGCCAAACTTCAACTCGGAGACAGCCGATGGAATGGTGCCGTTGTTGATCTGGCGATTGAAACGACGTCCAAACTCGATCGATTTCAGCGCTGTCGGCATAGCCGCTGGTGATATCGGCTGGTTAAAGTTGGCTCCGAAGCGGAGCGACACTAGCGACGCGGGCAGCGTTCCGAGCAGCAGTGTCTGGTTGAAAGCATTTCCCAGCTCGATGTGTGTGAGTGTATGTGGGAGTATTCCGGGTGGAATGATCTGGTTGAACTCCGGTGCCAGTCGGAGGTGTGTTGTGTTGGCGGGGATGGCGCCAGGCAGCAGTGGCAGATTACCGGTGCCGACCAGCGTGTAGCTAGCAGCGACAGAGCCCGACAGCGAGTTGGGATCGGCAGCGAGCTTAGCGTCGAGGGCAGCGCGCACAGCCGCCTTTAAGCCGCGCGGAACATAATCGACACGCGACAACACTGAGCTCTTCAATTGTATGTATTGTTGTCGCTCCTCGTACCACTTGCGACAACAGAGGGCAACACATAGACGATCGACATTCGAATCGAGAAATGTGATAATATATTGTATCAGACAAGGTGAAAGAATAGAGGTTATACTTGTACCAGTGGAACTGCCAGTTCCATTCATATTACTATTTATAATACTGCTGTTGCTGTTGCTGTTGTTGTTGTTGAAATGATGGTGATTATCGTTGTTGCTGTTGCTATTTGATGATGATGATGATGTTGGCATCAAAGTCGATGAAGATGCAACAATGGTCGATGAAGGAGTAGAGCCAGAAGTCAAGATAGCAGTAGTTGTAGTCGATGTTGTTGCTGTTGACGTTGTCATTATATATACATAGATATATTCTTCTATCTACTATCTTCTTATCTACCTTTAAATATATATATGTAAGCTTAGCTAAATTCTGATTCTTTCCTTTTGTTTTGTTTTATTTTTAAAAAAAAATTAAATGAAATTCAACTTTTTTTTTTTTTTTTTTTTTGAAAAATGAAATGAAATATAAGTGTTAATTAGGTATTGTTACTTTAATTGAATTATCCAATTTAAAGATGGTCATTATATGGAGTGTGTGTGGTTAGTGTTTTGTTAGATTGTTTTTGATGGCTTTGTTTTGATGTATTTGTTTGAATGAAGATGAGTGGTCGAAGATTATTTTAAATATTACCAGTTTTTTAATAAAGAAATTTAAATAAAGTTGTTTGATCAACTTTGCTTGAACCTTTTAAAATTTATGTCTTAAAATAGAAAGAAAAAATATGAAAATACAAATATTATGATGTCGCAACCACCTTTGAAACTTTGTCTTGTTTTTTTTTTTGGTATCTTTAGATTGATTGGTTTGTTTTGGTGTAGTCTCTATCTATGTTTTATAGTTACAAGTATATGTATTTTAAAACATTAATGGTATATGATTCTTAATCATAAACAAAATAATAACATAACAAATAAACATCTACCTACAATTAGTTATATTAACATATGTATGATTAATATTGACCTGACTATGAATTGTAAACTATTGTGTTTGTTTTTTTTAAGGAAAAATTAATAAATATTTTCCTTTTTCGATAATATATATAGAAACTATATAAGTTTAGTTAATATTATATTTTAAACATATTTAGAATAAAAAAAATAGATTTTAGTGAAGTTAAAATGAAAACAATATTTTGGAAGGTGTTTCTCCTTCCGGGGTTTTTTTGTAATTTGAGATTGGTGTGGAACAGAGATCCTAATCAATTTTGAACCAAAACAATAACAAAAAAAATTGGATAAATGTTGATTGAATTTATTGGAGACTATTTTGATGGTTTTCGTATTCTCTAGTTTACTTTTTTAGTAGCTACTTTGATTTTGATTTTATTTTGCTTTTTGTTTTAATTAAACTATTCAATGATTTTTTTTTAACCACTTTTGACTTTTTTTTGATTGTTTTTTTTTTTTTTTCTACTAAATTTTGAAAATTAATGAAGATATGTTTGTTGGATTTATTTAACTTTTTGGCTGTCTTGGTTTAATTTCTTACTTTCAAAGAATGAAAGAGGAATGATCTTCCTATCCATCCAACATTAAACAAACAAACAGTGTTTAAAAATAAATTAATTAATTAATTTTGCTAAAAATAATTAAAAAACAAACAAATGGTTGTGGAAAAAGAAAAAAAAGATAAAAAAGGTGATGAATAAAATTAAATTAAGTACAAAGTATGATTTATAAATATATGTATATAAATTACAATCAGATCACAACCCTAATTTGGTAAAAAATATAACATCATTTTAATAAATAATACACACATAAATATTATATATTAATATGGTAAACACTTTCGGTAAATACAACCACCATTGTCATATACATACTTAAAAACCTTTTAACATTCGGTAACAAATAAATAAATATTTATTTATTTATTTTTTAATAAAAGTAAATGTGGAAATAGTGGTGTGTTGTGTGAAAAGAATAAAATTAAAAGGAAGCAACCACCTCTCCAACCAATCATAATAAGTGATCTATTTTAAAAGTTGGATAGATTAAGATATAAATATATGTATGGACTAACCCAAAATGGATTATTCACTATTGATATAAAATATCTAAATTTACACTTTACCTTTTTTATTTTTAAATTAATAGTAAGTCTAAATCAATTTAAAATTGTTTGTTTTTTTATCCTCTTCTTCGTTTCTCCTAACAATTTATTGATTATATTTCAGAAAGGAGTGGTAGTTGTTCGTTAGAAATTAATTTGGAGAAAGGATATGAATTTTTAGACTAATATTGTAAATACATTGATGGATTAAATATTATACAGTAATACTATCGGAGGATTGAATGATTAAATTTAAAAAAACAAAGATAACTATTTAGATGTTAATTATAAAATAAATTTTATTTACAAACTCTTTTATAAAAATCGACACTTACCATTACTATTCTGAGTATCAGTGTAATTCAATAGTTAATGAAATCTTCTTCCTATCCAGGAGAGAAAACAACCAATTAAACTAGTAACATCAACTTTAAATACACACATTTAAACATACAAACCACCACCACTATCATCACCACTTTCGAAATTGTCTAATTAATTATTATTATTTAATCACTTTTATCTATTCTAAATAAGATTTTAAATAGAGTATTAATTGAGTAAAAACAAGAGATGAAGATGATAGATTTTATGGATGATCAGAGTTTGAAGAGGTAAATTTAACTAGCTGGATTTGGTGGATGGTTGTGTAGGATTGTGTTCACTTTTAAAGTGCGAATTTAATTTTTTTAGTATTTTAAATTTAAATATATCAAGTAGTTATATCTTATTGATGTTGCAAATACTACCAGGTTCTCTAAATTTACAAAACCATCAGTTTTCTTTTCTGGAGTTGTGCCATCAATTTTTTTGTCAATCGCATTGTCATTTATGAATTTAAATTGATTACAATCGATAATCCTAATAGATAATACAAAGAGAAGAGAAGGAAAGAAAGAAGATCATTGTTATTTTGTGAGGAAAGTTTAATTATTATCTATATATTGTTAAAGATGGATGGTCAGGATAATTGAACAAGATAGATAAATGAATGATTGATTGAAATTAAATATTATTTTATGGAGATAACAATAGTGTGATTCGGTTCAGTTACTTATTATATTAAATTTAAATAAAAGTTAGTTTTTTATTGGTTGACTAATAATAATTGATTTAGAAAAGGAGGGCAGCAACCAAAAGGATCATCATGGCAATTGAGGCGGTCAAAGCGTTGGCAGATCCAGTGGTAGTAGAGTCACCGGTGGTGGTACCGTTTCCAGTGGTGGTAGATGGACCAGTGGTACCGGTAGTTGATGGTTGGACGTAGGCGAGTTGAGCACGTGAGATGGCGATGGCAGTACCGTCGGTGGTGTTCTTGGCGTTGGCTTGAACGTAGATGACTGGAACTGGTGAGCCGACCAATTGACCGATACCGGCAGCAATGACTTTTCCCTCATCAGAGGCTGGACCGAAAGTGAGTTGGTTGTTGACAGTGTAAGTGGCAGAATCTGAGGTTCCGTTGTCGAGTTGGAATGAGAAAGCAGCGGTAGTGGGAAGTGAACCGGCTGGGGCTGGACCAGAAATGTTGATGCTCGAGACAACGAGTGTTGCGAGGTTGGCCAAAGTGAGATTGTATTGGACGGTGAAACCGTTGGTGGCGTCACCACTGATTACAACAGAAGCTGAACCATTGATGGAGTTTGGAGTGTAACCGGCAACGTTTTGTTGAGCGGTAGTCAAGGCGCTATTTGAGAATGCTCCATTGAAAGTGTAGGAAGTGGCTATGAAATTTTATCATTGTCATACAAAAAATATAGAAATGATTTTAATATTATTATATTCTATCGACCATTGATTGTAGTTAAAGAAGAATAACAAATTAACTGTACTTACCACAACATGCGGCAATGAGGAAAGAAGCGAAAATTAAAGTGGCAATCTTCATTTTTTATTTGATTGTTTTTTTATGTGTTATACAAAGAGATATAATTAAAAGAATATTATAGATTAAAGTGTTTATAATAAAGAGTGGGGGTTGGTGCTGGTTCTCCTAGGAGAAAGGAATGGAACCAAAAAAAAATTATTAAAAAAATCATTTTTTTTATTTAAAATTTTATGAAAATCGATCATGTTGAAAAAATATCTTCATCTTTTTTGGGATGGGGCAATTATATGGTCTTGCCAACTTTTATTTTATTTATTTTTTGTATTTTTTGGTATTACTAAAATGAGAATTTATTGGTCTAAAAAAGTTTTGAAACAACAAAAGAATTACTTTTAATGATTTCATATGATAACATAATAAATATTATATTTATTTGAACGAGAATGTTTCAGCTGCGTAAACAAAACAATCACCATGGTTATATTTATTGTTAGAATTCTCACACAGGCCGTGTCTGAAAATCAGTTTTTTTATTTTATTTAATTTTTTTGATTGTTTTAGATCTGCGTTGAAATCACCCAACCACCTATTATGATGTTTTGTGGAGCGAGATCTTGATAATTTTAATCTTTTTTTTACGAAAAACACTATTCTCTCAACAACAAATAACTTTATTACTTATATACACAAGATTATCTTTCAATGAATACATTTTCAAACTAACATTTGTTTTTTATAAAAAAACTAAAGAAAAACTAAACTGAACTTTCATTCATCTTTAAAGGTTTGTTGTCATCAATCAACCATCTTGTTTATCATTTTATTGCTTTAATTGTTAAAATCTGATGAATAGATTGAAAAAACAATACCCACTTCACATCACATACACAAATATTAACTTTCACACCAATAATTTTTTTTTTTTTTTTTTTTGAAATTTTGTGTAAATAGATTTCAGAATAAAATTGAGATAATAATAGCACTAATTAATGAGTGAATTGTGTATCGAATAATTTAAATTATATTATTTTTAATATCTCTTCACTTCTCATCGATTTTTTGTATGTAAGTTAATATTATCACTAAAATACAAAGTTGAAATAATATATACATTTTATATATATTAGATTAATATTAAAATAAGCAAATCTAATTTATAGTAGTGGATCATATATCATATCATTATTATCCAAAATCAATCATTGCAATACAATAATCAAACTATTATTAATATATTTATTAAATTTTTTTTTTTTTTTTTTTTTTTTAAATCAATCAGTTTTAATTTAATTTAATAAAATACAATCCTAGGAAGGACTTTTAGAAACATAAGAAGAAGAAGTTAATCAAATCAAATCAATCATTCACTTTTGAATTGGATCGAATTGTGAAATCAAATCAACTGAGCAAACAAAATCAAACAAAACAAGAGCAACATTAATACTACCAAATAAATATTTTCTGGAATTAAAAATAATTATGGAAGATTGGTTCAATATAAATAATAAGAATAATAGTTATACTAAACACAGAATTAAAACAAGAATAAGACTAAAGTAATCAAATAGGAAAGAAATATTATTAATAGGCATTAAAGGCTTATTAAATTTAATCAATCGAAATAATGTCTCGGAATCATAGAAAATATTCTTTGCCGAGCAGACCAGATGAGTTGGATCCTACTTCAACTATTTGGTCACCACCTTCAACATCAAATAATAATAATAATAATAACAATAACAACAATAATAATAATAATAATAATAATAATAATAATAATAATAATAATAATAATAATAATAATAATAATAATAGTAGAACATTATTTTATAGTTCTCCAACTTTGGATCATGTTGCCAGAAGTAATCAAGAGGAAGAAGAAGATCTAGCGATACAGAGGGAGCGTGAGAATCTCAAGAAGAATCGAAGATCAATGATGCGAAGAACTCTACCTGCATTTCACCCGATTCACAATCTGAGTACACCGGGTTCAAACAATGAGAATTCACCGACCAAGATTGGATTGGAGGAGTTTATCGAGTCGTCGAGTAGTGGTGTTGGCAGTGACAATAGACATCGCTACTTGAAGCGAACGAAATCCGATATGGACATTGGGCATCATTCACCATCGTCAAACGGTAGCGATGAAAATGTGATCGATGTCAATGTCCAGACACCGCCTTTCGCATCGCCCATACCACCGGCACGTCCACCACCCACTTTCCGACGGCAACGACCACCAACCCTCAAGATTGTCAAGTTTCGTGATGAGATAGCATCGGCTGAATCTCCGGTACTCGAAAAGGAAGCGGTTGAGAAAGATCTAGAGTTTATCAATAGAAAAGCAAAGCAGCAAGCCCAAAATGCGGCAGACTACGTGCTGGAAGCCACCTCACAGGGTGAAGCGATTCAGGCTTCGGAAATGACTGAAGAGGAGAAATCAAGACGTTACTTTATCGCCTATGTTTTGATTCAAGATGCTATCAACTATCGCGATCCCAATCATCTCTTGCAGATCCCACAGCTGAAAGCATATAAGATCTACTATTATCCTGCCATCCGATTGTTGTTGCTACTCACTTGCATTGGTCTGCTCACACTTGCATACTTTGAGCACCCAACTAAAGATACTTATCGACCACTGGTTCTTCTCCCGCTGGAACTGGTTTTCATTATCATCTTGACGGCGGAACTCTTCTTCAAGTACTATGCATACGGCCGGCAGGCAACGAGGAATCCTTGGAATTGGTTCAAAGGTATACTACTGTTTCTAAATTACATCGATATCATTGTTGCATTCGTACTCAATCACTATGGAATTGTGAGTGTACGAGTATCTAGATTGTTTCGTGTCTACTACATGATTGACTACGATCGACTGACGCGTGATCTTGCAATGCAAGTCATCTACACATTCTATCGTATGTTTCCAGTGGCAATAGTATTCTTCTCATACATCTTCATTGGATCCGTTCTATTTTCAATCATTCTTTCAAACGGTGCAACAAGTGATCCTGATTATTACAGTACGTTACAAAAATAACTATAAATATATTTATAAAGATACTAAATCTCTTTCTCTTTCTCTTTTCTCTCTACTTGTAATCTATAGATTCAACTTTAACATCATTTTTGAATTCAATGATCTTGATTACAACAGCAAACTTTCCTGATATTATGTTTCCAGCGTATTGGAAGAGTAGATGGTATGCGGTATTGTTTATCGTTTACTTGGGATTGGGTCTGTTCATTGGTATAAACTTTATGATTGCGCTGGTCTATCGTAGTTTTAGAAAAGCGGTTCTCAAGGAAACAAAAAACAACTTTAGAAAGCGTCGTACTGCGCTTTTGGCTGCTTTTATTATTATGGATCACGATAAGACCGGTGTTATTGGTTTGGATCAGTGGGAGCATATCTACAAGCTACTGGAACCGAAATCGACATCCGACGAAGCATCTGCTGCTTTTGACTTGGTCGATACCGACGCCAATGGTTATCTAAACGTTCGTGAGTTCTTTGCAATGTGCGACGTCTTTCTTCTCGAGCGAAAAACCGTTCAACACTTGGCAAAGCGAAAGCTTAAAGCAAGACAAAGACAAATCAGAGCATCGTCCGCTGCCAATTCATCAACTGAACAATCACCAACTTCAAATATATCTACATCTGATCAACAGCAACAGCAACAGCAACAACAACAACAACAGCAGCAACAACAACAGCAGAGGCAGCAACAAAATGATGGTCAACAACAGCAACAACAACAATCAAAGGAAGATCAACAACAACCTGTTAAGAATACCGATCAAGATTTCGTTGGTAATCTAAAAACAATGGTTTCCAACCGCTATTTGTTTAGAAATCCAAAGGTTCATAATCTTGATGTGCCCGGTGAGTATGGTGGTAGCACTGCACACAACCGTGCATATCTCAATAAGATGTATTTGACGAAGAAGCATCTGTTTCATGATAGCGATGAAAACAGCAGTAGCAGCAGTGACAGTGAGGATGATCTAGAGGAGGAAATTTCACAGCCAATAGAATCGCATATGGATCTACAGAATCTTGCTATTGGCGGTGAAGACAACGCAAAGGCATCGAAATTCTTCAAGACAGGTGCAATAACATCGCATACACCACGTGCTACGCCAGAGAGTTCTCCACCACCTTCACCCAAGCGACATCGATCTTCAAGCGAACCAAAGGCGAATCTACCATCCGTACCATCCGAGCATACCATTGCTCAATATCAAGATGATGACTACGATGGTGACGATGAATATGAATATGAGCAAGAGGATAGAGATAGAGATAGAGATGAACATAGAGATAGAGATAGCGATAATAATGACAATGGTGATATTGAGTTGTCACATATATCAACTGCTTCCACCGATATGGGAATACCATCTGTTATTGCTATGGAGCGAAGCAATAGATCAACAGCACAACAACAACTGCACCGTTCACATCCAAATGTTCCTTTGAATACAACACCTGTGCAACCACCGGTTGTCAAGCGAGCAAAGAGCGAGACGGATATCGATACTCTAAAGGTGGAACCTCACGCACATGAAACCATACTGGAATCACTCCGAGAGCATTATAAACATGCATACTCGCATACTCGCGACTACCTGAAGAGTGGAAGATTGAAGCGTATCACCAAGCATCCGTTGTTCGAAGTAGCCGTAGTACTTACGATCTATGTCAACGTCGCTTTGATATCGCACGTCATGGTGGGAACAAGAAATCTCTATTATCCCGCATGGACAGAGGTACTCGATTGGATTCTACTGTCGATCTCGATCGTCGAGGTAGCAATGAAAATCATAGCATATCGTACCGTCAAGAAATTCTGGGTGATATTCAACCTTTCGATCGTATCGGTTTCATTCCTCGGCAAGGTAATCGTTGAGTACGGACTACGAGGTGTTGGCGATCCCATTACAATGTTAAGAATTGCATGTGCATTCCGATATCTAAGAGTATTTAGATTGTTTTCTGCAGTTAGAAGGTAAAGTTAGAGTTAGTTCTTAATATAATCTAAATTGATAATGCTTGCTTACTAACTTAATAATGTTTAAAACTACTACTTTTAGAATGAGACATTTCTTACAATCACTTGCACAAATTGTATTTATATTCATTAACTTTATTGGTATTATCTTTATAGTTTATTACTTTTATTCGATTATTGGGCTGTGGATTTACAATGGCAAGTTCTATAGAGGCAATCCTGACTTGATTGGAACTACCTACGATCAGAGTAATTACTATGATTTTTCGAATTTCGAGGATATGGGTGCTGCCATGATTACAATGTTCAATCTGATGGTTGTAAACAACTGGTTGGTGACATTCCTTGCTGCGATCGCTGTCACCAGTGCATGGTCGATTCTCTACTTTTGTAGCTTCTACTTTCTAACGGTTATCTGTGTGTTGAACTTGGTGGTTGCTTTCTTGATTGAGGCAGTCAACTTTACTACCAATTTCTACTACCAAAAGAAGCGTGCCAAACACAAAAACAAGACACCTGTAATCAGTAGAACACGTGTTCCGCATATGGAATCGATTATTCCGAAAGGCAGGCGTTTTATCAATCGATTCAGATCACAGCCACTCAGTATGAAGAGTGTCGCCAATGCCGGTGGAGAATCCGATGGCAGTGGCGGCAATGGTGTTACCGCCGGCGACTCTTTGTCGGAGAGTGGCGTCGACGAGACATTCCAGCGTCCACAAGACTACCTTATGAAACAATTGGAAGCACTGAAGCGTCGAGAAGAAGAAACAGAGAGTGGCGGTGGAATGGAGTCGACTCTTCATACAAGTTCTTCCGACCCCGTTACAAATGGCGGTAGTGGCATCGGCAACACTGAAGCCGGACTCAACAGTTCGCATCTCAGTCGACGAGGATCGACCTCAACTTTCACCAACCAGGCGACGGATCACCACGACAGCGATACCTCATCGATGAAATCGCAATCCACCACTATGACATCGCGAGGCACCACCGACAACGAGATGGATTCAATGGTGTATCCCAACGACAAACTTCAAGAGACGCTAATGAAAGAGGGTGTCAAGGGATTCGAAGTTCCACACTTCTTCGAGGAGAAGATGTTTGGCAAGGAGTTGAGGACTCTGAATCAGGAGGATGTAGATCTCAACGAGTTCATGGAGGACATGATCCTCGCGACCACCAATCCAATCGATTCGAACACCGGAAGTCGTGCGCCGAGCCGACTCGGCTACCACGAAGAGCCGCAGGATCTCTCGACCATCTCGCGTGATATACGTGAGAGGATCAGAGAGAAGAAGGAAATCAAAGAGAAACTCAAGGAAGAGAAACGTGAGCAAAAAGAGAAGGAAAAGAAAGAAAAGAAAGAAAAGAAGGAAAAAGAGAGATTGCGATTGGCAACATCGCGCGAGTTGGAAAATCAACTACCAACTACAACAACTACAACCACTACTACTAATAACAATAATATGGGACATCATGATTCAACTGCTTTAGGAGTCAGTACATCAAATTCACTTCGATCCAGTAGTAATCAAGTACCAAACACTCAACAACAACAACAACAACAACAATATCAACAACAACAACCAAATCTCAGAAAATCGTCAGAGTGGTAGTATTGTAATATATTCATAATGTAAAATTTACCAATTTATTAAAAAAAAAAAAAAAAAGATGGTTAATTTATTTTTTTGATTTTTGCTTTGAAACATTTATTTTTAATTTTCTCTTTATAGTTGTAAAGGCAAATAAATATTCGTTTCGTAGTTTAACTAAACTTGGACCTTGATTTTTTAAAAAAATAGACAAAAATGTAAAAAAAAAAAAAAAAAAAACTTTTAATCAAAAAATCAAAAAAATTTAATCGAAAAAACATCGATGGTAGTGAGATTAGATGAATCGATCAATCTTTCATTCATTTTTGAAAACTAAAAAAAATAAAAAATGATTCAAACCAGTTGGTTGTTGATTGGGGTTTTTTTTTAATAAAAAAAATATAATAAAATTGGTTTTTTTGCAAATAATTCAAAATTCTTTCAAAAATTATAAAATAATAATAAATCAATTAGTTAATTAGTTGTTAATCAGTATAGTATAGTATAGAATAGTCAGTCAAATCAATCAATAATCATATCAAGCAAACCAATCAATTAAATTACTTAATCATCATCAGATTTATATAAATATATAAAATATTAAAATAAAATAAAATAACAAAAATATATATATATATTTTAAATAAAATATTAGTTTGTTAATAGTAGTATATATATAGAAGTAGTAAGTTGTTAACAACTAACAATAACAATAACAATAACAATAACAATAACACACAAGATTTGAATTAAAATTGTTTCACTTCACTCAAAACAAGAACAAGATATATAAATATAAATAGTAGTACTATTTTTTTTTTTTATTTATTTTTATTATTTTTTTTTTTAAATTGCTATTACAAAAATATTTTTTTATTTTGTTTTAATCAACAAATTTAATAAAATAGTACAAACATTTTTAATTACAGTGATATTTAGATATTTTGGAAGATATATAGTTTAGTTGTTTGGAGTTTAGTTAAAATCAACAGGAAAGGTAGAAGTAGAAATAAGATATAGATAACCATAACTATACTTTGAATCAAGCAATCAACTGTCAGTGCTCAACAATCAGTCAATTTTCAACAATTAATCAGATAAATCATATTAGTTATGTTTTTTTTTATGTAAAAAAGGTTGTCAGCTTGATATAGGTCGATTGATTTGATAGAATCTTTGGATGTTTCATGACAATTATAACCAAAATCAAAGAAAAGACAAAACAATGCAAACACATTTAAATAATATCAGAAATATTAATTAATAACATAATTATAGTCATTATTATAATAAGAGCTCGAACTTTTATAAATTACTTAATTCATCAAAACACCAACACACACGGTGTGCTTTTTTTATTGGATTTATTGAATTTGCTGCACACACATCACACAAATATGTGTGTATATATGGTATAGGTGTGTGTATGTGTTTTTTTTAACAAATATATATAAATATATATATTTATGCCAGCCTTTTGTTTCTTTTCTCTTTAAATATTTATTTTTTAATGAGTTTAGCTTTGTTTTGGTATGGTATGGTATGGTATGGTATGGCATTCAATTGAATTGTGACTTTTGTATTATTTATTATTAACATCAACATCAACAACAACATCATCATTTGCAATATCATGATACCCAAAAACAAACAATGGCTTTATAGAGAACAACACATGCAAGCTGAAGTAACTTTACTACTTTACTTAGTAGTTGTAGTAGTACGACGACTATTACGACTATTATTATTATTTTTTTTAAATTCAACAATTCAATTCAATTCAATTCAAAATCAAATCAAATCAAATCAAATCAATTACCCACACAACCAAACCCACGCCATTCCACTCCACTTAACCACCACATTAATAATAACAATAATAATAATAAAAACACACATATGTGCCCTAACACCAACAGCAACAGCAACAACAACACCAAATCCTACAGCAGCAGCAGCAACATAATTACCATTACCGTTACCATCATTACTCACACACTCAATTACACTCTCTACCTTTACTACTGCCATCATCAACAAATAGAATAGCAATTCTTCACTTTCCTTTCTTTCTTTCTTTCTTTCTCTTGATTTATTAATATTACCAAAAACAAAAAAAAAAACAAACAAATAATTAATTTCCATTCTGTTCACATCATCATCACCATCATTAAAGTTTATGTACATACATACTGTACTATATTTATAATGATGACTTTGAACCCATTCATACACATGTGAAATAAAATAAAATAAAACATAAATTAATAATAATCTAATAATAATAATAATAAATTTAAAAAAAAACCAAACTAATCATTTTCACTCATCTTATCTTAATCACTCGTTCCAATTTCCATATTCAACCTACCAACTAACAACTTAAAACCAACTAACCAAATTAATCAAATCAAATCAAAAAAAAAAAAAAAAAAAGTTTGTTAATTATAGTTTTTGAATAATTGTAAAGAAAATTTAAAAATAACAATAATACTCACAACAAAAAGGTAGATCATCAAATCGGAATCTAAATTTCATACATTCTTTGTTTTTTATTTATTATTTTTGTTTTTTTCAAGAATTTACAATTAATTTAATTTAAATAGCCAACAACAAATAATAATAATTATAATTTATGTTTATTTTGAACTTAATAATAATAACACAAAATCATATGTAAATATTTTATATTAATTTATCTTTAATTTAAATCAATTTAGTAATTAATAGTAGATCAAGTAGTAATATAAATTTGTACAGTGAAAATAATCAATCAATCAAACCTCCTATATTTTAATATAGCAGTATTAAATATAAAAAAAGAGAGACAAGTAGCTGGCTGAAGCTACAGTTGGGAATAGTCAGAGATAGATAGATATATATATATATATTTAGAGAAATCTCAAAAACAAAAAAAAACAAGAATAAAAACACAACACAGTAGTAGGAGAAGTCATGACGGGATTTAAAGTGTGGTTCTCTTATGAGGACGAAGAGGTTGAGTTGGATGACTTAAACTTGGATACAACAGTGTCAGCGCTGAGAAAGATTATTCATGAAGGAAAGATATTTCATTTTCCATATGGAACATCACAGACCGATATTCAGATCGGTACTATGTCTGGTGACAAATTCGAAAAATATAAAGCAAGAAATACTTTAGATGATATTCAATATAAAATGGGTGATACTTTATTTGTAAAGGTTAAAAAGAGTAAGTTGTCTATTAGAATAACCAACGTAAACATCAACAACATTTTATTAATCTTCAACTTAATTTATTCAATTTGATCAATATTAAGGTAAAGTTTCAGATAATTCATCTATTCCAACATTAAATTTAAGTATAATAGAAAATTCAGAGAGAGTTATCAAGTGGGATTACAATCCATATACAACGACAGCGCAGTGGTCGTGCACTGCCATACTGGTGAGAATGGAACAGGTGCCATTTGCAGAGGGTGCCTTTAGAAAGGCTTATCACCTGCAGGATCTGAGTAGGGCAGAGGCACAGGGAAGATACGTCGCAAAGATCGGTAAGAAACCGTCGCCGCGTGCCTCCTACTTTGAGGACGTCAAGATGCAGATGATCGCCAAGAAGTGGGCCGACAAATACAATGAGTTCAAGCCACCCAAAAAGATAGACTTTCTGCAGTCGTGCGTGCTGGAATTCGTGGATCGCACATCGAATGACGTGATCTGTGGCGTGGAGCCATACGTCGAGGGCCAGTACCGCAAGTACAACAACAACAGTGGTTTCGTGTCGAACGACGAGCGTAACACACCACAGTCATTCTCGCACTTTACATACGAACACTCGAATCACCAGTTGCTGATCATCGACATTCAGGGCGTCGGAGACCACTACACCGACCCGCAGATCCACACGTACGACGGTGTCGGCTACGGCCAGGGAAATCTCGGACAAAAGGGTTTCGAGAAATTCATTGACACTCACAAGTGCAATGCGATCTGTCAGTATCTCAACCTCCAGATGATCAACCCCAAGTCTGAAAAGTCGGACTGCGGAACAGTGCCAAGACCGGACCTCTTCCTACCGGACACATCAAGCGACACCGGAAACACTGGAAACAGTGCAGTCTCTGCAAATACATCTTCCGGAGGTTTGAAACCTCCCGACACTCGTGAGAGATCGAAATCAAAATCATATGAAATCGAAAGAGAAAGACAAGAAAAGAAGAAAGAACAATCAAGTGTAAGAGAATTAGAAATCGATAGAATAGATGATAAAGATTAAAAACTAACTAATTTCATTCATTATTATATATTAATAATAATAATAATACTTTCCAGTGGGATATAAATAGTATAAAATTAATAGACACAATTAAAGGTTATCATAATACTTCAGCATTATGTATTTGTGATAATCAAGTATTTACAGGTTATTCTGATAATTCAATAAGAGTAAGGATTAAGACAAACAAAAAAAAAAGATTATATTCTTTATAGAGTGTATATATTGATTAGATTGTTTATTTTCTTAGGTATTTGAATATAAGAATAAAACATTAGAATTAACACAGACACTAAAAGGACATGAAGGACCAGTGGAGTCAATTTGTTATAACGATCAATATCTTTTCAGTGGCAGTTCGGATCACTCTATCAAGGTTTGGGATTTGAAGAAACTTGGAAGGTGTATTTTTACGTTGGAGGGTCACGATAAACCAGTACACACCGTAGTGGTCAACGATAAATATCTATTCAGTGGTTCTTCGGACAAGACGATCAAGATTTGGGATCTAAAGACACTGGAGTGTAAAATTACTTTGGAGGGACATCAACGTGCTGTCAAGTCACTGTGTGTCAGCGGACAGTATCTATTTAGTGGCTCCAACGACAAAACGATAAAGGTCTGGGATCTCAAGACATTCCGATGCAACTACACACTGAAGGGACACACCAAGTGGGTCACTGCCATCTGCATTGTCGGCACCAACCTCTACTCGGGCAGCTACGATAAGACCATAAGAGTGTGGTCACTAAAGAATCTCGAGTGTGTAGCGACGCTGCGTGGACACGAACGATGGGTCGAGCACATGGTCATATCGGAGCGATACCTATTCAGTGCGAGTGACGACAATACCATCAAGATTTGGGATATAGATACACATCGATGTTTGATTACATTGGAGGGACACAACGCTACCGTTCAGTGTTTGGCACTCTGGGAGGACAAGAGATATCTACTCAGCTGTTCACACGATCAAACTATCAGACTCTGGTCTTGGGCAGACGCTGGTGTTGGTAGTGTTGTTGCTTCTTCAGAGCAAATTAATAACGACGAAAATAGATAGATAAACAGTAACAACAAACAAACAACACAACACAACAATAATAATAACATTAACAACTCAAAGATATAGATACCCTTCACTTTACTTCACTTCACTTTCCTTCAATACGTGAAAAAACCAAACACCATCAAACCAACCAAGACTGTTGAACCAATTAATAATCATTGTTGTCTCCAGTGGATATATATCAGTTGGTAATCCAAGATTTAATTCCCTTGTGAACCAAAAAGAAACAAAAAAAAAAAAAGAGAAAAAAGAAAAGTACAAACAAAAAAAAAGAGAAAAAGAAAAGAAACCAAGCAGCAGCCAAACCAACAAAGAAATCAGGATCAATTTTGTTGTTCCAAAGTTGATTCTTTATATATCTTGGTTGGAAAAATATTACCAAATTTTATATATATATTTATCATATAGTAATAATAACAATACAATGTATACATTCTTATTTATAACAAAAACTATTTTTTTTTTTTTTTTTTTCTCTTTATTATTTTTTTATCTTAATAAATTGATTATGCTTTTACAAATTTGATTTTATTTTAACTTTTAATATTTTAATTTCAATTGATATTTAATAATCTATCGATTGTTTCTATTTCAGTCACGAATGTTTCTAATACCCAAAAAGTGGTCGGTATCTTCTTTGGAAGACCGTATTTCATCTTGGTATTCTAACTTATATATTGGGTAACTTTTGAGTCTGAAAAATATTGATTAATCAAATCATTCATTTCCAATGATAGATCTTCCAGGATTGAGTCAAAAATGAATTAATGGATCTCTAAGGTCATTGATTACATAAAATATTAAAAGATTATTTATTCTCTTTTTATTAAACTTAATAATCTTTTTTCGATACGTTTTAATTTCTCTTCGAATAGGGAACTGGCTAGATTTGCCAATAAGAAACCTATCACCACAAGAATTGAACCAATTATATACATCCAACCAAACATTTTACCCTTTCTGATAAAGTCACTTATCATTGCCAGTGGTATCGACAGTGAAAGACCAATCGTATTGATCACTGGCGATGTCAGTACCACCGAGTAAGACTCTATCAGATCCGATATGAAACTACCGAAAACACCATTGAACAAGAGGAACAGGAATACTCTTATATTGGGTAGTTCAAATGTTTCGAAACCAATCGCATTTAAAATTAAGAAACCAGGCCATAATATTAATAAATTGATTAATCCAACAAATCCTGTGTTGTAATAAAAAACTAAATTAATAAAGCTTTGCAAATGAATAGCATAGAATAGTTAATGATATTTATCGACTTACCAAACATCATTGGCATTGGTAGAAGATCTTCAGATATAACAAGTTTCTTTATCATCGTACAATAGAATCCATAGAGAAAAGCTCCAACAACCGCCAGAAGATCACCAATCACTGTATCATGTCCATTTTCACTACTAATATCTGAATAACTAACTAAAACAATACCAGATAAACTAGATTGATATATAGATACCAAAAATATGTTGTTATTAGTTATTTAATTTAAATAATGACAATGATAATGAGTGCGTATATTTACCTTATCAAAGTAGATAATAATTTTTCAATTGAGAATTTATCAACTTTTAAAAATATACTTATAAACAATGAGAATACGCCAGAGAGAGAACTTAGAATGGTGTTTGAAGAAACACTAGTGATATCTAGACTTATATTGTATGTGTAGTTGGCTGCGAACCAAATTGGACAGAGTATTGCACTTATTTTAATAATTGATTTTAAAGAATGTGGTTTGTTGTTTATATTGTTATTGATAGTGTTGCTGTTGTTTGAATTACGTAATCTACTTTTGTTAATGTCAACCTGTATCTGTTGTTTATTTTGCATCTGATCGATTGAATCTCTGAATGAAGTTGGTTGTAATGGTGGTGATAATGATGATGAACTCTGAATGCTACCACTATGATCATCTATTGCATTAAGCTGATCTTCATCATTGTCGTTAATTAGCGACATTGATGCACTCGATTGCAAAACACTGGTGTCCAACACACGATTACCATTGTTATCACTGATGGGAATCGATGTCCATTTCTTCCACTTGATAGCGAATCCAAATAAATAGAATGAGAATATCGATGTATTGAAATATGTTAAAAAGAATGGTTTATCAAATGATTCCTCTGTAAATATAATCTAATAATTAAATCATTAGTATTTGAACATATACATATATCAAGTAATCACATAAGATAGTTACCTGTGTTAATATACTAGAGAAAACCCAGAGAAATACAACTATTAAAACACATATTGCACCGATGATATGTCGTCTAACTTTCTTTGCTCTCGATTCAGAGTTACCGATGTTATTGATAGTGAGAGCATTGTTGTTGTTGTTATTCGAGCTTGATTGATCGAATACTAGTATCTGTTGTTGATCGTCATCGTACTCTTCGATTATATCGTCATCATCTTCTTGTGGATCACTACTATTACTTAATGTACTTGATCTATTATTATGATTTTTATTTACATTTGATTTGTTATTACTACTATTTGTACTATCGTCACCAACAACCAAATTCTCATCGATACTACTATAATTGTTCAGACTTGTATTACTTGCATTTCCTCTCAGTAAAAGTTGTTCATTACTTTTATCCATATTTTAACTTAGTATAATATAATATAATATATATTCACAAAAAAAAATTAGATAGTTATAAAATCATGACAAAGTAATTAGCTTGGTCAGAAAGATGTTGCCCAAAACAAGGTAATTTATTGTGTTTGGATGTTGGGTGGTTTGTAAAAGTCAAAAATAAAAATCACCCCAATTTTTAATTAAAATGTAATAACATTTGAAAATTGTTTTTCCTTTTTATTAAGTTAAACTTTTAATGTCCAATGAAATGTGTTTAAAAAGAGTAGAGTAAAGTAGAGTAGTTAGCTATTCGAATTAGCATTAGAAAAGTAGAACAAAAAAAAAAAAAGAGACAGAGAGAGATAGAGAGATAATGAGAGATATTAGTATTTTGTAATAAAACTTTATTAAATGTATATATATATTTGTAAATAATAAAAATAATAGTATTTGCTATACTTAGTTATCATTATTAAGATATGCAACGATTTAATGGTTTAATATATATTTTGTTATGTTTTTTTGTATATAGTTGTTATGAAGTTCAATTTTTTGTTTTTGCCTATGTTTTAGAGGTGAATGGTGAAGCTAAATTAGCAGCGCTACCAGAGGAGAGTAGTGGATGGTATAATAAGGAAAGATTTGTGTCGAAGGAGTTTATGGTGGTGTCTGCACATCCTCTGGCGACAAAGGCAGGCTATGATATTATTAATATGGGTGGAAATGCAATAGATGCTATGATTGCAGTACAATTGGTTCTTAACTTGGTGGAGCCACAATCATCTGGAATCGGTGGTGGTGCTTTCCTATTGTATTACGACAGTTACAGCCAGAGGTTGACTTCTTACGATGGCAGAGAGACAGCTCCGAGGAGAGCAACAGAGACACTGTTTTACAACAAGACAACTAGCCAACCAAAGTCATTTACTGAAGCGTTGGTTGGTGGTAGTTCCGTTGGTGTACCTGGTTTGTTGAAACTGATGGAGCACGTACATAGCAAACATGGTCAACTGCCGTGGTCCGTTCTCTTCCAGCCGGCTATTAGGCTGTGTCTGGTCGGATTCCCGATTGGCCACCGACTAGCGTTTCTCATAAAGACCAACCCGGATCTCAAGAAAGATCCAGACTCTAGAGATCACTTCTATCACAAAGAGGATGGTTCTCCCAAGAAAGAAGGTGAAACGCTACACAATTACAAGCTGGCTCAAGTACTACGAGACATCTCGGTGAGAGGAGTCGATGCAGCTTTCTACACTGGCGAATTGGCGTCCAAGATCGTCAATAAAATAAGGAGTCATCCTACCAACCCTGGAGATATGCAGCTGGATGACTTGAAGAACTATCAAATCAAGACAACAACACCACTATGTAGAGACTATCAGAGCTATGAAATATGTTCGACGCCACCGGAATCGGGAGGCATTGTTTTGCTGCAGATTCTAGGAATATTGGATCGTTTGCCTCAAGACAAGAGGATTGAAAATGAATTACCAAACAACGTATCGTTTGGTGCGTTCAATGATTTCCAACCGAGCGAATATCAACCTACGCCCAGGGCAATGCATCTGTTCGCCGAGGCATGTAAACTAGCTTTTGCCGACCGGAATAGATATCTTGCAGAGATGGATTTGAATTGGGATTTACTGCTGGATTCCGATTACCTGACGACAAGAGCATCACTCATCAAAGATATATCGATGGGACAAGCACCAGCGGGATCATTCTCAAGAGATCAATTGTTGGTAAACAAGTCGGAATCGGGTGACCAACCTCCTCATGAGTTTCCATGTACCTCACATATTTCCATTGTCGATCGAGATGGTAATGCCATATCTCTAACTACTTCGATTGAGCATGAATTTGGTTCGAGCATAATGGTCGAAGGATTCCTATTGAACAACCAATTGACAGATTTCAATTTTATATATTACGACGATAACACTCAATGTTCATTCGCAAATAAGGTTAGACCAAACAAACGACCTAGATCATCAATGTCACCAACATTAATCTTTAAAAAATACAATGATAATAATAATAGAAGTCAGTTAGTAATGTCAATAGGTGCTGCAGGTGGACCTTTAATTCCCATGGTATTAGGTAAATCGATCATTGCTACATTGAATTGGGGAATATCATTACAAGATAGTTTCAATATGGTTAACTTTGGATCGGATAATAGATTTGGACTGTCAGCAGTTGAGATTGGTCACCTTAACCAAACATTCTTGACTCAACTCGAACAACAGTTTGGACAAAAGATATTTCAATTTGGCTCACCAACAGGTATGCAGGGTTTTACTTACGATACCAAATCAAAAACATACATTGGTGCATCCGATCCGAGAAAAGAAGGATCAGCAATGGGAGACTAATAAAATCTATCAAATAAATATTCTTTTTAAATATTCCAAATTTGTGAAGATTGTTTATTTAGAAGGAGAACAATTTCTTAAAGAAGCTAAAGACACTTGGAGAGTCGTTCTCGGAATTAGTTTGTGCGTTGAATAAACCACCAGAAGACGAAGCATCTCCTGAGATTGTACTTTGGGAAGTCATAGTAGTTGTACTAGCCTGAGTTGTAGTAGTCGTTGGGTTTACTCCTGTCGGTGCATCGGTGGAAATAGTATGTGTTGTTGGTGATGTAGTTACACCAATTGGAGATGTCGTGTCATCTCCAGTAGTTTGTGAGGTTGTTGCGCCTACTGTTGTTATAATAGTAACAGGAGCTTGTGATGTAGTTACACCAATTGGAGATAAGGTATCACTAACAGTGGTCTGTGATGTTGTTGCACCTGCTGTTGTTGGAGCACTCACTGTAGTTTGTGAAGTTGTCACACCAACTGGAGATAATGTGTCACCAACAGTCGTTTGTGATGTTGTTGCACCTACTGTTGTTGGAACAGTCACTGTAGTTTGTGATGTAGTTACGCCAATTGGAGATAAGGTGTCACTTACTGTAGTTTGTGAGGTTGTTGCACCTACTGTTGTTGGATTACTAACAGTGGTTTGCGATGTAGTTGCAGTGGTCGGTGACAAGGTATCGCTTACAGTAGTTTGTGATGTTGTACCACCTACTGTAATTGGTGATGTGGTGTCAATTAAAGTAGTTTGTGAAGTAGTTACGCCAATTGGAGATAATGTGTCACTAACAGTGGTTTGTGATGTAGTTGCGCCTACTGTTGTTGGAACAGTAACAGTAGTTTGTGAAGTAGTTACACCAGTCGGGGACAAGGTATCACTAACAGTAGTTTGTGATGTTGTTGCACCTACTGTTGTTGGAACAGTAACAGTAGTTTGTGAAGTAGTTACACCAATTGGAGATAAGGTGTCACTAACAGTAGTTTGTGATGTAGTCGCACCTGCTGTTGTTGGAGCACTCACCGTAGTTTGTGAAGTAGTCACACCAGTTGGGGACAAGGTATCACTTACTGTTGTTTGTGATGTTGTACCACCTACTGTTGTTGGGACAGTCACTGTAGTTTGTGATGTTGTTACACCAATTGGAGATAGGGTATCGCTTACTGTTGTTTGTGAAGTGGTTGCACCTGCTGTTGTTGGAGAACTTGCAGTAGTTTGTGAGGTAGTCACACCAATTGGAGATAGGGTGTCACCAACAGTCGTTTGTGATGTTGTTGCACCTACTGTTGTTGGAACAGTCACTGTAGTTTGTGAGGTAGTCACACCAATTGGAGATAAAGTATCGCTTACTGTTGTTTGTGATGTGGTTGCACCTACTGTTGTTGGAGAACTTGCAGTAGTTTGCGATGTAGTTACACCAATTGGAGATAAGGTATCGCTTACTGTTGTTTGTGATGTAGTTGCACCTACTGTAATTGGTGATGTGGTGTCACCTAGAGTAGTTGGAGATGTTGTATCTCCTAGAGAGGATAGTGCTGTGGTGTCACCTAGAGAGGTTAGTGCTGTGGTGTAACCTTCAGTGGTTTGAGATGCGGTGTTGCCTACAGAGGTTGGAGATGCGGTGTTACCTGCGGTAGTTGGAGTGGCAGTATCGCCTGCTGTGGTTGAAGTTGAATTAACTGTTATTACGAAAGTCGTGGCTGCTGTAGTTCCTGCTGTAGGACCCGTTGTAGCACCTTCAGTTGGACCTGTTGTTGCTCCAGCAGTTGGACCTGTTGTAGCGCCTTCTGTTGGAGGACCAGTTGTAGCACCTTCAGTTGGACCAGTTGTAGCTCCAGCAGTAGGATCTGTTGTAGCTCCAGCAGTAGGATCTGTTGTAGCACCTTCAGTTGGACCAGTTGTAGCTCCAGCAGTTGGACCAGTTGTAGAGCCAGCAGTTGGACCAGTTGTAGCGCCTTCTGTTGGAGGACCAGTTGTAGCACCTTCAGTTGGACCTGTTGTAGAGCCAGCAGTTGGACCAGTTGTAGCGCCTTCTGTTGGAGGACCAGTTGTAGCTCCTTCAGTTGGACCAGTTGTAGCTCCTGCAGTAGGATCTGTTGTAGCACTTTCTGTTGGAGGACCAGTTGTAGCTCCAGCAGTTGGACCAGTTGTAGAGCCAGCAGTTGGACCAGTTGTAGCGCCTTCTGTTGGAGGACCAGTTGTAGCACCTTCAGTTGGACCAGTTGTAGCACCTGCAGTAGGATCTGTTGTAGCTCCTTCAGTTGGACCAGTTGTAGCGCCAGCAGTTGGACCAGTTGTAGAGCCAGCAGTTGGACCAGTTGTAGCGCCTTCTGTTGGAGGACCAGTTGTAGCACCTTCAGTTGGACCAGTTGTTGCTCCAGCAGTTGGACCAGTTGTAGCACCAGCAGTTGGACCTGTAGTAGGACCTGTCGTTGCACCTTCTGTAGTTGAATTTGAGGTAGTTGAGGTTGAATTAACTGTTACCACTACAGTAGTGGCTGTTGTAGCACCAGCAGTAGGTCCTGTTGTAGCACCAGCAGTAGGTCCTGTTGTAGCACCAGCAGTAGGACCTGTTGTGGGGCCTGTTGTAGCACCAGCAGTTGGACCCGTTGTGGGACCTGTTGTAGCACCAGCAGTTGGCCCTGTTGTAGCGCCAGCAGTTGCTCCGGCAGTTGCTCCGGCAGTTGCTCCGGCAGTTGCTCCGGCAGTTGCTCCGGCAGTTGTAGCTCCGGCAGTTGTAGCTCCAGCAGTAGGGTTTGTAGGGCCTGTTGATTGTGCTCCGGTACCTGGAGCTATAGTTCCTGCAGTGGGTGGAACACCTATGCATGGAGTTCCAGATGCACCTGTTTGACTGGCAGTGGTAGATGTGGTAGATGTAGTAGATGTGGTAGATGTGGTAGAGGTGTCGTCTTGACTTGCGCTACTTTCACTACTGTCATCTTTTTCATAGGTAAATGTTGAGGTTGCCTTTTGGGAATGGAAAGTCAACTCTACAAACATTGTACCTTCTGGAAGTGCCGGAGCAGTACAACTGACCGATGAAGAGCTGGTGACTTGTATACCTGAACAATCATGTCCTCCAATTGTTACAGATGGTAAGTCAATGGTCAGACCAAGATTGGAACCTTGAATGACAATCGAGTGAGGCTGATCTGCTTCACCACTTGCAGGAGAAATAGATTGAATCGATGGTGCAATATAGGAGAAGTCGGTGTTTGTATTACTATCTCTGTAGTTCACAACGACATATATTGGGATGGAACGACCACCTCCCCTTTGTACGAGGATAATAATCTGAGTGCTTGATACAGAGTTTGGAATGATTTCTTGGTTGTTAAAGTACACTGTTGGTTGATGGTTATCCTCAACCAAGTTCTTACCATTGATTGTCAATGAATATCCACCATCGACTGCACCGGAAGTTGGACTAATTGAATCTATTTGTGGACGACCATAATAGGTGTAGAAAACTTGGTCGGTCGAATCTTGGGAGTCGACTGTTACCTTTACCAACTTGTCACCGTCGGTGGTTGAAGTTGGAACTTGGCAATTGATGGTAGTGTCTGTACTTGTGGATACAGTACATGTTCCATCGCCAATCTTGACGGTTGGCGTAGTATTTTCACCAAAGTTCTTTCCTCTGATAACGACATTTTTAACATCGGTAGTTCTTCCTCTGTTTGGTTCAATGCTGTCAACCTTTGGAGCGTCATAAGAGAAGTAGGTGTTGGCTTCTGTCTCTTGAGTTCCAACGATGACTTTAATGTTCTTTTCTTTACCGGTTCCTTTGGGAATGGTGCATTGTACTGTCTTGTCGTCAACCCATCTAACGGTTTCACAATTCTTTCCGTCAATTGACACGGTGTTGTTGGTATCCGGTTGCTTACTGTTGACTTCCTCAGCGGCTGAACTCGGTACAAAGTTGGCTCCAGTGATTGTTATGACGGTGCTTCCTGCAGTTGCACCATTATATTGTTTGTTATCAAGAGTTGGTTTGTTATAAGTGAACTTCTTTGGATCAGTATCCTTTTGTCCACCGATATAAACCTCAAGTGACAAATCTACACCGATTCCTGGTGGTGCTTGACAAACGATGGTCTTGTCATCAGTCCATGTTGGATTGGTACACAAACGATTGTTAATGGTTAAATTAGACTTGGTACCAGCATCAACATTCAGTGGTACAAAGTTTTCACCTTTAATGGTGACACCAGTACCTTGAGTATCACTCTTGGTAACAGTATCAACCTTTGGAGCGAAATAGCTGAACACTGTACTGTTAGTTTGGCCACCAACAACAACAGTGAAACTAATATTGACACCAATTCCAGGTGGGGCATCAAAAACAATTGTTTTATCATCTCTCCATTGTACATTCTCACATAATTTGCTATCAATTGAAACATTTGAACGAATTGGCTCAATTCCTTCTGGAACAAAATTGAATCCAGTTGCAGTAACGCTACCACCAACTGTTGAACAATTACCAACATTTTTAATTTCAGGTGCTATAATTTTATATTGAATGGTTAGAAATAATTTAAGGAAAAATAGTTTGATTTGATTGTACATACCATAATATGCGAAATATTGTTTCTTTGTTTGATTTTGATTATCAATAAAGACATTGAAATGAAGATCTTTTCCAATTCCTTTGGCTACATTACAAGTGAAACTAGTTTCGTTGGTCCATACAATGTTTGTACAGTTGGCACCATCAATAGTTACATTGGAACCTAATGGACTAACTCCCTCTGGAACAAAATTGGTACCGGTCACTGTAATCTTACCTCCAGTTGTATTGGTGGTGACGTAATCAGTAATATTTGGTGCTATAAATAATAGAATTATTAGATTAATCTAACAATTTTAAACAACAAAATTAAGAACATACCGTTATATGAAAAATTAAATGAACGAAGTGGATTCAACATTAATTGAGCTCCTACAAATAGGACTATAGAATAATTGGCACCAATTCCAGGTGGTACTTTGGCGCTGATCATTGTTGAATTGATCCATTGGATATCGGTGAGTGGAATAGCATTGTTGGAAGTGGAATTCATTGATACATTAGAAACTGTAATACCGAGATCAATTGAAGTCATATTGGATGGGTTTTCATAGATCTCCCAATAGGAGACTTCATCAAGTTTACCGTTGTTGAATAAATCGATTTGTTGTGCATAAACTACTTCGTTTGGATAGTTGGCTAGAGAGTAATCAACTCTTTCTCTAGAGATGAGAAACTCGTTGGGAACAAAGTTGGTACCACGAAGAGTAATGACTTGACCACCGGTAGTGCTACTGGTATTGGAGTAGATAAGATCTGTGATGTTTGGACGTTGGTAGTAGAGATTGACTGTGGCTGGAGCCGATGCAACACCACTGGCGGTGAGGTTAACCGTTAGATTACCACCGACACCCGCTGGGAAAATGCATTGGAGACAATCAAAGTCGACGGAGCTACGGAATGTTGGATCGATTGCGATGTAGGGATCAAAGTAGTTGGCTGGTTGAGTCGTTGGTGTTGGAATGGTGTTACCGTTGGCATCGGTATAGACACGGCCGTATTCACAGGCGTTGTCCAATCCGTCGTCATCGTCCGAAAGATCCTGTGATGGAATGACACAGTAGATGTCGAAAATGTCAACATTTACATCGGCAACCTCACCCAACTTTGTTCCAAAATTGGTTCCGACAATGTAGAAATAGGATTCCGAAGAAGTGTTGAGTTGACCATGTACGATTTGACGAATAACTGGAACGTTGAACGATAGTTTGTTGTCAGTGTTGTAGGTTGCTTCTTGATTACCGACGTATACCTTGATTACAATATCCTTTCCGGCACCTTGACCTATTTGACAACTGAGATGGCTGTCGTCATACCAAACCAAGTTACCACATTGAAGATCTCCCAAGACAATGTAGATTGGGCCGGCATTAGATGGACCGAATCCACTTCCTCTAATGTCGATTTGAAGGAAACTCTTGGTGGATGATACACTCTGATCGATAGTGATTGAGTTTACAACTGGTTTATTGTAACTAAACACAGCGGAACTATCAGAGAGTGATACAACTTTGTCGTCAATAGTGAATTGAACGAATTGATCGAAACCAACACCATTGGAGGTGAATACCATAATGTCACCATCAGAGTTGTGTGAACCACTAACAATTGGTGTTTGGACACCTGCTACAAAGAGTTTGAAACGAGACAAATCCTGACTGGAAATTGGACCGTAATTAGCATTTCCAGATACACCTGGAATAGCATAGAAATCGGTACCTTTAACAGTCATTGATGTTCCACTTGTTGCTGCAAGAGCTGGTGTGATCGATTGGACGCTGGGTGAAGTGAATTTAAAACGCCACAATGGATTTGAATCGGCTTGGTTGAGAGTGGCTGTTGTTGACTTGATTGTAATTGGTTGAACACCATAGTTGTTTGGAACTGTACAAGTTCTGGTTTGCACATTGTTGGAGGTGGAACCAGTTTGGCAGGTGGCATCCAAGCTACCAACTTTCACCTGTAAACTACTTCCCAAGATATTACGACCGGTGATTGTTATTTTATTGAAACCGGCTGGACTACCTATGAAGTCGGTTGGTGAAGTGAGAGAAGTTACAATTGGACCGACATCACACGATGCCAGTACTGCACCGCTGTTAAAGTCTGCAGTAGTACTCATGAATGCAGCGCAGAAGTATGAACGATACTTGACGATGGTTACACCGTTGGTGTTGTCGAGAACCGATGGTATGAAATAAGTATTGACTTGATTGTACGATTTGGTTTGAGTGGCAAGTGCAACTTGACGATTGAGAAGTTCAGTTAAGTAGACTATACCGGCTGGGGTAACAGGCGCAACGTTCTTCTTACCAAAGAGACAACGCTTCTCAACGCTGTCCATCTCTATCCAGTGATTGAACAAGTCGGAATCAACCATAGAATAGACATTGTAATCTGGTTTCGACAGTGTGTAGAAATAGTCTTTGGCAACGTTGGTGCTGACATCTCCGTAGGCGTTGGCAAACCATAGGTTGACGGAACTGTTGAGTGTATCCATGAGAATCGATGTGATATCGGAATTGCAAACACCGGCTTGTGTTAACATATTGATGAGTGGAATCGAATGTTGAGATGGAGCTTGTGAACAAAATGGACACGATGGAACCATGAATGTATCCTGTTGAATTTTGTTACCGATGGTATCCCAATCGTCGCTCATCAGCGCATACATTGAGTCTTGGAAGTCCAAAATACTTCTAACTTGTGGATTGGTGTCAATCAAACTGGTCAAGAACGATAGCGAATTAGTAGATTGTGATGATTGGTCCAATCCTGGATTCTTAATGGATGGTGCATTCAATACATTCCACAAGAACTTTGTGATGTATCCTTCATTGTAGATAGCACTATTATAAACTTCACTTCCCTTATTGTAATTCAAAATATCAACTGAACCACAAACTTGATCATAATATCTATTGGAAACTGATGGGAATAGAATCTATTGAGAAAAGTGATAAACAACAAGTTGGTTAGTAGTTGATCGATGGTTTAAACAATTAAACAACATACATTTCTATATGACATTCCAAAAACGTTGAGTAAACTCTTTAAGAATGGAGTGAATTCATCGGTGGTTGGATAGACTGTATCAACACTGGTATCGGTGTAGAGATAACCTTGGAGTGTTTGAACGATGTTGTATTGTCCAAGTACATAGTATGAATATGCACGGAATAGAGTGTCATAACAAAAGAATGGTTTGATTTGAATGGTAATTGGTTGGATCGTTGCACGACTCCATTGGATGGTTGCAGTAGATTGATCGGCAGACAATTTGATTTTGATATTGCTGAGGCTGATTGGGTAGTCGGGATTCGATGACTTTGGTGTTTGTTCAATCAGCTTTTGCATGATTCTAAAGATGCTAACAATGTCATTTCTCGGTAGTTTATAGGTGTAGGCATTGTCTTCGACGACATCGAACGATACAACTTGAGAGTTGCTATCCAACACTGCCAAACCAGTCTTTGCATCCATGAGAAGTACTTTGAGATGTACGGAACTCGAACTACCACCAGCGTTTGACTTGGTGAAGGAGAAGGTCGAGTCTGAACCAGTGGAGTATTGATAACGTTCAGAGATTGAATTCCAACACGATTCACTCGAACAGATTGGCAAAACACTGTCGGTGTAGATCGATAAATAGGTTTGTGGCATTGAATTGTCGTATTGGGCATTGATACTAACTTGTTGATCATTGTTGTAATTGAATGGAACCGATTGATCATAAGCCAACTTTCCACTGAATGTCTTTTGTGGAACTGTAACTGAAGTACATGTTCCAGTGACATCACAATTAGCATAAGTATAAATACTTCTTGTCAACAAAGAGATGATTGGTTGAGTATTACTTTGAACACAAACTAATGTTCCACCTCTTGCAACCTACAATAAATTTAATTAGAATTAATCAAAAGATTGTCATTACTAATATTTTTATCATTTTTTGTTAAAACTTACATTTGATAATGTATAATCACCAAGACATAGAGTGTCGGTTGTGAAACCAATAAAACTGAAATCAGAACCGGAATCAAATGTGGAGTATGTTGTTTCATAGTAATTGGTATCGATGAAATCAATTGGTAACTTTGTAGTGTAAACTGGTTTGATTGATGTCTTTGTAACTGGTGCCTTTTCTGGTAGGTTGATGTAGGTAGTTGGTTGGAAGTTGATAAGTGTCCATAAGTTCACTCCAGTACCACCACTCAAATAGAATCCTTCAGTTGTCAGCACTGACTGTTCTTTGGATTGTGGATTCGGTGTCGATGGTGCACTGAAAATATTGTTAATATCGACGTTTGTGGTAGGGAATTCGATGTTGTGTCCGTAAATCAGTGGCTGTGCCGACTGGATCGCCTGTGAGACGACTTGCAACGATGAGTACTTGTGACACATAAACGAATGTCCATACGATGGAACGTATTGTAACATTGAGTTTGGCGGTGTGATATGGTAGTCAGTTGGGAACCATCCGTCGGCTCCGGGCATGAGGAAAGTTCCGCCGGAATTAGAGGTGGCGGGAGTAGTTGGCTGAGGGAATCCTGGCAATGAGTGTTTAATGTGGATACCGGCGGTTACAGTTTGATCCTGGAATATTAGAATACCTTTGGCCTCTGAGGAGGTTCCAGTTGGCTGTGGATTTACTGCAGGATATTTCTGAGGAAAATCACCTCCGTTGTGCCATGGCTCATTGTTGAACATTATGTACTTTCTTGTGTATGCTTGTTGAAGAGTACGTGCTAGCGGTGAAGTGGTAGCGTTGATCTCACTGAAAGTAAGCACAACATTAGTTGCTACACTATCGGTATATATAAAACGATTGGAATTTGGAAGTTTTCGGACTAGCCACCAATTGACACTGGTTCCATCCGGCGACAAACAAGTCGGTGCCGACGCCAGCACCAACTGGTCAGTCGATGATAGTTGACATAGTACTAAAAATAATATCAATAATAGATAACAATATTTATCCATTATTGTTATTATCAATCTATCTATATCTATATTCTAACTAACTAACGAAATAATTTGAATAAATGTAATATATCAATTGAAATAAAATAAGATAAGATAAATATTGTTGTTTGATGGTAGAAGATTTTGATTGATTTGAAATAAAAATTAATTATAATTGACGCTCTTTAATCATGATTAATGAATCAACCATCAATGTTTATTTATTTTTAGTATGAGATTATTGATTGGCAGAACGAACAAGTTTAGACTTGACTCGTCTTCGCAACAACGCCTCTCTTAACACATACAAACTAATCTTTGCATACCCAAAAACAATCTCAATTCGTGATGAAATTGCTTAATTTTGATTGATTTGAGTGATCACATCACTCATCAATGTTTAATGTTACAAAATGTTCATTGAACAAAAACAAAAAAAAATAGTTATCAAGCAAAAACAAAGAAAGATACTTTTTTTTTCGTTCCAAAAAATTTTCAAGCGTTTGTTTGATCAAAAACAAATTTGGTTCCACAAATAGATCATAATTATCAGACTAGCCTGTACACAAGTTTGTTTGTTTGTTTGTTTGTTTTTTGTTTTTAAAAATATCGGGTAGGTCGTCTTCAACATGACCAGATTTTAATTTGTCTTTTTGTTTGTTCAGATGTTGTTGATGTTTACATCGATTAAGATTAAAATATCTACCAAACTATTGATTGAAGTTAGTTATATTTACTCACTCTAATTCATGAATTATTATAAATTATTTTATTTTTGTGGCAAGAAGAGAAATGCGACAAGAAAACGAATCGTGATGAAATAATACACAGACAGTAGTAGTCGTACCACTACTAATTGTTGATTGTTTTATTTTGTAGTTGTTGGATATCATAGAGTAGAGATTCAATGGTATCTAGTTTTTCGTCGTTTTCTGATGACTTGCTGAGTATGCAATCGAAACTATTGTGTAGCTCGTGAATGGTTTTGTTGATCGAGTCAATGGTATCTATTCTTTTGGCTACCGAATTTTGCATATTATCTTTCAGTTGATTTAAACGACTTCCAATATCGACCATCTTGTCTTTAACTTCTGTAAACTTTGTGTGATCATTGCTACTATCTCTTTCTATTTTTTGTTGTTGTTGTTGTTGTTCTATTACAGTTGATATAGAACCAGTTGCAGAAGATAATGTAGGTGATGAAGATAATGAAGTTGTTGGTGGTGGTGACAATGTCGGTGGTGAAGTTGATCTAAATGGAAGGTTAATCTTTATTTTTAAACTAGGTTGACCATTACCATTCGTACCGCTACTTATACTACTTATATTGTTATTATTACTACTACTACTACGATTATTATTTTTACTATTGTTATTTATATTATCTTGATTATCATTATCATTATCATTATCATTATCATTATCATTATCATTATCTTTTAAAGTATTTCTATCTAAACTTTGAAAATGATTAAATAGATTTGCTTGTATCTCTTCGAGTGTTAAACTCTCGTCATCGATGATGATCATCTCTTGATTTAACGTCGATGATGTTGATGATGATGATGATGATGATGATAACTTTGATTTCTTGGAATCGTTACTGTTACTAGGGCTCGATTCATCTTTTCTCTTTCCATTGATAACTCTACTACAGTATGCACAATTCTTTGCATAGTTTTCAATATCTTTTTTTATATTTGGCCAATAGTATTTATCTAATAATGTTTAAAAAGGTGAGAGTAAGTATTTATGTTTAAAATTTAATAACTCGTTAGCTTAATATTATATATATATATGTATATAATATTATATTTACCAGTTATTGTTTTTCTCATTACATCACCTCTATGATGTCTTGTGGAGCTAGGGGACAGATGGTGCGATTCCAATAACTCTTGGATCTGTGAATGTTTAACAACTAATCTTTTTCCATATTCTTATAGATAGATAGATAGGTAAATATTTAATTATTCATTGTAAAGTTAAAATATGCTTATATTATTTATTACTTTTATTATGTAGATGTAATTCATTGCTTACAACGACAAAGGAATCTTCAAAGTATTTCTGATTTTCAGTTTCTATATATTTCTTGGGTATACTAGCACTTTTACTCTTAAAAAACACTACTAAATCTTTGTACAACACTTCATCCATCTAACCTAAAGAGAGAAGATCTATCTATCCACTAATGATGATTGTGTAATTAAAAAAAGAAAAAAACAAAAAGATGATTGTTATTATTTTTACATTTTAAAATATTTGTTTTTTTTTTTTGATTGATAAGACAATGATATCGATTTCACAACATAGTAGAAGATTAATCTATAGGTTACTAAGTCAACAACCTTCTTGTTATTATAATTATCATTATCATGTTTCTAGTAACAACAATACCACTAGAAACTATTATAGTACAAAGAAACTAAGTGATCTTGATCAAATGGTTTTGTTGGACAACGAAAGATTGAATCAATCTAAGCGTCAACAACAAAATACAAATGATGATGATATCATAATCAATAGTTTTCAATCAAAGGGACTAAATCTAAAGGAATTGATTGAAAATAGTAGGAGTGATAGTCAATTACTAAGTAAATCTCTAAGACAAATAGAAACCAGTTTGGAGACGGAGGAATATGAATATCTTTTCAAAACACTCTCAAAGAATCATAGAATCATAGATTTAGTTTATCTTTTATTTAGATATGATATAGATAATCATGGGATTCGTCAATCTCTCTTTAGAATGTTATTTACATCATTCAATGGTTGTTGTGATCTATTGTCTGATGATCATCAGAATGGTGGTGCAATGTCTGGTCAGAATCTATTGTTGGAATCAATTGAATCTATTGTAAGATTGTCAAAGATCAAAGAGTTCCAAATCGATCTCGATATCTATAATAGTTTACTGGAGATCTATGTCAAGTGTGGAAGAAACGATCTTGTAATACAAACCCTGGAGACTATGAAACTTTCACTGATCAAGCCGACATTCGACACATACATCATCGTAGCTTCATCTCTAAATCAAGAGCAAACCTCTCAACTAATGCAACAAATCAAACCACAATCTTCAAGTTCAAACAAACCTTCAATCAACAGCTATCAACTTTTAAACGATTCATTCGACAAACTCTTGAAAACAATCGAAGATAAAGAAAATGAGAAATAAATAAAGATTAGAGGGAGTTTTAGTTTTAGTTTTAATTTAAATTATTTAATGAGAGAGAGAGAGACAACTAGCTAGTTTGTAAGAAAAAAATGAGGAGGATGTTGATGTTGATGATTACATGTTTTGGTAGTTTGGACCACCAGAACCTTCGGGAACTGTATAGTCAATGTTCTGAGTTGGATCCTTGATGTCGCAGGTCTTGCAGTGTAGACAGTTTTGCGCGTTGATCTGGAGCTTCTTCTTGTCGCTACCGTCTTGCTCGATCCACTCGTAGACACCGGCCGGACAGAAACGACCTTCGGGACCGTCGAATTTATCACGGTTGACCTTCTCGGCCACCGACATGTTGCGTACTTTCAAGTGAGCGGGCTGGTTCTCTTCGTGGTTGGTTCCGGATCGCGACACACTGGTCATCAAGTCAAAGGTGTAGACACCGTCGGGCTTGGGGTAGGCGATCTTTGGACTCTCGCTGGCGGGCTTCAGTGTCTCATTGTCCTTGACGGCGTGCTTCAAGGTGTATGGCAGCTTGCCACGTGTAATATACATCTCGATGGCACCGAAAATAAACCAGGGGATGAATCCCCAGTGGAAAGCCGGTCGGTAGTTTCTCACCTCGTACAAATCCTTCCACACCCAGGAGTCACGCACTTTTTGCGGGTAGCTGGCGATGGTGATTGCACTGGCGTCCTTGTCCTTTTGCAACTCTTCGAACACCGACTCGGCGGCGAGCATACCGGTCTTCATGGCGTTGTGACTTCCCTTGATTTTCGGCACGTTGACAAAGCCGGCCGAGCAACCGACCAGCGCACCACCTGGAACCACCAGATCGGGAATCGACTGGAGACCACCTTCATTGATTGTTCTCGCTCCGTACTGAAGGCAAGTGGCGCCTTCCAGCATTGGCTTCAACAGTGGATGCAGCTTGAATTTCTGGAACTCCTGGTAGGGATTCAAATATGGATTGGTATAGTCCAAACCGATGACCAAACCAATAGCCATCAGATTATCCTCCAAATGATAGGCAAAAGTACCACCATATGTTTTCATATCCAATGGGAATCCAACTGTATGAATTGCCAAACCTGGTTTATGTTTTGATGGATCGATTTGCCATAACTAATTTGTATTTTTTTTTGATGGAAATGTTTGAAAAAGTTGGTTAGTTGTTATTGTTGTTGTTGTTGTTATATTATTGCTATTGTTGTTATTGGCTATTGTTATTTTTACCTCTTTAATACCAAGACCATAAGTTTGTGGTTCACAATTCTTATTTAAATCAAACTTTTTCATTAGTTGTTTGGTGAGAGATCCACGACAACCTTCGGCAAAGAGAGTGCATTTCGCACGCAATTCCATACCACGTGTAAAGTGTGAGGTTGGTTTACCGTCCTTACCGATACCCATATCGCTAGTGGCGATACCGTTGACGTTACCCTTCTCGTCGTAGAGCACCTCAGAGGCAGCGAATCCCGGGTAAATCTCCACACCCAATTCCTCTGCCTGCTGACCCATCCACTTTATGAAATTACCCAAACTGATAATATAGTTACCCTCGTTATGCATGAAACGAGGTGTTGGCAATCTAATCGAGTGATTCTCTGTTAGAACATAGAATTTATCATCTGTAACCGGTGTATTTAATGGTGCCTAAAACAAACATAACAAAACATAACAATAACAATAACAATAACAGTTAGTGTTAACAGCAAACTATTGATATTCAATGTTTGTTATTGCTTCCAATAATACTAATACTTACACCTTTTTCTTTCCAATCTGGAATCAACTCGTTCAATGCAGTTGGCTGGATGACAGCACCAGAGAGAATGTGTGAACCGACTTCAGCACCTTTCTCTACTACACATACACGTAGATCAGTGTTTGCTTGTTGCGCCAATTGCTTCAATCTGATGGCAGCTGACAAACCAGATGGACCAGCACCAACGATGACAACATCGAACTGATCCGATTCTCTCTCACCCAAATCCTGTGATTCACTAGAGTAGAATCTACTTAGCGATGATCCAAATGCTCTCAATCCATTGGATTGTCTGAACAACGATGTTCTAGATGATTGAAAAGTCGAGGAAGTTACAGTGGAACTCAAGAACTTCTTCAATCCTCTATTTGCAAATCCTAACATCTTTTATCTATTAAAATATCCTTTATAAATAAATATATAAAATATATATAGATATAACTGATAATAAAATAAAATAAATCAATAAAACAAAATAAAAAAAAATGAAATAATAGTTGTGTTTATCAGCGAACTTATTGATCATGCATTTTTTTGAAACATCATTAATGAAATTTCAAATTTTTTTTCAAATGTTCCATCGGAATTAACGTGTAATGGGAACAAATAAACTTCCAATTGTGACTCTTTTCAAATACTCAATAATATAAAAAGTAAATACTTTTTACTCTTTTTTTTTTTTTTTGTAAACTAATACAAATATAATATAAAATCTTGAAAGAAATGTACATTTCTTTTGTCAACTTTTTATGTTAGTGTTAAATGTTCATTAAGTTGTCTTGTTCTTCTTGAAACTTTTAATCAATAAATGGTATGTGGAGCAAGAATAAGAATAAAGAAAACAATACTAGATAAATTTATACATAAAATATATCATCTTTTATTATCTATTTTAAATGATGTATACATGTTGATTGGATTTGACTGTTTCGATTTGTTGATTAATTTTAATGTTGATTGGATTTGAATTGATTTGATTTTAATTGTTACAAGTCCTGCTATATACACAAATAGTATATTATATATATGAATATACATCGATCGTATTTTTGATATTGATTTGGTTTGATTTGATTTTGTATGATAATCGTTTGTTGTTTGTCGATCAATATTAATAACCTTCCAGTTGTTGGACAATATGTTGCTTGCTGTGGTGGTGATTGTTGTAGTACAGCGATGATTGTGTTGTTGGTGATTGGTGATGTTGAAGTGATAATGTTTCGACTTTGGATGCTAACCGGCTACCACTGCTGCCGCTGCTGTTGTTGTTACTACTGTCGACAATAATAGAATTGTTATTTTGAGAGGTGATTGTGGGTGAGTTTGTAGTGGAGGAAGATATAGCCAATTTAATGTTGGCCAGTATCTTGACGAGGTTGTCTAAACCAAATATATAACCGTCATCCTCTGACGCTTCGTGCTTGTCGTCAACATTGATGGCGTGAGCGAAATCAATCATCTTGACATCGTTTCTAATGGAAGAAGACGATGACGACGACGACGATGAAGATCTCAATACTGACGATGAAGGTGGTTGCAATCTCTGGTTGATTTCATCCTCATTGTCCGATGAGTCGATCGTCGAGTCTATATCGGAGGACGTGGAAATACAAGAATCTGCATCACTTTCTTCGAGGAGTGAAGGATAGCTAATTTCACCATCATCCAAAGACTGTGATGATGATGTTGAACCTGAAAACATATCTATTGAACTATTACTACTAGACGGTGAACCTTCGTAGATGATCAATAAACTGCTTGAATAAAGTTTAAATGAAAATTGATTATTTTTATCACATAAAGAGTCTAAAAAATATATATATATTTACAAAAAGAGAATAAATGGTTAGTTATGTTAGGTTTTTCTTTATAAAGAAAAATATAATCTCTCTCATTAATTTATAAATTACATTTGATATGATATTTTACCTTTTAAACTTAATAATTTATCTAAAATACAATCAACAAGATAGATTTGTGAGGTGTCTGTTGATGAATGGAAAAAGAAATGATATAATGTAGATTCTAGTGACTCGTCTGTTAATGATCTTCCGTAGAATCTATCATATATAATATTTCCTCCTATGTTATCACTAAATATTTTCATTCCACAAATTCTTATACCCAGTGAGGTCGATGTCGTGCTGGCACAGATCGCACCCTTCTGTCTGGTTCCCACCTTGATATCTACGATACACGGATGGTTGTAACCCTTGGTGAGGTCCTCTAGCAATATATATTGTTGAACGGTGCCGACCGGATGTTTCGGAGCTTTCTTCTTTTGTTTGGACTGGGCAATGAATTTCTGTACGGAAGGCAGCACCACAAGGAAGTCGTGTGACGCTGTGGCTGCGGTGTGATAGCTATCCAATGAGCTGTCTTGCTCAAAGCTACTTCCGAAGCTGCCAAAGCTACTGGTTCTGCTTCGATTACCACTGTTATTGTTGCTGCTGCTGCATTGCGAAGCAAGTGCCGATAGTCGATTGATGTTGATTGGTGAGGTGCTGGTCGTTAGAACAATCTCATTGGTCTCTGGCTGGAAACGATCGATGTTCATCAGTTGAGCATCGTTGTTGGTGGGCTTGCTGCTGGTGGCGGTGTTGGTGTTGTTCAGATCCGAGCAATCATGATTCTTTAGGATGTCAACAACTCCGTGGAATCCGGCGACAAAAGGACGCACAGCTTCATTGAAATAGGCAGCCAAATAGAAATTAAGTTCACGTTGTATTAGTGGTTTACAAATCTTACCATTCACCGAGAGAATGGCGCAGTGACCTCCGACTTGGTTGGAGAACTGTGTAACTGAAGGATCCAATATTAGCTCTTCATCTTTATTGTTGTTGCTGCTGCTGCTACTGATACTACTATTGCTGTCGCTGTCACTGATATTACTGCTGTTGCTGCTGGTACTACTTGACAAACTGGAAATACCTTGATATTTCACCAAATTAAACATATTGCTCCGATATGGATAATCTTGATTTTAAAATGTTTATTGTAGAAATTTAAAATAATAATAATAATAATAAATAGAAGGTTGATAAAAATTGGAGTTATTTAAGATTTAATCTGTTATAATTAAACCCTGTAAAGTAAAAAGAATGTAAAAATAAATTAAAAGATTGTAAATTGTAAAATCTAATAATTATTAACCAATTATAAAGTAAAGCAAAGTAAAGTAAAATAAAAAATAAAGAATTAAAAAAAAAAAAAAAGAAGAATAAAATAAAGTTAGTTTTGTTTTAATTTATTTGTTTTTGTTTTTGTTTTGTTTTTTGCTAAGAAAATTATGTTTTCTCTGTTTTTGATTTTTCTAATAATTATTCAATTTTATTATTATCTATTATATTTATTATTTAATTATGATTATTATTTATATTAATATTTAAAGCTATACAAAAAATGCAATGAAATTAAAAAGAGAAGATATTAATTTGAGGTTTTATACAACAACACAACTAAAAACAAACAAACAAAACAACAAACCAATGGTATTGCTACAAAAAAGTAATAAATATATATATAACAATATAATTTAAAAAGAATAATGTTTGGTTTTTAAGTTTATCATTGAATAATAATGACCACAAATCAACCCAACCCTTAAAATTGCATTAAAGATATGGGGTGAGAAAAAATAAATTAAAAGGTGGTGGGATGTGCTTGCTGGTGTGGGTGATAGATAAAAACAATCATTGATTACCCACTAATAAAAAATTCTGCTGTTAATTTAAAAAAAAAAAAATATAATATTTAAACACAAGTATGAATTGTTGTGTGTGCAAGTGAATTGTGTGTAAGTGGTTGGTCAATCTTAAACACACATACATAATACCATTTCTTTTTAAACAAATAAATATGTCAATATATAAAAATAGATAATAACTTATATAATACAATATCAGTAATTTTTAAACTATAGTTAGTTTGAAGTATAGTATAGTTATAAAAATATAAATGATAAAAAAAAAAAAAATAAACAAATAATTTTTATTTTATTTTATTTATTCTTCTGATTAAAAAAAAGATCTTAATTCCTTTGTTTGCACATTGTATTGTATCTATCTGATGTCTGTCTCATCTAAATATCTTGATTATTGATTATTGTGAGTTGTTCTATCCTTTAATTATAATTGCTTACCAAACAAAATAAATTAAATTTTTAATTAATAATAAAAAAGTAGAAAGTTAATAAAAAAAAAAATAAAAAAAAAAGAGTTAAGATTCTTTGTTAATAAATAATCTGAAATAAATATTGTAGAAATAAATAATGATTTTATGTTGTTGTGTTGATTAATTTTTTTTATTCATTGAATTATGAATACCTCATCTTTATAAAACCAAAACAAAAATCAAAAAACATTGATTTTAAAAAAATAATAAATTAAAAAAAATAGAAAAAACCCTTTCAAGCAAAAGTGTGAAATTCACACAATTATGTGGAAGGTGTGAAAAAAAGTCAATTTCATTTATGTTTGTCAAAATTTTGCTCATTTAAAAAAAAAAAAAAAAAAAAAAAAGTTTTGTGTCATCCAAAAAAGTTAATTATTAGATGATGAGCCTGGTTAAAAGAAATATTAGTTGTCGATATCATATCATATCACTTTGATTTTATTTTGAGAAGCAAAAACAAAAACAAAATTTATAAAATGATTAATTTTTTTTTTTTATCCCTATCTTTTGCATACTACAATGTTTATTAGTTCCTTCAAATCCTAGATCATTTTTCATATAAATCACGTGGTGGTAGTCAAGTTGCAATAAATCCCAGATCTCACTTTTTCAGTGTTAACTTACGAGTAATCATAGAGACAGAGAAAGTCTTAAAGTCAGAGTTATCAAACAAATCGATAGGCTAGACAACCTCAAAGTGTGATATTGTAAGTGGTGTGATTCTAACAGAGTGCAACTATTCATCGCTGCACATATGTCTATAAGCGTTACTGTCATTGGCCGATGACATCACTACTACTACCTACCGACTCCACAGTTATATATTTTCTGCTCTCTATATTTATAGACTATTCATATCTACTTACAAATCCTTGCTGTGTCACAGGAGCATAGCGTATTCAACAAGTTCAATACTAGATCATCAGCTAGTTCAGAGTATGGCGAAGCAAGGCCTTATAGTCAGATGAAATTTCAGGCAACTAGTTGGATTATTCAACATTGAGGAGAAGATCTTTTCAGTTGGGAGTTTATTGTATCTTTTGTTAGGACTAATTCGCATAGTGTAGCAATTAGCGCAAAGATATCTCAAACAACAACTTCAAGTGTACTCAACTTAGCATCATAGCATTCAGAGAACTAGTACCTATTTCAATTTATTCCGATTATAATTAAGGTCAATATAGATTTGTTGGATCTAGGTATACATAAAGGAAAGTATAGAATAAAAAAAAAAAAAAAAAAAAAAAGGAAATTACAAATAAATCATATTTTTTTCTTTATCTCAACCAAATTGGTTTAAATTATAAGTAGAATTAATATACATTTAGTCTATTACAAATTTCAATTGAAATAAGATAAACAAACTTGGGTAATAAGTTGATTTGTCAAGTGAATGGGAAAAATTTAAAATTATTACATTTTTTTTGTTTTTCGCAACTACAAATCGAACCACGAACAATGGTTTCATTTTTCATTTGTAGATTATCAATTAGACTACCGTTATTCGTCTAAACGAAAAAGGAAATGAGTTCATCAAATAGTGCAGTAAAAGAGATCTGTATCGATATCTTACAAAATAACGCAAAGGTATGCATGATATCATGATAATGATGATGACAGCAGTAAACATTGGTGGATGTTCATGTCATTACTTTACATTTCATTATATATATTTCAAATTATTACTTTGGATTGCTTGCTAATCACTATCTACAAACCTTCTATAACTTTTTTCTTTTAGTTTGCTCGTGAGGTTTCAGATTACTTCTCACGTCATAGATTCCAATGTGAAAACTTATGTAGGTAATCGGTACAATATGTTGAAAATTAATAGTGTTATTTATTTATATTTCAAATTTGCTAACATTTATCACTCAATACCGTCTTACTGATTGTGTTTATTGTGGAATCTATTTTATTTAGGTGAAAAGTTAAAGACGTATGTATTGATTTGGTAGTAGAGAAAGATTACTTTTAGATTGAAGTGATATTAATTGGTTTGTTTTTTTATTGAACAACTTTTGTAGTGCCGATCAAGTTACTTTAAATGACATTAGTTCGATTTTATCAAGCATTACAACACCAATTTCAATTCCAGCTTATGGATCAGCATTGAATGGTAGCACTACAGATTCAAAGGTTGCAGCATCAACAACAGTAGCAGCACCAACAGACATCCCAGAGACACCAAAGAAGAGAGCTGCCGCCACCAAGAGACCATCAACAAAGAGAAAGTCAACTGAGCCAGCAAAAGATGAGGAAGAAGCTAAAGCTGCTGCCGAAGAAGAGAAGCCAAAGAGAAAGAGAGCTACCAAGAAGGAAGAAGAAGAGAAAGAAAAGGAGAAAGAAAAAGAAAAGGAAAAAGAGAAAGAAGAAAAGAGAACACCAAGAAAGAAAACAGAGAAAAAAGACGATAAGAAAGATGAAGAAAAAGAGAAGGAAAAGAAAGAAAAGGAAAAAGAGAAGGAAAAGAAAACACCAAAAAAGAAAGCAGTTGCCAAGAGTAGTGATGTTAAATCAGATACCGAATAAAAAAACGAATAAATATAATATAATACCGAGTTGGAATAAATATCAATCAATTTGTTTTTGTGTAGAAATAATTATCACAATGTGTTTTTGTTTTGTTTTAAATAATTATATATATATATTATTAATTTATAAAAGGTTTTAAAAAGTTGGTTGGACAGACTTTTGTTTAGAAGGTGAAATTGCAAACAGCTGGAAGAGTGCAACCATTTTGTTGAATGATTTCGTGGGCAGCATAGTGACCAGATTCGATACACTTGCTCAATTCCTTTCCTTGTGAGTAGGCAGCGACGAAACCACCGCAGAAAGAGTCACCGGCGGCGTTCAAGTCGACGATCTTCTCCTTTGGAAGAGTGATTGGTGAGTATTGGTCGAGCTTACCGTTGGTGTAGACCAAAGTGTTGTTGGCACCCTGAGTGAAAACGACGGTTCTCGAACGCTTTTGGTTGACCTTTTCCCAGGCGGCCAACTTCTCGGCGACGACGGCGAGATCTTCACCCCAACCCATCTTCTTACCGATGCAGGCAGCCTCTGACTCGTTGGCGAAAACAATATCGACGTATGGCAACAAAGCCTTGACACGCTCAAAGAAGAAGTCGACTTCAATCAAGAATGGAGCGGCCAAACCGTAGAGGAAAGCCTTGTTTTGCTCGGCGGCATGTTGGGCGAGCAACATGGCAGACTCCGGTGAGACGGTCATGAAGTAACCGACCATGTAGAAGAGTTGGGCAGACTCGATCGACTTTTGCATCTCTGGGGTTTGGAGGTGGGTGATCTTGAAGTTGTTGGCGGCACCCAAAGCAGTGCACAAGGTACGCTCGTTGTTGTTGATCAAGACGGCACAGGCACCGGTTGGAGTGGCTGCGTCGACAAAGTAGTCGGCAATGACACCGCTCTTCTCATTGGCTTCTCTGAGAATTTGGGCGTTCTTGTCGGAACCGACACAACCGGTATATAAAACAGTTTGCTTCTCTGGCAACATCCATTGAGCGACACGAGCAGTGTTTTGTGCAGCTCCACCTGGAATATAATCAACAGTGTATTTTGCAACAACTTCTTCATAGCTATTGTTGTTATAGTAGTAGTAGTAGTTGTTTTTTGTTATTAATAAGTAAGCAAAAAAGTTTCATTTTGTTTTTTTGTTTTTGTTTCAAAATGTTTGATATCTCAATAGATAGAATAGAATTCTATTGCTATTGATTGATAACATGTTTGGAAGAAGAGAAGATAAGAGAAGAGAATGAGATGATTTCACACACTTACATTGGGAGTTGTTTGTCTTCAGCCAAGATAGCGTTTCCAAGTTTCAAATCGTACTTGTTAAAGAAGTCCATATCAGTGTGTGCGGAGATATCCAACAATGGATTTCCAATGCAAAAGATCTTTGGGTTCGACATTATTACTACTGCTGTTGTTACTAACTACTGTTTTATAAGAGTAAATTTAAAGGTGAAATGAACACTTAATTAGAACTGTCAGCAAAAACGAAAAAAAAGTTTTGTAAAAAAAAAAAATTAAAATTAAAATTAAAAATAAATAAAACTATTGTTAAGATTGATTTTTATTTTACTTTATTACTTTATTAAGTGAAATAATTATTGAAAACAGTAATAGACAAGCAAGAAAACATTGAAATATAAATATATATATTCATATATATAAAAAACTCAAATCTATATATGTATTTATGTTATTTTATCTTAAAACTAAAATAATAACTACATATATTTTGTAATTAATTTTATTTTATTTAGATTTTTAATGAAAAACTGTCTGAACAGTTCATTGTTTGTATAAATCAAATATGTTAATAGTTTATTTTAATAATGATAAATAAAAGAATATTTTTATTAAATTTAGTAATTATTACTAAATTATTAAGATTTATATATGCAACGTCAATACACAATCAATATTATAAAATACAGACAAGGAGATATATTATAAAATTTGAAATTCTTTATTTCAAAAGAAATCGTGGGGGAAAAGTTACTGGTTGAATAAATAAATAAATAAAAAAAAGAAACTGCAAATTTGTTAATATTGTTTTGCGAATTTTGATTATTATTTGTTAAATTTGTTTTGTAGATATTTTTATATATATTTTAGTTAGTCTTTTTTTTTTTTTTTTTTGTTATTAAATTGCTCTAATTTTTCCAAACACTGCAGTCAGACTTTTGAATAAACACACAACAAACAACACGCACAACACAAACATTCACACGATTTTCAATATTATTATTATTATTATTATGTTGTAATATTAACACTACCAAAGTAAAAACTATATAACACTATTATATATAACACTACCACACCATATCTATCATTATTTTTTGATCAATTACATTATATCGAAGTATCAAATTGAATTGTTAGATTAGATTAGTTAGATTGATGTTGTTGGTTGTTGATGATTATTGATTGTTTGATTGATGATTGAGTAGAATTGTCAACAAGTGGTACACAATACAAATAGATAATAGTAGTAAATAGTATAACAAGAGAATAATTAGATTACAAATAAAAGTCTATCATAATTGTTGTGACTTTTGATTATTTGATATCAAATAATTAGTTTAAAGAAAAAGTAACAAAAGATTCAGTGATACTTCGATACGATCGTCTACATCACTTTGGATTTGACATTTGTCATCATCATTTTCAACATCATCAATTCATCCCTCACATTGTTTAGCGAACAGTTCATAACAATAAAAATATAGTTTTTTAGATTTACAAAAGTAGTCAGTTAAAAGTGACTATTCATAATCGAATCAAATCGCATCACATCAAATCTAAAAAATGTTGAATAACAGTAATAGTAACAATAACAACCATTCATATGATTATAATGGTAACAACAACAGCAACAGTAGTAGTGGTGGTAATGGTACAAACAATAACAATATCAACAATAGTAACAGTATTAATAATGGAGATGGCTATGAGATGAACGATTTCGAAGCCAGTCGGAATCCATTCTTTTTTTCAGGTGGCGAGTTCTCGCCAACCTATTCATCGAGCATTCTCGACGACTACGACGACGAGGAAGAAGACAAAGAGGATCATTCGTTCATCGAGGTGGAATTCCTTCGATCACCGTCGTCGCGCAAGTCATCGACGATCACCTATCTCCTAAACAAACTCTCTCAGAAACGTGTGCGAATGGCACTCTACACGCTGCTGATCATGCTCGTCGTGTTTGTCATCTTTTTCAGTGTCTTCTTTGTACTGAGGAGTCACATCAAGGACAACAACGATAATCACGTAAAACCACCCATCTACAATACACCGAGAGTCAATCCCACCATTGTCATCTCGATCGATGGTTTCCGGTACGACTATCTCGAGTGGGGACTGACACCGAACATCATGTCGCTTTACACCGGCGACGATGCCGGCGTCAGGGCGGACTACATGACACCGCAGTTCCCATCGAAAACATTCCCCAATCACTACTCAATAGCAACCGGACTCTACCCAGAGAATCACGGTATCGTATCGAACACCTTCTACGACCCGGTCCTCAACGAAACTTTTTCACGTAGTTTGACCGACAAAAAATGGTGGTGGGGTGAACCAATTTGGGAATCTGCATCAAAATCGGTAAGCAATAACTAACGATTGTTTTAATTGTGTTACCAATTGTAAAGTTACTAATATTCTTTTTCTTTTCTTTTAGAATTTGAATGCATCTTGTTATTTCTGGCCAGGTTGCGCTGCTTATGTACCGCAATACAATGTCAGTCCTTTCAAGCCGACACCGGCCAGTACGGTTCTGGCGCAGGTGCTGAGTTGGCAGTTGAATCAAAAGCCAAATCTAACGATGGCATATCTATACGATGTAGATAATGCTGCACATCAGACAAAGGGTGGAGTCAAATCGCTCGTTGTCAACAATACGATTGTCGAGGTCGACAATGCCATTGGAACACTACTACAAGGTCTAAAAGACAATGGACTATACGAAACTACCAACATTATCATTCTATCCGATCATGGAATGACAAACATCATCGAAACAGTCGATGTTACTCAATATATCGATATGACCGCTACCTATGTACCTGACACTACACCAATCCTCTCTGTCTATGAGAATCAAGTTGGAGGACCACAGTAAGTAATCGACATAACAAAACATAACAATATTGCTACGTTTAAATAGTTATCACACTTTACTAACTCTATAATTCATCTCTACTCAAAAAAAAAAAAAAGAGCTATTATCGATACATATAATAGATTGAAAGAAGCTAATCTACCACATTTGAATGTTTATCTTAAAGATGAAATACCAGATGCCTATAGATATAATAGTACAACTAGAATTGCACCTTTGATTGCCGTTGTCGATGAAGGCTATCAAATTATTTTAGATGGTTCTAAATCATATGTTGATTATGGTGAACATGGTTATAATAATACGTATGTATCTAAACAAATCAAATTATTATATTTATATTAAAATAATAATCAATTATATATTTATTAATATTCAACTGTTTTTATAGACTTGTAGATATGAGAGCGATATTCGTTGCACACGGACCAAATATAGTGAATGGTAAAAAGAATTTCAATATGCCAAATACAGAGGTATACAATTTCATTGCACAACTAATGAATGTTACCAAACCGGCACCAAACAACGGAACAAGCTTCCTTGTCGATCTCATTTACAAACCAAACAAACCATAGTAAAGTAATTACATTATAAAACTACCATTACCATTACCCTACGTAAACAATATAATAAATAATAATATTACAAATTTTGTACCAATTTTAAAACAAAAAAATATATTATAATATTTGTTTTTTTTTGTCTTCATTCGTTTTTTCAATGCACAACAAGGTGGTGATCATGATGGACAATCTAAGATCTTCAACAAATGAAATTAAATATATTTTAAGTTTATCAGATAATGATGATACAAAAATAAATCTATTCAATTGTAATATCAATTATTTAGATCACATTGTCAAACAACAACAACAACAACAATATAGAGATCAATCTACTACTTCTATATCATATCTTCCTTGGTATATTGACAATAGATACTCTCTATTCAAATTGAAATTCGATAATCAATCATTCAAAGAGATACTTGATTTATTAAAATCTAATAATAATAATAATACTCTACCTATTGATATCAATCAATTGTATGTATTATTATTTAAGTACTATTATTGTCTTTCTATAAAGAACTTAAATACTAACTAAAGCTTTGATTAATTTTAGATATACACCACAATTCTCATTCTTTCTATCAAATAATGATTCATCACTCTTCTCTAATGATAATAATAATAACAATGATATCACCTATCAAATAAAAACGATAACGTCAATAGATAATGTAATCAATCAAAGACTGAGGTTGAACAACCGTTACAGTGGCGTTTGTGCTCACTCTAAAGCTAATCTTTTGACAATCACCAATCAACTTGAAATACCTCTAAAATTAAAGTTTGAATCAAATATTAAAGATATTCAATGGAATCATAATAACTATCAATGTTTATTAATGTAAGCATAATCGTTAATATATATAACATCTAAAAATTTTGTTATTATACTATACTAATTAGAATATTATTTTTTACTAAACCTCATTATATATATAGTATTACTAGAAATCAAATTAAAGTAATTGAATGGATAGACATCACTCTGAATATAAATAACTATAAGATTGTAGAGTACAAAGTTGATAATAGTGATAATAATAATGATACTACAATTAATTCAGATACCTATTCCTTTTCAACAATACAATGGTGTAGCAATGACTATTTTATAGTTACAGATGATATAAATATATTTATAAATAACAACAACAATAATAATGATAACATATCATTAGATTCTTTATCATTATCTAAAAGTAATAATAATAATAATAATAATAATAAAAGCTTAATATCAATATTAAAAGAGAATAATAATGAAGATAATAACAATAATATTACAACAATACCAAATTTTAATCGTCAATCTCAAACATCACTAATTAGTTCAATGTTTATGATACCCAATGATACTCAAAATCAACAACCACAACAATTAAATATAATAAATAATAATAATAGTAATGAAGATGATAAAGATAATGATAATCCAAAAAAAGAACAAGAACAACAACAACAACAACAACAATCATTAAAATCTAAACTTTATATATTTAGACATAGTAACAGTGATAATAATAATAATAATTTATCATTACAAACAGAATTGGTATCTGACTATAAAGTGATTGATTTAATAACATTTGATGTAAAGACTTCTACACTTGCAATAGCATCCAATCAATCAAATCAGATATCATTATATTCTTTTGCTTGTGCCAATGTAAACAATAACAATAATAATCTAATAACTTTTCAATCGACAATAACTATCAACGATAGCAATGAACTACCAAAACAACAAACAACATCTTCTTCCACCTCTCCAATACGTATTAAAGGTATACAATCCAATGATAACGGTATTATATTTATATTACGAGCAATTAAGGCTGAATCGAACTACAACAAACCAAATATATCTATTTCCTCTTCTCTAAAATCAGATTATAAAGATTTATCACTTTTATCACTTTCACTATTAAATAATAATAATAATAATCAAAATAATAATAATATAAATAACTATGAACTTTTAACAAAAATATTTGCAAAACTTGAAAAAATAGAAATATTAATTAATGATCAATCATCGCGAATTGATCGGATCGAATCAAAATTATCGACATTGGACAACCTGAAAAAATAAGCAATCATGAAATCCGCGCCTTTTTTGCAATAGCACAAATTTAAATAAAGGATTTTTTTTTTGTAATTTTTTTTTTTTTTTTTTTATCAAATGTGGTTTGCATATTAACGGTAAAAAAAACCAATTTTTCATCTTCACATTATTTTTATCAAATCTTATCCCTATATATATCTTTATTACTATATTTATTTAATTTAAATTTTCTCAAAAAAAATAAAAATTATTATTTTAATTTTTTAAATATATTTACAATTTACAAAAACAATGAACTCATATAAAGAAAATATTTTAAATGCTTCAGAGCTAAATAGTCATGCAGGTGGAATTCAAGATTTAAAGAGACAACCACTTCAGCCTGTTAAGCAACAAAAGACACAGGTTTTGACACCACCAAACAACAACTCATCGTCACAGAAATCAGTCCTACAACCACAACAAGTCAGTAACAATGGACCAAGTCAACTACAACAATCACAAGGAAGAAGAATCGTAGAGTTGGAAAAGAAGTTGAAAGAATTTGAAGAGATGATGAAGAACCTACAGATTGAAAATGATCAACTGCATGCCCAAGTTTCATTCCATGATCAATCAAGAGGTAAGTTTGACTTTTTTTTTTTTTTTTTTTTCCCATTGATCAATTTTTTTTTTTGCAATGCATTTTTGATTTTTTTAATTTTTTTTTAATTTCTTTTAAATTATAATAAAATATTAACTAACTCGATCATATTGATTGAAATTCACTAAAACTCAAATCATTTGTTTGTTTTGTCTTTTATAACCAACAAACAGCAAACGTTTTGATCAACAATAACAGATTAAGATTGGTACACCGTTTGCGCGAGGAAAATCAAATGTTGCACGACCAGGTGGAGGCACTCGAGGAAATGGTAGAGCAATCAACTCACGTTGATCCATTGGTAACCAAACAAAACGGTATCAGAGCTAGAAAGATCCAACAGTTAACTAAAGAAAATGTATGTTTTCTAAAAGAAAAGAAAAAACAAATAATTGCTTTTGATAAGTTATTAAAATATTAATCTATTTTCCTAAATTTAATAATAACTATAACTATAGGCTGAATTAAATGATAAATTACAACAAGCAAATGAAACAATTAGAACTTTAAATTCACAACAACAACAAAGACAACCAACTTCACTTTCAACATCAACAACACAAAATATCAATTACTCACACAACAGAAATTTAACAACATCCAGGGAATCCAACTATGGAATGGAGGAACACCATTTACCAGGAGAATGTTAATTTTCCAATGACCAATCTTTTTAATTTTTTTTGAGACTATCCTTTCTAAATATATATTAATATTAAATAGTGTTTTTAATTAATATATATTAAACAATAATTTTTTCCAACTGTCTACGACACTTTGTATAATAAATAAAATTAAATGTTAAATTATAATAAGTTACAAATGTTTTATAATTTTAATTTAAAATAAAAAAATGTTTATTTTTTCCAAGAAATGGAGAGAAAAAAAATTGCTCACTTTCAAAAAAAACATTGAAAATGTTTATTAATGATAAAATTTTGAAAAGATGAACTGACTGATTAATTCGTTTGGTACTGGAATTTCTTAGATTTGAACCATAGTGTATTTTGTTAATTTATCACCTATGAATGCTGATCAGGGTTAATAAATTCAATGAAGTATTGCAACAAATTGTTTGTTTAAAAAAATATTAATATTTTTTTATACAACTTGAATAGCTAATGTATTATTTTTATTACATTCACTTACCTAAGTTAATCACATGGTTCAAACATAAAATATGACCACCTGATTTTCGAATCCATAGTCTTGAAATAATCTTTCAGTTGTAAAACTTGATCATTATATCTTTGTATTATACGATTTTTAATCGTATCTCCACCGTATGAGTGTTTTTTATCCATAACAAATTTAGTTGATCAACTAAATTTGTCTCCTATAAAAGCTTTTATTGCTAATAATGAAGAGTTAGTAAATTCAATAAAGTGTTGCAACACATTGTTTTATTATTTAAGAAAAATAAATATTAAAATATTAACAACTTTAAACTATTTAATAATAATAAATCCGTTAAATACATAGTAATAGTTTATAGTTGAATATTAATATTTTAATATTTATAATTATATATATACAGCTTTAATAGTGTATTAGTTTTATCACATTCACTTACCTAAGTTAATTACATGGTTCAAACATATTATATGTCCACCTGGCCTTTTATACCCATTACAGCATATAACAACAGATGATAAGACTAATATATATCAAAGTCACAGATTAGCTAGATCCAGATAGATCCACCAACCGCAACAATAAACTATAAACAATAAACTTGCACGTCTGCAAATGATCTTTTCATTCTTATTACCCACTGGGGATTAATCAGTCAGTTCAGCTGATCGCAACTTTGATCATATTTTTAACTATGGTTGATTTATTTCTTTAAAGTATGACTAAACAATAACATATGTTAATTGAATTAATAATCGTACAGTGGCAAGCTCTACCATTATATAACAACTTACTATACTAAAAAGAATAACGAATCTACTCCCTTTATTGATCCCAGCTAAATCATCGAGTACTAAGAGATAATCGATTAGATATTGAAATATGTAATAAAGTTAAACTTATCTCGATGATCGAGCTGTGATCAATCAATGAGGAGTCTATGAAGAAAAAAAAATGGTGATACTTGTTTTAGTTTAATTTTTTTGTTTTCAAAGGTGGGGTTGTTTGTTATCATTATTTTTTATTTATTACCTTTTGATTGATTGATTTCATTTAAAATGGAACAAGGCGATCTATCTGTTTTAGTTTTTGGATCAAGTGGATTCATAGGAAGTAAAGTTGTCAGTCTTTTCGAATCGAACAGAGCTGTACTAAGAGTTATACATGCGAAATCAAGATTGGAAAACAGACAGGACATTGAGAATGAAATACTTGAAACCAAACCAAATAGAATTGTAAATTGTGCTGGTCTTACAGGTAGACCAAACATAGATTGGTGTGAAGATCATAAAGTTGAAACTATCAGGTAACTAACTAACTAACTACTAAAATAACCAAACTATATATCATTATATCATGATTATTAAAACAATGATTATTTATTTAAATTGTCTTTACAACAAAAATAGAACAAATGTTATTGGACACCTAAACCTTTTGGACATTGCCAATAAATATAATATACATCTAACGGTGTTTGGAACAGGATGTCTCTATCAATATGATAATGATAAACATTCACTAAATTCAGACAAAGGATTTACAGAAGAGGATCCATTCAACTATAGTGGTTCTTTCTATTCTAAAACTAAAGGTATAATGGAAGAGGTATGAATTACTATTTGATTTTTTTAACAATTACAATTTAATTTGAAAGATATATAATAATATATTTAATTTATTCATTCATTCATTCATTTTTTTTTGTTTGTTAATAGTTAACATCATGCTATTCAAATGTTCTGACACTAAGAGTTAGATTACCGATATCAGATTCAATGGATGAAGAACGTAATCTAGTTAGAAAACTAATCGGCTATGAGAAAGTAATTAATGTTAAGAATTCAATGACCGTACTCTATGATTTGCTACCAGTTGCCGTTGATATGTGTATAATGTCACGTCTTGGTGTCTATAACTTTACCAACCCAGGTACGATTTCACACAATGAGATACTGGATCTCTATAAGCAGTATATCGATCCAACCTATCAATATAAAAACTTCACTGTCGACGAGCAATCCAAGATCTTAAAGTCAGGTCGATGCAACTGTGAGCTAGACACCACCAAACTACAATCCCTATACCCATCGATACCTCATATCTCTGATTCAATTGTAAATCTATTTAAAAGAATGAAACAACAACAACAACAACAACAAAAATAAACAAATTAACTATTTAAATATTTTTCGAAATGCGCGCTAAAATTGGTTGATTGATTGAAGTCAAAGTGATCAAAAAAAATATTTTCTTGAAGATAACCAATTTCGGTTCGTTTTTAATAATAATTTAGTTGCATTTGAATATATATTTATATATTTATAGTTTTGTCTTTCTTTATAGTTTTTAGATTTTAGATTTTAGATTTTTTTGAAATAGAATACAGTTAAAATTTAGAATTTGGAACATTCATCATTTATAAAGATGCATTATCTAAAGAGAAAGACAAAGTCAGCTACATCATTCTTTGGTGTTGGAACATCAGCTTCTGATAATGAAAACCAAACTACATATATAGATAGTGAGGATATTGTTATGGATAATGACGATGATCACACTCCATCATCGTCATCATCACTTTCATCACCTTCAACATCTTCGCCATCATTACAATCATCTACACAAAAACAACCATTACCATCATTTTCAAACAACAGTAATAGCAATAACAACAATATTAATAGATCATCAACTAAAGAATATGATATTCAAGTTAAATTCGATATTCCCAACTCTATAAAGTTGGCTATCGACCAATCGTACAATGATAGCAACGATCATATTGTAATCACTGGTTTCATTAACTATCAGGGTGTAGCTTTTATTATACTACCAAACGAATTGTATATTTGGAGTTTAGATGTAATATTTATATTATAATGATCTCATATTTATATATTTACATTATATTAACAAGCTATTATCTATATATATATTTCTAGAAAACAACATCATATGATAAATTAGAACTACCATATCAGATGGATGTAAATCAAATATGTGTAACCAGAAACAAGAAGAACTACGACACATACACAGCATTCTATGTTACAAACGATGGTTCTGTGAGATACTGGTCACAAACAAACAGACCTTCACAATCACAAGATATCTCTTTAGATTATAGAACAAATACCAATGTATTCATTACTGAATGTGATGTAAGTAATAGTAGTAGTAGTAGTTTTATATAAACACTATGATTACATTATAACTTACTTAACTTAAATATTTATATTATAGCCATTTGGTGTTGTTATTGCTAATGCATTGGGAACTATTCATCTTGTTAGCATTGGAAAAGGTACTAATACACTGACATCAAAGATGATCAACAAATCACAAGGTCTATTGGGATATCTTTATTTGGCTAAGCAACCACCCGTTCTAACGGTACTATCAGTTCCACAAGTAACAAGTGCACAACGTCAAGTCTATGTATTGACAGAGAATTCACTTATCAAATATGAAATCAATGAGAATGGCGAAAGAGTATGTAAATCACACAAAACATATTGATTAATATGTTTATAAACAAATCATACATTATACTTACAATATATATTATAATATTTATATTGATACCTTTATAGATAGTATTAGAGTATTCATTACAAAGAGATATACAACAATTGTTCAACTTGACAGGAAATGTAAAATTGGTTGACTTGTCATTGGATTCAGACAGTCAAGACGAATGCGATACAATCAGTATATTGGTACAACATCTCATCAATCAACAATCAAAGAGATTCTATTTGATGTCATTACAAGTAAAGCAGAATCAAGTACACAATTCAAAGAAGATTGATAATCTTTATTATCAATGTAATGAAAATGTATGTATAAAGCAATCATTAGTACTATATTTGATAAAGATAGGTAATTAAACAGTAATCTCTAATATTGTATATATATATATATACTTTTGTTAAATTAAGCAATATGAATTCAATAGTAAACCAAAAGTTATGTCTATAATGAAGAAACATTGTATCTATTGGTTGGATACGATCTATTATTTCTCAGAGTATCAATTCAAGGGACGTACACACTCTAGTGGTACTATCAGATTGGAATACCCAATGATTGCTGCTGGTGTTACAAAGAATGAGTTCTTTTTCATCGATAGACCCAATGCCGTTCAGAATCTAAGTATTCCACCATTGCCAGTAGATTTACCTCAAAATGATAGATCGAATGAATTGAACATAATCTTTGATGTAAGTGTAACTCTACTCAAACTATCAAACTATCAAAATATCAAAATATCAAAACAAACTTGTTTATTTATAACTAAACTAATATGTTATGTTATGTTATTTTATAATAATAATGTCTTTTTAGATACCAGAAGAAGAAGATCAAATTGGATCAATTAGAAATATATTGTTAAGATCGTTGAATAGCTATGCAATGAAGAGACAGAATGCTTTGCAACAGTCACTCGAAGTCTGTGCCAAGATCGATAAGAAATCTTTTGATTTGGCCGCGCGAAGAGTATCTGCGTATATTGTCGACCAGCTACCAGCTGCCAACTATTGGGCGTCGGGCACAGACGTTCTTCACCACTTGGGTTCGAATATGTCGGTGCAACTGAAGCAGCAGATCGAAGACAAGAGAAAACGCTATCAGATATTCACTGCATTCCTTCAGGAGTTTGGCTTCAAGTCGCAACTCTCTAGAGATACACAAGCCGCTATCGACGCCAATCAATGCCGTCTCGCTGCAGCTGCCGACCTCCGTGACTTCCAGAACCTCCAGGAAGGCAGCTCAACTCTGCTGACTCGCCTGATTCAAGCTGCAGTATCGGCACGTCTCGGTGCCAACTGGCAAAACTCTGCAATGAATGTCTACGAGCTGTTCTACTCGAACATCAGTATGCTCGACGACATTCTCCTGCTCATCGTCAAGGAACTACGTGATATCGACATCAACTACACCGATTCACTGCTCAAGCTAAAGACATTGTTAGAGGCAGACAGTATTGCTTTGAAGTTACTAAGTAACTATACACCAAACATGTTGGTAAATCAACAACAACAACAACAACAACAATCTACTGGTACCGATCCAATCTATTTAATGGTTAGACTCCAAATCGATACAATCAATCGTTTTATAGAGACGGATCTCAAGACTGGTCCTGCAAACTTCCTTTTGACAAAGCTGTCCGATGCCAGCTTGGCTCACTCTGAACATACGCTGTATGAGCAGCTGCACGATCTCGTTGTAGTCTACTTGGATGCCGTTAGGTTCAGTGCCAGCACCGACAATGAACTCAAATCAATCCACAACTTGGCAACACAAATGAATGCAACATTCGTACAGAGTGGACGTTTCGCTGCAGCTCTGGATATTGCTCATCGTTTCTCTGACTATCACACCATCGTTCAAGTGTATATCAATGACACCGACAACCGTGAACAACAACACAAGATGCTTATCATATCACTTCGTACATTCTTGAACAACAGCAGCAGCAGCAATAGTCAATCGAATGACTACTCTGAATCCATCACAAGAGTGTATCAATACATGTTGGACTGTGGTTTAAGACAAGAGCTATTGCAACTACCAGAGGAATTCAGTCAGTCTGTTACTCGCTACCTTGAGAGCTACCCACAGATATCATGGGTCAACTCACTCAAGCACAAACAATGGAACGCAGCAGCCAAGACACTCCTTGAGGAATCACAACGTGAAAACCAAAGTCTTTCACGTAAGAAGACACTCATGAGCTTAGCTAAGCTTTCGTTACTTGCAGAGGAGAAAGAACCGTCGTCCAAGCTAGACAAAACTATCGACACCACCAATCAACGTTTGGAACTCATCAAAATACAAAAAGAATTTCTTCCAGACCAAAAGACACCTATCACTCCAGCGGAACTCATCAAGGAGATATTGAATTCCAATGGATATCGACCAATGGATAAATATGCAATCTGTTTAAATACATTAGAGGAATCAAATATGGTAAGATTCAAAAATCAATCTTTATCAAATACATACATACATACATTTATATTAATATATTCTTTAATTTTATTTTTTCAGATTATTAAACCAGAAGAAAGAATTAAACTATTTAAATTGATTCTATTGAATGCATTTGATAATGGAGGGTATGTTTATTTTTACTTCTTATTTTATTATTATTATTATTATTATTATGTTATATTAACTTTACTTTTTTGTTATTTTTATTTATATAATAAGTGCTGTTGAATTAAGTTCGAATTTAGTTGAACATATCAATATCAGTGACACACAATTTGATTTGTTAATATATGAAACCGACTTTTTCCAATTGCTACATCATTTACCAACAGATCCAGAGACAACAAGCATCATTAAATCATTCATTGACGAATACCACCAAGAAAGACAAAAACAAATTTTAAATCAAGCACAAAAAGGACAATTCACTCGTATTCTTCATAGAGTATTGGAGCTATGCAAACAAGAATAATAAAATAAATAATAATTGAATATTTGTATTTATATTTTTGTTTATTTCATTCATCACCAACAAAAAGAAAGAAAAAAAAACAAAAATTTTGAATATTTTTTTTTGACTATTACAATGTAATTAGACTTTCTATATATAGTAAGAAGCTAAAAACACTTAGGTGTTAGAATTCATTGAACTGAAGAAAAAGGAGAGAATATTGATGTTCAAAGTCGATTGATTTATAAAAATGTGTAACAAATCAAAAGGTCTTAACACATCAGGATTTCTTTAAATTTACAATCTCTACTTAATGAATTAATTAATACTCACTAACGCGTGATTGTTAACTATTTAACACTCCGATGCAATTCCAAATTCACCACCACTAGTGTTGTGATTTTGAATTTCATGGAATATGTGATGATGAGGCATCAAACTATTAATTGTATTGAGTTAATGTGTGCTTTTGATTGTTTTTTGCAGGTATTCACCTAGCATAATGGGAAATGTTGGGTGCTCCTAAAGAAATACTGCATAGGTGTTTCACATCATTCATCATTCATCGTCAAAATAATGGATCAAAAAAAAAAAAAAAATGAAAAAAAATGTAAAAAAACCATGAAAACTCAACGGCATTATATAAAACTAAATGCATTTACCTGCTTACAACGAAATCGATGTTGTTGTTGTTGTGAACAAATGTGCCTTTGGAAAATCTATTCTTGCTAGTTCAAATCAAAAAAACAATATTTTCATTTGAACAACTTTTGTTACAAAAAATATATATTTTATCTTTATTTGTTATTATAACAAAAAGAGTAAATCATAATAATAAAACAATATAATAATAAGATATTAATAGAATAAGAAAACATATTTATTATCAGTCAGATTAGTTTCGTTTCTTCATAAAGATTTTTTAGATTAGATTCGTTTAATTAATTGGTAAATAAATAAATAAATAAAAAATACTATTTTGCTTCGCAATGATAGGCTAGAAATGTGTTAAACAACAACAACAACAACAACAACAACCTATTTATATATTCTTTGTTTCTGGGGACTGCCTACATAAATATATATAAACATATGTTGTATATTATTATTTTCCTAAAGTGACTTTTTTGCATTTTTAACAAATAAGTAAATTTTATAAAATTTGATTATCATAATTAAAATTGTTTTCACTGATAACATATGCAACATTGACACACAGACAACATTCAAATAATTATCTCTCTTTTTCATTACCAGCACCACAACGAACCACACCACATTGAAAAAAAAAACAAAATATCTCTTTTAGTGTGATATCAGTGTGGTCCTTACCCAAAAATAAACAAACATCGAAATTTCACCACACTTTTTCAATTTTTTTTATGTTTTCAGGTGGGAAAACAATTTGTGTCATAGAGAAATGATGTGTATTCAGTTGTAATGAAATTTTTTTGTTTTTTTTGCAAAATTACTTTTTTTTTTTTTTTTTTTTTCATTTGTACCTTGCTTTTGTGTGTAATGTCAGTCAGGATATAAATTCAGAGTTTTCTATAACAGTGAACAAAGCAACCAACTTGGTCAACAACAACAACAACAAATTAACATTACTATCACCAACTAAAACAACCAGCCATATACAGAACTTAAATAATCAATCTAAATAGATGTTAAATTTTTATTTGTAATTTTAAATTTTAAAAAAAAGATAAGATAAGATTAGTTTAGAAACAAAAATTATTATTTCATGGTAAATATACATTACAAACATATTACATTTTCAGTATTGGTAGTTGGTGGTCGTAAAGATTTTTAAAATAATAACTAAAAACAAAAAATCTGTTTGATTTGTTCAAATCAAAAAAATATTTGTTATTTTTTTTGTAAAGATTTTAATTTTAAATTAAAAAAATCATATATATTTTTTATAAAATTAATTTAGTAATACCATTCGCACACAAAAATCACTAAATCAACCAATCAATTACACCAACTTCTTCTTTATAAAAAAAAAATATCAAAAAAACAAAATTCTTTTGAAAAAAAAATATATTGGTAATAGGGATTGGATAATTCAAGAGAATATCCTGACACTTTTCTTAAAATTCTTCATAATAATCAGTAACCTCCCCACATTCACACACTTGTCGTTGTCAAAGGTCTTTTAATTGCAATGAGTTTTTTTTGGTTTGTTTTTTTGATATTTTTTTATTTATTATTTTTATTAAAGTGATCCCACGCACACACCTCTTCTTTTCTCTTCTCAATTGGCAAAGAAAATGCCAACAACATTTATCATTAAAGTATAGACCATATCGCTCATCATTGTTCAAGTGATCAAATGAATGTGTGGTTGGATTGTATGTGCTGATTGAAAAATAGAGGTGGAGCTGGTTGTGGTTTTGGTGCATTGAGGGGGTGATTTGATGTCTATATCTTCTTTCACCATTAGTTTAACCAACAACCACACCACATCACTCCATAACATAACACAGTCCAACATTTTAAGGATAGAGAGAAAGAAAAAGAGTTGTAATTATTAAAATATTGGTAACAACAACAACACAACAACAATATTAATCAACCAAAGCTTGACCTCACATCTTTCAAACAAACAAAACAAAATCTTTGTAATATAAAAATTTTTAAAATACAAACAAAAAATAGATATATTCTATTCAAATACAGATAATTATAATAACGCTTTAATATATTAGTAAAATATATTATTATCTAAAAAAGCATTCGTTTTACTATAATTATCAAATTAAATTCATAAATTATTTAATTAAGCTCATCTCTTCTGATCAATTAAATTCAACTACAAACATAACAACAAAAACAACACTCATTACTCATTAGCAAACTGCACCTTTACCCTAACCCTCCAGTGCTCAACAACGAGTTTTGTAATAGTATTGGTTAACTTTTGTTATCAAACAAACAAAAAATTAAAAACACGAGTTGCACACCACATCTTCGTTTGTTATATTTAAATAACACTCACACACTCAAAAACACCACTAGCTAGGAGCTCCATATTTACTTCCCACCAATAACAAATTGGTAATTTTCTAAATTTCCTCTGCAAAATTTTAAATTTACACTTTCACTAACCAACTCTTTAATTTATTCATTTGATAAACCAATACAGTATTAACATTGAATAAATAATATAAAAGGCATATACAAACATATAAATAATATATAACCAAACATTAATTATAATATAAATATATAAACTAAAAAAAAAGAGTTTCAGTCAGTCAAATATTCCAAACAATAAATAAACAACAACAACAATGATTTCATTAGAGAATAGTACAAGATCGATCCACTCTCACTCACACTCACAACATAATCAAGGAGTTCATGCCACTGTCTCCAAGTTGGCCGATCAACAACCTGACCAATCAGAGTTGTGTGAAAAACCATTTGAACAGTTGGTCAAGCAGATCAGACACGAGTTCACATTCTCTCAACCAGATGGTACCTTTGGAAACAGTCAGGCCATCGAAGATTTACTCAATCGCTATATAAACGAAGGACACAAGGACTGGAATGAATATGCTTTCTTTTGTCCCTACGGATACTCAAGAAATCTTGTGGCCTGTGGTGAACAATTCGAACTTATGGTCATTTGTTGGGCTAAAGGTCAAGTTAGTCCAATCCATAATCATGAAGTAAGTTAAAATTTATTAGTTTTTTATTTTATAAATATTAATTTTCTTTTTTTTTTTATTAATTAATTAAATAATTACTTTCAGGGACAAAGATGTTGGATGGCTTGTGCAAAAGGACAACTACAGGAAACACAATTTTTATTTGAAAATACAATGTCCACTCATGGCGAAGGAAAACTGCTGGAGAGTCAGGTAACCACTATCGATGAAGGATCCGTTGGTTATATTACTGATGAGATCGCATTGCATGTCATCCAATCACTCGAGCCAGTATCAGTATCGATTCATCTCTATTCTAAACCAATCTACGAGTGCAACATCTATTGTCCAACAACAGGAAAAATCACTCGTAAGAAACTTGGATACTATACACAATACAAAGAGCACAGTCCAAATCATAACAAACCAATACTTTGCCAACAAGAATAGAAAATAATCATTAATAATTGTTAACAACAAACAAACAAACAACAAAACACAAAACACCTACACAAAAATGGTCAATATCATTTTATACATACAAAAAAAAAAAACAAAACATTTCAATATTTATTCAACTTCAACTTCAACTCCACTCTATCAATCAATCAAACAACTATATATATATATTATGCTCTTAATATCTATTGGTCATAGTGAAGCATAAACAAATTAATTCCAGCAATATATCCAACAAAATCCAACAAACAAAACCGATGTAACAAAAAAGTTGCACAACTAGATTAGTTTCTGCTTATTTTGTACATTCCATTTTTTTATAATCATCACCAACAACTCCATCTTTTCAGTGTTAAATTTTAATCATAATTTCAAAAATATACATTTATTTTATTACCTTTTCCATAATAATGGTAAAGTCAACATTTTAAATTATAAATATACAAAAAAAAATAAAAACAAAGAAACATCGATGTTCTTTTTTACAAACTAAAATAGCTAATAAACTAAACTCTTTAAAATATGAGATTGTGGTTGATTGATTGATTGAATGATTGGCCAATCATTTCTTTTTAATTAGATCACCAAAATAAACAGTAATAGTTTTGAGTACATTGTTCAAGTAGTTCTCCTCGACTTCACATTCTTCAGATCCACCCATCTCCTTTGAGATCTTTGTCAGTTTTGCCAAGTCGAAATGATCGATGTTTCTAGGCAGAAAGTATGCGATATTCGGTGAGATTCTCATTGCCAGACGGAATATTTCAAAGCCATTCGGTGTCATATCGTCGAGACTCACCGTTGGTTTGCTAAGATACGAAGGTCCACCCCAAGGCGGACTGAGAAAGACGGCATCCACATGCTGGATGCCCTGAATCGAGTTGGCGAAATACATGAAATCCGAATGGACTAGATCGATACGGTCCAAACACTGATAGATCTTTGCATTGTGTGACGCCATCATCAGTTTCTTCTTGTCGATATCCACCGACAAAACATGATCACATTGCTTTGCAAACTGAATCGTATTACCACCGGCACCACAAAATGCATCCAATATAAATGAACATTTACATCTCTGTGCAATATGTTCTGCAATCTTTTCAGGTGTAACGGAGAACCATGATTCTAAAAAAAAAAACAAATATATATAAAGTTAATAATAATCATTCAAAATCAATCCAATCAATCCAATCAACGTTACCTTTATCTAAAAGTATACCATCGTCAAACTTTGAAAATAAACGAAATCTCTGACCATAGTATTTCCCAATGTCCTGTTCCAAATTCTTCATACTCTCCATTAAAATAGTTTCCTCATCTTTATTATTATCTGAATTATGATTATTGTTATCTTGACTATCATTATTGTTATTGTTATTATCTTTAATATAATTGCTAAAAGTAACTGTTAAATTCTTATTTTTGGCATATTCTTTTTGTTGTTGATGTACTATTTCTAATGATGATAATGTCTTGTGTGTATTTAAAATATGTTTTGCGACTGGTGAACTACTTAATATATCACTATTAGCTTGTTCATCTTTATTGCTACTACTAGTAGTAACAATAGTGTGCTTTTTCTGAAGGTATAACAACTTCTTTCTTAATCTCTTTCTCTTATTTGAAGAAGTCTGATTTGACTCTATATTATTCATGATCTGTTGTACTCTTTCGGTAATCGATATACTACTACCATTACTACTCATTTTATTATTCCTATTTATTTACAAACATCAAACTAGTTTGAAAGTTTTTTATTATCCTATTACATTTTTATAAATGGTCATTGACGAAATTTTAAAACATTAATTTTTCAAAGATTTGCTTTTCTAAAATTCATTTAAAAATACTCACACATTCACACATCTCTATATATATATCTTATTAGTAGTATAATTAAATAAAGAAAGAAAACAACTATGACTTCATCTATGAAACGTACATTTGATGATGTTGTATCTGTATGTATTTTATTTATCTATTCTAATATCATTAATATATAGAGTAACACTAAACTTACTAATGTTTAACTTTACTAATCGATCGATGATCTATTTATTTATAGAATGAAGAAGCAAATAATGCTTTAAATCTATTTGGCTTCATAGAACCGATTTGTAAGAACCAGATTATCAATAGTAATTATATGAAACACTATTTGAGGCTAGACGATCAGAATAAACAACAGTCAATCGATAATCAAAAGAAAGTAGAGGAGAAAGAGAAGAAAGCAAAGAAGAAATCATCACAGCTCAATTCGAGAAAGAAGAGAGATACGAAATTCTTTGATATAGCACCAGAAAACTGTATATACGATCACTATCTACCACTCAATGAACTTTGGCGACAATATATAAACGATGTACTTGGTAGTTTGCAAGGTGCACTTATCCTACCGAAACTAATCAAAGCAGATTTACACGGTGCCGTCTTACAGGTATCTAGATCGGTATGTCCTTCACTCATAGGTCAAATCGGTATAGTCATACAAGAGACTGAGAATACATTTAAAATAATAACAAAAGAAAACAAAGTTAACGGTAAGTTGTAATATATTATCATCATCATCACCAAAAACTTTCATAGATTTCAAAAACAAAACATATTTCAAAACCTTTAACTATCATCATTCAATCCGATTTGATCGATCAAACAATACTGCAACCCCTGAAGATCGATCCATCTATCCATCTATCTATCTTTCTTTTTGTATATATTTATCTATAGATTCGAATGGGTAGTAACCATCCGATTTGCATTGATGATGATTTAATACCAAACTACCACGATTTTATTGTTGTTGTGATTGTTGTTGTAATGTGTTAGAAAATCATGCTCATCTCATTTTTTCTTTTACAAGAATTTCAAAAACACACAGCACATGCACTAACTTATATTCTTAACCAATCATGATTTGTGACCAAACTACAATTAATTATTCTACCTCTAGTGATACCAAAAGCAAACAGTGTATTTAATCTTTTTTGTTCGAATCAGTTGATTGAGATATATGGTGATCATTTTTGTTTCAAGAGTAGCGAAAGGGCAATAAGAAAATTCAAAGCAAAGTCTACCATTGAACTAAAATAAACTCCAAACCCAATTTTGATCGATCTTAGATCCAACAACAACAAAAAAAAAAATTAATTTTTTCAGCTCAAAGCAAAAAAAACTTTGAGATTTGTTTATTTTTATTTACACACAAGATTCGATTGATGGACGATACAAATAAGTGCGTGTGGTTTTTTGTTTTCTTCTCGCCACCACCATCACCAACGGTGGAAACGATCGTCACCAATCATTCATTGATTTACCATCATGATAGTAGTAGTAACAAGAGAGTTACGGTCAATAAAATATAACTCACGATTTTTTTGATTTTTTTTCAATGCAAAGGTATCCAACATTGTAAAATATCCTTTGCCAAAAAAGATTTTTGTTTAAAAAAGGAAGTAATACATTTATTTTTTATTTTTTCTGAAGGATGAAAACCGTCACACCCAAAAGTGACAGGAGGAGGTAGCTGATGGTTTGGCAAATCAGATGGATGGTTAAAGTTGATATAGTTGTGAAAAATAAATGGTTAAAAATGATAGATCATCATTGATTAATTCAAGTGGTTAAATCAATTACATGATATTATTGATACTATTCGAAACTATTGTTAATTAAATTAGAATGGATTTAAAGTGTAAAATAAACTATGATTATGATGTTAAACTTAAGAATAAAAACATAAAAAGATTTATCAAAGTTGATCTTTATTTTTTTATTTAAATTTAATTAAAATATTTTCTTATGAGAGAAACAATTACGATTAGAGTTTGCTCTCAATGTGGATGTGGAAATGGTCTCTATCATTCTTTTGACACTTGAAAGTCAAAAATAACGTCATTTCGCACACCCAGTTTGGAAATGACACTCCCCACTATTTATAATATTTGATAGAATTCATATCTCTGAGGCGACAAAACAAGATATATATACCAGACGAAGTCCCCATTTCCATTTTTTTCTATTGTTTTTGTTTTTTTACTGCAAATCGTGTTGGTTTATATTAATTTTAATAAAAAGTGTGATTGTTTTATTGTTGATTGAATATAGTGATGGTTCATAAGTGTTTTTTTTTGGTGGAACCACTCTAGCACTCTGTAAATCTTTAAAAAATCAAACAAAAGACAACCATTGCTTTCATTTGGTCATTTCTCAAAGATATTTTTTAATTTTTTTGTTTTTGCAAAAAAAAAGAGACATCTATGATATATATCAAAAAAAAAAAAAAAAGCTTTATGCAAAATGTTCCACCCCACTTATTTTTTTTTTTCTTTTTTGATTATCGCGTGTGTTTCTGAAGGGCTTACGGGGATAAATGTTACTATTTTTGGTACAGATCTCACACTTTTTTTCATCACATTAAGATCTCATTGTTTTTTGTATTGAAGCGAAGCAAAATTTTTCTTTCCTATTTTTTTAAATTAGTTTTTTTGATTTTTTTTTTTTTTTTGATTTTTCTTTTTATTTTGCTAAATTATTTAATAAATGAAAAAACACACAAAACATCAATTTTACAAAAAGACTTTTGAAAAAAAAAAAATCCAATTAATGAGTTTTTTTTCTCAATTTTTTTTTATTAATTTGATTATTATTTATTATTTTTGTGTTGGTGATATCAACAAACCCAAAAAGATCTGACTTTTTTTATTAAAATTACACACCCAAAACACCACACACTACTCACTTTCCTCATCCACACTTACTTATAAAATATTATAATCCAAAGAAAGGAAGCCCTTTGATTTCTCCAACCAATCATTCAACATCACTCTCTCTCTTAATCATATTCAGCTGAAACAAAAAACCACTCCCTTCTATATATATATAGATATATATATAATTTTAATAGTTGTTATATATTTTTGTTTTTATAGTAAATAATTATTAGATATATTTGCTGCCTGTTCTTCAACAACACTACTTCATTGTTAGACGGATCAATAATTTTTCTTTCCCAACACCATCACCAATATCCAAAATCATCAACTTATCAAACAATCATAACCCCACCAACCAATCAATTTCAAAGTACCTTTCAACATCAACAACTACCATTTTAGAGTGAAAATAATTTATTAGAATCAATTTATATACTACAGAGACAGCCAATTCAGTAACACCAACAACAGAATTTATCTTACTCTGTCATATTTCTAGAATATAGTGTATATCCTATAGGATATAAATATACAAAGTATAAAGGATTGATATTATCCTTTCCGATTCCATTGTTTGTCGTTGTTTTTGAAACAACCACAATGTATAATCATTCCTAAATAATATATTTACCATATATCTATAGATTTTTATATTTATTTTTAAACTTTTTTTCTTTTTCAAAACAATATATTATTTATAAATAGACATATTATAATATTATCTTATTTTTCCATAAATATTATATTTCCTGTTTCTTTTTCTTTTCTTTTCCTTTTATTATTATTATTTTTTTTCATAAATTCATAATGATTGTATATTATATTTATAAACCAGACAATTAAAATTAATCAAATTCCAATATAATTAAAAAACATTAAACTTTGTTATTTAATTATTATCTAAAATTACCGGCAGTACTATTTCAATATTTGTTGTATCAATAATAAATTATAAATATTATTAGTATCTATATATTAGTAGAAATAATATTTTTCCAATTTTTTTTCTCTATTTTTATTTTTTCATTTTCAATTTTGTATTTATATTCATCAGATCTAATTTAATCTAAGATCTTTATTTATTTCGTAGCTGCTATCATACATATAGTAATAATATTATATATTATATATATTATTTATATATTTCTCATTCTCTAATAGTATATTTATTTTTAAATTATTATTTCGTAATTATCAGATAATAATTTAATTTTTCCCAACAAACATCGAATCATTTAAAATTACCTCATCTAAAAAGACAATATTGTACCAACAATAATTTTAATTATTTATTTTAATTATCACAAAAATCTAATAATATTAATAATATAATAATAATAATAATAATAATAACAACATTATAAATCAAAAATCATGATGAAACTTTCACAAGTTCAAAATTACCCTAAAGTCGGTATATTTTGGAACCTGTGGGAAGCAGCAGTTCCTCCATTGGTTCCAGTGTGCAACATTTTCTATTCTTTGAAAATGTATGCATCGGCATTTGGTGTCTTGAAACAATTTCTAGTTGTTTCCGATATTGCAAATGCTGTCCATTCAAGATATTATACAACCAAGTTGGAATTTAAACAACTTGGAATTCCATTAATTGAAGGTAAAAGATTGAATAAGATATTACCATTGATTAAATAACAAAAAAATTTTAATATATATATGTTTTAAATAATAATAATTTAGTTTCAACTTCAAACAATAATCAAAAACCAATATCAGATAGATCAGAAATTGTATCGAAAATATGGGAATTCATTTATGATAACTATGAACTATCTACAAATAATGGAATTCATATAATATTGATAGATAGGAAAGGTCAAGAGTATTCCTTACTTAAATCTCTAAAATCACGTGGCATCAATATCACCACTCTGCCCTCTCCATTCCCACCAATGAAATATAAGAGTGTTTCACCAGATTCACATAGTTATTTTTCTGAAGATATTGATCTCAATTATTCAAACTATAGGTAATTAATAATAATAATATATCCATTTTAAAGAAAAAAATACTAACTATTTTATTTCTATTTTTATTTTATTTTTTCTTAATTTCCAACTTTTTATTATTTTATTTTAACTTAGTGAATTATATTCTAATAATTTATTACAACCAACCGATAATCTTTATCAAGATGAAGATATTTCAAATTATAATCTAAATTCAATTGATAATGATAACAATAACAATAATATAGATAATTTATTAATCGAATCAAGTTTTGAAGAAAATAATATAGAAGATGTAAATAGTCAACAACAACAGCAAAATTCAAACTCAATAATGAGCCATCACCATCATAGTCATCAACTCCAACACCATCAAATTCAACATCAAATGCAACACACACTTTCACATCACCAATTTCAATCACAAACAACACAAACATCACAAACACCTCCATTATCATCTCAGTCACAACAACAGCAACAACAACAACAACAGCAACAACTTCAACAATCAAATAACTTCATTAAAAATACACCTACTTCGTTGAATCTCTCACAAATACATTTAATGAATTCATCGGCACCAAACACACCAACACTCTCATCGCCTTCATTTACAAGTCTGAGTTTGAACAGCAGTTTGAACTCTCCGACACTCTCAAGCTCTTCGTCATCACTACCTACATCGCCGCTCTCCAATACGTCGTCGGCAATGTCGTCGCCCATCGGACAACCACCTCCACCCACCAATCCTCTCTCCCTGGCAAGTGCATTCCACAAGCTCGGATCATCATCATCCGGTAGCAAACAAAACTTGCTCTCATCAACATCGCCACTTCCCTCGCCATCGTCATCGTCATACTCGTCGCCATCGACACCAACCTCTCTCAACTCACCCAAAACACCGACATCCGCATCCAGTCTCGGTCAAAGCATGATCAGCGCCAACAACGGTAGCATCTCGCCTCAATTCGACAACACCATTCTCAAACACCTCTACACGGTCATCCAGGGATTGAAGGAAGATGGATTCCGCCCAACTTTCAAAGTGATACTCCCGCGTCTTGGAAATCTGATGGGATTGCGAATTCACCGTTCTCACTTTGAAAAGATACTGGAGAAGGCAAAGAACAACAATTTCCACGTAGACTTTACCACCAAGACCATCTACTACAAGGACGACATCTACGGTGGTGCCGACCCACATCGCGCCGAAAAAGAGCACTTCTCGTCGGAGGAACTCACCGAATTCCTGCAACTCCTCGAGACCGCACCCACCAAGGTGTTCCCAAGTCGTTTTTCCATGGTGCTTTGGGTGACCTCACAGAACCTCCCTCTGATCAGCCAGTTGAAGCAAGGTCAGATCGTCGAGCTCTGTCAGGTTGCAATCAACGAGAACTATGTTTCACTTGATGAGAACATCAAGAAAAACACAACCAAACACAATAGTTCATCATCTGGCAATAATGGTGGTACAAACAAAGAGTAGAAGTAATATTTACATACCACAGATCGACAACTCGTTTTTCTCAAGAATTACCAGATTTTTTTTTATATATAACAAACCAAACAAACATATAACAAAAATATAAACATTAATTATATATACATATAAAACAACAACACCAACAAACCAAACAACAAAAACAAACTCTTTAAAAGATTGCGAATTTTAGGAGATTATAAATGATATAAGGGATGGAAGAGAAGAAAGAAGAAGTAGACCACCAACATTCACAAACAACAACAACAACCATACACATATATTTATATATTCAATCAAAAAATATTAATATATACAAAAAATAAATAAAATAATAATAACTTTAAAAAAAATAATTACAACTTCATATATAACACATATATATATATATATAAATCAAAATAATAATAATAATAATAATCAATAATATTATAACAAGAATGAAAAGTTACTCTAAAATTATTTAATTTTTATTTGTACTAGTACCATAAACCAAACCAATCAACAATTCATTTTGCAGAGTGATTATTACAAACCTGTTATAATATAAAAGTTAATAAAAATTAGATACATATGTATATTCAATACATCATATTTATAAATTAATTAAAAACCAACAACAATGTTTTTGATTCCAAATCAATCCAACCAAATTTTTAAAAAAAAAATGGTTGGACCAAAGTTTTATTTATTAACAAAAAACAAAAACAAAGATAAATAAATAGATAAATTATGATGTTTTCAATTGTAATACAGAGATATATAATAGATTCACTGTGGAATATATTATTATTAGACAATAAAATAAAGAATAGAATTCAGTTATCTTTGGTTAGTAAATCTTGGTTTGAATATATCAAATATCTATTTAATAAAAGTTGTGGAGTAGTTCTTTCTAAGGAACCATCTAGTGGAACCATTTCATATCTTTTGCAAATCAAATCACATATCGATAATCAATATTGCTTGTTAAAGTCAATCGCTTCGATCTATAGCTATCGTCTACCAGATCGGAATCTATTTACAGGTGATCAGCTAGATGAACATGATCACAAAGTTGAATCTCATGACAATGGCAACATCGATAGTAATAGTTGTAGTAGTGAAAAAGATCAATTCAATAGATGGATATTCATTAATTTAAAGTCATTGAAAGTCGATTTGGTGAATAGACTCGATCCACTCACCATTAGGAAATCTATTCGATACCTTCAGAATCAACTGAACAGCAGTTCAGTCACCGATGAGTGTCAGCTAGAGAGTCTTAGTATCGGTATGTTTGATTCCAATCAATGGAATACATTTATAGATGCCGAGCTTTTCAGTATCAGTCTGAGGTTCCTACTGAAAGGAATGCCTCGCAACTTGACACGAGGTCTGACGCGACTCGAGGTGTACGGATCCAACTTTGTCAATGCACAAACCAAATCGCTACCGAAATTCATTGCCAACCATCACAATCTTCAAACACTCGAAATTCATTTCAATATGTTTGTGGAATTTCATAATCAACTGATACAGTCAATACCGAATTCACTTCGCTCTCTCACCATTGTCGCGCGACCCATTCAAGTCAACAGACTTGAAAATCAAAAGTTACAATTGGAGTCACTGAGGAGACTGAAAAACCTCGAATATATCAACTGCAATGGATACGATTCTTCTTTGGTCGCTGACTTTCTCTTTGACATGCCAACAATCAGAGTTTGGAAACGTCCCATTTATATTCAACAGAATGTAATGGATAAATTGAATGCAACGACATCAAACACTACAGATTCAACATCAAGTCAAACAAGTATGTTGTCAGAACTCAATCTATCGATTGACAATACGGCACTTTTAAATTTAAAACCTCTGGTACTTATGATACCGAAACAAGTTAACATTCTCACCTTGAATATCAACTATTATGCCGATGTATTGAATCCTATTGTCTCGAGTGGTCAGTTCGATCTGCTGACAATACTCAAGGTATTTGGTAACTTTAAAATGATGTGGCAGTCTATTCTCGAGAGTGTTAGAGTATCGTCGAACCTCAGATTTCTACAGATACAAAACCAAGAATCGGAAACAGTGGACTATCAGCTATTCTTGGAGAACAACGATATCGATCTTCTCTTTAAATCCTTTGAAGATAACAATAACAATCAAATTCAGACCATCATAGTTGACTATATACTCACAGGCGATAGCAGTCAATCTAGGTTCCTACAGTTTATAAACCATCCAAATTTAATCAATCTCAAAGATTTCAGATGTTATCTTGGTAATCAAACAGATTCAATAGAATCAATTACAAATATATTGAAATCAATTTAAAAAAAAAGATAAAATAAACATATAATATTATGTTCATTCGGCTTTTAAATCAAAAGTCGGAATTAAATGTAGTTGAAAAAAAAAAAAAAAAAAAAAACCAAAGTCATGCCCCGATTGACCAATTTAATTTGGTGTGTTAATATTAAATTCTGATCAGATATATTAAAGATAAAGATTTATTTATACAAACTATAGATTTATAGATATATAGATATAATATAAAAAGATGGGTGTATTATTATTTGGTGCAGCTGTTTTCATTTATAGAATGATCTATAAATGGTTATTTGCAAAGCCACTCGCTTCCTACAATCAGAAGCGTATCATTGTCACTGGTGCCAGCAGTGGTATAGGTGTAGAAATAGCAAAACAATATGCCAATATGAATTGCAAGTAAATATTATATTATAAATGCTAGATAAACCATTTTATGATTCTGTTGTTTGTTAATCAACCAATTTAAATATTTATAGAGTTGCAATTGTTGCAAGAAGAAGAGAACAATTGGAACAAACAAGAACAGAGATACTGGCAGAGTGTAAATCTACCGGCGAATCTGATGTTATGGTTGTGGTTGCTGATCTTACAAAGGAGCAAGACTGTCGCTCGATGGTTGAGCAGGTCGTCGAGAAGTGGGGTGGTATCGATATCTGTGTTTGGAATGCAGGTGCCGGCTCACTCGTTGAATTCGCAAAGCTGAAAGACTTTAAGGTATTCCACGACAACATGAACATCAACTTCTTCTCCAATGTCTATTGCACCTCATTTGCACTTCCCTACCTCAAGCAAACCAAAGGATCGATTGTCGTAGTGAGTTCACTCGCCGGCAAGTTTGGAACTGCTCTGCGTACCTCGTACTCGGCATCGAAGCATGCACTCCACGGATTCTTCAACTCGCTGCGTAACGAAGCACCAGAGATTCAGGTCACCCTCATCTGTCCAGGTTTCGTACAGACCGAGTTCCACGCCAAAGCAACAACCACCACCGGTAAACCACTAGAGCGTGAATCAACTCACTTTATGACACCAAAGCAATGTGCTGAACATATCATTGAGTAAATATCACATAGATAGATAATGATAATGATCAACTTTATCAACTAACTAACTAACTAATTATTATCATAGGAGTGAAAGATTAGGTGAAAGAGAAGTACTTTTAGGTTTGAAAGCAAAGGTTGGTAACTATCTTATGCCATTCATACCAAGATTTATTGACTACATGTCAAATAAAACCGCTGTTGCATCTGTAAAGAAAGATCAATAAACAACATTTATAAAATTATGTGTCTTTTTTTTTTTATACAAGTTTTCTTTTGTTTTATTTTATTTAAAAAGCTTTTGATTTGTTTTTGATTTGGTTTGATTTGTTTATTAAAAAACTTAGTTAAACTACAACAATAATAAATAATGATTGTGATAATGATGAGAATGATGATGGTGGTGATTGATTCGTTTTGTATATTTTGTTGGGCGTATTCTTTCTTCTATGCTTATTCTTTGATTACTTCAACGTGAGCTGCAGGGAAACCTTTAAATATGAATGAATTGAATAAGTAAATAAATGTTTGTTTTAATAAAAATATAAATATAATGAGTGCTTTCAATACTTACGTCCATAGACAGACTTTGATTCTCCTTCCCACCAATCTTTGTTTACTTTGTTAAATACATAGACCAAATCATCGAGAATCAATGTCAATGTCTTGTTATCTGTTGGAATGTAATCTTTGATAACACGACAGGTACAGATCATCTTTGGTGCTGCCATATCTTCTTCGTCGGACCATCCATCATCATCGTCATCCTTTGGTTTTGGTGCTGGTTTTGGTGCTGCTCTTGGTGGTGCTGCTACTGGTGCTGATGTGGTGGGTGGTGGTGCTGTTGGTGTAGCTGTTGGTTGTGATGGTGGTGGTCTAGCGACTGGCGATGGCTTTGAGGGTGGTGGAGCGCCAGCACCAACTCCAACTGGTGCTGGTCTAGGTGGTGCACCTCCAACTGGTGCAGGCTTTGGTGCACCTCCTCCGATCGGTGCAGAAACGGGTGGTCTTGGTCCAGTGCCGGGTGGTGGTGCACCGGCGCCAACTGGTCTAGGTGGTGGTGCACCTGCACTTCCGACTGGTGCTGGAGCTGGAGCACCGACTGGTCTTGGTGGTGCACCTCCGACTGGTGCTGGTCTGGGTGGAGCACCGCCAACCGGTGCAGAAACGGGTGGTCTTGGTCCGGTGCTTGGTGGTGCGCCGGCACCTCCTACTGGTGCTGGCTTGGGTGGACCGAATCCAACTGGCTTGGCTGGTGGGGCACCAGGTGCAGCTGGTTTCAAAGGTGCAGCACCTCCTGCTGGTTTTAATGCTGGTGGTTTGAAACTCATCTTCTTACTATATAACAATGATATCTAAATATTAACTAAAACTACAACAAACTACAATAAATTAAAATTCTATCTGAATGAAGATATGACAACTAACTAAACAAACTATTGTTTTTTAAAAAAAAAAAACCTTTCTTCAGCAGCCACAAAAAATTTCCAAAAGTGATCTGTAAAATTAAAATAATGAAACTGAAAAAATCCATTTTTTGAAATGGGATGTCATGACTAGAGAATTCAATGAACAAACACTGGTTTATTTTAATCTTAATTATTATCAATTTTGATTTAAAATAAACATATAAATATTTTAGTTTATAAACAAACCATTATTCATTTATAATTTAAACTTCACAAAGATAGATCCTATCAATAATAATTATTCTTTTGATCTTATCAATATTAGTTTTTGATTTACCACTACTAATAGATCTATAAATATTAATTTATTTAATTATTTTTAAAAAAAGACTATAATAATAATAATAATGTAAGAAACATTAACAATCCTTTATTTGTTTGTAAATAATTATGAGAAAAATAAAATAAAATAATTTGTGTTAACAGTGAAAATCGACTTTTTTAAAAAGGGTGTGAACTTTTTTTTTTTTTTTTTCATTTTTCACTTACTTTATTATAAATAAATTGATATTTATCGGATAAGATTAATATATTATCTAAAGATGTCAAAACCAGTAAAAGAAGAGAATAAAGGTGTTTTGAAATATGATCATACCGGTGCAACATTCCCATTCGTTGCTTTGATCACCGCAAAGTTGGTACCAGGTTACAAGGTGATCGTTCGTAAGGGTCTCGAGAAGCCAGAGTTGACTATCGTACCATCGAGCGATGTCTTGACCGGTTCATACTTGTGCGCTAAATTCATTGCTAGATCATCGACCAACCAACAATTGTACGGTGGTTCCGATGCTTTGTCTGCATCAAGAGTCGACGAGTGGCTCGAGAAGATCGCACATCTCAAGACCGAAGAGGTCACCGCTTTCGCCAACCAAGTCAACGATCATTTCATCTTCCGTACATTCTTAGTTGGTTTCAACATTACAATTGCTGATATTGCATTGTTTGCTCGTATTCAATGTAAGTGTTTAACAAACAAACAAACAAACAAACAAACAAACAAAAGATAAAGAAAAGATAAACAAAGTATTAACTTTAATTTTATTGTTTTAACAAACAAGTGGTTAAAGAGTTAAAGGATGATATTGTTAATCGTGCAAAGAACTTACCACATCTTACAAGATGGTTGAACTACTTGAATGGTTTGGCTGCTTTCAAGGAGACTGTCGATATCTACACTGGTGAGGACAAGAAGAAGAAGGAGGTAAAGAAGGAGGGCGAAGATGACAAGGCACCAAAGAAGGGTCTCATGGGTTGGATGGGTAACATGGATCGTTTGGCTCTACCAGGTTTGGAGGAAGGTAAGGTAGTTACTCGTTTCCCACCCGAACCATCTGGATATTTGCATATCGGTCATTGCAAGGCTGCCGTCTTGAATAACTACTATGCCAGCGAGTACAAGGGTGAGTTGGTATTGCGTTTCGACGACACCAATCCAGCCAAAGAGAAGGACGAATACGTCGAGAACATCCTCAAGGATTTGAAGACTCTCGGTATCAACTACGTGCGTCAAACCAACACCTCTGACTACTTTGATCTCATCGAGGAGAAGGCTATCCAGCTGATTAAGGAGGGTAACGGTTACGTCGATAACACCGCAGTCGACGTCATTCGTGATCAACGTGAAAAGATGATCGAGTCAGAGTGTCGTAACAACTCGATCGAGAAGAATCTCGAGTGGTTCGACGAGATGCGTAAGGGTACCGCATTCGGACAGACCTGTGTATTGCGTGCCAAGATCGACATGGCTTCGGTCGATCGTGCATTCCGTGATCCAGCTATGTACCGTGTCAGCATGACTCCACATCACAAGACCGGTGACAAATACAGAGCCTATCCACTCTACGACTTTGCTTGTCCAATCGTCGATTCTATCGAGGGTATCACTCACGCATTGAGATCGAACGAGTACCAAAACAAAGTGAATCTCTACTACTATGTCTGCGATATTCTCAAGCTCCGTCGTCCATACGTTTCACAATACAGTCGTTTGAACTTCACCTACGTTTTGCTCTCCAAGAGAAAGCTCCAACACTTTGCCGACACTGGTATTGTCAGCGGTTGGAACGATCCAAGAATGCCAACTCTCCAAGGTATCATGAGACGTGGTCTCACTGTCGATGCTCTCAAGGAGTTCACTCTCTCACAAGGTGCCAGCTCGGTCAACACCACCATGGACATTGGAAAACTCTGGGCCATCAACAAGATGTTCATTGAGCCATTCGTTCCACGTTACACTTGCATTCCAAAGAAGAATGTCTTGGTTCGTCTCTCCAACCGTGAGGATACCGTCCAAAAGTTGGTCAAACCAAAGTTTGACAAGAAGTTGGATCTCGGAGACAAGACTGTCACCGTCTCCAACAATATCTTTATCGAGTACGACGATGCCGCCGACTGGAAGGAGGGTGAAGAGATCACTTTGATGTCGTGGGGTATGAACGTCATCTGCCGTAAGATCAACAAGAACGCCGACGGTGTTGTCGAATCGATCGACGCCGAGTGCAACCCAACCGGTTCCTTCAAGGACACCAAGAAGAAGTTGACCTGGTTGTCAAAGGATGCCAAGCAAGTCCCAGTCACTTTGCAAGACTATGACTTCTTGATCACCAAGGCCAAGCTCGAGGAGGAAGACAAACTCGACGACTATATCAATCCAGTCACCAAGTTTGAGTTGGATGCCTTCTCCGATGAGAACATCCTTTCACTCAAGGTCGGTGACAAGGTTCAATTCGAGCGTAGAGGTCTCTACATTTGTGACAAGATCGGTGATGAGAACACTCCATTCGTCATGATCTACATTCCAGATGGTTCAACTAAATTCAAGGCCGGTGAAGCCCTCCACCCATTCGTCCAACGTGAAAAGAAGGAAGACCCAAAGGCAAAGCCAGCCGCCAAAAAGTCAGCCGCCAAATAAAACATTAATAATTTGTTAAATTTCTTTAAAATCATATTATCATTTTCCTATCTTTTTTAAACCAATAATATTATCAAAATTTTATATTTAGGATATATTTGATTCCTAAAAGATACAAATTGCAATATTAAAGTTTTTGTTTAAGATCAATCCTTTGAAAATAAAATTAAATATTTAACTATCAATCTTTTTTTCAACGATTTAAAGTTTATCAATAAACTAATAGGTATAAATAAATTTAAAATGAATATTAAAAAAAAAAAGAATATAGATATTATTTTACTTTGTTTCTATAAAACATTTTATTTTAGTACATAAATTTGGTTTAGAATAAACCAACTTCTTTCTTTTTGGCAGATTGCTTCCACTTTGGAAGCTTTTCAAATTCTTCCTTTGATTGCGAGAGAACAATCAAGAAACTGGCATCGTCTAAATATTGTTCAAGTTTGGCTGGATCCAAATTCTTGTCGTTGTTTGCTTTGTCTTTGATTGCCTGGACAATATCTTTGATTTGGTCTGATTGAGAAGATGACTCTACCTTTTGAACAACTGTTGGAGAGGTAGTTGGTTTTGGTTGGGACACATTGTTCACGACTGGTTTCTTCTCAGTGGTCTTGACAGCAACAGCTACTGGATCCACTGGAACTGGCTTGACAGCAATTGGTTTTTCCTCTACCTTTGGAGTTGGAACAACTACATCTGGCTCTGATGCTTTTACTTGAGCTGGAGCTTGAACTTTTTCACGAACTAGAACTTCTCCTCCATGCTCTGGTCCAAGACGTAAATACTTTAGATAATCCTTCCTGTATGGGCTAACTGTAGCAAGGGAAATGGCATACTCTGAACAACCTTCAGTACGCATCTCTGATAAGAATTGAACTACATCCAAGTGGCCATTTTCAGTTGCATTGTCCATGGCCTTGGAAGAACATCCTTCACTTCTATTCTCGTGTAAGTACTTAACAACCTTTAGGTGTCCATTGGAACTAGCATAGTCCATTGCCAAGGATGTGCATCCTTCAGTTCTATTTTCCAACAAAAACTTTACCAAATCCAAGTTACCATCGGCTGCGGCGTACTCTACAGCCTCAGTGGTGCATCCTTCAGTTCTGTTCTCATGCAACCACTTGACAAGTTCGAACTTTACTTTGGCTTCCATATTGGGAAGTGTGCATATTTTGTTGATCAAATACTCTCCCTCTTCCTCTGGGGTATATCCTTCAGTTCTATTTTCTTTTAACCATGCTAAAATATCAACGAAACCGCCAATAGTCGCCAAATCCATAGCGGTCTCAGTGCATCCTTCAGTACGATTATCATGGAGCCATTTAACAGTGTCTAAATGACCGTTGCAAGCGGCATAGTTCATTGCCTCGGTTGTGCAACCTTCAGTACGATTCTCGTGCAACCACTTTAGAATTGTCAAAGCTCCATCAAAAGCTGCTCCATCCATCGCTTCATATGAAAATCCCTCTGGTCTATTCTCATGGAACCAAATAACAATATCCAATCTAGTTTTATCATCCAAACGTGACAATGCTCTGTCAGAACAACCTTCAGTACGATTCTCGTGCAACCATTTCACAATGTCCAAGTGGCAGGAATGTGCAGCATTATCCATAGCATCGGTTGAAGCACCTTCAGTTCTATTCTCATGCAACCATTGAACTATTTCTAGCTTTCCGGTACTGCATGCATTGTCTATTGCTTGATTAGTGCATGTACCATAGTTTTGTTGGTGAAGCCATTTCAAAACGTCAAAGCTTCCAAACCTATAAATTTTTAAAAAAAAAAAATCAATTAATAAAATATTTTACTCTATAAAAGAATATTATTTTAATCTACTTACTGTGCTGCAATATCCATTACTCTATCATATTTAAACTCTTCCTGTGGGATTTGATATTTGGACAATAGATATTCCAAAACTGGAACTTTGTTGCTCATGACTGCTTCCATGAACATATCGTGATTATCTCTAAACTGAGGAAAGACAGCGTCCATCAATTCGATCATGTCAACACGTCCACATCTGGCGGCTAAGTTGAAAACATTGGGAGCACCAAAGAAAGTTGAGTCATTAGGGAGGACATAGGTGCTATATTTTTCAAGAGCATGTTTGAGAAGTGCGATATCGTTGGTTTCAGAGACCGATCTAAATACAGCGTGGGTGTAGTTGTAGTCATGTCCCAAGCCATCGAGATATTTGATGATATCTAATTTGCGCTCAACACTGATTGGATGTGTACTAGTCTCATAGGCAATATCATAGATTATATTGAATGGTCCAGTCGGCTCCAATTTCAAATCTTCGATCATATATACAATGATTTCCTTGAATCCACCGTCGGCTGCATTCGAAAAAATAACATTAATAACTTCTACATTCATTTCTTCAACTGGACAGACTTGGAAATAATCCTTTAACAAATCTAAATATCCATTGCCAGCCATCACCTCTGGCTTAACAATGACTTCATTCCAACGGAAACGTTTCTCTTGTTCATCCGAACCACCTTGGACATAGTCAAAAATAGCTTGTTTTGAGAATCCATTCTTTAACAAAACATTTACCAATAAATCTTTTTCCATTTTTGCGTTTGTTTTTTTAAAATTAAAATAAAAAAATGTGATAATAAAATAACACTTTACAAGAAATGTTTTAAATCTTAAATAATTAATCGATCTAAATTTACAGTGTTTAAATAGTAAAAATTTTCGGATCCTTTCTGAGTTTATACTGATCTAAATAAACAACACGAAAACTTGCTCCGGAGACAACATATTTATAAATATCTTTTAGAATCTATCAAAAACTCCTAACTCCCAAAGATTAGATATTAAAATAAAAGGTGATATTTTACAAAAATGTGTGCTTAAACAAAGGTTTTAAGGTTACAAGTACACCAACACAAAACGGAGACAAAGATTTTTGTAAAAAAAAAAACACAAGCCCAAATTTTGAAAATTTTGATTTGATCGAACTTCCATCAACACACAACAATATTAAATTCATAGGAAAAAAAATAATTATTATGATTTGAAATATGGTTTATAAATAATGATATTGTTAAAACTCTACCAACTAACTTATTATTTAATCTCTTCGCCAAAAATAAATAAAGTCATAAATTTAAAAAAAAAAATTTATTAATATGAAAAAAACCCAAAAAAAAAAAAAAAAAATTACAAAGCAATCCAAAAATTTTTTATTTATTATTTAATTTTATGTTTTTATTGGCACCAATTTTGTTAGTATTTTCAAACACATTATGAACAATTTTCAAAAAAAATTCATCAAAAAAAGCCATTTTGGCATCTTCAGATGGGTCCTCCAAATTATTTGATTTTTTTATTATTTTTTAATTTTTTTAAAGTTTGATCATCTGTGTATAAAAAGGCTGACCGGTCATATGATCAAATCATTCAAACTTTAAAAAAAATTTCTGTAAATTAACTGTATTTTATATCTTTAATCTAAATCTAAACTTTGTATAAATAAAATGGAAGGAGAAGACGTTACTGCTTTGGTTATTGACAACGTATGTGTGCCAACTTTCTTTTCTCAATCAATAAATTAATAATAAAATATTAACATACTCTTTTTGTTTTTTTTCCTCTACAATTTCAGGGTTCCGGTATGTGTAAGGCCGGTTTCGCTGGTGATGATGCCCCACGTGCTGTATTCCCATCAATTGTCGGTCGTCCAAGACACACTGGTGTCATGGTCGGTATGGGTCAAAAGGACTCCTACGTCGGAGATGAAGCCCAATCAAAGAGAGGTATCTTGACCCTCAAGTACCCAATTGAGCACGGTATCGTTACCAACTGGGATGATATGGAGAAGATCTGGCATCACACTTTCTACAACGAACTCCGTGTTGCCCCAGAGGAACACCCAGTTCTCTTGACTGAAGCCCCACTCAACCCAAAGGCCAATCGTGAGAAGATGACCCAAATCATGTTCGAGACCTTCAACACTCCAGCCATGTACGTTGCTATCCAAGCCGTCCTTTCCCTCTATGCCTCTGGTCGTACCACCGGTATCGTTATGGACTCTGGTGATGGTGTCTCCCACACTGTCCCAATCTACGAAGGTTATGCCCTCCCACACGCTATCCTCCGTCTCGATCTCGCTGGTCGTGATCTTACTGACTACATGATGAAGATCTTGACTGAACGTGGTTACTCATTCACCACCACCGCCGAACGTGAAATCGTCCGTGACATCAAGGAAAAGCTCGCCTACGTCGCCCTTGACTTTGAAAACGAAATGCAAACTGCCGCCTCGTCCTCAGCCCTCGAGAAGTCCTATGAATTGCCAGACGGTCAAGTCATTACCATCGGTAATGAACGTTTCCGTTGCCCAGAGGCTCTCTTCCAACCATCCTTCTTGGGTATGGAATCTGCTGGTATCCACGAGACCACCTACAACTCCATCATGAAGTGTGATGTTGATATCCGTAAGGACTTGTACGGTAATGTCGTCCTTTCCGGTGGTACCACTATGTTCCCAGGTATTGCTGACCGTATGCAAAAGGAGTTGACCGCCTTGGCCCCATCAACCATGAAGATCAAGATCATCGCCCCACCAGAACGTAAATACTCTGTCTGGATCGGTGGTTCCATCTTGGCCTCCCTCTCCACTTTCCAACAAATGTGGATCTCCAAGGAAGAATATGACGAGTCTGGTCCATCCATCGTCCACAGAAAGTGCTTCTAAATTATTGATAATAGCCCCCTTAAAGTTTACCACAGAAATAATAAAGTTTAATCCTTTTCTGAGATTCTGATTGTTGATTTTATCCAATCGGTTTCAAAGAATTGTCCAAAAAAAAAAATTATTAAACTGTCTTTTTTTTTTTTTTTTTTTTCTTCTACTTTTGAATTAGAATCAAATTATAACTGTTTTCTATCTCATAAACACTCAACTATATTAATCATATTAATCTTTTCAAACAAACACATTATTTTTCAACAACAATTAACGTATATCTCAAAAGTCGAATAAGTTTGCAAAAAAAAAAAAAAAGTGCCTCCCCACTAAAAGTCAGTAACAAAAAAAAACCGTACAAATAATCCTCTAAATCAGAATATTTAATTGTAAAATTTCCTAAAATGGGAATAATTGTATGTTAAAAAAGACAACAAAAATATAAATATTCAATATTATAGTTAGTTAAACTTTTGAGAGTTAAAGGGATCAGGTTAGTATCAAGAGCACTGCAGAGCTTTGAAATGTGTTGGCTGATCAGTGTTCACGAGATTAAAAATTTAGTCGCTTTCTTTATATATCACAACAAATACCATTTGAGAAATCTCAAAACCAGCATCATACATTTTTTTTGGTTTGAATAAAGTTATTTACTTAAACAAATATCACAATACATTCACATCTGCAGATATTATCTTTTTAGGTATAAGTAGACACTGTGAACTCACATTCTGTTGGTGAACAAGAAAAAAAGTACATTCGTTATGACACATTGAAACGCGGTTAGCGTGTTATTCAACATTGTCAATAGAGCAAATATCCTTAAAAGGAAATAAATACAAATCAACATAATTTACCAAAACCCTAATAAAGTCGACTCAAGAAAAAGAAAAAAAAAGGATATGAAATGATAGTTGCAATAAACACGCTTTATCTCAAAGGCGCACCCCTATTCAATAACACTTTATACACACTGTTTTTTTAACCAAACAAAGTAAAAAAAACAACAATGATGTTGGTTGTTGTTGAGGGGTTTGGTTTGAATTAAAAAGTTATCAATTGATAACAAAATAATAATGAGATTGTTAAAGATGATGCCGGTGGTGAAGAAAGTGAATGATAACTTGAGTTGATTCTTGAAAAAAAAAAATTGAAAAAAAAAAAAATATAATAAAAATTTTAAAAAAATTAATTTGAATAATTTAATTTTAATTTTAATTTATTTTTCTAGCCAATTATTTTTTTCGACAAAAAACAACGTCTAAAATGACAGAGCTCGGCTACTTTTCACCACTTGTTTTTATAGATTAACAGTAGCTATATAGACACACATTAACCTACCTATCAACCAAAAAAAAAAAATCCTACATAAAAAATTTTCAACACAGACACATATTTGTAAGCTAGAGTGGGTCTCGTACTTAATTCACACCAAAACACTGACATTCACAAAAAATTCAAAGCGCAAAGGTGAGTTCTACCCACTACAATCCTAATATTAATTTATTGTTGTTTTAATGTTTGTTGGTTTGCCTTTGTTTCCTCTTATATTGTGCATAGACCATTAATTTTTTAAATTTGTTATACTACTGAATATTAATATTAAACTCAACAGTAACATCCACTCTCACTTAAGCATAATAGCATCTTGGTTTATAAAATTTTTTTTAATTAAAAGATTGCAACTGTAACAAAATGTAATTTAACTATATTTATATAAATAACAAACAATTGTTGTTGTTGTTCAACGGTTAAAAATATATATTTTTTGAAAATTCAGTCAATCAATCCAATTGTCATCTTAAAGTGTATGCATACACTTTATACCCACCATTCTCACTTTATATATTAATTTGTTTTATTGGCCACTAATGGCTAGAGGTGAAGAAATGAATCTATACAAAATTTACAATGCAAAGAAAGGGAAGGAAGAGGAGGTCAATGAATAACAAAAATACTATTACTTAAAAAATGATCAGATGCTACAGCATTCGCCAACCAATAATTTTGAATAGATATGATGACCACCAATCTTTATATTTCAATTTACACACCATTTTTATTTTTTTTATTTATTTTTCAAAGTTTTATGTTTTTTGCAACATTCAAATCTGTATAATCAATCTTTTTTTTTTCGACAAGGTTTTTTTGATTGATCAACCACCTCCACTTTTTTGCCATTTTTGTTCTCTGTTTGGTTGGTATGCTGAAATGAAATCTACAGCTATTTAATTTTGACCACCAATCATCATACAACAGGCTCGACTCAAAACATCCGACATCACCCATTTCACATTATTTTGCAGGTTTGTTAAAAATTAAAATATCTCAAATCTATAGCCAATAAGAAACACTTGGAAGTTCTATCTCGAAATCAAACAAAACAACAGCAACCAAAAAAAAAAAAAAAAACGAACAAAAAAAAAAAAACTTTTATATAACAATTATTTATTTTTAAAATAATAATAATTAATTTATTTTTTATTTTTATTTATTAATAAAATCAATGAAATACTATTCAGTATACTTATTGTTTTTATCGTGTTGATTTTACACCATCTTCGATTTCATTTACTTTTTGATTTAAAACATATTTTGTTAATAAGTGATCATCAATACCATCCATCAAAAAATTTTTATCAGTTTCATTTAAAAACAAAAAAAAAAATTGTCTCCCTCCAAATTTCAAAAAAAACCAAAAACAACAACTGCAGTTGTTTAATACGTTCTGAATTTAACAGTTAATTTTTTTTTTTAAATCATTCAGAATAGAATAATTAAAACAACTTGGAAACTTCGGATACTGTTATCCATTGTACAGAACTAAACAACAAAATAATCAGACCAACCCAACCAATCAAATCATTTATAGAATAATCATCATCAACTAATAATATTAATTAATAATAATAATAATAATATTTTTGTATAGTATTGATAGTTCAGCAGCCAATAAGTCAAGATAATTATAGTAGTGTTGATTATATTTTTAGAAGGTGTACACATTAGAGTTGGAACTTTACATCTACAAAAAAAAAAAACAAAGGTAAAGTTTAAAAACAAAACTTTAAACATGTCACACTTCACTTTTTATTTTTATTTTTATTTTTATTCAAGTGGCGCCAAATTAAACAACACATATAAAACACACAATCATTTTTCAATTTTATTTATTGTATATATCTACATATATGCAGTGCAGTTGGATCATTATAGATTTTAATGATGAGGATTAAATTATAACAATATGATTATGATGCTTATATATATGAGCCGACCTAAATAGGAACGATTTGGACAATTTAATTTGTCTATTTTTCACTTCTACTTTTAAATTCGAATTTATAATAACAACAACAGCAACAATATCAAACAAACTATAACTCATTCATTACGTATAATTAGCCTACATCATTTCTTGATGGTGATAATGATGATGTAAATCAACACAAATATCATTTTCGCCAACAACAGTAAAACTCCAATATGTTCTACATGTTGTCATTTTCATGTTTTTATAATAATTTCAGTTTATTTTCGTTTTGTGTTCTAACCATTAATCATAATAAATTATTAAACTATTGGAATGCATTTCACTCCTTCTGGAAATAATCATAAACTAACATTACAGGGAATACATTATAAAAAAAAATATTAATCTTGCAAGATTAAAAGACACATGTTGTTGATGATTGTTCACTAATTAGTATATAGCTATAGATTGATCTGCTATGGAGTTGATTTTAGCTTGATTATCACACATAAACACACATAAACACACACCACACATAATTAATCATAAAAGGGGTATTATTAACAGAGTGATTGGGGTAGTGTTTCATCCTTATATATATATTAATAACTCACCCACCCCTGCTTGGTTATTAATGCTACCACCTATCACCAAATTTCAATTCTTGTGAGAGAAAATCTTAAATCACTCACTTTTAACTTGAAATTCACCTATGTTATTGTTATTATTTTGCTTTTGTTTTTAGTGCCACACATCAGATTTCTTATTCTTTGTTCAAACAAAGCTTGAAGAAGTGTGTTTTTTGTTTGTTTGTTTGTTTTTATAATTTATTCTTTCTTTCACATATAACATTAATCTTATCAAATAACAACATCATTGTTGTTGTCAGCTTTCTTGTGAAAATTGATTGAAAACCTTAAAATTTTTGACTAGTCACACAATTTCGGATATACAACCATGTGATCCTATAATTGGCAAAAGTTAATACAAATTGTATGGAATTAACTTCATTAATGAATTATTCATTAAACAAAAAAAAAAAAAAAAAAAACTTTAAACAACAACACCTTCCTATTAGCATATTGTTTGAGTTTTCAAAAGACATCTAAGATAAATTAAAACATTCAAAGCAATTCACAGTTCTCATCTGTTGTTATAAATTTGTTTGTCAGCTCATCATCAATTATAACACTCTCCTCCTTTCTCGCACACAAATAAAATTTAAATAAATATATGTAATAATCAAAAGCTAAACCTAATTTGCTGCTTTCATTATTGTATATATCTATTACAATCAAAGTAACCAAATATATTTGGAATAGCTTCAAATCATTGGGAGGACCAACAACAACTAATCAACTTCATTAAGTAGTATCGTTTTGTTTATCCAACCAATAAAATTTTATATTATTCATTTTGTTTTTATCATCAGGACATTGATATTGATCCTTTTGCACTGTAATAGTTGTAAAACTACAATTTATAAACATTAAAACACAAGCACAACCTTTCTATTCTGAATTGATCCTATATTCATCAAAATATTTTAGTTTCAATATCTTGTTTATTATTTATCCTTGAAATTTATTAATTAGAAACTCGATTTTTTTTTATTTAATATTTATTTATTTATTATTTTTCTTAGGTATAATTCTTATTAGATAGAAAAAAAAAAAGAGTAATCAACCATTCAATCAATCAATCAATTAATTAATTAATCATATCATTTCAAATCTTATTCAATTCGTTCCAATCAATTAATCAATCAGATGCTATTTCAAATTTACATTGAGAATATTCATCTATAGATCCACTACTTATTTATCCAAAAGTCATTCACGTCAAACTTACATAAGAAACCATTTATATACTTGGAATCTATGGTTTGCTTTACTCATCTTGCAATTATTAAATTAGTTCAAACACATTGGACACACGACTATAACATTGTAATCAATTAGCTAATTACCAAAACATTCGTTTTCTTTGTGTTGTTAGTGTAGAGTGGACATTCATTGTAGATATTAATTGGTGCAACAACAAACAAACAATCTTTCCACTTCATAATTCAAGCAAATTATTATTTTAAATGTAAATGTACCTTTTTTTTTTTTAGCATCAAGTTGTGTTGTAAGTCTCGTACATAAAACAAAACAAAACAAACAATCAACTCAATTATATGATAATATCTATGGTGGCACAATCATGATATCTATTTATATTGTTTGTTTATAGATCTATTTTTAATCTATGCCAAAAAACGTGTTTATTGCCACTCAACATTCAAACTCGAGATGATGTAACAAATCACTATAACAAGAAAGAAAAAAAAAAAAAAGTAAACTTTTTATATATTTATTTCAGCACCACCAACAACAACAACAATAATAATAAAATGTGCTACTGATGCTGATCAATTCATTCATCATTCAAGTAACATATGATACCCGCTCAACTACCGTGCCCACCCATCTATCTACCCATTCATGAATCACAAATTCGAATTCGAACAATCAAAATATACTTTCAGGTTGAAACCTGTCTACCTCTGTGTGTTTGTTGTGTGAGTCATAGATTATATGATTGATATGTTTGTTTTTAATAGCTATTGTCAATATTTTCATCAATCATCACACAAAGACACATACACATATAAATAGTAGCCCAAACCACCATCATTACATAATAATACAAAGGGGGGTACGTCTTTGAAAATTGGAATGATTGATGCACCCGCCAGCTCATTCATCTCGAATCATCAGCACAAATATTTCCTTCTCTCAATAATATATAGATTCGTTTACTTAAAAAGGATTCTTTAACTGAATTCAGTGTGTTTTTAATGAACCATTTCAATTCAACAATAACAACCCCCACCGATCCATTATACAATGTGATAAAAATATCAACAACAACAACAACAATCTATTTTTCTCACTCTTTGAAACCTATTTTATTGTTGTCGAAGGTGTTTTTATATTATTTTGCTGGTAACAAAAAAAGCACACACTGAATAAAATTATTATTTATTCCAGCAGTCAGTCAATCAGCAAAAAGTGTTGATGAACTATATAATTAAATTGTTGTTGTGGGTGGGTTTTGCTGAAAATAAAAAAAGTGGATACTTTTGATTGGTAAACGCCTATAACAACTATATATTGTGGGTTAGGTTTATTTGTGTGTGTGTTATTGTATGCTTTTTTTTTTAAATATATATGTTTTATTACATTGTATTTATTTTATATTCTATTCTCATGTGTGTTCATTAATTATTGTAGGATATCCCACCTATACTTACTTTATTATTTTTGATCAATCAATAATAGAGTAGAATAGAATAAAATAAAATTTATTCAAAATTTTATTTTGTGTGTTGTTTGTTTGTTGTTGTTGTTATTGTTGCTACTGTATTTGTATGATTTTACACTTATGAAGAGAAGAAAGAGAGAGTATTGTTGTTGTTGTTACCCCTCTTCTCTCTCATCTAACATTTCTTTATATCAATCAAATTAATTAACCTTAAAAACATTTTTTCTTATCTAATCCTTTCCAACTGTTCCTTCTGAAATCTCCTCTTTTCTATATTAATATATAATTTATCAGATTTTAAGATTTTATGATATAATAATACCAAGCATACTATCTATCAATCAATCAGGATAAAAATAAACTAACCATCACTAGTACCAAGAACAACACAACAATAACAATAACACTAAACCAACAACAACTACTACAACAACCAACCAATCAATCAATCATTCACATCAACAATAGTAACAAAGTCAGTAGCAAAATAACAAGTGGTACAAAATCCTTTCTTTTACTTTCCTTCTCTTCCTTTCCAATTTGTTTTGTTTTGTTTTGTTTTGTTTTTTTTTGCTTTTTGTATTTTGGATTGTTTTGTTTTCTCCAGTAACAAAAAAACAAAAGCAATAACAACTACAAACAACAACAACAGTAACAATAACAAATCGAATTGATTTACAAAAATTGTGCATATATTTCATATCATTTCATTGTATATATCATTACATCACATTACTACACAACATTATTTATTTTTATTTATTCAAAAATAGATAGCGAGAGAGTGAGAGTTCCTTTTACACTAATACCTCTGTCTCCTATTTAATATCCAGATTCGACACAAATTCAATCAACCACCACTCATTATTTATTGCCACAAACTCTAACAAAACAGAAAATTTCTAATTGGTTATTTTTTTCCAAAAAATCCAGTTTGACACAAGATTCCAAAATACCTAATTTTCAGCTGAACCAACAACAACCTTCCATCTATTCCAATTCCAATCTAAAACCAACCGAATACACATGCAAAACTATCATCAGGTAAATTTAGAAAAACAGCTACTAAATTATTACATTTTTTTGACGAATATGACAACTAACTATTATATCTTTAAAAACAAAAACTATCTATTCTATATTATATATATATTTTTATTATATTTATATATAGCAAATGAATAATGTTGAGCAACATCCATATTATTATATGCAACAGGGACAAGATCAGAACCCAAATGGTCAACCCGATCATATTAATATAAAGAAAGACGATAGTATCTCGGACCAAGCTGCCTCATACTCGGCACACCATAATGGTGGCGCAAACACTCTGGCCGATCTGTCCGATCTCACCGATAAATCAGTGTTGTTGAAGCACGAGAATATTTTACACCATGACAAAGACTCGACTGCTAAAATGGAACCACAAGATCCTTCGATTTTACAACAACTCGGTTATCAACAGCAACAACAACACATGTCCAATATAATACACTCTTCTTCATCGCCACTCTCCAACAATACACCAATAACAACCTCAACAACAACATCGTCTCACGGCAACATAGGTCAACTGCAGCAATCAGGCAATTCGCCACAGCAACAATCTCAACAACAACCGTTGGTCTATGAAATTCCAGATATTCTCTTGGCGCCTGGCACTAGATCACCATACATTCAAGAACTCACCGACTCAATCATCTCTATCATTCTTGGTAAAGCGCACAAAGATGAACCAATCTCACAAGTCTACACCAATATAGCCTCGGTTTGCCGACAGTGGCATCGACTATCTGTAGACCGAATCACCAACTACTGCTATCACTTGCCACCCGACAAGAAAATCACCAATTTCTTCTCGAACATTGCACACAACAAATTCCCAAATCTACACACCCTCCAATTCAAAGTGTTGACACCGACACTCTTTGATGTGACCAGTTTCGTAAAGATGATTCTCATCGACAATAAACTCATCACCACACTGGAACTCTCACAGAACGGTATAGGAAACAAAGCGGCCACCTGCATCGGAACTTGTCTCGTCAACAACACCACCATCACCCACCTCAACCTCAGTTTCAACTCGATCGGTAACGAGGGTGCCGAAGAGATCTCAAAGGCACTCGGAACCAACAAAACACTGACTCACTTGGATCTCTCACAGAACTGCATCGGTCTCAAAGGCTCGAAAGCACTGAGCACTGCCATTCAGACAACAAAGACACTCCATATCCTCAATCTCTCAAAGAATCGTTTCGGTACCAAGGGTATCGATGTGATTGCCGACTCGATCGGCAAGAACACCTGCTTGTTGAATATCGATTTCTCAAGGAATGAAATCTCTGAGAAGAACGCCAAGATCATTGGTGACGTAATCAAGAATCACCCGACTCTGCAATCCTTGAATTTCTGTGATACCTCGCTCAAGTCGGACTCGATGAAGTACATCTCTGAGGGTATCCAGGCGAGTCAGACACTCAATTCGATCGATCTCTCAAGAAACGAGTTTGGTTACAAGGGTAGCAAGAGTCTGGCAGTGGCACTTCAACACAGCAACTCACTCGCATTCCTCGATCTCTGCGGAAATGATATCGGTGACAAAGGTGCCATTCCCATCGCAGAGGCACTCGCTGACAACAAATCACTCACAAATCTCTCGCTGGCATTCAACAACATCGGTACACAAGCTGCACAACAACTTGGTGCAGCAATCAAAGTCAACAATTCATTGGTATCACTGGATATCTCGATCAATGCCGAGATTGGACCAATCGGAGCAACTTCGATCAGTGAGGGTCTCTGCTACAACAAGCGTCTGACGCAAGTATCGTTTTGCACCAACGGATTCGGTCCACACGGTGCGAAGTCACTCTCGGAGGCACTGCGTTTCAACAACACCCTCACCAAGATTGAACTGCGTGGTAATGAGATTGGCGATGACGGTTGTCGCTACATCTGTGAAACACTCAAGACCAACGCTTCGCTCACTGAGATTAACTTGTCGGCCAATGGAATCAGCAACGAAGGTGCCCGTGCAGTCTGTGAAGCTCTCTGGTACAACCGTACTCTCCAGCAAATCATTCTCACTCATAACAACATCAACCAACAGGGAGTGCAAACCATGAAAGACACACTCGAGCAAGTCTTTGTAGTCACCTTTGACTCTTATATCTATCCACCAAACTCACAAACCATTTTATCAAATCTCTATATTACCAGACCGAATCATATCGTTTGCAAAGTTACCATATAAACCATTCATAATAGTAACAATAACAATAATCAACATCAACAATAATAATAACATCATCAACAACAACAACTATAATAACAACAACAAGGATAACAACATTCTTTCATCAACTGAACCGCCAAATTTAATTAATCAACTCTCAACTTTATCTCAACTTCAACTTCGTTTCATTTCACTTCACTCCTCATCAAATATCAAATGTTAAATCTTCAAATTGACCAAAATACGTGAAACAACGCCAATCATATTTGTTAGAATTACGTCGTTGTACTTTCCAAAACCAACTTAAAACCAACACCATTTCCATTAAATTAATAGTAAATTTAATAGTAGCGACAAATATTGTAATAGTAGATTCGAATCCATTTTTTTGTTTTTCAAAAAAAAAAAAAAACTATTACTTAACAACTTATTTAATTGCCAAGTCAACTCCCACAACAACAACAACAACAACAACAACAACATCAACAACATCAACAACAACAATAACAACATCAACAACTGGAACAGTTTCAAAACCAAGATAACAAGTGTAACAAAAAAAAAAAACAAATCAGAATAATCATTTTTATTGGAAACTTAGTTATTGTTGTCAATGTAAAGATATATCACTCCAGTAATAATCAATCAAATCATTATATCGCCAACCAACCAAAAAAGAAAAAAAAAAGTAAAAAAAAAATAATAATTTATAACCAAACAAATCATAATAATTAATAGTAATCAAATAATAATAGTTTCAGCAATAATTCACATATAATAGTTTATTGTTTAAGAGAGAGCCAATAAAACAAATATTTATTTATTTACTCTAAAAAAAAAAGAAAAAAAGTTTAAAAAAAAAAAAAAAAAAGAAGTACATTTTGTTACCAATCATAGTTGGTCGGTATGGTTGTCTTCTTTCAATAAATACAAACTAAAATTAAATGGTTTTGGTGGTGTATGTATGGATTGATTTTGTTGATATGATTTCATTTTTTTTTACAAACAAACAGCTAGCTACATTATTACACTGTCAACTCTATGAGAGTTAGGAACGGTGTTTGGTTCATCTTTTTAATGTTATTCACATAAAGACCGCTGTCTCTAAATAAGAAATCCCATTCCAATCGTGATCGTTTTTCCACTGAGATTATGGAACCCATAACCATCTTTGGTATGGAGTGTGAAGTTGACTCTTCTTCTTGGAGTTGGTCCAAACTTTCGTCGTTGCGATTCTTACTAATTTGGTCGTCCAAAATCGATTCAATCACAATCAGCGACGGTGATTTCCCTGTAAGTGTTTTCTCTTTTCTCATTACATTCGATATGGATTGCAGAATTTTCATACAGTCATGTCTGCTCCAGACACTGAGCACCTCTGTAAGTAGATAGGCATCGGCTTCCGGAATCGTTCTCGGTTGGAACATATCACCCAATTTGAAAACAATTTGATTACAATCGATAAGTTCTTTCTTTTGTGGGTCATTCGTAGCAATTTCCAATCCGTGTTTGATTGTCTCCTCCATCTCTAATATCACGACGCTGGTATTGGGATGATCTTTCAAAATCTGAAATCCCAAGTATCCGAAACCACCATTGAGTTCAACGATCTGTTTGAATTTCGAGAAATTGAAACAACCGGTGATCTTTGAGTGTACTTTGAGCAGCTCTGACTTTTGAGTCATTGCACTGTCAAATATCTTCTTTAGGAAGCTATCTTTTTCATCGATAAAATTGATAAAATTGCTTTGGTTCAACGAAGGATGACGTGTGTCTAAAAAGTCTTGTGTTGAACCCCAAGCCTTGGAAAGTGATGGATGTTGAAACAACCCATAGATACAATCTTTGTTTTCGTTGTAAAAGATTGAATCTTGTATGTTTGGTAGATTCGCGTTGATTTCATATTTCTGATCCTCTTCATTGTAGAAAAAGTATCCGTCGTTTGAAAGTTTGTTCAGTAGCGAATTTAAATGTCTTTGGTTGGTTTTGGTTACGTTTGCTAGCTCCTCTAGTGTCTTTGGACCAACCTTTAGCGCTTCAATGAGCTTCAAGATGAAAACCATTGTCAAGCATTGAAAAACTATAAAGTCGTGAGATAATCTGTATATCTTGGCATGTGCAACTATATTATCCCAGTAGTTGGTGATTGAAAATAAACATTGAAGTATGTATGTAGCAATGATCGGTGGCAATGGTTCTCTAGAAGATATCTTCTTTTTTAGAATTCCAATATATATAAAAATAAATACAGATAATATAATGATGCTTGGCAATCCTACTAATAAAGAAGATGCCAAGAGAGAAGAAAATATAGATTCCATTGTTGTTGTTGTAGTTGATTTATTTGGTTTTTTTATATATCTAAATAAGATTCAAAATGTGAAAACATTCGACATAAAATTATTATTATCCAAAATAGTACTAACAATGAAATCCTAATAATAAATGGATTACAAATTATATAATTTAATTGACAAAATAAAAATATATATAAAAAAATAATATTTGTTTGTTTTTAAAAGTTGTAGATATATAAATATGAGGGTTTCATTGAACAACTAAAGTATATATGTTTGAATTACATAAAATGCATAATAGTTGTTGTATAAATATTTTTAATTCTGTTCTTATTGTTGTTTTTGTTTTTTTTTTTTGGTTGTTGATAATAGGATTTCAAGATGTTTATTGGATATCCAATATTTTTGGAATTTGAATATTGTTATGAAAGGATAAAATATTCGTTAAGGAACAGAGAGAGAGAGAATGTTTGTTGGTATGTAGTTGTGTTTCAAGAATAGACTTTTAAAGTTTTTTATTACAATAAATAGAATAATATATGAATATTGAATTGATATTTTTGAAATTATAAATAATTGATAGTTTGATTGCACTACAGAGTGTTTCTGATTGGAATTCCGTTTAGTGATTATTGGTATAAATCTCCTCGCAAGCAAAACAGAAAAAAAAACCCAAATATTAAGTAGGTTATGAAACAATAATACATATATGTATAAACCAACAACAACAACAACAATAACCTGTAATAGTTGAATGTATTGACAATCCTTTCAGCTTGGTGGCACACAAAAATAACATCCTTGGATCATTGATTGATTGATTGATGTAAAATAAATTTTATTTTTAAAAACAAACCAAACACAATCACATTCTGATACATCAAAAATTAAAGACATAAAAAAATATCACATTTATTTCTCTCTATCACACTTTCTTCTTTTTTCTTCTTCTTCACCATCTTTCTCATTTTTTATTGCAATACTATTTTTTTGTTTTAATTTACTAAAATTTTTGTTTTTGTTCATATGTCAACCACTCCACAATAATAATGCCATCATCATATTATTGTCAAACAATTTAACAACACCACCACCTCTACCAACAACACCACATTCTAACACACACACACACATTACTAAAAAGATATATTTAGAGGAAAGTGATAGAGTAAGCGTGATATTGAAATTTAATAAATCGGCTCACCACTATGATCACGCTGATACTTTTTTGTTTTATTTTATTTTTATTTTTAATAATTTTATAAAAGATTTTGTTTTGTTTTTACTTACTTACTTTATAACACACCAACTTCAAAAATCAATAATAACTTTGTACCTAATCACACACCAAGAGATATACTTCACATTAAAAAAAACAAAAACAAAAACAAAAAAAATCAGTAAAGTTTGATTATTTTTTTTTTTGAGAGATATTGCTTTCAATAATGATTAAAGTAATAAATCAAATGGTCTGACAAATCACAACAACATGGCAACCAATATTTCAAACATTTATTCAAAAACAAATAATCACAATCATCCCACCACCAATCATTTGAACATTGATCAAATTCTTCACTACTATCAAAAACTTATTATTCTTCCTGATCACCCTCGTGTGTATCACAATCATAATCATACAATCAATCAATCATTAAAGTAATAATCAAAAAGATTCGCAAAAGAGAGAATCGAGTGGGTAATATTTGCTTTGTATATTCTGTTAGTTTTACTATTATTAAAGGATTACCTGTTTTATTTGATCATATAGCACATAAAAATAAAATAAAATAAAATTGAACCAATTTGGATTGTTATCAAGAATATTTATGTAATATTTATTGTTAACAAGCTTAACAAAAGATAGGTAGAAGTAGTTAGACCAATTGATATAAAATTGACAATAATAATAATAATGGTGGGTTGTTCAATTGTTTTCGTTTGCTTGCTTGTTTGTTTTGGGTGTTTTCTGGATTCTTTCACCTATCACCTTACACCTCATGCGTCAACAAAACAAAACAATAACGTACAGACATACAAACACCATCTTATCACTTTGATAAAATGGATTTTTGTAAAAGTATAACATCATCACAATCAATTGATTTGTATACAAAACTATTTCTTTTTCAATCTTAAGTTCGAATCTAGATAATGATAATTCAACTAAAACTTGTATTTAATGATGTTTTCTTTTCAATATCTTTTTTGATAGCGATCATTTTTTTATCTTCCCATCTTTTAGTATAATATTCTTTTTTGCAGTGTCAAAACCCACTTGTTAACTTTTAAAAGTTGATGGATGTCCTTTTTGACAAGTAAACTCAAACACCCTTAATGTTCAAATAAAATTTATATTAAATGTATCAGCAGTGAATATGTTTAAAAGTTGGTAATATAGTTTATATTTAACTTTTTCTATGTCTCACCATAAACAAAATAAAAATAAAAAAAAATTGAAAACAACCAATCAAAATTAAAATCCAATGATTATTTTTTATTTTTATTTTTATTTTATTATATTGTCCAGTTTTTTTAATCATTTCTATAAATTAAATCTTAAAATATAGTTTATTTTTTAAAAGTGTAACTATAGTTAGTTGTTTGGCCAAAAGTAGTAAAATATATTTCTACCATTTTAATCAATAACTGTTTTTTATTTTAAATTTTTTAAAACATGTGTTAAACAGGTATGAATGATCAAGGTCTGATTAAAGTTAACTTTTGGAATTTAGAAAGAAACAAATGAATATAAAATGCAATGATTTTTTATGTCATCAGACTACACACACACAATATGCAGTGAAGAGGGTTTATTTATTAGTTTTTTTAAAATTAAAGTGGTGGTTGTAGTTACCGTCAGAAATTTAAATTTATGTGCAGTGGTAAAAAGATCTGTTCAATAAAAATTCATAATATTTACTTGTATTAGATATGGAATATTTGGAATGCAGTTACATCACCTAACCATCAAGATACTTAATAAAATATTGATTATTTTAATTATTAATATTTATTTATATTTTCGTTGTTATTTTCATTCTATTTATAATTTACAAGTTAGTGTCAGATTATTTTAACAAAACAAATTGGAAACATTTATACATACTTAACTTTCATTGTATTATTATTTGGCTTTAAAATGTTATATTATATAGTTGGATCAATAATTGTTGGTATTATTACCTTTTATTTATTTTCACCAAGACACAACTCTGTCTGTGGTCTAGATCATCCAGCCAATGTTTATAATAGATGGAGACGTCTAAAGAATAGTTTTTCATATGAGCAATTCCTCCAACAAATATCTCCGATCGAAAATCCAAAGACCTACAAGAAAGTTTTGGACGATGCTCTCAAACTGAAGAATCAACAAGAAAAGCATGCCGAAGGTATTATTTTACTTGAAAAAGTAGTAACTACTGCCAAAGACTTGACAAAGAAAAAAGGTAAGTTCATTTTATTTTCGAAAATCAAATTTCAAACATTAATGTTTCATATTTATAGATCCATTGGGAAAGGAAATACTGGATTACATCAACAGTATTAAAGATCTGAAAGTTCTTTTTAATGAATCCGTTCAATATCATGATTTAATGGATGCATTCTTTAATGATGATGGATGGACGGTTGACAAAGACCTTCTTTACAATGTTGAATACTCCTATCGTACAAAAGGTCGAACATTGAAATCAAGAAAGTTCATCAGTAAGTACTTTATTAATTTTTATCTTCAAGGATTTTTTTAATTAATCATTTCATTTAAAAAGAAATTGTTGATCTCCCAATTTTAAATGTTGCAACAAGATGCGAGGAAATTGAATTATTCAATACATGGAAATGGTACCAAAACGGAAAGATTATTAAAACCGAAACTTCCAAAGGTACCATTTTATGTTCAATTATTTCAATTCTAAGTAGATTTGTTGTTCTCAATAGAGCTGCTTATTGTAAGTTAATATTCTACAATAATTATCATTTTTAATAATACTTTTCTAACATTTTTATTGTTAAAATATTTAGGTTGGAAGATAAATTATAAATTACCAGATGGATCAGTTATTATTGCATACAATGGTGCCAACAATAGACAATCTGATTATGATTTACCACCATTACCAAAAGGTTTTGCATATCCAGATATCTTCTATCATGCGTGAGTATAGATTAATATTTTATATAATTTGCATTTGTTTAACGCTATTATTTTATTTTTTAAATAGTTTCCGTTTAATTCCATTAACACCAACAAAGACTATTTTAATATCAGTCATGGAGAGTGATCCAAAGATCTGGTTCTACACCAAGGAAATGTTTATTAGAACCGCCAAGAAATTTGGATGTAGAGAATTGAAACTAATTGATGAGCATGCTGGTGTCATCAGTGGTACACCTTATGAAGCTAAATTAAGTAAATCTTTCTATAAAGGATTATAAAGAAAGCTTTTGTAGATATAAAAAGAAAATAAAAAAAGTTAAATCAAATAAATAAAATGGAAAAAAAGAAAATTATAATAAACATAGTTTTTTTTTTTGTAAAATAAGACTAATTAAATTCTCTTTTATTATATTTATGCTTGATTTGTTATATTATATTATTATATTGTATTATATAGGGTTGGTTATTATTAGTTTTTTTACAAAAAGTTGTCTGGATATAAACGATTGAAAGAAACGAGCGATTTTGAAGATTTGAAATATTGTTTTAGGAAATCAGGTACCACCACGCCCTTCTCTATAAAAGGTAGTTCTAAATGTTGAAGTTGGTCATTCTTTGACAATGATTGAATCAATGATTTCAATGAGGATGTTGATGAATGTTTAACTTTCAATATTCTTATGTTGGTGTTACTTTCGAGTGCTGCGCACAAATGTTGTTGTGATGCATCGGAAATGCTCGGTAGTACGAGATGTCTAATGCTTGGATTGCCAGCAATATAGCTGGCGAGCGACTCTGCTAGCTTGTTTGACAGATTCTCACAATCCAACAGTTTGAATTTCACCAGTTGCTGAGCGGACTTTGAGAGTACGTCGAGGAGCAATTTGCTCAAGTAGACACTGGTCACTGAGAAATGAGTGATCGTTTTATTGCTGAGGAAACTCTTGGCGATCGCCCGGGTTATAGCGGCGTCCAGCTCTTTGCTACCGGTTCCAATCTTGCCCAGTGAGAGATGTGTGATGTTGCTGTTGTGTGCCATATGCGCAAAGCAACGATCGATCTTTGTATTGTACTCCTCAATATCGGCGCCTGGACCGGCCTGATAGTTGAGTTTGGTGAGTGTTCTGCTCTTGAGTAGCGAGCTGAGGAATCGAAACTCGGCAACACAAGAGTTTGCCTTGAACTTTAGCATTGTCATTTTATCCTGGGCGCAGAGGGCGGCAAGCGTATTGTTGATCATCTTGTCGTAGGTGGCGCTGTTTGGAATGTCGATGGTGATGTCAAACGTCTCGATATCTCGGTTGGACATGAGTGCCCAGCTCAGATCCATATTCACCTCGTCGAGCAACAAAATAACGTGCCGAAGCTGTGAGTATTTCATAGAGGTAAGCAATGAGTACATCAGGTCGGTGTTTGGATAGGTGAGCTTGACCAAGGACAGTGGACAGGCAACATTCGTCACAATTCTATAGTGTTCCCAGAACTTGAATCCATTCAATTTATTATATTCATTCTCTTTTTGTATTCCCTCTTGGACATCTTCGTTGTCTTCATCGCTATCCTCTTGGAAGTTGCTATCGATGGAAACGACTGACATGTTTGCACTGAGTTCTCCGACGTCCGTACTGAAGTCACCGGTGTAGTTTGTGCTTACATCCATTGTGGTATCTTCGTTGGATTGGAACGACTCATCGTCAGTCATAAACTGGTCTACCTCGTCAATGAGAGTGTGGTCGAAATGAACACCTTTGAGCGAGCGCACTATCGAGTATTGATTGGTGTTACCGTTGAGCAACTGGACAATCTTTTGGTACGAATGTTGAGGGAATCGCTTGGTATCGATGAAATTGACGGTGGAAGCTACATGATCAAACCAACGGCGACACACCAACGCAATGTTGAGCATATATCCCGATAGACTGATCATTCCATTCGAAGCGACGTAGCTCTCTGACAATATATGCTTGAAAATCAATTGTTGAATTGATAGATCATATTCTCCGATATTGGAATCGGTGTCATCTCCATTTGATCCACCAACTTTCTCCAATGGTTGGATCTCTGCCATAATATATTCTACTTCATCTTCATCTTCATCTTCATCTTCATCTTCATCTTCATCTTCATCTTCATCTTCATCTTCATCTTCATCTTCATCTTCAGCTTCATCCTCTTCTTCATCTTGATCATCGTTGACATCTTCTATATCACTTATATCTTCAATGACAACACTTAGTTCGGTTTTAGTAGCGTCGACCATGGACAAATCTACACTCTTGTTGCTTCGCATTGATGTGTTTGGTTGTTGTTGCTGCTGCTCTGTAACACTGAGATCGGCATCATCCACTGATTCCTCTGGGTTGTCTGACGATTCCGATTCTTCGTCGTTGTTCTTTGACTGTTGATATCTATCCAAAATGAATTGTATGATCTGGTCCTTCTTCTTTGGAATTAATTTTGACTCTACATCGGACAAGTATTGACTTTTCAACTTTGGAATGGTGAGTGACGATAGAGATTCATAAGTTAGCTCTTCATCATCCTCTGATTCTTCTGATTCTTCTGCTTCCTCCACTTTTTGTGGTTGTTGCTCAACTTCCAACGGTATCATTGTTGATTCCACAGCGATAACAACTTCATCTTGTCCCTCCTCCACTTCTGCTTCTGTTACTTTTGTGAATTTTGATTTTCTTTTTGAAGTGGTGGTGGTGGTTGTTGACTTTTTACTGCTAACGTCATTCTCACTATTATCATTATTATTATTATCTAATAGATCCAAACTTTTTATATTCTCACGAATGAATTTAATGATTAATCCTTTTGCTTTTGGTATTTTTGTTTCTTTTCCCATTGATCTTTCAATGATTAGTTTTAACTGTGCAACAGTTAGCTTTGATAATGAATCATCTTTTTGATCCATTTTTCTATCTTTCTTTCTTTCTATCTATCTATCTATCTTTAAAATAATAATAGTAATAATTTTAATAATAATTATTGTTTTTTTTTTTAATTATGTGATCTTTCCCAATCAACATCATTAAAATTTGTTAACAACTTGAATTAAACCGCCAAAATTTAAAAAAATAATAATGTTTGTAAATTTACAAACATTATTATTTTGGCGGTCTTTTTTAATTTATTTCTTTAATTATCATTTCTTATTAGAAAATAATGATTATTATAATCTATCGAAGGGTTCTTATGCTAATTGGTGTAGTCTATGTATTTTATAGATTATCCTATTCTTTGAATTTTTTGAGTTTGTTATTAGATTGATTATTTATAAATAAACCTTTGTGATCGATTTGAATCTACAATGAATTAATTGAATTACATAAACAATTACATATCAATCATCATATCATCATAATAAATCAAATTAATTAATATGCTTTCATTATATTATGATGATGATGAACCTGTAGTTAAGAATTCTAATAATAATGTTAATGTTAATAAGAATACAACAACTACAACTACATCCTCAACTACAGCAGTTAAAACAAATAATAATAATGTAAATAGACAAAGTCCAATAAAGAATAATAATAATAAGTATATAAAACAAAAAATAAATGATAATAATGTAAATAGAAAGTCAATAGTTTCAAGTGTTGCATTATCTCTTGAGTATAAAGATGATGATGATGAAGAAGAGAAAGAAGAAGAAGAAGAAGAAGAAGAAGAAAATGATATAAATAATAATAGTAGAGATCAACTTTTATTAAATGAATACCAACAACAACAACAACAACAACAACAACAAGATAATCATAATAGTAATAATAATAATAATTTAATGGATGAAGAAGAATTGATACCAGTAGACTATGAATATCAAAAGACAGTTCCATTTCATATATTCTGTGAATTGTTAGACCGTTTAACTCAAGTTACAAAACATACAGATAAGAAATCTCTTTTAACAACATTCTTTAATAATTATAAAGATAAAGATAATCTTTTCCCAATCATTCGTTTATTTTTACCACAAGTATGTAATTTAATTAAGCACTTTACAATATCTATACCTTACTTACTTTGTTATACATTATTAATAGTTAGATAAAGATCGTCAAGTCTATGGATTAAAAGAGAAAACACTTGCTAAATTCTATGTAGAGATGCTTGGAATCGCACCGAATAGTATTGATGCCATTCGTTTAATAAATTGGAAGAGATCAACTACCAATGTATGGATAAAGATATTAATATAACAAAAGATAATCCATTTTACTTAATTGTAGTTAGTTACTAATAATAACAATATTGTTAACTTAAGGAAATTGGAGGTGACTTTGGTAATGCTGTGTTTCTGTCTTTGAAGAATCGATGTCTTGAGAAAGGTCGTATATCCATTGCCGATATCAATATCACTTTGGATCAATTGATCGTTACCGATGACAAACGTGAGAAGCAGCGCTTGTTAAAACGATTGCTGAGACACACCACCGCTACCGAGCAGAAGTGGTTCGTTCGTATCGTTCTCAAAGAGATGAAGACCGGTTTGTCAGAGAAGATGATATTGAACTTCTTGCATCCCGACGCTATGAATCTGTTCAATCATACCTCTAGCCTGCGACGTGTCTGTCAAGACATCAAAGGAAGTGGACGCCCGCTCGACTACGATGGAAAGACCATCTTGATAGGCCAACCGATCAAACCGATGTTGGCAGATCGCAAACCGCTAGAGACCGTTCTGAATGCCATCGAAGAGGAATCGTTCATTGTTGAAACCAAATACGATGGTGAGCGTATACAAATACACAAACAAAACGATAAGATTAAACTATACTCTAGAAACAGTAATGATTGTACACATATCTATTCAAAGCTACTTAATCCCATTATAAAAGAGTGTGTTACAGTTGAAAAGTATGTTTATCAATTATAATAGAAAGATATATAAACATACTAATAATTATTAACAAACTAGTTGTATAATAGATGGAGAATTGTTGGTTTGGGATACGATTGTTCAGAGATATGAGGAATTCGGTAAGCTAAAGACGTTGGCACTTAATCAGACGGTGGATAATGTTGGTAAACAACTTTGTTTTATTGCTTTTGATGTTCTTTATGTTGGTGACAAGAGTGTTGTTGAATTACCTTTGTCTCAGAGATATGCTATATTGAAGCGATGTATCAGTGCGAAATCACACCAGTTTGAGGTGTCGGAACATCGTGTCTGTTCGTCAAAGCAAGAGATCGTTCAGCTACTGGATGCTGCGATATTGGCACGTGAAGAGGGTATCATGGTGAAGCGACTAGACTCTGTATACACACCGGGCGAGCGTCGTGACAAATGGATCAAACTCAAACCAGAGTATCTCGATGGCGTTGGTGATGATTTGGATTTGGTGATCGTTGGTGGCTACTATGGTAGTGGAGTTGGTCGTCGTGGTGGAACAATCTCGCATTTCATTTTGGGTGTTCCAGAGTTGTTAGAACAACAAGAAGGCGAAGAACAACAACAAAAGCAATTGGTTACTTTTAAATCGTTTTGTAAGGTTGGAAGTGGCTATACAGATTCCGAGTTGAGGACACTGCAGGAACGATTGACTCCACACTGGCAGAAACGTCCGCTTGGCAATGTGCAGTTTGGAACGGAGCGACCCGATGTCTATATTGATCCGACTGCATCTTTTGTACTGCAGATCAAAGCTGCTCAGATTGTTATCACTGAGAAGTACAAGGTTGGATTCACTCTGAGATTCCCGCGAGTTGTGAAGATACGTGATGACAAGCAGTGGAGTGAATGTCTCGATGAAGCCGGTGTAATTAGTTTGGCCAATGAATATGAGGGTCGCTATGCAAAGCGAAAGATTGAGATTCAAGATGGCAAGTCTACGAAGAAGCGGAGAACCAGTACCACTAAGAAGCCAAAGAAAAAGATTGGAGTACTCCAGTGTTTTGAAGACACCGATACCACTGGGGTGGTCAAGCAATCTGGGCTGTTTGAGGGCTTGGAGTTCTGCGTGGTAAAAGGTGATCGGCAGCATAGCAAAGCGATGTTGGAGATCGTCATTGTGGAGAATGGTGGCACCAAAGTTCAGTATCCATCGAAAAAGACAAACTATGTAGTTTCCTCTATGAAAGAGGTACTAAAGATTCAGAATCTAATTAGCTCTGGATCGTTTGACATTGTTCACTTTCAGTGGTTGTTGGATTGTATCGAAGGAAAGCGACGTATTCCACTGGGTCCTAAATACATGATCTTCACAACAGAGGCAACTCGCGATATTTTCTCAAAGGAAATAGATCCCTATGGTGATTCTTTCACTGAGGACACTGACGTTCAAACACTGAAAGATGCATTCAAACAAATCGAACGTCAAAGTCAACAACAAAACAAACAACTAAATAATAATATGATTTATCAAGCAAAACAACAACAACAACTACAATTAACATTACCAACTGACAAAAAGAATGAATTATTTGAATATATCGAATCAAATTACTTGATTAAAGAATGGTGGTCATTGTTTAGAGGTTTAAGATTCTATTTAGACAGATATCAGGTGGTTGGGTAAGTTTTATAAATATGATATCAAAAAAAAAAAGTTTAACTGATCTAATATTTATTTTTAATCTTTTTTTAAGAGAGAAGAGTACAATAATGGAAAGCAATACATTTGAATTGGTAAAGAACCAAATTATTTTCTATGGTGGAATCATAACCTCTGATATTGATGATAACGTACAATATGTTGTGATTGATCCAAACAATAACTCTAGACTACCGTTTCTTAAAAATAGAATACACAGGTACGATATTAAATTAAAATGATATCTAAATTTAACCAACAAACAAAATAACTAACTGTATAAATATTTCTAATCAATAATTACTTTTTTGTTTTCTGATTTTTTAAAACTATTTTAAAGATTGGATAATAATTCAACAACAACTGAAATTGTTACAGTTGATTGGGTTGATGAACAACTTCGATTGAATTCACCTCTTTTACATAAGAACACCACACAATAATAAATTTAAAGAGTAGTTGACAAAGACTTAACCAACACATCAGAATTTTGGGTCCAGACCACACCAAAACCAACACAAAAAAAAAATTTCGTAAGTTTATTATTTTTATTACAACGGCTTTGTTTGTTTATCATGATTTATTCTTTTTTTGAAATATTGTGGTGTGTGTGTTTTTTTTATTACAATCATGATCCATCCCACTTTGTGCTTGCAAGTGGGGTGTAATTTTAAGAGGGAAATTAAAATTGGAAAATTGAAAAATTTAAAAAAATATTAACTGACTTTTGTTTAAATATTTATAATTAATAGTTTTTTATTTATTTAATAATAATATTTAAATTTATTTTTAAATAATTTTATTAAATAATTTTGAATTTTTAAAAATTAAAAAATTAATTATTATTTCCATATGGAACACAAAAAAAATCCTAGTTTCCTTTTTTGGTTTCGAATTTTGACAAAAAAAAATTTCAAAAAAAAGCTCACTGGCAAATTCATTGAAATGGAAGAGGTATCTCTCTTTAATTTAAATATTTGATTTTTTTAAAAAAATTAATTTTAATATGTTTTTTTAAACCGAAAAACTAATGAATAGATTAAAATCAAAAAGGCACTCAGAATAGGATTCCCTATTTTAAATATCCACACACCATTTCAATCAAACCTATTATTATTTTTATCTGTAATATTTAATCTGTAAAAAAAATATGTCTAAAACATCAATTTTGTTTATCTTTTTATTGTTGGCAGTCTCAACTTATGCCAAAGGTAAGATTTGTTTCTTTTGAAATAAATTTTGAATATTGGATTGTTAATTAAAATTTTAAAAAAAATTTAGATTCTGTAATTGTTTTTTGGAATAATCCAGCACCTACAAAGACTTTAAATTTGAAAACTGGAGATACTGTTAGTTTCTACTCTTTTGATGGAAAGTCTCATAGTATTACTTCCAATGATGGAACTTTTAATGGACAAGTTTCAGGATCCATTAGTTCACCAGGAATCTACACTGTACAAGTAGATAAAGCTGGAACTTTTATGGTTGCCAGTAAAGGAGAAGAGAAGGATATGACCATTCAAATTCAAGTGGTCGGAAGCGGACAACCCTCGGCCACCACTGGAACTCCTTCTACCACATCTTCGCAATCCTCTACCACTACTGGTTCACAAACCACCACTGGAAAGCCAGGCTCTACCACTACAACCTCTTCATCATCATCTTCGTCGACTGGACCATCTACCAGCTCCAATCCAACTACCTCTTCGACTACCTCCCATAACGGTGGAACCACCTCTGCTCCAGTAAGTACCACATCGACTTCTTCGACTACGGGAAAACCAAGTTCCACTTCTACTACCACTTCTTCCTCTACTTCATCTTCATCATCATCTACCACCTCCTCCACTACTTCAGGTGGTACTGGTTCTAGTTCAACTACTACTAGTGCTTCTACTACTGGTTCAATAACCACTGGAGGTAGTTGCTCTGGATCTATTGATGTAACTAAAGTTCTTCGTTCTTCTTGGTTATCAGGTACTGATAAATTCTACCAATATGATATCACCTTGAAAAATACTGGAAATCAACCAATTTCTTCGATTCAAGTTTCCATGGTCAATTCTGAAATCACCGATCTCTGGGGATTGGACAAGAATTCCAATGGAAACTATAATTTACCAAATTGGGTTCCTCAATTGAATGTTGGTCAAACTCACTCTTTTGGTATTACATCCAAGACTCAAACTCCAAAGATTACTGCAACCTGTGGTACTAATCCAACTCAAACTCCAACTCAAACTCCAACCCAAACTCCAACTCAAACTCCATCACAAACACCAACCCAAACTCCAACTCAAACTCCAACTCAAACTCCAACTCAAACTCCTACTCAAACACCATCTCAAAAATGTTCAGGAACAATCTCACAGGAGATGCAATCTTCATGGGTAAACAATGGAAAGGCAATGAAATTGGTTAATGTAAAGATCAGAAACACTGGTTCAAGTGATATAAAATCTACCAAGTTTATTCTAGATTCAAACTATGAGCAAATTTGGGGAGTCACCAAAGTTAACAACAACCAATACACAACCCCAACATACCAAAGCAGTATTAAATCAAATTCTTTCTACGAATTCGGTTACATCAGTACAGAGATTGGATTGATCTCTCAGGTCACATATGAATGTTAAGAAAAAAAAATAAATAAAATAAACAAATCTTAAGAAAATTTAAAAACTTTTTAAAAAAATAAATATTTATTTTACAATTGTTACTCGTCGGAAGAGTCAGAACTTGAGGGTGATTCTATCTTTTTCTTATCTTGCTTTTTCCTTCTAGAGTTGTAATAAAAACTTCTACATTGCGAGTACGTCTTGGTTCCAACGGTATCTGATATCAATTTGAAATCCATTCCATGCTTGGCAAATGCAGTATTAAAAAGCTCTCGTTCATCATTCGACCACGGGTATCTAGTTTCGTAGCCTGGTTCTTGGGGATTGAGCATCGCTGATTGACTGATGGTGTGTGTTGAATTATCTTTATCTTTATCTTTTTCTTTATCTTTATCTTTTTCTTTATTTTTCTCTTTATCCTTATCTTTCTCTCTATCTTTATCTTTCTCCTTTTCTTTATCTTTATCTCTTTCTTTTTCTTTATCTTTATCCTTCTCTTTCTCTTTGTCTTTGTCTTTCTCTTTTTCTTTCTCTTTGTTAGGTGTGATTGCAGGTGATGGTGCTGGTGAAGACGAGATTGTCGTTTGCATTGCCAATAAAACTTGTTCTCTTGCAGTAAGACGTGGAGCTGGCTCTGTGGGTTCTGGAACCAATTCTTTCATTGGCTTTCCTGACCTCGTTCTCGATGTGACTTTGGGTGTTGTTTTAGGTGATAAAACTGGTGAATTATTTACATGGGTAGTTGATAAGAATGCATGTTCCTAAAGAGTTATTGTCGTTAGTCAAATCAATACTTTCAATCGGAGTAAGTCAAATCAATAAATATTGTTAACATACCAATCCTTTCTTTCCTCTTTTCTTTGTTTGTGCATTCAGTAATTGTGTTTTCAAATTTAATGTCTTCTTGTTATTGTAGTAGAATACAACCATATCCTCGGGGGTCTTGGTATCGAAAAATGAAGCAATCTTGGCAAATTTCTTTGGATACAAAATATACCTAAAGTAAAACATTGAAATAGTTAGATAATTTGTTTGATGTTATAAGTTATCTTTTTTGTTATTATAGTTACTTTTTAACAAATTTATCTTTCTCTTCGTCAGTCCAGACAACCATTGTTTTTCGCTCCTTGTCGTATGCAACAGGATCCTCTATCAAACCGTTGTAATTGATATATTGTAGCTCTCTTTCACTTGGTGGTAACATTGGAGGTATTTCTGCCATCATGTGAACGAATCTACAATTTGGATCGGTAGCTTCGTCTTGTTCTCTCAACTGATCCATTATCTCAATGAACTCTGCTTCACTTCGCACTGCATCCGAAAGAATAGGTCTTCTTGTTCTTGTTCCAGATCTAAGTCCAGGTCTTGTCTTATTGATTGGTTTATCATTCTATATAAATGAATTTAATATTAATATTATGATATATATACATTGTTAAAAGTAAATTAAAAAACTTACTGCCTTTGGTAGATTTTCATCGATTTGAATCAACTTCTTTTTAAAGTTGACTATTGCCTTTGTAAATTTAGTTACCAACTTCTTGTTGTATTGTTGCAGTTCTAGTTTGCGTCTTAGTAATACTGCATTGAATTGGTCTTTGATCTTCTCGTGGTTGTCGATGGTCTCCTGGTAGATTGGAAACTCAGAGATGTCGTCATAGGTCTTTGCACCATCGAATGTCTGTAGTACGAGATCGTCTGCCTGTCTGGCATACTCTTGATTCTCAGCGTAGACTTGCTGCTCGTTCTCAAGACATCTCGTAGCCTTTGGAACAAAGACGTTGGCTGCGGTCGCGGATGTCGCCGATGGTTTGGTCTTTGGTTTCGCTGGCGAAGTCGGTAGTATCGAAGGTCTCGATGCAACAACCTTTCTCTTCTTCTTACCAGTTGCTGCAGTGGTGACGGCACTACTCTTCTTGGTGGCGGTACTAGTAGAAGTTCCACTGCTACTTTGTTTCGCTTCCTCCTCTTGTTGTAGCAGCAGCTGCTCTTCTTCCTCCTTTTCAATCTTTAGTCTGCTCAGAGTCGACTCTACTTTGTTCAGTGAGTTCTGTAGTATTTTCAACTCTTTCTCGACGGCTGCGATATCATTGTCGAGATTCTCCATACTAAAGATGACTTGCTCCTTCGATGGCAGCATCGGTAGATACATTGGCCCTTCCACTACTTCATTCTTGATGGTACAAGCAGCAGCAGCAACAACATTGTTTCTTGGAGATAACGGTGCACCATTATTTGCTGGTGAGGATACTGCATTGGCATTACCACCATAGCTATTGTTGTTCACCTGCATACTATTATTATTTTGATGTTGTGATTGCATTTGTTGTGAGTAATAGCTTGGACTTTGTTGAGGATACATATTCATATAATTGTTATTCATATTCATATTGTTATTATAATTATTATTATAGTTTTGATTGTTATTTAACATGTTATTGTTGTTATTCATCATATTATTGCTATTCATAAGATTGTTGTTAACATTCTGACCACGATAATCAGCTATGTTTGCATGAGATAAGCTTGGTGATGACAGTGAAAGTGAAGGCATTGGAGAGTTTGGTGGATATGATGCATTTGTATCATTATTATTGATGAGCATGCTATTGTTGTTATTGACATTATTACTATTGATGATATTGCTATTGTTGATGCTATTGTTCATATTGTTCATATTGTTAACAATGTTGTTGTTGTTGTTGTTGCTATCGAATGGTGTTGGTTGTAATGAGTTGGATGAGTGTGTACTTGAGAGTGGTGTATTCAATGTGTCAACGGTGCCACTGAATATCTTGGTTAAGGTATCGGCATCGGTAAGAGCAAGAGCAGGTGAATCTGATATAGTTAGAGTATTACCATTAACACTATTACTACTGGTAGCAGTAGCAGTAGTTTCACTATTGATACTACTATCACTGACTTCAGGCTCAGTTGATTTCGTAATTAAACCTTCACCCCAACCGATGTTTGGTCTGGTGCTCAGTGGCTTTGGTGTCAGAGGTGTGATTGGCGATGACGACGTCGATACATTACTCTTGGATTTCTCCATACTGGGTGAGCCAACATCGGTACGAGTGTTACGACTATCATGAGAAGTGTCAGCTGTTTTACCGATAGCCGTTGTCCCATCCGAATCAACAACAACAACATCATTCTCACTCTTGCTGCTGTTATTTGAATTTTGTTGTTTTGTTGACTCAGCATGTTGTTTCTCAATTAAACCAATTAGAACTCGTTTATCACGTTGTGATCGATTTTCTCTCTCCTTGGCAGCTCTATCATCAAACTCTTTGTATACTCTCTGTTGTTCTTCTAGATCCTTTCGTTCTCTGTCGTCTTTCTCTCTATCTCTATCTCTTTCCCTTTCCCTTTCTCTTTCCCTCTCTCTGTCTCTATCTCTTTCTCTTTCTCTTTCTCTATCTCTATCTCTGTCTCTATCTCTCACCTTTTCTCTTTCTCTTTCTCTATCTTTTTCTTTTAAATCTTGATGCTGATGTTGTTGTTGTTGTTGTTGTTGTTGTTGTTGTTGTTGTTGTTGTTGTTGTTGTTGTTGGGAATAATGATGATCACGGTACTGGTCTTTCTCTCTTCTTTCCTTTTCACGTTGAAGGTTCATCTTATCACGCTCTCTTTGCTCTCTAAAATCTTTCAAATCTCTCTGTTTACTATCCAAATCAAAACTATTAATACTATTACTACTAGGACCATAAGAACTACTATTATTGTTACTGTTACTATTACTATAACTACTACTATTGTAACTACTATTATTATAACTACTATTATTATTATTATTATTATCTCCACCATTCATATCTTGAACACCAAGATAAGGTTTACTTTGATGCAATAATGATTCGTATGTCGGTGAAGCATGCGCTCTTTCTCTTTCTTTCGAATCGATATCATCAATGTAGTTATCAAGATCTCGATCTTTATATACAAAAGAATTGTCTTTACTTTGGTTTTGTTTGTAATAATTATTGTTGTTGTTGTTGTTGTTGTTGTATCGCTTTGGTGGTGAGGATTGTCTACTATTATATCCACCATTGTTGTTGTTATAATATCGATTGTTACTAGAGGGAGGTGATCTATCTCTTGACCTTGATCTTCTACTGTTTGAAATACTAACGTTACCACTTCCACTTCCACTTCCACCAATGTTGTTACCACTACCAATACCACTACCGCTACCACTTCCACTTCCACCACCGTTCATATTAATAGATGAAGATGAAGGTGAAGGTGACCTAGATCTAGAGTGTTTCAAAGATCTATCTCTTTCTCTATCTCTTTCTCTTTCTCTTTGTCTATTGTTATTACTATCGTAATCATTAGTTCTACTACTATTATCTCTACTACTACTAATATTATTATTATCTCTATTATCGATATCTCTATTACTACTCAAATCACTGGAATCATTAAGATCTATTCTACCATCTTTGGTTCTACGACGTTTGAGTGAATCGTTCGATAGTTGAAGCGTTGAATAGTCACGTTTGTATCTATTGGCCTCTTCTTCTTGACGCAAGAATTGTTGATTCCAATGATTACCAGTGTTGTTATTGTATGATCGTCTTATTGGATAGTCTCTATCATTATTCCGCATTCTGGTATTATTATTACCATTTATATTGTTATTATTGATGTTGCTATTATTATTATTATTATTATTGTCATCTCTATAATCTCTATCACGTTCTCTCACATTATCACGATCTCTGACATTGTCACGATCTCTATTGTCACGATATCCACCACCTCGATGTTGGTCGTTATTGTTGTGGTTGTACCTATTAGAATTTCGATATGATGATGATGTATCGTTCATTCTATAGATTTTAATTGGTTGCAAAGAAATTAGTTGTTTTTGTTGTTTTTGTTAATGTCGTTGTTTTTTGTTGTTGTTGTTGTTGTTCATATTAGGTTTGATTGATTCATTGATTTATTGAACAAAGAACAAACAAAACAACAACAAATAGAGAATTTGAAAATATTGAATAACAACCAAAAAAATTTTGAAAATAACAAAAAAAAAAAAAAAAAGTTGAAAAAAAAAAAATCACAAATTTTAAAGATTATATTAGTAAGGTTTTATCATATTATTTTCAAGTATCATAACTAACCTATTATTATTGTTATTGTTATTGTTATTATATTCATAACCATGTGAATTAAAATTACTATTTGATGTTGATGTTGATGTTGAATTATTACTGCTTATGATATTCATGGTCATGACCTTTTTTTTTGTTTCTATTAAACAAGTTAAGTGTTTATTAATTCAATCAATATGAACTAACCAATTAACTAACAATTGTTGTTACCCGACCAACCAATGAATGATTCTTAAGATTGTTTAAAAGCTGATTGATTGTTTGAATCAAATTTTTTGTTTTTTATAAGTTGTTTCAAACTTTGAAATATTGTGTGTAAGTTGATTAATTAAGTTAAGTTGTTGAAATGACCAAATTAGACCATAGTAAAAAGAGATACCAAATGTTCTTATTCTACTTCTTCTTTGAAACAAATAATAAACAGTACAGCCAACTGAATGAATAAATGATTCACCAAACAAAAAAAAAAAGTTCAAATTCAAATTTTTTTTTTAACGAACAGAGAAAAAAATAAAATCAAATGTAAATAATAAATATCATTATATTAGATATCATAATAATCGTTTAACAAAAAGATCATTTATAAAAGAATATATATAGATTCTATTTTGTTTGTTATGAATTTTTTTTAAAAAAAAAAAAAAAAACTTATTTTAAAGAAAAAATAGTTAGTACGTAGAGAGTGAGAGAGTAATAATAAAGTTGTATTCTTAAACAAATAATAATACTTAAATAAGATATATTAATTAACACATATTTATTTTATTTGTTATTGATAGTTTCGATTGTATTAATAAACACTTTCATTCACTAATGAATGAAAATTTTTTTAACAAGTTTTTAGAAAAAAAGAAAAAAAATTGGAAATTTGTTTTTTTTTTTTGTTTTTTTTTTTTTTCGTTTCAATCACATGAATGGAAATGAAATGTGAATGTGTGTTTGATCGACTTTTATTTGATTGTCATTTATTAAATTTCATCTCATATCATATCTAATCATTGCAATCAATTCATTGATTGACCATTTTTTTGTATAATAAATCAATTTCTTAAATTTAAAGACAATATTCAGATATAGATATAGATAGATAAAAAAGTGTAGAGAGAGAATGATGATTGGAATCAATAATATATTAAGAAGAAGTTATTCAACTACTACTTCAACAGCAGCAGCAGCAGTTAAACAACAATTCAGTTTCATTGGATTGAATCAACATGTCACTTTCAATGCACCGGTTCTCAAATCGAATGGCACCGTGCTTGTAAGTCATCAGGTTGAGGAGAAACCATTCGTTCCAGTGGGCATCCAGAAGAAGCCACTGAAACACACATTCACAGAGGCACAGATTGGCGAGATGCAGCAGCTGCGTAACGACGGCCAATCACAGAAGAAGGTTGCCGAGAAATTCGAGACCACACCATACATCGTTGGACGTCTCACCAAGGTGTCGCCAGAGATTCGTCAGCGTCTCATCGATAACCACCAAATCAGAGCACCAAAGGTCGCAGACTCTGAAGAGACCAAAAAGATGCGTGTCGATCTCTGGACTGCAAAGAATCAGCAGCGTGAGTACGACATGAAGGTGATAAAGGCAGCAAAGTCCTACGAGGAAATCAAATACTTTAGAAGAGCAAAGCACGAGATTGCATACATGGCCAATGAGGAGACCTACGACGCCATGGTGTCGGGTCAAGAGCTGTTGAAACCAACACTCGAATTGGACGAAGACGATCTGGAACAACGTAAACTTAAAGAGGAGAAGAAGAAAGAAAAGAAGAAATCGACCGCTCGTCGTCGTAGTTACATCACCGATAAAGAAAAGGCAAGAGTAAACAAACAGAAGAAGGCAAAGGCTCAAATTTTATCAATGATGGACGATTAATAAATATAATTAAATAATAAATAAAATAATAATAATAATAATAATAGTGTTAAATTTCATTTTATAATCCATTTTTAAATTCCGCAATATGGAAATTAAAAAAGTAGGTGTCTAATATATATATTTTGAATAGATTTATCAAATGAAGAAATCTTGGAAGAACAACTTGAAAAACTAATCACCAGTTCAAATATTCAAAACAATTGTCTCTTGAAATCTTCTTTTAATCTTGTATAAATAAGATATATCTAGTATTTGATAGGTAATGATATCTTTGTTTTTTTACAAGCAAATTTGAAGATTTGTTTTTGTTTTTTTTATTCACATGCAATAATAAATATTGATTGACCATTTATTTGATTGATGATCATGACAATTGACAATGGAGCAGGAAAGAGGTTTGTTAACGAATTAAATTACAACATGTTTGCAAGATTTGGGATTAAACCTTCATAGATATCAATGCCACGTAAGAATGTTTTTTCGTTGAGGAATTCGTTGTGATCGTGTAGCAAAATGGGGGTGTTGTTGATTGGCGAGAATCCAAACGCTGGAATACCGAGGTTTCTAATGAATCTCGAGTCAGTGGCGGCCGGGAAGATCTCTGGGATCAACTTTACACCCATCTTGGAGCAAGACTCTTGGAAAATGGTCCACCACTTCAAGTCGGGATTCTTCAAGTCGGTCAACTCGTTCTTCTCGGTGTAGTTGGCAAACTTGAATGAAAGACCTTCCTCGCTGGTCCACTCTCTGATCTGCTCGAGGAACTTCTCGAGATTGACAGTCGGTGGAATACGAATATCGAAACCGGCCTCGGCGGTTGTTGGAATCACATTGTAACTGTAGTTGGGGAATGGTCCTTCACCGACACCGGCTTTCAAAACCGTCAAATTCAAAGTGGTTACATCTCCAAGTTTCTTTCCACACTCGTGGTGTCCTTTGTGTAATTCATTGAATTGATCCTGACGGAACTGTAACATCTTATTGACTGTTCTCAACTTTTATTATTATCAATTATAATAGTATTAATATTTTGTAAACAAAACAAAACAAAACAAAACCAAAACAAGACAATGTTAACTTACCAATTTCTCAACAGCAGTACCTTCAATGAATCTTGAACCATGACCAGTATTACCTTCAGCAGTGATATGTACCCCTAATGAATGAATTTTGATTAATATACAAACTTGTCTGATAGTGATAATTGTATATTTAATGAATATACTTACACCATGGTGCTCTCTCACCGTAGAATACAGTGAACTCATCATTTGGATTGGCAAGACCTTCATCAATGGCCATACCAATATTCATTTCTTTAAACTTGTTAGTCAATACAAATGGTTCCATTCCTTGACCTGCTCCGATTTCTTCATCTAAAGAGATAATGAAAATAGTAGTAATAAGTTTGAATGTTAAGTTATTGTTATTGTTGTTGTTGTTGTTATGATTGAAAATAACATGGTAATTACCTGGTACAAAAGTTAAATAAAGATTTCTCTTGAATTTCTTTCCACTCTTTACAAATCTAGCGGCTACCTCTAAGAATTGAATGGTAACACACTTCATATCTTGTGTTCCTCTGGCAAAGATGTTTCCTTCTTCGTCTTTGTATGCCTCGAAAGGATTGACTTTCCAGTGATCGAATACAGCTGGTACAACATCAACATGTGAATTTAACAAAACAGCTGGTAATGTTGGATCTTCTCCTTCGATCTTCATAATTACAATTGGTAATCCAGTTTCCTAAAATATATACATAAAACCAATAATAAATATAAATATTTATGATCTATACTAATATATATATCTTTCTATCCATTACATAATCATTTATCTCCCTCCTTCTCTCTCTATCTCTCACCTCTACTTTCTCTCCCATTAAAAACTAATCATATGATTGATGATTGATATCATACTCTAAAGACCTCACATTGAAGTCCATATTGCTTTGCTTTCTCAACCAAGAACTTTGTTGATCCTTCATAGTCTGGAGTTGGATGGTCTGTTCTAATTCTAAGGAATTCTCTAAAAACAGTTACAGATGGTTCTGATGATGAATGAAAATAAAGATGATGAGAAAATGTACATTTCTAATGATTCATTTATTATTTATTTTTTTTGATAACATGTTTTGTTTACCTTCTTGTGTCATATTCATTATTATTATTATCTATGCTAATTGAATTTCAAAATTAAATTAAATGACAAGAATGCAATTGTTTTTTGAAAAAGATAAAAATAATAAAAACCAAATTAAAAAATAAAAATAAAAATAAATTTATAAATTAAAAAAAAAAAATCAATAACTTTTTTTATAACTAAATTAATTTCCCAACACACCATCATAGGATTTATTTATTCCTTTTTTCTTTTTTTAATTAATTGATATTGATAAGTTCAAAACAAAATAAAAGACAAAAATAAAATGATAAGTTTGTTTATAATTCAAGTAACAATAATTATTTTTTTATATAAATTATTTTATATTAAGTCAATAAATAAAAAAAAAAAGATATTTTTTTTGTTTGATTAAGTTTCTCGAACACCATTCATGAACATTTTATTATTAGATTATTAATATTAAAATTGTTTGAATTGTAAAAAAAACTATAATCAAAAATTACTTTCCTAATTCATAAAAATAGTTTGATGTGCAAATTTAGATGAGCATCATATCGAACAGAAGTGGCTCAAAGGAATTTTTTGTGTGTTTGGTGGTGTTCTTGCAAAAAAACCATGCTTCCTAAATATTATTTTGAGTTCGATCAAATTACCTGTTAAAAAGTTATAACCCAATGTTTTTCAAAGTGTGGGAACAAATAGTTTTCATCTTTGCATGGTCTGAAAACTCGATCAGTTTTTAAGTATAAATAGTTTTATTAAACTACTATAATTAATATAAAAATATCAAATATTTACAAATAAATATATATTAAATTTAAATTACATATCTCTATCTTTTAAATAAATAAAATAAACATTTTTATTAACAAACCATGTCATCTGTATTAATTTTGGGAGCAACCGGAGCTATTGGATTTCAAGTCGCCTTGGCCTTTTTAAATAAAGGATTTAAAGTTTATGGTCTAGCCAGAACTCAAGAAAAAGCTGATTATCTTACTAAAAATGAAAGTATGTTTGTTAAATAAATATTGAATATTATTATTTAAATTCTTTCCAGAAATAATGGAAAGAATTTAAATATTAACCATAGTTATTGATTGCTAATATTTTAATAGTAAATCCAATCATTGGTAATGCATCTGATGTTGAAGTTTGGGGAGCTGTTGCCGAGAGAGTAGATGTCGTGGTTGAAGCACTTGCTGACTATACCAATCGTGCCACCACTGGAATTGTATTAGCTAAAATCCAAGAGGTTGCTACCAAGAAGCCACACCTAACAATTATCTATACTAGTGGATCGTTGGTCTACGAAGAAACTCAGGATCTCGTCGATGAGAACTCGCCATACAATGTCACCCACCCGTTCTTCTCACACAGAAGAAAGGTAGAGGAACAATATCAAGCTTTCGGAGGTATTATCATCCAGCCATCGTATGTCTATGGAGGTCAAGGTTCGGCATCGTCCTACTATTTCCGATTGGCAACTCAAACAACCGATGGCCAAGTTACAATGTTTGGCAAGAACAAAGATCAATATCGTTCATTCATCCACGGTGCTGATCTTGCTCAGATTTACTTGTTGGCTGCATTGAATGCATCTTCGGTAAGAGGACAAATATTCATCGGATCGGCCAACTACTTCAAATCGGAGGAAGTTGTTCGTGCCATTGCCAAAGAGGCCGGTGTTGAGATCAAGACAATCAACTATATCTCACCACCAGACGATGATATCATGGCACAAGTCTACTCTGTTTCCAGTCGTGCTACCAGCAAAAAAGCTGAACTTCTCTTGGGTTGGAAAGCAAATCGTCCATCACTCATTGACAATACCAAGCATTATCTTCAAACATGGAAATTATACCAACAACCATCTACTCCATCTTCAAAATAAATAAATAATCTTTTATTTATTTGTACAATACAATACCAAAAAAAAAAATAAATAATAAATAATAAATTATGATTATTTGAATAAACTTTTTGAGTCAAAATCGGTTAGGTGTTAAAATATTCATACCTTTTGTCATTACACAAAAAAAAAAAAACAAAAAGAATGAAAAAACATTGTATGTGTGTGTTGTTTGTTGACCATGTTCAACAAACAGAAGATTCTGGTGAATGTTTTTAAAAGATTTCAACCCACTGCTGTGTGGTTTTAATTAAAATATCTGTGGTTTTTTTTTTTTCAAATTTTTTAAAAATAATTTGGAGTTTTCTCAATTCGCCTAGGATTACTGCAACGTTTTCCTTTTCTTGATCAATTAATTAAGAAATAACAATAAAGCTTTCTAAATGTACATTTATTTCAAATAATAATAACAATTATAGTATATAGGTATTTCGAATAAATTTAGATTGAAAGATACAAACATATAGATCAAGAGAAAAGATATGGCTCAAGGTAAAAATTAAAAACAAAATGGATGGAGAGTGTGGGAAATAGGGATATAAGAATTGTTAAGATTGAAGATTTAAGATATAAGATTGAAGATTGAAGATATTAATATTTATATATCTATTTATAAATTTAAATTACATTTTGATGTAATGTATATGTAGAGAATGAAAATGCAGCTGGTCCAAGTTATGGAACAAAGTTGGCGATGAGTGTCGCAGGTATCATGGGATTCTTCATTTACTATGGTGTCTTGCAAGAGACCATTATGAATGAACCCTACGGAAAAACAGACTCTGGCGAGGACGTCTATTTCACAGATTCGACTTTCTTGGTGTTTTCGAATCGTCTTTTCGCTGCAATCATTGCAGTCATCATTGTAAAGTATCGTGGTGAGTCACTAAAGAATGTAGCACCACTCCAAAAGTATCTCGGTGTTTCGCTGTCAAACTTTTGCGCCACCTGGTGTCAGTATGAAGCGTTGAAATACGTCAACTTCCCAACACAGACACTCGGAAAGTGTGGAAAGATGATGCCCGTCATGTTGGTCGGTACTTTCATCAGCGGAAACAAATACACCCTCAAAGACTACTTGATTGCATTCTCTGTAACCGCTGGTTGTATGATCTTCTTTTTATCTGGTGTAAGTTAGTTATATCTATACAATATAAAATACATAAACCTTTATATATATATATCTTTTATCTTTTAACAATGTTTGTAACATCTTATATAACTAATAACATTTTTGTGTGTGTGATATAAATATATAGAAAATTTCATCTAGTGATGACGATGGAAGTACACCATATGGTTTGATTTTGATGGCTGCCTATATGTTTTTCGACAGTTTCACCTCTACCTTCCAAGAAAAGATGTTCAAAGGATACACAATGACAACCTACGATCAAATGATCTATGTAAATTCATTCTCTGCTTTGATTTGTTTATTCAGTAAGTATTTAACACATCTATATTATATTAGTTCAAGATATATATATATTTATTTTTATATTAACAAATCCTATGAATAATAGCTTTGATGTTGAACGGTAGATTGTTCCCAGCAATGGAATTTGCAATGACACACCAAAAGTTTGTATATGATTCAACATTCTTATCGATTTGTGCAAGTTTGGGACAATTGGTTATCTACTACACCATTAAGGAGTTTGGTGCTTTGATTTTCTCAACTATTATGGTCACCAGACAGGTATTCTCGATTCTCTTGTCGACAGTGTTGTTCAGTCATCAACTTAGTAACGCCCAATGGTTCGGTGCATTCCTTGTCTTTGGAACACTCTACTACAAGACCGCTGAGGATCAAAAGAAGAGAAAGTCTGGTCATGGTCATAGCCATGGTCACGGTGGTTCATCGTCTCACTCTCACTCCCACTCTGCTCCACAACAATCGACTCAATCCAGCCCAATCGAGATCGGTGATAACAAAGAAAGAAATTGAGAGAAAAACAAACATAATAGACAAATACAATAATACAATACAATACAATAAATAAATATAGAATCATTAATTTAATATAATATAATATAATATATTAAATAACCTTTTTACTAAACAAACAAAACAAGCATTTTACAAATAAAATCTTTTTTTTTTAAAAAAATATTAACTAAACTAAACTATTTTGTGTATGTTTGTTTGTTTATTTATATTATAACTGTATTTGAATTTGTTGTTGTTGTAAATGCTGTTGTATTATTTGTATTTGTTGTTGTTGTTGTTGCAGCTGTTGTCAAATCCATTGGTATCGGTTGTTGATTAATTACGTTACTATTTACATCTGTCATATTTGTATCTATTTGTTGTTGTTGTTGTTGCTGTTGTTGTTGTTGTTGTTTCATCTGATTATATTTCTCTAGTTTCTTTTGATAGATTAACTTTGTCTTTTCCATTTGTTGTATAGATTGATAGAGTTGAAGTGATTCACCTTCTTTCTCCTTCCACATATCTCTATATTTCTGCACATCTGCAATCGTCTTTGTTCTGCCATCTATTAACTTATTAATCTCTGCTTGTTCCTGTAAAGTTAGATCTAAAAACAATACAAATATAATTATTAGTTAAAAATAAACTAAACAAAACTAAACTAAACTTTAGCTATATTTAATAAACTATATAGTTACTTTGATCTTGTGCAAGTTTTAATGCATGATTCTTGGCAGCTTCTGCAGGTTTCTCTGGTAGTTTGATTAGATTGTAGAATGATTCGGTAGGGTCGTGGAAGATGATAACATCCAATGTCTCTGATACCACCGGTTGCTTTGTTTTGACACCATCGGGAGGATGCAATCTCAGCAGATGAAACAAATCCAGAGGTTTCTCATTGGGATCTACAAAGTACACCGTTACACCAAGATCGAACTCTCCCCAACCGGTTTCACTAATTTCATAAGGTGGTATCTCGACAGCTATCATAGTTTCAAACAACAAAACAAAACAAAACAAAGCAAAAACATTAATATGAATGTATGTGAATCATGATAATATATATATTAAGAATTGACTTACCTCTATTTGGATTCTTAAAACTAGAATGTAAATGAAAAACAACCTTTTTTATAAAAGGTAGCTCTTCGTTGTTTATTCCTTTGATATAGGCAGACCATTTATGAGTATGAGTATGACCATCTGCTTTCTTACCCAACCAATGAGAGATCGAACCAACGATGATTGATCGTTCAAAGTTACCTTTGATTCTCTTCTGAGTCACCATTTATGAATCATCAAAAATGTATATATGCAAATCAAACTAAAACAACAGGAAAACAAATGACCAGATAAACTAAATGATTAACAAAACTAACTATTTGCTTTGCTTTGATCTAAACTAAACTAAACCAAATTTTGATAATGAAAGTGGTTCAGCCAAAATTTTTTAAAAAAATCATAAAAATTCACAACGAATCAATTAGTTTACTAATTTAGTTATACCAGTTCCTTCAGAATAATTATAATTATATAATGGTTATTCAAAAAAAGATAATAAAAACAAGTTTTCTTTTTGATATTTTTATTAAGATTATTTTTATTTTCGAAAAAATCACCTTACTTTTCGCTATGCAAAGATCAATTCATTTGTGTTTGTGTCTGGACAAAACCAGAGAAAAAACAAAATTTTTAAAAAAAATCTGGGATTCAAAAAATAATTCACAAACCAATGCTTCTTTAACAGTAATTGGTAATCAAATTAATCAATCTTTAAAAATCAATCAACACAACACATAATAATAATAATATAGATATATACATATATTTTGTATTTATTTGTTAAATTTTTTTTAAAACTCTATTAGTATCAATTGTATTAGTAGTTATATATTCATTCATATTCTTAGAAATTATTCTCAGAAAAAGATATTTAAATTTAGTCATTTTCCAATAGTAGTAAGAACGTTAAAGAATTGGTTAATTAATTTCATAATAGTAAACAATGAGATTTAATTATATGGTTATGGCATTGGTATGCCTGATGGCTACTACGATGGTGGCTGGAACATCGTTGAATCTTCGTCCAATCATCGGTATTCTATCGCAACCAACTAATGGTGAGATGGCAAGTTTCGGTGACCAATACATTGCCGCCAGTTACGTAAAGTGGATTGAGAGCGCCGGTGCTCGTGTCGTTCCTATTTTCTTTGACTCTGACGCCGCCACTGTCAAGTCGTTGCTCTCTCAGATCAACGGTGTCGTCTTCCCAGGTGGTGGTGTCGATTTGGCTGCGCAACCAGCTTACACCGACACCTTGAAACTCATCTGGCAGACCGTGCTGGCGTCCAACCAGAACGGTGGATTCTTCCCACTCTGGGGAACCTGCATGGGATTCCAACAGCTCTGCATGTTGGCCGGCGACGACTTTAACATTCTCACCGGTTTCAACTCGGAGAACTATACTGTGCCCATCAACATGACCGCCGCTGCCAGCTCGTCGACACTCTTCAGCTTGGCATCGCCAGAGATCATGAGCGCACTCGCCAACCAACCGATCACAATGAACAATCATATGTACGGAGTTTCGCCAGCTGCCTACCAACAGAACTCCGATTTGAACTCGTTCTTCGAGGTGTTGTCGACCAATGTCGATCGTGACGGATTGACATTCCTCTCGACGATCGAAGCCAAGAACTACCCAATCTACGGTACCCAATGGCACCCTGAGAAACCGCTTTTCGAGTGGTGGGACGAAGAGGTAATGAACCACTCATACGACAGTATCTTGGCTAACCAATACACCGCACTTTTCTTTGTCAACCAAGCCAGAAACAACAACAACAAATTCACCTACCCCGCTCAGGAATCGACCTCGCTCATCTACAACTTCACACCAGTCTACTCATTCGATATCGCTCCAGACTTTGAACAAGTCTACTATTTCAATAATGGAACAAACCCATGTTAATTTATTTAGCTAGCAAACAAACAAACAAACAAACTAACTAAACAAACAACAAACAACAACAACAACTTCTTAATCTTTAACAATAAATTTAATTTTTTTGTTTATTTATGTCAAATAATAATAATAATAATATTACTTATGTTTATTATATTTTCTATATTTCCATTTGATTATGATTATTTCTACTATTACTATTTGACTCACTGTTGAGATGTGATTTCTTCTCCAACAGTTGTTTTTGACGTTTCTTTATTCCATACACTAAAAAGATGATTGCAACCAACATAACCACTCCAACTAGAACAGGAATATACCAGTGTGTGTAGAACCAAAATCCAACGGTTATCAACTTGTTCTCTTCGTAGTCATTAAATATTTTCAATTGGAAACTCTGTATTCCCATGGCGTTCTTACCAGATACACTATCTTTGAGAGCGATATTGATTTTCTTGGAGACTGTCGGATGATAATTAAAATTACCATTCTGTGAGAAGTAGCTGTAGTTTGCTATTCGCGCGATAATCATCGTACTGTTGATCAAAGTGACATCCTCACAATTGAAAACCATCATTGGAATTGTATTGTCGTTGAAATTCTCACCTCTAATCGTAACGATATCACCTGGTTCTCCTTCGGTTGGCTCAACCGAGAGGAACTCTGGCCAATCAAGAACAGCATCCGGTGCCTGTACACAAACATCTACACCACTTGGACATTTCAAAGATCCATAGAATCCTTCGATATTGCTGATTTCTCCACCATACGGACAGTCATACCAGTAGCTACCAACCTTGATTTTCAATCGATCTTCATTTAGACATGCAGTTTCATAACAAACAGGACGATTTATTCCTTCTCCTTTGTTATTATTATTGTTGTTACTGTTACTGTATGTACTACCACCGTTATATGCATTGCTGAGTAAGGTACTATCGAAACAACGACTGCTCAATCCATGCTTTCCACCTGCATAGAAAAATGAGTTGGAACTCGATGGACTGGTGCAGTAGTGTGATCGATCTTGGTCGTGCACACCCTCGACGTACGGACAATAGTCAGAGAGTTCATCGCCAGCAAATCCATTCTGTAGGTAGTTGAAACGCACCGGAATATTATCGGTGGCACGGCTATTACACAATCCAATTGCCATTCTGTCGTAGGTGCATTGCGGTGCGAATGAAAATTTACAAAACATCTTGTCGCTCTTCCACCGATTACACGGTTGATTCACGAAATTACATCCCAATTTGTATCCCCATATCAACGGCTCGGCAAAGCTGTAGTTGACCCGATAGAATCCAGTGTCCTCAAAGAAAGCCAGTGTCAGTCCCGATAGCACTGGATTCGTCGAGGTCTGACCAGTCATATATTCATTATTGAATATTCTTCGTTCCCAATGCGACATTGCCGTTCCCAAGTCACCGCCATCCTCTAGTTCCGCTCCACCCAGATCATTGCATCCGAAATGATGTCGAACGAAACTGGTTACTCTTGGCGTATTGACGCGTGTCGCCTCTACGCCATGTCCGTTGACACCGGTTGTCTTTACAAATTTCTCGGTCATATTTAGCCGATGCATTGTATCATTTCCGAATCCGAGGACGTGTGTCATCTCGTGGAGAACCAGTCCGATTTGCGATGGAATGGCTGCTTCCGTTGTTTCTATCGATCCGGGGTTGAAGTTGAGTTGACCTATGAACGGCCGATAGTCGTCGAGATGCTCGCAGATCATTCCGAACGCCAGTACATTCTTCTGAAGAATGGGACGAGCTGTTATCAGAAGGAGGAGATCGGCATCGACACCACTATATTGGAGTTGTGGATTGGTGGGTATAGGACAATCGAAACACTGTCCTGCATATCGAATTGGATATTGCAGTGAGTCGACTCTCAGAGCATTCTGAAGCACCGATATCGATGACTCGAGAATGTTGGTGAGGTGCAATCGTTTGGCGTCGCTCAAGATATCGTTTTCCACACAGGTGTAATCAGTTCCTGCCACCTTGATTCTATCGCCTATATTCTTACAACTATTCTCACTATCGTTATCCAACAATAGATTATCGGTGAATAGTTTTATTCTTATTGACTTGAAATTATTTTCATTATTATTATTATTTTCAGATGAATATGAATTTCCATCAATATTATTATTATTTCCTAATATTTTATATTCATCACTATTTTGTGTATAATAATCTGGTGATAATCCTCTTAGTTTTATATTACTGTGACTACTTCGGTGTGTGTGGCGGTGACCATAATTATTCTTTTGATTATTACTATTTCTTTTGTTGAGTTCATCAAAAATACATCTAAATTTGCCACCGACCTGGTGGGGATTAGTTTGTGCTATAATTATTGTTATTTTTATTAGAATCAGTTGAAATAAAAACAACTTCACAATTGTTGTTTTCATAATTATTAATATCTGAAATAAATAAATATAAATAAGGATGATTATTTTTAGTTATTTATAAGTAAAATTTATTTATAAAAAAATAAAAATAATTATCATTATATATGTTATTTTAAAATTGAATAAAAATGGGACAACAACAACAATTAAGTATTGGACTGACTAGAATATCTTTACGATAATATTTTATTTTAAAGAATTAAAATTAGAATTGTTTAATATGAATTGAATGAATGATTGATTGATTGATTTGATTGATTTGAATGAATCAATTTTTAATAGATCTGTTCATGTTGTTGTCAACAATCATAAAAAAAAAGTCATATTTTTTAATTAAATAAGAAAGTAATCATACTTTTGATACGTCTGTCTTTTACAACAACTATTTATTTAATTAGATTTATTCTTTTATTATCTATCTTATCTACACACACACACAACACACAACATATACACACAACCCAAGATTGAGACATAGAATAGGATTGTGTACAAAATATTTATGTATTGATAGTGGATAAATAGCTGTAGCTAAAATGTTTGATCAAAAACACACTTTTTTTTTTTTTACTTTTTTTGACTGTTGATTATTTGATTTAATTTTTATTTTTGCGGATTTATTATTTAATTTGGAATGATTGACCATCAAAAATCAAATAAACAACAATCAAAAAAAGTAAAAAAAAATAAAATAAAACAATGCGCAGAAAACACATAATATTGCAACATGCAGTCATATAAAACAAATAATAATAAACAGACTTTGATGGTTTTTGTCAAGTCAATCAATTCATTCATTTTTATTGCTTTTTAGTTTTACACTAATAATAGTGTGTTGTAGCTGTTGTTGTTGTTACACAGTGTTAACAAAAACCATTTTATTTTATTTGGTTGGCTTGGTGTAAAACAAATAATAAACCAACACATGCCACTCAGCTCACACACTTCCTCAAATTCACACACCTAGTATAGTTGTGTGAAATAATTATATGATTGAGATTTTAACCACTACAAATCAGTGCCCACCTCACATTAACTCCACTTCAACTAAATAATTGTGCTCTTTTTTTTAATTAAAACATTTATTTATAAATGCAATCAACTGGTTTTATATATAAAAATTGCAAATGAGAAACAATTAAAAAAGTATTAAAATCTATCAATCAATACAACCAAAAGAGAAGAGAGAAAATCATAAAGATAAAGGTGTTTCAAAGGTTGGTTCTTGTTACTTTTACTTTCTTATTTATTTGGTTAACTATTTAAACCTTTATTTTTGTTTTTTTCAAGTATAATATATATGTATTTTAAGAATGTATAGAGATAGAAGTAGTAGTAGTAGTTGTAGTAGTATATTTCAATTTTTTCTTATTTATTCAATACTAGTATTTTTTTTGTCTGTAAATAGTGATGCTGTAGTTGTTGGATCACCCGTTGTAGTCGATGGTTACTCTCAAGATGGTAATACAATCTATGTTAGAGGAAAGTTTGAAATTCTCTATCACGAGAGTATAGAATTGCACATTGGCAATCATACTTTGAATCCCAATGAAGTTAGTTCCTTCAGTTTGGAATTCGATTTGCAATCGCTGCCGACCAGTGGCGACGACGCAATCGTTTCAACCACCTACTTGAATTGCTCAGTTGTTTTTCAACAAAACACAACATCTAATCTATTCAATATTACAGTTGCACCTTACTTGGCAGATGTTATTGGCTCACCAAAGACAGAGGGTGGTATCATCACATTGATGGGAAATTTCTTGCTTGGACCAGATCCAAAACACGATCAATATAACATTACAATTGGAACATCTTTCAGTTGCTCCAACGTCAAAGTGATTGATAATACACAACTAGAGTGTTTGGCATCGCCAGGCTACGGAGCAACACAACCCGTAAATCTATTCCTAAACAATGTAGAAACCAATTCCCAATTATTTTTAAATTATCAAAGTAAGTAGCGCTAAAAACTAATAATAATATTGTAATGAAAGGAATTGGAAATGTTTATATTAATTAATGTTTATTTAATATTGCTATTTCAAGAACCAACTATAGAAACAATTACAAAATTAAATTATAATGGTGGAAATGTTACGATTGATGGTGAGAATTTCCATCCGACAATGGAAATATTTTTTGTGTTCCAAAAGTGTAAGAATCTTGTGGTTACAGATTATAAAAGAGCCGTTTGTTTTGTATCAAAGGTACCGAGCAAGGTTCAAGATCCTGCCTATGTAATGGTGACTGTTGGTGATCAATCATTTTCAACTATCTATCATTTCGACGATTCAGGAAAAGGAATGGCACCGGACACCATAATCTATCTTACATTTGGAATCATTTTGGGAGTGTTTATTATATGTGCTATCATTGCAATCGTTTATATTTATTTATCATATCGAAAAACAGAGCAGCTCTACAAAGATGCCACTCATAAATACTTTAGTTTAGAATCGTACGATCCCAATCAATCAATGATAGAGGAAGATGAAGATAATGTATTTACAATACAATAATAATAATATTAATAATAAAATATTTATATATTTATATTAGTTAAATTTATTTTATTGTAACCTTTTTTTTTTTTGTTTTAATTATTAGATTGCAATAGTAATTTTTAGAATCGTGAGATCAAATAAATCAATGTTTGAAGATGAAGTTATTGTAACATTACAATTATTAAATATGTATAAATTATAGTTTGTTTTACTTTATTGAACCTTTTTTGTTTTTAGTTGTTTAGTTGCTGCGAGTTTAGACATTGTTGGTATTGACTTGAGTTCTTTATGACTATCGATTAGTGTGGATTTGGAGGATGATGATGATTTTGTTGATTGTCCAAGATTTTCAATTTCAATATTATTTACAATAGAGCCTGAATCTTCTTCTACATCCTGTCCTTGTTCCAATGACTTTATATGATTTGTGGTACCAGTTAACTTCTTTGAGAGTAGTTTAAAAAGTCCGAAACCTATTAAATAGGACCAATAGAAGTTCAATGGTTGCAATATCATAAATGGACCAATCCAAATCCATCTGAGGAAGAAATTGGGAATGGCTTCCACAACTCTATGCCATTCTGTTGAGAGATCCCTAACGATCCATGCAGTATATACAAAGCATCTAATTGTGATAAATGTTACAGATAGCAGTAAGCCATTGATTAAATACAAAATGTTTCGGTCTTTTTGGTGATGTACAAGAACCATCTAATATTGACAAATGGTGTACTTAATTCAATGATTAAACTAACATATAAATAATAATGGAATAATCCAAATTTCTATTTTAGTCAATTGATACCAAAAGTATTTGTATTATTAGTAATGTTATTATAATATTCATTATGATTGTAATATAATTTATTACTTACATAACTGAAATATAAATTATACATTCCAATTAAGTGGTGAATAAACATCAATCTTGTATATAGAGGGTTGGGATAAACAAACATTAAAAGAGTATCATATAAAAAGTAGGCAAAGATGGCTTGGAATAAGTACATGGGATCACCAGTGGTACCTAGGAAAGGTTCTGTTACATAAATATTAGGTATTTCATCGAAAAACATTACTTTATAGGTGACTATTGTTGCAATGGTCGAATTTATAGTTGAATTAATTCTAAATTATCATTTACAAATATATTTAATTCTATTAGACCAAGAGTTCTACTAAATTAGATAGATCAAAATATATAAATATCAAGATACAAACCTTACATTCCATTCTAATTTATCCGCTTTTGATAGCTTTGGATAGCTAGAGGAATACAATGGTCCTATTATATCATAGAGATAGAATAAAATAAGGTAACTCGATGTTACTGATAATACAAAATAATTGATTTCTATCATTCTTTACTTAATATTATTATTAAAATTAATAATAATAACAAAAATAAGTAGTTTGTTTGATAAATATATTACAAATGACAAAAGTAAAATGAAAAGTGTAAAATATATGGTTTGATTTATTATAGCTTATTATTTATTGTTATTAATTAATTATTTATTTAAAAATAATAATAGTTAGAAAGTAATATTCATAATTATTATTTGAAAGGTATAAAAATGAAATAAAAAGAAATAGTTAGAGATACTGATAGATCAATGAGAAAGTATAATAAAAGTGGTTGATTTTTAATATAAAACTTAAGTAAGTGTCTACAAGACAAAAAAATACTTTGATATTTAATAAATGTAATGAAACATAACCACAATCCATATGGTGTGAATAATAAAAAAGAGATAATTATATAAAATAGTTGAGAATTTAGGGTTAAAAATGAACCGGTTTTTTTACACTGTTCTTCACACCTTTTTAAAATGTAATTTTTAAAAATTATTACCTTATTAGTAATGGTTCACTCAAATCTTTAAAAAAGGTTAGAAATTAGTTAATAAAAATGTCAAAATTTGATAAAATAAATTTAAATATATAAAATTGACAAATGATAAATTAAATTTAAAACTTTTTTAAAAATTTAGAATCAATATTTGATTGATGGTTCTAATTACTTATTTATTTTTGTTTTTTTAAAATAGGTTATCTTCATAATAGGATTCAATAAAATTTGAATAAATTTTGATTTTTTTTAAAACTAGCTATGAAATCAAAATATATCAAGATAAGATTCCAAGATTAATTAACTAATTAAATTAAATCAAATAATTAAACTCAAATAATTTTTTCCTGATTATGAAAATCTATGGAATCTCTTGAAGGAGTTGATATCCTCTACTAGATATTATAGCAACTCCCCTTTTCATCTTCCGATTCGATATCTACTGTAGTTTAAAGGCAAAATCACCGCTCCGACTACAGCATGTCCAAAGAAGTAACACATCACCAGTAGTTGACCTATCCAGGAAATCTTATTTTTAACAATTTAATAATTGAAAATGATTTAATCAAGAAATCATTTATTCCAATCCAGAAATAAAAAAATATATATCTCTACTTCATCGAAATCTTCTGTTGAATTAAAAACAGTTCCAATTTTTTTCAGGTGGTAAATCAATCAAAATAGATATAATCTAAACTATACCAATTTATAATAAAATACAAAATATTTAACGTTACTTTTTTTCTGATTATCAACAAATATTTATTTGGAATACAATGATTTTAATACATTTTGTTCTTTATCCTTTTTTTGGTCTACTGATGTGTGTTAATCGTGATAAATATTTGTGTGGGTCGGACAATCTGTTTTAAGAAAAAATCTCATAGTAAAAAATTTTGTTGTGTTTTGGTTGTTCCACACACATATAAAAAATTAACAAAATTTCTTTTTTTGTTTTTAAACCTTATTTTTTTAACTATATAAAGATGATAAAGATAACGATATTATTAGATTGCAATAGAATGATTCATTTCGAGCAATATATTTCGAAATCATCTTAATTTGATTTACAAGAAAATATACTAAAACCAAACTTTTTTTTTAATGATAATAATTATAGATCTTATTTTAATTATATGAGTATCTATCGTACGAAGAAAATATTATTAGAATTTCTAACAAGTTTGATTTTAAAAAATAACAAACAAATACATAATAACAAATAAATAATAAAATAAAAGATAAATAAATAAATATTATGTCAAACAATAAAAAGAATCATGGTCATAAGAAGAAAAAAAATGAAACTGATTTATATGATGAAAATAATAATAATAATGTTGAATTGGATGATATAGGATCACGTGGTCGTTCGATGTCAGTCAATGAACTACCAACCAATAGTGCATACAATAAGATGGACTATCGAAATACGATTGGAACTTCCGATCTACGGAGAATCAGAGATCAAACGCTGAGGGAGAGAGGCGGTAAGCCAAAGAAGAACATAAAGTCGCTCGATTTCAATATGGTGCATGCAAAAGGTGCCAACTTTCCGGGGGCACTCATCAAGTATCCACAGTTGAAAGACACACGCTATCAAGGCAAGGTGACGCAACACACCAGACTGTTTCGATCGTGGAGCGAATACGTCAATATCTGGATGGATTGGGGACAGCTCAAGACGTGGCTGCTCTACAAGGAGGCATTGATAGAGTTTGTTGGTACGATGCTCCTGGTGTTTCTGGCGTTGTCGATCATCTTAACAATGACCAACTACTTTATGTTCTCAGTGGATTACAACCCGACCAACCAGATTCAACTGCCAAACTCTAATCTCGTTGTAACTTGGCGAGTTCCCATATCGATTGGACTGTTACATACTTTTATGATTGCTCTGCTCATTCTAACTTGTGCGCCGGCAAGTGGAGCACATCTAAATCCAACCATTACACTTACAACATTATTATGTGGTTATACACCTCGTATGTTTATATTATTGTTCTTCTCCTTTGTTAATTACTTATAATTTATAATGTATAGTTAGTAAAAGCTTAGTATATTTCATTGCTCAGTTTGCAGGTGGAATTGTAGGTGCAGGATTACTTAGAGGAATAGTTCCACCTATCATTGAGAATAGGACACATTTGGCAGCATGTGATTTCGCATACGATATAACAATAGGAAGAGCATTGTGTGCAGAGTTTATCCTTTCGTTTGTCAATATATTTGTTACGTTTTTCACAGCATTGGATCCACGTCAATATCCCGTAATTGGTCCAGTGGTATCGGCATTCCTCATCAGTGGTACAGTAGGATTGACTCAGATTCTTGCTGGTGGATATGCTTATACATATAGCGGGCCTGGTTATAACATGAGTAAATAACGTTCATATTGAACAACAACTTTTGAATCCCAATCAAATCTAGTTAATTGCTAACTGTTTAATTTTTTTATAATATTTAGGTAGATGTCTTGGACCAGCGGTAATTAGTGGATATTGGCATCGTAAGAATCAGATTATACTTTATCTATTGTTCGTTTCGAATTTTAATTAACTTTATTTTATCTATATCTTTATTATTATTAGGTCTATGGGTATTCTTTGTAGCGCAGATATTAGCATCAATTTTTGTAGCAGTTATATTACTTTTCAATCCACCCTTTAAAACGATATCAAATAAAGGCGAGAGTGAGGAACTTGATGATGTTTGGGAATGTAAGATTACTACACTAGATTAGAATGATGATGATAGACAGGAACTAACTTTCTTTTTATTTCAAATTAGCTGGACCGTATGGTACAAAGATTCATATACATAAAAAGAATCATATTGACCAAACTGAATATGTTTGATGTCAACGATTATTATCATTCCCAAAAAATATCAATAAAAAGGCGCGTCGTCATTTTTCACTTTTTTTGGTCATCTCATCAAACGGATTTTTTGATATTAATTTTTTAATTTATTTTTATTTTTATTCGCTTTAGATTGAAAAACCAACCACACCCTAATCCACCTCCACCAGGGATCCTAAACACGCCATAAACAATCTTTTGTGTTTCAAAAGAAAAACAAAAAACATATATTCTATAGATTTATACTTTTAGAATTCTGGTTATATATAATATTTATTTGTATTTATTGTTATAATATTTTATTTTCATTTCATTTTATTTTTGTATTAAATTATTGTTATTATTATTATTTTATAAATGCCTGATATTGGACCATTCGATTTTGGATCTGTTGAACCAGATGAATTGGATAAGGATACAGAGAGATTGAGACACATTCTTTTGGAGAGTGTCAAAGTTTTGGAGAAAGATGGTGATCGACTCATCAATCTGGTCGAGTCAATCTTGTTGAAGGATCAACCGAGCGAGAGAGATCCAGTGTCAATGGAGCAATACAAACAAAAGATATCGTCACTCAGCAATGCCGATGCACTCTCAATCTCTAGAATATTGAGTCAGTGTCTGAACCTCGCTAACGTCGCAGAACAACACCACCTCGTTCGCTCCGTACTCAAAGCCAACCTCGCCGGTGAAGATCTCATGTACTCTTGTGAACATACCTTGAAATCATTAATTGATGAAGGTATTTCACCAGATACCATTTACAGTAAGTAATAGTAGTAATTACAAACAACCACAAGTTTAAACTTTAATTTATTAACTAAATCTGTTTTTTTTCAATCTTTTTCTAAATTATTAGATGCAATTTGTGAACAATCTATTGAATTGGTATTGACTGCACATCCAACACAGATGATGAGAAGAACTCTTATTGCAAAGAATAATGCAATTGGAAATGCATTATCAGAGTATGTCTAAATATAATAATATTTAATAACAGTTTTTCAGAAGATATTAACATTTTGTTTTTGTGAAAATTTTCAAAAGGTTGGAAAAACAATTAACTGATTATGAAAGATTCGAGTGGGAAGAAGAGTTGAATAGAGAGGTGAAAGCTACTTGGTTGACAGATGAAATTAGACGTAAGAAACCAACTCCAGAGGAAGAAGCTCAAGGAGGTTGGAGTATTTTGGAACAGAATCTTTGGCATACTCTACCAAGATTCTTTAGGATTTTGGATCGTACCGTTGAAAAGTACACTGGTCGTTCGCTGCCTTTGGGATTCACCAATATCCGTTTCGGAAGTTGGTGTGGTGGTGATCGTGATGGTAATGACAATGTCACTGCCGATGTTACAAGACAGGTTTGCTATTTCTCACGTTGGATCGCTGCCACCTTGTTTTACCGTGAGATTGACGCATTGCTTTTCGAGCTGTCGATGGTGAAGAAGACCGATTCAATGGCGGACGCTGCTCTCGCCGCCAACGAACGTCGACAAAGCAACAAACCAAAGTCAATCTTGACTCTCTACAAGGAGTTCAGAGAGGGTATTCCAGAGAAGGAAGCCTATCGTATTGTACTGGCCGAAGTTAGAGACAAGATGTTGTTGACCAAGAAGAAATACGAGGATTTAATCTCTGGTCAAACACCATGTCCCGACGATGTTTGCTATGAAACAGCGGAGGAGGTGATTGCTCCGTTGAAGATGTGTTACGATTCGTTGGTTGCAATCGGTGGAAAGGCAATTGCTGACGGTCGTCTTCTCGATATCATTCGTCGGTTGAATTGTTTCGGATTGAATCTTTCCAAGTTGGATATTAGACAAGAGTCGAGCAGACATTCAGAGACATTGGATGCAATTACCACCTATCTAGGTATTGGTTCTTACAACGCTTGGAGTGAGGAGCAAAGAGTAGAGTTCTTGTTGAAGGAACTCGAGTCGAAACGTCCATTGATTCCAGTGGACTTTCCTTGTAACCCAAGAGTTCAGGAAGTGATCAACACTTTCCGTATGGCCGCTGAACTTCCAAAGGATTCACTAGGTGCATACGTTATTAGCATGTGTCAGAAACCATCGGATATCTTGGCAGTTGAACTTCTACAAAAGGTAGTTGGAAACAAACATCCACAGAGAGTGGTTCCACTGTTTGAGATGATCGATGATTTGGTGAGAGCACCTACCACCATGGAGAGTCTATTTAATATTCCATGGTATAAGAAGAGAATCAATGGAAGTCAGGAGATTATGTTGGGATATAGTGATTCCGCAAAGGATGCCGGTCGTCTATGTTCTGCCTGGTCACTATATAAGGCGCAAGAGATATTAACTAAATTGAGCGAGAAGCACGGGGTAAAGTGTAATCTGTTTCATGGTAGAGGTGGAACCGTGGGACGTGGGGGTAGTCCGACTTATCTCGCTATCCAATCGCAACCTGGTGGATCAATCAACGGAAGGTAAATATATGTATTTTTATTAGTTTCAAAATTATAGTACTAACACTAATCACATAATTAATTTCCAAATGAAGACTCAGAGTCACTGAACAAGGTGAAATGATTACTGCGCATTACGGACAGCCCGGAATGGCTCTGAGAACCATCGAAGTGTATACAACTGCCACTCTGAAACAAACATTACTTCCACCACCCGCTCCACTCGACAAATGGAGAGAGGTAAATATTCAATAATCATTTTTAAATTATCACTATCCATATTGATATTAACTCGTTATTTTTGATACTATTATTATAAAGATTATGGATTTTCTAGCGGATGTCTCCAGCAAGAAATACCGTTCCGTTGTCAGGGACGATCCAAACTTTGTTCGCTACTTCCGCGCGTCGACTCCCGAGCGTGAATTGACACATCTCAACATTGGAAGTCGTCCCGCCAAGAGAAATGTTCTGAATCCAACAATCGAATCGCTCCGTGCCATCCCTTGGATATTCTCATTCACCCAGACCCGTTTGATTCTTCCCGCTTGGCTTGGTGTATGCGATGCTTTCAAAGAAGCGATAAACAAAGGTTGGCAACAGGATCTCGTCGATATGTACAAGAACTGGCCATTCTTCTCGACCACCGTCGATCTCATTGAGATGGTTCTCATGAAGACCGACCCTCTCATTGCACTGCGATACAACGACTTGCTCGTTCCATTCGAGCTGCAATCCAAAGGAAAAGAACTGATCGATCTCCTCAACGAAACAGTAAACTCAGTACTCTCGCTCACCAGCCATGAAACTCTACAACAGGAGAACAAACTACTCCAACATTTCGTATCGATTCGTCGTGCCTACATGGATCCAATCAACTACATCCAAGCAGAGATCCTCAGAAGACTGAGATCGCAACATGTCGATGCGATGGATCCAATTTTAATTGATATTCTCATTATCACAATCAATGGAATTGCAGCTGGTATGAGAAATACCGGTTAATCATTCAACAAAAAATATAATAATTTAATATTATTTCTTAAAAATTGGTAATAATTTTCCTTTTTTTTTAAACCAAATGAAAATATTTAAATAAAATTTTATATTCTTCCAATGAGAAATTATAAGAATCAGTTAATGCCATTCCTTGATATTGGAATTTGTCTAGACAAATCAAAAGTCTTCTGCTTGGTCCAAAAAAAGAAATAATTGTTAAATTTTTTTCAAACGATGTATAATGTTAGCATACGAAAAAGCAACTTTGACAAGAAAGTGAGTAAATATATGAATAAATATAATATATATGAATATAAATATAAATATAAATAAATATAACACTGAATATATTTATAGTTAAAATATTAACAATCATCATCATGAAAACAACAACAATTATAATATCTATAGTTGTCAATAGTGTACCTGCTTTCCAGTGGTATTCTTTGGTAACCAATCTTTTATTACATGTGTCTGAAGTTGTTATTAAATTTAAAACTTTACTTTTATTACCAGACCTCTCTGATAATTTACTATAGTCCTTATAACGATTACTCTTGACTGGTTTAGTGTTAACTGATTTTACTGAATTCATATCTTGACAATAATTAAAAAGGTTCACGTTTCTCAGCTGCTCTTCTCCTATAGAATTCTCTGAATGATGATGATGGTCTTTTTTGTATACAACAACAATCTTTCTTTAACAAATCTAATACCTATAAATAAATAATTTAACAAGTCAGTTTATTAAAGTTGTTTAAAAGTGAAAAAATAAAATAAATCTATACCTTTATAAATATTACATCCACTATCCTTTTTAGCCAATCTATGATTACATGTGCTTGTTTATATGTTTATTTTACTTTTTAGTTGAGCAATAGAACTAATTCTGTTATTGAACTCAAACTTTGTAATTGTTTCTGTTATTGAAATGCATGCTAATCGGTCATTGTCCGGTATTTAACCTTTATTTACTAATTTACTACATCTCGTATATTAATATCTTGGTGATAAATATTCAAATAATAATTAAATTATAACTATATTTTAAAAGAATGAATTAAGATGTCTGTTTTCTTTTGTTTTGATTGCAAAAAAAAAACCTAACCAAAAAATAATTAAAAAAATATTATTTCAATATTTTTTTTGAAAAACTTAGTTTTCATATGATCCAAACACAAAGTTTGGAAGAATTATAAAAATATCCCGATTTAGAATGTTTGCTAAATATATTAGTATGATCATACCAATCATATTAGATATTCTTTTTTTTTTCTTGATTCAATTCTTTGTAAAAAACTTTTGGAATTAAGTTTTCAACCTTTCTTTTTTAATACGGAGAGAATTTGCCTCATTACAACTAAACTATGCTTTTTTGTTTTGATCAAAACCAAATTTTTTCATTCTAATTTTTTTACTTTACAACCTTCAAATTTAAAAACAAATACAATCTTCAAATTTATATATTAGTTATTATTTCTTATATTTTTAAAATATTATATCTATTCTTTTTATTCTTTCTCTATTCTTTATATTCTTTATCTATTTATCTATTATTTATCTTTTTATCTATTGTTTAATATTTATTTATCTATTCTTATTTATCTATTCTTTATCTATTTATCTATTCTATATCTATTTATCTATTTATTATTTATCTATCTCACACATTTCTATAGGTCCTTTTAAGGTCAAAGATGTCCTAAAGGATGAATTCTTTACAACTATTTCTTCTACTCTATCAGAGATCAAAGAAGATCTTTAGTACAAATTAATGATTTCCTTCATAAATTTATAAAAAATAATCAAGATACTTTCACAAAAAATTTTGAAATTGTTAATAAATTTAAAAATGAAGATGTTTTGTTAAATTTAGAAAAAACAACTACTCACCTCACTATATCATATAAAAGTATATCGTATATTTATAAGCGAATAATTGGTAGCGAAGTTCTAGAATCCAATCATATGGGAGAAGTTTGGAAATTGCTTCAATTTCAACCTATAAATATTCATGAGATAACGAATATAATTTCTGAAGATACAAAGGTATGTATAAAAAGTTTGTTTTATTTAAAAAAAATTCTCAGTTTATTTATATTTATTTTTAATAGAAAAAAGATTTTAGAATTATTTGTATCTTTCAAAGATGAATTCGATTTAAAATCGAAATATTTTGATGAAGTACCTAAACAAGTTGCAACCAACTAGTATAATTTTCTCTACTCCCAGTTACAGTCACATAAGAAACCTGACCAAAGTTATTAATACGTCTATTCAAAAGAATTTGATAAATCTTGAGATCAATTCAAAGATTCAGAATTTATAATAAACTACAATCTGGTAAGTATCAATTTTTTTTAATTTACAATTTTTTTAGTTTTAATCAAAATTCCTAATTTTTTTTACATAGTTTCCCATCTTATTGGACCACCAGGGAAAGAAACTTGTAGATAAGTATAAAATAGATACAACACTCAAACTAGAGGAACGGTTGATAACACTTGTAGGTGATCATAAAAACGGTAAAAGTTACTATTGATTTTAGTGACTTTAAATTTAAAGGTTAGTTTTATGTATATATTTTAAGAGTATTTAATTTTAATTTATTAATATTAATTTTCTTTTCTAAAAATTATACAGTTGCAACTTGTTTAGGTACTTCATTAAGATATTTGGATTTTAAATTGAATTCATCTGTTAACATCTTTGAAAGATACAAATAATTCTAAAATCTTTTTTCTATTAAAAATAAATATAAATAAAGTGAGATTTTTTTTTAAAATAAAACAAACTTTTTATACATACTTTGTATCTTCTTCAGAAATAATATTGGTTATCTCATGAATATTTATAGGTTGAAATTGAAGCAATTTCCAAACTTCTCCCATATAATTAGATTCTTTAACTTCGCTATGTTCAAGAAAAGTCAGATGTCAAACGAAAAGAAGTGTATAAGCCGCCAAAGTCAAAGCTCCTCGGGATGATCCTAATTCTTATGTTATCAAATACTATTTGGATGGAGAGACAAAATATCACATCAACTGTGATTTCAATGCCTGTTTGAACATGGTTACTTTTGCCGAAGCATATTTAAAAGGTGAAGCCCGTCCAACTTTATTGTGTCGATTCAAAAAGGACAACCCGGAGGATGATTGAATCAATCTCCTCGAAATGAAATGGTTTCATCGAAAGATTACACACTAAGTTCATAGTTTTCACAAAAAAAAACAGAAAAAAATGAAAGAAGACTTTTGTAGATTAAGTTCATTAGAATTCATCAGAGTTTGTCTATAGATAACCTTTCTCTCTGTTTGTCGATTGATAAATGATATCTTTTTCTTCTTATTTACATCTTTATCTATTAATATCTACTACAATTCCTCATTCTTGTAATTGAAGTTGTTGTCTTTTTATTTACTTTGTATAACAATTACAAGTTTCTTTAGTATTGCTGTTGTTGTTATTATTATTGTTTAATAAAAATAGTAATTTATTTCTTTGTATCTTTGTTGAGTGTCTTGTGTGCTATTCGTAGTCTTATGAAGCAATCTTAAATGTAAGTTGACCTGGGTCTAACTCTTCAGCAACATCTTTCAAAACGTTTATAAGACGACCGAATTGATTCTGTTTATCTTGATTCATATGTGTGAATATAATCTCTAGAGGAGCATCAGCACAATCTCTTAAAATATCGACAAGAGCGTCCAAGTTTCTACCAAAATAACTGGGAACTGTTGTTTTTTCTGCAAGTTGATCATAGAATACGTCAATATTATCTATTTTTCTAAAGTCAAATTTAGCAATCTTTGTCATTTTTATATATTTATTATTATTATTACTATATTAACTGTTAATATTACGATATAATAACTTAAAATGAATTAATAAATTTTAGAATTTTTGAATATATGTTATTTTATTATGATACAACCACCTTCAGATCCATCTGATTGATGACATAAAAATCAAAGAACAATTTGGATTAAAATAAAAAATCAAACATTTTTTTGATGATCTTATCTACAGAGATAAAACAACTTCATAAAGAAAAGCTGTGTCGTGTGCTGTGTACTAAATGTTAAAGTTTGATATCAAAAGCCCAACGGTATTAATACTAATAATGGGTGAAATTGTAAACACTGTGGTCTACTTTTAATTTATATCAAAAAAAATACGAATAACAACAGATTTTTATGTTTCAAACAATATCATTTCTCAAAATATATCTATAGTTTGATATTTATAAAAATCAATCAGAATTATTAGAATCATAATAATACTAAAGAAAATCAAAATAATTATCAAGATCACAAATATATTTATTAAGATTTAATCATTTAGATACACTCCGAATTATTCGTAAAATTAGCATCCTCATATTAACCACACATTAATTTTTCAAATTTTAATTTTTACATATAAAAAAAAAAAAAGGTTGCTCACCAAATTTTTACAATGATCAATATCACAATTTTCAAAAATCAGAAGGTTTGCACTTTCATTTTTGCAAAAATAGCTGTTTTTCACTTTTTTTTTTTTGATGATCATTTCTTTTTAATACTGCTATTAGAATATGCAATTAATAGTTAATAAATTTATTTAAATAAGAAAAATCAATAAACAATAATTTTATATTAGATAATTTATATAGATTTTATTATTGGGTAAATATCTTGTAAAAAATATTCCATTGTGAATGGTTCTACTCTTAAAAACTCATTTCTCTTTCTTTCTTTACTGATTTGTATACCTGTGGAATTAAGAATATTATTTAAATCATAATTATTTGTACCTTCACATGCTACTTCTATCGCAGTCACCTTTCTTTTTCTTGTATTAGATTGTTCAGTACCTTTTATTATTTCACCTTTATAGTAATTTTTTGTTGTTTTATCAAACACCAAAACATCCAATCTATCTTTTATGTTATTGACTGTGAATTCTTTATCCTCATCTATTGTTACTAAGTTGTGACCTATTAATGTTTCTAAACCTTCATTTCCTTGCTTAAACTTAATAGTATAACACCATTCGTTGTTTTCATTGCTGTATTCAATGGTTTTGACAGTAGCAGGCCACCATGTCCCAAAGTCTCTTCCATTGACCGCTTTTCCATAAACACTCTCACCTACAGAGAAGGCAGGAATAGGCAAAAGATTTTCGTTAATTAATGGTTGTTGGTTCGCGAAAGTTGAAACTCTAGTTGTAGCAGTAGTAGTAGTAACAGAGGCAGTGGTAGTAGCAGCAGCAGTGGTCGTAGTAGTGGTAGCAACCGCATTCGTAATGCTTGGATCATTCATTAGGTTTGGCTCATCATGCACCCATCAAGAGATATATATCTTAAGTGAAATGTTTTGTGGCACTTGGCTGCCTACCGGAAACTCTATGTTAAACGCCAACTTTAGTAGATCTTTAAGACTGATGTACGAACGCTTTCCTTCTTTTATGTATTATTATAAAGGTAATGAACATACTAAAGAGAATATTTGTTAATAATATTAACTTATCCTGTTGCATTTTCTTTACTTTTGCTAATGAATAATTCCTCGATAGTTTAAAGGTTTGGCGCAGATGAGACCACCAGCCTCTGGAATCAGTAACTCATCTTTCAATTGTGCCAGCTTTGCAATTGGAATATCATCTCTTGCGTTTCGCATTTCCTCTAACTCAATACATGGTAAGCATCCAGATGAAATACCACAATTAGAATGGTAGTCATGTTTTGACAAATTTGATTCACTATATTTCTTTCCACTGGTACAGCTGCGATGTCTACAAACTGATACTTTGGTTGTTGCCGTGTTGGAACAGTAATCACAAGATTGTTGGCAGGGTTGCTTGTGATCTTTCTTATAATGTCTTGATCTACTGGAAGAGTGGTTATATTGGAGTCCACAATTAGCATGCACACATACTACTACACCTATCAATAATAAGTATATAAAAATTTTTATATATCTATAATATAATTTATAGAGAATCATTTTCTATATATTATTTATAAATATTATTAAAAAAATAGCTAAAAAAGCTAAAATTAAGAATTTCACTGTGGAGAGAGGTCACTATACGCTCTCTTTTGTGTGATTAGCTTTTATTTTTATTTTTTTATTTTTTTTTTGGTGGGTTTAATGTGTGATTGTTATTTAATTTGAATTTTTTTTTATTTTTCGGGGATGCTAAAAGTACGAGTTAATCAGAGTGTACCTCGCTTGGAAGTTAGAAAGGAAATTGTAGTAGAGAAGCAGTAACACCGAAGAAGAGTAAGATGAGAATCTTGAGTCACGGATGACAATAGTAGATTGAGAATAAGAAATGAAAGTCATTGTATACGAGGTTACAGTGATCAAATTGAAGAAAGTGATTAGCTCCTATTAACTAAATTGAGCGAGAAGAACGGGGTAAAGTGTAATCTCTTTCATGGAAGAGGTTAAAAGGGGTCAAATTGACTCTCGCTCTAAAGTAAAGTAACGTTATTCATTATCTATGTATATTGTTTTTTTTATTTATTAAAAACCTGGTGAGTCAATTAGCGGAAGGTAAAATAGATATACAAGGTAAATATATGTATATGTATATTTATTAGTTTCAAAGTTATAGTATTAACAACACTAATCACATAATTAATTTCCAAATGAAGACTCAGAGTCACTGAACAAGGTGAAATGATTACTGCGCATTACAGACAGCCCGGAATGGCTCTGAGAACCATCGAAGTGTATACAACTGCCACTCTGAAACAAACATTCCACTAAGTTGCAATCCAAGGGAAAGAACTGTAACGGTACCGGTTTTCAATAATATTTAAATTAAACAAAATAAATAATTTAACAACGTTTATAGTATATTATTATTATTTCTTAAATTGTTTTAAAAATTGGAAATAAACATAATTCAATCCATATTTCATATCGAACCAATAGTTGATTGCAATTGTTTTGCCTTCGTCGTCACCACTCTGTGCAACTCTATGATAGTATAATGAAGGTAAATAGAGGATCTCACCTTCGTGTACCTCGACATGCAATGGGTGAGCACGATCGATCTGTGGGAATCGATCTCTATTCAACTCATAAGGCAATGTAGGATCGACTGGTATCCATGGAATACTCGTAGGTGGACTATCCATCTCCACAACAAGTTCACCATTGCCACCATTAGGTTGTTTTTCAACATAGGTTGCAGAGGGGAACTCTGTCTCATAGAGAAACGGATAATCCAATGGTGGAAGTAATGTAAATATCTTTGTACCTCTAACTACACAATATATATTCTCTTTTTTTTTTTTTTTTTTTGTGAAAGAATTAATAACTCATATTCATGAACCAAAATCATTTGGTTTTGTTGTAATCATATCATACCATATGGATCTTTATGTAAAGACGAAACAGAACGATTTTCACCACACCAAAAATTAACAGCATCAGGATCCATTCCGAATGCTTCTTTTGCAAAGTCTATTGCTAGATGATTGATATCGGACCAAAGATTCTCAAACTCCAAATCGAAACTGCCATTTTGATATTGAATATAATATATATTATTTTTATCTTGTTCCTACAATTCATAAAGAAGTATATATTCTTATGTTAAATCGTTTGGGTTTTTGAGTTGCCTTTTCTAATTAAACCTTGCTTACTTACCTTTACATTCATGAAATCTTGAAACTTTAACTTCTTTTCGAGAGGTTTTACAAAACATTGAGTTCCATCGACATCTTTTACAGCATCACCAAGACCATCTGGTGTTATTGCAACTGTAACTTCTACATCCTTCATCTTCTCACATAGATATTGATTTGTCCATAATTTCAATGCTCTCCAATCATCAATTGCACCTACATATTAAAATAATAATAAAGTAAGTAAATAAGTATCTAACTAAATCTTTTTTTTTTTTTGTTAATCTATTTACCTTTAATTATAACAGGTCTATTCTGTGATACGTAATCTCTATAAAATTGTAAAGGTGTAGGTTTCTCTATTCTTTCAATTTCTTTTACTATATAAAAATCTATACACATATATATATATATTATGTTAATAACATATAATATTAATTAACATCTAAGATCTATTTTAAATATATCTATATTTTTTATACCATTTGCTTCTTCCGACAAAATAGATAATTCGTCGTCATATTTAGACTGTGTTGATGTCATAATTATTGACAAATAATCTATTTTTTTATTTTTTTTTTAATCAGTCGAATGATTGATTATTAAAAAAAAAAAGATTTAAAATCTTATTTTATTTATTTATTTAAAAGTAATAATATAATATTATACTTTATTTAGTTATTTTGTAGTAATATGCTAAGAAATCTAAATAAAACATTATTCCTTCAGAGGAATTTGGTGATTAGATCCTCACAACCATCATCATCATCATCAACTATTAGTCGACATCTCAGCTGCAGCAGTAACAATAATGATAATAATAGTTTTATAAATAAATATAGTGAAAATAGTAAAAGAACATATACAACTTCTACTACTACAACTACAACTCCTACCACCTCAGAGATTACAAGTGAAACTATTCATAAATCGATTAAGGATGACCATATTGTTAAGGAAGGTCCATTGGCGAAATACGATCAGATGATCAAAGACAATAAAATCAGAGTGGACAAACATCAAAGAGAAACTGTTAAACTGCTACAGAATCTATTCGATCAAATTAAAAACTATAACCCAATGCCATCGAATGAATCTGACAATGGAAATCTTTCAAAAGTAAATATACAAATCTCAAATTCTTTAACCATTTAAGTTGTTAATAGACCCCTATTTATTTATTTTCGTTTTCTCAATTAATTAATGAAAAGTGGTTTTCAATGTTGACATCTACAAAACCAACGATTGATCCACACAAGAATGAAATTAAAGGTGTCTATTTGTATGGTGATGTCGGTTGTGGAAAATCATTCCTAATGGATCTATTCTATGATTCCGTACCAATAAATAAAAAGAAAAGAATACATTTCCATCATTTTATGTTGGATGTTCATAAAAGTAAGTTTGTTATAATAATAAATTATCCAGTTGTTATTGTTGTCAATTGACTAATATTGTTGCTGCTGCTGTTGTGGAAAACAAAAACAATAGGAATTCACAAGTGGAGACAAAATAAATCGGAAAATGAAAACGATCCAATTCCACCACTCTCAAAGGAGTTGACTAGCGAAGCATGGTTGTTGTGCTTTGACGAATTTCAAGTCACAGATGTATCGGATGCCATGATCTTGAAACGTCTATTCTCGTGTATGTTTGATAATGGTGCCATTCTCGTAACTACATCCAACAGACAACCAAACGATCTCTACAAGAATGGACTCAATCGTCAGCTGTTCGTTCCATTCATTCATTTCCTAGAGTCAAAATGTTTAGTTTACAATTTAAATTCTGGATTAGATTATAGATTATCTGGAACCAGAACTAAAAAAGTATTTTTAAGGTATGGACCATCAATCTCATAATATCAATATCAATTCTAATTCCATTTTTGTTGACAAAACATACACAGTCCGTTTAACAAGGAGAATGAAATTGAATTTAATAAACTATTTACAGAGTTGACACATGGCGAACCGGTGGAGAGTAAGACTATTGCGATCAATCAATCGAGACAGATCGTGGTGCCAAGATGTGCACGTGGCGTTGCACTCTACAAGTTCAAGGAGTTGTGTGACACTGCTCTGGGAGCAGCCGACTACATTGAATTGTCGCGTAAATTCCACACGGTTTTCATTCAGGAGATTCCATCGATGGATGAAACCACAAAGAACCAAGCGAGACGTTTTATCACACTGGTAGATGTGCTCTACGAACACAAGGTGAAGCTGGTGTGCTACGCCGAGAGTGCACCCAACAAACTGTTCATGTCAAAGGGCGACAGCCTGGACACCACCTCCGCTGAGATAAGACAACTGACAGACGACCTCACACTTACACCCGACCAATTGTCGAGATTCACCGGTGAAGAAGAAAGATTTATGTTTAGTCGTGCGGTGTCGCGTCTCGTTGAAATGCAATCCGACGGATATCTAAGTTCACATCATAATCCTCCAAAATAAATTTTTATTTGATTATCGAATTCTAAAGATATTAATTAACTAATTAATTTCAAAATGAAGACTCAGAGTCACTGAACAAGGTGAAATGATTTCTGCGCATTACAGACAGCCTGGAATGGCTGTGAGAACCATCGAAGTGTATACAACTGCCACTCTGAAACAAACAACAATACTTCTACAATCTTCTCCACTCAACAATCGGATTTTCTATCGTATGTCAAGAAAGTTTAAATAGCACCACTCCAACTTTTGACCGGAAAAAGAAAATTAATATGGGCGGTAACTTAGTTACTGGCAACATTCAAAAATTAGAAAACCAAGATTTTAAAAATATGTTTTATTGTATTTTCTTTATTTGTTATAGATTAATTATTTACATTTTCATTCTCTATTTATTTGGCGGCATTCTGAATGATGGGAATAGATTGTTTTTGAAGCTGTTGATACATTTCAAGCTTAAAAGATACTATGTTCTCAGGTTGTAGTAAATCGTCGAAGGACATCCATTGTACTTGATCAAACTCTTGTTGTTCCGGCTCATTGTCCAACTTTACTCTATCGATATGCTTACTGTTCATATAAAAGAAATACCATACTATCGATTGTCCATGTGTTTTTCTATCATGACTTGTCTCTATTCTTTCATATAGATATTCAATTGGTGATTGTAATCTATCAATGTACTTCAATGAGTAATCACCTGATAACTCTAATCCGACCTCTTCCTTTAACTCTCTCAACACAGCATTGTAATAATCCTCATCTTTCTCTACACCACCTTGAGGAAATTGCCACTATAAAAATAAAATAAAATAGAATATATATCATTCATTCTTACATACATCATGATCTATAACAAAATATCATATCAATCTAACCTAACATAACCTACCTTTCCAACAGCAGCCTTTTTCAAAGATGATCTACGACCTACTAACAAGTTACCTTCTTCATTGAAAACAACAGCACCAACACATTTTCTAAATAATTTTTTATCACCATTATTATTATTCTCCATTTTACTCATCAATATTAATATATTATATTCTTTAATAGCAAGACAAATAAAGGTGTGAACACATGATCTACATTCAATTCTTCAAAATTTATCTAAATTCGTTTTTTGATCATTTTTTTGATAGTGACCAAAAAAGCAAAAAATTAAGTGTGAAAAGAAACAGACTTTATATTTATTTAGTTATTTATACTGATATCTAATCTATCTATATAGAGTAGTAAATATATTCAATAATGTCATTCGAATATCAAGTTGTATTACTTGCAATTGATACTCTCAATGCAAAGTTAAGTCCAATCGATGAAAACCTACCACACTCTATGTTACCTGTGGCCAACAGACCATTATTATCATATCAATTAGAGCTATTAGAAAGAGCCGGATTCAAATGTAATCTATAAGTTTACAATTAGTTATTATATTAAGCATAGAGCTAACATTTATATCTTTATTATTATTATTTTAACTATTAGCTGTATTGATTGTCATTCAGGAGTTTCAACAAACAAAGATTACACCATACGTAACACAAATATATAAGGAAACAGGAAAGATAGAAGTAGAATTCTTTGTTTTGAAAGATCAGAATCAAATCGGAACATGTGAAATACTTTATAGAATAAGAGAAAAGATTAGAGTATGTATTACTTGATGTAGATGAAACAACGTTGGATATATTCCTTTCATTAACACATTGATTGACTGATTGATTATAACAACTTTACAACAACAGACAAACTTTATTGTTATGAATGGTAATTTGATTGCAGATGAAGGATTCATTAGACAGATGGCCGATTTACACAGAAGTAGCGATTCTTCACTCACTATTCTCTTGAACAAGGCAGAGATCAATCCAAAAGAGAAACTCGATGCATCGTTCATCGATTATATCGGTCTCGATGAGAATAACAATCGTGTTCTTCTAATGGAATCTGCAACTGAAATCGAAGAGAAAGTATTAGTATCAAAAAATTTATTGAAATAGTATGTATAATTGCCAATTAATAATCATGATAATAATAATGATGATATTAGTTTATTAATAATTATACACTTTTTTTTGATATTAGTTTCCCAAATATAACATTAAATGTAAACCTTAAAGATACACAATTCTATATATTTTCGAGATGGGTTATCGATTTGATCGTCGAGGATCAAAAGAACAACAAGAATAACCCGATGACCAGTATCAAGAAACAACTGATACCCTACTTGCTGAGCTGTCAGATTCCAGGTCATGGAAGAAACCTGCCGGCATCTGCTATCAACCACAACCAAGACTTGGCACTTTCCATGTCGACCTCCTCCACACCATTCAACCCATCGTACCACATCAACCAACAGACACAAGGCACCATCAAATGCATGAACTACTTGATGAACGGATACTGCATCAATATCAATAACCTACAAACCTTTACACAAGCCAATCGTGATGTAAGTGTTAACAAACGACAATGACAACAATTCTCAAACTATTCAATGAATACTAATACTTGTTTTGTTTAGATTGCATCTGGTAAATCTAGTACTTATAAACCATTGGAAGCACCATTCAAGAACAACTACATCGATACAAAGGCACAGGTTGCACCGACCTCGATCGGTATCAACTGTGTCATCGGTACCGAGACTATCTTGGGTCAAAAGAGTAGCGTCAAGAACTCTATCATCGGTAAACACTGCAAGTTTGGTACAAACGTTAGAATCGATAGCTCTATTATCATGGATTACGTAACCGTTGAAGATCAGTAAGTTTTCAATTCATTCAAACAAAGCAAACATTATCATAATTAATTATCTAACCAATTATTTATTTATCAATCAATCAATCAATCAATTATTAATAGATGTAATATAAGTGGTTCTATCATTGGAAACAATGTTTACATTAAGACTAAATTTGTTAAAGACAGTCAAGTTTCAAGTGGATTCACTGTCACCAAAGATCTTAAAGGTAAACAAGTTGGAAATTCTTCTCTTTAAATTTTTATAATAATAATAAATAAATAAAAATACCTAAAACATATAACATAACCATATTTGAATTGTTCTATCATCACATGAATTGTCATATCCTCAAAATAAAACAAAAAAGTACAACTAACATTTGTATACATTCTATAAAATATGTGTATAATATTTACTTATATTTATTTATAAACAATAAATCTATATAAATACACAATTATAAACAAATAAATCAAAAAAAAAAATAAAAAAATAAAAAAAGAAATAATATTAGGAGTAATCACCAAGCGATTCAAACATAATTATGATTCATTTTTTTTTATTTTCGTTTTTTATTTTTAACATGTTGCATAGTTTGTCATCATTTCATAGTGTGTGATCAGTTAATTAGATTCATTGAAATAGATAAAGTAGTAGATAGATAGTTATTTTAGTTAATGCTTATAGATAGATTCGATAATATAATATAATTATAAAAGATGAATAGAATTTTAGAACTACTAGGATTAGATCATAAACCAAAAACATTTGGAGGAAAAGTTTTAAAAGGATTCCAAATTATAACGATACCTTTATTTTTGTTTGTTTTAGCTGTTAGACCATTTGTAAGTGTTTGCTCGAAAGCAATTTGAATAGTTTAATTCAAATTCAAATTGAAATGGAAATTGAAAAATTAAACTGTTAATTAATCGAATTCCCAAATCTCAAAATATCATGACATCATATTTTAACATATATATATATATATATATTTGTACATATTAATGTGATGAATGTATTTTTAGGCTGATGAGAGAAACCAAAGACTGAAAGAGAACAAACAAAAACAAGAGGAAATGAAACTTGCGAAAAGAGGTAAGAAAAATCAGTAATCTCACAAATCACATAATACAAAACACATACACCGATCACAAGTGTCGAAATCATGATAAATCTCAAAAATATTTCATACCTGTTGATCAAATGATATCAATTTACTGCGTCAAATAACATAGCCCATTAATTAATTTCACCACATTGAACTTTACCTTTTTCACTTTTTGCTATTTACTGATTTTCCATTCTAGGTCAAGAGATTATGGAGAACAGAATCAAAGAAAACCCAGAGTTGCAAAAGGTGTTTGATGATCTGAGGGCTGCCTCATCACAACAAAACAACAATAACAATAATAACAACAAAAAATGAATTAACTAGTTAGAATATTCTGATAAAACATTAATGTATATTTCCAAAGCTCCCCACTAAATAAATAATCTTTGAAAAAAACAACATACCTTAAAATTAGGATGAAAATTATTTTTCTTCCTATTTTGTGGTTTATTTTATTTTTTGATCAAAAAATATCTGTTGAGCGGGTGGGTTTGTGGAGTGGATGTAAAATGCAGAGTCAAAATAAAATCAAATCGAATCAATCTCTTGAAAAGTCATACAATTGAATTCAGTTGATTGGATGTCAAGTCCAACACCACGATAACCGCTTCCCACCATTTGATAATTAATTATAATTCTATAATAAAATAAAAAATCAATCATTCAATCAAACTAATTTTGTAGTTATTCCTAAATCGTAATTAAAAAAAAACAAAATTATCAACTTAAATTGTGTTGTGTGGTTGTCTTTTGAAAAAAATGGAGGAGAATGAATAAGTTTGAGATTCGGAAACGGCCTAGTTACTTCTTCACTCCATCTTCGGTATCAACACCAAAACATATGGTATGATCAAAAAAGATATTTTAGGAAAGTTGAATCAATTTTCTTGGTCTTTTTTTGCCACCACATAACTTTTTATTTGCAAAATGGTGAAAAAAAACTGATCAAAATCGTGGATTCATGGTATTAGGTTTCATAAGTTTTTCATAGTTTTAGGTGTGGGGCTTCAGAGCTTGATGGTGGGTAAAAAAACTGCCTGCAACAAAAAAAGGAGCAAAAATAAAATAAATTGTTTTGTTTTTATTTAAAAAAATTGTTTTTTTTTTTTTTTTTACAACAATAATCATAAAAAAATTCTCTCTCCTTTTTTCAATAAAAAAAAAAAAACAAAATTAATATCTCAATATTATTTTTTGCAGAATAATAGAAAAGACACCAAACATACATCAGCATCACCAATAACAATATCATTATCATTGCTGCAGGTTGAGAAGCGCTAGCAATCAGCTACATAACAACAACAACAAAACACATTCCATTGTAGATCTACTACACACCTTTTGTTTTTTGCAAAAAAAAAAAAAACAAAAAAATTATTGTATAAACATATAATTATATAATCATAATAATAGCAACTTTTAATTTTAAGTTTTATTGTATATATTGCAGTTTCTATGTATATAAAAATCTTATAAATAGCAAAAACAACGAAAAGAAAAAAAAAAATAGTAAATTGGAAAGTTTTGTTTTTTTTTTTTTTTTTAAGATTTTAGTTATAGTACATAAAGCAAAGAAAGTTGATTAATAGAATAGAATATATAATTATAGAACATAACAGAATAAATAATAAATATTAACTCTAAGTGTTTAAGCTTGGAGTTAGTTTTATATAAAAAAAAAAGTAAAGAAAAAAAAGTAATAGTAATAGTTATATATCTGTATCTATATCTATTTATCTGATAAGAAAGAGTAGTTGATTCTCTCTTTTTCACTTAGATTTTTAAGCTTTACATTTTCACACGCACCCACACTAACAACAACCACTCCAACCACGTTAATCAATCACATTTTTCTCTTTCACCTCTTATTTATTTATTTATTTATATATAATATTATTATTTTTAAAACAACACACAACACAATCAGTTAACCAATAGAGATAATAGATAGATAATAGATAGATTTATAGAAATAATATATATAATAACAAAGAAAGATTAAAAAAGAGAGAAAGATAAAAAAATGAATGAAAGATTAGAATTAATTTTACAAACATCACCATTCGAAGAGAAAGTCACACGAAATGGCTTGCAAAAGAATATTAGAGTGGTGATCAAGAACAGTCCTTTCACAGTGCAATTGAAAATGAAGAAACACGATATCGATTTGAACAACGTTGCGTTCGAAGCAGTGCTGCTCTACGATAACGACACTGGCGGTGTCGTCGACGAGAAGGAAGTGGATTTCGTAAAGTCGAAACCGGTCGAACACAAATCGACACCGAACGATATAGGTGACATGGTCACCGTGGAGCTCAGAATCAAAGTGCTGACATCGCAGCACGAGGACATGTTCTTCCGCGTCAAGATCGAGGGCTTCGAGCCCATCACCAAACAACCGATAAAGAATTTATACGCCCTGACTTCGCCGATCAAAGTCATCTCGAAACCCGAACAACTCAAGAAAAAACAGCCACCCAAGAAGCGCTCGTGGAACGACATCCTCATGGACTCGGTCACAAAGATACAGATGCAGCAGTCAGAGCAGCAGCGACTCATCGAAAAACTACTGGATCACAACTTCAAACAGACGCTTGCAACACAGCAGATACTACAGACACCTGGCGGCAGCGGTTCCGGATCGTCGACATCCACAACAACTTTTCCAACTATAATAAACGGAGCTGGTGCCCACCTCAATGGAACCTCCACAACCAACAACCACTCCTCTAACAGCGGCAGCAGTAGTAGTAGTGGCGGCGGCAACAGTAGTATACCACAGCGTATGGAGTTTGAAGAGGCATTCAAACATATGATGAATGCCTATGTACAGTTGGATCCAAGACAGCGTGCCGAAAAAGTGCGACGTGTCTTTAGAAATACTTCGGCGCGTGACTCTGAGACGCTGTCGGAGCTGCTCGATCTCTTTATCACAGAGGGTGTCGGCGGTATCGGTACAATCGCACCGTTGCCCATGAGTCCCAACCAGAACTCGCCCGTCAGTCCAACTCTGATCGGACAAAATCAAAGCCAGCCAACCGTAATCACCAATCCCAGCCAAAACAATCCATTCATCACCTCGACAACCACCACATCCACCACCCAATCCAACGGTTTTGTTGAACGCAACAATGCCAACACCGATCCATATCCTTTCTTTTCAACTTTGCCAACATCATTTGACAACGAATTTGGTTCATTCAACAGTGGTAATGATTTCATTCCATTTTAAAAACGTAATAATAATAATAATAATAATAACAACAACAACAACAACAAAAGAACTAATATTCGACAAACTTTTAAAACAACTTAAAAGTCAAATATGATAAGAAAAGAAAAAAAAAAAAAGAAAAAAAAAAAAAAGAGAAAAAAAAGAAAAAGAAAAAAAAAAAACAATATAAATCCAAATCCAATCATAAATAATAATAATAACAACATTGTTCCAACAAAACACACTCCAACAACCAACCTCCTTTCCAAACAACTTTATCTTATAACATCAAATTGTGTTATTAAAAATTTTGTAAATAAATATTAAATATTATAAATTAAAATAATAATTTCGCAATTTCCAATTTGTTATTTGTTATTTTGTTGGTTTGTTATAACAGTTTTTATTTATATTTATATATTTTGTAAAGTTGCTCTTTAATTAATTTGTTGTGTTGTTGGCGGTAGTTGGTGTAACTTGAGCGCAAATCTTCCATTCGGATGGTAGTGAACTTAGACATCTTTCGAATACATAAATATCTTTGAATGGCACATTGACTGCCTCAGAAAGGGTGGTTCCATTTCTGGTGTCTACCAACGACATTGATTGTGTACCGCTAAACTCCACACAGATCTGTGCAAAAAATTCGGTATCTCCGCTCAACGATGTTTTGATTTGACCTGACCTTGACCAGATGGCCTTTGGTTTGTTTAGTTCTGCTGACCACGATGATTTTATATATTTTGGTTGTGATTTAAATTGAGTCGATAATACCTATTAACAAAACAATGTTAGTGATACTTTACCTTTCTTTTTCTTTTCTTTAATAATTAATACAAACAGAGTGAAAGTAAATAGTTGTAATATCTTTATCAATATTTCCACTTAACATTGTTTGATTAAGTTTTGTATATTTCTCTTTTGATTCTTCTAAAAATCTTGATTATTATATAAGTATATATATATTAATATAAGTTATTAGTAATGGATTATTATTGTTGTTGTTTCAAACATGTTTGATTGTTTGATTGTTTGTTTTAGTTTGTTGATTGTTGATTGACTTACTGTTTGACAGTGAATTTCTCATCGGTCAACTTCTTTAGTTTACTCTTGATCATTGAGTATGAACCGAATGTCTTGTAATAGTATTTCGCTTGATCGAACCACAAGCTTGGTGACAACAAAGTCGATACAATCGGTGATGGCATTGCATTTTCAAAGACCTGTCCCGGTGATTGAACGAATATGTTTGGTTTGATACGTCTACCAACTGCTTGCTTGATTGCATAGTTTGCCAATTGATAAGTGTTTCCACTCAATGAGAGTACATTGTTTTGATAACCTGAATTTCCAAACAATGAAGTTCTACCTGTTGTTGAACCGATACCTCTAATCACACCAAAGTTGCTCGATGTGAAAATCTTGATATAATTTCTATTCATCTCTACCCTCTACTCTATATAAAATCTAACTAAACTAAGCTAAACTAAACTAACTAAATGTAGATTAAACAAGTGTAAAGTATAACACAATCGCAGTGAATAAAAAAGACGTTGATCAAATTCATATGAAAAAAAAACTTCCTTTTTAAATCGACAAATCTCAAAAACAAAAAAAAAAAAAAAAGACTTTTGCTAACTGTTTCCTTATTTAATTAACTATTGAATGACACCTCATTTTGTACTAGTATTTATATATATTACATCTAGATAGATATGTTTTCTTTGTTGAAAATATAAAACCTAAATATTTTTCAAAATTCTAAAAGAATGAATCTTATAAATATTAACTTTCATTTGTTGACGAGGTTGACAGGACCTCTGTTTGTTGGTGGAGCAACAGGCCTCATAACATTGGTTGTCTATATATATTTCATTGAGATACTGCCAGGTTTGCTACCTAAGAATCATTCCACTCTGTTTTATTTCACAGGATTCGATCTACTTGGAGATCTTATCCTATCAATGTACATAACCTATTCAATATACTATCATTTTTTCAAATGTATATCGATGGATCCTGGTTCACCAAGATTTCCATCTGTCGGTGGTGATGGTACAACCTATGAAGATAACAATGACAACAACAATGAAACTAGTAGCAGTAATAACAATAACAATAGTAATAACAATAATAATAATAATAATAGCAACAATTATAATATTAGTAATGAAGATGATGAAACTATACAAATGTTTGGTGATATCGATTTAACAAGCCGATGGGGTTACTGTAAGAAGTGTAAGAGACCAAAACCACCTAGATGTCATCATTGTAATGTTTGTAATAAATGTGTTTTAAGAATGGATCATCATTGTCGTATGTATAATATAATTATTTAATTTAACGCAACAACAATAAACTAATATAATATTATAACATTATTCTTCTAGCATGGATGGCAAACTGTATGGGTTATCGAAATTATAGACATTTTATATTGTTTCTTGCTAATCTTTGGATTGGTAGTTTTCACTTGCAGCTACATTCGCTGATTTTATTTTATGATGGACGACTTGTAAGTAACTAACCAACTAACTAAACTATTATTAACAACAGCAACATCATACTAACATATATTTGTTGATATTTTTAGTTTACAGATAGATTTGATGAATATCAAAGATATCTAATTATTGTATCGACTGTAATGACAGCACTACTCCTTATTGTATTGGGTGCATTTACAGGTTTTCATATGTATTTAGTTGTAAGTGTATTCTTAAAAAAGATTAGCAAATGTGTCGCTGATTATGATTAGTTACTAATTTATCATTGTTATTAGTCAACAGGACAAACAACCATTGAGAATATAGATGGTAGTAGAGATAAGAAAAACTATAATTTAGGTTGGCGAACCAATTGGAAGTATCTTCTTGGCAAAGGTAGTTATTGGTTCTCCGGTTTACTACCGATTGAAACCATTCCCTATGGTGACGGTGTATATTATATGACAAGAGAGGTTTACTTACAGAGAATTGGAAGAAATAGCAGTCGTAGTAGTAGGAGTAGAGTTAATAACGATTTAATATCAAACAATATATGATGATGGTGATGTTTGATACCGAATAGTAAAACAAAGTTAATATCAAACGTTACTCGAAATAATCAATTAAAATATATATATAATGTACACTTTATTTTATTATTATTAATGTTTTTTCTTTTTCTTTCTTTTTGTCTGTTTAATCTTTGTTGAACTTGTCATCTACTTTGAACTTGATATCTTTTGGTTTGTATTCGTTGAGTTTGTAGTTGGTGATTGTTTTCTTTACCATGTTAGTTCCCTTATCTGCAACCCATTCACCTACATTGAAGAATCCAGAGACGAATGCTCTAGAGTTTGGTTTATTAAACTTTGACAATACTGTTTTTGAAAGACTAAATAAAATAACATTAGTAAATCAATCATTCAACTATTTTAACTATAACCTACTCATAACCAACGGTTCTACGAACACCTGCAGCAGCAGTAGAGATTACAACACAATCTAATAAAAGTGAGACAATACTGTACACAATTTATAAATTAGTAATAACATTCTTTTTTTCAGTTTAAATAAAACTTGTAAAGTAAAGAGATAAGACTTACCCCATATTGTTGTTGTTGTTGTTGTTGTATATTAAAATTTATATATTAAAATTTATATATTAATAAATAAAAGTATATTATATGATTTAAATGTCAAGTTCTATTTAAGAAACTTAGTTATTTATATATGTATGATATAAAATCAATAATTGATGAATTAATTAAAAGCAAATTTATAGGTGAAGATAACTCTTTTAATCAATTTTTTTCTCAACATCAATACCAATGAAAAAATATAATTGGACAACAAATAATTGTGTTTTTTGTTTTTGTGTTTGAAAATGGAGGAGATTATATTTTGGTGATTCATTAATTACAATGCAACCTAATAATAATTATTTGCTGGACATATAAAGGTTGTATAATATAATAATTTTGTTGTTGTTGCTTATCAAAAAAGTAGTATTAATTATATTTTGCTGTCAAATATAACTCTAAAAATGAAGTTTGATTGATCTTTAAATTGATTTGATTCGATTTTTAAATATGTATATATAACATTTTTATTTTAATTTCTCTATATCTATATCTATATCCTATTATCTTTTAAAAATTTTGTTTATTTATTTTGAATCTAAAATTGATTGATTTGAAAAATAGTTAATAAACATATATGATGATTGACATAATAATTGTGATTCATAGTGTTGCGTGCATACCCATCCTTGCTTTTGTTTGTGTCTAACTTCAACTTTGCAATATACAAACAAATTCTTTCCTCTTCTGATAATTTGACAAAATCTACAGATCTGTTTGATTGCTGAAACGTGCTTCATTTTTTTCGATTTACTATATATATTGTTGTTTTATAAAAGTTAATAACTAGATCTAGTCAACTAAACTTTAATTATTGATACACACTGTATGTATGATGAGAAGAAGATCTATCTATCTACTTTTCTATAAGAGTAAGAATATGAAAATTGTAGTGATAAATAACAATCGATCAAAATAAAAAAACGAAGTATCTTTATTTTTTTTTTTGAAAATTTTGAAAAATATGAAAACTTTTTTTTTAATTTCATTTCATTCCACTTTCACCACTCCGCTGCACCACTCACTAGTATTGGTCATTATTACATCATTTCAAATTCAATTCTATTAATATAACCAAAAGGGAGATATAAAAAAGAGAATGGATCAAGAAGATCAAGATTTAGTTCAATCGATTGCAAATCAATATGCAAATTACTTATCATTCTCAAACAGTACAAATGAACAAGCTGCAAATGTAGATGGTACCATCGATTATATGTTGGCACGTATCGATGAATTTGGTGCTTTTGTTGAAACTGTATGTACATATTTAAAGATAATATTAAGATCTATAATGTTTGTTTGTTTGTTTTTTAACTAACAACTGTAATCTAATCTATTATTAAATATATATATATATATATATATAGATTAAATCTGATACAGATAGAACAGATAAAGTATTGATACCTGCATTATTGGAAAAGACAACACAAGTTCAACAATTGTTCCCACTCATTGATAAGCTACATATTCTCTGTCAAGACATAACAAAGAATCTCAATGAGATCGATGACCGTTTGAATCAAGCAGAGAAACATCTCTCCAACCAAGTCGGTTCAACAAGTAATCCTTTGAAATGGGTTCTATCTAATTTAGTATGTTTTAATAGTTCACTTCATTCATTAAATTATTATTAACATTTTAATTAATAGCAAAAAGATGATGAGTTACTTCAACAACTGATGAATAACACCAAAAATACAGCACCAAAATTCGAACCACTAAAGATTCACAATACAACAGAGTTTTTCAAACAGCTAAGAAACGATATCAACGTTGAGCATCAACAAACACCTCAACAGCAACAACAACAACAACAACAGCAAACTGGTAAATCAAGTTAAAATTGTATTATTATTTTTATTAAATATAAAAAAAGATGTATAAATTATAGTTTAAATTTTATTTAGGTATCGATATAGCCTCATAGTTTTGGCTATTATTACCATTATTGTTATTGTTATTATTATTATTATTATTATTATTATTATTAAGGAGATCAAAAGTATTATATCCAGCTAAACTACCACCACCATTGTATGGTTGATTTGAAATCTCAATATCCACCAACAATGGATCTTTTTCGGGTTGTTTATAAACATCTAAACTAAATTTAATACATATCATCTTGATAGACAAAAAAAAGTCAATATTATTATTATTATAATTAAAATGGTATTTGGATCCATTTATATTAAAACTTACAGTTCCTAAACTCCATAAACCAAAAGAAATAATTACAAATACCTTTCCCCATTTGGGAAATGAAATCCAAACATTTGAATTTTCTACGAATTGAAATAATGAGAAACTACCAATAAAGAAACATAATTCACTTACAGAGCAATACTTAATGTTCATTTTAAAAAAAACGAATAAGTAAATTGTAATACTGATTGAATCAATTCAATACTTACAACAACAGTCGCACTCTTTTGTAGATTAGATATACCATAGTATCCCATTAGAATAGCTACCAACGATAGAGAGGTAAAGAATATTCCGAGATAGTAGGTTGTAAACATCGGTGGAATACTCAGTAGTATCTGAATGATGAGCAGTGTCTTAATTTTCACTACCAATTTATATTGCTCGGATTGCTCTCTATAGTTATCGATATACTCTACTATTCCGAATGGATCATCAAGACAATTGCTATTGCAACTATTAAAAAAACAATAACAAACGCAACAACAACAACAAAATGAATCTTCCAGTGACATTGATATTGATATGATATCGTTTGATTTTTATTTTAATTTATAAATCTAGATTAATATTAATATTATTTATAAGAATTATTGGTTTTTTAATAATATTATTATTCTAAATATAAATTTATAATTAAAAGAAATAAACATTATTTTAACTGTATAAAAATTTATATTATTATTAATTAAATTAATGAATGATGAATGAAGTAAACATTTATTTTAAGAAATTTAATTTCATTGTTTTTTTATTTGTACAAGTATTTATTTTTTAAATTATATTTTTAAATCCCCACTTAATTAAGTATAATAAACAAATTAAATATTTTAATACCAATAACAACTAAAGTAACAACAACAATATAACTTTTAATATTTTTTCATCTTTTATTACTTTTTTATTTTAACACATTTTAACAGTTTCGTCAACTAGTACTTAAAAAAAATCTGTTTTTATTAATTTGGAACAAAATAAAGCAAAGTTGTTGTTATGTTAATTTTAATTAAAATTTAAAGACAAATATTGATTTTAAAAATAAAACAAGATATGATGTTTGATAGTTAAAAAATAATAACTAGATCATAGTTTAGTTTAGATTTTTGTTATATTAATTTGAATAGATTTTTTGTTGAAGAGGAAATTTTGAAGTATTCATTAGTGGAATCTTATAGATTGAAAACTGAATATCCATTAAAATTTGGTACTGATCTCTTCAGGTCTGAGAGAATAAAGCAAACGAGGTCAGAATTGATTGATTCAGAGATTCTTCTAAAGGTGTTCCATCCTTGGAGAACAGATTCGTATTTAAAAGAAAAAGTGTTTAAATTAAATCCACAACCACAACAAGAATTGACACTTCTAAATATCATTGCAAGAAAATATGATCCACATTCATTTCTTTGGATTCTCCATTGTGATTTTTTTTTTTCAAGTTTCTCCATTTAGTGTAAGTCATTAGAATTAACACCTATCAACAGAGAACAAAAAATCGATGGAACAATTTTCAATCTTTTTTACAGTTCTTTACTGTTTCTCTTTTTTTTATTTTTTGAAAACTGTTTAATTCTTTCCTTATATATGTTCTATTTTGAACTTGTTTCATTTCAAAATAACCAATATGATATGAAGTTACTTGAGTAAATCAGAGACTCAATAAAACATGTTGCTTGCTATTAAACCTCTTTTTTATTATTTTTTGAATTTCAAAAAAATAATTTTTTTTTTCATTTTTATTTAAATCATTTTTAATGAATTTTTTTATATTTTTTTGAAAAAACGAAAAGAATCGAGTGTCGAGTGGTGTGACTATTAATATTAAAATTATTTATTTATTTATTTTTTTATATTTATTTATTTATATATTATATTTGATTATTAAATAAAATGAATTTAAATATAAATAATAATCAGAATAGTAAGGTCAGTCAATCACTGATTGATCAAGATACAACATTCGAGTCGATGTGTCTAGATATGAGAATCACTAGATCCATCAGAAAGATGGGTTTCGATCATCCAACTCTCATCCAATCGAAAGCAATCCCACTGGCATTGCAAGGTAAAGATATCCTCGCAAAAGCAAGAACCGGTAGTGGTAAAACCGCTGCCTATTCCGTACCAATCGTTCAAAAGATTTTAATGTCAAAAGCAAATGTAAATAATCAATCAATCAATCAATCGACCAATCAATAATCATGTTTATAGCTAACTAACAAACTCAATTTTTCAATATTAAAATAGAACAATAAAAAATGTATTAGAGCAGTTGTTTTGGTGCCTACAAGAGAATTGTGTGAACAAGTAAAGAATCATTTCCTACAGATTTGTTTCTATACACAGTTGTCTGTTGTTCAGTTGGCTGGTGACCAGTCAGAGTCAGAGCAGAAGGGTCTGTTGAGAGATATTCCCGATATTATCATCTCGACACCGACCCGTTTAGTCAATCATTTGAAGAGTGGTTCCATTCAGTTGGAGAGTTCTCTCGAGATGTTGGTAATCGATGAGGCAGATCTCGTTCTGTCATACGGTTATCAAGAGGATATCAACACCATCAAATCATATCTCCCAAAGGTCTGTCAAGGTTTCTTGATGTCTGCAACACTCACCGCTCAAGTCGAAGAATTGAAAAAGTTAATCTTACATACACCAGTAAGTAATAATAATATTAATAATAATAATAACATTGAAATGATATTATATTAACGATTCTTGTTTTGTTTTGTTTTTTTTAGGCTATCTTAAGATTAGAAGATACTGTTGAGAAATCAAATCTTTCAGAATATTCAATTAGGTATGTTGTTTGTTGTTTTTGTTGTTGTTGTTTAAATAAGTTAGTTTATTAATATTGGTGTTGTTATTATTATTATTATTAGATGTTCAAACTTTGATAAGTTTTTATTGGTTTTCTCATTGTTAAGATTAAAGTTGATGCAAGGAAAGATTCTTTTCTTTGTAAACGATACTTCTAGTTGCTATAAATTAAAGTTGTTTTTGGAGAGATTCCATATTAAAGCGGCCGTTCTCAACTCTGAACTCCCAATTAACTCTAGACATCATATCATTTTACAGTTTAATAAGGGTATCTTTGACTATCTGATTGCTACCGACGAATCATTTAAACAAACTCCAATCGAACTTAAGGATGAACCATTAGGAGATGACGAAGAGGAAGAAAGTCAACCAACTCCAAAAGTAAAGAAAGAAAATAAAGTAAAGAAAGAAACAACTAGTGATGATGACGAAGAAGAAGAAGAAGAAAACGAAGATGATGAAGAAGAAGACGAGGTAGCTGAAGATGATGATGAAGAGGTAGAAGAAGTCGAAGATGATGATGAAGAGGTAGAGGATGATGATGAGGAAGTAGAAGAAGAAGAAGAGGAAGAGGAAATAGATGTTGATGCTCAAGAAGATCAAGATGAAGAGGATGAGGAACAAGAAGATGGTGATGATGAAATTAAAGTAAAAGAAGAAAAAACTAGTGACGACGAGAAAGAAATGGAAGATTCATTCTTTTCAAGTACTCCAAAGGTCAAGACAGAAAAGAAGACAAAGTTAACAGACACAGAATATGGTGTTTCAAGAGGTATTGATTTTAGAAACGTAGATATTGGTAAGTAATAATTTATTATAACCTTAAATTACTTTTTAAATTTGATATTAATATTAATAAATTAATAATTAATAATTATAGTTGTAAACTTTGATTTCCCAAGAACTGTTAAGAACTATGTACATCGTATTGGTAGAACAGCAAGAGGATCAAACAAAGGTATCGCACTTTCGTTCATCACACCAGACAATGACGATTTGCTTCACGAGGTTCAAAAGAAGAGAGGTGAAACCGGATACAATCTCAAGCCATTCGAATTCAAGATGAATGCAATCGAAGGTTTCCGTTATCGTGTGGAAGATGTTTTGAATACCGTCAGTAAGAATGAGATTTCCGCCGCCAGAAAGAAAGAAATTGAATTGGAAATCATCAATAATGAGAAGTTAAAGGTTAGTAGATAGTCGGTTTTAAATAATATTAATCAATTAAAACATACTAATAATTATAATCGATATTTTATAAATATGTATAGAGTCATTTTGAAGCAAATCCAAAAGATTTAGAAGCACTTAAACACGATGTTCCTCTTTTGAAAAAGAAGATTGCTAGAAATCTTAGAATTATTCCCGATTATCTTTTGCCAGAGGCAATGAAAGCAACTGCAAACTCTCGTCTTCAAGTGGTCCACAAGAAAGGAAAACAACAACAAAACAACAATAACAACAGCAACAATAACAATAACAAGAAGAAAGATATTTTACAGACATTGAAATCAAAACAACCACAAAAACAACAACAATCACAACCTAAAGCAACCAAACCAAAGACATCGACCGACGAAGATAAAGCTAAATTGGTTAGAAAGTTTGGTATCACTGAGAATGACATCAGTAGTTCAGGTACATTTAAAAACAATAAGAAAGTAAAATTAAATAAATAAAAATCGACGTTTATCAAATAAATAAAACAAAACAAAACAAAATAGTTATCATTATTATTTTAATAATTAAATTAAAACTAAAGTAAAGTATTGTTATTATTTATTTCTTACGGTGATTCTCACAGAATACACTGATTCTTTGATAGGCATCAGCCAACTTTTCCATTGGCGCACAAAATACGATTCTAAAGAAATTTTTCATTCCAAACACTGTACCAGGCAAGACAAATACACTTTCCTCTTGTAAGAGTTGACCCATAAATGCAACATCATCTTCAATACCAACGAATTTACTTGTATCAATACCAATCTATAAATATATTAGTTAGTTCTCAATTGTAAGTTTTAAAATAATTAATAGTTTATAAACGTTACCATTTGATACATTGTTCCGGATGATGTAATTGGTGTAAGTCCGTCAATCTTTGACAAAGACTCAACGGTGAATCTAGATTGTTCTTCGAGTGTTGCGTTTACAGTTTGGAAGAACTTATTGATTTGTTCGTTGTTGGTATCTAAAATGCTTGGTAAGATCGATTGGATCAAAGAGTTTGGTCCCAAAATGAGTTGGGATAGTGAAACTAATGATTTTTTAATCTATCAATTACATATTATTTATAGTTAATTAGTCATAATCATTAAAGCAATTGCTTTGTTTAATGTTACTTACTGCGGTAAACAAATTGTTTCTATCGTGTACTGCAATCCAACCAACTCTCCAACCTGGTACTAAAAATCTTTTAGCAATACCACCAATAGAGAGAACTGGTACGGTTTCAGTTAACGATGCAATTGGAATGAATACGTTGTCTCCGAATGTCATTCCTGCATAGATTTCATCGGAAATAATTGGTAAACGATATTGATCAGCAACTTGTAAAATCTGGTAGTTTGAATTGTTAATAGATGGTAGTTCAAAAGTAAGTAAGTAAGTATGTGTAAATTACTATGTTTTTGTTGTTAACTTTACTTACTTGTTGAAGATGATTGGCTGAAAAGTTACTTCCACATGGATTCGATGGATTGTTAATGAGAATGGCTTTGGTGTTGGAGTCGATCAGTGACTTGAGGTGATCGATGTCAATCTCCCATGATCTCTCTGGCAGTAGATTATAGTGTTTAATGTTGAAACCCTTGCTGTGGCAGATGCACTCATACAGTGAGAAACCAGGCTTTGGAATAAGAATGTTGTCTCCTGGGTTCAAAATGGCAGTCAATGCAATCTCAATGGCACCCGACGCTCCACTTGCGATAATGATATCAGAAGCAGTCAATGGTGATGTCTTTGTTTCAACAAACTTTGCAATTGCAGTTCTAGATGCTTCATATCCCTAATAATAAAAAAAAAAAAAGAAAACGATCGTTGTTTGGTTAGTTATTTCATTTCAGTTCCATCAAAGACAGAGTTACTTACAATTGATGGAGGATAACCATTGAATTTACCGGACTGAATGTTCTCAACGAGAACTGTATTGACATATTGATCGACATTCAAATTACCGAATACACATGGATCACCAATCGATAGAGGAATCACTGATTTCTCTGGGTTTGGCTTATACTTGCCTGTATCTACAATCGCTCTAATTGGATTAGTTGTATTGAGTGCAGCATTGGATGCTTGAATATTCCATTCTCTGTTCATTTCTAACATTTAACTAACTTTGTTTCTAAATAAATAAATAATTGATTTTTGTTACTGATTGTTTTAAAAAAAATAAAATTTTATTTTTTTTTCTGACTGATTTAAAACAAAATCCCGATAATGAAATTTCCCAATTTACCTATGCAAATGACACATTTTGCGAATTGTTTTTTATTTTAAAAAATATAAAATAATATATCAAATAATTTTTTTTGTCAAAAATTTAAGTTGACTTTAAAATATTTTGAATTAATAGGAAAACTGGAAAAAAATTATATTATCTGTAATGTATTTTTTTGATCATCATTAAATGCTCTGTCATATAAGGGTTAGTATCCTGGACTTTGAATCCAGTCATCTGAGTTCGAATCTCAGCAGAGCAACATATTTTTTCCAAAAGGGGCCCATTATGCGGCCTCGATGCGGTCTTTTTTTTTTTCAATTCTTTTTTTTGTTTTGTGTAAGAAGCTGAGAGGTTGATGTCTACAGAGATTGGGCAGTGATCACTCTTATTATGGAAATTTGGTTTTCTCACAGACTGAATGATTAAATAAACCACAAACTAATCTATAGATTGAAACAAAACAGGAAATTGTTTGAAACCATCTTCTTCAGAACATTCTTTTTTTTTGTATTACAAAATAGAAAATAAAAATTCATAGTCTATCAATTATGTAAGAATATTGATAAATACTTTTGTTGATGAAGAAATAAGGTAAAACAAGTTTTAAATTCTTTAAATATATAAATAATTTTAAATCCAAAACAATATTATAAATTGAAAAATTCTTTTATTTTGAGATAATTTCTAAAGTTTGAAATTGTTTTTAATAAGCCAATAAAAGTTTAATAGAGCGCTGTAAACTTAAAAATAATTATTACTTTTGTTATTTTATTAATATTTTCTTCTCTTCTTGTCCATCTCTTCAAGTTGTTGTAATAACATTGGTTTGTTTACTTTGGCAAGTTGCAATAAATTAATGATGTGCTTGATTGGGTATTCATCGTGTTCGGTTGCCCACTCCATGATCTCTTTGTCTTGGAGTACGGAGAGGTGGTAGTAACCTTTGATATAATGTTCGGCATAGGCAATGTTTGGAATCTTGGTCTTTGAGAGTTTTTCAAGACCGGCCTGTAAGTTCATCAGATCCTGAATCATAACGGCACGTCCCTCGTTTGAACACTTTTTGATTCTACTGTAACCGTCAACCAGCTGCTGTACGAGATACTCAAAGCTGACATCAATGATACGATTCTTGAGTGATGTTGTAATGAATCCACTCTTTTGGACAGCGTCGTCCAGTTGCTTAAAGAACAACTGGAATTCCTTGAGGAATGCTTCGATGTATGGTGTTTTACCGACGGTTGTTGTCTTCACATCCCACTTTTGATCGGCAATCGTTTTGGAGAAATAGAACGATCCCGATTGATGTGAAAAGATGGCCGACACCGATGATTTGATGAGATGTCTCTGTAGATCAGGGATGATTTTGACAACGTTGTCATAGAATGACTTGATCTGATCGATATACTTGCCTGGGAGCAGTCCTTCAAACACTGGACGACTGTCATTCAGTGCAGAGACCACAAACGAGAGTGATTCAATTGCGAGAATTCTGACTGGCAGATTGAAAAGACATTCCTTTGGATCACCAAGTCTCAAACCGTTGTAGTTGATTCTTGGTACAATCCATCGCGGTGCACTTGGATCCTGGTTGGTTGGGGCAAGTGTGCCAGCTTGTATGTTGCTGTTGTTGTTGTTGGAGTATGGTGAAGTAGCTGAGGGTAGTGTTGGTGAAGTGTTATTGATGATATCGTTGGCAAACGACTTGATCTGTGAGAGTTGACTGGTGAATGAAGTGAGTGTAGAGATACCACTTACTGCAGAGGCCACCTGTGTGACAATTGGAATACCAAGTCTCTCCTTTGTCTTATTGATGAAACGATTGAGAGCTGGTTTTGTAAAAGATAAATCCTCTACCTGATGACCAGAAGACAGAGTTTTCTCCATCTTTGTTGTGAGTGCTTCCAAACTGAATCCTTGGGGATCAAGATATCCAGAGAAAGAATAAATAGTATACATCTGTATTTCCAATCAACCAATTAATTAGTAACTTTTCTATTTCATTTGAATATAAACAACTATATATTGTACTTACATAATATTCAACAAACTGACAAATAGCATTGAAAATATCAAGTGAGATATGTGGAAGTTGTTCCATCATCTCAAGATACTTTCCAATGTAACGAACAAAAGAGATGGTTGAAGATGCAACCAAAAAGTTTGGTGTTTCCTCTGCCTTCTTTTTCTTGAGTTGTTGTTGCTTCTGGTATTGTAGTTTTCTTCTGGCATGATCGTCATCGTCATCCTCCTCGATAATCTCTTGTTTGAGTTCCTCATCTTCATCGCTGTCGTCCTCCTTCTTTTGTTCTTGTTTAGTTTGTTGTTGTTTCGATTCCAAAGTCGGTGAGAATGTTGGCGATGTCGAAGTTCTCTTGTTCTTATAGGAGATGAGCTGTGAGAATGGATTACCATGGTCACGAATGGCATAGAATATCTGTTCGCCACTCAACTGTTTATCACGATCGACTTGCATTCGCTTTTTCAAACGTAGCTCGGTGGCTGCATTAAAGTCGGCGGCGACCGGCATGTTCACCCAGGTCTCGTGTTCGAGCATCGTACGTAGATCGTCAACTCTGGTCTTGTGGAAGTGATCAAAGAACGCTTTGGATTGGTCGATAATCGACTTTTTCAAGTGATGCGATGGATCACCACTGAACTCCTCTCCGATCTCACTGATCTTTGTCACCGAGTTTAGAATCAACTGGAAGTCGTCAATCTTGAATGTGGTCAACTTCCTAGCGAGCAGTGCAGTGACTTGCTTCTGCATAGTATCCCAAATAGTCTTTTTGAATCTAGTCAAAGCTGAGCTGATATCTGCAAATATATTACTTTCCTCTCCACTATTATCATAAAAAAGAAATGTTAGTATGAATATATTTCTTAAAAGAGATTACTACTACTACTATTACTATAGTACATACTCTGGATTTTCAACATGGAATTGATTCATCAAATAGAGTGATGTCATTACATCACTTAGATATTCAAAAACAGCCAATATACAATTGACGAAATGTTCATTGGTCACAGCTCTACAAAGATCTTTATATTCGACACTAAAGTAGTAATTAAAACAAACAAACAACATGTTTAGTAAATTTCTTTGATTGGTTGATTGATTATACACTTCCACTACACTATGTTTGGACATACTTTTTGTAAGCTTCAGGATTCATAGCTGCTTCCTCTGATAGAAGTACATGAGAGTATACGATGTTTCTAATCTCTGGCTCGATCGGTTTGACAAAGTATTTCTCGAGTTTGTCCAGTAGTTGATTGGCTCTGTTCAGTAGTTTGTACGCTTCGAATACCGAGCGGTAGGTGTTGGCATTGAATGTACGACAGCAATTGAAAAAGTCTTTGTCGATACGCTCCTGTACGACACCGTAGATCTCATTCAAGTTGGAACTCAACTCGGGCAACGAGTAGTGAGAGACACGCTGTAATATCTCACGACACTTGTGGTAAGACTTGATGGTGCTCGGATAGTCACCGTCACTGATCGATTGTTTCAGCAGTCGCTCGAGATACACAACGTCCTTGATCTGCGACAACTCCGACAAGATCGTCTGATAGATCGATCGCTTCCTATACTTTGCCATAATATTGAATGCTGTAGTATTCAGATTCTTCTTGGTATTGCCAAGAGTTCTTCTACTGGTTGCACAAATAACAGTACTTCTCTGTAGTTCTACACCAATCTCATGAATCTGTGACATTCCCTCAACTAAATGAATGATCATAATAATAATAATAATAATTAGTTGGAATATGAACATAACATTAACATTAGCATTAACATTAACATACCAAACTCTGTATAATTCTTCTTAACACGACTGTGTAACTTTGAATTTACATAGTCCATACACCTTGTGTACTTATCAGTGTGTTTGTCCAAGAACTGAGAAAAGTCAGAGTCATTCGCTGGCAGCATATTAAGCAGGTATCTGGTGGTATCGAAATCTTTCTCGAAAAACTCTGCCGGTATAATCTTTAGGAATTCTTCTTCTGCCATTTGAGGTGCAGCATCCTGAGATTATGATGATTATTATTATTTATCAATAAATATTATATATTGAACTAAATAACATGTCAAAGTAATAATAACTTACTTTAAATTGATAGTAGTATTTTGATTTCTTTGGTTTCGTATTGTTATAGGTAACACCGGTGATCGCTGAGAATGTCTTCTTGGTAGTGGCAGCGGCATCGTCAATCTTTGACTTTAACTGTGAAACATCAAACTTGAGTACCGACGGTAGATTCGGTAGACTACCCAAGTTCAGGTTGATACTAGATGTCATGTCTTTTTGACAACCTATCTACTAAATATATCTATCTATCTATAGATAAACTATTTATATATATATATAACTAAATAAATTATTAATAAAGTTAATAAACTATATTAAATTATTATCTAAAAATCAAACTTAATCACCAAAGTTTAACAAAAATCAAAATTTTCAAAAAATATTTTTCAATCAAAATTAACCCCTTCACCACGTTTTTAAAGTTGCTAATTTATATTCATACAAAAAAAACGACAACCAATTTATTTATATTACCTCACAAATTGTTTTTCGTTTTTTCAGAATAATAATCATCAGAATCAATATATTTAGTAATAGATTGATTAAATAGATAGATAGATATAATGTTTAGATTGTTTAGTAGACAATTTTGTGGTGCTGTTAGCGATGTAAGTGGAAGTAAAGCACCTGTGATAGCATTGAAACAAGTTAGTGCAATGAAGAATGTTGTAAAGATCTCTCCTATCAATAGATTCGATAAGAGCAAACCGTTGTTGAATTTGGATCGATTGGTAGAGGAGGAACCGTTGCTAAAGAATGCTACACTGGCATCGAAGATATTGCATCCCAACACACAACAAACATTCTACTTTGAATTCGAAAGACCGTCGGATGCAATCAATACCATCAAAAGCTTGAAAGAAAAACGAGAGAAACAACAGCAACAACAATCGTATCACTATAGTATTCTATCGAATTCATTGGATCCCTATTATCAAATTTCACAGGAGCAAATAGAGTTGTTACCATCACCCAGCGTACATCTACCGGTTCATGTAATCGATGATATCGATCAGGTTGAGAGTGCAGTCCGATTGCTACTCAATGGAAAACTACCCAGTGACATTAAAGAATCATCAAAATCACCTGTTATCGCTGTCGATTGTGAATGGCCAGGTCTACGTAAGTTCTTGGTCGGTGAGAAGGCAACCGTCAGTTTAATTCAAATGACAAATGGAGTGTAAGCAAATTATTTTAAACCAAAATTAATACAAATAACATTTTAACATTCATTCATTTATTATTCAATGATAGTGATATAGTTTTATTTAGAGTTTGTAGAATTGGAATACCAAAACATTTAAAGGAACTTTTGACAAACGATAATATATTGAAAGTTGGTCATGGTATTTCGAAAGATGCAAATAAGATATCTGATGATTTAGGTGTTTTGGTAATTATTCAATTAAATCATCAACAATGATTATTATAATAATAATCAAAGTAGTATTTTTGTATGTAATAATATTAATGTAAATCTTTATGATTATGATTATGATTGTGCTATCATAACAATTATAGATGGAGAATATATATGATACAAATTATCACCCGATTGTACTTAGAATGAATAGTAAGAAATTAGCGTTTGCCGTTGGAAAGTTCTTTGGAGTCAATATCTTAAGATCGAAATCATTGTCTGTTTCGAATTGGGCCACTTCCGGAGATTTAACAGAGAATCAGATTGAAATTGCGAGTAAGTTTATACCAACTTCAAATAATCACCACAACACTTCACATTCTCCTTGGATTCTTTCTGAATTTCATTTTCGAAAAGACACCCACACAACAACCATTCATATGCTTTTCATAGCTAAATATATAATACAAACGACAAACCGACAAACCCACAAACAACACACATTTTTATAATAATTAACAATCCACTCACTCTTTTCATCTTTCAATCGATTTATTAATAATATATTTTCGTTTCGTTTCATTATTATAGGCAATGAGGTTTACTTTGCAAGAAAATTATATTTCGAATTTAAAGACAACAAAAACATTGATGTTGATATTGATTTAACAATTAGCGAGTTGTCATCAAAACGAAAATATTAACAGAAGAATAGAGGAGTAGAATAAATAATTATTGATGGATCAACCATCCCCCAAAAGCAATTTTTGTTTTTAACTTAAAACTATTTATAGTTTTCATGATTTTGATTGATTGCAACTTTTTTTGTTTTTTTTGATCATTTTATTTCGTTGCAATTTTTGTGATAACTAACAACAATGGGTTTAACTTTTAAACACACACACATAAAGCTAAAAACCCATTAATTAAATGAAAGACTATTTTAGATTGAAAAATCTTTGTCTATCAGATTTAAAGAAACTTGGTAGATTTCGCTTGGGAGCCTTTTCCATTAAAAGAAGCCACTCTTTAAAATGTGATCTCGGTGACTAAAATGTCAGTCTCTTGTTGGGTATGTTGATGTAACAAGAATTCAGTTGGTAATCAATCACTCTTATCCTAACTCTTATCTTTCTATTTTTCACTTTCAATTATTATTTTATTCTAATAAGCTTAGCTCCAAAGCCTAGCATCTAGTAAATTAAGATTTAGCAAGCAAGCAGCAACCTACTCTGAAAAGAACAAAACAAATGAAAATGTAAGAAAATGGTGCAAAACAAACCAACTGTACTGTTTTGTTTGTATTTGTGTGTGCTAATTTTATTTGTGTGTTTAGTTTTAGTTTGTTTTGATGTGTTTAATGCGGTGTGTTCTTTGTGTGTTCTGTGTGTTAAGGTGTTTGATCAAATTGTAAATGTTTAAAAGGTGGTGAGTTTATCTTATTATGTTTGTTTTCATTTTTTTTGGTTATTTTAAATTGGATTGGTTTGTTTGTTCTCTATTTTGTTGTTGTTTGATTGGTTTGTAAGTGTCTACTTTAAGAAATGAAATTGTAATTTATAACATCAACCAACATCATCATGCTATTAGAATAGATGACTATTTACAATTATCAATCTCAAGATTTAATAAAACTATTGTAAACTTTAATACATTTTTTTTCCAATATTTAATTATCAAGTATCATTTATCTAATCAAATTAAATCAATGTTATTAATTAGATTCCAATCATTCATTTTATTTAATTTATAAATTTTATCTTCACAAATATAATAACTTCATTATCTAACTTTCAAATCTTCACACAACTTCATCTTCGCTCTTTCGAAGAGTAATTATTTAATAAATCTTCTATCTATCAATCCAAACATATAAAGAATTCATAAATATAAACATTATAAATTTAGAGCTTTTATTGTTGATTTTCAGGGATTCTTATTTGATTGTGTTTAGGTAAGTTTAGAAAAAAACCCAAACAATTTAATAGTAAAAGTAATAAAAATAGTATCTATCTCAAAATATATTTGTTTGTTTTTTTTGTGGTGATCGACAGTGGTGTCAATCAATTATTCATTTTGGCAGTATTTTCGAGAGGTAAGGGTTAGTTAAACTAATTTATTCCATTAAAATTAAGCAACAACCACACTAACACAACACACATTGCCATCATAATCATTAATAAAACTAAAAGTTAAAAACAAAATATTTTAATTGTGTTGAATCAGAATTGAATTGTTTGTTTGGTGTGAGTGTGTTTATTAAGTGTTAGTGTGAATGTTGTGTGTGGATGTATATAATGTTGTATCTATCGAATTAGTTATATTATTATTATTGGCAAATTTAACCACTAAGGAGAGAGAGAAATTGATATCCAATACAATAGTAGTAAAATCATTTTTACAATGTTTTGACACTAAGCTAAGTGCCACCAACCAAAAACTAAACAGCACACAGCACAATATTAATAAAATAACATTTAATATTTAATTAAACACAACATCCATCTCATCAGAATTTAAAACCTCTCCACAGTTCACCTCATCTCACTAACTCCAACTCCTTTTATTTTTGTTTTGCTTTGCTCCACCTAATCAAGATTTGAAACAAAAATCATCATTTTAAACTTAATATTGTTGTTTCATATCTTTCATATAATTAATTAGTGATGATGATCATCACCAAAACCAACAAAAACAAAAATCAAATCAAACAAAACTTAATAAATACTTATTAATTATCTCTTTTTTTATTTTATTTTAATTTAGATTGATTGAACTGATATTTTCATATACATATAAAGTATAACTACAACATTCGATTTTTTTTTTACACAACCAAAACAACATCAACATCATCAACAAAATCAATAGCACCAGACAGTTAATCTTGTCAAAACATTATTTTCCCAAATATATATCTTTTTTCCTTTGTATATTTTATAAAATTCGAATAACCTATATACTATTTTTTTCTATATATTTCAAATTTCCACATCCATTTTTTTTTTTACTAAAACAAAAACAACAATAATTAATAATAATAATGGATCAATCGGATCCAAACAATAATAATCAAGATGATTATTACGATAATGATTATAATAGTGTGAATGATGAGGTACAGGATGATTTCCTTGAGGAAGTACCTCCAGGCACACTAATGACGACCAACGAATATGGAGATATTTCCATCGAGATTCCACCACCAAATCGTGTACCCACACTCAATTCACTTGGCTATATATCACCAAACAACAATAACAACAACAATTCTGTACCAATGCTTACGGTGGAACCAGCTGAACCACCTCAAATGCCATACCACCATCCACTGCCAATATTTATATCGACCGACAGTTCACCACTTACTCCACGAACTCCGCGCACTCCACGAACTCCTCGCACTCCTCGAACTCCACTCTCTGATTCCAGTAGCGTCGGAGGTGGTGGCGGCGGTGGCGATGGTGAAAATCCAAATGGCGGCGCGTCGACACCACAACGCAAAAAGTCTGCCAACAATCTCACCGAGAAGGAACTGAAAAAAGAGGAGAAGCGTAACAAGCTAAAGAAAGAAATGGAAGAGTCGCAAACTATTCCATTTTTCCAGTTGTATCGTTTCGCTGACGGTTGGGACAAGTTGCTGATGTTCTTTGGAAGCATAGCGGCGATCGCCAATGGTGCAGCCATCCCTTGCATCTCTATTATTTTCGGTCAGGTCATAGAAGCATTCAATCCGAAACATTTCAACAACGATCCAAACTACTCGATCATCGACACCATTAAAAACGTCAGTATTTGGTTCTTGATAGTCGGTGGAATCTGTTTTATCCTCTCCTACTTGGAGACTGCACTTTGGACAATCGCAGGTGAACGTCAAACCAATAGAGCACGTGTTGAATATCTATCATCAATTCTCAGGCAAGAAATAGGTTGGTTCGATACAAACAAAGCAAATGAATTAGCATCTCGTATTAATTCGTAAGTAGTCTAGAAAAAAAACAAAAAGAAATTACTTATTTACTAAAATATTTTCAATCAAAGTGATACTGTTTTATTCCAAGATGCAATAGGTGAAAAGGTTGGACATTTCCTTCATAATTTAGCAACGTTTGTGGCTGGTTTTGCAATTGGTTTTACAAAGGGTTGGCAGTTGACGCTGGTTATTACGTCGGTTTCACCGCTGCTGGCAATAGGTGGTGGTTTCATGGCGAAAATGATGACGGAAATGGCTAGGTTGGGTCAGGAGGCGTATTCAGTTGCCGGTGGTATAGCTGAAGAGAATATCGGTAGTATTCGTACGGTTGCAACTTTCAGTGGTGAGGTGAGAGCAGTTCATCGATACTCGGAATCTCTGAAGCAAGCGCTGAGAGTCGGTTATAAAAAGTCGATTTTCAATGGATTTGGTTTGGGATTCGTTCAGTTTGTTATCCTCGGTACATACGCCCTGGCGTTTTGGTATGGAAGTACACTCGTTTCCAAAGGAACCCGAAACGATCTCACTTCGAAACCCTGGACTGGCGGTGATGTCGTGTCGGTCTTCTTTGCTGTTATCATTGGTGCCACTGCTATTGGACAAGCGTCACCTGCACTGGCATCATTCGCCAATGGTAGAGGCGCAGCTTTTAAAATCTTCCAGGTAATTGACCGTGTTTCCAAAGCGAATCCATTCAGCACTCGTGGAAAACGATTGGATCGTCTCTCTGGAGAAATCGAATTTAGAAACGTTGGATTCACATACCCATCGCGTCCAGACGTCCCTATCTTTAGAGATTTCAATTTGACTATCAAGCCTGGACAAACGATTGGTTTGGTTGGTGATTCCGGTGGTGGAAAATCCACTGTAATTTCGCTGTTGGAGCGATTCTACGATCCGCAAGAAGGACAGATTCTTCTGGATGGCGAAGATATCCGACGTCTCAATGTGAGAGCACTGCGTCAAAAGATTGGTCTTGTCAGTCAGGAGCCGGTGTTGTTCGCCACATCGATAGCTGAGAACATTCGTTATGGAAAGGACGATGCCACTCAGGAGGAGATTGAACACGCTGCCAAACTAGCGAATGCACATTCATTCATCCAGAATCTTCCACAGGGTTACAGCACGATGGTCGGTGAGAAAGGAGTGCAGATGTCCGGTGGACAGAAACAACGTATTGCCATTGCGAGAGCTATCATTAAGAACCCGAGTATTCTACTGTTGGACGAAGCTACCAGTGCACTCGACAGTGAGAACGAACGTATCGTACAGGAAGCAATCGATATTCTCATGAAGGGTAGAACAACGATTTTAATTGCTCACAGACTATCGACGATTCGTGATGCCGATGTCATTGTTTTCGTTAAGCACGGTTCCGTTGTGGAGCGTGGCAGTCACGAAGAGTTGATGGCACGCCAAGGACACTACTTCAGACTCGTAGAGAAGCAGAATCAACAGCAACTTCAAATGGTTATGGAAACCGGTAGAAGTCGTCGTAGTAGCACATTCTCCGATGTCAATCCACTGCTCGACAGTTTCCGTCCAACAAAGAAACGTGCCAATCGCGAGAAGAAAGACGGAACTCTCACCATTAGAAGAAAGAAGAAGGCAAAGAAGACTGCCGGTCCAAAGGACGTACCGTTCTCACGTGTCATTGGATACAGTCGTCCTGAATTCTGGCTATTCTTCTTTGGATTCCTCTCTGCAGTTGGAACCGGTGCTATCTACCCTGCATTCTCGATTGTATTCACAAAGATGTTGACGATCCTTCAGAACTCCGACCCCAACTACATCACCAAGGAAGCGAATTTCATCTCGCTGATGTTTGTTGTGCTGGCAGTTGGCAGTGGTGTAAGCAACTTTTTCCAAACCTTCTTATTCGGTGTCATAGGTGAGAAGCTTACTTTCCGTCTGCGTGTCGACAGTTTCAAAGCGATCATGAGACAATCGATTGGTTGGTTCGATCTCTCTGAGAATTCAACGGGCAAGTTGACAACGAGTTTGGCATCGGACGCATCGCTGGTACAAGGTATGACAAGTCAACGTCTTGGTATATTGCTACAGAACTTCCTTACTATTGTCGGTGGTTTGGTGATTGCGCTGATCTCCAGTTGGAAATTGACACTGGCAATCATCGCTACTTTCCCACTGGTAGTCATCACTGGACAGGTGCAAATGAAGTTCTTGAAAGGTTTTTCATCGGAGGGAATGGAGGGAAGCGGTGCCGCTGGACAAGTAGCAAGCGAGGCGATCACCGGTATTCGAACCGTCGCGTCTTTCACCACTGAAAATCAAGTGTTGGCACTCTACAAGAAACAACTGAAGATACCCATTAGCAACGGTATTAAAAAGGCACATATCGCTGGATTGGCATTTGGAATATCGACGTTTATCATCTTTGGTGTATATTGTCTATCGTTTTGGTACGGTGGTTACTTGGTTGGCCAAAGAGAATGGCCAGCAACCGACGAGGAAATCGCTTCGAATTGCAATGCCCAGACCATTCCACTCTACTGGAAAGATATGGCGACTTGTACACGTGCTCAAGACATGCTCTTTGGATTCTCTTCGTTGATGAAAGTATTCTTTGCAATCGTGCTGTCTGCCATCGGTGTTGGACAAGCATCTTCACTGGCACCGGATATCGCCAAAGCAAAGTCCGCCACCAACGCAATCTTTGCGCTGCTCGACCAACAATCTGCCATCGACCCAACGCAATCGGGTGGTGAAACCATTCAAGTTCCAACCGGTGATATCGAGCTGAAGAATGTCCACTTTGCCTATCCTTCACGTCCAAACAACATGGTATTCAGAGGTTTCAATATCTTGATTTCCAGTGGAACGACTACAGCGTTTGTCGGAGACTCTGGAGGTGGAAAGAGTACGGTCATCTCGCTGCTACAGAGATTCTACAATCCATCGCAAGGTGAAATATTTATCGATGGTCATAACATTCGCAATTTGAATGTCAAACATCTTCGTTCACTGTTTGGTATGGTCGGCCAAGAGCCAATCATGTTTTCTGGAACCGTCGCTGAGAATATTGCATATGGAAAGGTCGATGCCACTCAAGAGGAAATTGAAAATGCTGCAAGACTTGCCAATGCTCATGGATTTATCAGTGAATTCCCCGATGGCTATAATACTCATGTCGGTGACAAATATACACAGCTCTCGGGTGGACAAAAACAACGTTTGGCAATCGCTCGTGCCATCATTAGAGATCCAAAGATTCTGCTACTGGACGAAGCAACCAGTGCTCTCGATAACGAATCTGAAAAACTGGTTCAAGAAGCGCTCGAGAATGTAATGAAAGGTAGAACAACATTGGTGATAGCTCATAGATTATCGACCATCCAGAATGCTGATCTCATTGCCTTTGTCCGCGCAGGACAAATCGTAGAAAGAGGAACTCATGAAGAATTAATGGAATTAGATGGTCTATATGCTCAATTAATTAATAGACAGAATCTAAATAAATAGAATTTAGTTTACCAAAAAATAAATATTTTATAAAAAATTATTGTTGTTGATTTTAATTCTGAAAAAATTTATTATCTTAGAATTAATTATAAAAATAAAGTTTATTAAATTAAAGTTGATTGTTTTGGAAATGAATAAGTATTTATGGAATTAATTTTTTGTATTGATAAGTACAGTTGAATAGTTATACTGTTTGATTCTTTGGTAAACTCTGGAATTGATAGTAGATATAAGTATCAATGCCAAAACCTATTTATTTGATGATGTGTTGATTGAGTTTTTCTCCAATAGAGAATATCATAAGTGAAACTATTTTAAAAATATTACAACCTAAAACCAATAATTGATAGTTCAATAAAAATTTTTACTACTTTGGTGCCCCTCATTAAAATATTAATAGTAATTTAAATTATATATATTTTTTTGGTTGAAGTAAACTAGTTAAATATTTTAAGAGATTATTTTGTTAATTTTAAATTTTTTTTTTCTAAGTTCAGACTCTTTGATCATTAGTTGAGATTTCAAGATATTTCTTTAATTAAAAAACTAAACATATTCCCAAAAAAAAATTCTTTGAAAAAAAAAATTGGCTATTGTTAACTTTTGTGATTAAATTTTTAATCAAAAGTTATTTATTTATATTATTTATTTTATTCATATGGATAAAAAATTATTTTCAATTGTATTTAATAATGTTGTTTTGAACAAACATATATTTAATCAAGTTAGTTTTATAATAAAAAGTATTAGAAACTATCAAAGCTATAAATGGAATGAAGCACTTGACTCACCACATGTCTTGGCTGGCAACGGTTACTTTGACCTACTAAAGAAATGTATAAATCGAAAGAGCAATGGAATCATTGAGAGTTTCGATATGCGGCTATTGAACTGTGCAATCAGAGGTGGCAGTGTAGAGATGTTCAGCTACCTGTTCGACCTGCAGCAACTTGAGCGAAGAATCGAGATAAAATCACCACAATACTTCCCGAATGAACTCTTGGCAAATGCATCGCAATGCGGTCGACTAGATATCGTGCAATTCCTGCTCGATAGAATCACAGAGTACCTGTGGGATTTCAACTATGCTCTGGCGCAGGCACCGTTCTCCGGTGACTTGTCTGTATTGAAATTCTTTTCCGATCCAAAGTACGCGCGTTTCTATCAACCGAGAACAAACTATGGTGAAGTATTTAATAGCGCTGCACGTAGTGGCAACATCGCAATGATAGAATGGTTGGTGGAAAACCGATCGCAAGGATTGGAAAAATCCAATATGCTCTTGGCAGCAATCAGTGGAAAACAACTCGAAACTATCGAATACCTCTTGAGGAATCATCATTCTTTGTTCGATAAGAAATCTCCAGAGTATCTGAGAGTTGTCACTCACGAACATAATAGCTCCATTGAAACATTCAAGTTGTTTTATGACCAAGGATTTGCATGTTCAGACACAGTATTTCGTAATGCAACCATCTCTGGAAATCTCCCTCTACTAAAATGGTTACACTCCAATACAACCTATAAATGCACTGATTCGATGTATCTTGCTTCAGATTATAATTACTTTGATATACTAAAGTGGCTGAATGAGAATAGAAGTGGTGAAGGTTGTAGTTACAATGAGATGGATGTCGCTGCTACCAATGGAAACTTGGAAATCGTTCGATTTTTGCATCAAAATAGAAGTGAAGGATGTAGTTACAATGCTTTTGATGGTGCAGCTGAAAACGGTCACCTACATGTGGTGCAATGGTTGTACGCCAATAGAACGAACGAAGGTTTCTCAGTGGGAACAATCGACCAGGTTGCAATGAAAGGACATCACCAGGTTGTCGAGTGGCTCGAGTTGAACACCACCCAGCGATGTAGTAGAGATATTCTAGAGTATGTCGTCGAGGAAGGACATCTTGGAATGCTCATTTACTGCCATGAGAGAAATGGTGATAACAATCACTATCGATTCTCCGAGGACACGATGGATGTTGCTATCTCAAGAGGTCACTTACATATGGCAAAATGGTTGCACGCAAACCGAACCGAAGGTTGTACACCAGCCGCTTTTCTCAACGCAATTCGCAGTGATACCGACCGGACCGATATCATTGAATGGATATTTGAAAATCGAACCGAATACAGCTTGGAATTGGTAGACCTCGATGACAGTGTACAATTCGTTCTTTGTAGAAACAATCATAGAATATTGACTTGGCTATTAGAAAGAGTATCATATACTGCAGAAAATCTTAGAGATTACATTAATATAATGGATTCCTACTATCCGACTTTCATTGAATCAATCGATGTATTAAATCACTATCTACAAAAGTGCGAACTATCTAAACAAATCAAAATACATGAAATTACTTTAGATTAGAGTTGTTTTCTCATAATCCTTCAGTAATAGATAATTATAAATCGATTATAATCATCAAATAAAAAGTATGATAGATAATGTGATCAAAATAAAAAAAAATAAAAAAAATAAAAATTCTAAAATTTTTGTTCCATGGGTTGTTCCAATTCCGAAGATTTTGGAATAGAAATTGGTTTGGAAGAAGCTGATTGATCATTATAAAAACATCATCATAATCATTTGATTTATTTTATTTACAAATATTTATATTTACTATCCTATACTATTAAACAAAAAATGGCTAAACAAACTTTGAGAATTACATCAACAGATCAATTCGAATCAACTGTTGCCCAAGCTTTGGCCACCTCTGATCCAGTTTTCGTTGTATTCATCTCTACTTTGAATGAAGACGGTATCTTCTGGTGTCCAGACTGCAGAGTTTGTATGTATATCTTAAAAGAACACTTATTAATATTTATACTGATCAATATTGGTTTGATTACCTTTAATAATTTAATAGCTGACCCAGTTTTCAAGAAAGCCTTCGATGAATTAGAAAACTATTGTTTGGTTGAATGTGCAATTCAAAGAGATGGGTAAATATCGAATTGTTGAATCTAGATTGATTTGATAAACAAGCAAACAACAAAAACACTAACAAATCATATCATATTAATAATAAACTATCGATTCATATAGATATAAAGGAAACCCAGAACACCCATATCGTACACACCCACGTATTCAACTCAAGGGTATCCCAACATTGATGTCATGGAAGCAAGATACTCAATCAAAGTTTGCTGAAGACGAATGTGGTAACTTTGAAAAGGTATCAGCCTTCCTCAAAGCTAACCTTTAAATATTAAAAAAAAACATTTAAAAATAATATATATATATTTAATAAACATTTAATGTATTATTATCCAATTTAACAATCACAATTCAATCATATCATTATTAAAAAAAAAAAAAAAAAAACAATCCAAAAAAGGGTTTAGGTTCATCTTCAAGACATCTTGATTAGTGCATATTTATAATCTTTAGAGTATTAATTAGTTAATTAGTTGGTTAGTTAATTGGTATTAGTAATAATGGATGAAGAAGATGATGATAGATTAAATGAAGATGTAGAGGATGTCGATGTTGAAGAGCAGCAACCAAAGGAAGATGTAATAATGTTTGATACCGATGATACTGCTGTCGGTGGAAATACAACTACTACTTCTGCACCGATAACAATACAAGACGATGACGATGATGATAATGATAATGATGAAGAGGAGGAAGCTGTTGTTGATGAAGATGATGATAAAAGTGGTTCGTCGTCAGCATCGACATCATCGCCAACATCGATGGAATCAATACTGACATTCACCAACGACGATATAAAGACATTCACAACAACATCGCTCATTAGCTTACTATTGATTCATGCTATCAGTAAGATAAGCAGTAGTAGTGGTAATACCGACAACAATGAAACATCCATAGATTGGCACAACATATATAAACAATTCATCGATAAACTGAAACAACTGAATAAACTATCGCAATTCTTTATCAACGATACACAATTACAATCGATTGAAAAGAATTTATTAACACCAAAAGTATGTACATAACCATTGCCTATCAATTCTACTCTATACTAATGTAACTCTTATAAAGCAATGTGAACTATATTATAATAAACTAAAGACTATATATTCAAAAGAGTAAGTAAATAATAGTTATTAATAATAATACTAAATTCTTTGTTCTTTTGTTTACTAACTTTAATAATGAACAAAGTAATTTTAAGGATTTGGAGATTTCAATTAAAGATTTGTTGGTTGTAGAGATAAGGAAATCTATAAATGATCTTGAAGTTAATATAAAGTAAGATATCAATATTGTTATTATCATTAACAAATGTATATGTTATTAATATGTATCTTTAAAGTAATTTACAAGAAGAGATTAAATCAAGAGATGATAGTAAGTTATCATCGTTATCTTTGACGAGTATTGACGAGGTTAGTCTAGAAGCTTCTACACCCTCGAATAGTAGTGTAATTGAAGAACCGCTGTCACCTTTGAACCCGACAACAACTACTACGACGACAACTACCAATACAAAGGTAAAGGCATCATCTACACCCGTTCAACAACAGCCAAGTACACCCGACATCAACGAAGACACCAAACAACAACAACTACTACGTTCACAACAACAACAAGAGGATGAAAAGAATAACAAAATCATTATGGGTCAGATGCAAAAGGTATGGAAAGCGTTGAACTCTCATCGCTATGCATCGATCTTTCGTTATCCGATCACCCACGACGAAGCACCCGACTACGATGAATATATCAAGCATAGAATGGACTTGACCACACTCAAGAAGAATCTGGACGACGGTCTCTACAGCAATAGCTCAGAGTTCAACGGTGATCTACAGCTGATATTCAGTAATGCGATGGAGTACAACGCACCAAACTCTGAGATCTACAACTATGCCGTCTCCATGAAGAAGTACACCGACAAGGAGATGGATATGATTCTGACCACCGAGAATATGCTTCACAACACAGGAACGACACCGCTGCGTAGCAGTCGTAGTTCATCGACAACACCATCGCCAAGTATCAGAGGTCGTAAATCCACAACCACCACTACCACTACCACTACTACTAGTAGTGCCAACAACAGTTCCTCAACAACACCGACTCGTGGTGGAAGCAAAAGAGATTCTGCCCCATCGACTCCATTGAACGACGACGTAGATGAAGTGAAAACACCTCAAGTCGAAGAATCACCATCACCACAATCCAGCAGTGCCAAACCAAAGGCTAATCGTCGTGGAAGAACCAGCAAACCAGCTGCCTCTACACCTACCGAGCAAAAGAAAACCACAAAAAGACAAAGAACTTCTAGGACCGAAGAGAAATCAACTGTTTCATCTGATGAGAGTTAATCACCCAACAACAAAACAACAACAACAACAGCACTTTCAAAAGAAAAAATAATATTATTACATCTCCACAGTATTTATTTATCTCCATTACTTTTCACTTTTGCACTCTGCCAAACAAAAACGATCTTTATCTTTCACTAACCTCAACAAATTCATAAAACATGTACAATTTAATTAATCAAATAATTATTTCTAATTATTTTTTATATTTATTTTTTATATTTATTTTACTGGCCAGCCTTTGGAAAACAATTGTTTCAGAATAATTTATCGAACTTCTTGGTTATGTTTGGAAGATAAAAAAAACAAGGATAAGTCAAAATAAAAGTAAGGTGAGTAAAAAAAAAAAATCTAAATCTATACCAGGTTTTTTTAAACCAAGAATGAGAATGAGCACCCATTCAGTCATATTTTTTGTAAAGATTTTTCAATTCGCAACATGTTTAGATTGATTTTGGTTACCAGGTTAACGGATATTTTTTTTTTGTTGTGGATTTTACAATTTTTTTGTTTTTTGTTTTTTTCAGATACAATTATGATGTGACACCATCAAAAAAACCAAATGTTGACAGGTTGCGGCTGTTTGGTCCATGGTATCCATTTTTTCTAATTGAATTAATTATTAATTTTATTTTTATTTATTTTTTTCTATTTTCTCCAAAATTGTAACCGTGGATTTCAACATAAATACCAGTGTAATATCAAATGAATAGCTAGAAAACCAGTGTCACACCAGTAAATATTTTTTCAATCAGAAATATATATATACGTAAATATTATTTATTTAAAAATGAAAGTTATCTTTTTCAGTGCAATTCTTCTTTTGGTTGCTTTGTCCACAGTCTCTGCTATCAAGGAGTCTGGTAAGTGCGAATGTCAATTCCACGATGGTACCATCAAGCATATCAATGCCTACGATAAACAAAGCTGTTTCGACAGATGTACTTTAGTTGGTGCCCAAACTCGTCCAGCCTGTGATGAGGTCAGCAACACCTGCCAATGCTCATTGAAGGTCACCGAGTGTGTCGATGAGAACAAGGTTGGTCGTCACGGTGGTCACCACGGTGGTATCCACGGAGGTTTCCACGGTCCAGTTTCCATCTCCATTGGTGGTTCATCTGGTAGCGGTTCATCAGGTAGCAGCGGTTCCTCAGGTAGCAGCGGTGGTTCATCTGGAAGTGGTGGATCCTCTGGTGGTGGTTCTGGTGGTGGTTCTGGTCTCCTCAAGACTCCAACCCAAGTCTGCCCATGTATCTCCCAAGTTTCAAGCTACAACTATGAAAACTAAAAAAACAAAACAATCTTATTCTATAGATTTGTAATTTAACATTTTAAAAAGTTTTGTTTAATTATTTCTAAATTAATCGAAACTTTTGAATAAAATCCCAAAACTCTATCATTCACTTTATTGTATAATAATAATTCTAAAAATATACTACTTTTGTTTTTCTTTTTTTTTTTTTTTTTTTTTTTTTTTTGTTAATATTATTTTATTTTATTTACATATATTTTTCCATTGGAACGGCGGTCTCTTCGTCATCTACAAATTGACCAAATTCATCATGAAGTTTGTAATCATAGGAGGTGTCGTAAATATCATGCAGATCATTGTCATGATCGCATTGGTCACTTGTACTGCTGTTTGTTTCATCGAGTGAATATTCAGGGTAGTGTTCCTTGTTGATTAAAGTTGTACTAGTAGGTACACTCGCTTCCATCTCATCAAATTTCTATACTCGGAAACATCATTGTATTAATAATTAAAACTTGAGAGATAATGAATGGAGATATTATATATTTATATACCATTGATTTCATTGTTTGAGTTTCATCATATAGTTTAATAGATTCTTCTAGTGTCAATTCTTTAGCTTGTCTGATCGGTTTGTTTGGTGCGGGTGGTGATTTGTTGGTTTTCATCATTGAATCTTTACTCTTTGACTTCATTGACAACGTTTTCATTTGGAATATTAGTCTATCGTCATCGTTCATACTGTTTGGTTTACCGTAAATCTCTGCATTATTATTTATCTCTATTTCTTTTTCTTTTTCAATAGTACTATTTGTTGTTGTTGTTTTGTTTGATTCCTCTATTACTACACTCGATGTATTGCCACTTTTAATCTTTGTAATAAGTTGATTGATTTCCTTTATATTATTTAATATCTTTTCACCTTTATCAGGTAGATTCGCACCCACAGAACTATATAAACTATTCTTGCTTTGTAATAGTTTCTCTAATTCAACTAAAGACATCAAATTAATATCTTTTTGCAATACTTTATTTTTTGAACTATTCATTTTAAATTTAAATATAGAAACAAACAAACAAACTATCTAATAAAAAAATAATAGTATCGATTAATTTAATTTCAATCTAAAATTTTAAATTAATTTTAGATCTAAAATTTTCCAAAAAAAGAAAAAAATATTTTCGCCATGACTTGAAAATGTGTGATAGCTTTAGAAAAACGAACGACAAAAGACACTTTTGGTGTAAAAATGTTGAAGAACACTACTAAAAAATCTTGGTTTCCATTATCTTATTAATAATAAACAGAATTGGAAGAACTCGTTGAGATGTTAAAGAATTATTGTATTACCTACAATGTTCCTTTGGAACAAAACCTTTTTAACTTTCAAAAAATAATTAAATTTTGTGTATATATAATCAATATTAATTTTCATTTCAACACTGAACAGACGTCTGTCAATCTTCTTTACATGTTCCTAAGATAGAACGTATCAATTTTTTGTTGTTAATATTACAAATAAAAAGGGAACAATCTTTATTTGAATAAGATTTAATGTAATCGGAATCCAACTAATTTATTAAATAAATCAAATTTATGATTACTGAATAAATAGTTTTGCTCAACAATATTAAGTGACTATTATCATTATTGTTGTAGTTTCTCAGCAGCAGCATTCTTTGCATCTTCTAAATCTTTTAGTTTCTTATAATATTCTCTAGAGGAATCGTAAAACTGATTTGGATGATTGACTTTAATGTTGAATGTATTATCTTTATGTAAATAGTCAAAATGTTTTCCACATGCCAACTAAAAAAATATAATATTTAAAATATTGAATAGTGAGTTAGCTTTTGAATAATGAAGATAAAGGTTATGACTACTTACATTTGGTGAGATTTGGGTTGCATTTATAATTTCATTGATGGTGATATCATCGACACCATAGTCACGAAGACGTTGCTCGAGTTTCTCCTGTGACCACACATAGGGACATCCGTGTATCTCCTCGGAGTTCTTGGGAACCTTCGAGATGATCTTGGCGCATGACGATGGCGAGTAGGAAATACCCTTACCTTCAAGTCCGTAGGTGTGACGCACCATGTATGCATACTCCTTGTCAAACTCGGCGCCAGAGACACGCTTGGCAAACGACGATTTCCAGTAGCCGATGGCATCCTCGTAGCTCAGACCGATCGCCTTGAGGAACGTACTAAACTGCAGACGACCGTCGTATTTCAACTTGCCCATCTTCAAGAGACCGTCGTGCATCACACGCATGCACATTGGGAACGACTGGCGGGAGATCGGTGCAATCTCGGCCGCTGTGATCTTTCCGTGGTTGGCAGTGACCGCGATGCCACTCTGCTTCGGGAGACTCCTAAAGAAACTCGACAAATGTGGATAGCTCTCAGCGATACGCTGGTACTCCTCGCGAATCCTGTCCATTGCGAATATCAAATAGCTTCGGAAACTCTCTATAATGACATCGTGAAATTCGTGTTTCGCTATGTATGCAACTCCTCGCTTCAGCAACACCTTCTTTCTGGCGATCAACTGTGATACCTCTTGAAATGGCATCTTCAGGAAATCGCTATACACACATGACACCTTGGCAATTCTCAACACTGGATCTTCATTATCAGCGGTATCTTTTTCAACCCCCAATGCTCTTTTATATAATTTCGAATCCTTCAAAAACAACAACAACAAAACAAACAAATGGTTGGTTATTAACAAAACTCTATCTCTCTAGACTTTATCAATAAATAACTTACATAAAGATAAAATAAATCTCTTGCATTTAATTGGAATTCCTCTTCGTTGAGTACTGACCATCCAAATCCTGCATTTTTCTGTAGAAACTGTTGAAACTGTTCGATTGTAATATTCTCTAGTCTGTAACGAAGCAATAGCATCTCTTGTTGAATGAACCATTCCAAATCGCTTGAATTCGCCATTGCCAGTCTCAATAGATAATGTGATGTCTCGTCTTTACTCTGGTATAACTCTTCGTCACGATCTGAAAACGCTTTCAATAACAATCCAATCTGTTGATTACATTGCTCCTTTGATAATTCTAACTTTGCTAATGAGATTGATTTTAAAACTAATATTTTTTTGTTTTATTAGTTAGCTATTTATCATATCATATCTTATTATTTTTTTAGTTTTGTTTTAACAAACATAGTTCTAGACACTTTACGTGATAAACGTGATAAACACATTGATTCTAGTTGTGACATATTCAATATCTCTAGAGTTGGTAATGTACAATATAGATTCGGTAGTATATGCTTTCTTGTTGTAGTTGAATCATCGACATTCTGTTGTTTATTAATAGATCTAAGTGAAGTTGCCATTCTTTTCTAACTTTAAAGATCTTCAATAATTAACTAAGCTACAAAAGTAATATAAATAAATTAAATTGTTAAAAAGTATACTAATATCAAACAATTTTAAAAAAGTAATGAGAAAACAATCAATCAATCAGATTTGAATTTTTAAAAAAAGGCGCACTTTCAAAATAAGCACACACAATTTAAATTGTTTGATTTAGTTAGTTTTTAATTTTTAAACAATTAATTTTTTATTAGAATTATTTTTAAAATCTTTATTATTATTATTTAAATAAATAAAATAAAATGTATAATGAATATTTTGATATTGATAGGATATTATCTGAAGAAGAAGTAAGTATCAATAAAATAATTAATTATTAAATTTGATAATAATATCTAATTAATTTAATCTCTCGTTAGAGAATTGTATCAAAATTTGAAACAGATGCATATAATCTAGGTCATTTGGATCAGAGTTCAACCAATAGAGATGTAGGCCATTCAAATCACTACTAATTTAAACAATAATATTAATAAATATTTAAAAAAAATATAGATGAAACAAGGCGATGAAGTCGAACTCCCATTCTGGTTGGCAAAAGTACTTAATAATAATAATATCATATCGAATTCACCACCAGTAGTCTTCTTGGATGACTATCAAAATAAGATTCTCGCTGATCCAAAAGTAATCTCCATGAGAAAATATCCATACTATGATGTTTTCGGTATTAAGATTTCAATGTTGTAAGTTATATAACTTTTAGAATGATTCATTCATTCAAATGATGTCTAATAATATCACTACAACAATACAATTCGACAAACTATATAATAGCTTTAGAGATTATGAACTAAGCAAAGTACTTTTCAAGGTATTCAAACAGAGATTGTTTCACATATTGGTGCAATCGATGCACTTGAGAAATACTGATGTCAGCAAGATTCAAACGGATCTCACAACTCAAGAGAACTTCATATTTGCAATGGGATATCAATCGTCGGCTGACTACGACAGTTGGAAGGACGGTAGAGGAGACAGAATCACCAGTTCCGACAAGAAATACACTCAATCCAAAAACAGAAAAGAAGAGACTCTATTGAAAAAGAGAAAACGTTTAAATGATACCAACAATGATTAACTAATTTCGTTGAACAGAGCAAATACAATTCATACAAATAATCATCATCATCATAATTATTTTCATTGTTGTCGTCTCGTCGGCACTATATTTAAAATTACTATCTCTAATCAACCACAAATCAACAATAACCAACCACTTTCATCATAAACCCCAATCAATCATACATTTTTGTAATCTTCCACAACCAACAAACAGAACAGTAACTGTTGCAACATAAAATCGATTATTATTATCATCATCAAGTTGCCATCTTCAATGTATATAGTTTGTTAATGTTAAACCAGCAACAAACAGACCAAACCAAACACAAATCCAACAACAATAATCAAATAATAAATAAACCAACCAACCAACAAACAATTTTATTAATAAACAAACTTACCATTTTTATAAGAGTAATATAACAAATTAAACAACTACAATAACAACCCCTCTTCCTCTCTTAATTAACTTAATTAACTTCAAACATAATTACAAAAAACCGTTGCATTTCTCAAGTGTGTTATCTTATCTATCTATTTATGTTTAAACATAATGTTTTTAAATAAATTCAAATATTAATATTATATTATTCGCACAAATTATATAAATAAGTATAACAGCTATATAATCACAAAAATAATCCAACAACAAAACTAAATCTATTTTCGATATCTGTCTTATTTTTGATGTTTTGTTTTGGGTGGTTTGATCAACTAGAATACCACCCTATCCACTATTATCGACCACCATCTTTCTCAACTACTTACCACTGATTCGAATTTGTGGTTAATCAAAACAAATTTAGATCTATTTTATTTTATTTTTTTGATGATTTGGTTAGATTTTGGTTTTGTTTTTTTTTTTTTGGATGTTTTGAGTGTGTAAAAAAGGTGTCGCAAATCGCCGGCATTTACTCACACACACTATTTATGGACATGCAAACATAGTGTTAACACATATCATAGATTCAAATTTTTCTACTGAGATTTACTCAACCCAAAGAAAATCGAATCAAAAGATATTTCGTGATTTGATTTGATTAATAATGTTATACTGTTGTTGAAAATGTGTGATAAGGTTAGAGAGATCTGCAACCCGATTCACATTTACCCTTATTTTGGGTTTTATTTTTATTTTTTATTTTTTTTTACTATTTTTTTTATAAGGCGCCTCTCTGGTGTGAGGAAAATAATAAGTATATAAAATAATTTCAACTCTGGTTTCGTTCCATAAAAACAATCATCTTAGTTTTCATAACATTAACAGTAGTAGTAACTCTATCTGTATACTATACAATTCACTTTTTTATATTTCTTATATAAAATCTAAATTCTCTTCTTTTTTTTTTTTCTATATATATTTTTGTATACTTTATAAAATATAAAATGGCCACCAAATTCGGAACATCAGAGAAATGTGTTGTCTGTACTAAGACTGTTTACTCACTTGAAAGATTGGCTGCTGATGAGCGTATCTTCCATAAAGCCTGTTTCAGATGTACCACTTGCAACAATGCACTCAAACTCGGTAGTTATGCATCAATGGAACAAAAGACATATTGCAAACCATGTTTCAAGGTAAATAATTTCTTATTGAAATGGTACTCTATATTTAACTATAAATGCTAATCTATTTTCTATTCATTCTTTATTTTTATTATATCCAGAAATTATTCTTCTCAAAGGGTAATTACTCTGAAGGTTTCGGTCAATTGAAGCCACAACACCAACATGACTTGAAGAAGGGTACCCCAACTGTTACCTCTGTCGAGCCAGTTCAAATTCCAGTCAACTCTTCAGTGGTAGAACCAACCGCAACAGAAGTCGAGACTGCCTCCTCTTAAACAACTACTTATTCACAACATTGATCAAACAAATATATAGAATATCAATGAACAAAATCAACTCTCTGTAATATTAGCAAGCAAATATATATACTTTTTACTTTTATAAATCCAGAACTTATATATAACAATATAAAGCAATCAAATAAATACTCGAATCATAATATTTGAGAACACTTTATGTATTCCTATATCATACCTATATTTATAGCTACAGCAGTACAATTACATTTTACATTCATTCTTCTTTTTTGTTTTGAGAATCTGATACAGAATCACAATGATGATTCTGTTTAAAATAATCTTGATCATTATTATTATCATCTAAACCATTTTCACTGTGATAAAAAAGGAAGAAGAAGAGAAGATAAGGAAAATAAAATTGAATCAATATATATAGATATAAAAAAAATATAGAAAATTGAGAATATTATTATTATTGTTGGCAGTTGTAGTTGTTATTTGTTGTTATTTGATATTATGTATTTAATAAATACTTTTGTTGAAGAGCATGTTGTTCCTCTATTAATCTTTGATACTCTTGTTTGTTCTTCTCGATAAAAGGTAGGAGCCAGTCCATAACCTCGCTAAACAGTTGACCGGCAATCTCTTTGAGTGTTGTTACATTCTTTGTCTGTTGTACTTTGTTTGCCAATTCACGACCGACGCTATCACTCAGCAGTTCCCAGAACGACGCTTGACTGAGTGTCCACGCACCGTTATACTGTCTCAGGTTCATTGAAAAATTGAATTGCAGTGGGATGTGTTTCGAGTGAGAATTGATATAGGCAACGATCGGATGTGCCAGAGCATTCGAAAGGTAACTCAGCTCCGGTGTATACAGCGGTGCCACAGAGAACAAATGATTTAATTGTACACTGAATGTTAAATGTAAGTTTTTAAGTGGATCTATTAATTATTTCAAAGTTATTTGTTATTAGTATAAACACATTTCAAGATATATAGATCTTTCTATCTATTTTTTATCAATCAATGAATTACCTTTATCAATTGGAATGATACCATAGTCAACGGTATGACTCTCCGATTCTAATATCTCTCCTTCTTTTACTTTGGGTAATAAAAGATTGAGTTGAATATCAAATGTACCTTCTTTTATCCATCCAAGTGGTCCCGTTGCATTTCTTGATAGAATATCTATATTTACACCATCGAGTTTCAACTATCATCATAATGATTATTAGTAAGAATATGTTTAAAATAGTCGTAGTAAAAGTAGTGGTAGACATACTTCTCTTTGTTCAAATTTCGATGCGTTTGTGTCAGCAGTCTGATGTTGTGGAATGGTATAAGTAAAGAGTGAACCATCGAACTTTCCAACGATGTTCTTACTGGAGAGAAGATCATACAATATCCATTGTTTTCTAAACTTGTCAGACTCCATACTGAACACCGATATAGAGAGTGGTCGATGTGTCTTATCTGGCATATGATATGTTATCAATAAATCCTTTACTTCCAACCGATCAAATACAAAATCTCCAAGTGCCCTAAAATATCAATTTCATTTTTGGTAATTAGTTAGTTATATATAAATATATACATATTATTATTAATATTGTAATTAGTTATCATATCATATACTTTTTCTTTCTTGGATAAATCATATCTGCGTAATTTAAATAGAGACCCTCACTACGACGATCTATGATTCCACGAACACCGGATACCAGACACTCCTGGATGATTCCCTTGCCTTCGAGTAGCCAGAGTATCGATAGTTTAATATCGATCTGTTTGATCGAGAGTTGGATCGATGAGAGGTGTTCGTCGGCTCTAGGATTACGTGAAACAGTGACATTCTCCAATCTAATGTATCCTGTCTTCAGCTCTCCTCTTGCATGTTCAAAAGTTATATTGATTCCAGTGTTGGTTGTAAGGTATTTACCAATGCGTTTAGCTGTCCACTCTGTTTTAATAACAATAGATAGATAGATAGATAGATCAACATGATTAATAATAACATCTCAACACGACAACAAGATAATGATTACAACACGTGATGTGAAACATACCTGAGAATTCAAATGTATTTACAATCCAGAGTATCAGTGAAACGAGAGTAGTTGTTCCCAAGATTATAAGAGAACCAGTACCAAAAAGAAGCCAACTGAAAATAGCAAAGAAATGATCCGATGTCAATGGTTTGTGTCTAGTCAACACGAATCTGATTCTCTCTGATATGTTCTTGTACAATAAGAATATTCCTTTGTCTTTCTTGAAGAACAATCGTTTTCCTTTCAAATTCAAAATTGATTCATCTTTTGGTTTGTCTTGATTTTCTTGTTTATTATTCTCATTTAATTGTTTATTTTCATTATTATTATTATTACTGTTACTACTACTATTGTTACCACTACTACTAGTACTACTATATCTTTTAGTAGCAATACTATTGTCGTTATTGCTATTTGAACGATAATGATAATATATAAAATGATATAAAGTATTCTTATTAGATATAGGTGTATGACTATTTAAATGAGATACACTATATAGTTTATTACTGTTTGTATTGAAATTATTGTTGTTGTTGTTGTTGTTTATATTGAGATTGATATTATTACTATTGTTATTGTTATTTATATGAAGTGATCTTTGATAGTTTATCAAAGTTGAAGAAGATGATGATTTGAAATGATTATTGTTGTTATGAAGATTCTTATTATTATTATTATTATTATCTAATAATATGTTTTTTAATCTATTTCCATTACTACCGGATTTCCTTGTAGCAACATTCAGCAATGAATGACTATTAGCTAGGTTTGTTAATCTATTCATTACTCTACTACTATTTTACTTCTTTCTATCTATCTGAATTTCTATGACAAACATTGATCATCTGTCTATCTATCTATCTATCTATCCTATTTATATAAATTTATTTAGCTAATTAAATAAAAATACAAATAAACTAAACATAGAAAGAAAGAGAAGAATACAATAGATTTTGATATCAAATTAAAAATTATATTAAATGTGTTATTTTCCGTGTGTGTGCCAATCAACTTCACATGTTTTTATAATAAAATCGTAATCATTGTGTTTTGATAATTTCTATTTTGATATTTTTGGTGAAGAATGATGTCACCACAATTTTTTTATTGGGGAAGATTTGAACATGCTCAATTTAATTCGAATAAAAATAGATAATTATCCATTTATTTGTTTATTTATCACCAAATCTATTTCTAGAAAATAAGCAGAATTTTTAATTGGGTAAACAAAAAAAAAAAAACAAAAAAAAAATGTTTTTCCTATTTTTTGTTTAATTTATTATGTTGTGTGGATAAATGGATAAAATTATATTTTCAAAGATATTTAATAATCAAGTATTACTTAGATTGATTTCCAACTATGTAAAACAGATAAACAAGGAGCATCATGCTGGCAGTAGATGTTATGATTGGTACGAACTGGTTTTGACTCCACATGCTTTAGCTGGTAACAACTATTTGCAATTGCTAAAGGAGTATTTTATGAATGAGGAGAATAATAATATTACTTCCACCACCACCCAAACTCAAACCCAACACCAACAATCAAAACAATACAGTGCCAATGTAATGAAAGGTGCGATACGTGGTGGTAATCTGGAGTTATTCGAATATCTATTGGTGCACTATCAAGTCGACAAAGAGGAGTTGCAGTTGATTGAGTCGGAATTGAATGAGTTGCTCGCTCTCTCCTCTTACTATGGCAGATCGGACCTGGTTCACTATTTATTGGCGAGGTTTTCTACCGCTACCTTTCAATTCAATTGCTATAAGGCAATGGTGAATGCTCCATTGTCTGGTGACATCGAGCTGTTGAAGCTGTTTACCAGTAGAGTGCTACCTTCAAAGAAACTTGGTGTCAATGTCTTTGAGAACGCTGCATTTATAGGTCGTTTCGATATGATTGAATGGTTGATGGAGAATCGATCACACGATTACCCATTGCACAAAAGAAGATTGTTTACTGGTGCTGTTAGAAGTGGGAAGCCGGAGGTTGTTCAATACCTGATAGATAAACATCTAGCAATAATGGATGAACATTCCCTGGCAAATATCATAGTCTTGGCAGTGGATTACGATCAATTTGAAATATTGAAATTGTTTTTGCAACTACCGGTAGTGGATTGTCCAGAGAATCTCATTGATTCTGCAAGTAGGAATGGAAACATTCGAATGGTACAGTGGTTACATGAAAATACAACGACCGGTTGTTCGGAAAAAGCTATGGATTCAGCAGCAGAAATTGGTAATCTTCCATTGGTACAGTGGTTACACCATAATCGAACAGAAGGATGTTCTACTGTTGCTATGGATATGGCGGCGTATCATTCACACTCTGAAATAGTCGAGTGGCTCTATAATAATAGAACTGAAGGATGTCAAGAAGCAATGTATTATTGTGTAGTTAATGATGACGTTGAGCAATTCAAGTGGTTCTACGAGAGGAACTTTTCTTGTTCCGATAGCTTGGCAAATGTAGCTGCCAGACTCAACAACAAGAAAATACTTGCTTGGATTTTAGAAAACACAACCCTTCGATTTACTGATGATATAGTTAAACAAATTATGTCTACAGGACATATTGACATGATCGAGTACCTCAGTGAGAACAAGGAAATTAGTAAGCAATTCACTGCAAGAACAATGGATGAAGCTGCTGCCAACAATAAACTGAATATGCTGATTTGGCTGCATGAAAACAGGACTGAAGGGTGTACAAAGCAAGCGTATATAGATTCAATAACAAAAGGACACCTCCGTATTGTTGAATGGTTATTTAAGAATCGTACAGAATATGATTATAGCTCTTTTCCACTCAGAAATTACATAGATCGATTTTTCTATGATGATTTATCGAAAATGTTGGAATGGATGTTAATAAATATTCCGACTCCAACTGAGGAACTTGTAGATTATGAAAAAGAACTAACTGAAATATATCCAACTTCCAAAGAAACAATTAGAGTTTTACAAGATTTTATCAAATCAAAACAATCTGAATCCTAATAAAGCAAATCAATTAGAATGGAGATAAAAAAATAAAATTGTAAAATAATTTAATTTATGTTTTTTTTATATTTATTTATTTTATTTATTGTGGAGAAAGCTTCAACATAACACATCCATGTGATGGTACACTGAAACTCATTGAACCTTGGAAGATACCGGCGGATTTATGTTGCCAGAGATCTCTTGTCAATAATTTGGTGGTCGATGGAATGTTGAGAAGTTGTGAGGTCAAAGTGATGGTCGAGGTAGATGATCCTCTGTTGAAGAGAACGACGGCAGTGTTTCCACCGACCAATTGTCTCGACCAGATTTCGTTACCGTTTTGTTGGAAAATTCTGGTACCTTGGATACCCAATGGATCTTGATCGACTTGGATAACCTCAGAGTTTGTTAGAATATCGATGGTGTCTTGTGACATGAAACGGAGATCGTTTCCAGCAATCAATGGAGCGGCGATAATCGACCAGAGTGAGAAGAAAGAGGTGTATTCGGTAGTGGTTTGTCCACCGTTTCCGATTTCCAACATATCTGGATCATTCCAGTTTCCTGGACCTGCGAATGGAGCACGACCGGTAGACATCATCTGATCGAGGATGGCAGTCCAGGTGTCGAAATTATCGTTGATATCGTCGAATTCTCTCCAGAGATTGCAGATCTCACCGACATAGGTGAAGTTGACATATTCACCTTGGGCGTAGGCTGGCCAACTGCAACTGTAGACCATTGGACGTCCTGTGGCATTGAGGTATTGCGACAAGTCAGTGTAGATCTCCTTCATTTCGTCGACTGGGAAATTGCATCCGTCCATCTTTACATAGTCGATTCCCCACGAGGCGTAGGTCTTGGCGTCCAGTGCCAAATAGTTTTCTGAGCCTGGGAATCCAGCGCATGTTTGATTTCCGACGTCTCCGTAGATACCCATCTTCAAGCCGAGTGAGTGAACGTAGGCAGCCAAAGGTGCAATACCATCGGGGAAACGGATTGGATCTGCTTGGAGACGACCTTGGGCGTCACGCTCCTTGGCGAGCCAACAATCGTCGAGGTTGACATATTCGTAACCGACGGCGGCCATACCACTGGTTACCATAGCCATAGCGGTCTCAATGATCAAAGTAGCATTGATCTGTGAAGTCTCACAACCAAAGTGATTCCAGGTGTTCCAACCCATTGGTGGTGTTAGAGCGACTCCATTATTTAGAGCACTAACCAATGAAATAAATAATAGAAAACAAGCAATATATAATTTCATTATTATATTTTTTATCTATATAAATATGTAATAATTAATCAAAAAAAGGGACTGAAAAAAAAACAGTTTATAGTTCCTGATTTATAAATTAATTAAAATATCAAAAAACAACAAAATAGAAATAAATAATGTATTAAAAACTGACTGTTTATGAGAGGGTGATAGCAAATCACATTTGTGTTTTAATTAAATTAAAATATCTAGAATTTTAGCCGGCTTTGAAAAAACCAAAAAAAAAGCCCCGACATATTGATATGGGTTTCAATTCAATTTAAAAAAGAAAAATAGAAAATACCTCCTAATTGGATGGGTTTGAAGGTCAAAAAAAAAAAAACAAACCATTTTTTTTTCATTCAACAACAGCACCACCAACTCTGAATACCAAATAGCTCCGATGATCATTGTTGCAATTGGAACCCGATACATTCACAATTGTATGGTATCATTATTACCATTCTGAATCAAAAAACACCAATTAACAACGACAACCCAGGTACAGAATAAAATTTAATCATGATTAATTTTTGATGGTATCCATGATTACCACCGTTATTACAACCAAATCAAATCAACCATTTTTAATGTAAAATTTATTAAAATTGATAAAATTTAATATTATAGATATTATTTTAGACTAGTTGTTGTGTTGTAATGTTATTTACATAATAATGAAATGATAGTGATGAGCACAAAGCGCTTTATAATTGTAAAAAGGTGGGTGTTTGTTTGAAGTTGGATGGTTGGGAATAAATTAAATTTAACAATTACTATATTATATGTATCTTTATATTAAAATATTACTATTTCAAAAGATATATATATTTGTTATATAGTGTTTGTTGTTGTTTAAATAATAATAAGAACGATCACTGATTTTACTGACTGACTGTATGATTGTTTGATAAAGATGTTGTTGTTTTTTTTTACATTTCTTTGGTTTCATCTGGTTCGAGTTCTTCAAGGATTGGACTTCTCCAATCGACGAAACGATCTTTCAAACCTGGGTGAATCATACATGTATCCTTCTTACCCATAACAAGATATCTGTACTTTGCAAACTGACCGTAGCAAAAATCACGCAAGAATGTTGGCATATAATAAAATGAATACATTAAAGGATATGGATTCTTTATAAACAAACCAATTGGTATTAGATAATTGTTTTTGTTATTATCAGAATATTTTCTGTACTTACTTGAAGATAATAAAGAATTCTTAGTACAGCTGTTGATTTGGTATAGTGTTTACCGGTTTCCTCTTCGATGAGGACAATGGTTGAGAGATCGGCAGGTATACCGTAGTAATTGAGGATCTCGATACCTTTGGCGGTTTGCAGTGCCTGGTATGAGAATCGCTTCTTGGTGTCTCTTGGGTATACAAACTGAACGAAACCATCGCAGACATTGCAGACACCATCAAACATAATGATCGATCTTGGTGGGTCAGATGGTCTATAGGTTGGTTTGCTTTGTGTCTGTGGTTGTTGTTGTTGTTGTTGTTGCTGTTCACTCTGTTGCTGTTGTTGTTGCTGTTGCAACGAATTGATATCTACTGATACATTTTGATTATCTGCTATCATCTTATCTTTTTTCTTGTTTTTGTATTTTTATACAAATTCTAATATTACTACACTTTCTCAAGTATTATTAACTGAACTAATCTTAATGTTGAACTTAATGTAATCTTATAAAATTTGAATATTTGCTTAACACTTTAAAATAAAAAAATAGTAAAATTAAAACAACAAACTTTATTCAATGTAATAAATAATGTAAAAAAATATATTAAAAAAACAACAACGTGTGATTCATATAATAATATGAAAAAAGGGGGGTTAGTTGACAATTTTTTATTTTTTTGTGAGAATTCTTTTGATTCGTCACCAAACTTTTTCAATTCTTTGTTCATTTTTTGTTCTTCATGTTATTATTATAACTTTAAAAAATAATAATAATAATTGTATAAATTTAATTCAACAATCAATCATTTAAAGTTAATGATAATGAAATAGATCTTGTTAAATATTATAATAAATTAATTTTTTTTAAAAAAGAAATTGCTAAATAAAAAATATCTAAAATCATTCATTATTAATATCAATTATAATCATTCATGAAAGTTTCTTTTAGTTTTAACACTGGATGAAAAAACAATAAAAATTAATTTTTTTGAATATTTTGTTTTTCGTTCAAGATCAAAAAACCTTCAAAACCTTCAAATTTACCAAAATAATAGTGAAAAAAATGTAGAATCAGATTTTGTTTGTTTTTTTTCGATACCAGGTTTTTTTGGTTTTCTCATATTTTTTAAACAGTGTAAATTGAAAAAGAAATATCTGATGAGTGGTGGTCTTAAAATCCACATTTTTAAACAGGCCATATCCATGATTAGAAATAGACTGTTTATTTTCATTGAGACCACACACCCTCTAACCATCCAGGAAGGTTTTCGAGCAAGATTGATAAAATTAAACATCATATGAATCTTTTTTTAATAAATTTTAAATAGATAAATTAAAACCAGGAGTTACCATTTAAAATTCTTTTGAAATATTTCAGTTACTTGCTACTATCTATAAATACCAGCATTCTCTCACTGTATTTCATTCATCAAATCATTTCTTATCTTTTCTTTTATAATAATTAGAAAATAAATCAATCAATCATCAATAATTAATAAGTAACAACAAATAATAATCTAATATCTTTCTTTGATAATAATGAAATTCTTAATTGCTTTCGTTGTTATTTTGGCTGTCTTTGCCAGCTCTGCTCAAGCCAACAATGTCCTCAAGGTAAGTAACCAAATATTTATTATTTTAATTTCTTAAATATAATTATCAATATTAACAAATTCAAATTTTAAATTAAATTATTTATTAAAAGTGTGATTTATGTCAATACGTTGTCAAGGTATGTTAAACTATTTAGAAAATTATTCATTTTTTAGTTTCTAATATATTTTTATAAATTATAGCACGCTGAGAGTTTGATCTTGAGAAACCACACTCAAAACCAAATCATCCATCAAATGGAAAAGGCTTGCCATCACTTGCCACACAAGTGGTCTGGTCACTGTGTCTCTCTCATTGACGTCCACGGTTCCGATATCATCACCCGTTTGATCAACCACGAGAAGCCAGCCGTTGTCTGCAAGCAACTCCATATCTGCAAGAACCACGTCGGTGAAGTCATGGACATCCAAGACGAGTTCGACGATGAGGATTTCGATGATGAAGATTTCGACGATGAGGATTTCGATTTGTTCGAATTCGAGCAAGAACTCCTTGAAGCTTTGGACCTCTCTGACAACCTCGAGAAGAAGCACCACATCCCAGGTCACAATATCGTCAAGAAGTACAAGTGCAAAGCATGTCACTTTTTGGTTAAGTAAATATTAACCAATTAGATGTTTAACTAAGTACTTTAATTTCCTATTACTAACCATTATTTATTATTTATTATTATAATTTATATAGGAAGGCTGAACACTTAGTCAAGTTGAACAAGCGTATCGATGAGATCCAATCTGCCTTGGAACACGAATGCAAGTATTTCGGAATCAAGCCAGCCGTCAAGGTCTGCAAGAAGATCGTCCACAAGGCTACTGCACACTTGGTTAACGAGTTGAAGAAGAACACCGATGCCGGACATGTCTGCAAGGCCATCCATATGTGTTAAAATAACCAACTACTTTTCCTAAAGTAATAACGACAATTTCAATGTATAAAAAAATACCATTTTAGGATTAATCGACAAATAAATAAACAAATATTTTTTTTTTTCTAATAATCTTTAATTAAATTTTTTTTTTTTTAATAATAAAATCCAATTCGTTATTAAATATATTGTAAAAATATATATTTAACTTAGTTTTTTGAGTTAAGAAAGTTGAATTTAAAAATGTTAAAACTGTGATAATTGAGATAAATATTAAAACAGTTTTCTAAGAAATTCAAACTAGTTTAAAAGACCATTATGTTTTTGGTTGGAACTTCTCGATTTGGGTTTTCATGATTTAGATCTAACTATCGATCTCGGTTATTACCTTACTCTTCAAATATATTTAATCATCATTTAGAATTTTTTATTTATCTTAAATTAATTTTTTTAAAAAACAAGGAATTCTTATAAATCTTACTGAGTCTTGTTTTATAAGAATCAGTTAATGCAATTCCTGATTTTGGAAGTTATCTATTAAGATAAAGTTCTATCAAACGGAAAGTCTACAAGAAGATCGTATTTATTTGACCAAAAAGTGACAAACAAATGGCAAGTAGAATTCTCTTTAACTTAATCTGTTTTATTTAGATACCAATTCTCCTATCCGATGTATAATAAAGTGCGTTTTGATTAGATGGTCTGAAGAAGGAAGCAATTAACATTAAGCATGACATCAAAACCAAAAATAATGAATTCCCATGAAGTAGAGGAATGCGATAAAGTGTAACAAAAAAAAAGACAATAATAGAGGTTGTTTTTAGCTAATATTGAGTTAAGAGAGAATACGAACTATAGGTCGTACAAGAACTCTACTTGAACCAAAGAGTCGACTATATCCAGTGTAGAGTCAGCTTTGGAACAATCAACCATCTCTGAGTCAAAAAGTCAACAGCTCCAGGTCATCTTTGTATTGTTATGGTTGGTAAGTTGGAAAAAATGATATTGTAATTATACTGGTCAGTTGTATTTGAAACTTCTAAATAAAAAATATTTATTTATTAAAATTAAATTTAACTTTATTCAGACAAATCGTTTATTTTATTTTTATTTAATCAAAATTTGTAACATAAATAGTAAGTTATAAATGAATAAATTATGATTTAAATAATAATAATTTTTGATTAAAATTTTGTCTTTTGCTCATGCCAAAATGATGATCATTTTTTAGCTTCATTGAAAAAAAAAATAAATCGATTTTTCATTTAATTAATTTATAAATAAATAGATATATATATATATAAATGGCATCAACACCACCTACAAAGAAAGAATCTATATTAGATTTACAAAAGTTTTTAGGAAAAGGTTTAACTGTAAAATTCACTGGTGGTCGTGAAGGTTTGTATCTTAATATATATAACAACAACACAACACTTTGAAGATATCAAAAGTGGTTTTAGATCATATTGATATTTACTTTATATACATATATACTTTTGATATTGATTATCATATCTATTATTGTTCTGACTTTATCATTTTGTTTATTACTATAGTTCAAGGTATTTTAAAAGGATATGATCCATTAGTAAATATAACATTAGATAATTGTGAAGAGTTTATTAGAGGTAAGAGTTTTGTTAAGATAATAGTAATAATAGTAGTATTTATAATAGAGTTGACTAATCAAATTGAATGTTTATATATATATATCTAGATCCACAAGATCCACTGAGTTTAACAGGTGAAAAGAGATATTTAGGTTTGGTTGTATGTAGAGGAAGTAGTGTTATGATGGTTTGTCCGATGGAGGGTTGCGAAGAGATCGACAATCCTTATCTAACTCAAGAGGAATCAACTACAGCCGAAGAAGAAAACTGAAAATATTAAAAAAGAAAATACAACAACAACAACCTCGAAATAAAACAAAAAAAAAGTATAGTATATATTTATAAATTGAACAAAATAGTTTGTTAGGTAGTTTGTAAGTTCGTTAGTTAGTTATTTTATTTAGAAAGTTGTAGATAGCATCTTAAACATATATCAAATTCGTTTTGGGAATGGTAGAATGTTTCATCTGGTGATAAGTTATCTGAGTTGCAGATATCGCAAGTCCAATATCCATCATCATATAGATTGAGGGCATTTTCATATAGCTTCAATGGTTCAGGATGTGTTGGTACCATAATCGTAGCAGGAAGATGAATAATCTTAGTTACGTTATATTCACTACGACCAGTAGTATTACTCTTCAAATTTATTATGTTATTTTGTTGATTACTAGAAGATGAAGCAGCTTGTTTTTGTTTTTATTAATAATAGCTATAGAAATTAAAAGTAAATTGCTAAAAGTAAAGTAAAGATCTGTTGCAACTTACGAACTTGTCTTAGATAGATATGATTGGTTGTAGTATTTACAGGATGTTCGGGATCTAGGAATTCAGTGAGCTCCTTGTTTGCGTACAAATAGATCGGACCGTCGCCAAGACCCAGTTGTTTAGATTCTCTGATCAATGGTATCAAACGGTTGTAGTTGGTTATATCCCGAAAGGTCAGTTCATCCTTGTCACTATTAAAATGAATCCAACATTGGAATGGAGGCATTTTTTAAATTTCAATATTGTTTGGTCTTATAATAATATTCACACACCAATCAACAGATAAATCAAAAACGATGATAATTTTTGGGGAAGTAGTTAAACTTTGTGTGAAGTTCTTTTTACATTTAATGACATTAAAAAAATGTTACAAAAAATATATTATAATTTCAAATTATTTTTAATAAAGCTATAAGATAATAGATAGGTATTGCTTTATAGATTTACCTATGTGTTTCAATAAAAATAAAATAAAAACAATTTTTTGAAAGAGTTGTTGACAACTGTTATGGAAAATTAATATTTTTTTATTTCTGAAACTAATAATATTATTGGTTTATTAAATTGATTTAGTATTTTGATGTCAAGAGGAGATTGGTCTATCACCTAAAATCTATGAATATTGTTCACTGTCCAAGGAGCCTTCGATTTGAGTTTGCTTTACAGTTATCATTATACATGTCATCGCTAGTCATATGATATCAGCCACAGCTATCCTAAATACAAGATAGAATAATGCAATACCGTAACCAGTCTGTTGGGAGTAGAAATCTTGAGTCTAGAGTTCAATAACCTCATCATGTCAGTCCATATTAACGTAGGGTCTCTGTCTCTCCTGTCTGGCATGGTACACTCCTGTCATATGCATACCTTTTCAGTATAATGCTTTTCTATTTCCTTTAACACCTTATCCCATGTTATATTTCTGTCATACCCGGTATCTGAACCATCGCGGATTACCAATATGATATTGGTTGTTTGTCTCGGCTATAATTTGGTCGCTCTTAGAAGCACAAACCAGTGAACTTACTTTGTTAACTTAACTCGAAACTCATCGCGATGTCTAGTTGAGGTTCCTTGGAATAGGTAATCAATTAGATTTTTATAACTAATAGCATAGTTCTGTATTTAGCTATTACTGAGGTAGTGTGGTAAATATAAATGATTACGGTACCATGCCATATATAATAATAAAAATATTAAAAGATGATTTTTACCCAAAGTAGGAATGATATGAACATTACACAGAGATTCTAGGTGATATAGAAAACGTTTAGATTGTTGTTCCCTAGTGCTTGACAAGAGTGTCAAACTCTGCTGACGATTGATCAAAGCTAAATCGCTCTTCTTTAAGAAGAGATTGATTTATAACTCTTTATAAAATAAAAATATATCAAACAAAATCGTTTTGAAAATCACTTTTAGACGATGATGTCATTCACACACAAAATCCTTTTTCAAAATTTAATCACCCAAAAAAATTTGCCAGATTCAAAAAAGTTACTAAAAAAAAAAAAATGTTGTTACTAATTTCCGCAAAGATTAAAATATTTATTTTGATTTAAATAACAAACAATAATAATATTGATTTGTGTAATAATATAACATAGACATATTCGATCAATCAGTAACTTTTACGAAAACAATACAATATCGAAAGATATATAAAACAGGCACCACAGTTAAGAGTAAAGTAGAATTACAAACTATACAATAATAATGAAGAAGAGCAAAGCGAGTTGTTTTTAATTATTATTTTTATCTTGCTTTTGTTGTGTTTCAATCAACACACAAATTAAATAAGAATAGTAATATTTATAAAAGATGTAAACATATCGTTAATCTCATTTCACCTAAACATTTTCATAGAGATTTACTTCATTAATTCACTAAATCATCAATCAATCAATCAAATCAAATCAATCAACTAAATCATAAATACATGTGACTTCAATTAAAACACACACACATATAGCAAGCAGGATCAATATATAAATATAATTACCATGACATTGTTAACAACATCAGTCAGTACATATAACAAATAACTTTATTATTTATCGGTTTATTGGAATTCTATTCTGTTTGTAGGTGGTTATTCTTTGTTCACTTTGCTTTAAAACAGAACAAACAACCCAAACCATTTAAATAATAAAATGTTATTTAAATATTTTTATTATCTTTCTCATTTCTTTGCAATATCAAATAAAATTGACAGATAACCATTCAACATAAAACCAAATAAAACAATAACCACAAAACACACAAAATACACACACAACACAAAACAATAGATAAATAAAAAGATAAAGACAATAACAATAATAACAACAATAACAAAAAAAGTAGTCAGAATGTAACTGACTCTCAAAACGAACATAAACATGTCAAATTAAAATAGAAGAAAGAAATAATATAATCTTGCAAATCAACAACACCAATAACAAAAATAAAACTCTAATTAATTGATATTGTTCAACAAGTTTTAAAATAATTGATATTGTTGTTGTTGTAGTAGCAACTACTACTACTATTATTTTTTTGTATTATCGAATCCACAGTTCATCTCCTTTTCCACATCATCGATTTCACCCAACCATTTTGGTAATTATCCATTCTATACAACACTCCATTGCTACCATCTTTGGTAGGATAAATAAAAATAACACAACAATTACTACAAACCAACCGGTATCCAACCAAAACAACAACAACAACAAATACCCTTATATCAGTAATTTCAAATTATTTTTTGAAATTTTATTTACTTCTACTCTACAAATAACCTCAAATACTATCTTCTTACTTTCAAATTTGAATTCAACTATCCAAATACCAATACCAATACCAATATTAATAGTCTACTACCCCCCGATAATAATCAAAACAAATAATTAACATATAATTTTATTTAAAATACATATATAATTAGGTTTAAAAAAGTTTAATATTTATTTTAACTAACTAACTAACTAACTAATTAAAAATAAGATAATAAATAATAACAACTGAGAGAGACAGAGACAGAGAGGGAGAGTAAGCGAAGTACTGAAAATTAATTTTAAACAAAACAATAATTGAAGTTAAGATAGAATATTCACTCAAATCATCAGTATTAGTATCAATAATAGTATATATCTATTTGTATTTGTAAAGTTTAAATCTAAAAATTATTGGCTTTAGCTAGCCATTAAATTTTTCAAGCAATCCAATCAATAAATCCCAGAGCAATAAAATGAGTCATGCACTTATCTCAAAAGTTAGAACATTGGTATCGGCCGATAGAAAACGGTTGAAAGTTGATAATTTAGATTTGGATCTATCATATATTACACCTAATCTACTTGCTATGAGTTTTCCAGGTACATATATAAATAAAATTATCGTAAAATAAATAATATTTCAAAAAGTAGTAGTAGTATTAATATTATTTTTAATTTAGGATCTGGAATTGAGTCTGCATGGAGAAATTCAATTAATGATGTTTGTACACTACTGAATAAGAAACACAACGGTAAATTCATGATATGGAATCTGTGTGAGCGTGGCTACGACTACTCGAAATTCAACAATCAGATTCTCGATTTCCCTTTTCCCGATCATCATGCACCCTCGCTCAATCTGCTCTTTGAGATTGTCAATTCACTGGACAACTGGTTGAAGGCGAACCCCGAGAACATTGCGGTGGTGCACTGCAAAGGTGGCAAAGGTCGAACCGGTACCATAATCTGCTGCTACCTCTACTACAGCTGCTACTTTGAGACGATGGATCAGTCGTTACGCCACTTTGCAGAGCAGCGTTCACACAAGAAGAAGGGTGTAACACAGCCATCGCAACAGCGTTACATCAACTACTTCAAAGAGATAGTCAGCGGTAACTTTATGATCGATGTATTCTCACTGAATTTGGTATCGATCGAGATGGCACCGCTCACCAAAGAACAAGCTTACTCCATGTCCATCGAGATATTCGAACATGAAAAAGAAGCTAATCTCTCGTTTGCATCATCTCCTGCATCATTACAGTATGTCTTGAATTTTTAACAATCTATTTTTTATCTAAACTAAACTAAACTAAACTAAACTAACAATATTATCAAACAGAGTAACTGCAATAGATGAATCACAAAATCAATATAAATTAAATGTAGTAATAGGAAAGAAATTCATTAAAGATGTATTAATAAGAGTTTATAAAGGAGCGTCTGGAAAGAAGTCGTCCATGAAGAAACAGTTGTTCCATTTGATCTTTAACATATCGTTCATCAAGCTGAATGAGAACAATAGAATTGTTTTTGGAAAGAAAGATTTAGATCATTTCAAGAAAGATCAAAAAAAGTATGTATTAACTATCCATTTCAATTCTAAATAGATGATACTAACAATTAATTTTACATCATATTATATATAGGTTTGACGAGAATTTCTATATTGAATGTATATTTCAGAATAATTGTACTGTATTACCAGACCATTCATTGCAGATTTGGAATATTATGTCAGTGAAATATCAACAATTGAGAAAAATGAAAGAAGATGAGAAGTTACTTTCTCAAACTCTATCAGAGCAACAACAGCAATCGTGTAATAATACTTTAAATATCAGTAGAGAGAATGAAGAAGATGAAGTAGAATCGTTAAACTCATCATCTTCACTCACTTCATCCACCTCTTCAAGTATCAATGATAACAATAATAGTAGTAATAACAATAACAACAATAGTAGTAATTTAAATGATGAATTAACATCACCATCAATATCAAATTCAACTTCTTCCATGTCCATTTCATCATCATCAATATCTACAACAACATCTTCACTTGCCGATCTGAATATTAGTAACAATAACATCAATAACAACAACAACAAAGATAATAATAGCAATATAAATACAAGTGGTAATAGTGTTGGTATTAATCCTTTGAAAGTGTCGACATCTTCAATGGGTGACTCTGCAGCTACTACCTCTACATCAAATTTGACATCACCACCAACAACAACAACAACTATATCAAACGGTAGCGGTAATTCATCATCTTCTACATCTACACCAACCTTTTCAACGACCCCAACTATCATTATGACAAATTCTTCAGGTGTTGGTACTCTCAGTAAAGGTTCATCTCCTGTAAACTATCGTGAGAGTAGAATGGTATCAGTCGACGAAATGAAACAAATGATACTCTCATTCGATCTCTCCAATGATAATAACAGCAACAACAACAACAACAATTATCATACCATTTATACAACCACTGCCAATATAACGACAACGACAACAACAACAACATCGAATTCCACAACAACAACATTAAGTAGTAACTCTGCTTCAAACACACCGACATCTTCATCTTCAAATTTATCTTCTTCATCATCATCTTCCACAATAATAATAACGTCAACTTCCAATACATTAACATCCAAAGATAACATAAGTAGCAATGGTGATAGTAATAACAGTTCACCTTTGAACTCTCCAGCAACAGCACCAAGACAAACAGCAGTTCATTCAATGCCTAATTTCAGTGGATTTTGGACACCAAAGTTGCCCACTTCTAAAAGACTCTCGATTCAATCACATTCAGCATCGCACAGACTCGGTTGTAGCGATGGATTCATCAATCAAGTAGATTCAACCAAACAAACAATCATTTTTTCAACAACAAACATAATAATCGATGATAACAAAAACAACAATATCAATAATAATAGCAGCAATAGTTTATCAAATTCATCACCTGAACCAATTCAGAATTCATAACAACAATAATAATAATAATAGCAATAATATATATAACAATAACGAAAATAATATAATTAAAATAATTATAATAATAAAGTAGTGATATTAATATTCAATAGGATCGTTTTTAATTAAAACCAATCCAAACTTACCTAATACGAAATCCCTATCAATTTTTTATTAAACATTTATTGAGATGCATTTTCCTTTTTTTCAATTTAATTTTTAATTTGTATATCACTTATTTACTTATTTATTTGTAATATAATATAATATAATATATATATATATATTATTGTTGTTTTTTTTTTGTAAACAAAAGAAAAAAAAGAGTGTTTAGTTGTTTATTATCAAATATAAAAACAAATAGTATTAAAAGAATAAAAAGAAAGAAAAATGAGTAGTAGTGATAGTACTAATAATGTTAGTACAACATCACCAACTGGTTATGTAAATGAACAGTTGGTGTATGCAGAGGTTCAATTAGAGAGACCGTTACTTAAAGCACCGATAGAATCTCTGAACAAATCATTCAGAGTGGCTCAAAAGCTACTAGAGAAAGAGATGACTCAATTGGTAAACTCTATCAACGATCTAAACAAGAAGAAATCAAGCATATCACCTGAAGATGCAAAGAATACAATAGAGAAACTATTGACAAAGATGAATAATTTAAAGAGAAAAGTAATTATCATTATCATTATTATTATTTATAAGCATTGTTTATTAAACAAAACATACACTTACCAACATTCTTATCTACACTTTGTTAACAATATAAATAGATTGAAGAAACAAAAGATGAAGAAGAAGTACAAATAAAAAGAATGAAATCGAGAATAACACATTTGAAACATACCTGTGAGAATCATTCAGATCATTATATCAAAGAGGAATTCAACAATAAGAGAGTGGATAGAGTTATCATTGATCATCTTTTGCGTGAAGGTTTCTATGACACTGCAATAAAGTTAGCAACAACTTCAAATATAACTGTAAGTAAACTAAACTAATTAACAACTACATATATATATATATTGATTATTAATGAATGAATGAATGAATGTATGTGTGAATGACAAAATAATAGGATTTAGTTGATATAGATCTATTTGTATCGTCAAAGAAAGTGATAGTTGGCTTGATGAATCGCAATTGTACGGAGGCGTTGGCATGGTGCAACGAGAACAAATCGAAACTGAAAAAGATAGATAGCAACTTGGAGTTCAATCTGAGAATACAGGAGTTCATAGAGTTGGTGCGACAGACTAAACTTGGTCCAGCGATATCGTATGCACGTCAGCATCTTGCACCGAACGCCTCGACCAACATGCCAGAGATTCAGGCAGCGATGGCAACACTCGCCTTCAAGAAGGATCAGCAATGCTCGAAATACCGTCCACTCTTCCAAGAGGAACGCTGGAACGATCTCATCCAGCAGTTCAAATCCGACAACTACAATCTTCATTCACTCACCCACCATTCGCTATTAAACATTTCATTGCAATCCGGTCTCTCAGTTTTAAAAACAGAGTATGTTGTTCAATCAACAGTTTTAATATGTTAATTTGGAAATATATTATATCGCTAACTAACTAATTAACTAATATTATAAATTAGACAATGTGAAGATGAAGAAACAAAGAATATAAATTGTCCGTTGTGCGATGAAGATTTCCAGAGTTTGGCAGAACCATTGCCTGTCTCATTGCAAAGTCATTCTAGTTTGATATGTAAGATAACCGGTGAGATCATGGATGAAGACAATCCACCGATGGTTCTACCAAACGGCAATGTTTACTGCAAGAATGCAATGCTTACAATGGCAACGGAATACAACAACCAAATAACAGATCCGAAATCAGGCAACAAATATGATTACTCAGAGTTAAGACGTGCATTCATATCATAGTGAGTGACATTCAATCATAGAATATTATGATTCGACCGACCATTAGTTACATTGAACAACAAACAAATAACAAATATATTGAAAAAAAACAATTGTATAAATTTTGTAAATAAAAAAAAAATTAATAAACAACAAAAAATAATAATAATAATAATAATAACCATAGCAAATATGAATTGTGAAGTGTTAACAATTGCATTATTATAATTAAAAAAATAAGAAATTGAATTTCTATTGTTTCATTTGAAGTGTGAGAAAAAAAAACGAACAAACAAATAAATCAATTCAATCGATTCGAATTTCACACTATTTTATTAATTTCTTATTTTATTTTATTTATTAATTTTTACAATTATCAATAAATCAATTATAATTATAATTGTTTTGTTAGTATTATAATTATTTATATAAATAAATATATAACTATTTTATTAAAGTTATTTTATAACTATATTACACATTAAGATAATACAAATTATACATATATACACACATAATGAGTATATTCACACCTGTAAATAATAAAACATTGACAAACGTTGCCATTGTCAGATACAAGAAAGGAGGTGCTCGTTTCGAGATTGCATGTTATCCATCTAAAGTTACATCTTGGAGAACTAAAGTGTAGGTATTTTCAATTCATTATATATTCATAATAATAATATGATATGATGTTCATTCGTGTACTAATTACAATAATCATCATCAATACTATTGTTATAGTGAAAAAGATTTAAATGAAGTCATTCAGATTCATCGTATATTTACAAATGTATCGAAAGGTGTAGTTGCAAAGAAGGATGAGTTGATAAAGGCATTTGGAACAGACGATGAACGTGAGATTCTCTTGCAGATTCTCGATAAGGGTGAACTGCAGGTGTCGAGTAAGGAACGTGAGAGTCATTCCGATCAGACATTCCGTGATATCGCAACGATCGTCGCGGAAAAGTGTGTCAATCCCGAGACACAACGACCGATTCCAGTGGGAATCATCGAAAAGGCAATGAAAGACGTTCACTACAGTTTGCACCCAACGAAATCGTCGAAACAACAGTCACTCGAGGTTATCAAGTTGATTAGCACAGTGATCCCAATACAGCGTGCACAGATGCGTCTCAATATAACGGTTCCAGGCAAAGACGCACGTCTTTTACGCGACAAACTCGCAGCGCAAGTAGCGAAAATCGAAGAGGAAGACTACGACAACGGTATGGACATGGTGTGTCTGATTGACCCCGGTGCTTTCAGAAAACTCGACGATTTCGTCAAGTTTGAAACAAAAGGAAAAGGTTTCATTGAGATTATGTCTTTGGCCGTTGCAAAAGAAGGTGATTCTAAAGTATAAAGTAAAAAAAAAAAAAAAAAATACAAAAACAAAAAACAAAATACAAATAATAATAATAATAATAATTCATTCAATTAATTATTTTATTTATCAAATTTGGATGATGTATAATAAAATATTACATATATATAATTATTGTGTTGAAACTCGCAGGACTCGAACTAGTTTCGCTCTTTCTTGTTGACCCAAAAAATTAATTAATGAGCAGGAGAAAGTGGTTTGAAGCTCACCCTAGTAATTGAGTAGAAAATAGATTTAATAGATCAATCCTCATTATTATTGAATGAAATTTTATAAAGAATAAAATTGAATAAAAATAGATAGTATCACCTTCCAAAAATAGTGTTTAGGGTTTGAAGAACGACACTTACATAATTATTTGTTTTCCTTTAATATTTAAATAGTATCGAAATTATTTGTTTTAGAATAAATATTATTTTGTTTATTGTTTTTATAAAATAAAACTTAATCTAGGAACGATGGATTTTGAAAAGATAAAGAAATTATTTATTAAAGAAAAAGAAAATGAAGAAAGAGTTATTTATATAAATAATATAAATACAATTGAAAATAGGAAGTATGGTAATAACTATATTAGGACTTCCAAATATACAATCTTAACATTCTTACCAAAGAATTTATTTCATCAAGTAGTTCTCAAGAGAGATTTGAAAATTATTTAAATTAATATTAATTTTTTATTTCTTTTTTTGTTTAATAGTTTACAAAAATAATAAATTGTTATTTTCTTTTTATTACTATTTTATCCTTTACAAAACTATCTCCTCAGAAACCGATTACAAATATTATGGCAATAGTATTGGTAGTGGGTATGAATGCAGTGAAAGAAGCATATGAAGATTATGTAAGTAAAACAAAAAAAAGTGAAAAAAAAAGTGAAATAGATGATGTATTTTATTTAATTACTCTAATAATAATTTATGCAAAAAAGAAAAGATATAAATCAGATAGATTAATAAATAATAAGAATTGTAAAGTGATTAGAGATGGTATTGAAGTTGATGAGAAGTGGAGTAGATTAGCAGTTGGAGATATCGTTGTTGTTAGAAATAACGAATCATTTCCAGCGGATTTAGTTTTGCTTTCTACGAGTGGCGATGTCTCACCGAGTATCTGTTTCGTAGAGACTTCCAATTTGGATGGCGAATCTAATTTGAAATCTAAACAAGCGCTACTAGAAACCAATCAACAGTTGCAATCACCAACTGACTTTCTAACATTCCAAGCTAAACTACAGATTGAATCACCCTCTATCAATTTGAATAGTTTTCATGGTGTAATTAAACTGTTGTTGACAAATGAAAATGAACAAACAGATGAAGAAGAGGAAGAAGTAAAAGATAATAATTTAAATTCGATATCTACATTTACAACTACATCTACATCCACCTATTCATTGACATTAGATCAATTGTTAATTCGTGGAACTTGTTTAAGTAATACCGATCATGTCTATGGTGTTGTTGTCTACGGTGGACATCAATCGAAATACATGTTGAATACACGACATACACCCTATAAGAGAAGTAGATTCGATAGCTATGTCAATAGGATATTGATAGCGGTGTTCATCTTTGAATTCTTTCTTTGTTTGATGTCAAGTCTGTTGGGATCCACTCGCTATGGGCGAATAGGTGACACTTGGTATTTGCCTTTGGGCAATGACTCTACTCAAGATACATTGCATCTATTCTTTTCATTTGTAGTGCTTTTCGGTGGAATTGCACCGTTCACTATGTTTCTATCATTGGAATTCGTTCGTATTCTTCAGTTGATAACGATCAATCGTGATAAAAAGATGTTCCACTATGAATCAAACTCTTTTGCATGTGGAAGAACATCGAATCTAAATGAAGAGCTTGGTCAAGTCGAATATATATTCACCGATAAAACAGGTACTCTAACAAGGAATCAAATGCAAGTCAAAAAGAATATGATCAACAATGTCGTATATCAATCTAGATTCTATAATAGCTATCATAATGGTGATAATAAAAATCTTAAACAGTCAATAAAAGATAATGGCAACAACAATAATAAAGATAAAAGCAAAGAAGAGATAGAACTATATGAAGAGGAAGAAGAAGAATACTTAGGAATTACCATGAGTAAACTTGGTAGCTCATCAGATATTGAGAATGAAATGAGGAGTAGTAATAGTAGCAACAGTAGTAATAACATTAATATTAAAGAAGAAATCGATATGAATGATCCAGATACATTTGAATTCTTTTTAGCCCTATCAATATGTCATTCTGCAATTCCAGAATCAATTGATGAAAATGGAAACAGTATGTACTTAAATTGAAATAATACCAATAGAAATACAATACTAACTATCGATTTGATTTATAAAATAATAAAGTTAAATACTCATCTTCTTCGCCAGATGAGTTAGCACTTGTAAAAGAATCATCTAATATGGGTATTAAATTTCATGTAAGTGAGTGATAGATATTACTTTCCAAAAAAGTTATTGATGTTAATTGATCGTTACTAATCAAACTTTTATAGACTAGAACTACCAATTATTTAAGAATCAATGTATTAGGCATTGAAAGAGAATATAAACTATTGAAAGTATTGGAATTCGATAGTGATAGAAAGAGAATGTCTGTAATCGTTACGCATTACGACTCTGACGATATCATTATGTATTGTAAAGGTGCGGATTCAGTTATTCTACCTAGATTGCTTGATTATGGCGACGCTAATAATATAGTAGATCTGATATCAAGCTATAAGGAACATCTTCATAGATTCTCATGTGAAGGATTGAGAACTCTTTGTGTTACAAAGAAGATAATTCCACGCGATGAATATGAACCTTGGTCGTTGAAGATGAACGCTGCCAACCTGTTGTTGAACGGTCGTAATGAAAGAGTTGGGGAACTTTCATCAGAGATTGAACACGGTTGGAGTATGTTGGGTATCGTCGGGATTGAAGATCGACTGCAGGACAGAGTACCAGAGACCATTGCCAGACTCTCGGATGCAGACATCAGGATATGGATGATAACCGGTGACAAACAAGAGACTGCAATCAACATTGGCATATCATGTTGTCTCTTGGATCCAGAAGAAGATAACTATCTAATATTAAACGAAACAAACATACTAGAATTACAAATGAAATTGGAACTTAATTTAAAACAACAATTGGAAAACATTCCACAAGTTAATAACAATAATTCTAATAATATAAGATCAATAATAATTGATGGAAATACACTGTCTCTATTAATTGGTAATAAGAATTTAGAAGATTCATTCTATAAACTGGCAAACAATGTAAAGAGTGTAGTTTGTTGTAGATTTACACCGTTTCAAAAGAGTGAGGTGGTTCGTATCGTCAAGGAGAGAACCAGTGGCATTACATTGGCAATTGGTGATGGCGCCAACGATGTTTCGATGATACAGAGATCACATGTCGGTGTAGGTATCAGTGGATTCGAAGGTCGTCAAGCGGTGCTCGCCAGTGACTTTGCAATAGCACAATTCCACTATCTAGAGAGATTGGTACTGGTTCACGGAAGATGGAACTACAAGAGAATAGCTACTCTACTATGCTATACATTTTGGAAGAGTATTATAATCTCGCTGATTGAACTCTGGTTTAATATTTTCACTGGATTCTCTGGCTCCAATATTGTCGATGATATCAACACACTACTTCTCGGTGTAGTATATGCATCCGTACCGGTAATTATCTACGGTGCATCAGATAAAGATATCGATTCCGTGAATATCCAAAACTATCCTTCTTTATATAAAGAAACACAAAGTAGTAAGAATGTAAGAATCAAAAATGTTTCTACTACACCAATTTTTGATAATTTAATTAACATTTATTATAAACTTAAAGTTTAATTGGAAAATATTTTTGGTGTGGGCTATTCATGGTTTTTATTGTTCGGCAGTATTATATTTCGTGACTATAGCTGTTTATAATGATGGACCGGTTGACAAGAATGGAATGGTATATGGACTCTGGACTCAGTCCGCAGTTTTAATATTCTCGACAACTTTTGTCAATCAGATCATGTTTGTCTTTGTTATAAACAGCTGGAATACAATACAACATTTAGCAACTTGGCTCTCAATTTTAGTCTTTATTGTATTTGAACTAGTATATTCAAAACTTGCTATTCTTTTTGGCTATGACTTTTACTATAATTTAGCATTAGAACTAATTACACAACCAAATTTCTATCTAACGGTTATTATTACAATTTTAATTTGTTTGCTTCCTGTTTATTTATATATCTTGTAAGTAATTGATTAATTCATTTAAAAATAACAGTTAAATTCTATCTACCTACTAATTTGTTAATTAAATTATTTCTTTACTAATTATAGTGCCAAGAGAAATTACTATCCAATTCCACTTAATATTATTCAAGAAATAAAGAAAAAGAACTCTAGAGGTTAGATCTATCTAAATATTATTATATATTTATTGATATATTATTAGCTTGATTCGAAAGTTTATTCAATCTTTCTTGTTTTCTTGGTGGCATCGGCTTGGACAGAGTCTGACTTCTTTGGTCCGTTGTACGATTTGTTAAAGAACTGGGAGAAGAGGAAGAGGAAGGAGAAGTTGATGCTGTAGGCAGCGGCAAAAGCTGGATAGTGGGTTTGACATCCGAGGGTATTGATAAAGTAGATGTGGATGACACCGACCGCTCCGAAGCAACAGAACTGAATGATTTGAATCATGGTGATGTATTTCTTCCACCAGACGGTACGACCCAATGCGCAGTTCAAATAGAAGTAATACATAAAGATATGTACAAAGGTGTTGAGGAAAACTACCCACAATTGCAATGGCCAACCGCTCTCCAAGAAGTACCAGCAGAGCCAAACGACAATGCAGTGGTGATAGACGTGCAAGAAAATCAATGGTTTCTTTCTCAACACGATGATGATAGTATCAAAGAGTTCGTAGAACTTTGACAAATAGAAAATGTATGACCAATAGTATGTTGCTCCTTGATTGAATCCTGGTTTCAATTCACAAACTGTGAATAAAGGTCCTTCACTCTGTTAGCGAAATAAAAATAAATAAGAAAATGTTAATACCCACTACCTGATTTTTTTATGTGACAATTTTGTAAAAAAAAAACTAAACTAAACATTACCATTATTCTCTTGTAACATTCATAGACAACACCTGCACACATTAAGAATGACCATGCACATAGAATTACATTATGGATAACAGAAACACTCTTAAGTTCAAATGGCTTTCTATTTCTCATTAAAAACTATAAATAAATAGATAATTATATAAAATATTAGTATTCTTTATAATCAATTATTTTCATTTTTATTTTTACTTACTTTGATGGTAAAGATTGTAACTAAATAAATAGCAATAACAATTGGGATTACAGAGAATTGGGAGAATGGTGTTTTACCTGGTGTGAACTTAAAGTCGAGGTTCCACAACTCACTCCAATCGGAATCAGCCAAACGGTGTTTGAATAAATGTTCCCATGATTTGAATGATAATAATTCAGTCATTTTTTTTATTATTAACTACTACTATTTATATAAATAAATAATAGTTTAAAATATAAATAAAGAAATAAAAAAAAAATAAAAGGTTAGAAATAAATAAATAATATATATTTGATTGTTGGGTCGCAATGAAATGAAATGATGAAAAACAGAGAGTAGAGAGCAGAGAGTGTAGAGCAGGTAACAAAACAAATCAACAAATTTGAACACAACCCAAAAATAATTAAATCTAATATTTGAATTTAATTTAGAAATCGGTAAGTGTGGATGGATGGTTTGAGAGTAAGCATGCATGTCGTTTGTAAAACAATCAATCATAATGATAGTTTGGTCAAATATTGGAAAAAGAAGGTGAATGTGTGTGGTATAAAAATCAATCATCATTAAATCAGAATAGTCAACTCTACTTTTTTGATTACTTATGATGAAATGAAATTTAGTTTTAAGTTAATGGGGGCTGCGATGGTAGTGAAGAAAAAAGCAGTTTACCTGTCACCACCAAAGTAATTTGTGAGTGTGTGGGGCATTGGGATTTCCAAACTGCAAATATTCCAATTTGATAAATTAAAAAAAAAAAAAAAAACAAAATATCGCAAAAATTTGTAAATTTTATATTGTATGGTTTTTTTTTTGATGGTTTTTTGGTTTTGTTTTTTTTTTGTTTTTGTTTTTTTTGTTATTTTTTTTTTTAAGATTGTAATATTTACTTATCTTATTAATGGTCAGGTCAAATCGGTATAAAATTATATTGACTGGAACAATCTTGGTCAGAATAAAAAATTCGAAATTATCTCGGATATTATTAAAAAACAATAAAATTTTATCATTTTTTTATTTTCTTTCGTTTTTTTATGTTGACATCATTCGTTTTGTTTCAAAAAAAAGTGAAAATAAATGAATCTTATGTGACATCTAATGAAAAAAAACGAAAAATAAAACATTGAAATTTCTATTTATATTTGAAGAATCTAAAGATATCTTTAGATTTTAGATTGTTTTTTATCTATTCAACACAATTGCGAGCTTTTTTCGATACTTTTGTAGAAAAAGACAATTGTAAATTGTAAAAAGTAAATTTGAGTATTGCGTTTAAAGATGATGTTCTTTAAATTGTAAAAAAAAGAAGTAAAACATTCTATAAATATTATATTCAAAAGAAAGAGACAATTTTTGTTTGTTTTTTTGTTTGTTAACGAAAAGAATGAATGAATGAATTAATGAATCATTTGACAATTTTTCTAATTATATATAATTAATTTTGTAAAGTTTTATTTTTATTTTTTCAAAAGAGACATTGATCGATGATGAATTTCAACGAAGAGTCGTAGAAATTCTTGAAAACCAAAGAAGAGGGAATGACCTTTCACCAGTGTTGGTGGTTGCAACATCACCAAATTGGTGCAAAACAAAAAATTAATTAAAAAAAATAATATAAAACATATTTTTTTGATAGACAATTTTTTTACATTTTTTTCTTCTTGTTTTTTAATTTATTTTTAATACTAAATATTCAATAAGAAAAGACGAAACAGATTTATTAATGTTATAGATATATATTTATATAAAGTGTTATTATTAAAAGTTATGTAAAATATATAATGTCATTCTTTAAATCATTAACAAATAAATATAAAAATAATAGTAATACTCCTGAGAGTAGCAATAGTAACAATGGAAATAGTAATAATAACAATAGTACAAATAGTTCACCTTCAATAAGATCGTCTTCTTCATATTCAAATTCACCTGTTATTACTTCAAATATAAGACAAAGTAATAATAACAATAGTAGTAGTAGTAGTAGTAATAATATAAGACAAAGTAATAATAATAACAATAGTAGTAATAGTAGTAATATAAGACAAAGTGATGAGATTTTTAAATTAAAAAATAGTGGAAATAATAGTTTACATAACAAAGATGATAGTGGTAGCAACAATAATAATGATGATGATAAATGTATGTTTGAAATATTGGTTGTTATTTGAAGATTGTGGAATGCCGAAGATTTTAATTTAAAAATGTCTTGTTTTTATTTAGATATAATAGAGATTTGGGGAGATTTAAAGAGAAACAACTGTTATTTATGTATAGATTTTACAAAGTTGTACCCAGAGGAAAGAATTATATTGGTGAATGCAGGTGCAGCACATATCGCTATGATTTCACAGAGTGGAAAGTTGTTCACTTGGGGTGAGGGTCAGTACGGTAGATTGGGTCACGGCGATGAAGAGTCGATCAGCACGCCAAAACAGGTGGTAGCTCTCGCCAACATACCAATGAAGTATGTATTTTGTGGTGGTAGATCAACGATTGCTTTGTCACATACGGCGGGCAGCGGGCTGTACACCTGGGGAAACAATGAGTTTGGACAGCTTGGTAGAGGCGATTGCGGTGACGATTTCACGTGTTTGCCAGAGAGCGTTGCGGTGCCGGGTGCGAAGCGACTCGTTGCGCTGGATGCCGGTGCGAGTCGCGCTGCCGTTATCGATAGTAGTGGCGCGCTCTTTACATGGGGTCGAGGCGACCACGGCAGACTCGGTCATGGCGACACTGAGAATCGATACCAACCGACACTTGTCTCGAGTTTGTATGGACATGTCGTTGTTGCCGTTGCGCTGGGTGGCGGACACTCACTGGCGCTGACCAAAGCCGGCGAGCTCTTCTCGTGGGGACGTGGGGAGAACGGTCAACTCGGTCACGGCTCCTATCAATCGCAACAGCTTGCACCGAAGCAGCTGCAGTTCTTTGTCGATATGCCAAAGATTATTGGGATTTCCGCGGGTGGCTACCACTCGGTGGCGCAGCTTGATGATGGTTCTGTCTACGCGTGGGGAATGTCTGACTACGGTATCTTGGGAACGGGCGATTCAGACGATGGTGCTATCAATATTCCACAGCGGATACTCATGCCGAGAGGCATCAGATTCAAAACTATATCTTGTGGATTCCAACACACCGTTGCACTGACGTCTGACAACACAATCTACAGCTGGGGATGTGGATTGGGTGGCAGACTCGGTACTTTCAACGAGAAGAATCAATGTGCGCCAATTGCATGTAATATACCAAACTACCAACCCGTTGTGTTTTCAGCCGGTGAAATATCGACTATTGTAATCGGAAAGAAGAATACCGTTGTAGCTACTTCAAGTGGATTGACATCGACACCAACATCACTAATTACACCAACTACACCAACAAACGAAAATATAAATGAACAATCAATACCGATTGATGATGATGTAGTTAAATCAACATCAAAGACAACAACCACAACAACAGCAGCAGCAAGTTCAGTAATTATAACACCACCATTGACAACAACAACAACAACGACAACATCAGAGTCTGATACATTGGCAGTATCACCACAGTTGACAAGTAGTTTAAAGTCAACCAGTGGATATACTTTGAGTGTTAATGAATATGATGAACAGCACCCACATGGTAGAGAATGGTCATTGGATTTCACAGATTGGTTATCGAGCATATCAAAGATAAAACAACTCTTACTATTAGTACAAACAAAGAGAAATACACCAACAGTACAAATTAAAGTTAATAATCTATCTTTATCAACTAATAGTACAAATAATAATAATAGTAGTAATACAGGTCAATTAGTATCACCAGTCGATAAATATTCTAAAGAATTGGATGATGCAACTAATGAAATTAAAAAATTAGTTACAAATATCAATTTACAACAACCACCACAAGATGATCACCAGATCGAAGAACAACTCGAAAAATTAGTCGAGAAAAGAAATACTGCTTTGAATTCATTGCTAGAAGAGATAACAAAATCGATTAATTATTGGACTGATTTCAAAGAGCATAAACATCAATTAATATCAAATATCAATTTAGTATTAAATGATTTAACAGTGAACAATCAACAAGAGGAATCAGCAACAACGACAGCGACAGCGACAACAGCAACAAACAACAAACAAATTTCAGTGATGGAAATACAAAATCAATGTAGTTCATTAAGTCAAAGATTAACAATAGTATATACAGAGTTTATACAATATATTAATAATTTATTGATAAATAGTAATAGTAGTAATAATAATAATAATGAAAGTAGTAGTAGTAGTTTTAGTAAAGAATCAATATTGAAATGTATTGAATCATTAAATAGTATAATAATAGAATCTAGAAGATATGCAGTAAAGTATTTAGCGGCATTGGATAATCAACTGGCACATTGTGATTCTGTAGTTGGTTCGCAGATTGCACAACACGCAGAGATTCAGTTGCACAGTGAGATGACACGATTGGCTGCTTCAAAGATGGAGGAGAGAGAAAAACTCAAGTCAGACTATCGCTCCTGTAAGAGATCGATCATCGATATCACCAAGAAGATTGAAGTACTTGAACTGGAGGACGACAGTAACGATCTATCGCTGCTTCAATCATTGACAGAGCAACATCAACAAATGAAAGTAGACGAACAACGACTCATTGCCAAACAACAAGAGATCAACGACAACATCTCTACCATCATCGAAAAATATTCACCCGAATTGAAATTCAAATTGAAACAACACGATAGAATATCAAACAAGTATGTAGTATCTCAATTGAATATTGAAATAGTAGTAGCTTTACTAATATTATTATTATTATTAACTTCTTTCAAAATAACAATAGAGTAAAAGATACAGGATTATTAAATTCTACAAGGAAATTCAGTCATTATAATATTATAAAGACATTGGCTACTCATCCACATACAGTCTATGTGGCAACATTCGATTCACAGCTAGTGGTTCTCAAAGAGTTTGGTATTGGTGATCAAATTGGAAAGCAAATGTTTGAAAGACAAGTTTCGCTTATGAAGATGATGAATCACAAGTGTATCATGTCAATACAAGCAGTTTTTTACGACAGAAATGCCTACTTGCAGATGGAGTATGTAAAGGGTGGAAATCTGTGTGAATGGCTCAAGAAGCATACGGTTCGTCCGAATCAATCGCAGGAAGGTCGTAAGCCTTGGGAGATACAAAAGATGTTCCAGCAAATTGTACAGGGAATTGCATATATGCATTCCAATGGAATCATTCATCGTGATATTAAGCTAGAGAATATCTTGGTGCGAGAGGACGATACCCCTGTGATCTCGGATTTCGATTTATCAAAGGAGCTACAGAACAACTCTACCAATGCGACTATGTTCACAGGTGGTACGGAAATGTATTTGGCGCCAGAGATGAGAGAGTCGCAAGTAACTGGAACCTACTCCACAGACATTTGGGCGTTTGGTGTAATGCTGTTCAAAGCTCATTTCCCAAGATCCAGAGATCCATTCCTATTGCCAGGCGAATTGAATATTGCCATTCCTCAACATCCCGATCAACGTCTCGTTGCATTGCTCTCATCGGTACTCCAAAGAAATCCACAGCTCCGTCCAACTGCACATCAGATTGCTGTTCATCCATATTTCGTTACGTCGCTGGTGGAGGATCTTTTGTCTTCCAGAACACTGATCGATAGTCGTGAAAAGATTGCAGCATTCCGTGCACATATATCCTCGCTTGCAGCACTCTCTGAGGAAACCAATCAAACTTTGGTAATGCAAGTTAGAAGATCCACTCTTATAGTCGATGTATTCCAATTCTTTAAAAAGATGGAAAGCAACAAGCTTTTCTCATTGTTGGAGGTCGACTTCCAAGGTGAAAAAGGTTTGGATCATGGTGGTTTGTCTTCAGAGATGTATTCTCTATTTTTCAATGACAGTGAAATACTGATGAACAGGTTGAACAGTGAAGATCAATCGACCAACAATTCAGAGTCAAAGGTTAAAAGTATATTCTCCAAGAAATACAAGCTTCTAGATCGAGGATCATCGGAATCTCCATTCTATTTACTCTCTGACCAACCACTGGAAATGGATGAGTCTCAACAAAATATATGGTCGTTTATGAAGTCAGAGCAAGCAGTTTACAAGACACTGGGAAAGATATTCCTAAAGGCGATCATCGATGGCAAGCCAATCCCCGATGCATTCCCACCCTCGTTCTTTAAGTTCCTCTTGAACATCTCACCGAATCTTCAAGACCTAGAAGCATACGACCCTCAACTCGGTCAGAGTTTCAAAAAAGTTCTTCTCTTGGACAATATCGATCAGTATCTTAGTACAACCTTTGAGGGTTTGGTTGAGAATGGCGATGAAATACTGGTGACCGACGATAACAAAGAGGATTTCATTCAAAAGAATATCGATAAGATCTTGATTGGTTCCCGTAAATATCAGTTGGATGCATTCAAGAGTGGTTTCATGTCGATTGAATCGTTGAATGCTCACTTTGCTCTATTTTCACCGACTGAGCTACAGTTGCTTATGTGTGGTAATCAATTGGTGGATGCTGAGCTCTTAAAGCGACACATCAAGTTTGTCGGATTTCCAGCGTCAAGCGATACACCTAAACACTTTTTGTCGGTGATCGACGCAATGACTCAAGACGAACTACATCGATTCCTCAGATTCCTCACAGGAATGGTTGTGATTCCCATGCAAGGACTTGAAAAGCCACTCTCGATTATCCATATTCCAAAGAGTGAGAAACTACCTTGTGCTCATACCTGTAGCTATCAGTTAGATCTACCGGATTACAGTAACTTTGAATTGTTGAAAAAGAAAATATTACAAATGCTTGACTGGTTAGATTCTGGTTTTGGTTTTATTTAATAAACGACAACAATTTATTAATAATAAACTCATTCGAATGTTGTAATATATTATGCATAAGAGTAGGGAGGAGTTTTAATAATTATTTATTATTATAACACATTTAATTACTTATTTAAAATGATCAAACTAGCTACAACACCACCAGTACCTAAACATTTCAATACGATATTGATTGGATAAAAAGTCTTTCTTCTCTCTTCGGCTGTTGCATCGATAAACTTTGGCACAATCAAATTTAGAATGACAGCACCCAACCAATTCAAAACAACACGAATAAGTGTTAATTCCAAGTATACTAAAGTTAAATCATATTCAATAGCCAAATAAAAGTAAATCTAATCAATAGTTATATGTTAATATTAGTTGATTGAACAAAATTGAACTTTGCAAAAAAGTTATACATACAATGGCACGTGCATTAATTAAAAATCTATACATAAATAAAGTAATTAAACCAGTGTATTTGGTTTCCTTCCATGTTCCCTTGACGGCCTGTAGCATATTTTCCTTGGCATCGTCTTCGGTAAGGAACAGTTTCTTTAGTGGTGGAATAAAGTCGACAATAAGCATGAATGGGAATAGATAGAATGGTAAAAGAACCTGATCGATTGAGTTGTATCCAAAAGCATTGACACGGAATTGATCGTTATAGAAAAGTGAGGTTTCCATCCAGATAGCATTGGCAAGCATCAACAACAACATTGGAATCAAAATACGTAAACTTCTTAAAAATACATTTCCTACAGTCTTGAGCCAGTACTTGGCATCCTTCTTTTGTTGTGGAGAGTCTTGATCGGCTGGTGAATCGTTGATGAGTCTTGACTTTTCCTCGATCACTTTTTTATCCTCTGAATACTCTTGCTCGATAAAACTGTCGTTTTTATCCAAAAGAGTATCTTTGTCGTTAGATTCGGTTTGATCTTTCGAGGTAATCAGTGGTTTCGGCGTAAATTCAATTACACTCAATAGAGAACCCAAAATACCAAATATATAACTAATAATAACCAAATAATATTAATATTGCAATTCAAACTAAAACAGTTTGTTGATTCATGATTAATTAACATACATTAAAGGTGGAATAGGTTGATTGATTGGTTCTCCAAATATTTTATTCAGTGGATTAATAAGAAATGTCGATGAGAGTGCAGCAATTACCAAGAATAACAGTCCAAGAGGTTCCTTATATAGTAACACTTCACCATTATAATAAACTATAGTGAATAAAAACGATGGAATTAGTTTTCAATCTGAGAGTGAACCAAGCAACATGGTCTAAAAGAAAAACCTACTAATATTAAATGCACCGTTTGCAAATAAGAACGGATGCAGTTTCATCGATCTAAACATTGAGAATGGTCCTTGTGATTTACAAGGAATCTCTGTACAATTCTGTACGGTACAATCTTCGATCTTTCCTTCGACGTCGAGCTGATAGAAACAATCTACCTTTGTGCTATTGATATAGATGGCACCAGAGATCGAGGTCGGCAATGAAAGCTGTAAGATCGAAAAGATAACAAACATCTGTATCGCTGTCATCAAGCAGAGACCGATCATCATATGTCTCGGTGAGTGTTTGAAATTGACTCTACTAACCCTCTGTCCGAATGAATCACCGACCACCGACAGCAACTGTGCCGCCAACATAATATAAATAGGTGGTTTATTACTCATCCTCTATTTCTACTCTTTATATTAATATAATGTAATGTTATAAAAAAAATAATGCAATAATAATACAAATAAATGTTTGAAAATGGAAAAAACAAATATTTTGGTAAAATGTTTTACCAATTAAAAAAAAAAAAAAAAATTAGAAATATATTATTAAGTAAAAAGATAGATAGAAGTTTTTGTTTGTTGGTTTTGGATAATTATGAAAAAGCTAATTGGTTTTCAGTCTATTAAATTTATATGTCGCTAATAAAAAACCCACATTATAAATTAAATTTATCAAAATATGTTTTTACTTTTTTTTTTTGTTTTTTTTTTTTTGTGAAAATAAATGTGTGTAGAGGAAATACACCCTCGAATGTGGAGTCACCCTCTCACCTGGTTAGATTTCATTGCAAATCCTATGATTCCGAAACTACACCGAAATTTCAAAAAGGAAAAAATTAAATAATATAAAATCTATCACTGACATTTTTACAAAAATATCTTGATGATCATCATTTTTTGCCTTTTTTTGATGGCGTCAAAAATAAAATGGTATTAAACTATTGTTTTTAAATTTAAATATCCAAAAATTTAAAATTTATAAATGACTAGTTCTTTTTTTGTCTATCTATCAACTTCAAATTAATTAAATGGCTTTAAAGTCTGTTTTGTTTTTGTGAAAATAAAATATCTATTTTTTTAAAAATTTTAAATCAACAAATAATTTGATCAGGTTATCGAGTGTTACAATACCACCAACTAGCTGGTTGTTAAGTGTTAAAAAAGTTGGGGACTGATTCGAGAGTCTGACTGCGATGAAATCTCCTTGTTGTGATCTTATCTCCATTCTCTGGAGGTTCGAAGGCAGTGAGATCGGTGTCGGTCTAAACATCGTCGAAAAGTTGTTTCTCAGGAATCGATCACTGCATACCATAGAGTAAAGGCTATCTGGTAGCTGTGAGACTGTCTGTGAATAGTCGCTGTCGAACGTCAGAGTTTCCAGTGCTTGCGGTAAGCATTGATCTTCAATGGGTAGAATGAATTTGTTACCGAACGTCAGGTGTCGCACCGATTCCGGAATGGAATGTGGAGCCAATGGCTGGTTGAACGAGTAGCCTAGTATCAGAGTTTCAAGACCGTGCGGTAGTACTCCGACTGCAATCGGTTTGGTGTAGAACAATCCGAGATCGAGCTTCTTGAGCGATGCCGGCAGGAATCCCATTGGAATCTGAAAGTTGGTGCTTCCGAAATCGAGACTGAGCAGACCGTCTGGCAGGTATCCCGGACTCTTATTTCCTTTGTCTTCAAAGTAGATGCCGAGTTTCAAGTGTGTGACGGTCGGTGGTATTATTGCCAGTTGAAATTTCAAGCCAGAGAGATCGAGGCGAGTCAGAGTGGGCGGCATCGGATTGCCTGGAATCACACAGTCGTTATACCTATTGAAACTCAGCGATTGCAACCGAGGGAACAGTCCTGATGCCAGCTGTTGGTATTGAGACTGCGGAAAGTTTTCCAGGCTCTCTAGATTCGGAAGTTGGTTGGGTATACCGTGTTTATACTGTGTACCCAAACAGAGTGATTTCAACGACTGCGGTAGAACACCTTCTGTAAGCGGTGCAACAAAGCCACCACCGAGATTCAGAGATGTGCAACTCTCTGGTATGGCACCAAGTTTTATTTCCCTATCGTAGCCAGATAGAACGATGTTCTTTACACCGTATTTTATCTCACCGAATTCCTCTAGAGTCATTATACTCTTAATAGCCATTAATAATGAATCACTACCGAATTTATCATCATATTCATTATCTAATTCGTCTAGATTTTTTTTATGTTATTTAATAAATTAATTATGTTGTTTTATTTGTTTTAATTGTTAATATATATATATAAATATAATGATTTACAATTATTTTTTGAATCTTCTGCTCTCGATATAAGTAACTGATATGATTTTAGGTTTGAACCATCTATATAGGGTATTCTTTTGAATCTGTACAAATGATCTCTGTCATTAAACCACCTCTTACAAACTAAACTACAACTAATCTGATCGATCGTCTCTAGATGGTAGAATATTTTTCTCAATAATATATGTGATAATAATGTAAATTTGTCAAAATCCATCTTAATTAATGAAATATAAATTTCCTAAAAAGGATCTAATGTCTATGTCTAATTAAACCCAAAGGGTTTCAAAATTTTTTTTTTTAAATTTAATTTTTTTAAAATTTTTTTAAAATAACTTTCAAATTAATTTATTTTTAGAAATTGTAAATATTTGAGGTTTTATTATATCTCTCTCTTTTTAATAAAGTAATTCAACAATCCATTAATTAAAATACAAATCTGGCAGTAAAAGTTGAAGGAATAATTTCAAATCCACCAACCTTAAACTATCTCAATAGTATTAAACAACATGAGTTCTTCATTCCATATGATCATATGTACAACAGTTGAGATTGTCCTAGGTAGATTCACTCTATCTTTCTAGATAGCTCCTGAATATTAACCCTTGCAAAGACACCTATCTCTTTTTATTTAATAACAACCCATCATTTTCAATTAAACTTTCTCATTTTTGATTAAAAAAGAAAAATAACAACAAATACTAATAGTACTATCGCAAATCGAACAGTAGAGGGGAAATTAAATCATATTTATTTATTTTTTGAAATGTAGTCAGCCAAAAGGTCATGTATTTCAAAGAACCATGGCAATTTGATCTTGATTTCCCAAAGATAGAGTACCAACTTATCGACAGGTATTGAAATATTTTTTAGAGCCCATTCCAATGAACTATATTTCAACGGTGTAAATCTTTCGATTTTATTGATTATGTCACGTTCTATTGATTTGATGGTACATTCGGTTCGGTTTGCCAACAACCACTCAAGAGTATCTATTTTGCCGTTATTGAAGGCATGAAGAGATGCCTCTTCTGTACAGCCTTCAGTACGATTTTCATGTAGAAATTGTACTATTTCCAAGCTGTTGGAGGATGCAGCATCCATTATTTTCTTTGAGAATCCAAATCTGTTGTTCACTTTATTCTTTTGATGTAAGAATTCCACCGATTTGGCAGTACCAAAAAGAGCAGCATTGAAAAGTATTCTATCGCTCTGTGGATCACCCATGCTCTGTTCGAACCATTCAAGTAATTCAACGTTTCTAACCATTGGAACCGTTTCGAATACCGATGGTGAATAGCCTTCTGTACGATTCTCGTACAACCATTTAACGGTTTCCAAATGACCATTTATTGCCGCTCTGTTAATTGCCTCAACTGAGCATCCTTCAGTACGATTCTCATGAAGCCAGCGTACAATATGCAAATGACCCGCGGCAGCGGCACCATTCATTGCTTCGAATGTCGGTTTTGTAGTACAATTCTCATTCAACCATAGAACGATATCCAAACGACCAGAGCGCGCTGCTACATCAATGGAATTATATGCACATCTATACAAAGTATTGGAATGCAACCATTTCATGGCTTCTAAATTATTTGCTTGCAATGCCATATCCATTATATTGCTTGGGCATGCGCATCCCAAACCAAATACAAATTTGAAGATTTCAAATCTGCTTGGATCATTTAGAGAAGATGATATGTATTTAGTGCTCGTAGGGTCAAACAAACTGCTATGTTCCAACAATACATATTTTAAGATATGTAGATGATTTCCATTGACTCCCGAAAAAAACATGTCAGAACTGTCCAAATCTTCGGATCTATTCTCTATCAGCCATTGAATCATAGGTATATCTCCTTTAACAGCAGCTACATTAAATACGTTGCCATTCTTTTCCGATAGAAGTTGGTCTGGATATTCATCCAATTTGGCAGCAAAGAACTTGACAATCTCCATATCACTTGAATAGGGTGAAGATACAAATGGTCTTTTATAATTCCACTGATGATTTGGGAACCGATCCAAAAGATATTTAATCAAATGTAGCTTGCCATACATCGAACAACACGTTAGCAAAGTATTGAGAAAACCATATTCTTCGCCGTGAGTGGCTTCTACCGCTGTTCTCCTTTCAATTTGAAGGCGCACCAATAGGAATTCCAGTGTTTTCAAGTCTCCACCTCTGATTGCACTCTGAAATATTGGGAAGCCACCGTTCAAATTAATAGTTCTGGCTGCGTCATTGAGATATTCTTTAAGTTGATCTACATAGCCATGAGAAGCTAACACCGCTGGTTGATTGAGCACTCTATCCCATTTGTAATGCTCTCTACTGTTGTTCATACTTGAAATACTAACTACATGATTGAAAATTAAAGTATTTAGAACTGTGTTATTAAATACTAATGTAAATATTTTTTTATCCATCTCTGTTGATCATGATTCTTTTAAAAAATATATAAAATGAAAAAGCATCAGATTCTAAAATCAAATTTTGGTATCAATTTTTTTTTGATTATTTTCTGTTTTTTGCCTGGATCTTATACATAAGAGTTTTTCTAAGAAAGATAAAATTTTAGTTTAGGTTCAGCGAAATAAAAATAAAATAAATAAATTTATATTAACTTATTTTTATTTATTTAACTAATTTTTCAGAAATAACTTTGAAAACTATTGTATTTTATTTTTTCATAAATTGTTCTAATGTAATTATTGATTCAAATTGTGGAGGTCTTCACCCAAAACTGAGAGAAAAAATAAGAGATGGAAAAACAAATTTGAATATATTAGTATAAATAATTTATTAATTAAAAAAAAATAAAATAGAAAAATAAACTTACACACTAAACTCGAAAAGTATATATTTGAAGATTTATTACGACAACGCAATACAAATCAACTCAATTTTTCAGTATTATCAAATCGGTTGTTGAATTGTGTATATCTGATAAAATAGATAGATATTGTGTGGTCTTTAAATCGGCTGATTTTGTGGTTGAAAGATCTTTAATTAGATCTTCAATGTTGGTGCTTTTGGAAATCATGTAAAGAAATTCCAAATTGTGATAATTGTTGATCGGTGAAGTTAGATGATTCCTCTTTCAATTCTCTTATAACATTTGAGATTGAAGAGTTTTTTAATATACTGGAAAATCTATTTTCAAATGGATTGAGTTGATTTGTATTGCTTTATCCTAATAAATCTTCAAATATTTATATTTTAAAGCGTCTAATGATGATTGAATAGTTGGAGGAAGATTATTATTATGTTGAATAGGTGGTTCTTCTTTAAACTTATTAACAAATATGTTTGAAACGATTGAGAAAAATAAAATATCATTATCGTAGGTGAATGTTGAAGGTGAGTCTGTTATTATTGAATGATATGAAGTTGAACAAAGTGATGATTTATCTAAATATTTATGTTCAAATCTTTCTGATTTTCTTACAAATCATAAATATTTAGATAAATCATCACTTTGTTCAACTTCATATCTTTCAATAATAACAGACTCACCTTCAACATTCACCTACGAGTAGGTCTATTTGAAGGATTCATTAATTAATGAATCATAAAGATTAAATACACCAGAACAACAAAAAAAATTGATAGATTTTTAGATTACTGTCAACCCAAATTTTAATTTTTTCCATCTGTCATTGAGTGGAATTAAACATTTAATGTTTATTTTGATAAATTTTATATTGTTAACAATTCTTTGCTGTTTTTTTTTTTTAGATAAATAGAATGTTATTTTAAACAATATTGTAAATTTAAAAAAACTAGGGTATTCTATTTTTTATTTTAAAAGTGTTCATATTTTATTTAAATTTGTGTTTAATTAAAACGGAGTTGGTTGCTTTAGTATGTTGACTTCTATTGGACATTAGTTTGAATTTTACAGTTTTAGCCCTTGCCAGTGGCTGTTCCGGTGATTGAGGATCGGATGATCTTATTTAAAGTGTAGGAGTGGTCTCTGATGTCTAGCTGCTTTAGATAGTAGGGTAGGTGGTGGACAGTAGGTTGACCTTCTTTGGTTGTCTGTGTTGTATGTACCAAAAGCACCAATGATTATAGGTATGACTGCTACATTGTGGTCTGGGTTACTCTTCTTAAGTGCGGCTGCTAGTGGTTGGTATTTTTCAATCTTATCTCGGTCTCTTTTAACAATGTTGTTATCATATGGTACTGATTTTTCGATGATTTTGATTGATTTCTTGGTTCGGTTCTTAACGATTAGATCTGGTTTGTTGGTTTTGGTCAGTGCATTATCTATTCTGGCTTCATGTAGGATCTCAATGGTGTCAGACTGGTAGACTGCGCCTGCTTGTAAGGTATTCTGTGGAACTTCAGCATCTCTTTGAGTATCACTTTCACTACCATGTTGTGTCATTTTCCATCTTTACTGAATATGAGTTTGTAGTCAAATGATTCCATGTGTCTCATTGCGCTGGTGTATAGTGGGTTCTTCGTTTCAAATGCATAGTTCATAAGGTCTTGGTTTCTCCTCACCGAGTGTAGTTTAACTGCTGTGATGATTTTGTAGACTTTATATTCTAACAAAAGGTGGGACAGTTGGGTGTTACTTATTATTGGTGCTTTAGTAATTATCTTTATATAGTATCCGACTGGGTTTATGGTAGGGCAGAACAAAAAGGGACAGAGAGCATCACCTTGGAAGATTCCATTGGTAATCGGTATTGTAGTTGTGTTTTGATTCTTGGATATGAATATCTTGGTGTTCCATTTGCTCATGAGTCTTTCAATGATTGATCTGGCTTTCAGGTCTATCTTGTGAATTTGTAGTATGTACTTGATCCACCTGTGCATTATCTTTGCTTCTACACAGTTCGCATTGAACGTCATATACTGTCTTTTGATTAGTTTAACTACGTATCTGGCTGGTTTCATATTCTTCTTGATCTTATCAACTGTACTCTCTGAGTTTGATGATTTTCTTGATCTTATTCGCTATTTTCTTTATCAGTTTCTCTCTTTGGTCTTGTTTGATATGGCTGGCGTCTTCGTTGACTCTAACTCCTGCTGTGGCTGCCGCATATAGTGCTACATTGCATGCTTCTAACTTAGGGTATATTCTTCGCTATTAGGTATTGGTAACTGATTGTGTATTGAATTTCAATATCCTCTTCTTGATCTTTAGTCATTGGCTTCCTAGCTCTAGTAGTTGATCTGGTTAGGCTACCATTGAGGTGCTCAGTTACAATCTGGTCGGTCTATCTTCCCATGGCGAATGTAAATGCATTGTCTCGAGTTGGTGTCGGTACTCTTCTTGTCAGTGTTTTTGCAGCTTTCGATGTTGGTTGTACGGCTAGGCCTACTTCTCGTAGTTTCTCCTTCTTATTCGCTCTGTTGAATACAGACGTCATTTGTCGTTTGTTGCTTAGGGATGGTAAGTTGGTATTCTGATACCACATCTTCATATTTTTTTATCCATTCTCTATTGATCATGATTCTTTTAAAAAATTTATAAAATGAAAAAGTATCTAAAATCAATCAACTCTTATAAGAGTTTTTCTTTGAAAGATAAAATTTTAGTTTAGAAAAGTAGTAAAATAAAAATAAGTTATTATAATCTAATTTTTCAGAAATAACTTTGCAAACTATTGTATTTTAATTTTTCATAAATTGTTCTAATGTAATTATTGATTCAAATGGTGGAGGAGTTTGTTTGAGTGCTTCGTTGTAACAAAAAGTGAGTTGTTCTTTTGTGATTGGTCGAAGAGTTAACAGGCATTCCAAAGTATCACAAAAATTTTTTTCTATGAGAAGATCAATCAATGAAAATAGCTCAGTGAGCTCAATAACAGTGAATTCAGTTCGATTGATTAATAGCCATTCTACGATTTCACGTGTTTCTTTCCATGCACCAAACAAAGCTCCTTTAGTACAACCTTCGGTACGGTTTTCGTCTAACCACATTAAAATATTGAGATGTCCATGCTTGGCAGCAAGATTCATTGTATTCTCATTGAATGAATATCGATTATTGCTTCCTTCATTGCGTTCGTGTAGATATTTTATGACGTTGAGATGACCAAGCTCTACAATGCTCTCAAGTATACCTGGTCTGCAAATGTTAGCATCAGAGATCTGCTCAAAATACTCTAGGATCTCTACATTACCACCGTACGCACAATCATCCATTATACAACGGGAATATTGTATTTCTGGTCTGTTCTCTATGAGCCATTTCACCATTGCGAAATGACCGTTTTTCGCAGCCAAGCTAAGGGATCGTGGTGAACCACCTTCTGTTCGATTTTCATATAGCCACTTAACCACTCGCTTATGATTTCCAGCTGCTGCATTGTCGATAGCTTGTGTTGAACAACAGCGTTGGGTGTATTGGTTGTGTAAATCCTCTACTAAATTTAGGTGTCCTGCTCCCGATGCAATATCCATTGGGTATTCGGGATACATAGATGGTTGAGTGTCAATCATTGAGAGAATATTTAGATTGCCAGTTAAACAAGCGTTGCGCATCACTTGATAGTTACTTTTACTCTGTCCAATGAATATCCATTTGAATGTTTCGAATCTATCCAACGATTGTGAGGCAGCCACCAAGAATCTAGTGAGATTAGGAAATCGACTTTTATGATTCGTCAACAAATACTCTACTACATTCACTCGATTGTTAACGATAGCAGACATAAAGATATCACCAACCAAATGTTTATTTCTATTCTCTGAGAATATATATTTGATCATTTTAATGTATTTATCATCCGATAGAAGTGGAGATTGTTGCCGTTTCTCTCTGAATATATTATTGGTTTGTTTGACATTGTTATCAGCTAATAGTTTGGTGGAAAAGAATTTCAATAGATCCACGTCAGCTAGGTGTGTAGTGTTCATCAGTGCACTGTAGTAATCCCAATTGTCATAGGCAAATCGATCGAGTAGATACTGAATGATATCGTCTCTGCTATATTTGGTGGCAATCGATAGAATCTCATTGAGATCCCCTTGTACCGCTCTCATTGTTATTCTTCTTTCAAACTGATGGTGCTCCAAAAGGAATATTAACATCTCCAGACTACCATACCTGATTGCATTTTCTATCGTTGACATATTTGGCTTTTTAATATTGTGATTGCTATTATCTGCGAGATAAAGCTTTAGCTCTCTTAGGTAATTATAACTAGCTAGAATATCTGGTCTCTTTATTAATTGATCCCATTTCAAACTAGAACTACTACTACTCTTTGGCAGGCTACTAACATGATAAAAGATCAATCTATACAAAACTTTATTATTAAACACAATTAATAATTTAGATTTATCCATTTCTCTCTCTCTTTTGTTGATAAATTAATCGAAAAAAAAAAAACCACAAGATCTTTTTCAAAATTTGTTGTTATAAACTGATCAATCAACACACACATCCTGGTAATCAATTAAGTTTTAATATGATAATTATGTTTTATACTTGTTTTATTTATGATTTAATTAAAATTTTTAAAAGAGTTGGTTTTTGTTATATCACTATCATCGTTTAACCAATCAATAATTTTGGAACCATAACAGTTTGTTACCCAATCTTTTACTTCATTTGGAAAACTATATCTATTCCTAACGAGTAGCTTTAGAATATTTAAATCGATTCGGCCATCTTTAAAAACATGTGATATTATATTGCTTCTACAACGCTCAGTTCTATTGGCATGAATCCACTTTAGTGTTTCTAAATGTTTATTCTCCACTGAAACATCCATTGCCTGGGTGTTAAATCCTTCTGTCCTATTTGAATGAAGATATTTAACAGTGTCGAGGTAGCCTTTTTCAATTGCTTTGCTCATTGCCATCTTTGTACATCCGGTGTTTGTAACTTCGTGGAGTAACATCACCATATGTAGATATCCATAGGATGCCATCAAGTCAATGAGATTCTTTGGACATCTACACTCGGGTTGCTGAAGTAACAACCTTGTGATCTCTACTTGCTGGTAGAGTAAAGCAGTTCGCAGATAATCACCTCCTTCCGGATCGAACAGATCTCTATGTTTTGCCAAGAGATAGTGAAACGCGTCAAGCTGTCCACTCTTTATTGTCCATTCAAACATATCGCTATTTCCCAAATCCTGTTTCCTATTCTCTGACAGATATTCTATCATATCGATTCGGCCAAGTGATGCAGCGGTATCGAAAACATTGGAACAAGCTGTGTTGATGTTTCTACTGTAGTTAACAATGCTCTTATTATTCTCGAGGTTGACAAAGAACTGTAGAATACCAAGGTCACCAGAATGCGGCGCGAATACCATTGCACCGTAGTAATCCCATGTCGACTTCTCCTCACCATATTTCTTCAATAGATAGTGAATCAGCTCGGATCTACCGTATTTCGACATCTGTATCAGCAGACTATCGAGCAGCTTCGAATGCTTCTTTGCATCGTCTATCGAGAGATAATATAATAGATAGCTAAACGACTCTACACCGCCACTTCTCACAGCAGCCTGTAGCATCTTAATATTGCTCTGACTTAGACTTCCATCGTTGTTTGCTGTAGTTAAATACTCTTTTAACAATGTCTGATAGTTGTGTGCTGCAAGAACACAAGGTTGAACTTTAACATCATTCCATCTATAATGTACTCTTCCATTCCAACCCGAAACTTCACTAACAAGTTGAAAAATTAACTTTTTTAATACCAAACTGTTGAATACTATAGAAAATAATTCTTTTTTCATCAAATATTGGATTGTTTACAACTTTGTTTTTTTTAAAATGATAAAACCATCACCAACTATTTTTTGCTTTTATTTAACAAAACGAAACTTCAACTTTTTTGTGTAAGTTAATTTATTAAGTTAATTAACTTTTTTTTAAAATCAAACAATAAAAATTTAAGATTCTTTAGAAGAGCATTAGAACATAAATCATAAAGAATTGATTTGGTGATTGACTCATTTATTGAAGTGTTGGTATTATTAGTATTATTTGATATTAAAATTATTTAATTCTATTATATTTCTATTATCAAATAATTATTAATTCTTAATTATTAATTATATATAACTCTTACACCAAAATATATTAGGTTCTATGATCACTTTAAAGTGATTATTAGTGGGTTCTCTTTTGTGTGGTTTTTTCAAAATTCAATGAACTACAAATATCTTTAAATTAAAGGGTTTTTTCAAAGATTTTTTTTGTTATTTATAAAACTTGGGTGTCCTCATACTTTATTAATCGATCAATCAATCAATCAATCAATCAAATAATATTATACATTTAAAATGACAAAATCATATCACCCAAAATCAAATGACGATTTAGTTCTCTATCGTTTAGTTATCTTTAATGGTAAGGTTGATAAGCCAACCGATAGCAATGGATTGTATGTAAAGATAAATCAATTGACATTTGTGAAGATAAATACCTTAAAAACAATTTAATATTAATTATTTTATTATATTTATTTATTGGTGAAATTGAAGGTCAGATCCATATGTTAAGGTATTCGCAGTTAGAAATAATTGTAAGGATAATGAATCAAAGGAGTTGATATTCAAGACCGCTGTTTGTAAGAAGACATTGACACCAGTCTGGAACGTAGAAAACTACTTTGTAATCAGTTATACCGATAAGATTGAAGCAATAAGCGTCGAACTTTGGGATCAAGATTTACTAAGAGACGAATTCATCGGTGCAGCCAAGAATTACATTGGAGAGAATTACATCTTTAAGAGCGAACCATTCACCAAACCAATCGATGAATACAAGATGTTTGCTGTAGAGAATACAATGTACGATAGCAAATCTAATGGTAAGGGTATTGTAAATATATCAACTTATATATTAGAAAGAAATGCTGAGAACTTGGCAAAGGCTGTTAATTACAAGCAATAAAGTAATAGTACAGCAGTCACAGTAGTTCATATGACATCAAAATAAGATAATTGTTTAATAATATCAACAGGAAGAAGTTTATGGAAAGCGGCCTTATAGATATTTTTAAAAATTAAATTTAAGAACTAATTATTTGTGTATATATAGAATAAAATAATGGTTTATTTATATGTATCTAACAATATAATAATTAAATAATTTATTTTTTTACAATTCACCTTTGTCGCCAAAAATTGTTATTTTCATGATGTCTAATGTGTTGATACCAATCAATTATATCTTTCAGTGGTACTTTGATTGTTGCTGCTATTGTTGAAAGGCTCCAAATTGAGTCGTCCAAATATATATGTATACTCTTTCATTAAAATGTAATATTAGTGGCATAAAGTGAACACTCGATTTGATATATTGCCTTATCACCAAAGTAATTATAAGTTTTATTTAGTTTATTTATAATTTAAGAATTTGTGAGATGTTAGGGACGAATTGTTTATCGATTAAGTTTGTACAAGAAAATTTAGTAGACGATATACAAGGAGAAGGAAATTCACTATTCCTTTGTTTTATAGTATAAATATATGCCATCACGTTTGTTGATGACTGGGGGTCGGTCTTCTTTCAGAATTCCAACGATCTTGGGTCTATTGTTGGCATCAAGATATTTGCTCTTTGGCTCCAAGAAGAGAGAGGGATTATGAATGACCTTGCTATCTTCATAGTATTGACCTTCCTTTTGAACATAGTCTGGGTTGACCGACAAGTTATATTTACTATTTGCTTCATACTCTAAAACTTCACGATCGAAAGCTGCTTTTTTTAATTGGGTTCCAGAGTGTCGAGCAATTTCAGCGTTGATGCGATAGGCATGATTATAATCATAGTCTTTTATTTCTCTTTTCTTCTGGTTGGTTTTTTGCTCATTCTTTAGTCAGCAAAACACTCTCTAAATTACCTTTATTAATTTGCTTAGAAGCAACCCAAATAATAATTGAATTATAATATTATTCTCTATTATTTCTTATTTATTATTGGTAATTTGAATTGATGAAAAAAATTGGTAAATCTTTATTCATCAAGTTTCTTCGCCAATACTCTGGAGCCGATTCCAATTTTTTTTTTTGAATATTCAAATTAATTTTCTTTTATTTAGTTGTGATGCAATATTTATACTAAACAATTTCAGTTAAGGATTAAAAATTAGATTTAAATCTTTAGTAAGTTTTTGATTACCAGAAAACATATATGTACTCTTTATGTCTATTCTCTGACAACCATTCGAGCGATGCAGCAGTATCAAAAACATTAGTTTAACTCCTATACTATTTTCTTACAATTCTTTTAATAGATTTCATTAGAAATTTAATCTAATGATGTTTATTTTTTTAAAGTTTCCATGTACAATCGATATCTTGAGCAACGGCAAGTTGAAGATATAAACAGTACCATTGGGCAGCCCATTGGTGATTTGGCATGATTGGTCTCATAGCAACGGAATAGTCCCAATCCATTGCCTTTTGGAAAGAGTAGTTCAAGTATTGCATGACGTATGAGGCAAAGATCTCACCGGTACGATCGCAACCACACTCACAGTGAATGTAAAGGGCGAGTGGCTGTTGCTGTTGAGTGGTCAAAATCTCACGGTAGTAGTTCATTCTGAATGGAAGGTTGTCCTTTTGCCAGACTGGAAGGTACTTGGCCATTTCGTCACGAACGCTCTCTTCGATTAAGTTTGGATCGGTGACATCACCCAATGTGATGTTGACACCAAACAAACCCTTGTCAGTGTTGTTTCCAAAGAACCATTGTTCGAGATTGACATCTCCTTGCTCCTCCTTCAAACCATAGGTCAATTTGATATCGAAAATCAAGAAATTCTCTGGGAGTGTGACACCATTCAATTGTGATACATTTCTCATGTATGAAGTTAATAAATCATAAGCGAATTCATCTTGACCTAAATATATATATTTTTTATGATTTAATAATGATTACTAATATGTTAATTTGAATGTTAATAACTTACCATTGACGCTAATCTTTGGTTCATTTCCTCTGAATAAATAATTGGATGATCCATCAGTGAAAGTGTATGTATCAACTAAACGAACTTTTTCATATTCCAAATATTCGGAACATGCAATTCCGACAAATAATAATGCAACAAAAATAATTGATTTCATTGCTATTTGATATATATATATATAAATGTGTTAAGTATAAATAATTATATATTGTACAATTATAAAAAAGAGAATAAATAAATTAGTAAAGAGTATGTGATTCACCCCTATGAATGGTTAAATAGTCTCTTTGATAGGTGTGGTGTGTTTTGAGTGTGTATTTTGATAAATTTAAAAATAATTAAAAATTTGTATCACCAACAATGATCATATTTTGTCGTGATCAATCATTTCAATTTTGTAAAATTTCCACACAAGATATTAAATTTTGTCATTTTTATGGTTTTTTATTTTGATATTTCATTGGGTATACACAAATTTATACAGCACAAAAAAAAATCAAAAAAATGGTTCCGAAAATTAACCGAACTACAAAAGATCTAAACTTGAGACTTTTGAAATTTTTTGATTGAATTTTTATTAAATTAAAACTTGTTTATTATATTATAAGATGTTATATTTATAGAAATCACAATTAATTAAAAGCCCATAATTTTCGGAGTTAAGTTATTTATTCTCGGGTTTATCAAAAGATTCACAATCTTTCAGACGGAAACCTATTCATACAAACTTAGGTTGGTTGTTGCGCTGATGGTGAAGTTAGTGATGTTATGTTGATGTGATGTTATAACTTATATGATATGAATAGTAGAGAGAATGTTATGATAAAATAAAATAAAAACAAAAATTCAAGATTGTTTATCTTATAAATAATACACTTATTTATTTGATTTATCATATTATATTATATTATATGAATATTTGGTTGGTTTGATTGCTATTGTTATTATTATTGTTATTGTTATTATGATCTGTGTTGTTTGTTGTTTTTTTGCTTAAAAATCTCTAAATAGATGAGCATAGGGATCGACATAACCTGGTAGAGTAAAGTCTTCACACATTGGTTCCTCATCGTATTTCTCAAAGTTAGAAGAATCTCCTTGATGCTGAATTTGAGGTATGAAAGGACCGTTTATCTTTCTATTATACAATTTATTCCAATCTATATCTGCAAACCATTTATGATTCTTTACATCTTGAGCGCCATCCTACAATATGTAATAAAAATGTTAAGTTAATAAACCTGGTTGTGCGATCTTTCTTTTCTCTTTTTTGATTATTAATCTCTATTTACTTTTAATGCACCAAGTCTACGTGTTCTGTCAGCAGTCAATAGTCTCTTTACTAAATCTTTTGCATCAAGATCGAAATGCGATGGAAAAGTGATTCTTGCAGCCAGAATCTTATCATAAATTACAAATGTATCATCATCATAAAAAGGTGGATAACTAAAAGAGAATAGAAATGTGTGTTTTGTTAGTTATGATTTGATTTGCAATTGTTTATATATATATATATATATATATTAGACAAACATACCCAGCTAACATTTCAAATATTAAAATACCAAGTGCCCACCAATCTACAGCTTTACCATGACCTTTGCTTTGAATGATTTCCGGAGCCAGATACTCGGGTGTACCGCAAAGAGTAAAGGTTCTATCTTCCACACGCTTTGCAAATCCGAAATCGGTGATCTTTATATGACCCTGGTTGTCGAGTAGCAGATTCTCTGGTTTTAAATCACGATATACTATATTATGTCTGTGGAGATACTCCAACGCCAATATAATCTCTGCCGCATAAAACTTTGCCATATTATTATTGAACTTGGTAGCTCTTCTCAAATGTGTAAATACTTCGCCACCCGCCACATATTCAAATAGTAAATATATTTTCTTTTCATCTTGAAACGATTGATATCTAAAGTAAATGAATGAATAAACATTATTAATTAAGGTGATCTATTTATTGATTATAATATTATTAATTAATTAATACTTACAAATTAACAATAAAAGGATGATGAATTGATGCCAAAATTGATTTTTCAGAGTTTAAATGTTCGACTTGTTTGAGTTTGACTACGTCCGATTTGTTGAGACACTTCATTGCGTAGAATTGATGGTCAATTATATTCTGTACAAGATAGACACGACCAAACGTTCCGGTTCCAATGACTCTTATCTGTTTAAACTCTTTCAATCGCTCCTTGGCATCTTTGGGTGGTGCCTGGTAGTAAGAGTTGTGAGTGAGGAGCGGATCCGGCAAGAATGTACGTGGTGACGCAGACGACATCGATGGTAGAGTAGTTGTTGTTGTTGTCTGTTGTTGTTGTGTTGTTGATAATGATGATAATGATGTTGATATTGATTGAGTTGGTGGTGGTGTCGAAGGTGATGTTGTTGATTGATAACTACTACTACTACTATTATTATTATTATTCTTAAATGGCTGTACAGGTGATATTAGGTGGTTGATCATTGATGATGATTGTGGTTGCTGTTGTTGTGTGTTGAGTGGAGGCAGATGCATACTACTTGGGAAATGTGAGGCCGATACATTGCTGGTGCCGTCGGCACTGGTGCTCCTCATTGGATTCACCAGGTTACCTATACTATTTATATTGCTGGCGGGGATGTTCAGCGCACTGAAACTATATCCACTGTTATTACTGCTTGCACTGCTATTGCTACTGTTGCTCCCAATGCTATGTTTCTTCTCCTCTATATCCATTCTCGTGATTGCATCGACTGTATTCGATAGATTCGATTGATGTAATGGACTGAAATTACTAGGATTATTATTACTATTGTATGTCTGTTGTTGTTGTTGTTGTTGATGTAAATGCTGCTGTTGTTGTTGTTGTTGTTGTTGATTTACATGTTGAATATTATCATTTTTTGATTCATTATTATTATAATCATAATTCATTTTATATATTATTAACTTTAATTTATATTTATTTATATTTCAAAATAAAAATAAAAATAAAAACAGTCTATTCTATCTGTCTAACTATCTAACTAACTAAACTATAAAGTTTTACTCTAAAGTTATTATTCTTTTTATATTTATTGATAATATGTTATGTTTCTTTTCTTTTCTTTATTATTATTATAAAAATAATCTATATAATATGAAAATAGATAAATTTTCAAGTATATTAAAAATTAAATTTATTTTAAACAACTGATGTTTTGTTTTTTTTTTTTTTTTTTTTTTTGCTTGTTGTTTATTTTCTTTATTTTACTAGTTTTTTTTTTTTTTGTTGTTTTAATTATTGCTTTGTCTGTCTGTTGGATTCTTTGTCAAAGCTCTGCTGCTTTTGTTTTATACAAATAATAATTTAATTATTTAATTTAAAAAAAAATTAATTTAAAATTTTTAATTTAATGTTGTCAAGAATGAAAAATTGGATGAAGTTTTTAAATTAAATTAAATTTTTCTTTTTTTTTGATTTAAATTAATTTGTCCACAGCGCAATAAACAAAAAAATAAAAATAAAAAAAATAATAAACACAAAGTAAAGTGAGATAAAGTGGATATATAGATATGATTAATTAAAACAAAAAAAAAACAATTTAATATTATATTATCATCATCAAAAAAAAAAAAAAAAGAAATAATAACAATAATAAATATAGTATCACCTCTATTAATAACAATAAATACTATTTTTTTTATTCTATTCTATTAGTATTTATTTTATTTAACTTTATGGCGCTACTACTACAAAAAAAAAAAAAAAAAAAACAGTAGTTAGTTAGTTTTCACATATATTTATGATGATTATATATGAGTGAGTGGTTAACCTAGTTTGTGGTGTGGTACTAAATATCATTCATCCATTCTCATTCACACTCTCATTCTTTCATCAACCACCCATTCACCATTACACTTTTTTTGAGTGAATAGTAGGTGACTGATACAATATCAGCTGAAATAAATGTAAATACATAGATTTTGAATCATCATCAATCATTCAATTAAATTAATTGGATTTGGAGTGATAAATATATATTTGATTTGCTGAGAGTTAAAGTTTTAAAATATTATTATTATTACTTGTGATTATTATTATTTTGATAAGATTGATTTGTTATTTTTACTAAATATCAGTACTATCTGTTATTGATTTCCATTGATTTAAATCGTGTTGCAAGATATCTATTTTTTGTTGTGCCATCTCGTTGGCGTCGGGACCAAGGAAAAGATGTAGTGGCGTTGGAGTTCCCTCTGGAATTCGAGTGAGTTGATAGATTACTTTCGCTGCCTTTTCGGGATCTCCTCTCTGTTTGCCTTGTGATGCCAGACACTCTTGTTCTGTTTCCTTTGTTTTGTAGCATTCGATCGGCTCTGAAGCGACACGGTACGAGCCAGCGAAAAAGTTGGTTCTAAAACAACCGGGATACACAATGGTTACCTTCACATTGAATGGTTCCATCTCTTTGGCGAGTGCTTCCGACAGTCCGCCAAGAGCATACTTTGTGGCGGCATAGGAAACGTTGCCAGGCAGCGAACTGTTGAATCCGACAATCGACGAGATGTTAATGATATTACCGCCTGTTGCTGGCTGCTGTCTTAGGTGTCCAACGGCGTGTCTGAGTACATTGATAACAGCGAATAGATTGACTTCAAAGTGAGTTCTTATCTCTTCCGGTTTCAACTCTTCGAGAGAACCAAGCAATCCGTAGCCAGCATTGTTTACAACAACGTCGATTCCTCCGAATCGCTTTATTGTTTGATCGATTGAGTCTTTAACAGCATCCTCATTGGTCAAATCAACTTTTAAAACCATGAATGATTCTGAATGCTCTGAGGCGATATCCTTAAGTTCTTGAACATCTGGATTCCTTGTTGTACCAACAACTTTATCGCCATTCAACAGACATTCTCTAACCAAAGTTAAACCAAGTCCTTGTGATATACCTGTAATATACCATATTCTACATTTATAATTATTATTACTTTTATTATCTGTCATATTATTATTATTATTAATTTAAAAAAATGAAATTAAATGAAATGAAATTTTGTTGTTCATTTCATTTTTAAGCAAAAATGATAGTCAGATTTTCCAGAAGATTGATTCTCACGACAATAGGTGGGGTTATTGCAATAGAACTCATAATATTCCATTAATCTTTTTTTTGTTTTGTGGAGATCTATTATATTTTATTTAATATGAATAATAATAATAACAATAATGTAATAAGTGATTTAGTAATAGAAGATCTTATTGATGACAATGATGATAATTTTATAAAAGTAATAGTAGATTATGATGATGACTCTTTAAATGTAAAAGAATTGGGAAATGAATTGAAAATAAGGTCATTAGAGAATAAGTTAATAGAGGTAATCAACGATCGTGATAAAATCTATCGGAAATATCAACAGTTACAATCAAAGTTTGAAACACTCTTGACATATGCTGATGAAAACACAAAATCACTTGTACAAAAATTGTAAGTTGTTGCTCTTTTTTTGAGTAATTTATATGTGTGACTTCTATCTATCTATAAATCAATCTATCACTTTTTATTTGTATTACCTTTGTTTTAATAATCTATTTTCAAAAAAAAAAAAAAAAAAAAAAAGAGATGAACAAAATAGAGAAACAAATGAAATGTTTACCATGTTAGATAGTGTGCAGGAATCGAATAGAGTATTAAGAGAACGTTTAGAACAATCGATATCAGAGAGATCATTGATAGAATCGGAAAGAGATCAATATAAAAGTAAATTGCAAGCAATTGCATTGATAAATGATAGAGGTAAATTAAAAGATAGTAAGAAACCAACAAGTATTTAATAATAATAATAAACTGTATCATATATATATTTTTTGATAAATAAGAAGTGATAGATTTTGAAATTAAAATATTGTAACATTTTATTATTATTATTATAATTGTTTTATTATTATTAAAATATATCATCGATTTGATAATTTTCTGAACATCTATGATAATCACTAATCAATTGCCATAATCTCCAATATCTATCAAATTCAATAATCTTATCCTCTATATTACCTATATATTCCGATGATGATTGTATTATATTTGTAAAATCAATTAAAATGATACTCTGTAAGTAGTGTAGGTAGTTAAAAAGAATGAAAAGAAATACAATTACAATGTGTGGTTAATAATAGTTATTATAACAGTTATATATATTTGTTTTTGTATACATACGAAAATAGGTAAAGATCTATCTATTTTAAGATATTCTCTATACACTTTATAGTTGTCAGCCGATGAGTATTTATAGATGAGTTGACTGTAGATGCTTAGTGCTGCGGGTGGCAGGTTATCCCAGAGCTCTTTCTTTCCGGATTTAGTACCGATCAGCTGATCGATTGCATGCAGTATTTCATAGGCACCGTTGAAGTTCTTGATGAGCGTGAGTTCCGAAGCGATCTCGATGAATCTGCTGATTCTCTTGATACGCTCGTCACCGTCTGGCGATGCCGACGTCACCTCTTTGATTACGGTCCGTGTTATCATCTCAGAGTGCTGTTTGAATCGATCGATGTTCGGTGTCTTATATTCGAGATCCTCGTAGATCCACAGATCGGCGTAGTACTCTTCGTTCGGGATCGATAGGTAGAGATCTCTCTCCATCAGAGTCAATCGTTTCGCCACAACCGAAGCTGGTTCCTCCGCCAAGAAATCTATATCCAACTTTATAGAATGATTTGATAGTTGATTATGTATTTTCAAATCATTACTACTTATATTTATATTGCTATTATTATTGTTGTTATTGTTATTATTATTATCATCCGAATTAACCATTTTATGAATTAATACTAATTTTATGGCTGAAAATATCTCTGGGAAATCGGATTTCAGATGCTCCTCGCAGAATCTCTGGAGAGTATCCAAAAGTGGTTGATTTCCTTCGAAGTCATAGAAGTGATATTCCAACCAGAGATGAAGAATCGTTCCGATTCTCTGTCGAATTTTGTCGGTGCTAGCCAGCGAGTTTAAATCCAGAAACTGTGGATTCAAATAGCATCTGATGAGTCGGTCCATCAAGTCGAATCGCGACACCAAGGCACGGAATCCCAGGAGGAACGAACGAATCACATCGGTATTGGCAAACCTCGAGAAACAGCAGTGTTGAATGATACGATCTATCGTTCCGGCCACCAAACGGTTGCTACCGAGTGTCGCGTCAAACTTCATGATTGCACTGGAGTCGTTGATGGTCGCCGGGTTGTTCTGGTGGCCTACCAACGAGTGTTTCATCGATACCATAATGTTGGGATGACCGTATGGATTGATTACCGGTGGACCTGTACTGGTGGGAGATATCTTGGTTACTGCTTGTGGAACCGATTGTTCTTCATCACCTTTCTGAGGAACTCTTGGTCCAGAGAATTTGTTTGATCTCGTACTCTTTTTCATTTTATTTTTATGGATTCCATCTTGAATCTTTCTTCTATTAATGAAAATGAGCACACCAATGGTAATTAATATGATAATCAAACATAAAATTGGTGCAATAATCCAAAGTTTTTGATTGCAACTTGATTTTGATTCCATTGGCGCCAAAGTACTATTTTGATTGCTCAAGTCATTATATTTACTGCAGTCATCTAGAAATTTTTAAATATTAGTTTAATTTTTTTTTTCAGGTTATTTTTGTCGAATTTATTTATATTTACATAATAAAACTACATCATAATATGTAACAACTATTCCAGCATCTGAATATACTAATTGTACTGTAAAGTTTTGAATTGAGACATTTGAATCGACATTACAATGAAGTACACTTTGAGTCGGAGTATTTGTTTCATATGTTATATTTCTGCATTGAGAATTTCCAAAGAGAATGGCTGTTGGCTTTGTTCCATCATCTAATCCCGAAACAATAAGATTTCCACTGCAATATTGAACATCACTTATTCTCATCACCGCATGACTTATTGAAAAAGTAAAAAGTGACCATATTGTAAAAAGAATATAAACTCTAAATAATAATTGGTTTTTAGGTGTTGCCAAAACTAACATATTTTTTATTATTATTATTTTTTAAGTGTTTTTTTAAATATTATATATATATAAAAACTATTGGATATCCTATCTACTCTACTATGACATTATATTTAAAATAATACAAAATGAAGAAGAAGAAATCAAAACAAACAATATTGGCAATTATATAATTATTTATAACTAAATTTAGTTTACTTTTTTTAATTTGATTATAAAGAGGAATTTATGTTTTGTGTAGCAGTATTTCTAGAAATAAAAATGATTATTAGTTTAAATTCTGAAAATTAAAAAAGAAGGAAGTTAAGGGTGGTTGTTATTGTGGTGGGAAATGAAATTATAATGAATTCATAAGAGAATTGACAGCAACTTCCTTTTGTTTAGT